TCGTCTTCAGCAGCTGTTCGTGACCGCATCACGCTCTTCTCTTGGCCATACTTTGCAATCACTGTAAGTTTGTTGTTGTTCGCGCGGCGCGAGTTACTGTTTGGGTTGTCTGAGGCCAATTCGTTTCCCCTGCCCAACACGCTACCTTCATCACTCATTACCCCTCCATCATGTCACGATGGACCCTCGTCGTGTGCTGTGACGGGTCGGAACAAGCTTGAGAAGCTGGCTACCCGGCAGACCCTGTGTGCTGCTCACTTGCCGTCAATCATTGTCTGCACCCTTGACGCCTTGTGCGTATTGCGACTCGACTTGGGAGGACAGGAGCACACCCATTAGTTTTACCATCGACACTACTTCTCTCGTTTCAACCAAACAACCGACCCAACAGCCATGACCACTCGAGGACGCTGTTCCTCCCCTACAGGACTTTTGCTGCCAGTCAATACAAGGACGAGGCTTGCGAATTGCCATCATCCAGTCCCTATCCAACCCTGCACTTGAAACAATCATCTGCTCTCCTGCCGAGTCTCTCTTTGTTACTCGTCAAGTCAGCCTGGTGCTACTGTGCAGTCCTGGCCTGTTCTATCTTGCCCTGCACTGTCCTATGTTCCTTCCCACACACACGCACACACACACACACACACACACACAAACGTTCGGGCCTGCGTGGTTTTGGCTGCATGTTGGACATGACCAGTTCGAGCCCGACGGTCGCCACCGTTTCAGTCGCTCAAGGTGTCTGGGCTGCTGCAGCTTCACCTCAACCGCGCCGCGCCGCGCTGCGCTGCACGGCACTGGCTGCACTGCATTGCACTGCACTGCACTGGCACCGCAAGCTGGGATTGGACTGGATGGCGGCGTTGGGCTTGGCTGCCGAGCGGGCGGGCGAGCAAAGCGGTTGAGCTACTGCGCTGCGCGCCTGGTCTCCCTGTCCTCTACCTCACCACTGGACTCTGTCCACTTTCAAATTTCTACTCACTGGGTCCCCCCGTCATTTCCAACCCGCCTTTCCACCCCTCCTCCCCCAGACTAGACTCCGTCATCTCTCTCTTTCCCCCTCTCAACTTAGAAACAACCTCCTGGGCACCTTGTCAATCCTCATCATCGCCTTTTACCAAATCCCCACAGTGTGCAATCAACGCATCGGTGGGATGGACCATGCAAGCATAGCAGCAAGTTTCTAACCATTTGGACCAGTTTGATTGACAGAATTTCTCATCTCGACCTCGCGCGCCAGCCACACCTTGATCACCGCATTCCTCCCTGACCCACTTCCCACCGCAACAACAAACCTGCCCCTCTGCCTGCCGGGTTCTACCTCGAAATAGCCAAAGCAAGAAGAAGACGGCGCCGTCCTCGACTTGACAAATAGTCGTGCAACTGAGCCTCCGCTTCGAGTGTGTATACCTTGTTCATTCTCCGGCACTAGCAAGCACCCCCACGGGCCTAACCGTTGCCAGACTTCAGTCGATTACTTCCGAGAACCTTCCTCCGACCCGTCTCGTATTGTTGCCCACCACGGCCCGCCTCAGGCTTCTGTCTGTGTCTCTTTCTTCTTCAAGCCTCGATCTGCTTTACAATATCTTTTTGTCCGCGAAGCGGTAGCAACAAGCTCAACAGCTCTCAAGATGGCCCAAAATCGCCCTGCAGCGTTCAACAACCTGCGGATGGGAGGTAGGTCTCGGCCACGGGATTGTGGCGCCTGCCGTCTTGCTAATTGGCGCTACAGAAGTCATCCGTGAAAAGGTCCAGGACGGGATTACCGGCGAGACGAGGGATCTACAGTACACGCAGTGCAAGATCGTGGGCAATGGATCTTTCGGTGTGGTGTTCCAGACGAAACTGTCGCCATCCAACGAGGATGCGGCCATCAAGAGGGTCCTCCAGGACAAGCGGTTCAAGGTTCGCAACCCTTAGTTGCTCTCTGCACTCGATGCCGAGCTAACACAACTGCAGAACCGTGAGCTCCAAATCATGCGGATCGTGCGACACCCCAACATCGTCCAGCTGAAGGCCTTCTACTACTCTAACGGCGAACGGGTATGTTGTACACTATCTAACGTCACTTGATACACGCTCTGACAGGGCTACAGAAGGATGAAGTGTACCTGAACCTGGTTCAAGAGTTCGTGCCTGAGACAGTCTACCGAGCATCGAGGTTTTTCAACAAGATGAAGACTACAATGCCGATCCTCGAGGTCAAACTGTATATCTACCAGCTCTTCAGAGCCCTTGCCTACATCCACTCGCAAGGCATCTGCCATCGCGATATCAAGCCGCAGAACCTCTTGCTCGACCCTAACAGTGGCATCCTGAAGCTGTGCGATTTTGGAAGTGCAAAGATTCTCGCAGAGAACGAGCCAAACGTCTCATACATTTGCTCGCGCTACTACCGAGCACCGGAGCTCATCTTTGGCGCCACCAACTACACTACCAAAATTGGTAAGGACTGCCTCGTGTGACACACGTTCGCGACTCAAAACATTTACTGATCAGCGTACAGATGTATGGTCTACGGGATGCGTCATGGCGGAGCTGATGCTGGGACAACCGCTCTTTCCGGGTGAATCCGGTATCGACCAGTTGGTTGAGATCATCAAGGTCCTGGGTACGCCCACACGCGAGCAGATTCGGACTATGAACCCCAACTACATGGAGCACAAGTTCCCTCAGATCAAGCCTCATCCGTTCAATAAGGTTTTCCGCAAGGCTGATGCGAACGCAATCGACCTCATTGCCAAGCTCCTCGAGTACACACCGACAGAGCGACTCGGCGCTATCGACGCGATGGTTCACCCCTTCTTCGACGAGCTGCGGGATCCAGGCACGAAGCTGCCGGACTCGAGACACCAAACCGGCCAGCTGAAGGATCTCCCAGCACTTTTCGACTTCTCTCGTCATGGTAGGTTTTCTTTCAGACCTTCTTCCGCCTCGGCCTGTGTTTTCGTGACTAATAATTCTCTAGAACTGTCGATTGCTCCTCATCTCAACCACAAATTGGTCCCTGCGCACGTGCGACCAGGTCTTGCGGCGGATGGCCTGGACATCGACAACTTCACCCCATTGACGAAGGCAGAAATGATTGCCAAGCTTGATTGAGCGCCTATTGGTGCTCGACATACCTTCACACACTGGACTTGTCGGGAGTAGCAACTTTCTAAGAGGATGTCGAGCCTCCGGACGGTCTGGACTACCAACATTGCGTTTGCTCACGTCGCCGATGCGGTGTTAACAATTTTCTGCTGCAAACAATCATGCTGGCGTATACTCGGATACAGGAAGCGCGAACCGTTGCATAACGATATCCACCACGACCACAGAAGCAGAAGCCGCAGCTTGTACCCAGCCAACGAGGTTGCGAAGGCGGGCCTTTCACGAGAGGGCCAGGAGGTAAAATTGAAAGGGACATGACCCGCTGTCTCGGCAGAGACCCGTGGTCCTGCGGCACGCTCGAAGATAAGCATATCGATGAAGATTGGCGGGACCATTAGATTTCTTTTTTTCCTGCACGATCAGACATGATTTTGCTTGTTTTTGTTCATGGCCGCCTGGAAGATTCATGGCGCAGGCGACCACGCGGTGATTAGGACCAAGACGAATTTTTTATTTTGCGGCCGGACCTCTCGATGACCCGCCTTGAAGGAGGAGGAGCAGCAGGTGGGTGGCCTTTGCTGGATGAGTGGCCGTTGAGTATTGAACTACCGTGTCGGACTAGGTGGCAGGAACTACTACTACTTACTGCTGAGCTGAGCTGAGGGTTTTGCGGAGGGTGCGGGTGATGGACTTGCATTGGGATACCAGCGTGGACGAAACCCTTGTGTATGGAAGGGGGGGAATTGGGCCATGTGCCCGGTTCTGGCATCATGATTCAAAAAGAATTTAAAACTCTTGTTCTTATCCTTGTCTCTTTGAGGGCAGCTTCATATGGGGTTGGGGGAGAAGAGGCTAGGCCATTCTCTGGATGGCAATCAAAAGGGGACCCCTGGGCTGGACGTTACTGCTCAGACCACTCATCGACGGACAATAAAATAAAAAGGGCTGTTGACCTATTGGGCGCGAATACTGTACGCGGAACGCTGGACTTCTTGGCGATCCGTACTGTGCCCACCCTCGGCCCTCATCTCTCTCTCACACACTTGATCCTCCCGTGCCGAAGAGACAAGCAGGCAGACGAGCAGTTTCGTTCCCGAATCTTTACCTGTACAGGTGGTGGATGGCACTCATGGCCTCTAGGTGGAAATCCATCGCACAGTACCCAGGTAGTACCTTGGCCCGCCCTCCCAGAGACTCGGAGGCGTCATTGAAACTCCACGGCTATGGCCTACGCTCATGAAATACAACCGCGGGGAGACAGACAGGCTCAGCTGATCGCCCCCTCACTGTTGGATGTGCGCACACCATCTTTTCTGTATTTAAGAAGGCGAGGTGCGTCATGGTATGTTTCAACAGCCTGCAGTGAGGGGTCACGTCCGCTTTCAGCTCGTAGGGATGGGAGCTATTCAAGCAGTCAAGACGTTGGTTGGCACTCTGTCAAGGGAAGCTCGAGGTGGTGTTAGCAGGAAGGTGGTGGGGAGGTAGGGGGGGCTAGATGGGAGATGGGCGGGATGGGATGAGAGACCTGGACGCCTCACCCTTCAGTCTGAGATACTGTACTCGAGGCACTGGTGTACTACGGTAGGTGCAGTATTGTATGTAGCTTTCAAAATTACATAAGCAACAGGGAAACTCTCTGGCCGCTGTCACTGACTGACTGTCAGCCTTCTTTGCTTGGCTCTCACTGGGTCCGCCTGGTTCAATCACCCTGTCACCCAGCAAACCAAAACCGATCGAGCTAGCTGCGCGGCGCGAGGCTGCTACTACTACGACACGGTCCAGCAAACAGCTTTAGGTCCCACTTTTGCAGCTGACGTCGCGAAGCTTGTCTCGATACCTTCCACCATTGAACACACTCTCATTTCTTGGTCTGAAAATCCAATCGCGAGTGGCGAGATTCGAACATGGCCGACTACGATCGCAGACAGGGTGGTGGAGGCTACAATCCCAGGAAGAGGCGATACAGGGGTAAGCAGCCAGCCCAAGCTCGCATCCACGAAGGGCGAGAGCTCTTCGACCCCAGGACGCTCGCGCGTGATGCACTTCGCCCAGAGGACTGACTTTGCGCAACCAAACAGAGGATGACGAGCAGCAGCACAACTCCTACCGTGACCAGCGCGGCCCGCGCCGCCGCCACGAGCCCCCAGTCCCGTCCCGCCTGCGCAAGCAGATCATCGACCTCGCCGACAGCCCCCTCCGCCGAGTCCAGGAGGAGGTCAACGGGGTCGCGCACCTCCTGGCCGACAACTACGACGACGAGAGGCTGCGCTCTAATTTCGTCGACCTGGTGCTGCAGCTCGCCGTCGAGCAGCCGCTCAAGACGCCCTTCGCCGCCGCAGTCGTCCTGGTCGTCAACACCCTGACACACAAGCCAGCCGCTGATGCTGCTGCTGCGCCGAACGGCGGGGACGATGGCCTGGACACGAGTATGGAGAACGGCGGCCAGGACCAGGCGCAGGCGCCCAAGGAGCCGCAGCCCACGAGCGGCGTCGTCGACGACCTCCTGGCCAAGGCGGCGGCCCAGGTCGAGGAGAGGGTCAAGCTAGGCGAGTGGCGCGCGGTGAAGCTCTATCTCAAGCTCCTCGCGTGCTTGCAGAGCTGCTTGGAGGGCGATGGCGTCTTTCCTATTCTGGAGGATCTCTTCAACCAGGCTGTTGAGCTTCAGACTAACAACAATGAAGATGTAAGTTGAACAGAGATCAGCTGCGGCTTGTATAAGAAGGTTCAGAGATAGATGAGCTGATGCTTACTCTGAGAGTAGACCATTGGCACCGAGTTGGTCAAAATCATCCTCCTCACGATACCCTACGCCGTCGCCGCAGCGCCCGACAAGACGGAGAAGCTTGCCACCGAGCTTCTGGACAAGACAGAGGTCATTGCTGGGGAGCCCCATACCCTCCAGAACCTGATCGATCCGTTCCTCCCTGAGGGAGATGAGAAGAGTCCCGCTGCGACCATGAGCTTCCTCGGGCTGTTACAGACACAACTTCAAGCTGAGGCGAGCAGTGGCTGGAAGCTGGCGTGTCTTCCGAGGCCGTGGAAGATGCCCCTCGAGGAGGTAGAGCAGCAGGAAAAGCTCGACAACTGTCCCAAGCACAAGCTGCCTGCCATCACAATCCCCGAGACTCTGATCGCTGGCTCAAGACCACTGTTCCCAGAGATCTACTTCTCCGTGTACCTGGGCCAGGATATCGAGTCGGTTCCCCCGGTCACGAGCATTGCGTCATCCCTGGTCCGCGACAATCTGGTAGATACGATTAACATTCTTCACTATAACCGGACTGTTGCAGCTAGACGCCTGATTGATATCGACAACTACTTCGCAGAGGGGACTTTCGTCAGTCGAGCTACACCTTTCGACCAGCTTCGGGATGTCCCATCAGGCAAATCAACCTGGAAGCCCGAGGACGTCGTGGTGGATGCAGTTTTCTCCCAGCTATTTTTGCTGCCTGTTCCAGAGCAGAAGCTTGTCTACTACCACTCGGTGCTTACCGAGGCTTGTCGGATTGCCCCAGCAGCCATCGCACCTAGTTTCGGCCGGGCGATAAGATACCTGTACCGGAACATTGGTCTCCTTGACATTGAGCTGAGCCAACGCTTCATCGACTGGTTTTCGCACCATCTGAGCAACTTCGGCTTCACGTGGAAGTGGACCGAGTGGACTGCGGACGTGAAACTGCCAAGTCTGCACCCGTGCAAGGCCTTCATCGTTGGCGCCATTGACAAGGAGATTCGGCTGAGTTTTGCTGGTCGGATCAGGAAGACACTGCCTGAGGGCTACCAGGAGCTGGTCCCTCCAGAGAAGGACGTGGAAGAGCCGCCTTTCAAATTTGAGAAGGATGGTGAGTGAATGCACAATATTTGAACAACCTCGTGTGGCGTCTCTAGATGCTAATTCCTGTCACCAGACACACCTTTTGCGCAGGAGGGCCGCGAACTGGCACAGCTCCTGAAGCGCAAGGCTTCAGACGAGGACATCCAGCCAGTCATCGAGCGGATCCATTCCCTCGCCATTGACCAGGGCTTGGACCCGCTCGTGGCCAGCACCGACGTCTTCACCACCGCGGTGCTCTCCATCGGCAGCAAGTCCCTCTCGCACGTCCTGGCCGCCATTGAGCGGACCAAGGAGCGCCTGATGGACGCGGGCGCGACGTCGGAGCCGGCACGGGCGCAGATCATCACAGCGGTCATGGACTTCTGGAGCGCGCACCCGGGCGTAGCCATCACCATCATCGAGAAGCTCCTCAACTACAGCATCATCAGCCCCTCGGCGGTGGTGCAGTGGGCACTGGTGAGGCACGCGGGCGAGACGAGGGGCGAGTCCCTGGCGCAGAACCACACGTACGAATTGGTGTTCAACACGATCAACAAGGTCACCAAGCGGATGCGCGAGGTGGTCGCGTCCCCCTCGTCCTCCGCCGCGCAGCAGCAGCAGCAGCCCGAGGGCGAGGACGTCGACATGTCGTCGGAGCTCGAGGAGGCCAAGAAGCGCGAGGCCCAGGCCGCGCGCGAGCTGTTCCGCACGGCGCAGGACGCCCTGGTCGCGTGGGCGTCGGGCGCCAAGGACGAGCTCATGGACGACGCGGGGCTGCCCGACGCCGAGAGGGAGGAGCGCGACCGCCTCGTCAAGCGGTGGGGGGCCCGGTGGCTGCGCAACGTCAGGAGGCGGGCGGCTATAGAGGAGTCTTTCCTGCTCGAGGCGGAGAAGGCCCCCAAGGCTTAGACTGTGGTGGATGGGTTGGGTTGCTTTACCAGGGAAAAAAGTCAGTCAGTCTGGCAGGATCATCGGGATTGCCGGGGAGAGTAGGTGGTGGAAAGCTCTTTCCCCGGATCAGAGTCAGGGCAGGTATCTGTGACTGAATTGTGTCGGCGTCGGCCACGCATATCCTCTCGTCCAATCATGCATACAATCTTAGCTTCCTCTCAAGTCGAAATATGGCTTCTCTAAGTCCTAGCTGGATTCATTTTCTTTCCACGTGCGAGGGTCATGGCTACGCAAAGCCCGGGAGACTGGAGATGGCGCTTTTGACAGGTAGCTCGGGGGAAAATAAAAAAAGACGTTCAAGACTGTACTTTCATTCAAGTTTACTGCGTAGGTGGCCTTCGGGTGGCTGTGTCGCTGGGAGGCTACTCACGGTGTCATACGAGCGTGGTTGGGGTTCGACCATGGAGATATATGCGAGATGTGTTTATTCATGGTCTGATTCGTGGTCCCTTTGATACATGCATATCAGCATCTCTACCTGCCCCACGGCTTCCTTACATCATCTACAAGTCCCTCAAGACCTCGCTTGCCATCAGGCCCCAAGAAACATCTCATTCTCTTGCTTCCGGACGTGCGAGCTGTACTGCTAGACGGAGAGCCCCCCGGGCCTATTTGACATCACTATGTTTCGTACGGCTTCTCCCCTGTCCCTCCCTTGTCTGTTAAGCAGTCGAGCTTTCGCCGTAGCCCAGCACCTGGTCCTGCACTGAGAGCCGCGTGAGTCAACTGCTCGATGACTGGAAGCTGCGCAAGAGTGGGGGACCGCAGGGCCAGGCGAATATTACAGAGCGTCGCACTACTTCCTGGAGGCCCAGGTCTGAGGAGGTGGTTGCCGCTTTGTCCCTACCGCTCTCTTCTGCCTGCACCTCCAGCGAGGAGAGTTCGGAGGGAGGTGGATACCACTGTCTTGAAATGGCGGGAAATGGCATTTATGAGGCCGAGGGGGCTGAGGTAGACCGTACTTGAGTCGAAAACCGCTCCAAGGCTGGGCCATGGGGCGCTGATATTGGCATCGGGAATCACAATGGCGCCCGCTGGCATGCAATTTCTGGTTGAGAGCAGTTAGATGGGGACCATGAGAATACTAAGAATTAGACAGGTATATACCTTAGCTAACAGGCGGCTGACTGGACATCACCGAGAAACCGAAACAGCCGCGGCTGCCATGTCCACTGCCATCACTGTTCACACTTGTCATCTCAACGCCGACCGAACCCAGGCGGCGCCTGCCCGGGCGGTGGACCGCCGAACCCAGCAGGCGGAGGCATGAACCCAGGTGGCGGTGGTGGGGTGCCATTGGGGGCCCCAAATCCAGCAGGAGGGGCCACGCCGAAGCCAGGAGGACCACCGGCGCCTGGGGGCGCGCCGGGGCGGCCGGGATGGAAATCGCTGGCCATACCACCGAATCCGACAGACGGCACCGGCGGCCGGGCAGGCAGGCCGGGCACCGCAGGGGGCAGGTTGCTCGCGCCGCGCCCGAATCCTGGCGGCACCATGGGAGGTTGATGAGGCAGCCCGGCGTGGCCTGGGTCGAACCTGGGCGGCATGCCGGGACCGCCTGGCGCGGCAGCCGCGACAGGGGGTACAGGGGGCGCGAAGCCGCCGGGCATTCCCATGGGTGGCATGCCGGGCGATGGCGTTGGGCCTGGCGGGGGTACGGCGGGCGCGTCGGCGCCGTACGGGGTGACTGGAGTGGGCGGGGCTGCGCCGTTTGCTGCCGTGCCTGGGGCGGAGGAGGCGGCGGACATGAGGAAGGCGGGCGGCAGGGGCTGCTGCTCCGGGACGACGTTGTGCTTCTTGCCCTCCGCGGCGAGCTTCCGCTCGGCCTCGTCGCCGTGGCGCTCGCCCTTGCCGTCCTTCTTGTAGGCGTACTCGACGGTGATCTGCTTGCTGAGGAGGTACTGGCCGCTCATGGTCTCCCTGGCGGCGTCGGAAGCCTCGAAGGAGTCATAGGAGACGAAGCCGTAGCCCTTGGACAGGTTGTTCTGGTCGCGGATGACGGTGGGCGGGGCGACGAGGGTGCCGAACTGCGAGAAGGTGTCGAAGAGGATCTTCTCGTCGACCTGCTGGTCGAGGTTGTTGACGAACAGCTCGGCGCCGATGTCGGTTGGCTTCTGCTTGTCGGCGCTGGCCTTGTTGACGCGGATGGGCTTCTGGTGCAGGCGGATGCCGTTGAGCACCTTGGACGCGTAGTCGGCGCTCTCGGGCGTGTCGAACTCGACGAAGCCGTAGCCCTGGTGCGTGCGCGACACGCGGTCCATGGGCATGTGCACGTTGTAGACGGGGCCCATCTGCGTCATCAGCTCCCACAGGTTGCCCTCGCTGACGCGCTCGTCAAGGTTGCCCACGTAGACGGTGGCGTCCTTGTTCTGCTCCCTGCGGTTGGTCCAGTGTGTCAGCGAGCTCTGGTGTTGCGGGTCAAGGGGGGGGGGGGGGAATGGAGTTTGAAGGGTGCTCACCAGTGCTTGGCCATGGCGACGACCTGTCTGTAGTTCAATGGAGCTTCTGCCCAGTCTGCTGGTTGCTGGTTGCTGGTGGGTGTTGAGAGCTCTCAGAACCAGCTGGCGATCTTTTGGCGGTTACCTTGGCTGGGATTATTTTACTGTGTACTAATTTCAACTTGGATAGTACCCAAAGAGGCTAGCCTAGGACATCCCCAGACACCCTTTCGAGGTACATAGCAACACGCTCAGGATTGATGTTCCCTTTAAATGGAGACTATGTTTAACTTTCCAATAGCTCGAATTTATAACAAGCCATAGCTTTTTGATCCCATAGCTTTTCTTTTAAGCGGGTTGCTTCACAAAAGTGAGTGCTATAGACAAGTATTCATATCAGGAAGACCATGTTAGAATACCTAGTAAATGCAGTGGGCCGCCCCTAGCTCCCAAAACTTGGAGCTCCCTGGTCCAAGCTTCCACTGGGGGAATCTCATGCAGGCTCACTCATTCTCGTCCTGAGAATTCCATCCCCAGAATCGACGTCAATCATCAAATCTCATCCACAGCCGCCATCAAACTCACCCTGCAACGTGAAACGGACGGATACCGAACTCAGTCTTTCAATATCTTCAAGTTTGAGCTCATTATTCCAACGATTACAAGATGTTCACCCTGTCTGAGGAGTCCAAGGTATGTTGCGGCTGGTGATGATGAGGCATCAAGAGTAGGCGCTGACCAGGTCACAACAGGAGCGCATCGGCAAGCTCATCGACGTTGCCCGAGTTGCCATCCACTAGTATGTCGCATCAAGCCCCCCTGGAACTGTAAAGGAAGTGACAGTGCTAACGACGAGGCAGCGGCTACCTGCCCATGGTCCTTTACCTTGGTATGATCAGTTGAGAAGCACTGGGAGAGTGAAGAAGGCAGACTCTAATTCTGAATCAGGCTACACCCGAAGCGAGCCTCGACCCTCTCTGCACCGGTATGACGAACTAGATCCCAAGCTGATGACATCTTGGCCGATTATCTGACATGTTCATAGTCTGCTGTCCCCGCTCTCTTAAGCATGAGGCGAGACGGAAGTTCGGCTGGGCAGAAGATTTGAAAGTGTATCATACCGAGACGGTAGCTGGGGTGAATCGGCGCTCAATGCGAAGCTCAAGCGCAAGGCCCATGGCTTCAGCTCGTGGTGGACAATCTGCATCGTCCCTAAGGCATGGGAAATGGAAGGCATTGCGCGAGGCGGACATGGTATGAACCAAAACGGATGACGGGATTCCAACGAAACACAGGAATCTCGTCACTCGTCTGTATATTATTCTGACGAATGGATCACGACTAGACCACTCCATTGGAAACAAGAAGATACCAAGAGTTCTGGCAGCGAAGCCAGGGCATGTTGATCGGTGTATCTGCCCGTTGCGGCTCCTTTGACGTGTTCGTCTCGATTGCGGTCAAACTGAAGGATGAGACTGCAAACACTGAAGTGACCAAGCACTAGACTGTACAAGTATTTTATTCGCCATCTGAGGCCAACGCGTCTGTGATTCGAGCTCTGTTTTGGAGCCTGAGTTGCGCCTGCCTTTCCGTCCCGTCCCATCCTCCCCGGCCAGCGGCTTATCGGTCAAAAATTTGTTGATAAGCAACCTGGAGCTCGATACGTCACTCATTCACCATAACACAGCAACTCCATATTCGGCGAGCTCTTGACTAAGACTCTCTCTCCATTCAATTCTCACTCACCCCCAGATCTGCGTCACTTCACCACAAATCTTGCCGTGAAAGTGTGCACACTCGCCTGCGGGATGTCGCCCTGTCGGATACCCTTGCCATAATGGAGAAAAAGGATGGAGGTGACCAGGGCAAGCCCCAGGCCCCAGTGCCTGGCGTCGACTCCGTCGCGGGCCTCTCAGCAGGCATCGTGTCGACCTTGATTGTCCACCCTCTGGATCTCATCAAGACGCGCCTGCAGGGTGAGTACTCCTAGGATATACACACAAGCACCAAGCCCAGAGCTGACCATGTCTCTCAGTCAGCCTTCAGACCACGACTGGCTCAACAAAGTCCCGGCCGCTCTCTACCATGGACGTCGTCCGGAGCTTCAAGAAGTCCAAGAACCCGATCGCCGCCGCCTACCGCGGCCTGCCTATCAACCTGGTCGCCAACTCGGCGGGGTGGGCCTGCTTCTTCCACTTCAAGGCCATCTTCGAGGACGCCATCGCCGCCCAGAATGCGTACGGGCTCACCTCGGGCGACAAGCTGAGCGGGATGGGCTACTTCGTGGCCTCGGGGCTCGCGGGCATAGCGACCTCGTGCATCACCAACCCGCTCTGGCTGCTGCGGACGCGCATCACGTCGACCGACCGGTCCGTCGCCGAGGCGTACCCCAACATGCGCGTGGGCGCCGCTCGCGTCTACCAGGGCGAGGGCTGGAGGGGGTTCTACAAGGGGCTCGGTACTAGCCTCATCGGCACGTCCCACGGCGCCATCCAGTTCGCCATGTACGAGCCGCTGCGGAACGCCTACTTCACCTGGAAGGGCAAGCAGGCGCGCGAGGCCGGCCTAGGCGAGAAGGCCGCGGTGGACGAGAAGATGTCCAACGAGGCCACGCTCACCATCGCCACCGCCTCCAAGGTTATCGCCTCGGTGGCGACCTTCCCGCACCAGGTCGTTAGGAACCGCCTGCAGAACCAGTACGGCGCGAACCGCTACGGCGCCGGCATCTCGGGCGTCGTCAGGAACATGTGGCACGAGGGCGGGTTCAAGGTCTTCTATAGGGGCATCGTGCCTGGTGTGCTTAGGACGCTGCCGGCCACCTGTGTGACGTTTATCGTCGTCGAGCACGTTCGTTTCCACCTGCCGAGATGGATCAAAGAGAACGATGACGATGGTCATGATGGTGGTGTTTCTGGGAAATAAATCTTCCCCCAAAAAGGAGCAATGAGGTTGAATAGCCACAACACAGCTCACAACACATCAGATTACGCGATGAGGCATTCTTGTGAAGCGCTGGATGGATTGCGCCTGGATACGGGAGCAAATACAGATCAGGACGGACTGGAAACTGAAGGGGGGATAAAATGATGATACCCAATAGATCTAGCGTACTAGACGGCACGGCTCAGGCATAGGCATAGGCTCAGGCTCAGGCATGAGGCAAACGCATCTCCTCTCACGCATTCGAGGGCGATTATAGAGCACAGAAACGATTGTATAAGCGATTCTCTTCTTGCAGAGAACTCCAAAGGTCCTGGCTCAGCTCCAAATCCCCCATCAAAAACTCATCTAACTTCGTGAACGCCCTGTATCAAGGACCAGAGAAAACGTGCGACACCGAAATGAGACCCTCTATTGTGCTATTCTGACACATGAAGCGGAGGCGCCGCGGCGCTCCAGATAACTCCCGAACACGTTTTTCTTCACAATACATTCTGAAAGGTAAATCCCCGTCAAGTCATTATGATGTATCCTTAGCAACCCCGGAAGAAGAATCGTAGGACTCCGTGATAACTCCCGCGATGGAACCCATCCATCAACCGTTACAGCCCAGGTCGTCCAAGTTGCTTCATCGGCCAGAGTGAAACAACGCAAGAAGGTGACACCTGCATCAGATTGGATACATGGCTTTCCCGGAATACTGGATTGGCCAGCTTCCCCCTCTCCAAAGTTTTCGTGATAAATGCCGACATTCAACGAAGGTCCCCCCCTCCCCAACAGTGGCATGTACGTTTGAGATTGGCGCCTGAATTGCCGTGAAGGTCGTCCACTGGGGAGGTAATGCTCTCAGGAGGTGTCCCGGCAGAAGGGGAGTCCTCAGGAGTCCAGCACCACAGTATAGACCACCCAATCCCATATGTCATCGTCGTGGTACCCGCATGGGGGGGACTACACCTGATTCACCCGATTCCACCTTACTCTTCCCGGTGTCTTCCGTTCTCAGATGTTCATCGCCAAATGTTATTGCTCTCCTCAGTCAGGCCTCTTCCCATTCCCCTTTATTTGCCCCTCATTAGGATAAAAAGTCTCCGTCTGCGGTCTCTTACAGCGATCATCTTCACGAATACCTCAAGCTCCACAGACTCTTATAATAGACATAGAAAGAAAAGCCCAAAATGAGCCTCTGGACACAACTGTCCTCCGCTGCAACTTCGCTTTCCAGCCTCATCAAACTCTGGCCACAGCCATAAGGCACGAGCAACTTGGCTGCTGCCGTTATCACTCGGGTTCTTTCCTACCCAGAGCATGACCGCTGTCCCTCCCTCAGCAGCGCCCTCATCTGCGGCGGCAGAGGCGGCATAGGCGGCGGGTCCGTCGGCGGGCCCCCGATGGTACCCTGGCCCCTCCGCATGGACGACACCGACCCGGTCCTATTTCGCATCTGCTTCTGCATCAGGAGTTGCTGCTGTTGGTATTGGTTGCGCCCCCGCTCGCCGCCGCTCGTGCTGGGCCGGCTGCTGGAAATGGGAATGGACTGCCACTGCAGCGGAGGCGGGTGCAGGCCCGACATGCCCCTCCCCGGCACCTCGAGGAACTTGGGGCTGCCCGTGGGTGTCACGCCCGCCTCGGCCCACCGCGACGCTGTGTGGTAGTTTCGAGCAATGTCGCCCAGCGCGGAGTGTGCGGCGACCCTGCCGGCACCCTGGCGCGTGCCGCGCGATGGTGGTGTGCCGTAGTAGTGCCGCCGCTGGGACTGTGCCACGCCGGAGCTGGTGCTTGGCCGCTGCTGTTGTGGGGGTGGTGAGAAATTGTTTAGTCTCTCGAGACGCTCTTGCTCGTATTTCTGTCTGGCGGTGTGTTCGACTGCGGATGGGAGCCAAGATCTTGCTTGTGCCTCAGGACCCGGCCCCGAGTCCGGGTCGGCAGGGACACGGATTGCCTTTGGACTGGTACAGGTGGTGTCAGATTCATCCGGTACAGACACAGCGATACCAACTCCCATTGGATTCCCATCTATGAGCGGCTGTGTTTCAACCTCGCCACTGGAAGTTTCCTTGCGACTGATTTGGTTGCTGCGTGGCTCTTGCGTGCCGCTCTGCATGACGCCTTGGTCTGTCATCACGGTTTCCTGGATTGCAGGTGGCGCTTGTGCTGGGACCATGTTCTCGTTCTTGAGTGCAGGTGGCATGGCCGACAGTCTCGGGTCAGGAATCCAATCCTTGCCGAATTCATCAATTGGCTTTTCAAAGCGCTCCAATTCTACCAACGGCTGGAAGTCTCCGATGTTATATGGCGTCTCATCGATCGATACCCTCATGCGATGTTTCTGACCAGGAACCTTCATATGGCTGACGCTCTTTCTTGGCTTATGCTTGACGGGCGTGATCTGCGGCGCTTCTTCCATTATTCTCTTGCGCTGGGTCTCCCTCCGTGCTTTCACCATGTACCAGCTTCGCCAGCCATGAACACGTGCAGTGAACTTGTTTGCGATATTCGGATCATCAGTGCAGAAGAAGTGGACGAAGCTGGCAGAATCAGTAGACAAAGTGAACTTTTGCTGCAGTTTCAAAGCGTAGACGAATTTCTTGGGTGGCTTGAGGTTCTTCGTTACGGAACTAGCACTTTTTGTTCCACCTTGGCCCGCGGCCGATGTGGACTTGCTCATGAGCGTGTAGATGTCGTATTCGGTCAAGTGGCACAAAAACTGGGTGGACTTGTCACCATTTGCCTCTGCTTTCTTGGAGCAAAACATCTGCCCGTTATCAAGCAGCGTGATCCATCTTTTGCTCCACTTGCCAGGCCGCGAAGAGTGGTAAAGCTGTAGGACAAAGCCTTGTGGTGGTGCAATGGTTGTGGGTACTGATGAGATATCGAGGTCCTTGTCGTCATCAGAAGAGCTGGAGGGAATGATGAGCAACAAGTTCTGGGCGTCGTGGTCCCATGAATCCAGTACGTCGCGGATACGCTCATATCGCCGGAGGCGCCGTTCCAGGCCAAGCTGTGTGTAGCATTCATATACGAGACTAGCAGCTGTGTTGATATGCTGAGTGATAGATTCGGACGCTTGAAACAATATGTCCACCGGACTGCTTTCCTGTACAACGACGAGGTTTACAGTTACACCTCGGCAGCGGACAGTGACGCGCTGATGCTTCGTCAGCTCATGAAGTGCCATTTTACCGTAAAATACACTTACCCTCTCGTGAAAATGGTGTGCAGACATTGGGGACAGAGGAGGCGTCATCAGCTGGCCCTGGCCACCTTGCTCAAGAAACGCCCTAGGGGGAAGAGATGGATCCAAGCTGTGAGTGCGACTGATGTCCACTGAGGCGGTCGTTGATGATGTTGGCGAGAGAGTGGCAGCTTTCGAGTTTCTGGCCCTGTTGAAGAAATTGAATTTCTCCAACACAGGGCTTTTGGGCTTGAAGGCAGATGGGGAGAGCAACACCGGCGACTGCGTCGCTACCAGCTGTTGGTGAAGCCTTACGAGGTCCAATTTCTTCTGCTCAGCCAAAATTCGATCCGTCTCATCCTCAAGCTTGTCGGCCAATTTGTCAGATTCCTCTTTGCTCAGTATCCGCCTTTCCTGTGCCATCCATTTGTCGTCTTCTCGCTTCCATCGCTCCCTTTCCGAGTCGTAGCCCTCACAAACGGCCACGTCGGCTGTGATTGCGGTAGCCATGGATGGAGGGTCAGGCATAGGCGGAGAGGGAGCTGCTCTTGGCGAAAGCAATCTGTCAGGCTCCTCACATTGCACCTCTGTCCCGGAATCTGGAACTGTAATATTTTCCGGTTTCGTCGGCCGCGAAATGATGCTCTGCTGGTATTGTGAAAGAGGCAACGGTGGCACAGGCGGAACTGAGTAATGAGGTGTGAAAGGACGAACATCGGAGGTGTTAATCTGGCCCAGGGATTTGGAGCGTCTCTTGAAAGTTGACTTCAAGGGAGGGCTCGATTGCTCCGGTCGATCAAGCCTGTCATGGCCAAGCGCATTGTCGATGGCTGCTCGTGACTCGGAGACACTCTTGCCTCGCAAACTGCGGTACCGAGAAACATTTTGGGTCGTTGCGGACATCGTAAGGGCAGTCATCCCGATGGCTGTCACCATAGGCCCGGTGATAATAATATGGGGTAATTTCCAGCTTCCAGGCGTGGGTGGCTAGTGGTCGATCGTTTCCTCGGCTGGGCTTAGCCAACCAATATAACCTCAATCCCGTTGCAACCTCTTCTCTAACCAGCTCTTGCTCCGTGGTAAGCCTCGCCCGTATGTTGACTTTGGTGAAGATTTTAGCATTGAAAACAATTTGGTTGCAAAAGGTGATGGAGCTTCGAGAGCAACAAGTTCGGGAAAATGTCGAGGTTCGAGGGTGGCTAAGTGGGCGAAAATCCCCCCTTCGCGCTCACAGCATTCCTGCGCGGGTGCGATCATTGTGAACACCCGCGGTCGTGTTGGTATGCAACAGTACCAAAGTAGTAAGCACACAGCAATCTCCACCAGTGCAAGCGGCATTTTGCCGCAGCCGTCGCACAATTGCCACTGCTGGGCTTTAATGACCGTTGGAGGCATTCTCTCAAGGTCTCTGAGACCGCGTAATTTGGAGAAGCAAAAATGCCATTGGGCCGCGATCTGTCAGGGCGTGGTTTGTAATATCGGTGGCTTTTATGTGAGGCTTGAGTCTAGTGCACCGAATTCTGGCTACTGAACATATTCATATGTTGTTCTCTTCCCCATTGACGTGTAAGTTCACGCCAGAAGTCGGGGGTCGCGTCGAACTCTGCCAGATTTGAGGGCTCTTGTTCAAGTGTTTTGAGAGGAGTGGATTCCGGAGACCGTATGGCTACAACTTGCTTGAACCACGAAGTGATTTTTCTTTCAGATGTATTGGAAGTGGTGATGGGGTCTCATAAGACTCTCGTTCCACGTGAGGAGAGGAGGTAGAACGGTCTTTAGATGGCCTAGCGGATACGCACACAGGTGACCATTGTCTGAATGTGTTGTACCACTGAGGTCGAAGGCTGAACCCAGTGTCACGACTCAAGCCTTCTCTGCTCTCTCACTCGTCACATACGGCTGCCATTGTCCTGTCGCGCCCGCGGGGACGCTAGAGGTCGTCTTCGCCCTATCATCTTCTGAAGGCCCGGACTTCGCGTCTCCACCAGCCAGTGAAGTCCTGCGTTGAAACGTCGATCCCGATGTCCTTCAAAGCCCGCGTACTCAAGTGACAGTCAAACGGTCTCTGTACACTTGCATTGGGGTCATTGCCCTGAGTGTTTGGCTCAATGCCGTCAATGTTCAGGCCCATTATTTCGCCGAATAGCTCACAGATTTCGTACTTTGTGAACTTGTCCTCGCTCGAAAATTGCAGGATTTTGGGCAGGCCGACTCGTTCACTCTCGCCAGCGACAAGATATTTGGCAGCAATATCTTTGCATTGTTAGCTCGTGAACCCGACATTGTATCGAGGGCGAGGATCTCACCATGGCAGACCCTTCCCACATCTTCAGTGTTGGTTGGGTACCGCAGTGCCCAATGCTCCATCTGGACCTTCTCTCCTTTCTGTACCCTCCACACAACATCCATTAGGACGTTGACCGCACTCTCGTTCGGCATTTCAGCATTGCCGTATAAGACGGGTACTCTCAGTACTACACCCAGGCCATCCTTGCCGGCGGCCTTGAATTCTTGCAAGACCGCGTGCTCACCATCAAGTTTGGTTTGCCCATACAAATTGGTAGGGCCCGTGGCCGCATCTGCCTCGTAGGGAGCATCACCAGGCTTGCCGGAGAAAACATCTACCCAGCCTTCTGGTTAGTTCAAACTGCGAAACAAGTGTGCCTTGGAGTCTTGTCTCGCGGGTCTCGAGACAAGGACTCAAGAGCGCTCCAGCCCCTGAGACATGTCTTGACAGTCGAGCGAGGACCCGATTGGGGGGGGGGGGGTTGCGTACAGTCTGTGGATATGTAAATCAAGAAAATGTCACGTTCTGCACAAAGTTTGGCGAGATCACGAGTGGCCTCCACGTTGAGCTTGCGAGTGCCTTCGGGGTCCTTGTCGACTTTGTCCGGGAAGCGATTCGCGGCGCCTAGATGTGAGGAGTGTGTGAGCGTGCTGAAGGATGACGCGGACAATGCTCCGGTCAAAGCGACGATCACATACAGTGTACGACGACCTGGGGTCTACGTAGGCCACGTCAGTCAACTAGGCGCTGAGCGGGAAATTGGAGAGTGATGGTGTACCGGGAGTGATCTAGGGCTTTCTCTACTTCCTGAGCAGAGGCCAAATCGACTTTGAGGATTGTCGCGCCGTCTGCTCTGGAGAAACCCGTGCCTTTGGCCGTCCAGTCCTTTCTGGCGAAAACCCTTGAGACCTGGCGTCCCAAGAGACCGGTGGCCCCTGTGATCAGCGCGGTTTTCTCAGACATGTTGTTCTGTCTCGTGCAGTATCCTCTCTCACGAGCTTTGAGGTATGGGTTTGATGTTTTGTCGAAGACGGAAAGAAATAGGCGGGGCTGTGATGTCGTTCCTGCAGTATTAGAAACAACGGGTCCTTTTCCCACTTCCTTCCTCAACAACTCGCCAGCCACACATGCACAAGAACAGGGTTGCACAACACATCAAAAACGCGCGTCAACAAATGCTCATACAGCCTCAATTCGAGTCTCATCTAGCAGGTTTCTACCTTACTGGTTCACAACAAGAAGAAACTCAGGCTGTTCGAGCTCCTTAGGCAGGTACTTCCTTGCTTGAGCACCAGCTTGGTGAGGGTTAGGGCTGGGCTAAGCAGCAGGCGGATGGCTTCCGCAGCAAAGGCGTTCCAGAGGCTAAATTGTCTAATTAAGTCCTCGATGTCACGATAACGCCGTGTTATTCATCTGGATGCTTTTGAACTTGGACTCAGGGCGTCCCCACCACTCACATCTCCGGGCGGCACCAGATGTAGGCTTGAATGTATACTCATCTCTCTCCACGCCTGACGCGGTCGTATCGGAGTCTGTTGCGCGGTGTTGAAACACAAAATCACGTGGACAATGGCTATTTCGAAGTGCCATAACGCGCGAAAAGTAGTCATTTCGTTCCTCCCATCCATACCATTGGTAGAGGTGGCAATCATTTGAGAGAGACATAACACAGTTCTCACAGGCAGATATTCTGTAGACCACAAATTCCCGCCAAAAGGGGGCTCGTACTTGGACTGACCACCACTTCCTTGCCGACGCAGTAGGGCGTTGGGAAGTCACAAAGGTCCTGATAATAGCTCATGAGATGCGATGCTGAATGGATTTCCGAGTATCATTCAGAGGTTCTCTTGGCGGTTGTTTTCTGTAATGGAGCCTTGGGCTTGGAGAGTCGATACGATACGTATCTCTTGTTGATATTACAGCAAATAGTATGAAGGGAACGGATTGAGCTTTGGTTAGGCTATAGGGCTCTAACAGTAGCAAGTGGTCCCTGAATTCTATTCAGTCCGGTTGTGAAAAAGACGACAACCTCGCTCTAGAACGTTGCTGTATGGAGAATAAATTGATACTGACCTCCTTCCCACATGTTGATGCAGGGGTTGAGAATCTCGGGCACCATTCCTGATCAGGGGCCGCTGGGTGGGGAAGGCAGACCCCTGGAGCTCCAATGACATCCCTAACCCCTGTCTGTCGCAGCCCACCAAGAGCAGCTTGCAAGCTGCCAGCTCCCAACTAGTCCTGTCTACTACTGCTGTAGCCCACCTACCTACCTTGAACTGCGTGTGTGTGCGTGTGCCTTGTGGCTCACAATCACAACTACAACCGCAACTTGACACCCCTAATAACCTCACCCTCGAACCAACCCCTCCTCCCCGTACCCGAGGCTATTCGCCATTTTGTGTCCTAACCTGCCACCTCCCCTCCTTTTAGGATCCTGAGTCTTGCGACCTGCCTCTCTCTGTCTTTTCTCACTCTCTCCTGTGCCTCTGTGGCTGGGCTTTCGGCGCTTCGATCGCGTGTTCCTGTTCTGCGCTCCGCGCTCCTCGCCCTTGACCTCCCTCCTCATCCTCACCGCCGACGAGACAAGCTCGAGCCATTCCTTCCATCTTCCCTTCGTACCTGCCTCCGGGCTCCTCGACAGCTGGTGGTCAAGTCTCGGATACTGTGCTCGGCGATTAGACGCATTGCCCCGGCTAGACATTTGTGGCAGCAACGAGCTGCCAAGAAGGCTCGTCCCACCTCGAGGCACACGACCGTCCTCGTTGCGCGCCGTCAGGGCCCGTGTGTCGTCGCCGCTGGCCATTGTCACCAACACACTGCTCTACTGCCAATTGGTGACCACCGTACCAAACACTGCCACGACGTGCTGCAGACATGTCGTCTCTCAAAAGCGATGACTTCTTCATCTCCGGACTCGCCGCGTCGCACGACACCTCCCAGCTGAAGGGCAACATCGTCGCTGTTGATGCAACCTACTACCTACGCCTCCTTCTCGAACGCTCACATGAACCTCTGATTCCGGCTGTGGGAGGCCCGTTGGCCCTCGAGGATTGCATCGAGGTCGACCTGGACAAGTGGAAGGCCAACGAATGTGATCCCTTGTTCATCTTTGACGGATGTCCTGTGAAGGGTCAGGATGAGCTCTCGCTCGACCTCGGCCGGACCGCGAACAATGGCACCAATGCCGCGTGGGAGCTCTACAATAATGCTCAGGCTCAGCCTGCTGTGGAGACCTTTGGGCTGCATTCTGGTAAGGCAACCAACTGTTTACTGTTGTGTCAGGGCAGTATCTGATTCCTGTGTAGGAGCGTATCGTCTGGAGTCGTTCTATCCGACTCTCCAGGGCATATTGCGGAGGCGCGGTCTCCATTTCCTGGTACCGCCTTTCAAGGCTGTTGCGCAGGTAAACGCCTCCTAGACGACACTCATTCCGCAGCCTACGCTAACTATACATAGATTGCCTATTTCTCCAAGGTAGAGCAAATGTGTGGTGCAATCATGGGTCCCCGAGAGTTGCTCCTCTATCCCATTTCCGACGTCCTTATTCAAGCAATCGACTGGGACAGCAACAAGTTTTTGGCCGTGGACAAAGACACCCTGAAGCGCCACCTTAACATTGACGATTCAATCCTTGTCGACGCCCTTCTCATAACGGGGACTTCATTTCTGCCACCTTTCCCAGCCAAGACTCAACAGCAAGCTCCAAACACCGTCAGAGACGCAGTGAACATGCTAAGAACCAATGGCAAGCACGTGAAGCAGGTGTGCCAAGCTTTTGATGACATACTCAAGAGCCAACAGCCTGACTGGTTCGACAAATACTGCAAGGCGCGAATGATCGTTGACCACTTCATTTACATAGGGTTGAATGGGGCTGTGGAAGTCGAGGCCAAGGACACCTTGACAGAGGACTCCCATGAATACCTGGCCCTGCGTCTGCCTGAAGAGCTTCACCACTACCTCAGCACTGGCCTCGTCGGGCCTCGCTTACTCAGCTATATCACGCATAGCAAAATCACCATTATGCCAACCCTAGACGGTGTCGCGTCTAGCGAGTACCGACAGCTCGTCACTCAGACTTTGGTACCGCTGAGAGAGCAGGCACTCGGGCTTGTGGTACCAAGACTCAATCGCGGATTCCACTTCAAAGACATCGAAGTCAAGGATTGGTTTTCCGACCAGTCACGATCGACCATAATACGGAACGCCAACTTTCGCACCCCGAACCCAAAGGTCGATACTTGGAATATCGAAGAGAGTGCAATCAAGGCGGATTTCACGGCGTGGAGTCTCTCAGCTACGGCCTCAAAGGACCGAGCGGGACTTATCAACTTCGAAATCTCTGCCCTGAAGGAGCCTGGGTTTGCTAAGAAGACGATCGGAAAGCCAGGTAGCAAGCCTAAGGGAATAAACTCCCCACAACACATCATATCCACGGTCATATGGCGATTCTTGCACCTGCGGGAGTACGTCGACGATTCGCACGAGCTCACATCTTGGGGCAAGGCTTTGGCCACGGCTCTTTCCGAGCTTGAAACGACGGTCAAGAAATACCCGAAGGTCACTGGGCTGCAAGAGGCTGTCCTTCTGGCATTTGAACTCATCAGACTCGGTCAGCTCAATGCCAAGCCGCGTCAAGACGAGGGCGAAGTTGACGCGTCTCTGCTTCTTCTCAGTCGCTCCGCTGTACTTTTAAAACTCAGGCACGAAGCTATCGGCTACACAGGACCTCTTCGCAAAGACATGCTCTCATTTGCCTCGCAGGTGTCAGCTGTCCGCGAGGCGGACCGGGACCTGGTGGAGGCTATTCTAGTACAGATGTTTTTGAACAACCAGACCGAGAGAATGCGAGAGCCTAATGAATACTGGGACATCGGCGATGCGTAAGTACAATCTCGGTCCCTCGACCACAGACTCGATAAACGTGAGCCTTACTGATCCGATGACTTGCAGGCTTCCATTCGTCAACAGAAACTATAACGCCGCGATGGGCGTCGCCATCAGGACTTACCTCGAGATGGATTCTGACGAGCACCGCGATCTCGACAGGTTCGCGAGTCTCTACTTCCCGAAGGCCGTTTCTATCCGAGAAGACGTCGAAGTCTTCTGCGGGTTTTTCAAGGCGCTGGTCACGGGCATCAAGACCTTGGAGCAGCAGGTTACGAAGGACGTCTGGGTCAAGGCTCAGGAGTATCTCGAGTCTCGGACACAATAGACTAGTGAACCACTGGCTGCCATTGGCTGCCCAGTAGTGAGAAACCTGGTGATATGCATACCAGAGATGTGTGTTTAACAGGTTGCTACTATTGAAAAGGTTTCCTCGAGTACCAGTATGCGTACCATTATCGACGGCTGAGAAGTCAGAGCGGGGGATGAGAAGACGAATAGGGCATGTACATGTTGGTGTGACTTGCCGGAATCAAACGGTACCTCGCAGCGACATCGAACCTGGCCCCTGAGATAGGTGAAAAGTGGTGCAGGATATATCTTGAGTGCTGTCCAGCCGTGGACATGGATTAAGCCGACAGGGTGAGAAGCCTAGCTGATGTATATTCCACCCAGTAGCCGGTGGCTGGCTCTATACCATAAGACGAAGGGCAAGTGAAAAGGTGTCGTCCTATAATCTACCAGAGGGCCTGGGTCCGACTAGGGTAGGATCCAAGAGAGAAAAAGGATTAAAAAATATATCAAGAGCCAAAAAAGTAATTCTTAAATTGCTGTGCGTGTCATCCCGAATGCACACGGCTGCTGGGGAATTGACCCTGTCGACTGATAGGGCAGCTCGCACGGAAGTTGCGCACCGCACCCCTTCGCTTGCCACTGGTCATGCTCAAGCAGCAGCAGGTACTCAGTGACTTGAGTTTCGAGCAAGGCGCCGATGCAATTGAGGTAGATATTAGAAACCTTCAACTCGGGTGAGATCACGAAGCAATCCATCCACACACGGCCAGCGTTCTGTCTAGCTTGTTGCACGACACATGCAACCCGGTGCTATTTATATGAGGCTATGACGTGGATTGAAGGTTGTCACGCAGCGCGATCTCCAAGTTCAGTGAGGACATTCTCTGACACGGGGAAGGACCTCCAGAGTCGAAAGTGTGAAGGCCGAAATGAGGGCGCCTGAGGGAAGCATCCTTTCTCTATCACGACACAACACGCTGCAACATGTGCTCGAGAACCTGACGGAGTGGCACATTGACAGGCGCGTAGCAATCAGCATGTTCAGGTAGATCAAAGGAACACTCTGAAGCGCATTCCGCTATCATTGTTGCTTGCCTCGCAAGGCTTCAGCCATACCACTTCAGCTGACCAGCCGAGGAACCACTTCACTCATGCGGTTTCCACCCTCACCAAAAAGCTAAACGCCGATAATAATCGTACTGGGTATCACAGAAGCTACAACAGAATACAGACACCGGCCGCGCAGGTTCCTTCAACTCTTATGGCGGTGCCCTCGCACTTGCAACAGTTCTCGCAAATATCGTCAAACTCTCATCACCGTCGCACTAGACGATCAGCTTTCTTTTGATGGGCTGTGGGGCAGAAATCCCATCAACATGTCTCTGCTCCTTCTTGTTTGCCTCTTCCCCCTTTTTGCGTATTTTTTCGAGGAGATGACTGTGGGCAGAAATGTCAGTAAGTGGTTGTAATCCGGTGGATGCTGAGACTTAGATAAGAAAAACACTGCACAAGTTGAGCTCGCAACAGAAAAAAAGACAGAATTTCCGCGGACAAGCAGAGTTTCTGCATTCAGCTGCGTAGCTTTGAGTTGTATCACAGTGATTTACCGTGCTTTAATGATAGGACAGGGAAAGAGAGGGGGGGGGGACCAAGCGTACTTGATAGGCATGTGACCACGAGTTCCCTCTGAGAGTGCGAGGTTCATCTTCTCGACTTGAGCCATGTGGTACTGGAAGTGCTTCGCAATAAGATCCTTGCCCTCCGGTTCCTCGGCCGAGCGGACGATGTAATTGCAGCCATCCTCCTCACACCTCCAGGTTCCATTAGGGCCGCTGGGTGACATGCTAGGTATTTTCTCGTGGCGGACAACGAGACGAGCTATCTCCATAGGAGGAGCCGGTGTTGGTGTAGCGAGCGCTGCATCTGAACCCATTGCAACATCGGCAGCTTCACCGGTGTCATCAGCGTCCGAGTCCAAGTCTGAGTCCGAGTCCGAGTCTGAGTCCTCCTCATTTTCCTCTTCTAGGTCCTGTGATGTCCGTGCCGCTTTACGGGCTCTTTCATCGTCGTCGTCGCTATGGTAAGTTGCAGGTCTTTTAGCACCAGTCCCGGGTCTTAAAACTGCGGGCCGGGGCGTCGGTGGCCATCGCTTGCCAGCTCCTCGAGGAACAATCTCGGGTTCCTTGGCCTCCTTGCCCTTTGAAACGGACTTGTCCTTTCGTTTGCGTCTTTTACACTGGTCTGGAATTTGGTCCTTAGTGAGGAGCTTGGGCTCCCAGGGCTGGTCGACAACACTTGTCAGCCAACCCCAGAAAGGACTTGAGTTCCATTTCTGTGGCAACTGCTCGAGAAGGGGCCTAGAATAAAAGTGTGTAATTTCCCTTGCTGCGCTGTACTGCTTGATGGTGCACCTCATATACATGTCGGTGTGAAGTTTGCCATCCCGGATGGTCTGCGGATCACCCCCATGTGCCTCTAAGATCTCTTCCAGTATCTCCAGAAGGAACTTGACAGGGTCCTGAGGTTGGGTCGGAGCAGGCGAGCTTTGATCCCCAGGGGTTGGGCCAGAGGGCACCGATGACTGAGCAGACCGCCAGGAAGGTATAACAGGTGGAGGAATATAGGTTTCGGACCGACGCGGTGGAGCTGGTTGAACATCCTCCATCCCTATGTCCTCTTCTGCGCTTTGTCTGCTCGCGCGAGACTTGCTTCTCCTAGTCCGGTCAGTCACCACAGACTGGCGCTGCGGCGAATCATGTGCGCTATCGTTTGACTCCTCTTTCAAATCTGCGGGATCGGCTGCTGGCGGCTCTGCGGGCGCAGGCGCAGGCGCAGCAGGACCTTTTTTCTTAGCTTCGTCCAGCTTCTGAACAAGGCTCTAGAAACATGAGTTAGTATACCATTCCGACGAGTTGCCCTTCCAAGATATGGTCATACCTCATTCTCTTCCGTCAACCACTTCCGGAAGGTTGTCGTCTTCCATTTGAAATCGTTCTCTTGGTCGAAATGAGCCAGAAGGAAGGGTGCGTGCTTTTGACATCGACTTTCAACTTCGTCATGAGTGGCGCCGTCTCCGATTGCGACCGAGTACTTTTGTGCAATCAGCTTTTGAAAAGGGAAGGGGGCTGGGAAGAAATGGTCCTGCCTACCTTAAAGAGCACCTTTTCGATCGGCGTCTGTAACGCTTTGTATCTTTTGGCCTTGACAAAGTTCCGTTCCAGAGAATCATATGCGTCTATGATTTTGTAGTAGAGCGTGATGCCCTCACACATGTGTTCGTACATTTCTTTGTACATCCGCGCTGGATTGATCTCATACCAACCAGCCTTTCCCGACGCCCAGACCGCAGGCCACGGGCCATATCCAATAGAATAGCCCTCGCACACAGGAATTTCGATGTAGGCAGTATTTTGGGAAGGATTGCGCACTGAGAGAACAATTTGTCAGCAAGGAGCACCTTGGTGGTGACGATACAACCACGAGTGGAAAGGAGCAATTTACAAAGAAGCCTGTGCTCGTCCTCGACCTCGACCTTCCCACGGACGATGCAGGGACCCTCCAGATTAACGTTGCAAACGTTGGCAACGGTCATCTTGCTACCGGGACCTCTGCGAAATATGACGGCATCGTCTAAGACGAAAGTGGGCCAGTCGTTGATTGACGGGGCCGCCTTCAAAAAAGACGACTCAGGAATGTATTTGATTTTGCCTAGTTTGACGGATTCGACGGTCGAGTCGGAACCTCTTCGCGGACGACCAGGAGGGCGGCCAGGACCGCGATGACGCCCAGAGCCTCGCGAATTCCCAGTTGAGCTTCCAGTCTGCCTTGCGCCCACCCTTCCTGGTGGCCTTCCTCGAGGTCTTGCTGGTCTGCCCCCAGCCATGGCGAGATATGAGCCGGGGGAATGGTTGGTGTCTTCAAGGTGGCGATGACAGAAGTGACAACTACTTATCGACGAGGGTCATAGGCCACCTGAGTCGCATGTGCCCCAAGATTCCAAGCATAAGTTATGAAAGAGGTCTTGAGAGGTGAGCAGGGTGGAAAGGTCAAGAAGAGGGGATGTCAGTCGAGGCCTTGAAGGTGTTGGAGTGGGTGGAAACGCGACTGCAGGTGCTCTTGCGCCGGCACCAACGCGACTGAAGTGTGGAGGCGTAGAGTGATCGGCGGGTATCCAGTACCCTGCAGTAAGCTCCAAATTGGCCCTACGCTACGTCACTTGTACTTGCTTTCAGGGTCGGCAGGGATGACATCCCTGCCCACGGGTGCTAATCGATATCGATAAGCGCTTCCTACTCAATCGAGCTGCAGTCGCAGAAAATCGCCGAAGGGCAAAAAATAACCGACCCGGCTGTTGCTCTTCCCACGTTCTATTGTTGTCCTGCAGTAGAATGGCCCAGTCTGCAGCCACTTGACGAGAGCCACCCCCAATCCTACCAATAGGCTACCAGTGTGCTCATTTAAATGCGTTGATCTCGCCTTTAGAGCTCAGGCGCCTGTCCTTTAGTTTTCTGGCCCACACTGCATTTCTGTCTGTCACATCGACGTAGCCCTACAAGCTCAAGCCCAGCTTTATGCGAGCTCTGCGGCCGTTCAAGATGGCGGCAGAACATGCGCTCGATGGCATCTTTGGTATGTTGCAGCCACTAATTGAATCAAGTGGTGACATTGAGCTGCTCCTGACTATCTTCTCCAGCCATCAACAAGCCGTACGGCATGAGCTCCGCCCAGGTCATCCGCGACTGCAAGACATACTTCAACCCCTCCAATGTGTTCAAGTCAATGCTCGAGCAAGAAAAGGCCGCCCGCCAGAAGGAATCAAACTTCCAGCAGAACCGCCGCCGCAAGGTCAAGCGGGCCATTGAGGTGAAAATGGGACACGGCGGTACTTTGGACCCTATGGCCACCGGCGTCCTCATCCTGGGCGTTGGCAAAGGCACCAAGTCCCTCTCCAACTTTCTTGGCTGCACAAAGACCTACGAGACAGTTGTCGTTTTCGGTGCCTCGTCCGACTCCTACGATCGATGCGGCCACCTGCTTAAGAAGCGACCATACGACCACATTACCAAAGAGAAGGTCTTGGAGGCACTGGAAAACTTCCGAGGAACCTATCAGCAGATGCCACCCCTCTTCTCCGCACTCAAAATGGAGGGCAAACCACTATACGAGTATGCGCGCGAGGGAAAGCCTATCCCGCGGGAGATACAGACGAGAGAGGTCACTGTCACGGAGTTGGAGTTGCTGGAGTACTACGAGCCTGGAACACACACCCACTACTGGCCAACGGCCGAGGCCACCGCGGCGGAGAAGCAATATGCAGAGCAACTGTGGCGCGTAGAGAGGGACCAGGCAGCGGGCAAGACGATGACGCCCGAACAGGAGGAGGCCGACACTCAAGCGCTGGCGGAACACGAGGACCTGAAGCGCAAGTTTGAAGAGAGGCAGGATGACCTGGTCAAAGAGCGGCAGTCCAAGAAACAAAAGAAGGCCAGTACCCAACCTCAGACCCCAACCGCCGCGGCCAGCGCAGCCGAGCCAACATCACCAGTCATGTCCGGCGCGCTGGGGGAGCTCCCACCCAAGGGCAGGGGATCCGACCTGGTTCCACCCGTTCAGGAAGGTACAGCCCCTCCGTGGGAAGACAAAGGACCTCCGGCCGTCAAGGTACGCATGACAGCCACGTCGGGCTTCTACGTGCGGTCGCTGGCCCACGACCTGGGCGAGAAGCTGGACTCGGCTGGGTTGATGACGGAGCTGGTGCGCAACAGGCAAGGCGACTTCGTGCTCGGGGGGGCCAACTGCCTGGAGTACGAGGACCTCGCCAAGGGGGAGGATGTCTGGGGCCCTCAGGTTGCGGGCATGCTGAGCCGGTGGAATCAGCCTGGGGGTATCAATGGTGGCGAGAGCGCGGCACAGGAGAAGGTCAAGGTGGAAGAGAAGCTGGCAGAGGGCCCCAGCCCTCAGCGCGAGGGCACACCCCAGCAGGCAGGAAGCCCAAAGAAAACTGATACCCCAAAACGACGGTCAGCCAGCCCGAAACGAGAGAGGAGCAGCAGTCCGAGAAAAAGCTGAGAGGGTGTAGACAACCGCAGGTCTTGTTCTCGGGCAGTGAGAGCAGTGGGCGGTCCCTAACGGTTGATCACCCGCAGTCTGGCAGAAGCATACCATGTCTTGTCACTAACATTACCGTTGGGTGTTCAATGGTTCTTTGCACCATGATTTACGGTCGATATTGTGGTGAATCGTTGAATACCAGAAGGGCAGACGTGTCACCAAGCCATTGTCTCACAACTAAGAACCAGTGTATCAAACCAACCCATCATCTCTGAATTTGAAAATTAATTATGTGATGAAGCGATCATCTGTCAGAATTTCTGCGTGGCATCGCCGCATTATTACCAATCTAGCCGTATCCGTGACCATTCCACCCACATCAGGGCTTATACCAATCTCTCCCTGATTCCTGCTTTAATTCAATGCAAACGTCATGCCAGTCGTGGTATCATAGCGACAGAACAAAGAAGAAAGAAAATCACACCCTCCCAAATAAATAAAAACCTCCGACCTAGAGGGGGTCCTCAAGCACTAACCCTCTTCTCGGCCTCGCTCCTGGTCCCATCGAGCAGCGCGCGCGCCCTCTCGATCCGTCCCATGGCCTGCTCGAGCCGCTCGAGGCGCCTCTTCTTCTCGCCCTCGCGGCGCTCCAGCTCGCCGACGCGCTCCTCGAGGCGCGCGCGCGCCCGCCGCTCCGTCGCCACCATCTCGTTGGCCTGCTCGAACAGCGTCACGCTCAGGTCCTCGATCTCCTTGCTCGAGTCGTTGAGCTTGCCCTCCGCCGCCAGCCGCAGCTGCTGCTCGCGCGTCAGCGCCTCGAGGAGGTCGTCGCTCGACGGGGCCGGGCTGTGGCCCGGCGTCCACGTAACCTTTCCGCCCGACAGGGAGAGTGTCAACGGCCCTCCGCCCGGCGTCCGTGGCGGTACTAGTGATGATGTGCTGCGGCTGCTCTGGTGGCCTGGACTGGGGGCCGGGCTGCCGCCGGGAAGCAGCGACGACGTGCTGAGGGAGCTCTGGTGGCCGCTGGGCTGCTGGGCCTTGAGGTTCGGCGTCGACTTCCGGGACAGGTACGCGGATATCCTGCTGCTCGCGGCGGAGGCGAAGCTGGTGACGGCGGCGCTGGGGCTGCCGAGGCTGCTGGTGGTGTTTGTCGGGGATGAGGGCGTCTCGCGCAGGGTCGGGGTCTGGGGCCGCGTCGAGGCGGTGACGGCGCTGGCGCTGTTGTTCCGCTTGTTGAGCTCGCTCTTGAGCTTTCCCAGCTCATCCTCGTAGTCGGCCCAGCGGTCGACCGCAGCAGTGGCTTTCTGGTTCAGGAGGCGGACTTGGGCTTGCAGGTCTTCGATTTGCTTCTGGGCGGCGGTGAGGGCGCCATGGGCGTCGCTGGAAAGGTCCTTTGGGATGAAGGATAGGGAGAGGTCATTCCCACAGCTGGGACAGCAGGGGATCGTGCTGAGTCTTGGTTGCGGCAGGGCAGGCATCGTCAAGGTCATTGTTGAGGACATTTTCGATGTGCTGCAGACGGTGGTCTAGATTGACGGAGGGTTGAGGGGGTCACGGAGGTCGATTGATCGGGTTGATAAATTGAGTCGATTGACGATGGCGAGCGAGTGCGAGAGCGAGGCCTCTTGTCTTTTTCTCGACTTGTCGGACGCCTCGCCTCGCCTGGCTGGCTGGCTGGCTGGCTGGCTGTGTTGTCAAGAAGTCCTCGTGACGGTGGATTGTCCGTCTAGTCTTGGTGGCTGGGGAACGGGGACTGGGAACTGGGAACTGGGGATTGGGGAATCGGCTAGCGTTGGTGTCGGTCTTGTTGCCGTGCTCAGTTGGTCGATTGCATCACCGCCAATTGCCTTCTGGTCGTCGCAACGACTTGGCCGTGGATGAATAGTGCTCTTGTTTGAAAAGCGAAAATAAAACCCGGAGACCCGTTGGCCTGACCGTTGGGCAGGGGCTTTTCTTTTTTTATGATTCATTTGTTGATGCCCGGTGCCATGCGACATTGGCACATGGGGCAAGGGAGCATCAGCAGCAGGGAGGCGGGAGCCGACAGGGAGCCGACAGGGCCCCGACAGGGCCTTGGAATAAAGTTGTCGTCGTCTGCTGCGGCTGCGGCTCGGTGGCGGGAGTCGTTAGCCTCCTGTGCCATGCCTGTGCTATGCCTAAGCCCTCGCCAAGCTGCCCTCACTGCGCCCCGCCTTTTACGGTTTGGGCCCTGAAACTGCCGGGGAGTCCCTGCGCGTCTGCTAAATCGGGCCACATCGGTCGCATGTCACTCAATTGATGACAGCTGCGCAACGTCCAAAACACTGCAGAGATAAAAGGGCTCCCTGTCCCGATCCACAGGCTTGCGAATCCGAGTCCCCAGGATGTAAGAAATAGATCCTTTCGCCCTGGTCGTCCTTTTTTTTCTTCCTGCGTATTCATGGGTCAATGGGATGAAAGAATTTGTGACCGGATAAACGAACGAATCAACGCAAGTACGCATGGGTCAATTGATGCTGGGTGGCACCGTACCTCTCTCGGTTGCCTCCTCCACTGCAGATCGTCTTCGCAGCGTTAATCCTGATCGTCAGGTACCAGCAGGGCTTGAACCACACGCTGTAACATCAGCCCATCGCCAATTGACCAAGAATGGGGGTTCTATGCGCATGTCCGACTCGAAACATGTGGTCAGGCAATCCAGCAAATCTCGTCTCATCGGCCCTCCTTGACCCAAGCAGTCACTTCTCACTTACACTCATACTCATGCTCATACTCGAACCCAAACTTAAACTTGCACCCGAAATCGTCCGATTCTACTGCCTATAACTCCACGCGATTGGATCGCGTCCGTCCTGGAAACTAGTCAATCAGTCGGTTCTGACTGACTGTTTCGACGTGACGTGGTCTCCACCGCGCTCTTGGGCATTGCTAAGCTTCGAAAGACAGGAGATGGTTCTAATTTAAATCTAAATACTATACTACTGGTTCAGCAGACGCTCGTGGGAGGCAGGATACCTTCCACCTGCAATAGGTAGCGAGTCCAACAACTTCTGGATTTCGGCCAGGTCGTCCTCGCTCAGGTCCACATCCTGGCAGTTCTCCACCACCCTCTCGACCTTCCTCGACCCGGGAATGGGAATGGCTCCCTGTCGCCTCACCCAAGCCATGGCTATCTGTGCCACTGAAGCGCCCTTGCGCTCTGCAATCTTCTCCACAGCCTCAACGAGCTTGAAGTTCTGTTCGAACGCCCCAGGCTGGAAACGCGGCAGGTGACGCCTGAAGTCGTTCTCCGCGATATCTTCGGGCTTCCGGATTTCCCCAGTCAGCCAGCCCCGGCTGACCGGGCTATACGCCACGAGTGCGATACCAACTATCACAGAACGGTCAATTCAGGGACGGAGCGAAGGTTATTGCACCAGAAGACTCACGCTCATGGCACGCATCCGCCACCCCATTGCTCAACACATGGGTCGAGAACAGGCTCAGTTCGATCTCAACCGCCGCGATCTCACTCACGGCGGCCGCCCGCCGGATCGTCTCCGCGCTGACCTCGCTCAGGCCCACGGCCCCGATCTTGTCCTCGGTGACGAGCTCCGCCAGCGCCCGGACGCTCGTCTCGATGGGCACCTTTGGGTCCACGCGCCCCATCTGGAAAACGTCGATCTTCTTGGTCCCGTCGAGGACGCGCAGCGCCTCGTCCACCGACGCGCGGATGGCCTCTGGGCTGCCCTGTGGCGTGTCCGTAAACCGGTCGTATGCGCCCTTGATAACGAGGACGACCTTGTCTGCGTCCTCGGGGTATCTTGTGAAGTAGTACTTCAACAGGTGAAGCGAATTGGCCTCTGGTGTGCCGTAAAATATGCCCTGTCTCGCCGTGAGCTGCGTGCCACAAGGTTTCTTGGACATGTCGGCGGGAAAGTCTACTCACGCCGTTCCAGAAGTTTGCTCCCTGCTCAAGTGCTGCTTTCATGACCTTGATGGCATCTTCATACTCGGTCATGTCCCACGGCTTCGTGAAACCTAAGAAGCATGTCAGGTCCACCCAGGCTATCCTAGTCTTGGGGGTTGGTACTTACCCAACAGGCCGAAGCCAACGGGGCCGATCGGCTTGCCGGCGATGGTGGTCTTCGCGATTCGACTCATGGCTCAGTATCAATGGACTTCAAGGTGGGTGGATGAGATGTATGAGATGAGCTGTGCTTTGTTCGTCTGTGGTTATTTTGTCCCAGTGATGTGTCCATTGCCTTCAGGGACCTCCAGCTTTAAAGTTCATCAGCTTCCCTCACGGTTGCAATGGCCGCCGCGTATGTCCGCGACTTGCCAGGAGTTAGGACATTCGAGACCTTCACTATGTCCGCAATTCGTCCGCGCCGGAACTATGGCTTCTGGAATCCGTATGAGCCTCCTCATCAATCTGGCATCGTAGAGTTGGGTATGTTCGGGCCGGAGCACAATCGGAAGGCCCGAGCCCGCTGCGATCGCCTATCTAGATTTAGGCCACAGATCTGGTCAATTGCTGGGTTAAGCGGCGCCTCTTGCCGGCCCCTCCGGCCGGCCCGCACCGTGAGACCATCATGCAGGTCAGCGTGGCGCAGCCATTTGAATTCCGATCCGGGGCCGTTTATCAGGCTGCAAGAAATTCCTCCACTGGATTTCGGCTCATCAGATTGAACAATCCGAGAGGTGATAACACTTTGAGCAGACTCGGTGTGGTAATTACTATCCTGCCAGCAAGGAGTGACGCTGGGTCTGACCAATCCAAGAATACCTTTGAGGTTTGGAATAGAAGTGCTTTTCGCTACGTGTACTACCCGAGTGTATGATTTATCGATGCAATATTGAAAACTCCGTTACGCCTCGCAGGACAATGAAGTGTCTCTCCCATGCGACCACCATGCCCATATACAAAGGGAAATGACAAATGGAATCTTGATCTAACTCTAATGTAAGTGGGAAATTCTTGGACTGATGCCCAAACAGTAAACTATTACCCAACAACCTTGTACTCCGAGTTCAATGCCACCCTGGTAAGCCTAGCAGGGTAGAAGACCAGCGGCGCAATCATGACCAAGGCCATAGGAACGGCATCAAACACGTAGACGAACGCCTCGTTGCTCGCGATAGTCCCCAGAGGGCCCTGGGCAAACTCAATCAGGCGCATCAGGTTCCGCAACATCAGCAGCCCAGTAGCGATGTACATAACCCAGAAGAACCTCCTCCACCTGAGCAGATGGCCGATGCCCAGAGCCACATCCGTGGGCTCCCGGGCCAGCTTGGCCTGGACCCTGACAGCGATGTAGGTGAAGAAGGCCAGCGCGACCTCCTGGAAGATGAGGCCGCCCAGGATGCACTTCTTGCCGATGGCCATGAGGTTCGCGTCGCCCGAGGCCTGCACGCCCACGCCCCCGAGCTGGCTCATGAAGGCCAGCGTGTCGATCAGCACGTAGACCTTGGTCAGGATGCCCGGGCGGATCAGCGAGAAGCGCGAGGCGTCGAGCGCCGTGATCAGCCGCCCCAGCGACATGTAGATGCTGCCGGCCAGCAGCGGAGGGGCGCAGAGGAGAAGCATTGCTTGCATGATCCAGGGGCCGATCTTCTTTGGTTCCGAGTGCGCCATGAAGCGGCCGTAGTAGCCAAAGGCTTCGCCTGCAGCACACAACTCTGGTTAGTCCCATTACAAGTACGAGTAAGTGAGTGCCTGTGGAAGCCAGAGCAGTAGCAAATAGGATAGAAAGACCAGTAGAAAATAGAACCAGGGAGGACAAGTGAACATACATATCCCGCCCAATATCATTGGGATGAAGGACCATGATCGGAAAAAGAACATGTAGCCGACATGGACTACCGTTGCGACTGCGAAGATTGAGAGAAATGCCAGACCTGCCTCCTTTGACGGCGTGTACTGGAAATACTCGATATCAAAGGTGCCATTGGCATGTTGGTTGAAGACAATATCCATCTTGATTAGACGAGTTGATTAAGCGAGTGTGGCAGCAAGCGGCGGACGGTGGATGCTGAGGAATTTAGTAGGTCGTTCAAGAAGCAAGAAAATAAACAGAAAAGACTGATTTTGATGACCATGGCATTCTTAAGTAGATACTCTACCTTTGGGGTTTTTCAAAAAATTTTGCATGATTAGTGCTGCATTTAAAACTACATCTACAGTTTACAACCGCTGGCCATTTTACGTATTCAAGGGATGTTTTTCGTATAGGAGAATACGTAAATTCAGACCAAAAAGGGCATCTAGAAGCAAAGATCCAAGCGCATTGGCCCGCTTCTCCCTTTTGTGGGCTGGCCGTGACTGCGGTACCCTTGCACCCGCAGATGTCAAGGCAATGGGCGCGAGTTCAAAGCCCCTGGGCTCGATCTTCTAACATTAGGTTGTTCAGGTTTTGACATCGTATAGGGCTGGTAGGCCGACAGGAAACGTAGAATACAGGCGCCATCTCCACAGTTCCAACTTCCGAGACGGCGACATACCGCATCAAGACATTGTCCAGAAGCAGCTCATCGCTGCACAGCCTCGGCTGCCGCGCAAGACACGCCGGCTTATAAGCCGTGTCGATTATTCGTATTCATCGTATTTGAAGGGCGCTCCCGCCCCCATTCGACAACAGTCAATGTCCAACCAACTTTCAAGTACCAGGCGATCATGTCGGATGAAAGCGCAACGGCTCCAAAGTCTGTCAGTGTTGGCAAGCGTACAAGGCGTACGCACCACAAGTAAGCAAGCAGCTGACACTTCCTGTGCTTCTTGAAGACGAGTAGCACGAGTTTCTCTCCCTCCACACGGCCAGGCTCCTCCAGCAGCCAGTGTCCTACAATTCATCCCAAACATTACCTGCTTTGGTGACACAGGATGGCACAAGGCGTTTTCTTCTGCCCTTCCTCCATCTGGAGTCTCTTCTTCGATATCTCCTTAGCTAACTTCAGACGCTTCAGATCGCGGCATGGCTGCAAGAACTGCAAGTTGAGACGCATCAAGGTAAGCTTGGTTTTCCTTCAAAGCCTTGCTCGCTTCTATCAGATCTTATTCTGAGCTTGGGATGATGGCAAGCACGCAGTCAGTCCACAGAGAGCTGAGCAATTACAGTGCGATGAGACCAAGCCAACCTGCGAGAACTGCATCAAGTTCCGCATCCCTTGCAGTTTCAATTCGAATCCCTCGCCCCCTTCAGATGCCTCCCCACCGGCACAGGATGTGCCTCGCCGGCGAGGTCGGCCCCGGAAGGACTGGCTCGCAGCTACAGCTCAACCGCCTTCCGCCGACCACAGCCCAGGAAACAATCCAGACCTTGCGGCCATTTCTCCAGATACACTATCAGAACAACCACCACCTTACCTGATCGGCGACCACAGCCTGAACATCACCGATCTCCAGCTCCTACACAATTACATGTATAAGGCCTCCATGAACATCGCGAACGCCAAGGGCCCGGACCAATTCTGGTCAATCGACTGCCCCAAGCTCGGCTTCGCCCATCCGCACACCCTACACCTGATCCTAACCTACTCAGCCCTACACATGAGCCGGCACGAGGCCGACCCAGAGCGGCAGCAGCAGCTGCACGACGAGGCGGTGCTGCACTTCGCCACGGCGCTGCAGCAGACGCGGCTGGAGCTGTCGCGGCTGGGCAGGCACAACGCGCACGCGCTGTACGTGTCGTCGATGCTGGTGTGCTTCTGCACCTTCGCCAAGGGCCCCAGCGACGGCGACTTCCTGATGTTCACGGCGGGCGGCGACGGGCCCGCGACGTGGATGCAGCTGGTGCGGGGCGTGCGCACCATCATCGAGACCATGGGCAGCCCCTTCATGTTCGACGAGGACGGCCCGCTGCGCGCGATGGTGAAGAAGGACCCGGACGACCGGGCGCAGGACAGGGACGCCGAGAGGCGCGAGCGGAGCAGGCAGCACCGGCCCGACTGGAGGCCGCCTTTGGATCGTCTGCGCCATCATATCTGCTCCCTGATGTGCCCGGCTGACTTTGACCGGCGCCGCAACGACGACGTGTGTCGGCTGAGCCTGACTGCTCTCGAGGAGATCTGCCCCCCTTGTGAAGCCATGTGGGGCAAGACGCCGGATGAGCCACTGGAGAGAGACCAGGAGTACTCCGTCTATGCCTGGCTGTACCGGTTGGATGATAACTTTATCCGATGCTTGGAGAGGAAGGAAGAGATAGCGTTGGTGGTGTTCGCGTACTTTGCCCTCCTTCTGAAGGAGCTCGAGGTGTACTGGTTCATGCAGGGTTGGGCAGAGCACATCATACTTGGCACTGATCAGTTCCTCGACGAGGAGCACAAGAGGTGGTTGGAGTGGCCCAAGGAGCAGCTTGCGCTAATCGAGATCACGATCAAAAAGTACACAGAGTCTATGGTGTTGAAATAGTATCTGTTACATTTTGCAGAACTGCTGTTTTCCATGATAACTAATCGCAAATTTTGCGGAAGCTTTCAAACATATTCGAACGGGGTTTCTCACATTATTCATAGTGCATTTCTTCATGTACATTCATTTCACTTTCAAGAAAATAGCGTGATTATGTGCTGTAAGACTCAGTGCTTGTCATCTCATTTCGTTACCTGCGACTGCTGCAATGTGTGTATGGCTAGGATAGTAAAAGGCGTCACGATCTTTAATTCTTTCGTCATGCGAAGGCTAGTCTTGCCAAAGCCTCATACATTTGCCCGACGGTCATTGTATAATCCGGCTTGAAGTCTTCATTATGCAATGAATGCTCTACGATTCCATAGATGCCAAACAACTTGTCTCTGGGATCTGAACAGAGCTTGTGCCGCATACTGTGGGCGATATCGAGAAAGTCGGGGGCAGAACGGTGAGTCCCACCCCAACTTCTGTCGAGTTGCTCTCCAATCTGGAGGTCCAACATGTCGAGGAGAGGTTGCATGTTGACCGTGCCAAGCCCCATATGTTCCCATTGAGGTGATATCTCGGCGTATTTGATCATTCTCACGAACCGTTTCACAGTGATACAATCATTGGACTGCCATTTGACTTCGTGCCGACCACAGATCAAGGATGCACTGCTTGAACGTCCGATCTCTTGGACAACCCACATTCTCTGGAACCATGGCCTGTTCATAATGTCCAAGAGGCCAGCTCGTACGACGGACGGCGGATAGTCTTGCCAAACTGGACGAGGCTGTGGTCGCGGCTCGTTTGCAAGGTAGCTGAGGACTTTGATTCCAGCGGCGGTGTCAGGGGTTGCTTCACCCAGCCATACCAGGACAGTTATGGCTTGCCAATATATTGATCCCATCATAGCAACTTGGCGGTTGCGTTCGTCAATGTCGTGCTGGTTGATGCATACATAGTCAATCCAGAGGGTTCTAGGACGGTCTGGGAATCGCAAGTGGCGGAGGGCAGCTTCTAGTGATTTTGTGACTGAGACAGACGTATCATCGATCAAAATGATTGCGCAGTCGTCCGTTGCGCCCCATACATAAGACAATGCTTCGAATTCTTTTCGTGGCTGTTCCATTCCACGACATTCCATGTGGCCCGTGACGATGTCATCATCTGAGCCAGGATGAAGAAAAAACAAGCGGAGATCATACTCATGCTCAAGCGGAGCATAGCGTACCGGAGTCTCTCGCTGTTCCACCATTCAGCGTTCATGGATTTCAGTCGAGATAGGACATTTACTCAAGGATGCGTGCGCACGTACCATGGCAGTCGAAGTGACTCGGCTGTCAGTTCCTTCTGATGTAAGTCGTATCCAGAACCCGAAGGAGAAAGTATAAGTCTTGCAGATCGGCAGAAGCTGATCCATCCCGAAGGCTGGCAGCTTGAAGTGCCACGCTTTGGCGAATAAATCCCATATATTGAAAGACATGTCTTCTGTCTGTAACGAGTATTGACGCGAGATCACGAGTCCGAGATCGCTATGATACCGATGAAAATTGAACGAAAGCTTCTGTCAACGGAAGCCTGGAACGTACACGAAGCTGAGTGTTGGGAAATAATGTGAGATGGAGGGGGATTATGGTTGGTCAAGAAGTCGGCAGTCATCCCATGCCCCGCAGCTACACATCGTCGCCTCATCGGGTCTGGCTGAAATCGATTGGGAATAAACCGATCAAACCACTGTTTATAATAAGTAAAACCTGTTTTATGAACATATATTCTATATATAGATCAATTCAGGCAACAACGCTGCTGAAGTAATAACCACTCACAGCATGACCGACCCGATCAGGACTCTAGGCACAGCAAGGCCAGTTCTACCTACATGCAGACGACACGCAATACCGAGTCTCATTTGGTGATGGACCCGGTGCTACTGTACGTGGATGGCCATCAAGGGTGGCTTTTACAGCTTATACCCCTATGTCACCGTCGAGCTGGAGTTCCTCGCAGTGGTCCGCTTTCAAGACGCAGAATACCCACAGAACTCAGAAGCAGACGAAGAGGCACACTCTCAAGCGAATGCGACAGCTAGGCGCCAGGTGGTGGCCCAGCACACATGACGAGGCTATGTGGTTCCTGACACACAATGAGGAACTCGATGATCCTGTCACCTATTCCGGTTGGCCGGCCCAAGGCGGTGTCTGGGTTTTGAACACGAATGTGGAAAAAGCAAGTGATCCGGGTACGGGGAGATTTCACGTCGCGATCAATATAGAAGAGCGATGCAAAATTATGGAGGTGCTTGGTGCTATTTATTATGCGAGTCCTGAGGATTGTCCGCTTCTTAATTTGTCTGACGGACTGGGCCCCGGGAGATAGGATGAGATGACAAAGAAATTTGGCGACTCCAAGTTTGGTGGCAAATGGGGCGCGAACACCTGAACGCAAATGAGAATGTCAACCAACATTCCCAGGCCCCATTGTCATCTGAGCGATAATTGAGAAGGTACATTCTGTTCATAGAAGAGCTGAAATGAGGCGGCGATACCATGTCCACAAAGCTAGCCGTAATAATTTCTCAAGTCTACTCTATAAATGTGGAGGGTTCGACGGCAAACAGCGATCAATTGATCATGCCCGATGTCGTCAGGGGTACAATCTCCGTGGCACCATGCCAAGCCCAGGTTCACGACTCGACCTGACAAGAACTACGACTTGTCTGTAAAGTAACTTGAACCTCTTCCCATTGCGACTTCTTGCACTCAATAAGCTGTCAACTTTGGCCAAGCCACAGTGGCCTCAGCACTTCCAAGCCTATAACAAGATGTCCTTCTTCAAGAAGCTCTTCAAATCCGAGCCCCCGCTATTGGTGGCTGGAGAGGAGCCGACAGGCCCACTGCCTCAACGTGTGCTCATGAAGACTAACCTCGGCGACATCGAACTGGAGTTGTTCACCGAGCAAACTCCCAAGGCAAGCCCATCCCCGGTTATTGCCACGACCTGCTGTGACTAACCATGGCCTCCCAGACCTGTCTGAACTTCATCACGCTCGCCAACGCCGGCAAGTACGACAACTGCCTCTTCCACCGCGTCATCAAGGACTTCATGATCCAGGGCGGCGACTTCACCCGTGGCGACGGCACTGGCGGCAAGTCGGCCTGGGGCGGCAAGTTTGAGGACGAGATCGTGCAGGGTCTGTCACATGACGGGCTGGGGGTCCTGAGCATGGCCAACGCGGGCCCTGGCACCAACGGCAGCCAGTTCTTCATCACGCTGCGTGCATGTTCGCACCTGGATGGCAAGCACACCGTGTTTGGGAGGATCGCGCCGCAGTCACAGGCCAGCAAGGACACGCTGATGAAGATCGCGGGTGTGAGGACGGAGCTGCAGGATCGGCCGTCGCAGACTGTCAAGATTGTTGAGTGTAGAAGCGTGCAGTAGGTGAATCTGGTATGCATCTTGGAGTCAACACTATGATACTTGCAAGAGCAATAATAGGGGATGAGGACTGGATATGCCTGTAGCATGAGTCGTCACGCCAGTGCCTGAGCAGATCTACTTGTGGCAGCCATTGACCTCCGGGCAAATACTCTCCAGCCGCTTCGTTGAAGGACTAGGCAGAGGAGAGGCAGACTGACTCTCGGAGTATACGGCAATGCAGAAGAAAAGTGTATTTCTGTTTGCAACAAGATCCGAAAAGTACCAACAGTAAACCCGCAACCTAGATATGGCAACGACGAGCAAAACGGTACCGCATTTCCCGCCCATTCTCAAAACCCACATGGTTTGGATCATCGGTGCAGAGCAAGCCGGTCTTGCCTGCGGAAGGTGCTACGCGTCTGACTAACCCGGACAGCCACGAAAGTGAGAAGGACGTCTTTTGTGTCTTGAGTAAAGCCAACATCAGAAGGACACTACTCTTCCCCCCCCCCCCTCGTCAACACTGTACACGCTTGCCATGCCTCTGGTCCTTTCGTTTTTCTAATGGAGCTGGTCTCCCTAAGATTGGCAAAGTTTACACAAATCCGTGACAATTTGTACCTTATTGAACAAAACTTTCTGATTGAACCTTCACAGCTGGGCTTGAAACTAGTGAAGTTTAGTTAGAATACCTTGTCAGGCTTCAAAGACTGAGCTAAATTCAAATTGCATCTAAGATTGTGGCTAGGAGCAGCCTTTTGGACTTTTGATTACTCTTCAAGCATATTCCCTTTTGCTATTCAGCACATTGATAAAGACGTTGTGGAAAGAGAGTGCACTAGACAGCCGGTAGCGAATGCCCTCGGATGCACATTGGTATACCATTGGGATCATTTCAGAAAATAAGAACGACACTTGGCAGAAACCAGTAAACAACACACATATTCAAACGAGACGTTTCTCCTCCCTGTAGGGATCTATGCATAACAGGAGAAAAGAAACACCAAAACTTCCCGCTCATGCTTAGAGATTTTACCCGACGGTGCATCCCGACGCTGCTAGGAGCCCGTCGTTTCTGCCCGTCGATTACCCAGCTAGATGCGCTGTGCCTAGGTACTAACAGCGACACCCACCGATCAAAGACCTGAGATTCTCTACATAAGCTCTCAACTAGGCAGTCAAAACCAAAAGTCTCCAGCTTATGCAAGCGATCGGACTAATTGGATCGAGCCACTGAGTGACTACGGGATGTGGATCAAAATGGGTAGCGCCGAGACGATGGCCGGACGCCGGCTTTGAACGCTCGGCCAATTCTAGTTCTGGAAAAATGTCTGAATCGTTCCGCCAAGAAGAACAATACGCGTTCTGGAGACTCAGAGATCGGTATGCATCTTGGCAGTAGAGGAGCGGCGTCTCGAATGCGAAGTATTCGAGACCAAGAGTCAGGTGTCTGTGATGTCCGAAGTTCCAATATTGAATCTGTTTGCGCAGCATTAACGAAGCGAGAAAGTTATGAATTATTGTTCCAATATCGCTATTTTGAAGACTTCGCAATATTCCTCGCATCGTTGTCGAGCTCAGAGTTGAGATTATGGCAGCTGGAAATGTCACGAGGGAGCCATAAGATGAAGGGACAACAGATGCAAAATGATATTGATTGAGCCTATCGAACAGTCTAAGACTATCCACAATCTCGATGAGAATCTTACAGTTCCTGTCGGGCCTACTATCTTCCCAAGGAGCGATTCTCGGGCTCTATTCATGGCCACCGATACACGCACCTCGGATACCGCAGAGGTCTGGAACGTTGTGATTAGAACGTCGCCAAGCTTGCCTGTACTCGCACCATGACAAAACTTTCTCGCGTTTACTTTAAACGTCAAGTTGCCCCGAAGAGACAGCCTCTAGAGGCAACGCTACTTGTGCTGGTGTCCGTTGCGGCCCCTTAGATCCCCTCACACTAGAACCGTAAAAGGAGAAACCACGCAGGAAGGACCCGTTCAGGTACCGCGCACGGCCATTTGCTTCGAGAAAGTCTTTAGAAAAACTAGAGCTTCTAGATTCGAAATGTCTGCTGAGCCGTTCATCAACGTGCAGTAGAATGCGTTTCTGTCGGAAGACATGATGGTTTCCGATGCTTGTTTCGGCAGTTTTGATGATGCCCACCGGAAGGGATTCGAGTATAAATAGGTTGTTCGCTGTAGGTGGGAGAAGAATACTGTCTTGGGAAGGGACAAGTCATTCTTTGATAGAACTCATCTTTACGAAGTCGAATTGCAATTACTCCTCCAGCAGGCCTTGGATTACACTCCGCAGAGCAAATTATACTTGGTCAACACTCATTGAGAACCAAGTAACATAAACCACAACTCTCTTTTTCTCTGAATTAAACACAATCTTTCGGAAAATAAACATAAACTTTCCTAGAAACTTTTCAAAATGAAGTTCACCACCACCACCATCCTCACACTCCTTACGGCCCTCACAGCCGCCGCTCCCTTAGAGCCTCAGACCATCTCAGTCGACCTTGAGAATGGCGAGGCCCAGAACATCACGGACAATGCCATCGAGAAGCGGTCTCAGAGCGGCAAGATGACGTACTACACGCCGGGGTCGGGTTCATGCGGCGCCACCAACAGCGAGACTGACCTCGTGGTGGCCATCTCGACAAGCATGTACGGGACGTACGCAAACCCCAACTCTTCGCCCATGTGCAAAAAGTCGGCAAGCATCAAGTGCAACGGCAAGACGATCAAGGCGGCCATCAAGGACAAGTGCATGTCGTGCGGCAAAGGCGACATTGACGTCTCGCCGGCGGTGTTCAAGCAGTGTGGGGCGTTGAGCCAGGGGGTCATCACTGTGACCTGGGATGTGGTGTAAGTGGGCGGATTATGACATGAATGAGAGAACGAAATCCAAAAAATTGGAACTGACAACCATAACGACGGCCATGAATAGACGCAAATAGACAGGCAGACCATAGATTGGTACAAGTGCTAGACACTAGAAATAAAAGTTTTCCCTTGTTCTAGAATTTCCTGTCTTGAGTTGGCACTATGCTAGGCAAAACCGAAGTCATGCATTCTGTGCACTTCCAACTTATTTCCCCCCCACAAGGTAAGCCAGCTGGCCGTAGGCGCCGTCATACGCAAAACCCCGTGAATCGCGAGTTGAGTTCCGTTGCCTTGATTTTGCTGGGCGGATAAAGTCCTGATATGGACTTTCTCGGACTATGCACGTAATGAGCCTGTGCTACGGCTCACGTCCGTGATGTAGCCGTCCGTATTTTCGAGTGATTCAGTCGAATGACTTCCGGCTGGCATGGCAAACCGGGAGGACTGGCCACTCCTTCGCAAGCCAACCCAGGCCTGCCCCCCTGACGCTCTGGCGGTAGCATATCGACCCTCTCAAGCAAGAGCCACAATGTTGGCTTTCACAACAGGACCAACATATTTGGCCAGACATGTCGCACGGCCGGTAAGCTGGTCATCTTATCGCTGATGGCTATGTTCATCAAATAATAGCCGGGGTGAGAGCTCCTAGGAAGAGTTTTCTTGTCCATCCAGTCGATAGACCTCCTTAGAATGGCTTCGCGACCTTGCGACTTTCACTCAGCCCCGTCTCAGGGTCCTTGTACTCCTTCCATGTGACAGGGTACATGGCATTGCCAGCCTCGCTGACGGCCATGATCACACCGAGCTCATTACTCGCCGTGGACAGGTAGTAGTTCGCTTGGTCACCGAGGGAAATCTGTACCACATCGTCAGCATTCGTGCCTCGCACCATGATTTCTCATGAAACCTCCTCCTGTAGATACACAGTGGGATACACAATGGGAACTTACCACCGATGCGCGCACGATATCGCCCGGCCTGAAGCTCTCATAGACCTTGACGCGGTCCTTCTCGGTGGCGCGCACGTCCTGGACGCGGATGACGCCCTGCCACTCGGCCTCGAGGACCGTGTCGCCGCAGACCAGGATAGCGACGACGGCCTGGCGCGGCGTGATGCGCGTCACGCGGCACAGCACCGTGTTGCCCACCTGTGGCAGGACCTCACGCTGCTTCTTGCTGCCTCCTCCTGCTCCTGCCCCTCCGAAGCCGACGCCGCCGGCGCCTGCCCCGCGCGACACTGATATCGTGGGCAGCTCGGCCGGTGACCCTGCTGCTGCCCTGGACGGGAGGTTCTGCGTGATCCTCGTGATGCGCTTCGCGGGCCCCTGGCTGCCGGCGGCGGAGGACTGGGAGGCAGGCTGGGCGATCGTCACGGTGCCTAGGAGGGAGCTGTAGAGATTTGCTTCGTAGAGGTGCACGCCCGGGCCGGGCTTGTATTTTGAGGCTGGGCCGAGCAGCTGGCCTGGGATTGCGAGTGTTGATGTTGCCATGGCTACGGCTGTGTAAATGAAGGCAGTCCGTCCCCCAGCTTGAGGTCGACTAGGTTTTCCTTGGGTATTGCAGGAAGGTTCGGAAGCAGTCGTCGTGGTCGATGTCGTCGAAATCGTGGCGGGGCAGCTAAGCTCTGAGGTCTTGCAGTGACGTTGGACGGCTGATCTGCAAGTCATTTCACGGTCAAGCCAAAAAGTTTAGCGGGCATGTTCCTGCAGTCCCAGGACCAGGCGTGTGGCGCCCCCACCACCACCACCCACCCTCCACCCTGCCACACCCCACTGCAAGGACCAAGGACCCCTAGACCCCTGCGCTGTGCCGTGCCCGTTGGTTGCTGTGCTGCGCTGGCCAGCAGGAGAAAAGTTTCTTCGCAGGGGCCCCTGCTCACCGTCAATCGCATTCATCCAATTGATCAATTGACGGGACCGGGGGGCAGCAACGAGATGATTCGATCCGGGACCCGGCCATCCGGTGGGATCACTTCTTGCGGCGCAGACCTCAACAATTCCGATTGTCTCAGACAATATCTAGTCTAGAGGTGTGTCCTCACGATATTGAGCTCCTCCCACAGCTTTCCCATTTCTTACTTGTTCTTTGTGCCTTTGTTCCTTCTGCCGTACACGCCCTCAGCAGAGAAGAGAAGACAAGAGAAAGAAGAGCAGGGACGAGAAGAAACAAACAAACACAGGACAGAGGATAGCACAGCACAGAACAGGATAAAAAAACCATGGCGCGCATCCTCTTCCTGCTCGCCGCTCTCGTCGGCCTGCTGAGCCCCGTCGTCTACCTGCTGGAGCAGCGCCTCGAGTCCTTCTACATCTTCTCGCCGGACCGCCTGCACGACCTCGCCAAGCGCGGCATCGCCGCCCACGGCAACGACACCCGCGGCGTCGTCTCCTACATCGTCGGCGAGCTGCACGGCGACGCCGCCACCGCCAGCCATGTCAACCTGGACGAGGAGTGGATCTTCAACAACGCCGGCGGCGCCATGGGCGCCATGTACATCATCCACGCCAGTGCGTCTCAACATATCCCCCCCTTCTCCCCGTCTTCCAACCCTCTACAAGCGAAAAACTGCAGATAGCTAACCAATAAACCAACCCAATCCGCAGGCGTGACCGAGTACCTGATCATCTTCGGCACGGCCATCGGCACGGAGGGCCACTCGGGCCGGCACACGGCGGACGACTACTTCCACATCCTGGCGGGGACGCAGCTGGCCTACACGCCGGGCAGCTACGAGCCCGAGGTCTACCCGCAGGGCAGCGTGCACCACCTCCCCCGCGGCCAGGTCAAGCAGTACAAGATGCCCGACTCGGGCTGCTTCGCCCTCGAGTACGCCCGCGGCTGGATCCCGCCCATGCTCTTCTTCGGCTTCGCCGACGGCCTCTCCAGCACCCTCGACTTCCCCACCCTGTGGCGCACCACCTGGGTCACCGGCAAGCTCATGCTCGGGAACCTGGCGCTGGGCAAGTTCTGAGGGGGGGCGACGTTGGTGGTGGATGGCGGTGGTGGGCTGTCAGCGAGGCGGTTGGGCGAGGCAAAGCTGGACCTGGCGACCTCGAGTTTCCGCTGTGGGAACTGGCTGTGGGCTCGTGCATAGATAGATACAGACCTCGTGTGGTTTGAGGACCTGACTGCTCCTAGAGATCGTGGGCGCGCCTCCTGTGTAATGTGTATTACCAGCCTTCCTGTAAATATACATAGCCTACATCGTGTAATGCGAAAGACGAAATACCCCATCGGCGAAACAAAGAGCCATCACAAAAAAAAGGGCTTATTTGTGTAGCTCCTTGTCGTTGCCAAGGAGTGTCCTCGCAGGTTCTCCGGGCAAATATCCAAAGTGCGTGGGAGCGCCGGAGCTGATATATCAGGCCCAGGCCGAGGGGGGGGGGGCAATCGATGAGACCCAACATGGTCCAAAGCCGAGGAGGGCGCCAAGTAAACAACGCGAGAATTCAAAAATTCACAGTGTAGATACGAAAAAACGGCACACAATCCCCACAAGTCAGTGAGAGCCAAGCACGGATCCGCATAAAAAAAGGAAAGCAAGAAAAAGGGCAAAATCGTGTGTTTCCGATGGCGCCACTCCCAGGGCGCAACTTGGCTTCGGCTCCGACCCGGAGCAAAAGTGGGTTCTTTTGTTTACTCGCAGGTGTGTATACGCCCCATCTACGTTACAGTAGTATATAGCCTCTCATTTATTCGCTCCTCTTTATTCCGAGTGGGCCGCCTATAAGTCTAAAGTACCTGGATAAGCTGATGGCAGTGCAAATCCCTACCTTGTGCAGATTGGGACTGCTGCGTCAGAGATCAAGCGCGCGTTAGTCGGCCGTCGACCCTGCGGGCCCTGCAGCACGCATTAGATGAGCAGCAGGAGTATGACGGCTCGTCGTTCGTATTGCCCGCGTTCATTGCCCGATCGGGAAGGTCAAGGCTACCTTCGGGATTATCATCCGCTGGCTTCCTCGGGTACAAATCTTTCGATGTTTGTTTCATGCGCGTCGCTTGATTGCACAAATGTGAATTAACGGGCGGGCGATCTCTGTCCAAAATTGTGACTTGACACTCAAAGGCGTGAGATGGTGGGCACTCCTATGTACTGTACTGTTGTTTCCCAGATCACCACCAAGACATCATTAGAGAATGACATCTGGGTACTTTTCCCTCCCTACAACCGACCAATCCTCTTACCTCCTACTCAGTCTCCTTTTTTCTTTTTTTGGCCTCCTCCTTCGTGACTCTCCTTGTTCCCGATAATTTTGCTGAACATGATATAAGCATGCGAAACCCCGGTATTTTGAAATGCCCGTGAATGAATAGAAGACAAATACAACGCATTTTTTGCGGTCTTGAAAACGCCGTTCGCGATGGTATGGTAGTGATGATACGAGATGAAAAGTCTGCGCCCCTGGTTGTGTAAATGGCGGCAGCAAGATATCGTCGCCAACAGATGAGCCCGTTTCAACTCCGTGAAATGCGTCCAGGTTTTCTCGCCACAGGAGTCGTGTATATCTCCAGTCGCTGAGTTCACCACATGCCGTCACTGCCGGGATTTGCCAGATTGCTGCTTCTGAGGCTTCTCGATCTCCTGGAGCAGTAAGCTGTGTGCCTATCCTCTAGGCAAGCCACTCCTGATCGCCTCTCGCAGGCCTCTTCATCTCCAGGACCTCGTCTTCGGACTCGCTGTCCTCATCGTAACCAGACTGCCCTTTACCAGGCGAGCCAACTACCTCGTACTCCTCCTCGTTTGGATCTTGTTCTTCGCCCTCGATGTCATCCTCCATCCATCTGAGTCCGTTGGCATGCTCCTCCAATGGGAAGATTTCTCTCGCGTACTCCTCCAGGCCTCGAGGGCCTTCCCACAGCTGCAACGAGTCGTGAAGGCAGCTCTCCTCAAGCGCACTATCGCCGAAGTAAGGGGGTTGCTTTGCGGGGTCGTCACCGCCTAGGCCAAATAATTTCTCCAGGGACTCAAGCTGTATCCTGTAGCCCTCGGGGATCTTCACCTTGAGCTCGATCTCACCCCTGACATATCGGACCGGTCGGCCAACGCCCTTCTCGAACTGTTCGCACGCCTCGCGCGGGGACAACAGCTCGTATGCAAGCGCTATGCGCTTGTCGCCCCACTTCCCCACCCCGTCCTTGAATATCTGGAGGATCGCTGGTCCGACATCATGCTCTGCGTCCAGCCAGGGAAGTTTGGCATCAGGATGGAAGGGCGCTTGCCACACGAAAGAGCCATCCGGCTGCATTTCCATGCAAAAGAGGGGATATGGCAAGCTGGTGAAATTGTTGTTGTAAATCCCCGTATACACAAAGGTGGCCGGAAGTCCAATCTGCTTCACATACTCCTCGACCTTCTGTTTGGGTGCCCAGAGTGGTAAGCTCGGCCAGTCTTCGTTGTAGGAATGATGATCAGGCATGGACGAATAGACATAGTGCTGGATGCCGGCCCTCTTTGCTGCGTCGGCCAGAGCTTCACCAATTTTCATTTCGTCGCCATAGAATGTCGTGTTGATGAAGGCAAGCTGTGCCCCTCGGAAAAGCTCCGAAATCAGCTGGTGATTTACCCCTATCCCGTACATGGGTCCACTTTGAGTTACATCTGCTTTTTCAGATGTAGCCCCTTGCCTCGTGTAGAGCTCGCCCACCAGCAGAGTTACGTGGGGATTTTGCCTGATCTCGTCCGCGACGACGCCTTCGAGATTTCGCATCTGGGCTCTCACGTGGTATCCCACAGCAGTGACATATCTGATGAGAGAAGAGGCCTGCCGTCCGCCGGCGTTGATGATGGCGATAGTCTTGTTGGGAGACGGCATGGAGCGTTTGGTGGGACGGGAGAAGGTGAGAGAGTTGTTCCGCGAATTCAGAAAAGACCCTGCTTCAGAGTATGATGATCTAGAGTGTTTGTGCCTCCGCTCTTCAACCGGCTTCGTCCTGATAGGGATGCTTTGTGTAGGCGCGTGCTGGGCAGGCCGATTTGGCAATTCCGCGTGAGGCATCTCGGATTTTGCTGAGCAAATGGCCATTCCTGAAAGAGGCCGTCCCGAGATCCTTGCTCCACCACGCTACTCAGTCCTTCCAACGCGAGCCAGAGGCGACGGGATCAACACCAGGATTATCAGTCCAGGGTGATTGTGATGCTATCGGCAACCAGAAATTGATAGGGCCGTAATGAGATCTCGACCGGTCTTTTGACTATCCTGCCAACGGTCTGGTATGGTGTTGATACCGCAGAAAAGTTAAGAAAATCCAGATTTGATTGGGTCGACAGATGGCATGCACAGGACGGGCAGTAGGGGATTTATGTTTCGTCGAAACGTCCCGGGGTCTCCAGATTCGTATGCGAGGCAGTGATCTGAGCCAGGAGGAAGATAAGGTTTCCCCGTCTTTTGTCCCAAGTTCGATGCGGAAAGTCACCCTACCTGCTTCCCGCTGTCACCCACACCCTGCAAAGTTACTTTTGTGGGTTCTTGTGAGTGGCTTGTTAATTTCTGCAAACACGCGGCGGAACAATTCTGCTTCCAGGCACGTCAGTGGGCTTGCGACGGCTAGGTGAGGGGCAGGATGAAGTGTATTAAAGGATGAGAGTAGGGTGGTAAGGTGCGTCCCCGTACGGAACATGGACCGTCTTGGGAATGGGCAGTTGTAACACTGCACTAGCAGGAGTAATGGGAATGACGGGGAAATCAGATCAGAGAAGAAAATCTCTGTTCTTCGTGCAACGTAGTCAGGCGGTGATTTCCAGGGACAGGCATGGACTGAGATAAGAGACGCAACATAGTATGCAATATGCAGACCGGAAGAAACAGGGAGGACAAGAAGGCGACAAGGGACGACTGTTAAGGACTCACATATCAGACACGATGTAGAATTGTCGGTTATTGGTGCGACTGATTGGAGCAAGGGCTCGTGCAGCCTCGTAGATCTCCCGACTCGGGTAGAGGTGGGTGGAATATCAAGTCGCGACTTGGCTCTGCGTAAATGTAGACAAATGTAGGGTGGGAAAGGCGGCTGTTCCGTCCAACGGTTGAGTTGTGCAGTTGCGAGGAAATAGGTTTGCTGGACAGTTTACTTTGCATCTAACAAGAGTGTTGAAAGCCCAATCGGGAATTACCAGAAAGGGTGGTGGTAGCCTCAGGTGGTGAGCAGACTGAAAAGGGGGAATGTTATCATCTGGGGAAGAGTCGCCGGGTCCCCCAGGATCGATCGTCTTTTTTGCAGCCCTTGCCGGCACTCGTGAGCCCCGAGTCCTTGAACGGCCCAACGAACCGAACCGGTGAGAGGAGGTCACAGGGCGCGTGCAGGAAGGTAAAGCCGGGCTGTTGCACGAATTGGTTCCGTCCAGATGAGACTCAGTCAAGCCTAGACTCGGCTAAGGGATCCGAAAGATAAGAGACGAGACAGCTGTTGGCTAAGAGAACCTTGTTGGGCGGAATAGAACCGTAGGTACGGGAGCGAGAGCCTGAGCCAGAGGGCCTGAGCCTAAGCGTGAGGGGCACAACGCGACGGGCAAGGATAGCGGTGAGGACGTGGCTGGACGTTGCGTCTGCCCGAAATGTGTCTTGTGGTGTTTTGGAGAACGAACGGAGAAGAGCGAAGAAGACCAGGGAAAATAGAAAGAAAAGTCTGCCCGTCAGTGGTCACGACGATAGTCCCCAATGGAGGTCGGGCCTGGTGGGTTGGGTTGGCTGGCACCTCAGACGTGGATCCGCGGCAGAAAGTGGTGCGGTGCGGTGCGGTGCGGTCTGATTCTTAGCCCAGTGTGGAGGACAAACAGAATTAACCCAAGTGGATCTCGGGGTACCGTAGTATTTGCTATTAGTCGAGGAGGACGCAGGTGAGGTACAGTATGGAGAACGGGCGAGAGGGAGACCACGGGGCCGTGTACCGAAGGAGGTTGTTGCGAGCGTTGGCGTTCACGTTCACGTTCAGTGCAGTCCAGCCCAGTAGTGAGTGACTCCAGTCGATGCAGCCCAGCCGGCAGTCACGCAATATATGAAATGCCGTGGCGGTTGGGCGCAGAAGGCGCAAGAAGATGCAAGACACTGAACGGCAGGCAGGCAGGCAGGTAGGAATGAAAGATGCTCCTTATCTGCGTGCTGTCTGGGATTTCATGTCTTGTGCCAGCAGCAAGCAGCAAATGGTCGGTCCGAGAGCAGCAGGTTGACAAGAGAACAACAGACCAGACAATTGCTTGATCCCTGGTTGCCGCCGTATCAAGTCTGACCAGCCAGAGCCGATCAGCCTGGACTAATAATAATACATGGGAGGCATACTTTTGTAGCCCACGGTATACCGAGGACTGGTACCGCTGCTGGAGGAAGGCTGAGTGATGATGTACACTCCACTGCTCCATCAAGCTCCATCGACCTTTGTACTGTAGACTATGTACTGTAGTCATCCACACATCCACACAGGTCCGCGTCACATCCAGGATGGACACCTTGGGGCCGAGTGGGAGGACGGGGAGGGGGAGAGATGGGCAGGGCGGCAGAGCAGGAGAGAGACGAGACGAGCAGAGCAGAGCAGAGGCGCACGAGGTTGGCATGGGCTTTGTCGATTCGACAGCGAGGTCGGGCTTTGCATGGCGAATGTGAGGGAATGAGGGTGAGGTTATTACCTAAAAGATTCCATCAACCGACGGCTGCTGTTGGCCAGGGGCAGGACAGGCCCTGTTGGCAATTGCCAAACCGAACCGACTTAGCGACCAGATAAAATTCAGAATTTTCCCCCCTTCCATGGAAGGGAGAAAGCTTCAGCTCGACAGTAAGAGATGGGTACACAGACGGGGGGAGGGTGGCCGTCATCACCAGGGAAGGAGCTTTGGCTGATTTGATATTGTTAGATACAGCACCGTATGATAGATGGGAAGGGCAGGCACCTTGTTGGCCCTCCCCTCCCTGACCGGTTCGTGAGTCGGTGTTATCAATGTCTGCAGGAGTACGTACCTCTCTCTCTCTCTTTCCCCTGCCCTTGTGTGCTGCTGCTGCCAAAGTCCCCTTCCCGGCTCACCTTGGAAAGACTTTCCTCTTCAGGATCAGGGCGATGCAGGGCAGGGAGCGACACCACGAGGGCCTGGCTTGCGGCTCAAGTGGTCTGGCTGCTCGGGTGGTGGAGGGGAGGGTGCGATCCTTGTACCCACGTACCCCTCCAAGGATTGTCTGTCAGCTTTGCACTGAGAGTCTTGCACGCAACTCGGGCAGCTGCCAGGAGGGAAAGGCACACCCACCCCGCCCACATACACACACTCACACACGGTACAGTAGCAGCAATAAGGTGGGACCTGGGTTTCTGCTCAATGCACGAAGCATCAGACTGCACCCCTCCGCCCCTCCGTATTACCTTAGTATTACCCCCAGCTTTTTGCACGCAACTTTTTCGTTTGCCATTGTCTGCACCGCGATGGAGACCCATGGAGACGTGATTGTTTCCCATTCCCGGGCCCTGCAGCTGCAGTCAACCCACACGCCGGGCCATGCCCATCTCACAATTCGCAGTGTCATCAGCCTTGCCCCGAGTCAGTTCCCACGGATGCCCAGGCCCGCCCAAGCGAGCAAGGCTGATAGCATCCCGCCGCTTGACCCCAGGCTTCTTTGCTTCTTCTTATCTCTACCGCAGTAGATCATCTCGCAATTGTCCTCGTGCCAGATGACGGCAGAGTGCCAGATTCCATTTCGGGCGCATTCCTGTCGGAGCACTCTGCCCTAGCTGCCCGGACGGTCCTACTCTAGCACATTCAATCAATCAATCAGTCAATCAACCGCGCATTGATTGCCAGCAATATACTACCCAGCAGCAATACCGCCTCGTACTTGTACCAGAACACAAAAAACCACCTGCCACCGACTCGACTCAGCGACCTGGTCTCGTCAGTTGGACGTCATTGTGCGTGCGTGCCTGCTCGGACGTACTGACTAGATTTTTACGTGCCAGCTTGCCTCGTCTTAGTCTGGCCATTATCGCAGCCTCCAGCGCCTGCGCCCTGAGTCCTGCCGCTCCAAACTCGTCGGCCCTGCAGCCCTCCAGTGAGTCTTCGAGGCGGCTTCGTCCTAAATCCATCATATACACACACATCGCACGCAAGCAGCCAGCCAGGCGCTCTTGAGAATAGCAGCCGGGCCGGCCACTTCTCCAATAAGGATTGCAGTCACACGGTGCTAAGTCAACCCGGTCTTATTATGGTGTCGATATCAACCGTCTTATCGCTGCCATCCTCCACCCCTTCGCTATCGGAGCGGGCTCCAGATACCGAATGTTCCGATCGCCTGGGGTCCCAGCTCATTGGGTCGACCGCTCCCCAGTTGCGCTGGTCCTGGCGTGATTTCTGGATGGTGGGCGAGAACCGCTCCTCTGGCCCGTAGGCCGCCCGCGGCTCGCTGAAGTCCTTGCAGCCCCAAGCGCGACGAAACCTAAAGCACTGTTTTTCGTTACGTACAAGTCGTGTTAACTAACGCTCTTATGGTCAGCTTTTCCCAATGGCCTTGGCCTTTTTATGCCGTCATGAGACAGTCGATGGCGCGTGTTCATGCTGCCCGTCCTGCCCGTACGGTCTAGCCCCTTTTCGATGTTCAGCACATCTCCGCGGAGCTCCTCCTTCTCTCTGTCATTCATTCCTCTGGCCGCCGTTGGACCCCCTGTTTATTTCCGCACCAACACGACCATGGTCTTGGTGTTTAGCCCCGAGAGGCAGGCAGCGCACCAGCCTCAAGTGATAATGGCGTTGCAGCACGCAAACCCTGGCCGGCCCGGCGTCCTCCGCAGCAACACTACTACCGTGCGCTCCTCTCTATCGCCCTGCCCCATGGGGAAAGTCACGTCCCCAGCGAACAAGCTTCTCCTAAAAACCGGAGAAAATGTCCCACTCTCTAGCATATCATATAATAGGTGCCAGGCTGCAAGATGTACCGTAGATGCACTATCGTCGTACCTGAGCCAAGCCGATTGTAGTAGGTCGACTTGGGCTACGGGCCACACAGCCGGTCTCGGGTGATCCGATCGGTTGATCCGATGGCAGCTACGAAGTGCTCATGTGGGCAATGTTTCAATCCTATTGATAATGATACCTGTCGACATGGCCCCGCCGTGCCTGCCAATTTGAGAAAAGCCATCCAACGACCACGGCATGAACCGTGGAATGTCTGTATTGAAGGGGAGGCAACATTTCCAGCTCGTGCCGGAACTATCCTACTGGCGAGACCGGCTATGGTTCATTATGTCGTTGCATGACCTGTCTGCTTCCGGGCAATCGCTGACCACGTCCGTGCCATCGCCTGGAAACGCCAACCCCTATAATCCCTGGTGGTAGCTGCCGCTCATGTAATCCGAATCCATGAAATTGATACCTGAATAGTCGAAGGAGCTGGCGTCGCCCATCCACTGATCAGCATTAGAAGACGGGTCAAAGGTGGCATTGGCACGGATGGCCCTCTCCAGTGAGGTCCAGTCGATCGTCTCCATCGCGTCCGTCGCCTCCGGCAACCATGCGGCTTCCGTGCTGAGATCGGTTCCCATAGGTCTTGTCGTGGAGCCATGTTTACTCAGTTGTGGTTGGGGCGCTGGCGACGCGTTGAAATTGCCTTGACCAGGCACAGATGATACTAGGCGTGGATGGTCAGTCCTAATCATGGTGTACGCAGCGGTTGAAACGTCTTCATGGAGGCCCGCGAGATGCTTACCATTGATCCTCAAGCTGTCCAATGATGGGTAATAGACTGTTGGCCCAGAGGCCTGAGGCCTCGGTACTTCAGCCAGCATTGAGACAGGCTCCCCCTTTGCAGCACGGCTCTTCTCGATCTTGCGAAACATGATAGCGAGAACCTCCGGCGCCTTCCTGACCTCCGGCGCGGCAGTGGCAACCTCCATCCATATGCGGTGCGACCGCTTCAGCGATTCCATAAGCTGCCTCTTACTTGGCAGGACCGTGTCCTCCTTCGTCCAGTCAAAGTCCCCGCCGGGCTCGGCATAGTGGTCGTTCTGGATGACGAGGTAGACGACCATGGCCGCGAGTAAGAGGTCATGCATGGCGAGGCTCGACACGAACCAGCCGTTCTGGCTGAGCATGCCGCCTGGCTTCGTCGCCTCAAAGACCGAGTTCTGGTACTCCAGCAGCCCCATCGCCGCCAGCAGGCACCTTCGCCTCGAGTATTCGTGCTCCTTGCGTGGCGCCTTCTCGACCAGGTACCGCCTGTGCAACACGCAGATGGCCTTGTGGTACAGCGCCGCGATGCCGAACCGCTGGACCACCTGGAATGGCGGGTCCGTCACGCACTCTTCCAGCGGCCTGACCTTCATGAAGGGTGGCATTGCGTCGAACTTTGCTGCCAGCTGAGTGTCCAGGTCCATAACTTCTTCATATGTCGGCTCTGTCAGCGCGTGTGCCTGCCTCGCTACGAGGCCGAACAGCTTGCAGATCCCGGCTTTGAATGTTGGGTAGGTCATGTGTGTATACTCTGTGTCTGGCCTGGCTGGAGGTAGTTCCTTGGTATCCTCGTCAAAGTCCTCGTCCATTAAATTCCTCGGTGGCAATGTATCGCTTTCAATGCCATGGATCACTAGAGCTCTGTCAGTCAAGGACACCGACATCTTCTCACAAAAAAAGTCGCGCGCTGAGGGTCTCTCTTGAGACTGCTTCAGAAGCAGATGAGGTCCTTTCAAAACAGTCAGAGTCACTTACTGCTAGGCAAGCCGAGGTGGAACGACACCATCAGGTCAATCTGGATTGCCAGGTTCCACATGCGCCGACCCATCTCAGCTTCAAAGGGCGAGATCTGGGTCCCGGGGAGCTTTGTCGGGTCACGGTGCAGCCCCATCTTCAGCATGAGGCGGATGCACACGCTCGACAGCAGGTAGCAGTTCATCTGCGACGTGCGGTTGATGAGGAAGTCGGCCTCGACGTACAGGAGGAAGGGCGCACAGGTCAGCGGGCCCGGGGGCGAGAACCCGTACAGCCCATCGCGCGACGACGTGTACGTCAGCGCCGACCCGGCCGCGGCGCGGTATTGGCGAAATCGCTGCATGGGCGTCAGCGGGACATTGTCGCTAGCGAGCTCGTGTGGCGCCATGAAGTTGCTGAAGAAGATGGCCAGCGCGAAAACCACTCCTTTGCGTTAGCCAAAGTAATACATTCTAGAACATTTCAAAGCACAAAGATCGGGGAACTGTAGCAGCAGAAGAATAGCACTCACTGTACAGGAGCGCAAAGAAGTCCAGCTCTATGGTCCGGGAGGTCGGATCCGCCCAGAACCCATTGTACTGTCGTTCTCATGTGTCAGTGCCAGTTGATCTCATCTCGGATGCGCAGCTTATCTCAGGGGGGTGTGGGCGACACTGAGGAAATAAAGCATACGAATCTACTGAACGTCGGCCTGTGGACAATGTCTATCAACCTTTGTCGTCAGCATGTTTATTTTAGACTTGGGCTGGGAACGAAAAAAAAAAAAAAAAAAGGACGGTCAAGAGTGGCTTGCGTACGCTGTGAGGCTGAATATGCGTTGAAGTACCGCATGACAAGTCGGTCTGCGACGTGTTTCGAAGGCAACATGTCTATGAGATCCTGCCTGCTCCTTGGCGAGGGCCTGTCCCCGAGGAGGACGGCGGGCGAGTCCACATCGGCGGCGAAGTACTCTGGCGAGTCCTCATCGATGTCCTTGTTGCTGTCTCCGTCGTCGAAGTAGCTCTTGAGGTCCTCGATCTGTAAGGCACACTGAGTCAGCTCTCTCTTCTCTATCTCTACTTACACATACTCCTCCTCGTGCTCCTATATACATAAATATAAGGAACAGACAACACGTACATCGCCCAACATAGCCATGAAATGCGTAGCTCCCACATAAGTGGTGTTGCCTCCCCTCGCCCCTGGGCCCCTGACGACCTGAGCCCCCGCGGCCGACGAGGCAGGCGTCCCGGCGTCGTCGTCGTCGTCGTCATCGCCGCCACCGCCACCGCCGCCGCCGTCCCCCAAGCTCGCCGCCGTGCGCTCCGAGGACGGCTCCCGGATGTTGCCGTCCTCGTCGAGCATCTCGCGCACCATGCCCTCGAGCCTCTTCAGGCGCGCGGCCATGCTCTTTGGTGGCTTGTTCTTGACGGGCTTTGGCGCGTACTTGCAGAGGTCCGTACGGGACTTCTTGAGGCAGTTTGTGCATGGCCTGTGATGCGCTCGTTAGCATCGCGGAATGCTCCTCGGAAGGCACTGGGAACAAATAATATCTCTGGTTTTGGGGGGGGGGATTAACATCGGCTATCTTCCACGTCGTCTACATGAATGTGAAAAACTAAATGAACATCCCTTCAAATCTTGTCCATGTGGAAAATGACCACCCTCCCAACCCGTCTTATCGTGATATGAACAAGGGGCCACCTACACGGCTCTGTCACATTTTAACTTTGAGCTCCGGCATGGCGCACATGAGAGGAGCACCCGCGACCTCTTTGGGGGCGCATCCGCGGCGGTTCCGACCGACGAAGCTGTTTTGGCTGATTTGGCATGCCCCGAAATGTCCATCTTATCCATCGTCAACATCACAAGGGTCCAAGGAAGGCAGAGGTTTCTAATGATCTGTAAGCAGCTCGAGGGTCTGGTATCCCCAGGTTTGGGGCGTGTCAGTCTCAGGGGTAGGTGCGCCGGCTGCTCGGGGCTGGCGGAGTACCCGATTGTGCGTGCGGCGCGAGCACCTACTGATGCTGCTAGGAAAAGATGTGCACTTGAAGTGAATTGCTTTGTGTGATCTTGACAATCGATTACATCTAAGGTTTGTTGCAGCAATGTTCAGTGGAATCTTTTGCACGTGAGATGCGAATCCTAAAGGACGTGTATTCAATATCGCTGCCTTCAGCTGGCTTCAATTGTATGACTAAGCTGGCCAGAAAGGGGCAAGTCGTCTGGGCTGCCCATGAAGCGGCCGAATTCCACGTAGAGATGCCATTCATGATATGTTTACTTCGACCTCTACAGCCGCAGTCGCAAGCCAATTTCGGTCGGCCGTAGCTCTTCTGCACTGCGGATTTGATCTGACCTTTCCTCAGGAAACGGAATGCGTGAAGTCCACATCACCCCAGCCCGCACAATTATGTGCTAGACATCCATCCACAGTCGCAGATTGAATCTGCACTGGGCGGCTCTCACCCATTGTGAGTCCTGACGGAGCCTAGTCGTGGCGTAGGTAATGGCCTCATGACCCTGAGCTGTCTAGTGATCTCCCAGATTGCAACGATCGTCCAATATGGAACGGCCTCCGCCCAATTAACAGGCATGACCCCGTAGGTCCCAATAAACAAAGCCTCCAAACTCTCGTGGCTGGCTTCTGCGGTCCAGTCACGCCCGTTTTTCAGGAAGACCACCCTGAATTTGTCTGCGCTTGCACAGCAGACTTCTGAGAGGGCTGGAGGCGGCACTACCGCCCATCCGGGTTTAAAGATATCCTCTTTGCAGTAATTCCACCTCACGTCGAGAAAGAATCAGGGAGCCTCTCGATAACATATTTGCCACGTCCGACAGAGAGAATGGGAACACCGGGTATCTTTCGTAGTCTGCGCTTCAAATCTCGATCGTTGGTGGCGACGATGTAGATTCGGTTCTTCATACACCTGTCCACAATACCTATACACTTCAAGTCAGTAATCCCATCTCCTGCGGCGTGCAAATCGGGGGTTCTTCGACATACAGTCATCTGCGTACGTGCCGCTGTGAACGGTGTCACAGGGCAGGCGCTTCCACCTCTCGTCTCTTGCGATGCGCAAAGCAATCCGGTACTTGGGGCCAAGCTTCTCCAGCTCGGCCATGACGCAGGATGTGATCAGGACCTCGACCTTTGCGTAAAGAGCATCCATCATGCCTTCCAACATTTCGATTTTGCGTGATACCGTGTGGGACAGAAAATTGGTGTCCACAATGACCTGATAGGGCGGAACGAGAGCGGTGTTGTGTTGGAAGAACATAGACGAGGGCGCCTGAGGGACCTCGCGGACTATATCATGGATGTGGTCAGTCTACTGCCTGAGGTATAGTATAGCCGAGGTGGTAGGCGGGATCGTGGTTGCAGTGGTAGTGAGGGCCGTAGAGGGGACATACTGAGCTCTCCATTTGCGGCAGCCTTGTTCTTGGTTTGTTGGACGATGTCGGCCTTTTCACGGTTCTCCTTCACTCTGTCATCGCGTTTGCCGATGACTCGCTTGGTTTGCTGTTGGGCCTCATGTGGTCAGCGTCGATCTTGTGGAGGCTGGCAGGAAAGATGGGGAGATTGAACTAACCGCGAACTTTCTGGTTTTCTTTGCGACTCCCATTGTGAAGAAGTGCCTGGAGTGCCTGGAGTGCCTGGAATTAGTTGTGTCAAGTCCCAGGTTTGAATGGCGTGTCGTCGTGCGTGGGTGGAAATGTGTGGCCGAATAGATAGATGGATGTTGAATGCGACAGAAGGCTCAGAAAATAAAATCCCGTTCAAAGTTTCGGCAGGCAACGGGACGCTACCGAGGACCCGTAGCGGGGAGACTGGTCTGTGTGTACAGTGCGGAGTCACCTGAGATGTAGGCCACCTGGGTGCTCTAGTGTCCAGGTATCCAGGTAGAAGATTGCTTTTCTGCAGCCACCGATTAGCTGCAGACAGCCGTCTTCAGCATACTTTTTAGGTCGGCATGGTCGGCTACGTCGGGTGGTTGGTACGTATTGATGTACAGATGCAAGGACCTGTCAGCTCGTCAGCCTGTTCGCCTGTCAGCCCAGCGCGCGAGATCAACATTGCAACCAGATACATTCCAGATCAACATTGGCGTCGCTTGGTTCGCAGCCTGAAGTCTGCAAAACAGTCTACTGTTTACACCATCTATATCATCTGGTGATGGATTCGAAGACTGTGGTAAAGAAAGATAGATGCCCAGCCAGTGCATCGATTGCAACGGCGTCTTTGCTTCTGTTTCTACACGAGACAGGGGTGGAAATCCCAAGGGACTGGGCCGTCAAGTGATCTGGCGCCATCTCACAGACACGAGCCCAATGGCGAAGTGGAGGCGACAGGTGGTGCAGAAGTAGGGAGTACGGAGCAGAATACATTTACCACCACCAAAACTAGACTGCGTTGTAATGTACCTTGTAGACCCCCTTTTCCACCTGTGCCTGTGCCTGTGCCTCTTGCTAATCCTGTTCCTGGTGCGGTGCTGACTGCTGCTCCAAGGCCCTTCTCTATTGCTTTAGCTGCGGATCCCAATTCCTCTCCACTCTCCCCCAGATCCGATCACCCCCAGGGTTGTCTTGTCCGTCGGCGTGATCAAACGAGGACGACCACCGTTCGCTCTCCCTACCTTTTTGGTGCTTTCTTGGTGTCCTTCAATCATCAAGCATCATCATCTCATCAACATCCCCACTCCGGTTCAGGCCTGCTTCTTTGTCTCCCCGCGGGCCGCCTTCCATCTTCGACCCACGACCACGAGCACGAGTTACACGCCCCAGGGATTCGTCCTCCCTCGACTGCGTTGGTACGAGCCTTGCACAGCCGCCACACGAAACCAACCAAGACCCATTCCGACCGAACACGGCGTCAAGGGCAATCGCGCAATCCTGCCCTTTGCAAACCTTTGTCCTCTTCTGTCAAAACTACAAGGGCTTTCTTCGCCCATTTACTTCTGCCCTTCATTACTGCACGAGTGGGAGCCGGCCGTTCAGCCGCACAGCCAGTCAAGATGAGGAGATCACGGCTTTCCCTGAAGCGCTCGCTGCTTCTGTCGACCACCTTCACCCTGTCGCTTCTGGCCGCTGGGGCGTTGGCTCAGACTGACGATACGACTTCGGCCGATGCCACAACGACAGGTGATGATACTGCCACCACCACTGCCAGTGATGCCATGCCCACCATTGGCCAGACGTCGGCCGACGGTGGTGATACCACAACGGCGACTACATCGGCCGCCTCGGCCACCAGCGACATGCCGAGTCTGTCTACGAGTGATTCTAGCGTCGACTCGGACATGCCCACCATCAGCACTACTTCTGCCGGAGATACGGCCATTCCTACGTACCCTGCACCGAGCGTGCCTCCCACGCAAAACGCCCCCTTCATGCAGGTATCCACGTTACCCGACGGCACTGTCTTCATCTGCGTCGGTGCTGTGCTGGGTGCTTTCGCCCTCGCCCTTCTGCTATGGCGCGCAATCATCGCATGCTTGCTCCACCGTTCAGTTGAGAAGGCCGCCATGGGCCACCATCTTGGCAATGACAAGGCTTCATTCCCCGCGCCGCCTGCGCCATTTCACAAGTATACCGACCAGGACTCATCACAGAACGCGAATTCTGGACGTGGTGTGCGCAGAACTACGAGGGGCCCCGTCCCATCCGCTACCCCCTCGCAAACGAACCTCTTCTTCTCGCCTACCGCAGGCGCTGGCAATCGTGAATCGGTGTATCGTGACTCGGTGTACCGCGAGACTCCAAATAGGGACTCATCGTACAGGGACTCACGCTTCTTGCCCGCCGGTTTCTACGCCGCAGGCACCTCATCCCCACAGAACATGGACGGCCACGGCCACAGCCAATCTATCAGCATGACCAATCTGCGGCCAGACTCTCGTGGACATCCTCGCGCCTCGTCAAGCCACAGCCCTCCTGAGTCTCCTGGCTTCGGGCCCCAGAGGGCACCACTGCACCGGAACAACATAAGCAGCAGCAGCGTCAATCTGAATGCCCCACAAAACGGACGGGCGCCGAGCGCCTTCCTGGACGACCTGCTTGGTGACCACCCCGAGATGTTCCCGCCGCAGGGAACAACGCCCGATGCCAGGACGGGCACTAATAATGGCAACCATCCTTACCGGCAGAGCGGGCGGTTCTAGTTGGACGCCTCAGTCCCCTGCCTGGAGACCAAACTGTCCAAGGTTTCGGAATGGAGCGGAGAATCTCATGGCGCAGCGCGGGTCGAGCTCGAGGTGCTGGCCGTGGACGACAGCGAAGAGACTCTGTGTCCGAGAGATTAGACCTTTGCACGCTAGTTTGCAGGAATATGGAGGTTAGCTCACGTGGCGTGGCTAGGAGGACTGTACGGGGGTAAGAACGTCACGAGGCCCTTCAGGGGTCTGTCAGAGTACGACGATTGCAAGAATCATGCTTACATGCCTCCACTGGCAAGGCGCAGGCGTATCCCTTGAGCACGAATGGCTTTTTGACTGGCATTGGCATTTGAGAACGGCGTCTAGGGGAAACGGGAACAAACAAGCATCGGCTTGGCTCGGTTTGCTTTTTTCTGTGTATCAACTTTGAACTACTGGCACATGACGGCCTCTGCTACTACTAATAATGATATACTCCTTCAACTTTTACTCTTCACTTCTCGCGGCCATCTCTCTCCCAGGATGATCGACAAGTACTTATTATCCGCGTGTGTGACCGAGTGTAAACAAGCAAGGTAGTATATTTGTGGCGTGTGTCCAGTAGACAGCGCCTGCGTGATTGACAGCTGCCAGCTGCCAGATCTACGGCAACAAGCACATTTTCGCGTCGCACACGCATCTGAGCGCAACATGCGCCCTGCCCCTGCCCTGGTGTAACGAAGCCCTGCCCTGTCCATCTTGTCTAAAACCCTGCCGTGCAATGCTCGCTTTGGCAAGGCGTGCAAGGCTACTTATCTGTTACACGAGCTGAGGAAAAAAGCATGAAAGCCACTCTCTGCACTGGCTAGGGCACTGTCCCCGGTGGCACGGACGTTGGTGCTCCCAGCTGAAGAATATCTATCTGTACGCGGGCGGCAGCCGGTTTGCTGACGTTGGCCTAGGATTTGGAGGGTTGGAGTTTGCGTGCATAGATATCACGACACAAACAGCTCGGATGGCAACATCTGACCCCACGGCCTTCTCATCCGGACCAGACCTCGTCCGCCATTACAAATCGATGCGGAGGGGGAATTATCGATCCAGGTCAATATCAACCCGGGTCGGCCGGAAGGGAAGACCGTTATCAGCTGTAATTACAGCTCATCAGCACTTCTGAGTCGTCCGAGTTTCTATCCATCGTATGTATGCATGTATCGTCATTATGTCTTATTCATTCTCAGCGAAGAGAATCTATGAGATCGTTAATTATCTACAGTATGCTCCCATCAGAATCGTTTTTTGAACACATTAGGAAAGGGAAAAAAAGGCAACTATGCAATGCCAGCTAAGACGATGAATGCATGCGGAGTCGCCTCTCAACATGATATGACTTCTCTCAGTAAGCACCGTCAAGGTTTCGGGCCGCCCGTAAGCCCGCGCCAGGCCAAAAAGCTTCATCACTCGTCTCACGACTTCTCATCTCTGCGCTCCTCGTCATCCCAGCTCCGCACCCTCCCAACACCATCACCGCCCTCAGCCTCAGCAGCGCGGAGGCCCTCCTTGGCGCCGCGGATATCCTCGAGACGGATGCCGCTGCGCTCGCACATGCCGCGGAAGATGCCCCCCTCGTCGGCCCACAGCTCGAGCGGCGGGCCCAGCTCGGCGATGCGGCCCTGGTCCATGACGCAGATGCGGTCGTAGCCGACGATGGTGCGCAGCCGGTGCGCGATGCACAGCAGCGTCTTGCCGCGGAACCCGCTCGCGATCGTCGCCTGGATCTTGTCGTCCGTCTCCATGTCCACCGAGCTCGTCGCCTCGTCGCACACGATGATCTGGCTGCCCCGCACCAGCGCCCGCGCCAGCGCCATCAGCTGCCGCTGGCCCAGCGAGAAGTTCAGCCCGTCCTCCTCCACCACGCTGTCCAGGTGTATCCGCGACGGGTCCTTGGCTGCCCCCGCCGCCGCGGCGGTGGTGGGGGATGAGGAGTCCGACCCGGGCGTGGCATCGCTCACCAAGTCTGCTTGCCGCAGCGCCGACCACAGCTCGAGGTCGTCGTGCTCGTTGAAGGGGTCCAGGTTGCTGCGCACCGTGCCACGGAAGAGGGTCGGGTCCTGCGGGATGATGGCGAGGCGCTTGCGTAGGTCGTTGAGCCCGATGGTGGAGATGTCGACGCCGTCGATGGTGATGCGGCCGGCCGAGATCTCGACGAGCCGGAATAGCGTGCTCATGATGGAGCTCTTTCCAGCGCCCGTCCGCCCCACGATGCCGATGCGCTCCCCGCCCCGCACGTGCATGTCCAGGCCCTTGAGCACGAGCGGCAGGCCCTCGCGGTAGCACATCTCGACGTTGTCGAAGATGATCTCGCCCTTCTCGGGCCACGTCGGCCGCACCTCGACCGTGTGCAGCGGCGCCTCCTCCTCCAGCTGCGTGCCGTAGTACCGCAGACGCTCCACCGCGTTCATGCCGTTCTCCACCTCAGCGAGCTGCCGCACCGTGAACTGGATCATCTGCACGATGGCGAGGATGTACGACAGCACGAGGCCGCCGATGGATGGCGGTACGTTGAACCGCTCGGTGACGACGAGGATGCCAGTCGTGAAGACCAGGGCGTTGCCGATGGCGTCGAGGCGCACCGACAGCCAGCGCTGGTTGCTGAAGGTCAGGTAGTACGCAGCGTTCATCTCGTCGATGGCGATGCGTAGGTCGTCGATGAAGCGGTCCTTCAGGCCGTACGCCCGGATCGAAGAAACACCAGACAGGCCCTCGCCGAACTTGGCGAAGACGCTAGACCGGAAGACAGACTCAAAACGCTTGACCTCGCGGGCAGAGGTACGGTAGTAGCTTGTTGCGAAGAGGAAGAGGAAGAACAGTGGCACCAGTGCGATGGCGAAGTAGTGGAAGTATGCGATGATGAGCGCAAAGGTCGACAGGATGGCCGCGACGGAGAAAAAATACATCCTCATCGCGTCCGACAGGTTGTTATCCATGACGTCCACGTCCCGCGAGAAGCGGTTCGTGATCCGGCCCAGCGGCGTGGTATCGAAGAAGGACATCGGGGCGCGGAGTACCCGCGTGATGGCATCGCGCAGCATGCTCTTTGAAGCGGAGGTACCAACAATCGTCAGCGTAACCATGAAAGAGAACATGAGAAGGGCCTGCACGGCCCCCAAGCCGGCGTAGATGCCTATATACTGCCCTTGCGAGAGTTTGTACTGGTCGGACGTCCACCACGACAGCCAGAGACTGGTCATGATATTTGCAGCCTGCGAGACGACGAGAAGAACGAAAATCAGGAATGCGTTGAACAGCGACCCCGACGCGCGAACGTAATCGCCATATACAGACCACGGCACACTGGCCACCGCGCGTTCCTCGGACTGCATCAGGCTCTTGCCCTTCTTTCTCTTGCCCTTGGCTTCATTCGCATCAGGCATCTGACCAACCTCGGCACCCTCCTGCTTCTCCTCCAGCGCGGTTGACTCCATGAGCTGCTGGAAGCCGACATGCTCCTTCATGAGGTTGTCAAAGGTGTCGATGGCTTGAATGCGGCCCTGGTCCATCCAGATGATCCGGTCGCAGCGGTTGAGCACCCACAGTTGGTGCGTGGCCAGGATACGACATTTGTCCTTGAGCAAGCCCAGGATTGCGTTGTCGAAAATGTGGCGGCCAACGTGGGCATCGACGGCGCTGAGAGGGTCGTCCATGAGAATGATATCGGCATCGAAGTAAATGGCGCGCGCGATGTTTAACCGCTGTTTTTGACCACCTGAGATGGTGATTCCTCTCTCGCCAATCTCAGTCGCGTCACCGTTGGGCAACATGTCCAGATCAGGCTTCAAAGCACAGCTGTGATTCTGTTAGTAAGGGCTCCTCCAAACAACTTGTCTACTTTTGTATGGATGAGATGGAAGATATGTCCGGTCGTCCAATTGTCGCGAGTAGTTCGGAGGAGGGAACTTACGCTTTGATCACTTCTTTATACCACGACCGATCCATATCCTTTCCGAACAGGATATTGTCCTTCACGGTCTGTACAAAATTTGGGTCAGCACAATCTCAAGAGCAACGATGAACCAGAAGTATGGAGCTCGTGAGGCATGTCTCTTGAGCTAGAAGAAAACTCGTGGGAACAGATGGAGTAGCACAATACTTACAGTGTTCTGGATCCACGCATATTGAGGACAAAAAGCCCTCGAGGCACCCAGTACCACCTCACCACTCGTCTTGCGCATGTCACCAGCCAGCGCAGCGAGAAGCGACGTCTTGCCGCTACCCACAGTGCCGATGACAGCGACCAGCTCGTTCCGGCCGATCTCGAACCCGATGTCGTGCAGCTTGAACGGCTCGCGCTCCTCCACCAGGGTGCTGCCGTTGTCGTCCATCTCGGCCGGCGGCGACGCCTTTGGGCCCTTGCCGTTCTTCTCCTTGAGCGGTGTTTTCTTGCCCTGCTTCTTGCCGCCGGGGACCTGGTCGTTCTCCTGCGTCGGCGTGCGCTCCCACGTGAAGCTTGCGTCGCGCATCTCTACCGCGCTGGGCGCTTCGGCCTTGAACGTCGCCTCGTCGGCCTGCTCTTCCAGCAGCAGGTACTCCTGGATACGCTTCAGCGAGTTCCAGGCGTCGGTTGTCTGGCCTATGACGAGTGGGAGCAGGTTGAGCGGCATTCGCAGGCCGTTGAACAGGGCCAGGGAGCTGAAAACCTCGGCGGCGGCCAGGCCGTGGTTCGAGAGCGTGTAGGTGATGAAGGAAAGCATAGACGCGAAGATGGGCAGCGAGAGGGAGACGGCCATGATGGCGTTCCTCAGGGACATGAGTTTCTGGATCATGCCGATTTCCCGGCCGCGCAGCTCGGCCAGCCGGCCGAGGAACGAACTCTCCCACCCAAAGTACTTGACGAAGCGCACGGACTGCAGGATCTCCTGCGTCAGGGACACGCGCTGGTCGGTCACCTTGTTGATCACCATCCGGCGCCGGAACAGGCTCTTGATAGCCCTGGTGAGCAAGGGCATGCCGATGACCAGCAGGGCGAAGCCGGAGAGAGCGCTGTACGTCAAGTTGACGAGCAGCAGGGCGAGCGTGATGAGACACGACAGCGGAGCGGTCCAGATGAGATGGAAGAGACCGCAGGCCTGGTCGATACGGTAGGTGTCGACACTCATCAAGCTGACCACTCGGCCGTTACCCCAGCCGATCCCGTCTCCAAGAACACCAGCCTTGGGCGGAGAATTATCCTGCTTCTTGCCGTCCTTGCCCTTCTTTTTCTTTTTCTTCTCATCCGGCTTCTCATCTCCGTTGACAGCCCCATTCCCATTCTCCGGGTTATCAGTGAGCGACCTACCTCCCGCCTTGGCCCGGCCCGACACAGACATGGACTTCTCGTAGATCAAGCTGATTAGGGCAGCTCTTGACATGCCGCCGATCAACATACCGCGATAGATGAAGTGGTTCGTCCCCAGACTCTGCAATATTTGCATAGCCGTCACGCCAAACACCAACCCCAAGCCCCTGCCGATGTTCGGCGCCGGGGCACCCGTCGTCTGCGCTATGTACGCATCGGTCGCGAACTGGATCAGATACCGCAGAGTGAAGGGCGACATGACCTGCATGATGGTCGACGAGAGCTGGCAGGCGCCGCTGAGCCAGAACTCGAAGAAGTAGACCTCATGCAGTGCCCACAGCAGCGGGTACTTGTCGCCGGCGTCCCTGCGCTTCTTGAAGGAGGCGTTGAGTTCCTTGGACATCTTGATGACGCTGCGGTTCGGGTTGACGGACCAGATGTCCTTCTGCTCCAGCGGCCGCTTGTAGCCCGTCACCATCAGCGGCCCTTGCCACATGAAGAACAGCTGGCTGAGGAAGCTGGCCTTGTACTCGTGCGACACATCGCGCTCCTCGGGCACTGGCGGGACCTTGCCCCATCGCAGGGGGTTGACCTTCTTGTACCATGGCTTCTTGGCCTGGCGCTCGTCTGCGCCTTGATGACTTGTCGCCTGAGTAGTGGCGCTGGCGTCTGTCGCATAACTCCGTGTCCGGTGAACTTCCTGCCGTGTTTCTGTCGTGCCCTTTACTTTTTCCTTCTCGTTGTTGCTGTCGCTCTCGGAATGGTAGTCATCCATTGCCTCACCGGCATCATCGTAGTCGTCCTCATCTTGGTCAACCCTGTGGCCTTGTAATGCGGCCTCGGCGATTTCTTTTTCCTCTTCGACATGTTCCCTCTCCGAGTTCATACTGGTGACCCTCGCCAGAGGGTCTGCTGGCTGCATATCCCTGTCATAGCTGGCCACGCTCGAAGCTTTTCTCAAAGACGGCCTTGAGGACTGCCTTGATGGTCCCATGTTTTCTACCTTCTGGACTGCGATAATGCAGCCTTGTCAACTCGGCCGGCTTCCTCCCCACTTGCCGTATCTAGCACGTAACGGCTCAACTCGGTCTCACTGTGAATCCAGGATTAAGAAGTGGTGAGTGAGTGAGTGAGAGTTGAGTAGGCCGTGGATGAATGAGCGACAACAAATATGGGGCACTAGAAAGACCAATGTCAGAGAAGAAACAGGCAGACGTGGAACGACACAAAGCAAAAGTGTCGGTATTATTAATGTATGAAATGGTGAGTGAATGATGATGACCCCCGGCGACTTTGGGGCCCGTAGCGCGTCCGGAATGGGGAGGCGTTGAGCCCACCGCCTCGTGGCCGAATTGGTGCTTGCCGCCACCCCCCTCCCCTCCCCACCCCACTCCGAATTGGACTGTGTGTGCAAGAATATCGAGATATGCAGTAGAAAAGCACATATACTGTACTGTACGCACGGCTAGCCGCTGTCGGGTTTCGAGTCAACCGGCCGGGAACGTTGCACTAGCAAAGCAGGCTATTCTGCCTAGTCCGTCCTGCCGTTGCGTCGAGTCGAGTCGTATCCGGCTCTGTGGGAGTCGGGATTGGGATGGTTTTACCTTGGGTGTGATTGGACCTGTGCCCGTCTCGGTTCCGATGTCAGAATCTTGCCAGGGGAAATGGTGTGGTAAGAAAAAATAAGGCCGTTCCGTTCCTGGTGTTCTGCCCCGAGCCGGAATTCGGCTGAGCTGCCTCTACCTCAAACAAGCAAACAGTAGTTATTGAGAGCAACTAGTGTGCAGTGAAAGAAAAAGGCATAGACAATATCAAGGGAGGTCGCGCAGTCTCCACAAGAGATGCGATTCGTGTTGTTGATTATATTAGACGAAGCAGATCAATGCCACTGACTTCTAGGATGTGAAGAAAAAATTAAAAGGCAAGAGGTGCCCGAGATGTTCGGGGAAGCTGCTCAGATGATTCCAGAAGTCATGGGCCACGACGGAAGAAGCAGCAATACACGGGACGGGCGTTTCGACATTGATATGAGGTTGACCCTCTCCCAGGCCGGGATTGGTAGCGACTCAGTTGCCCGAGCCGGATTGCTAATCCAGTGGTGGGCCGGAGAACAAGTCCTACGCTTTGTTACATGTCCATCTGCTGCACATTAGTCTTAATTGGTACAGGAGCCAGGCAGGCCCACGATCCTGGATCCATTGAGGCAGATGGGTCCCGGTGGGGGGACATATGAACAGCTTTGTAAGATGCTCTCGACCTCCCCTTTAGTATACCATAGAATAGTATCTATTTGTTCACTCAACACTATAACACTCGAAAGCCTTCTAGCCTCGCCTAGAGATAACCACGCATTCCAAGGCCATGGTGGTGATGTACTGAGCTGATGTCCGTCCTAATGACATGTTTGTGGCTTCGTCTCACGGCAGACCTCTTTTGCCCGTCATCGATGAGGACGCCCCATCGAACGTATACGTATTCAATAGGCAACGTATAACGTATAGCAACCCCAGACTGAGCAGCCCAGTCCTCTCGGAAGACGTCTGAAGAAGCTCCTAAGGTTCACGGCAAGGTTCAGGGCTGATGATAGCTCACGATTGAAACAGACACCTCAGAGCGGTAAACTCAATTTGCCAAGGTTCAATCCTCGATAGACTTCCAGGATTCCCACTGAAGATCCCCCCGTCCCCAAAAAGCCAAGCCAGAGGAGCTCAGACAGGGATCCGAATTGCCATGTATCGAGACTCCACCAGAAGAAGAAAGAGAGCAAGAAAAGAGCAGAGAGAAACCCACTCACTGTCTCGGCCACCCCCATTTGTTCTCGAAAGCACCCCGGCTCCCGGACAGCAAGCCAGAAAGAAGCCTAAAAAGCTTCGCTCCGGCTAGGACGGCATTCACTGGTGCACGGCCGGGCTCTACTGTAGCTAGGTAAATACCATAGGAGGAGGGCAATGCCGCGCCAGCGACAGCCGGGTCACCACTTGTCGCGGTCGGCATGCTGCACGGACGACAACGTCGGCGCGAGGCAATCGACAACGGCGCAGCGAATCGTCCGAACCCGACACCTCCCCCAGGCAAGTCGGCGCTTGGCATCGCAATATCCAGCCACCACCACCAGGAGGCAACGCTGTGGGCAAGGCAGATAGCAACAGCAGGTCAGAGCAGAAAGTGTCGAGGGGCCAACAGACGCAGCAGATGCGAGCGACCGAGTGATGACGCTCAGATATGCAGCAGCCTTGGGGCCTGTACAAGCAAGCAGTCCACCCCTCTCGTCCAGCATGGCATGGGCTTGCTCGAGGCATGGGCATTGCATGGGGTGTGCAAGGTGGCAGCCCGTGCCGGTTTCGAACGCACACCCTCGCATCTAAGTCGTATTTACGGTCCAAAACCCCGGAACTCGTGGCCTTTCCCTGATGGGGAAAGAGGGTGTAAGAAAGGGGGCCAGTGAAAGCCTGGCCGCTTCGGCACCGAGGACGAGCATGGATGCCTATGAATGAGTCAAAACGAAATGGATCGTGTCGTCTGTTTTTTCCTCCTCACATACGGGGCTCGGAGTTGGGTGAAGGGGTGCCAATCAGATACGTGAACTCCGACACATGCTGTAAGACGGAGGGGCTCTTCGTCCCGCCCGCTGGAAACCTCACACCGACTCGAGTTGGGGTCGTTGGCCATCTTTGATTGCTTGTCTTGTTACCGAAGTGGTCCCTCTTCCTCCGCCCTGGCCGTGGGGCCGTCGATGATGCCTTCAAGCTTCCGGGTCGGGGCTCCGCCGTGGGATTCGGGCACGCCGGGAATCCCGATCATCAATGCGTACACTTGGATCCTTGAAATGTTCCAAGTGGTGGAGGCTTTGCCTTCTTCGATTTACCAGTGTCAAAACGCCCAATCAAAGTATCACAGTCTATTTCACTTGAATAAATTCAGGGACTAGAGTGTACCTGTGCGGCCGCATGATGGAATCTGGACTCAAATATCTGGACTTACCCAGAGATGCCAGGCAGTTGTGGAAAAGAAGAACTAAAGATGAAGCAAATCTCGTGCTGCTGGTGAGCTCTGTAATACGAAAATGTTTCACGATTTTACGATTCACTCTTGTTGTTTGGCTGCTCCCTGCATTACACAATGGGGCTCTTTGTCCGTGCGACGGGTCCTTGTACGGGTCACTATCACCGCTCCGCTCTGATCTCCATCTTCGTGCCACGCACTCGTCCTTAGTCTTTCATAGAATGCTACTATGATCCCAAAGTCTCCACCGAAATCACGCTGACTTGAGATGGAGTTTGAATTCCCAAACCATGTAGGCTGTTCTGATGGGCAAATCTGGTGCACCAGGCGACATATCTTCTTCGAGTTGTATCATGGTCAAATTGTTCTCTTGTCTAACTCATACATCTACCAGTCTATGCACTAATGGCTGCATGTCTTTCGCCTTGTCCTCGTAGGAAGGGACACACCGTATTCCTACATGAATGCCAGGCCATTGGGCCTGAATGCCTCCAGTTTTGGGACCCCGCGTGTGGCTGTTGGCAGCCACTCCATCCTGCCGTCATCTAATCGGACAAGATGAGTTACCCTGTCCTGAGGCTGGTCTTGTCCAACTCTGAAATCAGTCGCGCAGTCTGTATTCCCACGTTCACTTCGGTATGCGTGGTCCAATCCAGAGTCATCTAGGCCACCATACATGACGCAGACTGTTTAGGGGAACCATTCACTATCAGGAATGGATGTAAAGATATTATGTCGCTCATCAACCTCCCATAACCCCTGTTTTGTAAAACTCTGCAGACCGTAAGAGCCTCTTTTCTGATGAGGACCACTCCATCCGCATCGCTGGTCTTTTGGAGCTGGTTCTGGCATGTTACCAGAGAAAGGGGCAGCCGCAGAGACGGTTAATCTACTCCGAATCAGAGACGTCCTTTCGACCGAGCATAGTAAGCTCTATGTCGTCAAGCTCTTCGTCTTCGGCGTCTCCCTCGCCATCTCCGTCCTCACGGTCACTCGCTATACCCAGGAGCTCTTTATCTTCCTCGTTGAGATCCTCGGCGTCCTCCATGGCAACATCACCGTTGGAGCTGGCAGGTACGCCGTTGGACTTGCTCCGGGACAGGCCCCTAGGTGCCGCCAGCAAGCTCCCGTCTAGGCTGAAGTTTGTTGCGTCGAGCTCCTCTTCAGTCTCGTCGGGGTCTCTACCGTCGTTCGCGGGTTCGGGCCTGGGCTTCTTGATCGTAGCCACTGGTCCAACATCGGGACCATTGTAGCGCTCCCATCTGTCGAGACGGCGGGTGGCTCGGCGCAGCGCTGCTGAGTAGGCAACCATCTCCTCGCCAAAATCGTCTTGTTCAGTGACAAGGGACACCAGACCACCGAGGCCCCTTTCCCGGAAGGCTGTCTTCCTTGCAGTAACAGGATCGACACCGGGAGCGAAGGCTGCGGGGCCAACCAAAAGATGATGCTTCATTGCGCTGACGTTTTCATCTCCCTCGCTGTCCTCGAACGGATCTTCCATTTGCAGCACGCGTTTTGCAGCTCGAATGATGGCGCCATCCGTTTTGCGGAGACGACGCGACTTCTTATGCCGCTTCCTGATGCCGCGGTCCAGAATGTGCTCAACACGTTGAGACCGGTTGCGCTCGACAGCTATCTGGTGTGCCGTTGGCGGCCTGGGCTTTCGTGGCACTATTCCCTCGATCATCTGCGGACCGCCAGGGGATGATCCCTCAAATATCTGGTACTTAAGTGGCGCACCACCCCGGCGAGAGCTACCAATGCCATCCTTATGACGACCAGGACCTCGTGGCGGAGGAGTCGAGCGGACGCTATCCATGTCGGACTCGTGCTTCGAGGGCCTGATTCGAGGCAGGATGCCCATTGTTGAACCATCTTCTCCGGCCGGGAACATTCGTGCTCTCGCAGCTCCACGCTTGGTATTAGACTCGATGGCATACTGTTGGTCTGCCTCGATGATCTTCTTCCTCATGGCCTGCTTCTGAAGACCGAAGTCCAGTTCTTCTTGTGTATCGACGTTTTCGTATTCCTGCTCCGTCCGTGATAACTGCTCCAGACGGGGCACGCCTTGATTGGCCACATCCACGCCGTAGTCGACACCCTCGCCGAAAGGGTTCTCCATGCAGCCCTCCTCTGTAAAGTCTGACTCCAGGTAGAACCACATGATCCACAAGAAAGCACGAGCCCTTGAGGTGCTGCTGGTGTCTGTCTTCATGATAAGATCGTGGAACTCGCCGCCAGGAGGAAAGTGTAATTCAGCAATCTTAGCAGCTGAAGCACAGATGACAAACAAGAGATTCACGGGATTGGTTCTGGGGACGTTCATTTGCTTGATGCCATCCAGCGTAGAAGGCTCCACGCGATCTTCTGAGCCACCCTTCAGTATCGACTTCAGCCTAGGAGCGTCCTGCAATTGCTTGTACGAGTTTGGGTCCTGGCGTGCTTGGAGGGATGGAATGGCATGGTACGTCCGTAGCTGAGCTCGCATCTCTGGGAAGACTGCACAGGGATCGATCAGGATCAGTCATGCACACACATCGCAGGAGTATGTTGGGGAACACGTACAATTCAGGGTGGTGTTCATCCGGCCGATGTTGACCAGAAGACAGACCATGGCCATGCCCTTTGCGGCTTCCCGATCGCTAAGCAGTTTGTCGCGCAGGACCTTGCTGGTCTTGGAGCTTCTCGACATGGTGTCGATGTAGAGGTCGGCGAAGCATTGTTTCGGCTTGCTTGGTTCCCAGCTGTTGGTGAAAACTGGCTTCTCGTTGTCGAAGACGGCCTTGAGGAAGTCGTACTGGATATCGACGCGCCAGAGTGGCTCGCCGTCATCCTTCTTGAGATGCCTGACCTTGCCGATAGAAGGCTGGCTGTTGGCATTGTGTCTGCCGCGACGGCGCGTGCCAGGTTCGGGGGTGCCCATCTTGGAGCGGTCTTCGTCCTCGGTGACGTTGGTCATGAAGGACCTCTCGTAGCGGGCGATGTGTGCTGGAGGGGAGCTTGGAGGCTCGTCGGGCGTGGCCGCCCTGGAGGATGGCGAGGCGGCCATCGTGACAAAGGGAAGGGAATGAAATGCGCCGTGTGGCGCTAGACGGGGTGCTGGTTGGGTGGGATTGACTGCAGGATCTGATGGTGTGTGCTGGCTGTTTGTGAGTCGCGCAGCCGAGTTGGCGTTTGCGGCACGCACAGTAAGACGAATGAATTGTGGTTTCGCAAGCAGGAAGGGATGCGATGCGAGACACAATCAGCACGCTCAGGTCAGCTCAGCGCAGCTTGACGCACGGCAGGGACACGCAGCAGCGCGTGAGATGATGCGAGCGACAGACTGTGCGGTGCCTTGTGGGGGTGGTGTGTTGTGGTGCAGCACGACGCAACGAGGCAACGCAACACCCGGCAACAAACGCAGTGCGATACAATACGAAGCCTGCTGATGGGAAATCGATGGTGGGTGGAATGGATGGGACGGATGGAAGGATGAATGAGTTGGTTGGGTTGGATGGTTTGTGGACGGTGACGATGGATTGAGAGATGGTAGAAAAGAAAACAGGCTGGCAGTCAAGTCAACCGTGCTCTGGCCGATCCAGAGCTGGAGCTGGAGTTGGTGCCGCAGCTGGTGCTGGTGGTGCAATAAGCTCCCAGGAACTCGGAGGTTCCATTTCCATTTTGGAACTGCAGCCCAGCCCGGGCACGTCGCGAACTTGGATGGCTCTAAATTGGATGGCACGGCTGGATCGTCACGGTAGCTCGCTGGGGGGCTCGACCAGGCCTGGCAGGGTGACATGGGACCAGCAAAACCTAGGCCCACCTTTTTTTGCTCTCAAGGGACCGCGCCAGGAATGTATACGTAAGCGAGTTGATGCGATGCATGTACCAAAGTACTCTTCCGTACCTCTGTACCCAAAGTCTAAGTACGCCCGTACCGTAGCAACTTGAGGCAAAGACCTCTAAACAGGTTGTCGCAGCATTTTCAGAATCAAGTCTCTACAGGCAAATACTAATTCTGGAGGGGATAAAAGTTGAATGAGTCAAAAAGTGAATTTAATACTGTAAAAATTAATGTGCACATATGCGAATCCAGTGTAGGCACATTTTCTCACCTCCAAGGTTATCTAGAACCCCACTAAACCGGCATCGTCAGATGTGTACTCACCATCTTTCTCTGTCATCTTTTTTGGCGGTTTCTCAACTTGGTCTTTTTGTAACCCAGTTGAGATCATGGCATCCGCTGCAAATATCCCCCTCATCGACATCTCCGCCTCAGGCGAAGAAGCACAGCTCAGGGTCGCCAAGGAACTGGTCGATGCGGCGGTTGAGCATGGCTTCGTCTACATCAGAAACACGGGCGCCGATATACCGGCAGATGCCGTAGATCGCGCTTTTGATTTGGTACGATTCTGGTCCCCGTCTTCTCCTGCATTCATCCGTGCTGATCGGGCGAATTGTAGGGCAAGAAGCTTTTTGACGCTCCTCTGGAGGAAAAGCAAAAGTGCACGATCCAGAAGAACAACCGCGGCTGGGGTGGCATGAAATATGAGACACTGGATCCTAAGAACCAGAAGGTACGTTGAAGCTGGCTTTGTGACATGCACATAAGGCTAAAAGTCTTCCAGAGCGGGGATCTCAAGGAGTAAGGCATTCCGAAGGGCCTTCTCAGCGTCTAGATGTGAGTGACTGACGACAATCAGGGCCTTCAACTTTGGCGCCTTTGAAGATGGGAAAGCCCAACAGCCTATACCTGAGAGCGTTGCCTCTTACGAGAGCCAATACAGTGACTTCTGTATGTCAAGCCTCCGACCCAGTCTCTCCTTCCCGAGAACCAAGAACCAAACGCCTGACCCACCACAGATGAGTTCTGCTACAAACTTTGTCTAAAGATAAACTACCTCCTGGGAATCGGGCTCGAAGTCCAGCCACCGACCTTCTTCCGCGACCGCCACCTCCGCGAGGGCGGGCCAAGCGGCAACATCCTGCGCTTCCTGTACTACCCGCCGCCGGGGTCCCTCGACCAGGACGACGGGGGCGAGGACGACGTCCGCGCGGGCGCCCACTCGGACTACGGCAGCATCACGCTGCTCTTCCGGCTGGCGGGCCAGGCCGGGCTGGAGGTCAGCCTGCGGGACGGGTCGTGGGCGCCCGTGCCCGTGGTCCCGCCGGGCGCGGAGGGCGACCCCAGCCCGCCCATCCTCGTCAACATCGGCGACCTGCTCAGCTACTGGACCAACGGGCTGCTGCGGTCGACCGTGCATAGGGTCGTGTTCCCCGGTGCCGGCGGCGGGGCCCTGCTCAGCGGGGAGAGCTGCTCCGAGCCGCGGTACAGCATTGCGTTCTTCTGTCACCCGGTCGGGACGACGACGCTGGAGGCTGTTCCGAGCGAGAGGGTCAGGGCCCACGAGCCCACGGATGGCGCTGAGTGGGCGGAGCGGGGGGCGAATCCGGATGTGGAGAGGAAGGCTATCACTGCCGACGAGCACCTGCAGATGAGGCTCAGGGCGTCGTATCTACAGATGTATGATAAGGAAGAGAAGCAGTAGACTGACTGTGTGGCTGCTGAGCGAGATTGCAAAATCATATGCATTGAGGAATAAGCCATATGTACGTGTGCTCCCTTATGCTCGCCTGTCTATCATTTCTATCGAGATGCCACATCCAGCCATGCTATTAAATCATCGCTGTGGTCTCTTCCCAATGCAAAATGCACCTTATACCCATGCCTATGCTTCCCAGACCCAATGCAAATTAACTCTTGCTCCAGTCTATTGTTAATCCCTCCTCTCATCGATGCACCCAAAATAGTATCTCCTCCAGAGCTCCTCGCGGTTGGCACCCGTCCTCGCAGTCTGCCTCGTACCACTGCCATCGCTCCTCTGATTCTTCTTCTCTTCTTCGGTGATGGCTTCTAGAAGCCGCCAGTCGTATGCCAAAACAATTTCCACATCGCCGTTGCGTCTGCGCAACGGGCTCGATTCCAGCTTTCGGATGAATGCGTTTGTGGACTCCCTGCGTTGGCGTTCAACGAGTACAAGTCTCCGGGGCCTCCTCATAGGACCGGTCTGGGGCGCATTCGACGCAAGCCATGACGGGATATCAGTGAAAACAGCGTTAACTCCGTGGGCCGGCAGAACGTCCTCGGTGAGCAGAGGCATGCTTGCGATGCATGGGGAGAGAAGCACGAAGAAGCCCGCCAGTGCGCATACACCGCCGGCGTACCCGCAAGTGAATGCTGCGGGGCTCAGGGGAAGGAGAGGGCTTGAACCAGATGTCGTTGACACTTTCTCGGCAGGCTCCCCCAATTTGGTATCATCCAAGATCCAATTATCTGTTGCATCCGCAGGCATGCACGGCACATTTGGCATAAACACGTTTCCCTGTGACGATGGTGCCGAAGTGATGTCCTCCAGCGGCTGGCGTTGGCTCCGCTGGCTGTTAGACAGCGTAGGCGACGTCAGGTCAATGACCTCAGGTTCATTGTTCCTACTTTTTGTTCGACGTGACGGAGTTGAGAGCGGCTCTCTTCGCCGCTTGCGAGATGGTTGGGCCTGCGCCGAGGTGGAGTCCTCTGACGGCTGCAACGCGGACGATATGGGAGGCGTCGGCAGTCCAGCCTTGACTGCAGCGATAGTATTGGCGGGATGTGGCCTGACTGGGGAATCTTCAATACTGCGCTGTGGTGTTCTGCACTGAGATGCAGATGTGCTTGCCGTCGCCTCTGTCGACTGACTCTCATGTACGGTCGCTCTCCGCGTCTTTGGCTCGGCTTGCTCCAAAGCTTCAATCCACTGCGCCAGCTCTTGGCTATCTTCTTTGTCCGGACACTTTATATCATCTTCGGCCAGTACCTGGAGCTCCTGAAATGTGATGCAATCCATCCAAGTCCTGTCAGTATGTATCTTTGACACGTAAGGGAACCGCAAGCTCCAGAACGGCGTGTTGGATTCCTTGTGGAAGGAGAAGCAAGTCATGTCGAAAACAGCCGGCTCGGTGAACACAGTGATGATCTTACTGCCCTGAACTATGCCAGGTGGTACGTTGAGGACTGGTGCCCTATCGTCTGTCAAAGGTACTGTATCCGTGAACCATGTCCTCCTGAAGTGATCAAGCATGGTAGCATTCATCTCGACCTCATTCACAACCGTGAACTCTGGCCTGGCATCCCAACGCTCGACAGCCTCTTTGTTTGTGAGGCAACCGAGATAAAAATGTGTGTATTTGACGTTCGGCATCTTCAGCACCTTGGCCCTGGTAGCACAATAACGGCCTGCAATCACTGCGAAGTCGCCCACGTCCCCCATTTTTTTGATGAAGCCCTTCTTCAGCTTCACGCAGCAAGACGCGTATCTACGCCTGCTGCGCCCGAAGCTGAAATACGGCTCGTCAGGTTTGAGCACAAGCCCCTCCTCCCGCTTGACAATGCAGGAAGCAAACGCCTCTCGCAACTCTTCAGCTGCGATACGTGATGTGAAGTTGATGATCTGCCTTTGTACGAGTGCCGCTCGCCCAGTCTGGCATTGTACCAACCGTGAGAGTCGGGAAAATCGTTCTGAGTGCCGAATGTTGAGGAGAGATTCATCGTCAACGCGAAGCAAGTCATAATAGACTATCATTAAGTGCTCCCACTCGTGAGCCTGGCTGTCTTCGTCAGTGCCGATGAATCTTCCGGATCTGCTAACATGCTTGCGTATTTTGTCGAAGCTCAATATCCTTTGTTCTTTATCGCTCCACACGGCCATTTCTCCCTCGAGTATGCAATAACTTTTGATTTTGCATGAGGGAGTGCCCAGCTCCAGAGAAGCTTCGATAGTCTTGTGCAGCCGCTTCCTGTCTTGAGTGCTATCCTTGCCACTCTTGGAGAATATTTGTATTCTGCAGTTCGAGCCCTTGGAGAGGTCAATATGGATTTGGCAATATTCGCCGTCCAATTTGTTCTCAACGCTCATTAGCCCCCTGCCCATTTCCAGGCAATGCTTGATGCTACGGCCTTTCAGCCATGTCTGGCGACCAACCTTGACACCAATTTGGGGTTTGAGCAGTCTTGGTAGATCTTCCGGCTCCATCTCTCCATATGTCACACGGCCGCATTGTTGCTCTAGCAAACGTGTAGCAACAACAAAATTATCGTGTATCTTCATGGTAGTAGGCAAAAGGTGGTGGCAGCAAGCGTAGACCAGCCATTCTGGTACTACCACAGGAAGGAAGCTCTTTAGGATTAATCTCGTGACCCATTTTGCCTCTCTTGCGGACAGTCTGCGAAACAGTGCCTCGAGAGGTCCATCTTGCTTTGCAAGTGAAGAACCAACAGACGGGGCTCCAGAGGACCTCACTGATGGTGCACTGAACAGATTGTTGGCTGCTAAGGCATGCAGAATAGTGTCGATCTCTTCTACCGTCACAGGCGGTGTCCGAGGATTGGGGGTTTGCTGAAGGATCGCTTCCGCGCATTCAGCAAGATCAAGGCCGGACCCGGAGACCGTCCACCTGCTCAACTCCTTGACCCTTGAGTAGCCGAGGCCAAATGCTCTCGCAAGCTTTGGTTGCAGAGTCTTTTCTTTGATGCTGTACACTCGATCGGTGCGCCTCTCCGGCAGCAAGGTGGACAACAAGGCACACTTGTCAGTACCATCATCGTCCAGTTCCTGTCGATAGCGTGCAAACCAGTCCTCGACAATTGCTCGGTCTCCTTTTCGGTGTCGTCTGCGGCCGAGGTCGTTCTCCAGGCTTTGTAATAGATCGGCAACGGCGATAAAAGGGAATGGCATGGCTTGAAGCAGGCATGAGAAGTGAGCCACGGGAAGATGAAAGATGAAGATTAGGACCCAGCAGGCAGACGGCTGCGAGAGGAAAATGAGAGACTCTGGTGTGTCGATTACTTATGAAGTAGGCAGCCATCCGGGAGGAACAAAGGAGAGGGTGGGTTGAGTGAGCTGACTTGATGCCTCAGCCCGTCCCGATTGGCAAAGAGGTGGGCGACAACTTCATTTCGAGGTCGCGTGCCCGCGGTCGAAACATACTGTACGACCGATTCACAAGGCTTATTCCTTCCCGTCTTTTTGTGACGCGGTGGACCGGGATGACGCGCCTTCAACTTTAGGGTGAAGGCAGAAAAGGGTGTAGTGCTACTTAGACTGATCGTCAGTATATTGTACGGCGGCCGACAAGGATCCTGGACCTTCAGGCAAGACTTGACCCGTACAGTACATGGCGTTCCTTCCTGTAGGACAACCTCTTGTGGAAAAATCTATGGGATGACCTCTTATGGGATAACATCCCATGGAACAAAGTCCTATGGAATAATACGCTGTGAGAAGGCCAGCTCTGGGATAGTAGACTATCCACTTGATCACAATGAAGGAGCACCAGGCACCGGGCATCGGCTTACCTCGGCACCGATCCCAGCTTATCTTATCGGCCAGCCCGTCTCCGATCCTCGCTCTCCTGGGTCTGGCGCTTGCGATGGGCCTCCACGCTATGCCCAACCATGCAGGGCAAGTGCAAGACAGATCTATACATAGCCTAAGGTACATGGTCGACATACTATGGCTGAAAGGCTGATCAGTTCTACATCCCGAATTAATGATCAAGTGACAAAGTCTCAGGTTACGGGCCAGGGTGGCAAGATGCATGTACGATCAAAGCTGAGGTTTTGGACTCCTGGATGCTGAGTCAGATGACCCTGAGGACGGTGATGGGATGGTCTCATTTGAAATCAGAGGAGCCCCACCAACACACAGACAGTCGTCATATTGAGAGACGGATGGATGGTTTGGTGTTTCGCGAAAGTCGCCCACCACAGTGCACCGTGACTGAGCCGGGTAAGCGAGGGAAACGTTGCCTATCCTATTGTCGACCGGCTTGTCGACCCATTGTGTATTTCTGCGGACTGTCTTCCCCCCTGCTGCTTTCCTTTTGCTCATGCAGTCAACAATGTATCATTCATCATCTATTGTTGTCCTTGTCTGGTGGGGGCTTATCGCGCTTAGGCCGACTGGGCCCCGGCCCTCAAGGTGCGGCGGGCGCGGCCCCTTCTGCCCTGATCTGCAACGGCACCTGCGCTGGTCCAACTTTCTTAAACCACCATCTCTGCTCTTTATTGTCGTCCGTACCCTCCCCCTTCTTCCGACACAACAAATCCTTTCACTGTCTCTGCTGAAAGCCATTCACTTTGTTTAGCCGTACCCTCGAGATCACGGCCACTTGTCTTTGAAATTGTCCGACGTCTTCCGCCCTCTATGCACCAACTCTTGTGACTCCCGACCGCCACCCTGCGTCACGAGTCCCCTCGAGTCAACCGCTCCAGACAGCCTCGACGTCCGAGACCACACTAAGTCCGCCCAACACGGCTCGCTTCCTAACACAACCTCGGCCAACGCCGTCTCCGGAACTATCGGCTACAATAAATACCTTTTGCAGGCCTCGACACCTCTACCGCCAAGTCTGGGCCTCATCACATTAAACGCACAAGTCATCAATCATGTCTGCCGACAAGCCCTCGTCCGCTGCGGCGAAGCAGCGCATCATGGGAGACCTTAAGCAGGTGTCGTCGGAGAAGTGGGTTCGAGTTGATGTGTGTGAAAACATGGCATTCCAAACTCACTATGGCACACAGCTGATGAAAGTGTACAGGCTGACGAGACCAACCTTTTCCGCTGGCAACTTGCTCTGATGGTGGTCAACCCTGATAGTGCCTTCAACGGTGGTTACCTCAAGGTTGGTGGACCCTTGATACAACAAAGCCCGGACCGTGGCATCGCCTGGGCTCGAGCTTGTGCTGACTTGACCTCAGGCCGAGATGATCTTCCCCCACGATTACCCATACTCGCCACCTAAATTCCGTTTTCTGCGGCCCATCTTCCACCCCAACATCTATCCTGACGGGCAGCTCTGTATTTCCATCCTCCACAAGCCGGGCGAGGACCTCATGTCAGGCGAGAGCGCAACCGAGCGATGGTCTCCCCTACAAGGGGCAGAGTCCGTCCTGCGATCCATTCTGCTCCTTCTCGACGACCCCGAGATTAACTCCCCGGCTAACGTCGATGCTGGTGTCATGTACCGGGATAACCGAAAGGCGTACAACGAGAGGGCTCGCAAGACGGTGGGTGACTCGAAGAAAGACATACCAGACGACTTCGTCATGCCGACCACGCTCGAGCCCGAGGCACCTCCACAAAAGGCCATGGACGATGACTGGTTGAATGAGAGCGAGGAGGAGTTTGACTGGGAGGCGAGTGGCTCTGATGACGATATGGAGGATGCAGAGGATGAGGAGGATGATCTTTAGGCATGGCGAACCACTATCTATCGCCCTGTCTTATACCTCTCTTCTCTGAAGTCTCCCGGACTCGACTCATGGATCCCTTAGTGGGCAGCGGTGTGCCGCAGGGCTGTCTCCACTATCAAGTCTTGCCCGTCACGAAAGACTCAAATTATTTGCATAGCGCGCGTTTACAACAATTGGTTGGCGTTCAGGAATTACACACGAGCCAGGAAGGGCGGCGTCCCCCTTCGACTCTTAATCGGGATCAAGCGCCGATGCTCATTACAGTCGGATCTGAAGAGCTGGAAGTGTGGAAGGCCCCGTCTGATTTGAGGCCAGAGGAGGAAAGGCGTCAGAGGGGAGGAAAGAAAGAGACGCCGGGCTGTGTTGCACCCCACAGCCTCAGGTCATTCAACCGGAGCTGCATATCATGGTGCAGGGACAGACCGTAACATACCTCAGAATCAACCCCTTGCCTGGCCCGGACAGCATGTGCTGTGCTTACAAGAGGCCAGGTCATCTTTGAACATAGAAATGAATACACATACTATAAAACTTGATAGTTATCGAGCGTGACATAATCAATATTATTGCAAGGAAAGGAAAGCATTGCATGGTGATCAGTGCCACCAGCCGAGGTGACAATTACTGCCGTACAGTGTGCCGTTGTTGAAGATAAGTGTGCAGAGTACAATACAGGGGGAGTCCCCGCTAGCACTGTTACTACTGACCGGGGAGCAAGCTTCTGGGCCTGCCGGGGCAGTGTCGGGGCTCTTACGTAGCTGCATTCCTTGTCTGACAGAACCTCAACTTCATCTTGGCTCTGTATGCAGCGGAGGAAGAAACCTCCTTTAGACCTTCTTCATTCAATACAATCATTTGTGCTGTACATAGCTTCCTCACTGGGCTCAAGACAACAGGACTGCGATACTCCCTGCGATCACGATCTTGGCTGTTGGGGAGGGTTCAGGAACAACCTCGCGGTCGCCGTGATCCACCGTGGTCTCGTCGCAACCCTCTGCACGTTCTCTGCCCCTCTTCAACTTGCCACTTTCGAGACTATCGACGACCCCGGCCTTCATGGACTACGAGTCGAACCGAAGATTCTGAATATCTGAGACCACAGAAAGAGCTATTCTACACAGACCTGTCATAAAGGACCACGGGTGTACGAGGTACACAGGACAGCAGCCATGGCGGACCCCAGCGAGGCAGAGATTAACTCTGTCTGCGAGATGTTGGAGGCCTACGATACGAAAGACAGGCAGATGTTTTCCAGAGCGCTCAAGGTGCGTACAAGCTGATCCTGCGATCTATATCCTTCCATCACAGCTGGCTGACACCTTCCATTCTCAGGCCAACAACGGCAGCATCCCACAGGTGGTCAACGAATACTTCGAAGGCCAAGATACGGTACATAATTCTCTGAAAAGCAAGGAGGTGGAATAAGAAGCCGGTGTTGCGGTGCTGACAGACAGAAGTTCAGGGCCAAGTATTCATGGGACGAGGGACAGTTCATGGCAGACCGAGACGGCTCAAGCTTACCAAGTGGGTTTTGCATCCGTTGACATCCCTTGCTGGCATGGTGCTGATTTGTCTTGTCTCCAGGCTTCCAGGTCCAAGGGCCGGATCAGTACGATTCTACTGCCAACGCATGGGACCAAACTGGTGCGCTTCCCGCGCCGTCACGACCACCATCCAGAGCGCAAAACAGATCACCTCTGGGTAAGATGATAGATTGGACGACAAGTTATACAGTTGGTACTGATATATCATGCTCGGTTCTGATATTCTGCCTTTCCAACTCCCCCTGCCGTCCTACTCATTGATCGCACGGTTGGGTTGGAATACTGATGTCGCAACAGGTGCACCCACGACTCAGCAGCAAGCCGACGAAGATCTGAATCGAGCTCTTCTCGAATCCGCCAGCGGCGCCGCTTCCAGAGGTGCCACTCCCCAAGAAAGTGGTCTCATCAGCAACGACCCCAGCCTTCCATTCTTCGGCCCAGCCAACAGGGAGAACTATCAAGACGACCAGTGGGCAATGGTTCGTGTGAACAAGGAGGGATCTGACCCGCCGCCATCGGGGAGGAAACGAGATCCTTCTGCGCCAGCCTTCCTCCTTTGCCGTCAGCAAGGTGTACAGAAATACCGCCTTGGTCCGCTTATGATGATCAAGCATGAAATCCCCGCAGCAAGAAACTTTTTCCTGTCTTTAGACGCTTTCGACCCGCCCGTGTCGTATGGACACAACAACTCTTGGTGGAAGGGCGATCCCATACTTTCCACGAACAGCGAATCAGCGGAAGATTTCCCCGAAGCTTGGTCGAACGACTACCGAAGTGTCAAGCTGGAGGATGAAATTCAACGCTTGATGGCTTTTCTTGACGATACACAGCGCAGCTACGGAACCGCCGATTCACTGTGCGAGAGTCCGCTTATGAAGAACGTCTGGGGTGACCACGTGGTACAGTTTTATCAGAACTTGTACCTCAAGGCCGGCTCTCAGATTGTTCGTTCAACAATGTGGACACTCGTTCGTTTTGAATCAGGCGCCGATGAAATTCCTGCTCCAATGACGCCACCTACGTCCGAGTTTGGCATCCTCGAGTTTAGAGTACCGAATGAGCTCTCGGACGTTCTTCACAGCCTTTACAGCTCATGGGATGCTTTGTTTTGGATCAACCAGGACACTGAACTTTCCTGTTTCCCACAAGACGAATCGGAGCGAACCGCGTACATGGAAAATCCTGCGGAAGTACTTACTATGCGAATCAAGCTTGAGGATCATCGTATCGAGATTCCAGAGACCTTCTACATCGACAGATATCTTGAGAAGAACCTCGGCACCGCCCGTATTTTGAAATCGCAGATGTTCCAGATCTGGCAGGCGCTGGCAAAGAGCAAAGATGCGGAGAACAAGATCACAAAGTGGAAGGATCCAACCAATGCCTGGAAAGAGTACGACAAGATTGCGCTGACCAAAAAGGTGATCGCAAATGTGGAGAACCAGATTTGGAAAGTCAGGGCGAATGCCCTGTGGAGAAAGCACGAACAATCAGTCGGGACCGAAGATGAGATACCATACCTACCCAGCGAGTTGAACCACCTTGCCGAGCTGAACGAGGACGAGAGCAAAACTGTGGAAGTGTTTGAGTCTGAGATCGAAGTCGCACGGCGGAAGCTGGTGAAAATCGACCAACAGCTGGCTCGTAAGTGTAGAGACTTGAGCTGGGGCCTTGTCGACATCGCGCTGACGTTTTGATAGGTCTTGGGCAGGAGAAGGAGGCGTGTTGTAACTTGCTTCGGCAAATGGCCGAGGTCTTGACAGTTCCAAGCGAGGAACCGGAAATGGATCCACATCACAAGTACACTTTGCGAGGAGTCATCACATCGCCGGAAGTGGTATACATGTGCAGGCGAACAGAGGCCAATCCTTCGGAGACGGAGGCTACAGGCACGAAGGTCGACCAATGGTGGAGGATTGCTTGGGTGGCTGGTGACGAGAATCCTGTCAGACAGGAGGTAAGTCAAGCACTGGCCCTCATTTCTTCATTCGATATTAATCATTTTCAAATAGGCCACAACGATCGCCAAGGTTCAGGAAGCAATATTCACTGAAGTTGACACAGATGGCTCGAAAGTACCAATACTCGTGTATGCGACGGACAAGGCTCTGGACGAGGAGCCGGCACCTCTATCCGATGCGCTTAAGGTACGTCCATCCGCAAATATCTTCGAATCTTTGATAGCGTTAGTTTGTTGAGTTAACACACCCCAGACTTTCGTTAAGTTCGACAACCGCCTTTTCAAGCAAGAGTTATTGGAAGAACCTACGCCTACAGACAAGAAGCGGAACGCGCCGCAGCTGCCAGAATCTCCGCTAAAGAGACAGAGAAGTAATAGCGTCGACTCGATGGCTACGAATCGAGCATCTCTAGGAGACTTCAGTGACGTCGAGGAACGGGACGCGCTACTAGGAGACCAGCGACTACCGGACGACCCTTTCCAATACGGTGACGGCACGGCCACGATGAGCACTGAGCTTGAGGACATGCGGTCGGTGCGAACTCAGGACCTCGCCGCGACAACGGGGGCGCCACCATCTCCTCCAATGTCAGCAAGAGACGATGCAAGCGACAACGGCTCACCCGGAATGCGAAGGTCCAGTGAGCGGCTTGCTAGGATCTCCTTGGACGGGAAGGGCCAGGAGGGTACTACAATAGAAATACCAAAAGGCCCAGAGATGGCTGAACGCGCGTCACCTGTGTCGCCTTTCATCGTCCGGCGGCCAAACGGTACTATCGACAAAAGGGCTTCCATCATGGACCAGGCCATGGAGATCGACGGGAGCATGGAGCTGCCGGCAGTGAGTGGGAATCCCGAGGACTACTACAAGTAGGATTTGCGGAGATACCTATCGGCAATGTGGCAACTCATGGGTCGGCGATAAAATATCAATCCTTCGCACTCGGGCAAGGGATACTCGCCACAAGTATCTAGTCAGTCTTGCACATACAAACAAGCTGATATACAGGCATACACATTGGCATATTTGGTGAGGGATGGGCGGACCCGTCCTATGCGACGGCGTTTAGCATAGATGAGAGAGCGGCGTGGGGCATTCGACAGCCGCACGCGGGATGGACATGATATTATCGGAACAAAACGGCGAAAACAAGGGGGGCGGGTCTTGCCGATGCAAGTCGGACAAGACAAGGAGCATGAGCATGTTAGAGGCATTAGGTCTCCGGTCATCATGTACGGAGGCAGACATAGCATCGACGAGCATAGCAAAAGAGGAATAGATACCCAATTGATCTCATGGGGTAGGTGGGCGGTCGCCTGAGGTGAGGGCCTTCGCTCGCTGTCTTGGTCTCGCTTGCTCTATTTTACCCATCCTACTACCTTGGTATCCTTGATAACCAGTAGATAATAGAACTCGATACCATAGTCTTCGACCAATAGCTTGTGGTCCGGCGGGCCAGGCAGCATCCGGTATGGGGGAGCGCCCGCCCAAGCCAGTCTGTGCTCGCGCCGCCAACAGCCTGACCAAGTGGAACGAGCAGCTCCGCCAGGAACCTTTTCGGCCCTCGACCACACACCGGCATCACCACCACCACCACCACCACAGGCCGACGCCAAGTTGCCGGGTTTTTGGCACCACAGAAGATATGCCCAGTAATACTGGTACATTCCGGGGCGAACCTGGTCTCGGGCAGACGCGCTTGCAAAGAGACCAAGTCCTTTCCCCTACCCTGTTTCCTCTCCAGGTAGACAGACCACCGATCAGGTCGCTTTATTTCGAGCTGTTTGACCTCCAAACATCCGAATCTTCGACATGAGGCGGGATGCGCGGTCTCTCTCATTGCCTCTGGGCTTTGAGGACGACATGAGCCAGAAATCGCGCTTTGGTCGACCTCGCCTCACTTGCCCCTCTCTTCCTCGGGGTACTGTCTGATAAGCGACAACCCGGGGCGGCGGTTGAAGTTTTCTGCCCTGCTCCTCCACGGCAGGTCCGGGAAGTGCTCCTCAACAGGTGCATATAGGTACGAGTAGGATTCTGGGGTCGAATGGATGAGCTGACTGGGAACTTCGCCTGAGCCTACAAAGTCCGGCCCGTATGGATAATGCGGAGATGGTTCATCCTGCGGTTTGGAATCCGTGGGACGAGGCTCACCCGTCGGCTGGAACGGATCCGCATCAGCGCCTTCAGAATCTGCTAGCCACTGCGACAAGAACGTTTGCTCTTCTCGCTGACTCACGGCCTTTTGGATAACCGCCATGACTGTTTTCTTTGGCCCGGGCTGGTCCGACGCAGTCGACCCGAAGATGTCTGTAAAAAGGAGCTGCTCTTCGCCCGTGAAGTCACCTTCGATAGACCCGACCCGTCCTCGAAGTTGACCCTCGTGGCTGTCCGAAGGCTTCTCGGACTTGTCGATTTCATCCTCGTCATCCGCTGGGAGGGCAAGAAGGGCCAGCCGTTCGAGATGGAACGTGACGTGTTTCTGTAACGCGCTCGCTTCAGAGAAGGCAGTCGGACAGAAAGGACAGTCTCGATGAAGACGCAGCGATGGGCCAACGACAGCAGCGATCAGCTCTGGAGAGAAGTAATCCGACTTCTGCTCCGGATGTTTCTCATGGAGATGCGCGGTATACTCTGGCTGCGTGTCAAACTCCTCGCCGTGAATAGCGCAGTGCCAAACTCTCGTATGGAGGCTTTCGTGCTCAAGCCACTCCTGACGGGTCCCGTATATACGATTCGAGTCATGGCAACGCTCGAAGGTGCAATGGTAAGGCTGCAAATCATGGATTAGGTGCACGCTGAGGCCGGCTGTCAGCGACCGAGCTTGGACTGGGGTGAGGGGGCAGCAGACTCACCACCAGGCCTCCTTGTCGAGGTACTTGTGGGGGCAGATGATCTTGCAGTACGGACAGGTGAAGAACCTGCTGCTGGCGGTCTGAACGGGCGGAGGCGGCCACTCCAACTTCTCACCGCGGAGATTCATCACTGTCGAGACGCGGCTCTGGTGCGAGATGACGGACTTCAGATCGTCCAGCTTGACAAAAGTCTCGTCCAACCTCGTTGCGGATGTCGCGAGTGATCTTCCCAAGCCCGGCTGTAACGGCACGTGTCCTCCCTGTTCAGACCGTGTCTGGAATGGCTGCTTGTTGTCGGCGGCTGAAGCATCGTTGTGTTGTCTTTCGTCAGGTTGAGGAGGTGATGCATTGCCGGCCGCCCCCCGGCTGATCCTCTCGGCATGCTCTCTCCAATACACAAACTGCTGTTTCCGCCTGGCGTTCGCAATGCCGGCCCGGCGAACCAACCAGTTCGACGGCGAGGCATACTGCTCCAGGATCTCGTCATGGCTCATGCCGGAAGCCTTCAGCTCCCCGTGCTGCAAGCCCTCCAACAGTTGTTGTCGCTGTACATGACAAATTATGGCTATGGCGGCCTCTTCACGCTCCTGGATGAATTCTTTGCGCACGTGGGCTGGAACGCGCTTATACAGCTCGTCAACGGCACGTTGCGGGCGATTCCTCGGGTTCTTGATCTTGGTGGCCAGGCTGTAGAGGGCATCCAAAGTTTCTGCCACGCTTTCCATGCGGAAGTCCGTCTCGTGGACCGACGTCTCGCCGCTAGAAAGAGAGGGCGACGTCGACGTCGTGGCCGTCGACCCCGCGTCGCTGTCGCGATCGGAGGCTCCATCATCTGGATCCGCAGCTGCAGCGGCGGCAATCTCAAATGGCTGGCGCTCTCCACGATGGACCGATACAAGATTCTCTAAGTGTTCTTTCAGCTCGGCGAGAACATCGGCCAGGCGTGACTTCACTACCACGGCATCTCGCACGCGGTAGTCCAGGGACGAGTGGCCCTGATTGTGCAGCCCGAAGCTGTGAGCCCAGAGCCTGAAGCGCTGTTCCTCCGAGATCAACCTCTTCTCGACTGAATGGCTGGCAATGTCCTGGATGCCGCTCAGCTCCGAGAACGCGGCAAGAATCTCCGTGCCGAGCTCGTGAAGCTCGGTCGGCTCCATGTCATCGCCACGCTATCAACGATTCATCGTGGTCCAACTGGAACAAGGCGTCGGAGTCGGCGTCGGCGGCTTCTGCAGCTTGCAGACGGCCTGCAGACCCGGATCGGAGCATGCGGGGGGCCAGCCAGGGTCCGAATGGCGACAGAGTATCACAGCTGCATGGATGGGTCTAACCCGACCGGGCCTGCTGCAGACAGGATGATTTCCTTGCAGTTGCCCCTCCATTCGAGCTTCTCTCCTTTCAGCTGCGCAGCGTTGCCATCTCGCGTGTGACACGATATTTGCCTGGATGGCGGAAAGCACGAGAACCCCGTAGCAACAATAATGCCTGCGCTTGAGATATGCGGCGTCGTTCTTGGTGTCATACCGCTCGTAATCTCCGCGCTGGAACACTACAAAGCCGGCAAAGGCGCGGCGGCTGCGTTCGTCAAGTGGCGCGGGCATCTTGACACTCTCATCTTCCGGCTCAAGCTCCAGAGGACCTTCTTCTATCTGCAAATCCTCGAGCTCCTCCGCGAGGCACGGGTCGCGCAATTGGAAGACCGGATCGATCTGACAGAGGAACAATGCGTGGCCGTCCTCTGCGATAAGCACACCGGCGAGGAGGTCCGGGAGTACCTCGGCCTCTTGCACGATACTTTTGTGGAGGTCTTGAGCCGTTACGAGCTGTGTCTCAAGACGATCGTCGCGAAGATAGGCCACATCAGACGACTTCCGGACGTCAGTTCAGCTTCCAACCCGTCCCTGACCTGGACCTGCTGCGCAGTCCGATTCGCGCTGGTATTAGACACTCACTCTTGGGCATGAGCAGGCACAAAAGGATGACCTTGCAGCTATACTTGCTGCGAACACATCCCGCAATGGGACATTCTCATTTCGAGAAAGGCTGAGCTTCACGATCGAAAGGGGGAGCCTGAAGGGTCTCCTCGAAGAGTTACGCGAGAATCGGCTTTCGTTGAAGACCATTATCAAAGGGCTCAAGACACAGCGGGAGTACCTCGCGAAGGAGCCCAGCCACGATGCGCAAAGACTTGCCGCAAACTTCCGCGAAGTCCAGCAGACGGCATCTGCGCTGTTTCCTGCCATGTGCAAGTGTTGTTCGTGTCCTTGCATGACCGGGCACGGCTTGTTGCTGCGCCTCGACAATCGAGTGCCGATACAGCGTGTCAGAGCAAAGGTGGGGAAGAGGGCAGACGAGCCGACGACATTCAGCCTCTTCATGGGGCTCGAGAAGTCTCTCCAGGAAATATCGGTGAATGCCTACCACATGGACCCGACTGAAGAAAGCCCAGTGACGGCAAAGTGAGTGGCATCGCGCTGTCCGCAACGGACCACCAGACAATAACACATTCCCCTTTCACTGACTCTTCCGATGTAAAGATTTTTTGGTCAAGACATACCAAAAAAGACGGTTGATTTCGCCATTCCCACATTATCCATCACTGTCCATGAGGAACATCGCCCGCGCTTCCGAAACTGGGAGCCCATATCCGATATTTGTCACAGCGCCATGATCGCCTTTAAGAAGGAATATCTCCTGAGGCTGCATCTGATGGCCGATGCTCTGTCGTTAGCCAACGAGACAAGAGAAGCCCGGCGGGAAGTTGCCAAATCAACGACTTTGGAACAGTTTCTACGCCGCGGCTGCTTGGACGAAGATGCGCGCATGACTCCAAAGCAGCAAACGATTCTTGCCCTTGATATCGCAGCCTCAGTGTTGCAGCTACGACAGACGCACTGGTCCTTGTTCCCATGGACGAACAAACGCATCCGGTTCCTGCTTTCAAGACAGGGCGAACTCTTGGGTCCTTTCGTCGAAGAGTTGATCGACAAGCGGACCGGCAAAACGCCCCTGGACCCAATCCCCCAAGGCCCCGACCCTAAAGAGGCTTTGCTAGAGCTGGCAATTTTGCTCCTGGAGATCTGGCATCACAGGCCGCTCGAGATGTGGGCGGCCAAATTGGGCATGGAGTTCGTCGACACGCCCGAGGCACGAAGAATCGCCGCCATCCGGTGGCTGGAGCTTACGTCGGACAGGTTGCCGCCCCACCACCTGGCGGCGATCGAGCAGTGTCTGGCATTCTGCTCCGGCAGGCTGAGGGCCTGGGACGATGGCGAGTTCCAGAAGCTGTACTGCGAGAATGTCGTGAAGCCGCTGCGGGAGAGCTGCAAGGCGTGGCAGGCCTAACTTCGCCCCGGCCACAGCGAGATGCTCGTCGCAGCTTCGATGTCGCCTTCAGCGGAAGCCTGGTCGAGTCGGGGAATACATTATGCCCTGGGGATAGTTGATTTTGCACCGGGGCTCGTAAATATAATGACTGCTCGATCCAGGTGCAGCACTCATCGGCGACAGGCTTCGTTGTAGTGTACAGCGTCTCGCTCTACTACTGAGTAACAAAGCCAGTGCCACTAAAATGGAATTCGAACCTGACAAATGTCTCGGGATGCACACCTCGCCGCTCGGCCGCTTAAATGTTGCCCGTCTCACCGGTGGCCCAGTTCGCCCTGAGATCCGAGTCGTTGTTCAGCTTCGGTTGGGCCGTCAAGCCGCTGCTGAGATCCCAAAGACGGGCAAGGAGCTCGATGCAAGCTTAACTGTCACGTCGAGTGGGTCACTGGAGAAAAACAAATCATGACCAATAATCGGAGTTCAGGAGAGCAGTAGGCCGGAGCATGAGGAGCCATAGCCAGCTCTCCCAGGTAAGATTCGTAATACATGCGTTGTTTTACCATTATGTCGAGTCCCGGGTGCTCGAGCCCTTTCAGTGACCAGAGAACCTTTTCAGTAATCAGAGATTAAAAGAACTGAGTCACCGGAACTTCTTGAGATCTAGCTCTTAGGTTTTGAAATTCAAAACAACGTGTATCAGAACACTTGAACAGGCAGGACCGGTGATGTAGGAATAGAGGGACAACTTTCATCATGACCAGTGTAGTTTCTCACAATATGTAGATGCTATGGTTAGTTTTAAAATTACTAGGTGGGCGCGCCATTGCACCTTCTTCTGGACTCATCTGTTTGATGCTCGGTGGTCCCTTCCTGTCCAATTGCGAGAGTGATTGTCGGTGCTGCTTGCCCGTCCCTTGTAGCGGCATCATTGACCTCCTCTGGTGCTCGCCTCCGTCTTGATTCCTGACACTTCTCAACAGTCACTCGCGCAATCACAATCGTCGTCATCATCATCTTCAAAAACCCCCCATAGATCTAATTATTGTCTACCTCCAAGCAATATGTCCGACTACGATGACCTGAGTTACCTCTGGGAAGACCCAGAGGATCTCTGGGAAGATAGCCATATTTTACCTGACAGCGCTCTAATGGACCCCTTGTCTTTCAACCCGGATGACAACCAGATGCAGCAGACTCATGGTCACCCTAGCATAGTCCCCAACGTCGACAGTAGTCCGGGCCGGCAAGTCCAGAAACCAGAAGATCTCATAGTCGATAGCACTGTTTCACCTGACAGCGTTTTAATGGATGCCTTGCCTTTCAACCCTGATGACAACCAGATGCAGCAGGCTCATGGTTATTCTGGCAGCCTCAGATCGGGTTCCTCGATCATCGACCTTCGTCACAGCCCAAGTGCATATCCCTACGAGAATAACCAGAACCAGCGAGCCTAGAAGACATATGGCGAGACTTGGGCAGTTAGACCTCGGAGTCCATACCTCAATTTCCACAAACTCCAAGGTCAACAAGCTCAAGAACTCCCTGACAGCAGCCACTCAGGGGAGATATGCCCCATTCGCTCGATCATGGACATGGACCGAAACCCAAGTGACGGACCGGACGAGCCACACGAAGAGGCGTTCTACGCAATACTGACCACAACACTCAGCCGCGGCATGGCCGAGGACCTCTGCCAACATATCCGCAACGACGGCTTGGGCGCCTTCTCTGACCAGCATTGGGAGTTTGTACGGAGCCGCAAGGCACATGGGTGGGGATTCAGGAACCATAGTCTTCAGAATGATAGTCACATTGTTGCTACTGTCTCCCATGGCAACCGTTGCCGCGTTCACGAAAGGTTCAAAATTGATGAGAGGAAAGCTCGGAAACGACCCGGGGCAGACAGGCCACACACGATGATCGTGCAGAAGGACGGGGGCGAGGTTCTTGTTGAGGGACTGATGCCTTTCCAAGATCGTTGGCTGTACAGCACCGTGTTGGAGGTTTTCCAGGGCTTCGAGGTGTGAGTGTGATCCCTTCGGTCACCAACCCGTACTGTTGTCTATGCCAATTGATCTTACATGTCCACCACAGGGCGTCGATATTCAAACTAGACACGCATCAAACCGACAAACTCTCGTGTCTTGTCGAATTTGTGAGACCCGGGGAGGCAGAGCGAGCAGAGGCACTAGCCAATGGGGACGTGTACAATGGGACATACTTGGTGTGCAAGGTGATAAAGCCCTCACGCGGGTTTCCAGGTTTCGGGCAGCAAAAAGCGGAACATATGGACCCGACTGTGAGGCTTTGATGGCTTCCTCTTCTCTTTCTGTGTTTTCCCTTTTTTTTTTAATTGGCGCAGGCGGCAACGAGATATCGGGACTTGGTGTTCGCATCACTGGCATGGTCAAAGGCGAGGGTGGCTTTAGGAAGCTGTTGACAGATCAAATTCAAATATTTTCTCGTACTTGGACAACACAGTATTCTACGCAATACCCTCACTCTACGATGAATTTTAGCTTGTACCCATTGAACCAAATGATCAGCCTGAAGTCGCCTCGAAGTTCAGGTTGATGGTTCGTCCGCTGGTGGATGCCACTTGGTCTTCCTGTCCGAGCCAGAATGCTGATGCAAATATATCCAAGTCGCCAACCTGGCCAGGCAGAGAGGCTTTGAGGACTACCTCTGATATCCCATGGCGAAGGCACAGGAACGGGCAAAGAGGATTATGCTGCAAAATGGCTGGAGCAAGAGACGAACGTCTGCTTATTGTTTCACCACCCTCTCACATTCTTACTTTGCCTTTGATCTTGTTTCCATGCCTTCTGCCACCAGAATCAGATTATGATGTCGGTTAACAGCTTTCTAGTTTTCTATCATACGCATGCCCAAGCGCCGGGCGCCAGTTGAAACGGTAGTGAGCGCCAATGTTGCGTGACAAAAGATCGGCTACAAGCATGTGAAGTGCGCGGCCGAGGGGCGCGACCACGAGGTTGTTGTATCTTCAGAGTGCCCTACCATCCAGACTCAGAATTTATTGCAGAAGTAATCTAGGGTATCTTCGGCCGTAACTCTACCTCTATCGTACAATACGTCTCTGCCGCGAAGAGTCTCCTATGGCGAAACCGCCTGAAGATATTTGAGAGGACGCAGGGCGCATCTCTCGCCGCAGCTCAAATAACGTGAGTAAAGCACAGCGACGAGCTCAGCCCGGCCTCTGCTTCCTTCGCACCCACACCTCCCTCTCGTCAACACCATCACCGCCGCCACCATCACCACTTACAACAATGCCCGCCGCCGGCCGGAGCTCGACCTCCCACACCCCAAGCTGGTACCCGCCGCGGTCCCCGGCCCCGGTGGTCAGCTCAAAGGCGAAGCTGTGGCCGCGACACCGGATGCCGTGGCCGAGGGTGCGGCCGCCGGCGTCCTCGATGTCGAAGGGCACGCCCCACGACAGCGAGTACGAGCGGTGCGGGCAGGCGTGGTCGACGGCGTGGAAGCGGCCCTGGTACTGGAAGACCAGCACCTGCTCCTTCATGAGCCAGGCGTCCTCGCCGGCCGCCGCGTCGGTGGCGATCTGCTCGGCTGCTGCTGCTGTGCATGGTGCCTGGGCGGCTTTGGGGTGGAAGATTTTACAGCCTGGTACCTTGGCGGCGGCGGCGGTGGTGGTACCATCAGAGCCTGCTGTTTTGCATGGCTGGGGCCAGACGAGCTTGAAGTAGGGCTCGCTTGAGTTGGTGATGTTGGGGAAGGACGATGCTGGGCCGGCGAAGAACCAGTCGTCGCCTGGGCGATACTGACGAGGAGAAGCAGCAGAGTCGAGTGGTGCTGCCATCTCGACAAGTAGGGCCACGGAGGAGTTATTGACGTTGGTACTCAATCCTCAATGTGGTCAACGTCCGCCGCATTTCATTGCCTCTCAGCCAACATGATGCCAACAGAGCTCATTAGGACATGATAAGGAAATGAAAGATGGTGTTATGTTTCTGAAAAGAATAACCATCATGAAACGGTGAGGACTCAGAGCAACAGAAGATATACTTGGCCGAGGCGTGAAGTCGGGCAACCTACCGTGTAAGCCACAGGACAAGAGCAAAACGGCAATCCTCGCCGATTGTTGCTCGAGACGACAACAAGGGAGTAAAACGTCCATAGATGTGACGCTTATTCCTTGGAATACCAAGTCGTGGACACAACCAACCGGTTCACATAGGATCACTGACTTCAGTAATTCCTTGCTCCTCACCTCCGTGAACAGCTTTCAAAGGACCTCGCATGGCATTCTTCAGTGGGAGAAAGGAGGTTGTAAGGCGGCTATCCTCCTACCTTTAGATGCACTAACAATTTATCCTGCCCCCACCTTGCAGCTTGGAGCTGAGCTTCCAAACTGGGGCCGTGATCACCAACAGCTCCAGCTCGAAGGAAGCTGTTGGATCCGACATGCTGTGAAACCGCGGCACAGCAGGCAACTGCTATAAACTGTGCACAATGATTTCTCACGGTTGATGCACCTAGCTGAACATATCTTCCCTCTTTCCATCCATTTCGTTCCTCTCTCCGGCAAAACCCTCCAAAGCCGTCCCCCAATATCCACCCCGCCATGTGGAAACAACGCCTACTCCAGGCCCTCCCGCCCCTCCGGGCCAGCCCATCGCAGACGGCCATCCCCCTCCGCCAGGCCACGAAACGCTTCTCACAGCCAGCGAGGCGCCTCAACAGCACGAAAACCCCACCGCCGTCCTCCTCGGAGGCGGCCGCCGCCGCAGCAGCCAGCAAGCAGCAGTCCCGCGCGGACCGGATCCTCGCCCGCCTCCCGCGGAGCATGCAGAAGTACACCGGCCGACTGCGAAGCGCGCCGCTGTCGCACGTCGTGGCCTTCCTCGTGCTGCACGAAATCACGGCCGTCGTGCCGCTGCTGGGGCTGTTCGGCCTGTTCCACTACGCCGCGTCCGCCGCGCCCATTGACTACATGATGGAGCACTACGGGGGTTACGTCCGGGACGGGACGGCCAAGTTCGAGCGGTACTTTACGAGGAAGGGGTGGTTTGGCTTCGGGAAGGGGTCGGCCGGCGACGGGGAGAGTGGTGCTGGTGATAAGGCTGTGGGGGAGATCAAGGGCGATGACGCTGCCGTCATGAGACGCTGGGAGGGCTCCGACGAGAAATACAGGATTGTGGTCGAGGTCGCGCTGGCGTATGCCATCACCAAGGTACTGCTGCCTGCCCGGATTGTCGTCAGTGTGTGGGCGACGCCTTGGTTTGCCGGTGTTATGGGCCGGGTGCGACGAGTCTTGCCCTGGGGCAAGGGCCGGAAGTAGAGCGCAGCTGAATAGGCTCGAGCCTGTCCGGCCATTAAGAAGCAGAGATACCCTGGACAAAGCTTTCCATATAGCTCGCAGGAACAGACCAGAACTACGCAAGGGGTCTATCCTTTTCTATTGTGTGCATATTCTTGGAGGCAAGATACTTGTGAGGACTCTCGGGCGCTCTTGTGTCGAATCTTTTTATTTTCTTGGTTTTCTATCGTCGCTCTATGTGACGGATCTCGGGCTGGCCAATCCCCTCTTGGGTGCAGTGCCCAAGCCTACGAGATCTAAACAGGGCTGGTTCTGTTGCGAGCGGGCCACTTAAGGCTTCTCGTAGATCCAGTCGTGCTGGGCAGACTTGTAGCTGACGAGCTCACCCTCCTTGAACCAGAGAGCAATCTCCTTCTTGGCGTTCTCGACGGAGTCGGAGCCGTGGCAGACGTTGCGGCCGACGTCGATGGAGAAGTCACCACGGATGGTGCCAGGGGCGGAGGCCAGGGGGTTGGTGGCACCGAGCAGGACACGGCCGGTCTTGACGGCGTCACGGCCCTCCCAGACCATGGCGGCGATGGGGCCAGACAGCATGTCTGTAGAAGGCAGTCAATATTAGCTTCGTCCACAATCATATAGCCACAAATAAGAGAAAGGGGGAAGCAAGACATACAGGACAGCAGACCGGGGAAGAAGGGCTTGTCCTTCAGGTCAGCGTCTGGAGAAGGCGGTCAGTAAAATGTTCGGCCGAGGGGCTGCAGCATGGCGGGGTAGCTACGCCAGCAGCAATTTCAGGGTCTGGATGGGGATACGAACAGTGAGCCTCGAGGTGCTCCTTGGGGGGAGTGACGAGCTTGATGGCGACGAGCTTGTAGCTGAAAGAGAAAGCAATGTCAGTCGAGTGTCTGTATTGGTCAAGGACCTCAACAAGGAGGGAGGAAGCTTACCCGCGCTGCTCGAATCGCTGGATGATGGGACCAACGAGGCCACGCTGGAGACGGTGTTAGTCCTGGCGGAGAGGTAGATGAGGCCTATGTTGTGCCAATTTCCATACCTGGACGCCATCAGGCTTGATAGCAATGAAGCTGCAAGTCGAATACGTTAGCAACCTGACCAAGAAGGGTACAGTCGAAGTGCACGCAGTGCCAGCAGATCAGGGGCAGCAAGGAGGGGTGAAGCTCGAGGTTCGAGTCTTGACAAGTTCTGGGGCGAGACTCACGTCTGTTCGGTGGCGGCCATGGTGTCTGGTTGTTGAGATGGCTCTTCTGTAGAAACAGGGAGGATGTCGGTGTTGATAGAGGCAGGAGAGTCAACAGTAGGACAGGAGACGGTTGTGGTTCGGGACGAGGAGGAATAAAAGAGATTTCTGGAGAGGACAGCTACGAGAGCCGCTAGGACCAGGACAAGCAACGGCAGCAGTGGGGTCCGCCGTGGGTTTGGGCCTGGGCCGCCTGCAGGCCTCCGCGGCTGCTGCTGTTGCTGCTGGTGCTGTTCTTGGCGGGGCACCATTATGCAAACCGCGGGGTGCCAGCACAACAGCTCTGTCCAGTGGCTCCGAACCAAGGATCCCGCAGTTGCCCAGCTCTTAATGCTTTATGATAACGGCCCGTAGATATGAAATATAAAACAGTTGAAGTGTCAATTGAACGTGTATAAGCCTTGGTATGAACATATGATAAAAGCAGTGGCTTACTACCAGTACAGAGAGAGAGGTAGAACCTTGGAAGAGGTTGTCGTGGGTGGAGGGCCTGTGCTGGTAAGCTGGGAGGGAGGGAGGCAGTGAAGCTCCAGCCAGACCAGACCGTGGCCAAATGCACGTCTCACCGCCGCCAGTCAATGGGTGAGCTGTCCTGTCTACGGGGCATTGCTTCTCATGACAAAACTAACAAGGTCAAATGAGACTCGCACAGAGAAGTCATGACAATACTTGAATACACTGCCTTATCTGGAACGTATATACACACATAGTGCGTGTTATTGGGTTAATAAGAACGTCTTACTTGAACATTGCTTGGTGGTGCTGTCACTCATTGGAAGCTGGTCGCCCCCCCAAGAACAGGGGTCCAACACGGCACTGCCTGCCGGGACTTACACATGGGTGGGAGCTAGGGGCCAGCTTGAGGTTTTGGCGCAGCGGACTAGACAACCTCGAAACATCAACAGACTTGACAGTTACACTTCCGCCCTGTAGTAGGACTGGGAAGTAGTATATCACACAATTATCCGGCGGGCAGTCCACTGGACAATTGAACACCAAAAGAACCCATGATACATCTCGTCGCATAGCCTGTCCTTGTCATCTATTTCCTTTCCCTTGGTGTCGACAACGGCAGCTTGTAGCCCAGAGGGCATTATCTGCCTACCATGCACTCCCAATGGCTGTCCCAGAGATGGACAGCCTACTTTTGCTTCCTATCCCTTCTACTATCCTTCATTACTCCTGCAGGTAAAGTCCACACTCGATACCAGCCATGTTTCATCCAGATTCGGCATATACTAACGGACCATCACAGTCTCGGTCAAGGAGAACGACTTCAAGAAATGCCACCAGTCTGGCTTCTGCAAACGTAACAGGGCCTATGCCGACAACGCACTTGCATCGAGCTCCTGGGAAACACCATACAAGGTCTTGCCAGAATCAACATCGTTCAAGGATGGCCAGCTTCAGGCTGTCATTCTTAAGACTATCAACGAGCAGGGCGAAACTGTTCGACTCCCGATAACCGTCTCCTTCCATCAAGCTGGAACCGCCCGAGTCATCGTGAATGAGGAGAAGCGTCAAAAGGGAGAGATCGAGCTCCGAAACAACAGTCCGATCCGAAAGGAACGATACAATGAGGCCGAGAAGTGGGTCATCGTGGGTGGAACAGCTCTCGACAAAGATGCCAAGATCATCTACGAGGACAAGTCCCAGACAACTGTCCAGTATGGACCTGACTCCAAGTTCGAGGCTGTCATCAAGTTCGCGCCTTTCAGCATTGACTTCAAGAGAGACGGCAATTCGCAGATTAAGTTCAACGACCGTGGCCTGCTCAACGTGGAGCACTGGAGGCCCAAGATTGACAAGGTTGAGCCCGAAAAGAAGGAGGGGGAAGCCGAAGCAGGCGCCGAGACTGACGCCGAGAAGAAGACCGAGGAGGAACCAAAGGGTGAAGATGAGAGCACTTGGTGGGACGAGTCGTTCGGAGGCAACACGGACTCCAAGCCTCGCGGCCCCGAGAGTGTTGCTCTTGACATTTCCTTTGTCGGCTACGACCATGTCTTCGGCATTCCTGAGCACACCGGCCCTCTGTCCTTGAGGGAGACTCGTGGTGGCGAGGGAAACTTCGAGGAGCCATACAGACTGTACAACGCCGACGTCTTTGAGTATATTTTGAACAGCCCCATGACCCTCTACGGGGCCATTCCATTTATGCAGGCTCACAAGAAGGACTCCTCGGTTGGCGTCTTCTGGCTCAATGCCGCTGAGACTTGGGTTGACATCACCAAGGGCAAAGAGTCGAAGAACCCACTGGCCATCGGCGCCTCGGCAAAGACAAACACTCATTCCCACTGGATTTCTGAGAGCGGTCTGTTGGACGTCTTTGTCTTCCTTGGCCCTACTCCTCAGGATCTCACCAAGGCTTTTGGTGAGCTTACTGGCACTACTGCCATGCCCCAGGAGTTCGCACTCGGATACCACCAGTGCCGTTGGAACTACATCTCCGACGATGACGTGAAGGACGTCGATCGCAAGATGGACAAGCACAAGATCCCATACGATGTCATTTGGCTCGACATTGAGTACACAGACGGCAAGAAGTACTTCACCTGGGATGACCAGATGTTCAAGGACCCACTCGGCATGGGCAAGCAGCTTGATGCCAGTGGCCGCCAGCTGGTGACCATTATTGACCCTCATATCAAGAACGAGAATGATTACCCCGTCGTTTCTGAGATGAAAGCTAAAGACCTGGCCGTCAAGAACAAGGAATCAAATATCTACGAGGGTTGGTGCTGGCCAGGCTCATCTCACTGGGTTGATTGTTTCAATCCGGAGGCCATTAAGTGGTGGAAGTCGCTCTTCCGTTACGATGCCTTCAAGGGCACTATGGAGAACACATGGATTTGGAACGATATGAACGAGCCTTCGGTCTTCAACGGGCCCGAAGTTACTATGCCCAAAGACAACATCCATCACGGAGGGTGGGAGCACCGTGACATCCACAACATCAATGGTATGACCTTCCACAATGCCACCTACGAGGCTCTTGTGTCGCGTAAGAAAGGCGAGTCTCGCCGGCCATTTGTGCTCACCCGATCTTTTTACGCTGGGTCTCAGCGAATCGGTGCTATGTGGACTGGAGACAATCAAGCCTCCTGGGACCATCTCGGAGCCTCGATTCCCATGATCTTGGCCCAGGGTATCTCCGGCTTCCCTTTCGCAGGTGCCGATGTTGGTGGCTTCTTCGGAAACCCGGACCAGGACCTGCAAGTCCGCTGGTACCAGGCTGGCGCCTTCTATCCGTTCTTCCGTGGGCACGCCCACATTGACGCACGCCGTCGCGAGCCCTACCTGATCGGCGAGCCTTACACCAGCATGGTCACGTCAGCCCTGCGACTGCGCTATAGCCTCCTGCCCTCGTGGTATACAGCCTTCCATCAGGCTCACAAGGACGGCTCCCCTATCGTCCGCCCCATGTTCTACACCAACCCGTCCGACGAGGGTGGTCTTGACATTGACGACCAACTTTTCGTGGGAAGCACCGGCCTCCTTGTGAAGCCCATCGTCGACAAGGACCAGGAGTCCACAGACATCTACATTCCCGATGACAGTGTGTACTACGACTACTTTACCTACGACATTGTGCCGACCCAGAAGGGCAAGAAGGTCACCGTCTCGGCACCGCTGGACAAGATCCCCCTGCTCATGCAGGGCGGGCACATCTTCCCCCGCCGTGACAGGCCGAGGAGGTCCACGGCGCTGATGAAGTGGGACGACTACACGCTCGTCGTCACCCTGCCCAAGTCGGGCGGCCACGCAGAAGGCGAGCTGTACACGGACGACGGTGACTCGTTTGACTACGAGAAGGACCAGTACATCCACCGCAGCTTCGTGCTTGACGGCAACGTCCTGTCGTCCAAGGACGCGGAGGGTAGGGATACTAAGAAGATTAAGGAGGGCGAGTGGCTCAAGAACATGAAGAATGTGAGCGTCGACAAGGTCGTCATCGTCGGCGCACCGGCGAGCTGGGCCAAAAAGCAGGAGGTCACAGTCACTGGGGCAGGCGGCAAGACGTGGACTGCGCAGGTGGACTACACGCCCGGCACGAAGAGCAAGGCCGCGTTCGCGGTGGTCCGCAGGGTCGGGGCGCCAATCGGAGAGGACTGGAGCGTCTCGTTTGAGTAGGCGACTGGGCCTCAGTGTGTGCTTCTGTATTGATGAGCGGCCAGACACAGTCGATAGGTCATGCAGGTCTTGGTTCAAAGATTTCTTGTACTCTCACGACGAATATAGCAGGGTGGCAAGAGAATAAGCAAGCAAGCAAGCGAGGCTGGACGCAAGGTTTCGGTGTATTTTCTGTCTGAGTTACCTGTATCACCGACAAGTGTTTTTCCACATGTGCTTCTGTGTACAATAGTGCTTGAAACCATCCACTAGAGAGACGGAGAGAGATAGCAATGTGCACCGTTGAATGAAACCGCGCGTAAGCCACGGAGGTCTAAGACATGCCAGCCATGTGTCAGCCTCGTTGAATCCTCCAGATAGTGCCAGACGTGGGCGTATGCTGCTCTTGCGAGTGAGGCGCCTAATACGTCGGGTTTCCATGTGGGGACTGACTTGCTCTGAGATCGGGGGGTTGATCGAGATCAGCCGGCTATCTACAGTATCTGTCTGGGCTTGTGATGTGTGGGGATGGAGAAAGCCACGGGCCAGTGTAGATCATGTTGTTTATGTGGATAGACAGATGATGGACTGTGTTCCTATCCCGCGGGAGCGGTGTGCTTGATATACCATCTGACCCTCGTCCGCGCGAATACATATGTTACAATAGACGCGACAGGCGCAGCGACAACGAACAGCATTTCGTGGGCGGTCTGTCTACTTGTTTTCTGCCTTCGGCTTCGCTGGATCGTCCAAACGATGATCGTCACACGCGATCATGTAGTAAGTGGCTGGGCTTGGGATTCTCCAGACGAGACATGGCTGTCCTGGGCGTGTTCTAAGCTTTTGTGCCTCGTCCACAGTGGCATATATGTACGGTCTTTGTGTTGCCTGAACCATGTGTTGGCTGAAGTGCTCACGTTGCACAGCTAGGCCTGGATCCTCATTGTTAGCCTCTAGTCAACTCTCCGAGCACGAGCGAGGACACCTTTCCTCCCGCTCTGAGCTTTTTCTGGTGGACGCATGGGTTGTCCGTTTGGGATTTCATCAATTTCCATTCGACCTTGCACTTTGCTGTAACAAATGCACGACACGTGTATTTGTCAGGGAGGATATGCGTGTCATGCCATATGAATGCGCGCTCTGATGGAGCAAAGCACTTTAGAGTTTTCGAGAGGCTTGTCTCTGTGGATCGCCATGGCCTTCTTGAGCGCCTTCTGGTCGAGTCAAGACCAATGCTCAACGTTCTGTTGTGGACAACCTGTTTCCAGCCCAGTTCCGTGCGGACCGGTGAAGACTATGCCCGCCGTCTTCAGATATGTTGATCTCACGGTGATTGATTCGGCTACGAGGGTCAGCACTCACGCACTCGCGAGACGCGTCAATGCAACTGCATGATAAGAGCACCGCGGGAGGTCCGTGAAGAGGTAGATGTCACGGTCGCATAGCGGTGTTGGCCGCGGCGGTGGATACCGGTAATAATCCGGGGAAGACGTTCGAGAACACTCACAGGCTCCCAGGGCTCAAGCCTCAGGGCGGCGCGGGTTTGCGAGTTGATGCCGTCAGCCTGGGGACCCCAGACCAAGAGATATGGAGCCCTCGTGGGGCGGGAGATGTGTTCCTGGGTGTTTTCCCTGGTGATCGGATGGGTCCTAGGCGGTGAGGCTGTGAGCATCCGACTTGTTCTGGACCTCTGTGTCTACCCGCCTGATAGTGGGGTGAGCGCGGAATGAAAGGGCTTTCGGTACTCGTAAAACGGGCACCTTCTTGGTGGGCTGAGTGAGGCTTTGCTTGTGCGTACAATTCCCGATATAACTTTCTCAAAGACGTTTTCTGCTTTCTTTTCGCCCCGTTCGGCGACCTGGGCGAGAATAGGAGCGGCCGATGCTCCGGGCGCTAAGCAGTCCCGAGAAGGCACAGCTCCCGACACGCCTGTCCGCCCTAGTCGACCTAGTCAACCTTGATACTAGTTTACCGTCCCAGCTGGTACTAGCGGCTCACAGAAAAAGGCGCGCCCGCCGTCGATTCTGCTAAGCTGTGCTTGACGTCAGCCATGGGCTAGATACGCAATACGGAGCCAGGCCGTCGTCACAGGCAGAGCTGGATCGCGGCGAGGTGAAGTCAGAGAGGAGTAGCTGAATGATGGAGCTCGGGGACAACTCATCGCTGGCATCATTGCTAGACGGCTAGCATCTGAGTATCTCGGCGAAACGAGAAGAGACGCGTCGTGGTGGGTTCGTGTTCGAGACTGAAGCTTGCTCGTCCCTGCATCTCGCGCAAGCCACTGATCTCATCCTGCCGACGTCAAAGAATGCCCCTGTCCATTAATCATCTCGATCACCGAGACTTGTGCGCGTCTGTCTCTGTCTCTGGTGCCACCATCCCAAGCGACCACCACTGAGGAGCCTGTGAAGCTCTATCTGTAAGCCAGTCAATCTGTCTAGCCCAGCCCTGGCAAGACATGGTCTGGGAAGGCCCTTGATCTGTGTTGTATGGACCCCCACGGCCTCAGGGACTGCGTGGACTAGCAGGACTGCCAGGACGCTCCCGTTTCAGGGCCATGCCATGGCAAGTCGCGCACAGCCAGTCAGACAGTCTCGCAGAGGTGCGAAAACGCCAAGCCGGGTCCTCGTACTGTACCTGCACACTGGACCAGCTCGTGCCGATGGGTTGATCCAAACTCGATTTGTTGCGTGAGTGGGCTGCGGGATGCCTAGACTGCACTTCCGCCGAATTGGGTCCCCACCAAGAACCAAGGACTTACCCTCCATATTGATATCGGCCGCTGCTTAGCCTGGAATTTTCTGATACCGTCGACAGCCCAACCTGGAATGGGCAAGGAATAGCTCTCAACAGGAAAAAAAGGGTCCCGACGCCAGAATAGTCCCTTTTCATTAATAGAATCGCAGCAAAAAAATCGTGAAAAGGGGTGGCAAAGAAAGAGGCGAATTGCAGAAGGTACCTCTGTTATCCTGCTCCTACTCTACACTGTAACCTCAAGACAGGATAAGAACAAGCCATGTAGGTCTGGCAGGGCAAGGGAAAAGCAAGGCAAGAAGACCAATGGAGGGAAAGATCGACTGGCGAGCACTTGTGTAGATCTTGCCAGCAACCCACCACGCCCACCTATCTACCTGGCACTGGCACTGGCACTTGCATTGGCACCCGCACCCATCACCGATCAGACAAGGTACCACACCAAGGTTGGCCTCCATGTCTTGTCCACTTTGTCGTCCTCATTTTCCTGTCCCTGCACTGCTCTGCCAATAATTTCAGAGTATCCAGCCAGTCTTTCCTTTTCATACATCCGAGTCAGGTCCTCGAGCTTGCATCGTCCGTCTTCTCCATCCACTTGCTGCTCCTCGAGCTTCTTTTCCCCATCTGAATCCGTCGCTATCTCTTCCATTGATCCACGCACCTCCGTCTCCATTTTTTCCATCTTTCTAATAGTAGGTACATGATCGGCCCTGTTCTCTGCTTTGACCCGGCATCGTTACATATTCTCCCCTCGAGGAACACCACCGCACAGTATCACACGCCCGAGCCCAAGCTGCGCCGTCACTCTGCTCTCAGCTTGCACCTGGTCCACCTGCGTACCGACACTGACCAGCTGCTATAGCCCTTCTGAACAATTCAAACGCCTTGTTTGAAATAATCCTGCAACATATGGCGGATCGTCCCACCCTACAGGACCCATTGTCTTAGTGTGGACTGGACGACTGGCTCGATCCCTCAGACTCTCTTTCTGCTTCTCATCTTCCCAGGCCGAGGAAGGGCGAGCTTTGGACTCCACATCTACGTCACGTCCTGGAGTTCAAGATCCTTATTACCCAATATCAGCCTCGCCTCTGTCACATATATCTTCTCAACCTGAACCGACGTGGAGAACACTGCCCGGTCGACAGCAAGCAGGGCCCTGGGTGCTGTATCGGATTCACTGGTTCTAGATCCCCTTCCCACCCACAATTGTCTTGCGCCCGCTCCAAGCCAACATGACGTCCCCTGTACACGTCGACACAAGCGAGAAGGCTGACCCAAACCTCCTTGCTCCTGGTATGTACATCAGATATTTGTGGGCTTCTCTCAGAAGCCATCCATTCCTTGTCTGTTTCTCGCTTTGCATATCAACCGCCGCAAGGCCGTGTCACCTCACACTCGGCTCTTTGGTCACACCTTAGTGTCTCGAGTTACTATATCAACTTTGCCAAGGCTCGTCAACATGTCTCGAGATAATTCGGCTGACCCTTTCCAAACAGACGCGGCCACCCTCAGTCACTACTCAGACTCCAGGGAAAATGCCAGCCGACTCATGGACGACCTCGAACTGCTGCGAATCGAGCGTCAGGTCAGCAACGCGGAGAGGGAAAAGGACAATATCTCCAGGCGCCGCTCAAATTCACGACATCACCACCATGACAGGCACAATCCTGAAGCCCCGCCTGAGGACGCATTTCACACCTTGACCGAGCCTACCCAACTGCCCCAGATTACAACAGAGCCGGAACCAACGGCCTTGGGCAAGCTCTTCAAGAAACTGAGGAGATTCCCCAGAGTAATCCGCTACTTCGTCTATGTACGTCTAATTTTCTCCTATTTTTGGCCTGCTCCCTTCTACACATAGCCTCCAAAATCAACCCTTGCCATATTCCTAGAGGCTAAACCAATACACAGGCGATCCCAATAGGAGCCGTTCTCCTGACTCCCATTCTATTGGACATTTATGCATTTCCGGGGAGTGACAACCCGGTGGGTGGCCCGGGTGGCCTGACGCTCCTCTGGTTCGGAATCTGGCTTGAGGTTGTGTGGTGCAGCCTCTGGGCGAGCCGCATCCTGGTTTCGATGCTGCCATTCTTGCACGGCCTTGCCGCAAAAATGGTCGGTTCCAGCAACCACAAGAAATGGAAGGACATTGGCAGGCAAATGGAGATGCCTACTGCCGGGTTTATCTGGTTGTTGGGCCTGCTTGCCTCGTTCAAGCCCATCACCGACAGCCATAGAGATTCAGGAGGAAAATGGTCAGACGACGGGGACCCGCCTTACATCACCTGGATCGACGTTGTCTACAAAGTCATTATTGCTCTTTTCGTTCTTGCTGCCAGTAACTGGGTCGAGAAGATTTTGATTCAGTGGATTGCGACTTCCTTCCACACCAGGACGTATGCGTCTCGAATCGAGCAAAACAGACTGGAAATCAATTTTCTGGTTCGACTGTACGAGTTTAGCAAGGAAAAGCTGGCCCACGATGACCCCGTGTGGGCGGATTCCAACGGCGGCCCATCTGGGGCTAAGACACCTATGAAAATGGTCCAGGAGAATGCCCGGCAAGCCTGGACTCAGATAGGCAAGGTTGCCGGGAAAATGGCTGGAGACTTTACTGGCCGTAAGGTCATGGCTGCCGGTCACCCTAGAAAGGTCGTCCTGGAGTTGCTCCGCAGCCAGCACAGCAGCCACACACTGGCACGGCTTATTTATCGAACCTTTGTCCGCCCGAACGAGGAGACAATCACGCTCGATGATCTCAAGCAGGCATTCCCTTCAGCTGAGGATGCGGAGACTTGCTTTGGAATATTTGACAAAGATCTCAACGGTGACATCTCCATGGAAGAGCTCGAGCTCGTCTGTAATGAGATTCACCTCGAGAAGAAGGCCATCGCCGCCTCATTGAAAGATCTCGATTCGGTCATCAAGAAGTTGGACACAGTCTTCCTTTTCATCATCTTTATCATTGCTGCAATCGTCTTCATTTCCATCCTCTCAGGCTCGGCAGCGGCTGCTCTTGGTACCAGCGGTACTACCATCCTTGGTCTGAGTTGGATGCTCCAGGCAACTGCTCAGGAATTTTTGCAGTCCATCATTTTCGTTTTTGTTAAACATCCCTTCGACGTGGGAGATCGAGTCACCGTATACGGCAACACTGGATCGCTCGGGACTGGCGACGATTACTATGTGCAAGAAATCAGTCTACTCTACACTGAGTTCAAGAAGATGGAAGGCCACATTGTCCAAGCGCCCAATTCTCTTCTCAACACGCTCTTCATACTCAACCAGCGACGGTCTAGCGGACTGGCCGACCCCATCGAGCTCAAATTGAAGTTTGGCACGTCTTCTGAACTTATCGAGGAACTCAAGGCCCGCATGCTCGACTTTGTGCTGGAGAACAAGCGCGACTACAACTCAAAGATCATAAGCGAGGTCCGCACCATTGATGAAGTCTACTCTGTGACACTGAATGTCATTTTCTTCCACAAGTCCAACTATCAAAATGAGCTGCTGCGACTTCAGCGCCACAACAAGTTTGCCGCGGAATTGATGCGCGTCATGACTGAGTTGGGAATAGAAGGACCAAGAAAATTGGAGCCTGGCGGAGCTCAAAACTTCCCATTTTACCTCGCGTACCCGCCTGCCTACAACGAAACCCCGCCGAAGGAGAACGTCGTCAGGGACCAGCGCAGTGGCAGTCTTCGAACCGGGCCCGGCAGCGTCCACCGCGACGACGCATCCTTACGCCCAACAAGCCCGCCCAGCCCTGACGTGCGACGACGCAGGGCCGAGTCGCAGGCCCGAGCACAAATGGACCGCTTCCCTGATTTTGGCGACGTGTTTGAAGGTCGCAAGGACCCTGCTGCTGCCAACCTGGCCCGCCTGCAGAGCCTGAGGGAGGAGGCCGCAAGCGCTAGCCAGTCATCGGGTGTCGACCGGTTTGGACGAGGCCCAAGTCTGGACAGGGTCGGCACGATGAACAGCGACATGACATCCAGGCACGGCCGGGGCATATTCAGACGACCGCGGAGCGCCTCAAAGACAGTTTCAAGCGATAGAGGCGGGAACATTGTGTAGCGAGTTGACAGTTTTAATGTGGGCGGGCGTTCCGGAACTTATAGACTGCCGGCAGAAGGCCGGCCATCTAGCTGCGATTTGACTTACTAGATCATAGACTTTAATACCCATTAGACTAGCTAGACTGACCTTACATGGCAATGACCTTTCAGGTAACAAATCAAGGTACAACTTGTGCGCCTATGAAGTTATACCGCTCTCAGGCTTCTGGGCTCCTAAAGCAGAACTTTCTGTCCTTTGTGTCGTAGCTCTCCACATTGCCTCGGGTCGACGGGTGGTCCCACGAACTTCTTTGTGGCGCTGGAGGCGTGACATAATTGGGAACATTTCAACGGTGGCGGGATATGTCTTACATATTCACAGAACTGACCAGAGGTATAATGGCGGGCCCCGAGGGCAGCAGCGGCTGAATTTGTTACCTCGCCTCAGCCGCACCTGCTCTGGCTTGAAGGCTCGCCGCGACACTCTCGCGGATGAAGCAGTGTTGGTCCTGGGATGATACTCACGACAATACCTATCTAGACAGAAGAAAAACCCACCGTGAGTGAGAGCAAGACAGGTCCCTGCCGATTCAAACTATTGGACCAACGCGCGAAGAGAACAGCCACCACGAGATGAATAGAGACGACGGCTTTTGATTGAAGACCAACCAACCAGACCGCAGAAGACGCGAAGGAGAGCAGAAGAGAGATAGGAACAGAGGGAGACATGGCCTCGCTGCCACCCGGCTGGCGAGCCGACTACGACGGGGCGCGATGGTTTTATGTTTACGGGCCCACAGGCCAGTCGCAGTTCCAATTCCCGCGGCCGGGTGATGAGTTCCCGGATTTTGGCGGCGGCTTCCTTCCCCCGGCGGTCGATCTCATGCCCGAGGAGAGTCTGAGGGCGAGGTGCTGGTCTCGAGGCCTGGTGACGGAGTTGATCATAAGAATGTGGATGGAGATGGTGCCACCTGCTTCGAAAGTTTTGCGGCGACTGGGCTTCGGGCTGGAAAGGCTTTGGATTCGCGGCATAGGGGGCCAAGGCCCATGGATCAGGGGGAGCGTTGTGTTGATGATGTGTCCTCGGAACTCTTGCTGGAGAGCATAACTGACGCTACCAAAGGGTTGACCGATGATACTTCATCCGTGCCATTTACGAGACAGGGAGAGCATGTTCAAAGTGAGTCGCCGCCAAGTCGAGCAGTACATTCAATCAAAAAGTTGTCGATCCTGAGCGAGCCAGTCCTGGCCGTCCTCGAGACCACTGCCCCATCCATTGGTCATCAAGACCAGGATCAGCTCGCCACTGTGGCACAATTATCACCTACTGAGTTACCGGTACTTGATAGCCGGGTCATCAAGTCGACAAAACCGCCCTTGAGAGCTCACCATGTCGGAAGCATCTCAGAGCTCTACAGTGAATCGACAGCACTTTGCGAGTACGAGGTCAACCCGCCACCTGTGGAGCTACCCGACAATGAAAGAGCTTCGGTTGCGCGTGCCATGGTTTCGAACTTAGGCATTCAGAGCCCTGTCGAGCTTCCGGTGCATGAAGGACCCAATACCAACCCGGAGGAGGGGAGCAGCACAGCTGGGCTAGGTTCGACGCCGTGTGCCCCATGGAAGATGGTGAAGAACCATAAAAACGCTCCCAATGATGGCTTGACAGAGGCGCTTGGAGCGATAGGCGCTGGCCATGACCGCGCTGGCCTGCCATCGCAGGCTTCGAGAATATGCTCTGAGATACCACTTGATGAAACATTGTTCTGCAAGATCGTCAGCTCTACCACGTGTATAGAGATCTCTGAAAGTGACAGAGGCAAGCCAGATGAAATGGTTGGAACACAGAAAAAGGACCTGACACATTTTCCTTCTATCCTCCGGCCTGGTCCACGACGTTCTAGCCAAGCTCCCTCTCAGCAGACACAGCCAGTGACGAACATTGGTCGTACGGTCCCTGCCAGGCTTGCCACGTCACGGGAGCACGTACAGAAGCAACAGGACGAGGCAGATTCTGTACCCCATGGAGGGCCAGTCAGGATGCCCACTATGCCGTTCATGCCTCATCCACACGATACGCCAAGCACCGCCGTGACACCATGCCCTGACACGGCTCGTGGTGGTGGCGCGAGGCATGATCGCCTGCCTGGCTCAGTCAACTTTGTTATCCCCATACGCCACCTCCCAAGGGACGAAGCCCACGACTCCGCACCTGTTGCTGCGGAGACGACGTGCCCGCCGAAGTATCATGTCAGCGCATCCTTTGCGTCGGCGACGTCCAGTGGAATTCCTTCGAAGACAGCTGGGACACCCGGCATTTCCAATCTGGGACCACGACCTGCGGGTCGAAATGAACAAGGACACATCAACGACAGCAGTTCGAATTCTCTGCTGAGCGAGAGAACGGGTTCTTGGAACCGACCTGCCCATGAGGCCGACCCATCTCATATCGCCAGGGCGGCAACAGAAGTGGCGGAATGGAGCTGCGGATTTGCCAGATGAGCACAAAGAGGCGCGTAGACAGTGATATTGATAAACAAACGAGACGGTTCACAGCACAGCACAACAAGGTCTTGCAACGATGAAAGTTTCAAGATAATGAAACCAAGAAGAGGATGAGTAGGGAGGATAATCTTTGATGGAATGTCTTTGATGAGATGATGAGCCTGTATAAGTATGCTGAGCTATTATCAAGCTTTGGGTATCATGAACTTTCCAGGGCGGCGTCCAACAAAACCTTGCCTCAACATCTCCCTCTATGCCTCTTCGGCCTTGGCCGTATCGAGCTTGGCATCCTCCACAATCTTTTCAGCCTCGATTTCTTGAGCCTGAGCCTTGGCCTCCTCCGTCGTCAGGTCTAGCCTCTGAACATGTGAATTCTTCAACTTGTCGTTCTTCTTGCGGTTGCCCTGCAATATCTCCCTGCGTTGCGCCTTGCGGGATGCCCGGTCCATAGCGCCAATGGTCTTTGGCGGCTCCTCGCCCACTGGCCACTGTGCAGCGACTGCAGCCTCATCTTCCTCGGTCCACTCGCGGGGCAGGATGGCAAACACTAGGTAGGATGTGTGCGCCTTCGTTTCCGCCTCGGGCCGTGTGACCAGGCGTCCTTGTAGGAAGGGCTTGACTGCTTCCTCCTTGGTGCCGTTTTCGGCACTCTTGGACGCCTGAGCACCGCCTTCGGCAATTATCTTCGGGGGCAGAGGAGCATAGTCATCCATGTCGTCATCCTCGTCCGTCTTCTTGGCCTTGCTGTTGCTGGCAAACATCTTCGCGTTGTGCTCAGCAGTCTTGGCCTCAATCTCTTTCAGCTTGGCCAGTGCCTCCGCGACGTTCCCAGGTGCTTGCTGAGCGCCTCGGTCAGACACGACGTCAAGACCAATCTTCTCCCGGAACACATTGATCCGCCTGTGGGCGATCTCCACCATGTCAATCTCCACCCATCCTAGCTTGCGCATCTCCGAGACCGTGCGAGTGACCTGCTCGATGCAAGGCGAGAAAGTGCAAATGTAGGCACTCTTCTTGGGGTTGAGGGGTGATATCCACTTCTCTTCGTCTTCAACCTTGCCTTCACCTCCCGTCTGTATGCCCTCCATCTCCGAGCCGCTCTTGACCCTGCGTCTCGAAAGGTGCGGGAGCGCGAGCCAAGGCGCAGGCAGATCCAGAAACACAGCATCCGCCTCAGGACTCTTGCCGTCGACTAGGAAGCCTTCATTGTAGACATCGCGGTGATTGATCTCTACCACTCGGCTCAGGCCATGCTCGTCGATCTCCTTCCTCATCTTCTCAAATCGCTGCTCGTGGAACTCGAAGCTGAAGACTTTGCCAGTGGGCCCACTGCCGTCGTGGCACCCGGTCTCGCCGTCGTACACTGCCCGTGCCGAGGCGTGGGTGAAGCTGCCGCTACCAGAGCCGGCCTCGATGAGCCTAGTGCCCGGACGGGCTCGTATCCTCTGTAGAACGTAGCTGTAATCGGGTGTGTAGACGACTTGTGTGCGGTGAGGAAGGCTGCTTGTCCAGATCTCAGGCGTTGGCGGAAGGATATAAACGAAACCGCTCCTCGCCGCTGTGGTTTTCTGTTGTTTCTGAGGCGGTATCGACGACTCTGATTTTTGTACTGCCTGCTTGCTTGTCTCGGTCTCGACGTGGTGCTCGACATCTCCGGATACTGTTGTTTCTCGAGCTTGTTCAGCGGTGTTATTCTTGATTACAGCAGCGGCCTGGTCGGGTGCGCCTTTGACTCGCTTCTCACCCTCATCGTTGGGACCCCTTTTCCTCTTGAGGTTCGTGGCGTCTTCCTCTGTGAATTCTGCATCCTTTTCCTCGGTAGCCGCTTCCTTGGCTTGCTTATTCTTCTTTTTCCGGCCTCGAGACCCGGTGTCAACGTTTGAGGCGCGGACTTGGGAGCCCCATGGGGCGCCAATCAGGGTGGAGTGAGGGAAGGAGCCGAAGCGAGTGTTGAGGACATGGCCCTCCTTGTATCCATCATGCTCGCCTTTCGTATCGCGCAGGTACACGGGAATGAGATCGTCCTTGGAAAGCTGGATGATGGCGAGTTGGTTTGGCTTGGCCACCGGTCCAGGGTTGAGGAACGGTGAGTCTTGACGCAGCATTGTGTCTGCTTGCAAAGTGATCAATTGAGGTCCAGCTGTCTCGCTTAACCCAGCACCAGGAGGAGAGTACTGAGTTGCTGCATGTAATTTGCAACCCACCTCGGATTGATTGTCGAAGGTGACTCGGTAGATGTTCTCGAGAGCTGTTGGACGGTAATTTTCTGGTATCGATAAGGCAAAACGGAGGCAGAAAAACGCTTTAGGATGCGCGGGGAAACGCCTTACGGCCGTTATCGTTATCGGAGTCCGTATGAAGCTTCCGTCTTGGTGCAGGCGCTGTCCTCCCACCTCCCGCTCCCGTTGCAGAGAGCTCGCTTTGGTCGCACCCACCCCACCACGGCTCAATACGAAGATCCAAAATAAGGTCAGAGCGTCTCACAAAGCGGTTTTCAAGCATGTGCGTGCATCCATTGGCTTCCAAAGCGGTGGTAACGGCGTTCCTCAAATCCTAGTGACAACGGCTGACACCAACAGCCACGCCACAGATTTCGAAGCTCAACCGAGCGCAAACCCCTGCTGCATACCATCCGTGACCTCAAGACGGTCGCCAGGCTGAGTGGCTTGGACATCACTCCAGGGCTTGCAGTGAATGCCTGCCATTTCATCCCGTGCCACAGACAGGCGCAAACACGGCTAACCAGACTTTGAGCGCCTGACTGCGGCAACTGGTGTTGCGCCTTGGATTCCAATGAAGCGCTGAAACTTGGACACGAATGCTCGTGTCTATGAAAGGCGGTGTATGCCCTATAAAACATGATCTCAGCAAAGCGTCAACATACTATTCACTTCAAGTCTCGCACTATGATCTGTGCCTGGCATCTTGAGAGGCTGTCTGGTCCAGCACGCCCTGGACATGAATCCGTGGTGGCATACCACGCATCGTTGGTCCTTTTGCTGAGAATGACTGGCAATATTCAAAGTCTTGGGATCTCCAGTTGTCCAACATACAACTGGTGGCATAGCTTCTGACCTTTTGGCCGCCTGGTTTTGCAATAGAGATGTCAATTCGCAGGTTGCGTTGTCCAGTATGGGGCCGGAGCTGGAATGACGTGGGGTGAATTCTGTACGATCCCGATTATTACCAAGCCGGCCACTACATGGGGCGATCTGCAGTTCCTCATCGTCGGACCCGTTCCAGAAGCTTGGCCAAGAGGCCAAGACTTGCCAAGCTGCGGGAAGCTGCCGCTGAGATCCTGTCACATCAATCAGCCGTCTGCCGAATTTGACGACAGCCTCAGATTGCACTGCACAACGCGTAAACGAGGTGGCTATCTCAGTCCCGTTGTCGCGCATTGGTAGCATGAGTCTGACGACCACGTCTTCAGTCTTTCGATGCCAGCAGGCCTGTGCATCGAAGCACCTGCGGAACGAATCCACTGGCATCCTGCGTCACAGACGGCCTGGCCCCCCGGCCTTCCCAGGAGGCCCAGCACTGTGTAGTAGAGTCTCTCGAGGTGCCGCCAGCAAGCAACACAGTACGTCGAGCTCTACAGTTCATCGTCTTATCGTAACGATGAAGCAACTAGAGTGCCAGAGACCCGGTCGGAGGCCTATATTGACTATGTACTTTGGCACTTTTCCGGGTCGATCTCTGTTAGCATGAGCATTATGACCAGGTTGCACCTAGATTGCGTTCATGATGCTTAGCATGAAACAAGAAGCCGCAGAGCTTGAGTGACCTGACATCAGTCCCGCCCCTGGACCACATCTAGCAGCTGGGAAGAGTCTGACGGGAGTACTCGGGAGCTCCTGTCCTGCAGCATACGGGCATGAAGTGTCACCACCATCCATCCCCTACCCCACGACCTTGCTGCGCCATCTACTATGTATCCATCTTGGTGTCGGTCTCAGTGATCATCAAGGAAGGGGCCCGCACAGAGACGCCACCAAGCCACTTACAGTACAGCACACGATGCATGGTTTCATTCGCCCACGTTTAAGCTTTGACTTCCTTGATTATCACACTTACTCTGCCTTGGTAGCTGGGCACTGGCTGCCAATCAAGTATCAGAGTGGGTTTGGCATGTTCAATTCTCAATGCCCCGCGGCTCCAACAGGATAAGTCAGGTTTGGGGCGGTAGAATGCCGAGATGCCGGCTAAGCGACAGACCGGGCAATGGAAGCTCCTCGTTGATAGGAATTGATCCATGCCTTCGCCCTCCGAGAACAGCCTGGCTGTGCAGGTGGATGCCTCGAACCTGACCCCTCGATCCACATGAGCTCATGTCCGCCGTCATGCTTGTGCATCGGACGTCAAGACCCTGCTTCCACAGCTCAGGGGCTCCTTATGGTGGGGTAACGGATGGCTCAGCATCTGAAGCTACCCCTCGATTACTATCGCCCTTCGTGTTGCCGCAGTCCACCTGCGACTCTTCAAGCCGTGGAAGTTGCCAGCGTGTTGACTTGCAGTTTCGTCAAGTTGACCTTCAACCTTACACGACGGTCCACGGAGTTGGCGGGACAAGTCGGCTGAGCAAGGCCATGGTGCTATCTTCGGAAAAGGAGGCCGCCTCAAGCAGTGCAGGAAACCCAATGGCTTGAGATTGAACTTGCCCTTCGAAACTTGTACATCAAACGGAAACAAACCAGGCACCGGGCAACCACTCCAAGAGGGAGCCAGCCCTACCCTGTGCTCTCTCTGTACGTTGGCCGCGTAAGGGACGCTTGCACGAGCTGCAACCGCCGGTCCACTCAGCTTTCAGCTGCTACGGTGTCGCAGGGGGGAGCATGCGGGATGATGGAAATTACGTAGGAGCAAAGAGGACAAGCTTTAGAGATCGGCCAGGGGTCCTCAGACGTTCTCATTCATGGATGGGCAAGTGGCTCTCATGGCGCCCGACCTAGCTGGTCTAGTCGCCTAGTCGCCGGAATGGCTGGAATGGTCAGGGCCCCCCCCCTAGACGTCACCATCAAGGTACTGGGAGGGAGGGGCAGTGCTGTGCTTCGTTCGCATCAGTCACGGAAAGGTCTAAACTCCACTTGGACGTCTCGACCATGGGTTGGGGCACATGTAAGCTGGAAAGGAGGGGATGCACAGGAAGCTCTCAAGCATATATAGCTGCCGTCTTCCTCCCTCTCATTCCTCACCAACTCTATCCTCATCATCAAGCTTACATCCACGAATACCAAGACATACAACATACTCACTTCAACCAATCCCTTCCTTCTTCCACAAACAATCAGTCAAAATGTTCGGCTTCGGTAAGCCTCGGCCTCCACTTCATCACACCCACCCTCCATCTCCCCACCTACACAAGGTACTCCTGCCCGCACAGAGCTGACAGCTTTCCCAGGAGAGGCAAAGGACGCCCGTGACGAGGTCTACGACGGCCAGCCCCACGAGTCTAAGGTGTCTCACGAGCTTATCGGCTCTGCCGCCGCCTTCGAGGGCATGCGTCTCTGGGAGCAAAACCAGCGCAAGGAGGGCAAGCCCGTCGAGCACGGCCTCGCCAAGGAGATGCTCGCTGCCGCCGCCGGCTTCGAGGTCGACAGGCTCGTCGAGACCAAGGGCCTGGACTTCGTCGACCGCGAGAAGGCCAAGCACCACGCCAAGAAGCAGGCCGAGGAGCTCTACGAGCAGCAGTACGGTAACAAGGACCAGTTCCACCCGTGAGTGAACCCGCCCTCTCCTTTCTTCGTTCCAGTCTTCATACCAGCAGCAGAGACACAGCATGCTGACAACGACTGCTTGTACAGTGACTACGATGCGCCTGAGCACTTCAACAGCTACTAAGCTGTTTGCTCTCAAAATCGCCGTGTGAGCGAGGTGGAAATCCTTGCCGGCGTCGGTGATGCAGACACGGAAGGGCTGATAAGGAATTTGGACCTGAGAATGGCGGAATTTGGATAGCACCGTGGAGCACATCGTGAACAGGTAGATGGAATAAAAAATTGTTCTCTTCCTGAATGACTTGCTTCATATACCCGTGCCAACCTGACATGTGTTGCCAATTATTTCAAACGCATACACCGCTCAATCATCTGCTTCTGTGAAGGTTGTCATGTCGACCATGCCAAGTAGTAAAGAGACAGAATACTACGAGGTGAGCAACGGGTTCCTTTTACTTGTTTTTGTTTTTGGTGTGTGGCCGGGGACGTGAAATAATTGTAATTACGGCTTTGTATAGGTACTGTCAGTCTTTGGCTTGATTTTGCGGATGAACCAAGTTCGGATATGTTCTCACCACGCCGAGACCTTGCCTGGACGAGAGGTGACATAGCTAAGCGGTTTCTCATAACGAATACTTGTGGTTAGGAAAGGGATACTTAACATTATTGATGGCGTTATTTGAAATCCATACGGACTAATAGGTCACCAGTCGACGCCAATTGAGGCTTTCGAGACGCTTTTGTTTCTCTCGACGACAGTGCTGCAATACTGACACCTGTGTGATGTGTCTACCTGTGTTACTGCTTTGAACAGTGGGGGCGATTGCTTTGATCTCGAGGCGGGCAACTGGGATAGATCTGGATCCTGCCAAAGACTGCTCTAATTGCTCCTTCAAGATTATTGGCAGAGCTGTGGGAAGAAGGTCTTCGAGAACTGTTGAATACGGCAACGAATGAGCTCTTCCGGTTCGATTAATGTGATACAATCTGAGCCAGCTCGGAGATAAGACTAGTACATTTCGTTGAACAATACATAAAGACGAATGCCCAATTCCGTAAGATGTCAGCTACCTCATGATCACATAATTGCTCAAAAGTCTACGGGGAAATGATAGATGCCCCGTAGTTGACAATACAGAAGAGTCCAGCCACTTGAATCCTCTTCAACCACGGGGAACGGCCAAACGGACTGCAAGACAATTTACTGCCTAGAGCCAGCAGCGGCGAGTGTGTTGACAGCACTTGTGTTCGCGTGATAGATAATTGTCTAAACCGTTACTTGTTTTGATTGCGCAGTACCTTTTCAACACTTGAATGGAAGCTGAGTTTTCCTTTCATCTCCCAAGGCCAAACCAACCTCCCTTTCTCTGTGCCTTCTCTGCCTCACACGAGCCGCAACAACCCTTGAGCTTTGGCAATTGCAAGATTTTGCCGTCTGGGCCCCCTTTGTCGAAGGATTGAGTTTTATTGCAGTGAACGCCGTAGAACTTGTCGTCATCGTGGTCGTGATCCTGGATGATCATGTTGCGTGGATGTGTGTTCAGCAGGTTCTCGATGCTCTTCCTAGTTATCTCCTTTTCCCTCGCGGCGGGCTTCACGATGCCCGGGCATTTGCACTGCAAAGGATTTCTTTTTAATGACGGACAAGTATTTCGTCCGACGATGACTCGCTCGTGAATCTTGTGCGGGCAGTCTTTATAGTATCGGGTGCGGATGTAGCACATCTTTTCTTGTAGTTGTGAGGGCAATCAGCTTGTGGCGAGAGTTCGGCGGAGAACAATTTCTAAGAATTTTTCCACGAGAGATTTCTTGGAAATATTTAAAAACGATAGCTTCGACGAAGTCGTTGATTGAGAGCATCCATCTGTAGCGGCGATTAAGTTGATATACTTATATTCAAACGGGGCAGTTTCAATTGCAATGAGTTCAACCTGTCGGCCATGGCTGTTGTCCAGCTCCAACCAGTTGGTGTTTCCAATTTCAAAAATGCTAGACCAACAGCTAATGTTGGTCGGCAGCTCCAACCTGTCGGCGCCTCCAAGAAAGCACGATGAGTGTGGCCTGGGCCCGTAGGAACAAGTGAAACGTGACAGACTGCGACAACTGCTCCAGTGCCGCGGTTATTGCCAATTTGTTTGGCCTCCCGGAACAGAGTACTGTGGTCTTTATTCTTGACCCTGGCCAGGCCCGTAGGATCATCACTCTATGTTGGCCGTTCGGCTTAGGCATGGTCCTTCCTTCACGGCGGCAGGGGTTGGCAGGATTTGTGATGCCGAATTGGCGCAGCGATGAGCACCAACAGCACCAAATCGCATGTTGGACCTCTGAAAATTGTTTCAAGGCACCTGAATTCCCTAAAAGAATAATGATCATAATCCTTGGCATTCTTTCAGCCAGATAAGCTAATCTAGAAATGATATCTCCGGCTCATAATCCACGTTGACCAATTTTGATTGAAGTACTCAATGATGGATGATCCACTGCTCTCAAAAGCCCCCATGAATTCCATGCACGGTATTTTTGGGCATCAGTTGCCTAACAATGGCTCCATGTTGTACTTTGGGAAGATAAGCAGCGCATTATACCTGGTCATCAAGCAGCCGTACCTTGCGAAGAGAACCACGTGAATCTTCGGATGGAATTCTGGGGCACAAGCCTGTCACTGCGTCTTCAAGCACGCCATCATCAAGAAAATGTTTTGACAAGCGCGAATAACTCTTAGGTTGGAGTTGGTCTTTTCGGCATTTATTCTTCCATGAAAATGTTTAACTTCTGCATAGGCTGCTACTGATTGAGCTCTCCTTTTTGTTTTGTGTTCTTTTTTCCCTTGTGAAATTTTGGCCTTCAGTAGCTGGAAGCCCGCAATCCCCAAACGACTCTTCCGACATCAAATAAAGAAAAGAGCTACATACATACAAGCATAAGCCATCAACTGTCACCCGGGACCTCACCATAGGACCAGACTCATAGAATCGTCAATTCTCCACTCTCGAAGTCACTCGAGGCTGAAGCTCGATCCCGTCGTTCTTATCCCTCGGTCGGCTCCCGCACCAGAGTTTATCGAAGAGATCGAGGCCGCAGATATAGCAGCTCGTCCTTGCTCTGTTGTACACGAAGATATCGAATACTATGCATACTAGAAAAATGGCGAAGCAAAGGCCGAAGCCGCCAAGGAAAAGGGCTGCTCCATCACCGGCACTCAGCATTGTCGTGGTAGGAGTAGTTGAGGAAGTGAGTCGTCTTATTGTGTCGAATGAATCCTGGTCTGATTCTTTTTGAAAAATTATGCTGTAAGTTTGTCGGATGTACGAACAACGTCCTTGGTCTTGGGAGCTGAAGTTGCAGGACCAGGGTTTAAGTAGCAGGCAAAATCTTGAAGCAGCAAAGTCTAAGTGAAGAATCCAGAGCTTCAAGCTTCTATATGAAAGCTCACGTGGAGCTGGCGGTGTCAAGACACTCATACACACAACTAGACACGTCAGATGAGCTTGATCGATCCTCCTGACTATTTGCAATTTGACTACTAATGGTCATACGAGGTTGGTAATTGTGACTGACAGTATTAGCAGAGCACCAAAATGTTCTCACCGTGCCAACCACGAGGTGCACCAAGAGTTTGCTTTGCAGATCACCTTGACTCACAAGAGTCTGGAAATATTGTGAGTTTCCATGAGTATTTTGGCGTTCCCCTCGTTTGCTATGCTGAGGACATCTTATCTAAAATATGGAGTGAAATGACATCTGGTGCCGACAATGGTGTTAATGGCTCTATCGCCTGCAATTGGGCACTTGTGATATTTAGAGTAACTATGAATATGGCTTAGGGTGTCAGATAATTGACGTTCTGTCATATGGAGTCAAGACTCGTATTCAACCACCATGCATTTTGGGCGGTTACCGATGAACACTTAAACCTTACCAAAGAAAACCTTTCGCAGGGCCTTTGGCTGCATGAATTTCCATGTTCATAAAGTTTACAAAGGAGAACCAGCCATGAGATTTCTTCCTGTAAAAAAGTAAACGCTATAGAAACACTCGGTGGACTGACTTTGAGGCTGCTAGCCTTACCCAAGATAGCTTCTCCGTCCAGGCTCGGAACGTCCCACCACGTTCCATATGCCGCTACCCAATCTCATTCGAAGCAACCTCAGATTCCAGGCTTGCAGTTGGTTAAAAATCCCTTAAATCATCAAAAAAGGTAAAAACACAAAATAGCAGTAAGCATTCAATCAAGAGCAGCAGTACTAGTGATTCAAATAATCTACCCGAAACCCGCGCGTGTTGTAGCGTGAACCTATCCCCTATTGATCATAAGTATCAATACATCTCCTAGCGACGCAAACGTTTCTCCCACTTATTGTAGGCTGCAAAGACTCCAACAGTGCATGCTACGACAGCAACGAGCACTACAGCACATATCCATGCAGGCAATGGTGATCCGTTAATCTCGGCAAGGTTCATGCCAAATATGCTTGTTACGAGATTCAACGGAACAAAGATGAAGGCAAGCTGGGTGAGCTTTTGGGCCGAATAGCTCTGTCGAACGCTGATCTCGGAGTCCAGGACGCTGATAGAACTTATAAGAAGTTGGAAAGTATCCATAAGAAACTGGTCCGTAGTTTCAGCCCCTTCAAAAACTTCCTTCAAGGCGAGATCAGGGAAGGCCACACATTTCTCAGCTTCGACTGTGTTTAATTCGTCTGTGATCCTGGTGGGAATCCACTTTCGAGCAGCTGCTACTTCTTGGCGTAAGAGCACAATGTTTTGACGCTCATCCAGAAGTCTATCGTTGATTTCGATTCTAGGACGACGAAGCTCGTTGAAAGCAATGTGCCTAATGCTCTGCTCGATCTCTCGGAGATTATAGCTCCACGTAGACGCAATTAAGAGGTATAGGATGGTCTCATCGGAAATAACCTGGTGCTTGATAAGACGGACATGCCATGCATGACTGAAGAATTGCTTTAAACAATCGAATATGGAGTGTTTCGAATGCATGAGTAGCGCTGGTAGCTCTACGCCTCCACGGCTGTTAGAAAGAGGAAGACGCAGGGTGTCTCTACTGCCAATAGGCGAGAAGAATGGCGACGCAGTTTTCATTGGTGCGTCCACGAGGAATATATCTGGAAAATCTGTCAAGAATTGGTCAAACCCCAAAATTGTTTGTACTAACATATGTTATCGTTGACTTGACAGTGCGAAAGCCGTGTGTTCGATTGCCATCCATATTGGTGGTCGTATTCGAGGCGACGCTGGTTGAAGTTGGGGTCCTCCATGCGAGACGTCTTCGGGTTAACTTGACTATTTTCTGAAGACTCCCATGAGAATACTCCATCCACATGCCAAGATATTGTTGTGGTGAACTTTGTTGATTGGCGTGAAGTATGACTGATCCTCTGTGTGGGCTTTATTTGCTTGGGTCCAAAGACTGCTTGCCAAGGGGAAGGTCCTTCTGGATTCAAGGCATGCTCATCGAAAAAAGTTGCATCGATATCAAATATCCTGCTCAACTCGACTCTCCAGTTCGAATCGATGTTCTCAATGACGATCACGGTGGCGTTTTCCTGACCATTTCTCTTGACTACTGACGCAATATCCGACAAAGCCAGGGGGTTTTGCTGACCTGAATCATAATAGAAGGCTCTCGTCTGATCCCGTCGATCCCTTTCCACGCTATTGTAAATAAGTGGAGGATTGGTGCCGAGAAAAGTATTCCTGGCCTTGTTAAGGAATTTCTCCATGGGTACCCTCTGCTTGGTCTTGCTCGTGCCTTGGGCCATTGCGCTTCAGTACGGGCACGGTATCTCGAGCGAGAACGATAGACAAAATTGTTCGCGGCTGAGAATGGCTAAATGCTGCAAAAGAAACATGAAGTTCAGGTAAGGCTGGACTAGCGAGGACTTTCAATTTGCGGATGTGCAAATTCATGAAGACTCCTTGTTAAATATCCAAACGAAGACTTACCTGAGGCTGCCGCATCTATGTTAGTAACACAAGACTAAGACTTGCTGAAATTTGCGCAAGCACTAGTGAGGGAGGTTGAAAGTCACACCCAGGCGTGCTGCGCCTTGGAGGTGGCTAGCAAGGAGGCCATTTTCCATCAATCTAGCCGTGTCTTGGCTTTACAGTTGGACGAAAACCACGCAGAATCTCGTGTTGTGCGATGGGTCCAGTAACAAGGTTACTACTGCCCAACAAGTCCAGCAAAAGAAAAAAGCTACCTATGCTCAATCATTCCCTTATTCTGAATAAGTTCAGGCGTAAATGCATACTGCGCCCCTGCCTCACCGCTTCATCAATTCTGTGATAGTCGGGCGTATGTTGTGTGACCCTCCATGTCGACACTTGTGAAAGGCTGTACAGGGCTGTGACATAAGCGTACATTTCAGCTACGGTGCAAGAATTCAGAACACTATTACTTCAAGCGACAATTGGAATCCTCGAAAGTAGCCTTGATATGATATTTATTGCTTAATTGTATCTAGGAATGATATGAATTTGAGGCACAATGATCAGATCGAGAATCTTCAACACATTTCTGTCGTGCTGGCCGGGTGTCGACAATGTGGCAGCGAAAGGGTGGCGACAGCTTCTGTGTTACTTAATGCAATCGAGTGTAGACCAATGCGTCACTCGGAGTTCTGAAACTGCGTAGCGGTCAGGTCGTATCGATGATGTTCGGCCTCCGAATCCTCAACGTTCCCTAATAGCCGTGATAGTCCATCGAAGCGGGCCTTCATGGCGCGTTTCCTTCACAATAGGGCGTCAGGCGCGTAGTTTCCTAAGAGTTCATAAATTTGGTGTGAGATCCCTCCCACTTAGAAAACGAGACGCATGTCAAGCCCTCAGAGAAGTCCTTACTTTGACCAGCCTCAACTCCATTGGTGGACACCACTGGCTCCTTTTCTTTTTCTTCTTTTAAGAAACATAAGTGCAGGTGGCTTGCATTCTCACAGCGAAGAGAGAAACAATCTGTGCGCACGGCGTCTTAACTTGCTGGTACGAGAATACCCATTTTAAATTCTCTTCATGTATATACACGTGTGGTTAGGCTGAGGGCGTCACCTATAGTTGTCACGATGATGAGTCCGCCCTTTCCCGGGCATCTAATTTCTCACAGGAGAGGAATGGCGTCGATCGAGGTTGTCAGATTACAATAAGAGTCAAGTGCACCAGAAAAGAAGAAAAAGAAAAAGCCTTGACCATCATGTTCATGTGTTCGAAAAGAGAGCCAAGTAGGATCGAAGGTAGGCGCCCTTGGCCTGATATACAAACTGCTAAAGATCGTCATCGACCACACAAAAACGGATATCCGTTATTTATAGAGCCCATGATACGATTCAATCACTTTGAACAGAGTCAGTCAACCACTCGCGGCTCCATCGAGCAAGACCACCCGGCCCAACGTGCTCGCGTCTGCGTCCCACGACCCAGCGCCACAAGCGCCCGACCCCAGACTTCTCGTTATTCATCAACATCTCTCCAACAATAACCACCACCTCCTCTCCACGCATGTGGATCCCATCCCAATCTGTCTGCCACGAGGTAGCTGAGCCAAGCCCCATATCTCATTCTTCTCATTCGCTTCGACCTCCCGAGTCAGACCCAGAAACAGAGATCGTCCAATGCCGTCAACGATGTCGTTCAACACCACAAGTTCCACCAACACCCGCAAAAGATTCACGAGAACCTCTCTGGCGTCATGTCATGTCAAAAACGGCGAGTAAAGCACGCCGCTCAACTTCCTCACTCGGCACACCCACGTGCGCCAGTCTTGACTCTGAAATGCTTGGCCCCCCGTCCCCAGCCCTCACCGCATAGCCCTCGTGGTTCCCGGGGTGGTGGCGCGCGACTCCACACACCTAGGTACACAGAAAGAATGTGTTTCGAAACGTGGGCGCTGTGGGCATGGGCCTGAGACGGACGAAAATAGCACCGCCGACAAAACCCTGGGAGGCCTGGGAGGAGACTTCGGGCCAGTGAGGCTGAAGCCGTGCGCCCCGGGAGGACGGGATAATTTATGCAAGACCTGGCTGTGCCAAGGGCAATACACACCTTGGAGTCCTCCAGAAAGCCAGTCCGGGCCAACGCCGCTGCAGAAGGTGTTTACCCACATGTTTATCAGAAACACAAACCGGTGGGGCGATGGTGTTATGGGCCCTATTGGGCTTTTAACCTCGCTGGACCCGCCGCATGGCCCCGGTTTTTAGATAAGGTCCGCCTTGGCGATGCTTGGTTTTCTCCCCGAGTGCCGCCCGCCCTTCCAGCCTCCTTCCTCTCCAAGCCCCGATCAGCCGTGTATGAACGCATGCGGCTAAACAGGAAGGCGCTCCAAGAATATCGACGGCATGAAGCTTGGAAGAGCCAAGCCATTTTACCCGTTGATGCTCTACCGCCCTGACAGGTGACACGACTGGAGTCTGCCGCTCGCTACCGGAAAGCAAGCTCAACGGAAAACCCACCAGCAGTAATAGTCCGAGCAGGCTCTTTACCTCGCTCATCAACTCGCTACATGGAGAGCCGGAGGTGACTGCACCGATGGGTCTGTTGAGTGAAGATCAAAGATACACGTGCAAACAAATGGAGAAACCTCTTCCGCCTAGGTGGACGATCGCTACTATCTAAATGAGGATCACCACCTCGTCGATGGCAATTCTTGGAACCACTCGCTTGGCGACCCAGCTTGACAGCTCCTGAGTCGTCGGGCCAGTACGCTCCACCCCTGACGCCTGCTCCGCTATGTGCTCCTAGCCATGCAGCCATGAGCGAGACAAGCCCACAGGGCCGGAGCCGCATGGCGATGTGTATAAAATTCCTGCCGTCCCTCATCAGCGGTGAAGGCTCTTGCCGTACTCGTCCCACCAGCCTTCAAGTCTCCAAGGTCATCGACACTCTTTCCTGTCGCCCTCAGCCCAGAGCCAACATTCGTTCACCTATCGCGGTCTCTACCAAGTCAACAACAGCAAAGATGCTCTTCACACCTGTCATCGCACTGGCCGGCCTCGCTGCCGCCGCCCCCCAGGGCCTTGTGTACAGACACGCCACCAATGAAACCGTGCCCGCATATAAGCCAGTCCCCCGCTCGATCAACAACATCAACGGCACCGTGCCCGTGTACAAGAAATTCTCCCGCTCGATCCATAATGTTAATGGAACCTTCCCCGTGGGCACCAAGAGCTCGGGCTCGACCGAGAGCGTCGAGGTGTCAGACTTCTCTGTGCAAGAGAAGCTCCAGGGCCTGGGCCCCAACGTCGAGAGCATCGCTAGCGTCTACTTCCAAATCAACGGCAATATCAGCTGTAGCGCTGACAACCCGGGCGCCGTGGGCACCGTCTTCGGCTGTGGTGAGACCGACTACTCCTTCGGTCTCCTCAACGGCACCACCTCCAAGTACTCGCTGAGGCTCTACCACCAGACCGGTGTCGCGTAAGTTCAGGCCAACACACTCATGGTTGGACCATACAGACTGACAATCAATGAATAGTGTCGGCAGAACAGGCCAAGGTGACATCCCGACGGTCCCCCACGCTGGTGGCTCTTCTGCCGATGGCAGCTATGAGATCAACAACCAGATTGGCACCACTGCCATTGTCATCTCTTCATCATAGACAGTCATGACCTGAGACCTGATGGTGGATTTTGGATACTAGGTACTGGTGTTTTTAGGATGTTATAATGTGCAAACCACGAGATTAAGACTTGTATATATTGAAATGAAGACCTTGAAAGATCAATTAGAGGCATATCGTCCCCAAACAGCCATTTCTCCCATCGATACTTAACGACAGTGTTCCAGAACACTTGTTCCAGTTGTCTTGGAGTGGCCTTGATCAAATAGCATGCCAGTGTGTAGATGGTGGCGTGTCTGAGTGGTTAGAATGGTAGTGAAAATGCCGACCACCAAGCAAACACGATTTCGACTGCGAGGGCGAGCACACCGTTGTGACTGTAACGCCAAAGACACCGTACGGAACGATGAACTCGGATCCCAACTTGTATCCGGGCACCGCAGCCGGCTAAACAAATCAACCGATCTCACATCTCGTATCGCTTGGGGGTCGGTTGTGGACTTGGTTGACAGACTCCTAATAGGAAAAGCGAACAGCAAGACACCCACTGATGCCAAAGTACGGGACTAAGAGCAGTGAGGCGATGAGGTAGCTGTCCACGCTCGCTTGATCGGGGCGTCCTTCTGCCCCGAGGGACGAGCCATAGAAGCCCAAAAGTTTCTGGGTCGTTCAGAGACCCCGGGTCCGACCGCAACCCACATCATATGTCTGCCCCTTTTCACTGCCAAAACTGAGAGTCTGTCAAGGCTAAAGGACGCGCGCCTTGCGAGGTCAAGCAAAACCTAATCGGCCCACGCCAGACTTCAGATGATTGTCTGTTCCGCACTTGCAAGACCAACAAACGGTGCCGTGCTGCCTCATTGAGGAAAATAGTTGCGCAACGCTGTATTGAACCACGGGTAACGCCAGAGAGCAATGATCCAACTCCCGCTCATAGCCTGGGCTGGTTGGGTTAGCTTGTCGGCGATCCTCAAGTAATGAGAGGCAACGATCTCTATGTCGTGATGAACCGAAGATCGACCAGAAAAGCCGGAGGCGAGGTCGGCATCCTCGGTACATGTGAATGATGGAGGTGCAAGCACCCAATCGGCGAGGCCTGCCCCGGGAGATCCGCATTGTCGGGTGGATGGGCAGATGTGATGGGCCAGCGGTACCGGAGCCTTATGATCGACTGTCCCGCACCTTAGAATGACGATGCCGCTCGATAAAATAGAGAGGGATGCAGGCTTTGTTTTGGCGGGGTTATCTCGGCTGTCAGGTTAAATAAGCCTCTATCACCGACGGGAGAACTAGTGAAAGGGGAGGTGGTATTGCGCTTGATGGTTTGTGGGATGTGACAGGCCGTCTTGGTGGACAGTGACTGGCAATGTTGGAATGCATCCGGACGAGACGAAGGAGAGCCGCATAAAATCCTTCCGGGCGCCGCGTTGGCGGAACGAAGCAAGCAGGGACGCTGCCGGTAGATGGGATCCGCCGCCTGCCGTTATGCGCAATGCTCATGCTCATGCTTTGATGCTTATGCCTCACGCGGAAGTTAGTGTGGGCACCGAGAATTGAGATTTGAGGCGGCAGAAATTCTGCATTGCGACGTTGGTGAGATGGCAATGCCTTGAGATGTGTGTGTATGGTGGCATTGAGCCATGCAGTGGGGTTAACTGTGCGACGACTTACATGTCTAGGCCGTGGCCGTGGAAAAGCGCAGCCTGTAGTTCGATGGGGCAATGCAAGATGAGATTGATGTGACTCCCAGCATCGCCCTGTCATTGTCGAATGCTGCCCACCATCTTCTCAGTCGGCAGCAGGTGACATGACAGGCAAAATGTGACGGGTTACTGGCGGTGAGTGGGCAGCTTTTGAAGAAGCAAGTCCTCAGCGCCAATGAACAACAAGCAGTGCTGTGTGAGTAATGAAGATAAGAGAGACACTGAATGTGACGAGGGTCAATCAATCTGGTTCTGATTCTGGTTGGCGCATTGGCGCCGTCGCCTCTTTCACCAGCAAGTGTACTGTAGGACTGCCGGACTGCAGGACGCAGAACTGCAGTGTGTGTAATGTACCACACGTTGTCGTCGGGTCGAGTTGAATCGGATGGATTGATTGAGTGTGGGGAGAGGGCTGGGCGCTAGGATGTGCACGTCTGAAGTTAAACGGGAATAAGCATCACTGCATCGGTTCTGCACTGTGCTTGTCCCTGTGTCCCTGTGTCCCTGGTGTCATGGGCTCCTTCCGCTTGGGGCGCCTGTACCGTTTTTAGCAGCGGCGGCGGCAGCAGCAGCAACACACGCCTGGATGCTGGAAGGCGCGGTCAAGCGGCCCATCAAGCATAACCTGGCCCTGCCTGGGCATCCCACACTAGATGCTGGGGCGTCAGGGTGTGTGTGTGTGCTAAATGCACCAAGTGCCGAGTTGGAAAGATCGACCCTGCAGACCCGTCCTCGACGGGCCTTCTGGGGCTTCTGATTTGCTGCATGGAAGTGACTTGGGTGGGCCTGCCGTGTCTGGTGGGCCGATGGCTGCAGAGATTGAAATGCGAGTCGGAATTGCTCCTGGTTCTGTCTGGAGGTATCTTTTCTCTGAGTCCGCTCTACTATTATGAATGAACATGACGCTCCGGAGTGCCTGGCGTGCTAGGTATCATGGTATGCAGCCCAGCAGCATTTCTCGTGCCCTGCGTACTTGGCGACGTTTGCAATAGTGAAAGAAACCATGGTTCATAGCTGACCGACCCAGCAGTCTTTGATGTATACTCTGCAATATAGTATGCGCCGCTGCCAGCCAGAGTGCCGCATGCCTAGATAGACTAAGTACCCACGTAGTATGCGACGAAAACCCGAAGCTGGGGAAGAGGATCACATCCGCACGAGGCTCTCGCGGATCAATTGTACACAGTAGAGACATGTCGTCGGGAGCGGACCCGATGACTGAGCGGTCAACGGGATTTGCTCGGGGCTCCAACCTTGTCTGCCATGCTGCAGGCCGCACGCACGCTTGCTTGTCCTGTCTTTGCTACCATGGTTGGACCTTACACAATACAGGTGGCGGGCCACGAGACCTGAAAACTCGACTCTCTGTGGTGCTACCGTGACTTCAATTGCTGTTGACCCAGCGCAGATACAGTAGTAGATCGGCGATAAGGTGATCTCACCTCTGGCGCCTGTTTGGGGGCTGGGAGCCGGGAAGCCAGGGAAGCGTCGACATGTTCGGCACTATCGGGTGGTATCGTGCGATGTGTTGCGTTGCGCTGGTGGTTGCGTTGCAAACAAACCTTGGAAGGTCTCGAGCTAACCTTCACAGATATTATTCTCTTCCGCGACTGGCCAGCCGGCCTGGCAGCCCAGTCAATCTTCCCCAGCGTTGCAACCCCTTGATTCCACACTAGCGGCGGACAGTGCATCGGATTGTGTTTGCTGATTGTCTGGATTGTCTATCGCGTCGTGCTGTGCTACAAAGTCGTCGCACCTAATGGCCCTGTCCGCTTAGAACTGCCTGGCTTGGCGCCCGCCCTGCTGCCTTGCGTGCGCGCTTGAGTCTTGACAGCAGGCCTGACTTGGCGCATGTATTATGCGGGGGCCCTGGAATCCGGAGAAGAGGACGAGACAGATCGCGATCCTGCGCCCGCACAAACTCACTTGTTATCACCACTTGTCATCAACACTTACCGCCCGCCTCGCAACTCTCAATGGCACCAGGAAAAGGGTAGATTAAGGCCTCGGCGGGAAACGAAACACGCTGAGCCTCCTGTGTCCACGAATCGCCGGACCCAAAGCATTTGGCTTGGCTTCATTAGCCGGCATTTATGCTTTTCGTTTGTTCCCCCGAGACTAGCGGCATTAGCTGAGCCCTACGCAGAACCGTCACAACCAGTTCTAGTGTTCCTGGACCAGGACCGCAGATTTCGAAAGTGCTACTGTTAGCTAGTATCTTCGTATGGGTTACACTGAGGGGCATGACAGTCAGAGGTGTGAGGAGGGGCTTACGCCTCCAAGGGTAGACCTGTCAAGCACCTCGTTCTTGACATTGGTGACATGACACCCTTTGCAATCAAGGCCAGCCACTCGACGACCGTTTTCTTGTTCTAGCTCTCGCCCTTGGGAGATTAGGCTCAACGCCGTCTAAGAGACCTCTAGAGGACCAATTGCAGGGACTTGGCCCGTTTGTTCCAGGCCACTGGTGCAAACGTCGTCATGCCTGATGTCAGTCCCTGGGATACCTTGGCAGGCTGTGGTGAAGAAAGAAAAAAAACCTTTTTTGGGGCTCTTTTTCCGGAATCCTTGCCATCGACATGGTCATATTGGGCGAGCCGCTATACGCTTGCCAAAACTGCAGTACATGAGAAATAGACTAGGTAGCAGATTATTACTGCGTAAAAAGCTGTCTGCACGGCCGGCCAAGCAGCAATTGGCAATTCGAGTCATGGACCACGGCCCCTTCAAAGCAACTGTATTGTGCATAGGGCCTGACTTCAGCTATGACCGCCTCACGGCTGACTGCATGCGGCAGGAGGTCGCGAAGAACTCTGTTAGTTGGGTACCTGCGGCCTCACAGTGTTGGACTCGGTCCCAGCAGCAGATGCACGGTCTGAGCACACACGTTTGCCAGTAAGCGTCCACCACATGGCAGGCAAGACACACCAAGCCAACCATCATCGCCATCGCCATCGCCATCTTCATCTTCGCACATCACTCGCGAACAAGACAGCAGCGATAGTGGATGTGCGGTCAAGGCAGGGCAACATCAGATGTGCTCGCCCATTAGACAAGTGCGTCCTTGCTACTACCACCACTTGCATGGTGCAAGCAAGTAGACTAGAAAGCCCGAAATGCGGAGAGGAAACATCCAAGATGGCGGCGATCGGCAGAGGACAGACAGACCCTGACAGACCCCAATCCATGGGCAATATCTGAATGGACGATGGCCGACCAAGCGGAAATTAATGGGCTGCTCTTGCTGTTGGCCCCCCGCTCTGGGCCGTCCCCATGCCTTTGTGCTGCCTTCGTTTTTGCTGTGCGTCCAGCGGCCCTGGACCGACACTGTATGGGTCATATGTATCCGTGTATCCCCCTGGACCACCCACCCCCGTCTGTCACAGGCGACAACTTCGCCCTCTTGGTTTTTCTGCCCTGCACGCACCGAGCCTGCGGTTCCTCTCCTATCCCAAACTCAGCTGCACTGCACTGCACCCAAGAGGCACCCAATCCTCCAAAATCTCAGCCGCGAGAGGAGGAAGCAAGCCCACGCAGCTGCATCACTTCACCACCTACGGACCTCCCCATTACTCACCTCCCCCTCCCTCACCTTCTACCATTCGACACTGTCGCTTGTCGCTCCTTGGCCTTGTTCCCTCCTTTTGCCTCCTCTTTTTTCTCCATCAACCAAAGAGTGGACCGGCTGGCGACGGGACCGACCTCACAGCTAAACCGCATGTCTGGCTCGCACAATACCGACCACCACCACCACCACCCTCCTTTATGCTAATCCAGGCCTTAGAGCCGAGGTCTACAATAATCCAATAACACCATCGCGCGGACCGAGGCTGCTGGGCAGGCACTGCGAGGAGAAACGCTGGAAGGGAAGAACAAAGCCACGAGTGGCGGAGGCCTGGTGTCGAGCCTCTTGTTGCTGGTGAACTTTTGCTGTTGTTGGTTGGGATACTGTATTGCCTTTTGCTGGCCTCGGAACTTGTTCTGGGTCCAGTGGAAGAGCGGGAAACATCGTATGCCTCGCGCCTCCTCGGCTAAGCGACAGCAGGGAGCGGCGAACAATCGCGACACTCGACACGAGAACGGGCTTGTAGGTCCAGGAAGGCGCATCGTCAAGCAAAAGAGCAGGAATGAGATCAGACTCGATGGCAGCCCCCGGCCTCACCCCCAATCGTTTTCCGACAACGCCGCTCCCCCGCCGCTCCCCTCGCCTCTGCCTTCGACTTCGAACCCGTGCGCAAACGGAAACGGGAATGGGAACGGCTACCTCCACGGCAGCGACGACATGTCCCTCGACACTGCTCGCCGGCCCTCGGTAGCCGCGTACTCCGAGACCTCCTCCTCCGAGTCGGTGTCCCTGTCGACCTCCCAGGCTGCCGCTGAAGATGCCCACCGCCGGATCGACGTCAATGCTGCCAAGAACAACAACGTCCACCGGGACACTGGTTTCATCGACCTCGCCTACACTGTCCTCCGATCGTGCCCCCTGCATGACACCATCGCCATCCTTATCATTCTCATGCAGCTGTCCCCAGTCGCCTTGTCGAGCATCTACATGCTCTTCACTCTCCTGACCTTCGTCCCGCCTGTCACCACTAGCTCCGGCCTCAGCCTCACCGAGATTTTCGATGGCCCTGGCGCCCCTAATTTGTGGACCTTGGTTGGGCTGGACCTGTTCTTCCTCATCGTTTTTGCCTTCATGCCCCTGCAGGATCTGATTCTGGATTTTGCACAGGTGGTGATAGCCATGACTTTGGGGGGTGGCGCAAGCTCAAGAGCAGGGACAACACACAACATTTTCTTGTGTGCTGGAATAGTTCTTTTCAACCATTTTGGGCACCACCAGGCGATCAACAGATACTCCAATTTCAAGACTTTTTTCGGGGGCCCCTGGGGCACACCGGATGCGGACGATCCTTTGGAACCTGTTTCGATCAGCTACGAGAGGAAAGGACCGAAGGGATTGTTTCGGAGTATTTTGGCTATACATATTCTTGTTCAAGGACTCGTTCGATATGTCAGGGAATGGTATCTGCGGCGTGAGAAACGCGATTTACTATCTCAGAACCAATCTGATCCTGAAGTCGGGAAGACACCCACTTTTGCAGGGGACGCGGCCACGGACGGAGGAGGGAATCCCCCTCCAGATGTGGCTGAGGCGAACAGACAATTGACAAGCACAACAATATCGAACAAAAAAAGAAGGAAACAGAGTCATCAAGTGCGTATTCGACAGCCACTTTGGGCAGCTTTGGCAAGCACGAAGATTGTTATGGTGAAGGAGTATGAGCTCTCACATGCTGCATCCGAATCTGCGGGCTCCAACGCAACAGACATTCATAATCTAGGCAACGCACCTTTCAATACGCAGCCGGAACAGATTTGGATTTGCTACGTTGGTTGCGACACCGTGTGCTTCAACACGAGTCCATTTCCAAACCGCCCTCCTACCGAGAACACTGACGAAGACAGCGATGGGAAGGGGACTTCATATGTTGATACCTCTAAACCTTTCTACGTCAAGGTGAACAATGCTATCTGGCAGCCGACGCGCATCATGCCGATAGATGATGGAGAGGAGGAAGGCGTGCAGGGAACGAGATGGACAGGCGATATTTTTGGACTGACACCCATGTCTAACTATGAGTGCGAGTTCGTGAGTAGCCGCACCGGCCAGGCCATCTTCTCGACTAGTCTCAGGACGATTCCAGCCAAGATCAAGGACAACGACGCATTGAAGGCACCGGCTCCCCGTTCGCAGTATCGACACCAGTCTCCTGCGACAACCCTGAGAACTTCAATAGCCGGCCTGGAACAGAAACTGAACGATGAAAAGGCTAGGCTGAAGTCTCTCAGGAGGGACAACAACAGGAAGACGAATGCGCTTAAGAAGGACATCGACAGATTGACTTCGGCAGTTCAGTCAGCTGGCGGGAATGACGAGAAACTCAGGCAGAAAATCGCACAGAACATGACGCAGCAGAAACAGGCAGAACAGGCTATTGCAGAGCTTCAGGAGCAAGTCAAGGAATTGCAGTCAATTCCGGAGGAGGTTCTGGCAGACTATCGAAAGAAGCAGGGCCAGTACAACACGGAGAAAGGGCAGTTCGACCAGGCCAAGGGCGCGTTTAAGAGCTTCAAACACTCTGTCGATCAGGACGCCAAGGCCCTTGATGACGAGCGAACGAGCCTGCAGGCTAAGCGAACGAAGATTGCTGCTAGGCTCAACAAGGTCGACGGTGAGCATGCGCGCATAACAGATGCCAATGCCCGTGGCCTCGATGAGGCCGATCGCCGTCGACAAGAGACCGCTGCCTTCGAGAGCGAAGCTGTCCGCAGGGAGAAGGATTACGCCGATCGTTTAGCGATTGCACGCGCCCACAATGAGGATAAGACGCAAAACGCAGCCAACATGGCCACCGTGCTGGAGGGCATACTCAACAATTTCAATCAAGCCGAGTACTCAGCCTTCTACGAGCGCCAGGAGGCCGCTGCCTACCACAACGCGGCCTCCCAGTGGCCACAGTATGCGCAAACTCACACATGGTCTCCGGCAACGTCTGCAGCACTTCCTAATGCGACGCTCGCAACAGCCCCGGCTCCGAATCCTCTGTTCTCCCACGGCACCTTTCCACAGTACCAGCACCCAACGCATGTGCCACTGCCGCGTAAGTCGCGAGGCCGCTCTTCGTCCATGTTGAGCGACGTCTCTGGCTTCACCCAGTCCACCGACGACGAAAACGACGGCAGCAACGGCTCGAACAACAACAGCAGCGGTCACATCAACGCGACCACGATAACGCGAGGCAGCAGCACTATCAATGCCACTGCCGCGCCTTTCCTCCCGCCTGCTCACAGCCACTCTGCCAGCCAGAGCCCCTTCGGCCAATACGCGTACCCGGCAGGGGACGTGCGGAGCCCTCCAGGGTTCCCGCCGTACCAGCCAGGCGATGTTGCCCGCAAGGCGTCCGGCTCCGGCTCCGGCTCCGGCTCCATGCGGAGTGGTACTGCGAGCAGCGAGGGGAGCAACAGGGACCCAACTAGCCCTATCCAAATAGGAGCTCGTTGATTGTCTTGCTCTGCTGTCTTTTTGGTCGTTGCTGTGTTTTCGTTGGTCTTGCGTTTGGCTGCGACTGTCCTGCGCCGTCTTCGGCCCGCCCCCTTTTCCTACGGACTCGACATGACTCGTTCAGCTTGAACAGTCGTACTCACCGTCCACGGGTCTCGGGTCGTGGGTGATGCGGTGTCATCGTCTCCCTCCTGGTACTGCTGCCCTGTCTCTGCTGCTGCCCCTTCTTGCCTATCTGTGCCGTCAGCGCCCGCGCCGGGTCTCTCTTGGATCTTTGGGGTCTCGGTTGTCGGAAATCATCTGTTCATAGGTAGATCTGGATCGTCAGCTTAGCATGCGATGTGGTTGTGCAAAGTAGGTTATGTCGAATGCAATCGGAAAAGTTTCTTGTTCCTTTTATATCATACGTCGCTTTCGTCCCATGTGCCTCTGTCGATGTGTGATCTTTTTCTGCCTCGCCTGCTGCTATTAAACAGGTCGCGGGTTAAGCCATGTGCCTTATTTCAAGTGGCCTGTGCTCATGTTGGACCTTGCTCGCATCATGTTGGTGCACAAGTCTGATTCGTAACGTCGGTTGACACCATGATTCCGGAACTTCAGACCATCGTCGAGCATATGATTGACCCTTTGCAACCCTCCCCTCCCCGAGCCTTCCCAAAAACTAGAGAACGTCCATGCACGCCCCAGTCTGAATTTCACACAACCTACGGGTAGTCACATCTCGGCATCCTCAGTCTTGTCATATATATGTTAAGACTGTTGCATTCGCGCAATAGCTTCGGTTGGACATTGAGAGACCACTTATTGGGGATTTAGTTTGGCTCTCTACAATGATAGTGAGTGTATTGAAGCTGGTAAGATTTCCTGGCAGACACTTTCATGAAGAAAGCTGATCTCCTCGCTTTTCTGATACATAGTCGGTGCTTATAGCCACTGTGAACGGCTTCATCTGCCAATCTGTATAATTCCTCAACCTTGTCACCTGGGCTCTCAAAGCCAGCAAAAGACAACCACTGCCTCATGCACGCTTGTACATCAGCTTATAGCAGAACCCATTCACCATTTAGATGTGCCCCGCCTTCTCTTGCGCCTATTTTCCTTGATTGATTGCTGACGCCACCATAATATTGCTTGGTGGCATGGCAGTGAACGAGCGTATAGATGTTGAGAAATGAGACAAAAAGAGCGCCCGATTTTCCAAAGCGGGTTGTGGTTTCGCCGTTTTCGCTTCTCAGGATTCCACAGTCTTTGTTTTAGATTCCTATTGCTTTGTGATCTCGTCGACTTTCACCAACTGTTGTATTTTCAAGACAAAGCCGTGCCTCCACTTGCGGTCGATTGTACACAATTGTATCAAGAAATGATTAATTACTTTAGCTGTATGTATCTTTTTTGTGGATGTCTTAAAGAAAGTAATAGCACAACAGCAAACTTGAAGAATTTCTAATAAGTCTGTTGCCTGTTATTACATTTTTCTTCTGGAATATACATGGAGTATTCCGGGCTTTTCTCCTTGATCAAGCAACTATCGTATCATACGAGCCTGGAACCACATAACTGAACAAATCACAACAAGAATTGAAGTGAAAAAGAATGGACGCCCGAAATGTTTCTAGGCGCCGGCGTCGGGGATCATGTTTTCCTTGTTTCCTCCTTTTCTTGGTTCTCGCTTGGGGAGTCATTATGATGGTATTCAACATCGGTCGAGTTATGACATTGGAGGACTTGTTCGCACCCCGCTGGGTAGAGGATGATGTTAATAATAAGCCTCTAACTCACTACGACGTGCTGCACGTTAGCCCTTTGGTGGAGCATGCGACACTACGGAAATTGCGGAAGGAACTGTCTGTCAAATTGCACCCGGTGAGTACAGAACGTCCAAATATGTATGCTTGTGCTTCCTCCCATGGGATTGCATAAAATGTCTGGGATTTCCGAGAATATTCTTACGCGTATAAACTGCCTTAAATTACTTTCCATGGCTTGCAAATTTTCATGAATAATACTGGCAGGAAAGGAAGTTCTCTTCCAGCCTCGTCTCTCAGCACAGACTTACCTCATCATGTCCCTCATAGCTGATTACCCAACTGCAGGATAAATCAGTTGACACACCAGATGCCTGGAGCAGGTGGGCGATCATGAATCACGCATTCCAGGTCCTGCTTGATGGAAGACGGCGCTGTGAATATGACAAGGCAAACCACATCAAGGGAATTTATTACTGGCAGGCCTGCGATCGTACCTTTCGCCACGAGCACCGACAAGAGATACGGGAGCAGTCCCTGGAGATCCAAGAAATGTGGGCATCCAACGATAAGAACCCCGTGACAACACCTGAGGACTACCCAGCGCTGTCGGGCCCTGAGGATGAGCTGACAGCGTCGAATTCAGAGGAGCCGAAGGTGTCGAGAGATCAAGAGGAGCCGCGAATGCCGGAGACTGAAGAGACATTGTCAGAAGCGAATGAGGACGAGTCATCAGGTTCGAGAGGTGTGTGCAGGATACCAGAGTCGGAGACTGACGAGTCATCGTCGGATGCGAACCAGGACGAGTCATCGGGCCGGAAAACTGAGAGCATGCCACCACTGGCAGCAGCCGAGTACAGGCCAGAAGTGCCGGTCAAAACATATAGGAAAGATGGGAGAGATGAAACCCGGCCGGCCGACCCTGTCAAGATAGTGTCATCGGCTGTAGCTCGAACTTGGGGCGGTGTTGTGCATTATTGGATTATTGTTAGGGGTGCGACTGCCTACTATGGCGAGCAGGTGGTCTCATATGTTGAAAGTCTTTTTGGTTTGAAGATTGAGGAAGTGGAAACATAGCATTTCGTCTATAGTCTCCTAGGTAACCTTTGAATTTTAATAGAGAGGCGATGAAGCTGAATCATATGGCTAGAAAATACAAATACTACAAAAATATGGGGCCGATGGGTCTGTGGCTGTGAATCTCAAAAGGCCGCGTTGCGACACATATAAATGTCGCTTGTGGATGAGGGATGTGCATGACTATTTCGATAAGCCATGTTACGGTGGACCATGGGAAAGCTCCAAGTAATATTTGGTCTGTTCAACAACGATGTATGGATATAACAGAGGCCAAACGTGCTTATATTCTAGGAAGCTAGCTGCCCGCCTGGGCAAAGACAACGCCCCCCAGTGCTCAAATTCTGTAACGTTTCCGTGTCCCTCGACTCCATGATATGATGAAGAATAACTGTGAAAGCGACACCAGAACACCGTGGCTGGTAGGTATCATAATGAATGGTCATGAGTTCGTAAGCATCATCCCGTCGTGAAACCTCACATCGCCCGGCATTTAACTCGGACCGTGCCGTGGACCAGTCTCTTTCAATACCCCTTCGCTGTCACGGCCCCAACCGCCAAAATCTCCAACCTTCCAGCATACAGCTTCATCACATGGCACACAGGATCACCCCAGATGATGCCCCTGAGCTGCTCATCTGTCGCCATCTGCGCTACCACCCCCTCGTTCAGCCGCTCCTCCACCGTCTTCTTCCCCTTAAGCCTCGCCTTCTGCTCGCCCGACCGCAGGACAACGATCCTGCCCGCGTTGCTGAGCGGGCTGGGTGGGACTTTCCACACCGGCTTGTTATTGGCCGGGGCCGGCGCACTACTACCCCTGCTCTTGGACGACTTCGTGGACTTGCCAGACTTGGCCGACACCAGCGAGCTCTTCGACTGCTTCTGCTTCGGGCACTCCAGCAGCGCCAGCTTGGACGGGGGCTTCGCGAGCGTGGTCGTCACGGGCGCGGGCGTCGCGAACAGCTCCAGCAGGCTCCGCACGTACGCCTTGTCCGCCCTGGCCACGGGGTCGCCCTCGTTGACGAAGCTCAGGAAGAGGCTCTTGCGCAGGTCCGCCCGGCCCTCGGGCTTCTGCAGCGGCAGGAGCGTGATGGGCGGCGCGCCGAAGGTCACGCAGTGCACCCGCCTGAAGCACCCGGTGAGTGAGTTGAGCTCAGACTGGGCGGCCTTTGACGTCGACAGCATGTGCGCGTAGAGGAGGGCCGCGACCGCGCCGCCGGCTGAGTGGCCGGTGATCAGCAGGCTGTAGGATGCGCGTCCTGGGTCTTCTTGGAGGAGTTGTCGCAGGCGGGCGGCGACTGGCTTGATCATCTTACGGGCTGCGGTGAGAAAGCCCGAGTGGCAGTAGTTGCCAGCGTCATCCTTTAAGATGTTTGTTAGTGTCGCGTGGCACGTTCAGATTCGCAAGAAGGGGTTGATTGCTTACCAAGAACCCGGCTGGTGAAGTCGGTGCCGTGTTCAAGTTCACGGCCCAATCCATAAACGTAGCTGTACCCCTAATCGCGAAGACAATGGTATTCATATGATCCATGGGGACTGATTTGATCGTCATTGCCCTTGCGCCGCTGTGAAAATTTGCGCCCACTTGGAAATCCTTTTCCGCACCTCGAGCCTTCTCGTAAACCCGGTCTGAGTATTGCGCCGCCAAACATAGCAGAGGCCAAGTGGGAATGTACAGCTTGAGTGGTGGCAGATTCATAGGCAGCCGGGAGTTAGCGTACAGCTCTACCTTTGCGAAGTAATTGCCGGACATGACACTCGCTGCAACTGCAGTAGTCTGGCCTTTCGGAGCATCACGCCCTTTTGTTGGAGATTGGTTCTTCTTTGGTCTGCTCAGCTGGCCCCTTGTGGCGACTTCTGTCGACGACGAGGAGTCTGAGGCTGAGTCCGCATGGTAAGTGAACAGGTCTCTTTCATTCCCTGCATATCGGTCCCGGTCGATCTGGGTCATGACATCGTTGAATCGATCACATATTTGGTTCATGGCTGCAGCACCCGGGCCAGAAAACTGATTGCTTTGTCCACCCCGGAGATTCAGACCGTCATTGAGAAAGGTCGGGACAACCCCAGGTATAAGCTGGTCGGCGAGGTTGACTGCAGATCCAATGACCATCCTCGAAAAAGGCACGGCATTTCCATGATGTCCTTGGGTTTCTCCGTTTGATGGCGGGGGTGCCAACAGGTAGTAGTGCTGATTGACCACGACTGGTGCTTGCTGTGCTTGCTGTTGATATGGGTACGGTGGAGGTGGTGAAAGCCCTTCATTCCATCCAGACGGGGGTGGGAGGTAGCCAGCAGGTTGGAAGCCAGGACATGATGAGTCTGCCTCCGTGATACCGGATGTCTGGGGAGCATGATACTGTGCCGGAGGGGTTTGGCCTTGGCACGGCCTCGTGTCAACCGGAACAGGGACCGGTCCTCCAGGCCTCGGCGGTAACTTCTTGGTCTTATTGCGAGAGAACCAACCCATCTTGATGATCGTCAATTTTGACTTTGCAGTGGTCTTAGCATCAGGCTGGCTCAAGAGGAAAAGCTCCGAACATATCTATCAAGTATCACCGGGGGCAGGCTGTCACAAGATAAGGGCATGGCACCGAGGCGTACACGGGTGCGACGGGTTTCTCGGTCCTGTGCCGTCAAGAATGACGACGACGCGCAATTCAACGCAGCTGAAGCGGAAACACTAGGAGAGGGCATGACACAGCCCGAGAGGTTTAATCTGGAAACGTCCTCGCGGCAGCCTTTATTAAGAAACATGCCAGGAAGAGAGCAGAACCAGGGGTGGTTCTTTCAGAAAAAAGGCAACGAGGGGCGTCACCCAACAACGAGTAACCCTAATGCTGGGCTCGTGCAACTAGCCGCTTTTAAGACAAAAGAGGCTTGGCAGGCACTGCGCGCCCCTGTCAGGAAGCACCTTTAGGCGTTGATTCGCTGAACGGGGCCTGGCGCTGCCCCAATGGCGTCCTGCGCACGAACACTTCCTCCACTCTCAGCGAGGTGGGACGGCCTGGCGAACCACGGCGAGAGCCTGAGATAGATGAATGCTATGGTCTTGCATGAGTGTGACTCGGGACTTGTTCCACTGGGGCGGCGATACTTGGAGGGGTTTCACCAAGCTGAAGTCTGCCAGAGTGCCTGCAGAAGGCTGTTCCTGGGTGCTCGAATGATATTCAATTTCATCGAAGACTATTTGACGATAGGCCTTCGAGTGGCTGGGGAGGCAATCAAGCTTTGTCGAAGTTGAGTCAAGCTGCCTTGTGCCCCAAGTCCAGAAGCAACAATCCTACATGATATGCAGGCCGGGCAACCACTCTTACCGCGCCTAATATGCACGTAGCCGCCCGAGTGGTGATTGTGGGGGACCAAAGTCAACCTTGTCGTACGCGGGGACGATTCCGAGGACGGCACTACTTTGGCTGCATGATGTCTAAAGACCAGAGTCCTAGCGGTAGGCTGGGGCTTGCCCACACTGTTTGAGTCTAGCTAAACGTGGGCTGTCCTTATGCAAGGACGGACTTTCGCGGACAACGCGCTGGATTCGTCGACTTCTTGCTCGCTTGGCTCTTCGACAATGGATATGAAAATACGGCCGATAGGAGACGACCGAGTAAAGACCTCATTGGGATCCTGTCGACATGGTGTCAATATGACTCGCAACCCTAGACCTGTAGAAAGCATTATCTGGTCTCAATGACTGTGGAAGAAGTGGAATGACTCCAGTCTTGTTGTACTCGGCCCCTTGCAAAGTGGGCAGACTCGAGACTTTCAGCTTCTTGAGGCGCATGTATCACTGGATCTCCGACCTCACCGGCCTCTTGACGAGTGCATAGTCCGCACATGCACTGCATCGCGTACAAACACTGAGAACTGGCTTGGAGAGCCTACCGCAACCTGACGCTAGACACATTGGCCTAATGTCACCCGATGGCAAGTATCAAGCCCGATCGGCTTCAGGAGTCGATTTGCATACGACGAACAAGGCCCATAGTCTTCTCTCCGGCATGCTCTTCTGCACGGCGGCTCTAAATTGTCCGTCAACCATACTACAACTCTGACATAGTTTTCGCTCCTCGACGTTGAGGCGAGAACTGATTGAATCGTAGCCATCGGGGAACGAGCCTGCTGTCACGACTGTTAGACACACAGACACAACTAGCTGGCCTTGTTTTTGCCAGATCTTATAGTTGCCTTCTCACGTGTCTCCCACCTCAAGTGATGGCCGGCTTCGAGGATGCTGAGCTTGTTAGAATTTCTCCAGGTCCATGTCAGCATTGATGGTATCAGCATATGCGACCAGCTTCTTCGAACTTCCGAGTCACCACTTTTCACTTTGGTGATCAGCCAACTACTTCCTGGATTCCTACCACCATGGCCAAAGCCCGCTGTCTCCCAGTCAAGGATGCCAAAGACATCCTCGGTCTCGGGACCGAGAAAGATATTCCCGCATGGTACGTCTGTGCGGATAAAATGTCTGCGTTGTCCGGAAGCCGCACAAGGTAAATGGGTATCCATCCCAGGTGGGTATTCCCAGCTAGAGCGACGAGCTCTTCGTGATATTCTTTGATGATGGTCTTGAAGAGCCCATATGTGGCTCTTTTCTTCGGCCCGTGACAGTGAATTGTCTCCTTGGAAAAGGACCCAGTCCATGTAGATTCAGGCGGGCAGATGCTATGCAATTTAGCAAAGCAAGGCTTCAGCTGACTGATCTCTCGTGATGAGCCTTACTGTTCGTCTTGCTCTACGCTTCTTCGAGTTCGACCTCTGGCCCATCGTGAATCAGGCGTCTTCGTCATCGTGCCTTCCCAGACGGAGCTCGACAATGGTAGCTACAGAGACAGTGTGACTCTGCATCGATTTGATAGCTTCACTTTTCTGCGAATCTGGGAGGTTCTGTCCACCTTACGGACCATCTTGGTGTCCAGCGTAATACGTCCGGGCTGTCCATAGATCATACGCACCGGCGATTCAAAGGGCAGCGCGTTTGCCTTTGCCTTTCCATTTTCTCTTTTGAGAGGTTGTGTGAGGCAAAGTGATGAGATGACACAGTCATGGAAGATTTCGAATCCAGGGTGATTTCCGTCGCTGAAGATGTGGCTTCCTAGCGGAGATAGTGAAGTGCAGGTTCTTGGTGCGCAGCACATACAGGCAAAGAGGGGGAAATTGTCCTCATACATTGACCCAATTAGCATGTCGTGGCGCTTCCACGAAGGCCCACTATATCGTGTTGTTCGTAATGCTGGTGCGGGCACGTCCTCGTCACTGAATGCAAATTGTCGAGGAGCGCAAGTGGAGTGTCGACTCGATGGCACGGCGCGCGGTATGTACTCGGCTCATTGGAGATATAGCTTCAGCCTGACTTGATACAGCTGCTCAGGACTTACAATGAGGTATTCTGAGCATATTCGAGAGAGGGGGGAAGCCAATTGATGAAGAAGACTGACTTGACTGAGCGAGAAATATCTTGGTCGCCCAGGTGGAAATGAGCAAGCCATCAGTCGCCTGAGGTCAGGGTATTAAAGCAGTCAGTTTCCTGCAATTGCCAGGGATCCATGTCGGTGTGGGGCCCGTCGCGACCCGCAGGCTCATCCCGAGCGTAGGCTGCATATGACCCAGGCAGGGTCTAAGCTTCCCTGGCCTTCTCAAACAGATTCATGCAACTGGAGACAACGTTCGACGACTTCTCTCGCAGTCGGCAGACCGTATACCACCGATTTTGAGCACGTCGAAGCATCGGCATGCCTCTAGAGACGACATGGACTTCGTAGGTCCCCGCGTGGTTCCAATGCGAGGAATCGTGCCTGCGCTGACACCCGTCCCCAGTGGTCGCGACTGATTGCGAATACCCCCTTAGCCGAGAGCTCGCGACGAGAATCCGCGAAGGACCCGGTCAGACGCCTGCGGCGTTTCGAGAAGGAATACAGCCATCTTCTGGTGCGTGCAGCTGTACATCGATCGTCTCCCACGGCGCCCTCGATTCTGACTTGTCCCCACCCCAACAGCAAGCATGGCGCCATTCCTCCAACCTCGCCAACGACTATGAGGCCGCCGAGGAGGTCGAGATTCGCCTGCAAGACCTCACCAACATCCTCAGCGACGAGACCCGAAGGCCCCTCCCGCACCCATGCATTGCTTTTTCGGCCAACAAGCAGCTGTACATACCCATCGCCAAGATAGCCACCACCTCGTACAATGAATGGATCATCAAGGAGGCAGTGCTGTTCTTCGCGACCCTCGTCGAGAGCGAGGAGGAGGCCTTTGTCGAAAGCGAGGCATTCGCCGCCAGTTTGACGAACCTACTTGTTAAGATCACCGGCGCCAACAGCATCCGGCTGGGTTCAGACACCGAAGCACGCGTGGTTGAACTGGCTTTCAACATCACCACTAAGATCCGGCTGGAACCAAACATACTGTCTTCGTGGTTCAAGCTACACCGCGACAGGCAGCAGGACGAGAGAAACCAAGACAACCGAGACAAGTTTGAAGGAAGGACGCAGAAACAAGACTTCCCCCTGTTCTACTTACTGGTCGATTACATCCACCATGAGGGCAAAGTCGGTGATTTCGCGAGGACTGGCTTGCTCTATATCATTGAGGCCGCCTCCAACTCAGTCGAGCTCGAGCAATGGATTGTAGAGAGCGATCTATCAACTCTCATGGCCACAGGTCTTGGGGCTCTCTACAGCCAGCTAAGTGGGAAGCTGGTAATAGACTACCCTACCCATGACCTTCCCCCTATCCTCGCTCTGTCGGATTATCAACCCCCTGTTGCTACCCACGAGGTCATGCCGTCGACAGATCCAGGCTTTCAGGCTCATCTGGAGACATTCCTATCACATCTGGTGTTTTGGCAGGACGTTCTGAACCATTGTAATTCTATCGAGGTTAAGTCCACGCTGCTAGAGCACTTCCAGATAATTTTCCTACAACAATTGCTGTAGGTCGCCCCCTAGCATGAGAGCTACGATGCACTGCTAATTCCCCACAGATACCCGTCTCTCCTAGAATCATCCGATCTTGATGGAGGCTCGTCAGTTGCCGTTTTAACTTATCTTCGCCAAATACTAGAGGCCCTGGACCATCCCGATATGATCAACCTCATTCTTCATTACCTGCTTGGCCTGCCAGATATTGTGACGACATCTCCCGAAGCCACCTCCAATTCTGTCAGCAAGGCTAGGAAAAGGAAGTCGATGGATCTAGCGACAATGATGGCCTCCAAGGCTGATGACACCCTCGATCCTCTCTTATACACCCTTGTCGATCTGATCCTGGCGTGCCTACGGTCACCCAGTCATCAGACAATCCATGTCACGCTTCAACTTGTATCCGCGATCCTTAAGAGGCATCATCGATACGCAGTAACAACGTTGATACGGACGGAGAATCTCTACGGGGATATACCTCACCGTACTGTTGGGGCCCAGCAACAAGAACTGGAGTTCTTGATGTCACTTGCTGGTGTGATTGGAGGCCAAGATAACTTCGACGAGGTGTACGAAAACATTCTGAAGGACACCACGTCACGACTGGAGAGCCACCCTTGTTCCTTGAAGCTCACTGTCCCAAAGATCAATGTCAACAACCACAAATTGCCGTCCGTTCCGGACTCTCTGCCAGGGGCCCCTCGAGATGTTCGGCCACATACTATACGACCCGATGACCCGTTGTTAACCATTTTGCTTGATCACCTGGAGCTCTTCTTCCTCAATCCGGTCGAGACAAATCTCGGTATCACAGAAACACTGTTCGACCTCGCAATATGCGGGTACATGAGTCTCGAGGGCTGGCTCCTACGTCACCCAGAGAAATACATATATGATGCGGATGATGCATATCAGCCACTCTCACCCAGAGAGCAAGGCGAGGATACTCTGGATATGGATCTTGAAAAGATGCTTGCTGAAGATCCTGAGACATACGATATGATCAACAAGTGTCGCCGCAGGCCAACCTGGTCCTCGTCCAATTTACCACGACTCTTGAAAGTATTGCAGTTGCTCACGGATGAGGTCGCCACATATCGCGAAACGATTCCTCGTTTCCACGATCTTCTTCAGCAACGACGCGAATCCTTCCAAATTGCTGACTCTGCTTCTACTCCCATGCCCAGACGTGTTCAGCCACCTTCTAGCACACCAGGGTCAGGCACACCCGCATGGGCTCCGGGGAGTATGAACACCTCTAGAAGCGGTTCTCCTCAACGGGCAGGCGGGCTGGAAGGCTTTGCGCAGCGTATCCTGAAGGATCTCAATGACCTCGGATCACCCAATCGGTCCAACAGCCCACGTGGGCCTCATCTGGCAGTACCAGGCGGGCCACCTCTATCAGGTGGCTTTGGAATCGGGACCCCATCCTCCGTCAAGGGCCCCCCGGTTCCACCCAAGGACTCTTACAAGTACGAAACGCCAATCAAGGGCGGAGCCGGACTTAACAGATCGTACTCGCCGGCTGGCCCAAAGACTGACCAGGACCCCGTCAAGGCGAGCCAAGCCGCTGCCTTCCAGGCTGTGGACCAGCAGATCTTGGCGAGGAAGGTCGGCCTCCCGGACAAGACGAAGATGAATCCTCTGAAGCTGGGAGGGAAGATCGAGGACGAGACTCCACCGACGCCACCGGCAAAGGACGATGCGCCCGGAGCGGACGGGCAGAACGAGAGCACACCGGCGGCAGACGGCGACAAAGATGACACGCAGAGCAGCATCGCAAACGTGGACTCGCATACGCCGCCCGAGGAAAAGAAGGTGTCCGTCTCGCACGTTCTCACCAACATCATTGTCCTGCAGTCGTTCCTATTCGAGCTGGCGGCACTGGTGCAGGTGAGAGCTGGCATCTTCGACGACGAGGTACAGTTCGCATAGACGAGGGAATGAGTGGAAGAAGAACGATCCTTTTTTCCTTTCCTCGCTTTTTTTTATTTGGTCATAGAAAGGATAAGCCGTCGCGCTGTCATTTTGAACAATACCCTCGCTTCTATTCCTGTTATTTACCTGCTCTGCATTGCTTGATCCTAGATAACAAACAAGGTGTGTGCGCTCGCTCGTGCGCACCTTTGCCGATGTTTTTTCCGGAGCGTCGCAAGCATTGCGTTGGTGTTCATGTTGGTTGGCAGGTTCCGGTTATGTGACGGCTGGATCGTTTCCGGTTCCTGCTGTGCAAATATGGGGTCGGGTGACCACGCCTGATGGCCATGGGCGGGATAGACTGCCTAGAATTCAGCATCTTCATTTCCCGCATACCACTGCGTCGTGACTTCATTGGGTCGATTTGGTGCTCGAGTGCAATCCTCGGTGACTGCTTCATTGCTTGCTCTGTGAAGTTGTGCTTCCATGTAACACGTGTGGCCCGTTTGCGGCGATATTATTGACGACTGATCCAAAGACAAGTGCTCTTGTGGGTCATGATTCTAAGGTAGTCTACGTCAACATACAATCTGATTCTCGTATACGCCGCACCTCCTGATGAACGTATCTCCATTCCATTGCTCCTGACTTTCGCTGTCCCTGCTTGAAGAGAGACTGGGCAGGCCGATCTGCTGAAGCGAGAAACTGGCTGCGACGGACGCCAGAGCTGAAGCCTGAACAACGTCTTTACCACAGGCTGACATGGCAAAGGCCAAGGCACCGAGGAAGGTGTTGCCGGCGCCTGTTGCATCTACGATGGTAAATTGGTTGTCGTAGAAGGCTGGTAGCCATTTGTGTCGCCCGTGAATAGAGTTTGAGGAGACGAGGCAACCATCCCCGCCAGCGCGGACGATGATGGCGCCCCTGCTATCTGGGCCGATACCGCCGTCAAGGAAAGTTTCTGCGTATTGCTCCAGCAATTTCCGGTCGAGGGTACTGTCACCAGAAATTGATTTGGAATCTTCGAAAAGTGCCTGAAACTCAAGATGGTTGGGCGAGAAAACGTCCACGAGCTTCGCTGCAGCAAGTTGCTGCTCCCTCATGTCCGGCTTACAGGAACCTGGCAATGGCTCCCAGACAAGCAGCGGGTGATGTTTGATATGGCTGCTTTCTCTGAGTTTGAGAAGCTGTTGGATCTGCTCTTGGGCAAGATCCGGACTCGCAAGAAGGTGGAAAGCAGAAGAGCCTAATAGAGATGACGGAGCCAGATCACTCGGCGCTGGTTGAAGCCGTTCCGTCGTGTATTGAAACGTCTTGCCTGGGAGAACTTAATTTACAAAGAAGATTCAGTCGTGCACAATCGACTTACGGCCGAACACGCTGTCTTCATATACCAGCAATCCCCGGGTGGACTGTCTCCCCGGTTTCCTCGACACCAACAGATCCATGCCCCAGCTTTCAAATTGAGCCAGCGTCGTCTCAGGGAAGTCATCGCCCGCCAGAACCACACACCCAATCTCGTGAGATCGGTCCCTGCCGGCAACCAAGCGTGCGCCCAGCGTACTGTAGGCGCCGGAGCCGCCCGGCACGTCGTGCAGAGTTGGGGCGTGCGGGAAGCGCAGCTCGTCCAGGACGACCATGCCGAGGGAGACGAAGCTTGGGGCCATCCTTTGATGACAATCCTGAGAGCAGTGGTATCGGTAGAGTCAGAGTGGGATGATGCGCTTCGTCGGCTTTTTGCAGATACACAAAGCGGTAAATGTTCGTTGCCGGTTCGGCGGAGCCGGCACTGCGAGTTCCCCACGGTCAGGAACCTCTTATCGTTCTTGGGATGAGCGATGCGTCGCATCACAAGAACAATTTCCTGTGTGAGCTTGTGACTTTGGATTCCGCGTGACTTTCAATACTAAATCGATATCGAATTACAAAGCCAAAATTTTCGTCATGGGCACGCCGTCCATACTCCGACTCGATCTCAAGCCCAAAACCTGGTTGACGCTGGACTATTGGAGGCTCGAAACACCACGGGCATCATTCGCAACAAAGGGCGGCTGGTCGAACGAAGACGTCGATGTGGTGGCGCCTGATAAAAGAACTTGGAAAGAAATCGATTACCTCTGGCTGTGGCTGGCAGATGGTGCAAACGTGGGGACAATGCAGCAGGCCGGGTCAATTCTTGCTCTGGGACTCAGCTGGCGGGAAGCATCTGCAGCAATGTCAGTCCAAGGCCACCCGGAATATTGAGAATGCATGATTCTGACCCAGCTGGTGATTAATAGTGCAATCGGAAACGTTCTTATCGCAATGACTGTGGCCTTGAATGGTGCTATCGGTGCTAAACATCACATTCCATTCTCGATTGCCTCGAGAGCATCCATGGGCTTCTACTTTTCGTATTTTGCTGTAGCATCTCGCCTTGTTCTAGGCTTGATATACTTTGGGTAGGAAATACCTGAACCAAGGAATCGTGAAATGGGTAACAACCGAAGTTGCTGATATCAGTCTCGCAGTATCAACTCATACATCGGCGCCTCTTGTATGCTCATCATGCTCGAGTCCATTTGGCCGAGTTTAAGGACGTTTCCGAACACTTTAGCGGCATCTTCAAGCATTTCCAGCAACAAGATGATTGCTTACTTCGTATTTTGGACCTGTGGGTAGCGTTTAAGCTGGCGGAACCACAATATCAAGTTGGTGAAGCTGACCCATTATGTAGTGCAGTTTCCTCTATTACTCATCAACCCGAGAAAGATGAAATGGCTTTTCTTTGTCAAATCGATCTTCGCTGTAGTAGCTGCTTTTGCCATGCTTGGTTGGGCAGTCAAGACGGGTGGAGTCGGGCCTGTTTTTTCTCAGCCTGCGAGGGTCGTCGGCAACGCTAAAAGTTGGGCCTGGGTGATGAGCATGAACGTGGCTGTCAGTGGAAAGACCACGCTTGCCTTGAATATTGTAAGCTGAAAGAGCTTCACGACGTGTTCCAAGCCACCAGAAATGCTGACTGATTGTCTTCTTCACAGTCTGACCTCACCCGCTACGGAAACAAGCCATCAGTTGCTTACTGGCAACTTCTCTTCATCCCCGTTGTCTACTGGACATTCTCCTTCATCGGAATTGTCATTGCATCCGCCGGTCAGTCCATATACGGCACTTTATACTGGGACCCAACATCCATCATCGGCCTGTGGACAAACCGTGCTGCCGCGTTCTTCTGTGCTTTTGCCTTTGGTCTCGCAACACTGGGCACAAATATATCAACAAACTCGATCGCAACGAGCAATGATCTGGCGTTCCTTGTACCACGGTGGTTAAATATCCGGAGAGGCGCTGTTATCACCGCTCTTGTTGGAGGCTGGGCGACTTGTCCATGGAAAATTCAGGCCAGTGCTAAAAGTTTGACTACATTTCTCAGCGGGTATATCATTGTTCTTGCCCCAGTCGTGGCTATCATGGTGAGTGACTTTTATCTCTAACAACGAGAGCGGCTGAGTATCGAATATGACACTAAGGGTGGCATCAGATCTCCGATTACTGGATCATTCATCGTCGCCGGCTCCACATTCCCATGCTGTACCAGAACGACGGAATCTATGGTTATTCGTATGGAATCAACTGGCGCGCGTTGGTCGCTTTGCTGGTGGCTGTTCCCATCAACCTTCCGGGTTTAATACACGCCATCGATGCTAGTGTCAATATTGGGAACTATACATACTTTTGTAAGCTTTTCCTGACAATATCTTCGAACATCCCCGAGCAGTATATCCCATGAAATGACTAACATCAGCCATAGATAAAGCATCGTGGTTAACGGCAACATTTATATCGGCGGCTATATATCTGGGTTTGAGTCTTCTCGCCCCTCCATACAAGACACTGCTGGTTGAAGACGTGCCTGGTCACGATGATGATTGGGGAGTACATGATTGCGATATTCCGAGCAAGTTGGCTGGGGAAGACCAAAGTAAGCTGGCCTAGAGAGAAACCAGATTCATGATTTGGCCGAGAGGAAGAGTACACCGAACAGTATGTTTTCAGAGACAAGAGTGTTCTTATGTATTGTTCAAATCTCATCCGAGGTGTAAGATCATTCATGCCCTTTATGAGTGTGGTGATGCGAACCACTTTGTTTGAGAAAGCCAAGCCAAGCCCGCAACCAGGCTACCTATGTAATTCAACTATTGAACGTCTGGTTTCCGCGAATCAATCCTAATTACGACTTGCCACTACATACTAGAAATAATGTATGTTTCTCAGAAAGCCGTGATCTAATACAAGTCCAGAAGGCCAGTAGTGATGCGCCTTGCTTGATCGAGAGACAGCGCCGCGATCCTTTTTCCTGTCGTCATTATTCATCTCATGCAGCTATGCGTATGAAATTCCGATTGAGTGCCTCAGGAAAGCAACTATATAATTGGAAGTAGAGACGGAGACGTCCTCAGTGGATTCAAAGCGCCAATGGTTCCATGAAAGGTGAACTTGCCAATATACTAGTACGCTCTACAACCTCGCTGTAGGGACTGCTGATGCGTCAAGCACAGCAACTTTTTTTCTCCTCCCATTTGCATGGCCTCTCGAACCGTTCCTCTTGCAGCCAGTAGATGTGGGAAGCTAAGCGACATTTCTCGGATGAAATTTGACTAGCAAGGCGGGCTTCTTCCACAGCCCAAATGAAATGCATGCCTGATTCCAGTCCTCGATCTCCCGGGACACCAGCTCCAGGTCATAAGCAAACACGACCTGCGCGAGGGTGATCCGCAGCTCAAGATATGCTAAATTAACCCCTAAACAGGCCCGTGGGCCACTGCCAAATGTTTATTAGTTGAGCCTCGGTTCATGCTTAAGTCTCGGTGGCATATCTACCTACCTGGAAAATGGTTGAAAGGCTTTCTTGTCGTCTCCAAAGCCCTTCCCTATCCACCTCTCCGGACGGAAGCTTTCCGGTTCTACCCAGTAACGTGGATCAATGGCTAGTGGGTAGTTCTCACAAGAGACGATATAACCTGCCGGGACATACTGGCCATCGATCAATGCCCCTGGGCTGACGCGAGGCAGCCCGGCTGCAACTGGTGGAAATAATCTGAGGCCTTCTTCGATGACCCCGTGGAGGTATTCGCACCTAGCTGTAGAATCACCCGTTATATCATCCATAGACTTGAAGGAACTCCGAACCTCGTCTGTCAGTCTCTTGAGGCAGTCCTGGTTCTTGAGCAAATACCACGTCGTACCAGCAAGGGAAGTGGCCGTCGTTTCTGAGCCGGCAATAAGGAGAACCTGTGCGTTTCCCATCAGGTATTCTTCGCTGATCTCCTTCCTCTTTATGAGATGGCCGAAAAAGTCTCCCCTCTTCAGGGAGTCTCCCATCTCCATTCTTTTCCTAGCCTTCTCCTTCGACAAAGTCTGATGTTCCAAGTAATGCCTTTTCCACTCCTCTATCTTCTTGGGGCCCAAGAAGAAACGGATGAGCGGCTGTAGCCAGAGCTTTTTCTTGAATCTCTCAGCAAGTCCCTCAAATATCACTGAATCTAAAACCAGGTTCACCCAGTGGTTCGAGCCATTCGCCAGAGCGCCAAAAGGCTCCCCGAAAGCGAGATCACCTAGCAAGAGTACTCAACAAAGTTGTATGTGACTGTGAAGCTAGACTAAAGCTTACCGATAACATCAAAAGTAAGCCAGTTGTATGCTTCGGTCACATTGACAGGCTTGAGCCCGCCTGCGCCAAAATTGCCAAGCTGCTTCATGAACAGGTTGACATACTGATGCACCACGTCTTCCTGGTCTCGCAGAGCTCGAGCACTGAAAGCATGGGAGAGAGCCTTGCGTTGCGCCGCATGCACAGCAGGATCCCTCACAGAAGAGATGCGAGGCTCCTCAGTGTCGTAGGCGTCTGACTTTAGGAACCTTTCCTTTCCGGTAGTCACATGTCCATAGATATCACGGTAAGCCTGCACCGACGCGAAAGAAAGTTCATTAGGCGCAAGTCGCAGGACATCACCTGAAGTGAATAGATTAGACACAGTGCATGCTCTCGAATACAAAAGAATTGCAATGAGGCTAGGTAACTCACCATACTTGCGGTGTTGCTCCAGCATGTTGAAGACGTGTTTCCCGGACATCGCTGACTTCCATTTCCATGCCTACATCAAACCTGTCAGCAGAAGCTGACGTGTTTGCATATTTGCGGCCACCATACTTGCCTCAGTCAGAGAGGCGACCATGGGCCCTGGGAATTTGGCCAGAGGGTGGAAGAAGAGCAAGTAAATGCATCGCGTGATGAGGAACAATATGGCCTGTCTATTATTTTAGCGTTTTGAAGGACATCATCAGCACCGGTTTGCTTACAACACCGAGAGCGAGCAGAAAAAGATTTGGCGTGCTCGGAAACTGAATATGCTGGACTGGAGACATCGTTGAAGAGCTTTTACGAGGAACAGAATGTGAGAGCCACACGGGTGCTCAAGAGTAAATCCAATGGTATCTATATAGACTCGACTTGATCGTACCCGTACTCGTACTCTCAACGTTGCGATGATTGAAGCAACAGTGCATGCACCTGTCTCCGCATCACCCGGAGTTCCCCTGATTGATTTATCCACGCACTCACCCCCACCTCCGCCCCAATAAGGTTGCGGGACCACGCGAACACGGTTTCAGACGAGCATTAAGTTAAGGTTGCTAATCTAGAAAACATTCGCAGACGTGCACGCGGGTTGCCGCGTGGGCAAACGGCGTCTTTGATGGTATTTGGCGGGAATTGTTGCGTATTCATTGAATGTCTGATTCACCCAACGTTGTGCGGAGCTATCCATCATCGCCGTCAAGGTTTCATGCAATCGATTACTTTCGAATATCAAGTGTATGCAGCGCACTTTCGACTCATTAATGCTCTTTGCTGATCGAAGGTGACGGTTGTCATATCCACATGTCGATGATGAGATACTATCGAGGACAAAACGTATTTTTCTTGAACGAGCATCAGCCCTGAGGCTTTTGGCCATAAACATAGATACTGTCAGGTATGTTAGTTCGAATACATAGGCCAGAAAGAGGGGTGATGTTGTCCAAACCCACATTTCTGCAGAGCCGTCGACACTATTGTCTCGAAGCTCCTGTCGCACCTGTGCGAGCAGAACCTGGATCTCTTCTCGAGACCATCCAAGATGAGACAGAGGCCGCAGGGCAAGGGCTTCGACGACCATGAGGAAATTCTGTTTCAGTAGGATTCCAAGGTTGCGAGAATGACGTCCCCTAGCCCAGGTCCCAAGGGGCCATATGAATCGTTTCTCCTCAATGTTCACGAAGCCCCTCTCCGTCATCAGGCTCTTCATCTCCTGGAAGCCGGTGACGCTGATTCCCTGACTTTGCACGCCCTGTACAATCAAATCGCAGTACTTTTTGATCGCACTCCTGTTGGCGGCTTCGCCGTGAAACACCGGCTGGTGATTGAATTCCTGCATCTCGAGCCATCCTCCAGGCTCCAGTGCCTGGTAGGCCTCCCTGACAAAATTCGCGTAGTTCCGCCAGCAAAGCACCGAAGCTCTGGCGTGGATAAAGTCAAATTTGCTCCGAAAGTTCCATGGGTCTTCGGCGTCGTCCACTTCAAACCTTGGTCTTCCTGTCAGAAGGCGTAATATTGCCGGCGCGCAAGAGACTTACCGGCAGTTGACGGGGACGTATTGCGGTTGTATTGGGCTGAGATCCGTGCCCAAAACGTCACACATCGGAAATGCGTCTGCAAAATCAATTGCCCAGTTCCCTGTTCCTGTCATAAGATCCCTACTATGCGTTAGTCACCTGGTACCGAGCCCGAAGCGATGCATTCTTGGAAGATTCTGATATGAGACGAATGGGGTTCTACAGCGGGAGAAGATTTATACTGACAGGCACCTCCTCGGGTTCTCGCGCACTGGGGCTAGAAACAATTTCCCGTGTACTGTTTCCAGGTAGAGAAGATGTTGCAGGTCCATTCTCTCCTGTTCTCTAACATCATTTGGTAACAAGTATTCTAGACAAGCTTTCTGTTAGCAGTTGTCAGTTGTCACTCATTTGATTCAATGCAACCCTACTTGAAGCTTTATAGCTATGATATGTCCTGCCATTTTCCTCAATAAATGAAAAGAACTCGTCAGGTGCTGTCATTGTCGAAAGAACATCAGTCCCGATTGCCGAGTCGGCCACGCTGTCCGAGTCAACATCTTCATCTGGTCCAGAATCATGCGTCTCCGGAGCTGTCGAACTCTCGGCCAAAGCTTCTGCTTCTCGGCCCGGGCTTCCTGCAGCTTCTGTTTCTCTTGGTGAAGGCGCCTCGGAATCTCCGGACGGGTGGTTGCTCATCGTAAGCAGGGGAAGAAAAGCCTGAATGGCTACATCGATGGACAAGTCGACGTTGCAGCCCCCTTTAAGCTCTAGTAAGCTTGAGGCTGGCAGGTGACTTGGGGTGTCACGACTTGGCAGGCCGAGTTGATGCAGATAAACCTCTGCCAGCGTGGGAAGTCAAACGACATACATAGCAAGAAATCTTGGAGTGGACCCGCCCCTTTCTTCGCTCCAATTGGCTTGAACAGGGGCCCAGAGATCTGTTGGTTCTCCGCTCCCATTTATATCCGACGGATTAAAGATGTGAATGGACGCAAAGGCGTAAGACTATAGTGCTGCAATGTCAACGGACCCTGACAAATTGTCACACAAACACGTGGCATCCAACATCAGTAGTGGAGATCTGCAATAAAGATCTCATCTGATGCAAAGTGATTTCGGACTCGGATGGTTGATAAGGGTCGTTGAAAAGTTATATCCGGAAGTGAAACCGGTTGACTCGCGGGCGTTGGCCCACTTCTGGCAATACGACGACGGGCCATCACGGGCTTGCCGGATCCGGCTGTCAAGCAGATTAGCTACATGTTCTCAGTACGGTTGAAGGCTACGTTGATGCTTCTCAGCCATACATGCTATAATCATGCGAGAAAACGCACACAACGAGTCCTTTAAGGCTGGCCGTTCTTGATGCATACATAGACAAATATATATGTACACTTTCAAGCGATCAACTCGCTTCTGACCCGCCTGGAAGCGCAATACCAAAATGAAGGTGAAAAGAAATTTGTGTGGGAATTAGCATTACCACGGCTCATGCCTTGGGTAGTAGGAGACTCTAAGCTTTATCTTGGTAAGGAAACAAGGAGCGCGAGCCTTGGGTATAGTACACATGATATCCATCCCAGAGAAATTGACCACAATGCGCCGATGGAACAATATCGGAGCAGCCCAACCAATCACCGTATCCTTCTAAGATGTGTACAGATAGATGGACGACTCATGCAAGCTGACTCTCAGATTGCCTTGAACTACTCAAATCCATTCAAATCAAAATCACAGCCACGCAAATTCCGACCGTCGATATAATCGCCCGCAAAACACTCATCTGACCAGTTGGAGCCGCTGACTCAGATCCTGAGGCACTCGCCGTGCCATTCGTCCCGTTCGAAGACGCTGAAGAATTCACAGCCGAAAGTGTCGTCGTAATCTTGAGGACAAAACTCTTAGTATCAGAAGACCTGGTGGAGGGTCTCACTCACCAAAGGCTTCAGACCACCATTGATAAACTCTGGTGACCTCCAGTCCGACCAGTCGTGGTTCAGCAACCCCCACGTCTCATCGTAATCCTGTTTTCCCTGCCGCACATAGTAACTGCCTGAGATCACCCATATCATCCACCCCTGATTAGGTACCTGATCTTTGAGAAACGCCTGCACGCACTCGGCGTACGTGTCATTTTGCCACGTCGTTGCATCGTTGGTGAAGCCAAATTCGGTCATCATCACAGGGAATTTGTTTGTTGCATTATCTCTAACGGCAGAGTATCCGGCGTCGAAGAGATTCTCGTTGTAGAGAGGACAATTATCCACCGGGATCACTATGTCGTAGCTGTGAAGCTCTAGGACCAGCTTGTTCTCGTACCCGGCGAAATCGGACTTGTTGAACGTTTGGTTGCTCGGCTCGAAGGGTTCACCGTTAACAACAGTGGACAGGTCAACGCCTCCGTTGATACCCGACAGGAAGACGAGCACGTCTGAATTAGCAGAGTTAATGGCATTTGAACCCCTTTTCACTTGATCGTACCAGACTTCCCACGTGTAATTCTCGACAGTGGGTGGCTCAGGCGAGGAGAAAGGAGGGCGCAGCTCATTGTACAAAGACATAGACATCAAATTTGGCCAGACTTTCCCCTGCATATCAGTTAGTAAGCCCGGTCGCACTTATAGGGTAAATGGAGTGAAGCGTAGACGTACATGTTCAGCCATGTAGGCAAGTCCTCGTGTCCAATTTGTTGGTGAGAAAAAGGTGTCACCCCACCAAGCGTTTCCGTCGAATGGGGTACAGCACCATGATGCTTGAGAAACATGGTTGTCCAGATGAACGTAGATGTTCTGTCGAGCGCATTCTTCTGCGATGGCATCATAGACCTGAAGTCTCGTCGTATTCGAACTGAATGATGGGTTTTTGGCGGTCACTTTGTTCAAGATTTCCGTGCCATTGTCCTGGCCTAAGGCGCTGATGAACGACTTCTCGATTGATATGTCGGTCATGTTGTTCATGTAAATCTGGTCAATGAGCTCGGTGGCGTATGTCAGCCGTATCGAGTTCATTCCCAGGCTCCTGATCTTGGAAACGATGTTCTCAATCGACTGGTACTGCAAGCCTTCAGGCACCATAGTCTCGGCAGCTCCTGGCCACTTTGATGATTCATGTCAGTTGCCATCCCAGAAAGGCACTACTGTGAGCCAGTCGTAGAGCCTGTGTTTTCGAGATGGGAGTCGGCCTACATTTACACCAGCATACGTAACTTTGTTGCCGGTCGCGTCAAGAATAGAAGACCCTTCCGTGACGAATGGCCCGTTGGGCCATGGCTGCGCCGCTGATAGGGCGCTCAAGGCTGCTGCCATCAGCAGCCTGAGCGTTCGTAAGGACATGATTGATTTGAGAAGTGAAATCAAACAATGGGCATCGAGCTCGGCGTTAAAATTCTTGGCTTGCCGTGCGGCGCCCCCCAACTTTAAATACTGCACGCGGCCTGCGGGGAACCTCTACGTGCACTGACTTCGAGCACCCGTGCGAACGCTACTCGGCATGACGTCCCACCAAGCGCAAGGCGGCGAAACCTTGAAGTTTTGTATTGTTGTGACTGGCTAATATCCCTGGCCGGCCTTATCTGCAACTTTTGCTTGTTTAATACATCAGATGATGGCCCATTTTATGCTGATTCTCGTGTAGGAGAAATTTGGACGGTTTTCTGAGCCGAATTGGGAGTTCGAGGTGATTGGAGTACCAAATGGATGCAACCCAGTAAAAGTGATCTTTAAATGGTTTGTTTAGGTCTAAGCTTCAACGACAGCTGCATTTGGCTTCTCAAAACAAAATTATCTGCGGATGTATGCACGTAACACCTGAGAACGTAGCTTTTAGTATACATAATAAGCAGCATTAAATGAGCTTCTAAAGACGAGTGCAAGCTCAGTGAAGTGATAAAAAGAATCGATGTGGTGGTGGTATCACTGTTCAAGCCTCACTACGTTCCTGCGCGGAGAGCGGAAGAACACCAACCATTTGAAACTGGGCGATCATATCCCACTTCCATTGACAGCTGACATTCAATGCGGTGCTGTTACCACAAAGTTGGAAAGTGGGCAAAGTACTGTCTTCAAAATGAATATACATCCAGCTCACCATTTTCCCATGAACCACAGGTGAGCCTCTGGGCCTGAAATGGTATCTAGCAATGCACCGCACCCTTTCTCTAAACCTCTTCAAAAAGTTGTGTTCTCTGAAGATTTTCGTCAACAAACTTGCTTGGGAAGAGACAGTTATTTGAATAAGGTGCAAAGAGTCTGACATAGAGATGTGCAATACAATCAGGTGTCTTCGCTGAATCTAGACTTTATTTGTCAAAGTGGTCATGGTAGGTCTGAGAATGTATGCAACTGGATGAGAGTACTCTTGCATTGGCGAGCGAGTCTGCCGCAAACGCCGCGGAACCTAGAAAAGCCCCGAAAACGAGAAATATTTCAAATATATATTATCGAAGATGTATCACTCCCATTCGTCATTGCCTAGTCAATATCACGAACAATTTCAATTTACTGGGAATCATTTGCTAAAGCTGTACAGATCTTGACACTCCATTAGTACGTGTTGCATTTCTTTGTCAGCGGGTCACATTTATCCTAATATAGCTCCTCGAATTCGGTCAAATGGTTCTGGTCCGTGACCCAACAATTACGTCCGTGTATGCCCAAGCCATGCTACTAACTATGCTTTCACGCACTGCCTTCAACCGACTATCAATGTGGAAGTGGCGGGCCCTCGTGTCGCGTGCCTCGCCTGCTTACGCAATGGGTCAGTGGAGTCCACGAGGCCTTTCTCTTCTGTCTCGGTGTGTGTCACCTCATCTCTCAGTTAACGAGGCCTCACTCAAGCCTGGGTAGCACCAGGCGGGCCGGCGCGTCGCGGCTCAGCGAGCCGTTGCCTATACTTACACAGTTGCGTGGTATTTGGGAAGGGAGACTATGTGGTTGATGTCACGGGTGTGGGAAAATTATCCTCAACAACTATTGGGCGTGATGACACTCCGGGGTCACATCCCTCAGCATAGGAATGCAGATGCCAAATGCTCACTTTTGTGTCACGATTTAGACTTGACAAGTAGGTCTCACGGCATGGGAAATCAAAAGACAGCGGCCAGTTGGAAAGAACAGCCACAACTTGAATATGCTGATCAGTGCAGCCGACGGGATTTCGGGTATGCAGGAAGCTATGCAGGACCAGTGGTCACGCGCAGGGCCTCTAGGGGCGAGAAGTCTACAAATCAAGTGTTGTATCATTCAGGTTTTATGGAATAACAATCACGGATTGAGGGGGCGGCAGGTAAGCGCTTGTCTGCCACTGTCTGGGGCAATTCCCGTGGCGAGGTGGCGGTCTCCCGGAAAAATGTTACCTGAACGTCCGAAATGGGCGCAAAGAATCAGATATTGATGCCATTGCACTGATGATTTTGCAAGCTTTGCAGGAAAAGGAAGGAGGTAAAGCCATACCACCTCGTTGAGCGCATAAGCGAGCAATACCAAGAACAAAACACAGACAATACCAAGAAGTCAGTGCCGGGGTAGAGAAGTCATGAAGAGCCTCTTAAGAATTCAAACGTGAAGGAGAGGTCGGCAATGATTCCGATGGGGCAGCCATGCAAAGTGGTCCTGATGCTCGTCGACGAATCAGTACCTAGAAGCGGAGCGGTTCAGATGAGAAGACGACTTGCGGGCAAACAATCGTGGCCAAGGTGAAGAAAGAGCATGTGAAGCCCCCACGACTGGCACCGACAGGCTGGGGGGAAACATGATGGGTCGGGAAGGCTTCCGGAGACCCATGCGGCCGGTTCACGGTTAATATGAATAAATTGGGTCTCCCTTGGCGTACGGCGCCCGATCCTGGGTGGTAGTATTCACTGCAGTGTGTATATTGTTGCAAATGAACAGTGTGCGGTGATCCGGCAGCATCCGAAGATTGTCCAGCCGCAGGGTGTGATTAATCACATTTCAAAAGCTATCCGACCTCGATTATATGCATGTGAAGACTACAGTATCCAGGCGATGGCATCATCGTGAGGAGAGGGGTCTCAGCAGCGCTTTCACCACAACTATATGCAAATCAGAAGCGCAATTGTCAGTTCTCTGTTCTAAATCAACTCTGAATATAGGTGCATGTCCGATAACCGGGAATCTAGTTAGTGTAGGAACAGATGGGTCGTTGTTGTTGCTCGCACCGCCTTTCCGCAGCTAAGGCGCCAAGGCGTGACATCCTCACCAAATCAACGGCAAGCACTCTTGTGGAAGCTTATTCCACCTTACCGGCAACAAGCGACCCTGTTATCACGAGGACGTCGGCTGCTCAGCTGTTCTTACCTCTAAGATGATGGACAGGGGCGGTTGTGCACGCCTGATGCGACCCTGACAATCCTCGGCGGCTATATGTAGCCTAGTTCGTGGGTTGAACACGGCTACAGACATCTAGCTCCTATCTTTCTCGGGCGGAGCATCTCCGTCTGTCTAGATGCGGCCATCACCCCGGGCCCCTAGCCGGTACCATCCCAGAGCTCCAGAGCCTCATCCAACCTTGTTAAGCTTATTCCATCATCTGGTCCACAGTCCGCATTTTCTCCGGTTAGCACCCGTTGGAAAAATAGCAACTCGCCCCCATAGATCTGCCCAGGCCACTCTTGTGTGGCTTGTTGCACGACTCTACTAAGTATTGATGTTCCTGGCGGTGGCGACACCATTAGCTTTGCCCAGCTTCGTCAACTCGATGGAGACCTCTATGTTAAGGATCTAGACGATTCTGACACGGCGGATCGCTTTCCTATCATCAAGGCCCTTCTGCAGAGACAAGCCAATTTGTGAGCTGCCAGCTGCACGGTAGTGGCCGGACTTTCCAGCAGACTCCAGGGCCCACTCCATGTGACCCTCCAGAGAAGACTAGCTTCTTTACCCAACCAGACTCTACGGCCCGCGAACCGTCGTTGCTTTCCTCATTTCCGGAAAACACTAGTGATGAAGGGTCACGATGATCCAAACCCCGTGGGGCCCCGCGTGAAGAGTTTGATCGCCTCGCCCTGGGCCACGGGCCGTGGCGACTTCACGAAGTAGTTGACATCTTAGGCTATGTGATGTCTCCGGAATCTATCTCCGTGCCTCATCTTTAGACCCTCGGGCCACAAGATTTCTATATAACCCTCTTGAGCCAGCTTTGAACGCGTTTATTCCATCTGCTCTTCATTCTCCAGCCTCACCTCTTTATCTCCCATCAACACAACGGTCCACGACAATGTACCGTGAGCTTGCTACCATCTCGGCCTTCGTGGCTGCGGCCTCAGCCCAAGGAGCCTGCTCACTGACAACTGAGACTCATCCTTCCTTGACCTGGGCCAAGTGTGCGGCTGGTGGCACTTGCACGAATGTCGCTGGTTCTGTAACCATCGATGCCAACTGGCGATGGGTCCACACTACCTCCGGGTACACCAACTGCTACACTGGTGAGTCTTGAATAATTCCCTATTACGTCGATGTCCTTGTCAGTCAGTTAGACAATCGCTGTCTGTTCGTCACTGACAATGGCATGTTTTAGGAAACGAGTGGAACTCGACAATATGTTCGACTAACGCAGCTTGCGCGGCGAACTGCTGTGTGGATGGTTCAGACTATAGCGGCACCTATGGCATCACCACATCAGGCAATGCACTGAACCTGAAGTTCGTCACCACGGGCGCCAACACCAACATTGGTTCGCGCACATACCTCATGGAGTCGGATACCAAGTACCAGATGTTCACACTGCTCGGCAACGAGTTCACCTTTGATGTTGACGTGAGCAATCTGCCTTGTGGCTTGAACGGTGCTCTTTACTTTGTGTCCATGGACCAAGATGGTGGTGCCGCCAAGTACCCTACGAACAAGGCCGGAGCCAAGTACGGTACAGGATACTGCGACTCACAGTGTCCGCGTGACCTTAAGTTCATCAACGGTGAAGTGAGTCTGCTCTGAGTGAACGTTAATTCCTCCTTGGGAAGAAAATCCATCTGACTTTGACCCAGGCCAATGCTGAAGGCTGGGGCGCGTCAACCAACGACCCCAACGCGGGCCATGGCAATTATGGGTCTTGCTGCTCCGAGATGGATATCTGGGAAGCCAACTCAATCAGCACGGCGGTCACTCCTCACCCCTGCGGCACTGTAGGCCAGGAGCGATGCGAGGGTGACGACTGTGGAGGTACTTTCGCTACCGACAGATACGCTGGAACCTGTGACCCCGACGGGTGCGACTTCAACTCTTACCGACAAGGAAACACCACCTTCTACGTAGGTCTATTGCCCCCTTCGCGAAATTTCTGGAGTGGTGCTGATAACACGTGCCATAGGGCCCCGGCTCTGGATTCACTCTCGATACTACTAAGAAAATCACCGTGGTCACCCAGTTCCTCAAGGGCAGCGACGGGAACTTGAGCGAGATCAAGCGATTTTACGTTCAGAACGGTGTTACCTTTGCGAACTCTCAGTCTAACGTTGCTGGCAACCCCGGCAACTCCATCACCACTGATTACTGCAACGCGCAAAAGACGGCCTTCGGTGACACCAACGTTTTCAGCCAGAAGGGAGGTCTGGCCCAGATGAGCAAGGCCGTCGCCGCACCCATGGTGCTCGTGCTCTCTGTCTGGGACGACGTAAGTACTCCATCCTCGCCGGCCGCCGCGTCTGATATCTCACGCTGACAATCTCGCCAGCACGCTGTCAACATGCTGTGGCTCGACTCGACCTTCCCCGTCGACAAGGCAGGGTCTCCCGGAGCCGCCCGCGGTTCCTGCTCCACCTCGTCCGGTGTCCCGGCCGAGATCGAGAAGTCGGCCCCGAACTCCAACGTCATCTACTCCAACATCAAGTTCGGCCCCATCGGCTCGACCTTCAACGCCCCGCCATCCAGCGGCACCCCAGGCTCTTCATCCTCCACGTCCAGCACGAGCCGGGTCTCCACCTCGACCAAGTCGTCTACCATCACAACATCGACCAGGACCACGACCACCACGTCTTCCGCCCCGAGCAGCTCTGCTCCTGGAGCCAACTGCCAGGCCAAGTATGCCCAGTGCGGTGGCCAGGGCTGGACCGGCGCCACCTGCTGTGCTTCCGGAAGCACTTGCAAGGCCAGCAACCAGTACTACTCCCAGTGCCTGTAGATAGAAGTTCAAGCAGGGGTATGGGATCTTGGCGAAAGAATATATTTCACATATTTCGTCTGTCGTATATATAAAGCCTTGATAGAGGTAGATCCGTCCTCCCGTGTCGTGTTCGCGGTTGAGAACAAGACACGGCAACCCTCAACGTTGGAAAGAAGGATTTCGATCATTTGAAAATATGGGAAAATGTACATAGGCCCTTCAATTCTGGTAGATATTATATTCCATTGCTATCAATGCTTATATGTTCCTACACGCATCTGTACCAGACTATGTTCTCGGCACGTTCAGATCTCCACCACTCCTGAGTCATGCACCACTTGTCTCATCACTTAGACCCGTCTGTTTAGTTCGATGTGAAGTTGCTTGTCCGCTGTTTGGGAAGGTTGTTCGGTGCACCTAGTTCTGTTGTTGGACGCAACCTTAGGAAGCATCCAACCTAGGATCGAACACACTACTGTTCTTGTACTTACACCGAGTTGATTCAAGACAGGGACACTGCTGTATTGATATTTGGGATATCTTTGTCATGGCTTAAAAATCGCAACACGCTACTGCGCAGCCCCATGTGGTTTATTTGCTTCCCCGTATGAAAGGTTACACCGTAAGATTTCAACCCACAGGACATCATAATCCCGTAGGTGGTCAACCCATAGAAGGTTATCCGATAGGAGGTGATCCTACAGATGACTTTTCCACAGGAGGTCATTCCTATGGTAGCTTGTTTATATCAGAACTTTTTAGAGTTGGTCACCCTTGAGATCACTCTTTCTTGACTTTTCTTTTTCATCTACTTACTCTACAGAAATACCGAGATCCCAAAGCGGGAACCCGGGCTTAAGCTCAATTCTCCATGAGAAGTTCCACCAACGCTTAAAAATCAACATCAACCGGCACCCAACAGGACACTCCCAAATCAACCCCATCTTTGTCGTAAATGACATCTGCCAGTGCGTGGTGGACTGGCTAGCATGCATAATGACACAATCACTTCTTCTTCAACACAAACATGTCCCCATCCCAACCATAAGCCCGGTTCAGCCGTCTTCCGTGCTGGCGCGCAATGTGATAATCCATCTTACTGAGAGGGTGGGGCTCATGGAGCAGGATTCCCCGGTCGACATTCAGCGTCGCAGGGCGGAATGACCACACGGATCCGTAGAGCTTCTCCGCGGCGAAGCCAACCGACCCCATGGCATGTAGGAAGTCCTGCCAGCGGACCTCGCCCGGCGTGGCCGTGGCCGAGGGGTCGTGGAAGAGTGTGCGGAACACCTTGAGAGCTCGCGCGTCGATCTCAAAGGTGGGCTGGACCTCGGGCGAGCTCGGGTCCTCGCTGGGTTCCTTGGACGTGGGCGACGAGGGGGAGTTCGCCGTTCCACTTGTCTTCAGCTTGGTCTTTTGCGTCTTTTTGTGGTATTTATTCGGCTCCTCGGGAGAAAAGCCAATGTACAATGTGGACATGGGTTTGTGCAGGGCGTCGGAGGTGGCGTTGACAGCCTGAACCGTCTCGGTTGTCCCCGGCTGCTTGATAGGCTCTGCCCATTCTGGAGTACGCTGTATGGTCTGCGACTTCTTCAACTGGCTCTGGGCATCCAAATCGCTATCCTCTCCGGTATACATGAACATCTCCATATCAACGCAGGACCAGAAATCGTCCAATCCCTCCTGCAGCATTGAGAGTTAGCGATCAGAGCTCCGAGAGAAAAGGTCTATTCGGAAACGAGATGTAGTAGACTGGTATGTAGCCATGGCCTGTCTCAAAGGCTGCAGCCTGGCAGAGGGATTCAAGGCAAGCGGTGAACTAGACAAGAATACTGGATTTAGGAGGAGTCTGGTTGTGTTCGAAAAATGCTTACCTCGGACCGTCGCAAAATCTCCACGTTCTCCTTTGTGCGGCGCTTATGAATGGGGTAAGCATATTTACCTTGGGGGACGTTACCGATTTCGAGCGCGCTGGTCGTACATCTCAGATCTTGAAGGTCTTCATGCCAGGAATTCCACCGTTCGTTCTTGATCTCAATCTCCTTCTCAATACCGACTCTGTATTTATTCATTGCGGCAACGAAACCCCTGGCCCACGGATAAATTTCGAGCTGCCTGTGGCACTGTGATATGACGCAGACTTCGCCTATAATTCTGGCGACGAATGGTGATATGAGCTCCTTTGCTTTCGAATTCGAATTCGAAAGACGATCCAGATCGTCCATGACATCTGGCAGGCGCTTGTAGTGGATATCCTCTCCCGTTCCACACAACGTGTTAAGCGAGGCCACAAGCTCCCTCTCAACCTTGGTTTTCTTCGCATCACTATGTACCACATTGGAAGTGCCTGGAATGTCGCCTTTCTGTGGCTCTCGAAGGTAGAATTTGCGCAAAGACGGAGAGGCTCGGCCGTAACGCCCTAGCAAGTCCAAAGACGCTTCTGCAGCGAGGGTTAAGCAGTAACAAAACATGAGAATGGCACGAAGGTATTCTTTGGGCAGGTCTTCCGAAGGCGAGATGGCAGCGGAATGCTTTGTCTGCAGCACTCGTAACTCTTGGGCTTGCCGCAGAAGATCAGAAAACGTCCTCGGTGCACCACATGCATAGAGGAGCATCCTACAGGTAACACTGGCCCAGAAAGTGAGGGACCCCTGAGCAATGTTGAGCTCCGGTTCGGTTTTGCCAAACTTGTCCTTGATGTTTCCCGGCCAGTGCTCCGCGAGCTCCCATAGTGTCTCTGAGAAGTAGCCTGGGTCTTCTCTGAGTGCCAAAAGATGATCCTCGGCAGCTGATGTCTTGGCGGAGAGTAAAGCCTCGATGCGGTCAAAATCAATTTGTGCTGGAACGCGATAGGGCGCCTCGGCCATCATGGAGGCGAGAGAATCGAAATTTTCAGCCTTGAGCTGCGGTTCCGGCTTGATTGGGAACGCGTCACTGATCATGGTTTCAAAGGGCATATCGTGCAAAATCTGTTTGCAGCAACTGACCAAGAAAGCCAGTAGTTTCTTTTGTGCCTCCAGGATCGTAAAGCCTTCCATCGTCGTGTATTGTTTTTCAAGGGCATCAGGATCTTTGTCCAGTAGCAAGAGCTTTCCATATTCATCTGGCACCGTCGCGCCATTGAGGACCATGATCTGATGTGGTTTGACGTAGATGAGCACGATGGCATTCAAGGTGGTTCCGAGGTTCATTGCCTCATGATCGACTGCAGCAAAGTCGCAGGGTTCGTGACGGCCGCGAGCGTTGAGAAGCAGTAACAATGTCTTAGGCTCTGAAAGGTCTTGCAGATTGATGTATGGCCACATGAAGGGATCTCTCCACTTGGTCCTATTCGATCTGTCAAGGTCCCATTGACCGAGAGAGGCGTTGTAGGCTGCGAAATCTGGGCGGTGCCCTGTCGCCACTGCAGTGTTCAGGGTCAGAAACCAAGAAAGTGAGGAGCTCCATACAAGAAGAGACCAAACGGCTTTGAGGCAAACAGTGATGCAGGTAACGGGTGGAGGAGATACACCACTCTGTGTGACTGGAAGCTACTTACTATTCGGCCAAGCCTTGGTCAGGATTGCTTGACGCTGTGATTTGCTCTTCTTTGTCCACCGCTTCTGAATGGTCGCCTCGTGTCGCTCGAGAATGGCACGCAAAGCATGGTAACTGTCGAAGATGCTGTTCGACCAACTTTGAGCCAGGCACCGGGCATCGTCTGGCTGCACGAAGAACCCTAACTTAGGCCAGAATGCACCAGTCTCCGGCGTCTGTTTGGACGGCAAGTTTGGCAAGTGCTTGTGTCTTCCGAGCTCGCGCAATTCTCCGACTGCACCTGGAGGACCGAGGTTGTTGAGTGGTTCAGTTTCACAGGACTCCATCGTAAATGGCAGTGACCATAACGTATGTCTGTTGACAAAAACAGGCAGCCCAAGGTTTGTGGCGTGGTTTGTTTTGGTTGTCAAATTGCTTGGCCGGAGGTCATCGCGAACTTACACGGCTCGCCTAGGTAAGTACCGATGGGGCAAGCATTCACTGCCGGGGTACTTGCTGCTTAGTCGTTAGGGGTGGTGAAGCGGCCGCATCAGCTTGGCTGCCGGGGTCTGACCCTCCCTGAGTTCAGGCCGTCTTAGCCTAAGACGAGTCAGCAAGTCCGCAATCCTGGCGACCATACCTATGCGTCTTATACTCGTCGACAACCATCTCAAGGCCAGTTTAGACAGCTCATCCGCAGCAATCAGCAGCATAAGAGGAGAGTGAGTCGACGCAGCCGTGAAGCGCAGGAGTGGCCTCTCCTGAACATGGCCATCGAGCTCTCATTCCCGTCGCCCCACGAGGGCCAGGACGGGGCCAACACCCGGGAATGCCTCATCTACTTCCTCACGGGCAACCCAGGCCTGATCGACTACTATGAGCCCTTCCTGCGGTACCTGCGCACGCATCTTGACGCCATCGAGGTCAAGAGGAAACACAAGGTAGCCTTCCACGTCTACGGCCGCAACCTCGCCGGCTTCGACGACGCAGACCACGACCGGCCCTTCAACTCAAGCGACAACCCGCCCCACAACGTCGAGCAGCAGCTGCAGTCGTGCATGAAGCACCTCGTCGCCGCCAACGCCATCCCCGCCGGCCGGCCGCGCGCGGGCCAGCCCTTCGACGACGTCGTGCTCGTCGGCCACTCGCTCGGCACGTACCTCGCGCTGGAGCTGTTCCACCGGCACCTGCACGACCCGTCCCTGGCGCCGCAGCTGGCCCTGCGCTCCGGGGTCATGCTCTTCGCCACCGTCGCCCACATCGCCAAGTCCAAGAACGGCGTGCAGATGGACCTGGTGCGGCGCACGCCCGTGCTGGGCCGCTACGTGCCGTTTGTCGCGCGCGGCCTCCTCTCGCTGCTGCCCACGGCGCTGATCCGCTTCATCACGTCGCGCGTGCTGCGCATGGACCCTCATGCTGCGGCAACCACGACGCGGGTCCTGACCAGCCGCGATGGGGTCCACCAGATGCTGTATCTGGCGATGGATGAGATGGTTGTCATTTCTCAGGAGACCTGGGCCGAGGAACTGTGGGAGATTGGTGAAGAGGCTGTGGCGCACTCAAGTGATGTGCCCAAGTTCTTCTTCTTTTTTGGCAAGAATGACCACTGGGTTGCCAACAAGTACCGGGACCAGTTCATTGACAAGAGGGAGGAGCATGCGTCGCGGGAGGCGGCGCCGAAGCACAAGAGAGCCCGGACAAGGATCGAGATTGACGAGGGAGATTTGCCACACGACTTTTGCGTCAGTAAGTCATTGTTCTCGACTCCTTCCACGATGCCCATCTCCATGGGATGAGTGTACCTGCTGTGACGAAGTGTGCTGACTTGTAAACAAGAAACAAGGGACGCCGAGACTGTGGCTGACAAGGTGGCCGTCTGGTTTGACGAGATAGCCGAGCATCTGTAAGGGGGGCCAGCGGTGGCTAGAAGAGTCACTGGAGGCCCGGCCCGGTTTGGCGTTCATGGGGGACAGTTGTTGCAGGTGTTCGAAGTGCACGACTTAATTTTAATGTCGTCGTCAAGGTTACCGAGTCCTTCCTCAGGGACAAGAGGCTGCTCCCCGGACCCCGGTGGAGATGGTCAAGGGTTGTCGGTGAAGGGGGTAGGCGCGGGGATCATGCTTTCATACGGAAGTCATCGTCAGGCTTGTCGATGACATGGGCAACAGGACATGGAAAAGATTCCACTTCTAAAGACGATACTATAGAGGGATACACCATTTTTAAAAGACCGTGGTTTGATCACCCAGCACGTACTTGTTCAGAAAACCGGCCTTGTCACAGCCTCCGGCGTCGCCAGCAACTCCTACTTACCTGCATCCCAGTGACCCCGATTATGGCGTCCGAGGCAAGATGAGCTCAGGGAATATGAGACATCTGTAAAGTTGAGCTATGGTTTGTGTGCAGAGGTCGTGCTAGAGGAGATGGGACATTAGGACATGCTAGAGAAGGAGGCACTTTAAAGTTCACTGATCGTGCACGCAGGTATCCGCCATCCACTCAAGTGCTTGCCCCCCCTGTAGCCTGGAACGACTTTTGTCTTGATAGGGGCAACTGATTGCATCGTTCTAATCAAATCTGCCAAGTCATCTTCATCCTGGCGGCCATGGTCCACACAGAGCACTCGTGTTCTTGTCCCTTTCTGGGCTGGTTCACACACTCTGCAGGAATCATCCAGTGTCAAGGCTAGTTTTGACCCTCCTCACAAAGAATATATCCAAAGCAAATACAAAGAGGGGTATCCTGATTATTATACCATATCCCTGATCATCCAATCTTCAAAAAATGCGTAATTTCCATCCATGGGCCTCACAACGAAGATCGCATCTGTTTGGCGTCGGCGTCACTCAAAGCCCGTTGGAGGCGCAGCTAAAGACGCCACCTGACGACGGGTCGAAGTCGAGCAATATGCTCTCAACACTGGCATACGTGCCGGGTCCCAAGAAGAGGACGCCCGTCAGGATGATGAGTACGTTGAGGCCTGCCTCAGCATAGCCCCAGATGCCGCGCTGCTTCATGAGCGCCAAGCTGCCGTCGACCTTGCGCATGCGGAAGTAGGCGACTCCCCAGAAGATGAAACCGAAGAAGCTGTCAAATAAAGCCGACATGAGAGAGAGCACTGTTGTTTGCTTGTCAGCGAGCTTCGACTAATGTGGACGGCGTGGCACGACTTACGGTCCGAGAAGAAGGGGATAACCTGAGAGATAATGAAGGCGACAATCCAGGTGGCCACTGCATATTTTTTTTAGCATCAAAGGCCCTCGTACCTAGGTATCTCCCTGAAGTTTAGGTAGACTCACGTAGGATCAGGGCCCAGGTTCCCCAGCCGATGATAGTGTGCTCGTTCTTGTGGCGCGAGTTCTGGAAAATGCGGAAGAACACAAAGCGAGCTGACACTGACGCATACAGGACGCCCAGGAAGATCAGGGTTGGGATCATGAACGAGAAAGAAACCTTCTTAAAGACGTCTTCAAGAGAGCCAAAAGCAGGTGCCGTCATGTACTGGTTGCCTGTGTAAACATAAATGATGGACCCGACGAGGCCGAAAACGATGATTTCGGCAATGGTGCACGCCCAGAGCGCCTTGGGGAAATCTCTGGTTCAACTTGTCAGCCATGTTCGATTTACGGCTCCATAAGTGCTCATACCTTGGTTCCTTCATCTCCGCGATGAAGCTGGGTAGGGTAATCTGCCCGATGAAAGTGTAGCTGATGTTGAGGAAGGCGCTCATGCCAGCGACAAAGGTGGTCCCCGAGACCGGTAAGGCCGTCCAGTTAGGGTCACCTCCAACGGCCTCCTTACCAGCAGCTGTGGTGTAGGTGGGACGAGGATCGTATCCGGCTGGGTGGCTCTCGACGCCGGCGAAGATGGTAGCTAGCAACACCGATATGAACGTGAAGGCTGCGGAAGCGGCGCCCAGCTTCGAGAGCGCCTCGAAGGTTCGGGGCAAAGAACAAATCCAGCAGATGACGAGCATGATCACCGAGAAGCTGACTGTTCGGCAGGCGATGTTGTCGTCGGCGGCGGTCATGGTGTTAAGGTATTTCGCGCCAACAAGGACGTGAAGACCTTGAATGAACTAAAAGACATTCAGTTTCGGCCCATACACAGACTTACAAGTCTAGAAAGAACCGGCGGGCTATGACTGAGGAGACATACAGTATTGTTCAGGAGAAACATGACGGCAGTAAACCACCATGCCCATTTCTGATTCCAGAAAATCATCTGACCAATGTCGCAAACATCACGAACCTCGGGGTGACGAAGACAAAATTCCCATAGGATCAGGGAACTGCAGTATTGGTTAGAAACCGGGACGGACAGGGGGCTCGGGCGACTTACGTATAGAGCACAAGCATGGCTACGACCACGGTTAGAAGCAGGCTGGGCACATGTCAGCAAGAGCAAGGCCGCTATGGCTGCAGCACAACTTGACTTACCCTGGGAAAAGTCCTAATATGCTATATGACCATGGAAAACTCATAATGGCCTAAACCATTGGTTAGCATGGGCGCCTGTGTCTCGCGACTTGTGCATGGTGGTACGGCACATGGCCCAGGCCCTCCTTAGAAAGAGTGCGACGCGCGCTGAGGGCTAAAAGGGCAGCAAGAGTGCAATGTCGAGTGCTTAGGATACCCACCAAACATATGTACTCGGAGAAGAGCAGGGCGGCAGTCTGTTGTCTCAGTCAGTATAAAGTCAAGAAACTGGAAACCTGGCGCCAGGAGGATCGACGCCTCAAGGGAAGTGGTCCTACCATCTGCCAACTACAGCTTCGATACTGGATATCAGCACCCTGCTCAGCCTCCTTCTGCCTATGCAGAATGGCGCTGGCGCTGTCATCGGAATCTTCGGCGGCGAGGGTGATGCTGTCGATAACTGGCCCAATGCGAGGGCCAACTGTGGTTTTCGGCCCTCCAAACCATTGGGCGAACCCTCGCGGAGCGGCAGCCTCGACGTCGATGTCAGTCCGGGCGACGTGATTCTTGTCGTCCGGAGACACCCCTCGGGGCGATTCCCTGTCCGATAATTTTCCCGACATGGTGTCCCGTCGAGCAATCGGTACCAGGGCTAGCTAGGTTCGTAGGGCAAGAGCTTGTGTGTCCTAGGAATATGCGCCTGGCGCTGTTGTCTGCGTCTAAGCGGAAGGATGGCAACGAGTCAGGCCGAGTCCCAGCGGCTCGGGCCAGAGAACGTTAATTCTAGCGTATGTGGAGGTATGTGGAGGGTGAGGAGATATTCAAGGGTCGTCGGAGAGGATGAGTGAGGAGAAGAAGTCAGGCTGATTCGAGGCGAGCTGGGAAAAGGAAATAAAGCAAGTCAAAGGCAAGTAGGGTTTACCTAAGTTTTAGGCCGGGGGAGCAGAAGCGGCGCGGGATGGGACGAGCATGGACATGGGCATGGGACGGCAGTGGCACCAAGGATCTGGGTAACTGCAGGAGGCAATGTAACGCTGGGGACAGGCCGATTTATTCGATCAATTCTGTTGAAGATTACTCTCGATAACACCCTCGAGCTGACGAGGGTACGGGAGAATGTGGGGATGGAGGACGGTGACGATCAGAAGACGTGCTCATCTCTGCGCTTGTCTGCGCTTGTGCGAAACCGTCCCAAACCATCCAACTCTTAATTCTCACATTATTGAGAAGGACTCGCCATCAAAAAGCCTCGGGTGTCACCCATGAAGTGCGCGGGTGATGCTTACTGGAGGTGGACGGTTCAGCTCTGTCTGCTCATGCTAGTCCGGCGCAAGTAGACTCACGCGGCGTCACGGTGATGGAATACTTCCCGACTCTGGTATCTGCTAAGGGCTCGACCCCACTTGCCACCGTGAATGTTCCGTCGCAATGGTTCAGCAGAAGCGTAGTGCTGGACTGGAGGCGGACGGAAACCGGTCCAGTATCTGGGACCCTGGCCCTGACTAGAAGCCCTGCATACGATATCCATTGCCTGGCCCCATCGGGGTGCAGTGCAAATGCAGTTTCGACCCACTCCGTTTCCGTTGAAATCCATTCGGTCAGTGCAGTCCATCCATCAGAATTGTCCCAATTCCCATCACTCGTCGCTGGCGGCGCAGTTGACGTTGGCCAGCATTCATCAGTCACCAGTCACAAAAAGACCAAGACGGCAATGAGATAGCCAAGAGTGGCCCATCTCAGACCAAGCTCTGTCAAGCTTTTTGCCAGTGCGGAAGCGAGGGGCACAACGTGCAGCTATTCTCTTGGCTCTGGACACAACTGACCTGACCTGACAGAGATTCTGCAACGTGATTGATGATGGGGTGAGTGTGGAGGCCTACGCCGCACACACGCCAAGGGACCAGGACTTGGAGGACCAGAGGCCCACTAAAGAGCTGACACGGCCCAGATTGATTGACCTGGACTGGCTGGACCGAGCAGACCTCCGACCTGGGAGGATTTCGATCATTACTGGATCCGGTTGCGAGGACATGCCCTGATGCTTGTGACGTCAAGCAGGTGCGCCATTGCGCCCTCCTATGCCTTGAATCTCAAGACTGGCAGGACTGGCCGAACGCTAGCCCAACACTTGCAGAGCTGCAGAAGCTGCAGAGCTGGTCGGCGGCTCCGTGCGCGGGTGTCGGCCTTGCCCCCAAGCTTGGCTGAAGACGATGTCCAACCTGCAGATTGCGTGCTTGAAGGATCAGATTCATCCTATGGAGACGCTGGGAATTCACTACCGCATCTGGTTCAGGCAATGAGAAATACAATGGATTCATCAAAATCTGACTGTCTCGGTGGGAAGTCCATGGCTGCTGATGAAAACTTTCCGGCGTGAACCATGAATCTATTCATCGTAAAAGCACAACGTTCCTAAGCTTTTGCCCAAATGACTCCCTGGTGGTGGCCATGCATGTTGTAGATCTCAAATCTGGGGAAGCACCAAGAAATCTTTCTTTCGCACGAGACTCTTCCAGGAACCCCGACTGCCTCACCAACCAATTTGATGCTCACCTACATAGTATCTCAGTTGATTCAGAGGCCAATGGGTCACTCGAGTCTCCTGTGTGTGACCAAGGCTGAGATGGTTCCCGCAACGCAACTTCGAGACCGTGGTACATGCCGGTAATTGATTTCACCTACTCCGAGTGCAGCACCAGAGAGACAGTATAAGAATAATTCACAACCATATTACTTCGGCTCTCAAAGTCTTGGGACATTGATCATCAGTTACTCATATAGGCTGCATAGGATACAGTAGATTGTCGACAAGGGAGTGAGTGCGTTGATCGACGCCGATGTCACTTGGAGGTTGACGAGCTTTGGGGTGTTGACGTGCGGATCTATGCACTAACAATTTCCTTGCTTGGGCCCTCTCCTTCGTCCGTTGCACTTCCCTGGCACAACACCACAACCACATCTCGTACTACATTTTATCAGAAAGCCATAGCCATTTTCTCCATCAGAAACCATGGCACAGGTTGGGCTTCACGCCATGTCCTGTCTACTGATTGTGCCTTGCCGGTGCTGAATTGAGACAGGTGGCTGTCACTTCGCTGCTGGAGGCAACTTGCAGGTTGTGGCAGTGCCTTGCCCAGTCTGGACGGTCTTGGACGCTTTTGGGAGAGCAGCCACGCCCCAGCCTCACGATATTGCCGGCCATGCGGCTGCTTGCTTGAGGCGGATGCAGACCCCAGCCCCACCCATTTCCTCGACCCAATGGCCCTCGACCGACAATGGAGTCATCACAGCCAGTCGTTTCCAAGGTCTATTCCTGACAGCGCGTGGGCGCTCGTGCCCCATGCAGATGGGGTCGCAACGCAGCGCACCGCACCCGCACCGCGCTGCAGCACTTCAGGGGAAAGCGAAGCGAGAATGTCAAGACACGCCCAGCGCGACACGACTTGCTTTCTGACGTCGAAGGCCCACGTCGACGACCTCGCTTCGCTGGCCTTGGTCGTGACCAACCGCCCACCCGCTGTCGTGACCCACACACTGCTCTGCTCTGACTTGACTTCACATTCACTTCTTCCTTCTTCATATCTCTATCTACGAAACAGTTAGTACTTTCAATTAATCTCCCCGTCAGCATCCCACAGACACGGCGGGCTGTCGCAGCATTCCTCGAGTTCTATCTCCGTACCATCGCCATGCCCTTCGTAGCCAACACACCAGAGTCCCTTGTCAAGCGGACCGATTCCAAAGACCCCTCCACGACATGCCGTGGCATTACCTCCAGCGGACGACCATGCAGGAATGCCCTCGCCCCATCTGACAACCCTGCACCCAAGCCCAAGCCCAAGAAGAAGGGGCGTGCTCTTCCCGACCCTTCCAATCCGGATCATTATTGCTGGCGGCACAAAGACCAAGCAACCTCTAGCCCAGGGCCTCAGTCAAATGGGCCGATTCTTGATGGCCGGGCGAGCATCGACACCCTGACTGGCCGGCTTGGTCTCTTGACGACGAACACGTCCCGTCCTGAGAAGCCTTCACGACCGCATAACAGCTCCGGATCCTTTGTGCGGCCCTCGAAACCCTCCAAGGAGCTTTCCTTCTGCTGCTTTCGCATTCCTCTCGATTTTATAGAGGAGGAACCAACACCACCTCCCCGGCCTCACTCATACCCCATGCAGCCGTCCGGCTCTCCGAAGCCAAGCAAGCCTCCATCGAGCCAGTACCTCAAACCTACTTCGCCCAAACCGCAAAAGTCAAGCCGACCGAGTCTTTCCAGTCAGACGCCCTCGACTGGTTCTCAGACTTCACAGCTCCTGTCGCTCATCCCTCAGGATGCCCCTCCACAGACCGCGTCTCAGTTGATGGCAGAGCTTGCCAAGCCCTTGTCAAAGGGAGACGAGGCAGGGTACATCTACATCTTCTGGCTGCAACCTGAAGAACAACTCTCCTCGCCGCCCACTCAGAACACCCGCGCATTCCTCGACGAGACCGCCCGCTCGCTGCCTGACACGGAGACAGCCACCCGCTCCATTCTCGATCCATCCTCCCCTGTGCGCCCTACTGGCCATCAGCGACAACCCAGCGACATCCTCCGCTCCTTCGCGGACCAAGCCGACTCGATCGGCACCCGTAGCCCTACCACGACACGGAGCCGCGGGCTCAGTAGCGGCGACGACAAGAAGACGCTGCTCCTGAAGATCGGGCGCGCGAACAACGTCCAGCGACGGATGAACGAGTGGAAGCGGCAATGCGGCTACGACCTGTCGCTGATCCGTTATTACCCCTACGTTCAGACCGGCTCCATAACGGAGCCCAGGAAGATGCCTCACAGTCACAAGGTCGAGAAGCTCATTCACATGGAACTCGAGGGCCTCGGTCTGCGCGTCGCCTCCAGGGGCCCGTGTGAGGCTTGCGGCAGAGAACACAAGGAGTGGTTCGAGGTGGATGCTTCGAAAAACGGCGTCATGAGGGTCGACGAGGCTATCAAGCGGTGGAGTGACTGGGACGAGGGCCGGACGTCTCCTTAAGCCGTTGGACTGGTATTGTTTTTATGGGATTACAGAACCGATTTTCCTGGTTTCCTTCGCTTAGATTGCATACAGCGAGATATGATAGCATGGCATGGCATGGGATTGGGTACGGCGTTCTGCATTGGTTGGCATAGCAATAGGCGTAATTCATATTTTTCCCCTGCAGCCGCCGACATGACGGTAATTTTCAATATGGTTATCGAGGATCACCACGGATATGGCCTACGAGTGCAATTCAAATCATCGTGACAGCATGTTCCACTTTGAGGTCTGCAAAACTCGCCTGGCGATGATGTGCAACTTTATCGGACTTCCTTCAGATGTCTTTCGCCTAATTCCGAGGCGACGTTATCGCCAACGACCGATCATGTTGTGACTGACTACTATCGGTCTGCGATCAAGGGTTGAGATCCTGCGTATGCAAACATAGCTCCCTCGGTCGCATCAGGAATGGCTGGCATCATCGAGCCCTGACGACGTGATCCTTCAGCGTCCCACTCGGGTGAGCAGCAGTAAGCAAGGTTGCTCAAAACTCCACATCGCGTTGAAAGAAGCTGGATTGACTATTATCTAGTTGATAAAATGGGGGCGTTTTCACATCCCGTTTCGGCACGCCGACAATCCTGCGCGCTTGCTGCCTGCGGCTGTATCGGGCTGACCACCATTGCCGAGACGGATTAGTCTCGCCGCGGGAGCATTCCTAGTGCTGTTGACAGTAAAGCAGGATATATTGACAGATATATATTGACGATGAATGTTTAATCCAGTTATTGTTGAGCCAAGAACTCAACCGTCCTCGCCTATCAATAATATCACTCGGCCTCCATAACGCGGTGTTTAATACGTGCATCGCATCACCATGGCTGCTGATCTCGAGAGACATCTTCAGGAGCTTGTCGACACCAAGCAGATCCCCAACGCAAGCCTCTATGCCTGCGACGCAACGGGCGACTTCTCATACCACAGCATCTTCGGCTCATCAGCCCCTTCCCCCGGGTCCCCGCCCTTCACAAAAGATGTCTACATCTGGGCAGCCTCGTCTACAAAGCTCTTCGTCAGCATCGCGGTCATGAAGCTGGTGGAGGAGGACCGACTCAATCTCGACGACACAGTCGACGCCATCCTCCCCGAGCTCGCCGCCCTCAAGATTATCGTCAACAAGCAGCCGCCCTGGGAATACAAGGACCCCGAGAACAAAATTACGTACCGCCAACTCCTCACGCACACCTCCGGTCTCACCTACGTCTTCCACCACCCTCATCTCATAGCGTGGAGGATGCAGAACCCCAGCACAGGCGGCGAAGTGCCCAGAAGATTCAGCGCCCCTCTCATATCCGAGCCAGGAACAGCATGGGAGTACTCCTGCGGCCTGGACTGGGCCGGCCTCGCCGTGGAGAGGGTAGTCGGGACGACGCTGAACGCCTACCTGCTGGAGATCCTGGCGCCTGCGGGCGTGGCGGCGGCCGACCTCACATTCTTCCCGAACGAGCTGCCGCCCGCGGCGCAGATCGCGGCGATCGCGCGGCGCACCGAGGACGGCGGCTTCGAGCCCGGCGGCGACGAGGGCATGCCGCCGCCGCCCGCCAAGGGCGAGCGCTTCTGCCACGGCGGGCACGGCGGGTTCGTACGCGGCGACACGACCCTGCGCGTGCTGCGCTCGCTGCTTGCTGACGACGGGAAGATCCTCGCGCCCGCCACGGTGGCTGAGATGCTGCGGCCGCAGCTCGACGAGCGGCAGAGGGAGTCGATCAACAATGGGCTTATGTATACTGCGCCGCCGTTCGAGCGGACTGCGTCGCGTGGGGTCAAGAGGGGCACGATGGACCATTCGTTGTGCGGGAATGTTGATGTTGAGGGACAGCCTTGGGGGAGGGGCCGGGGGACGGTCATGTGGGGTGGCGCGCCGAATATCAAGTGGTTTCTTGATCGTGAGAAGGGCCTTTGCGGGTTCTTTGGTGCGGCTTTGTTGCCTAGTGGGGACCCGACTTATGTTGATATCGAGGCCGAATTTGAGAGGACGATTTATGAGATGGCTGGTAAGAAAGCGCCTGCGAGCTGATCTGAAAGGATGCAGCCTGTCAAGAGTCACTGTTTTGGGAGTCCTTATTTATGAAGAGTTTGATATGAGCGAGTTTGTCCGCATTTCCAAAAGCCCAGACCAAAATTTGGCTTTATTTTTCTAATGCGATTTCACAATAGAAGAGACTGGAGAGTCTGTCAGAACCTCACAACTCACTTAGACAAAAACTTAGTTTAGAATATAGAGCAGGGAAATTAGGAATAATCCAGCTGTTCAAACGCAAGTGAGATTCACCGACAGTATCCTGTTCTGAATATCATGATTGCAAGCTCGACTAGAATTCTCACGAAGTGAGAGGAGGCGTCGTTTCACCCCGAATAGAGATGACAAAACCACACCCAAAGCACACAGCTACCCGAATACTTGATAACTTCCTGCCAATTTGCGTGCATGTGGATTCGGATGTGACGAGATCAAGTTTTTGTCTTTTCGACCCTTTTACATGAGGATGCCCACCAAATTAGATTGCACGAGGGCGCATTAGTCTGCAGGAATGATTTGGCAAGGCAGACTCATCCCCGGCCCCTGACTGTAATACTACTTCTAACTCTATCATGACAGTATGGCTTTCAATGCGGGAATTATGTGCTACGGTACGGACATCATGTCCGCTTTTTGGGCCTCGAAAGTGGCTGCCTAACCGACCAAGATGCTCATGTGGAGGTTGGAACGGATCCATTGGGTGCCGAACCTCAACGCCCGGGCAAAGGAATATTCACGAGGCATGTGGAAACTAGGTGGTAATAAGTGGTGAACTTTCCTGAACATGTAATATAGCGAAGGGACACACAGCGTCAGCTCACTCAGGGTGCTATCAAACCCCGAGCCCCTGAAGTGTTTGCTCGATACTAGAAGAGTAGACACGAACTTAATTCTCGTGCTTTATTCTTAGGCCATCAGATTATGCCTCGCATTTTGTTTTTGTTGCGGTCACACGCGCATTTGCTCACGCCTAAGAGTTTTAGAAAATTTAGCGTTCGCAAGCTGTGCATGTTGTCCGTTTTTGATTCGGAAGCCACTCGATCTGTTGACGAGTATGGGTACTTCGAAGAACTTCACCGTGACATGAGACAAATCTGTAGGAAGGGCAGCGAAAGCTTGACCATAAACATTCTTAGGTGTGCCTGGCATGTGTGGCATGTGGCATTCTGGTCTTAGCAAGGTGGCAGCAGACGTTCATAGCCGACATGGTGTGCACGCGGGTGAGGCGGTGTCATGCAAATTATTACCTCACAAGTTTTTAGCCGTGCCTGCCGGCAAAAATGCTAGATGCTCGAGAAACACTCAGCATCATTTACTCCTGGCAAGACGGTATCTCATGGAAAAGCTGACCTTGGGCATGGTATCTGGTTCATACTTCACGTTGTCGAACATGTCGTTTACAAGTCGGTCTGAAGAGTCTTGAAGCGCACTTGATGTTACAATTGGGTTCTGAATCATCTCTAAACCTACACGCGAAAGATTATACTATCGACATGCTGCTGGCGCCGAATACAATATCTCTTCAACTGAAATCTATCAATAGTGTCGATGATGTGAATACTGGTACACTGGATCTGTGGGTACTCTAAACCCTTCAAATCCACGCCAAGCTGTCAAGACTCGTGCCGTCCATTTGGGTGGGCGGATTGAAACGCTGACCCCGGAAGGATTCCTAGCATGCCTGTCAACGGGCCCCAAAAAATGGGGGTCAGAGGCGAAGTCGCTCCAAATTCAGGGAGTCCGAGCAGTGCCATTCTAGTACGAGGCGTACCGCGGCCGCGATGGTAGGGCCGCAGTATGATCAGCGGTGGCTGCGCCGAAAAGAATCGTGCTGCCTGATGATGCGCCAGGTACAGAAATCAAACATACCTTTCAAGTTGAAGCATCGAGATTTACCAGTTTAATAAATGTCTTTATTTCCCTCATAGTCAAGCCTTTTACGACCGAAATCAATTCTTTACGAGCTCAGATCGATCCCGAAAGTGTTTATTTAACGACCCTTCAGAATCTTCCTCAGATTCAACATCTCAGAACCGACAATCAGCGACCAAGATGACCGCCTCCAACCTTGTTCCCATCAGTCAGCGATGGTACAATGCAAAATTAATACTTCGTGTTCTGATCGTTTGCCTCTGTGGCGCCAACATGGGTCTTTCAGTCCTTACAAGTTTCGGTTCACTAATCATGGGTCCGGTCATGATCGCCGATATCGTTTGGACGCTCGCAGAGCTCATCACCCTCGCCATTCGAAGGGCCAAGAGAAGGGGCATCCACCCTATTGCACATCTGGTTTTCGACGTGCTCTTTGTGCTGGCATATCTCTTCAGCACGATCGCGTGGGCCTTTGGTCTCGCCCATGCTTCGAGTCACAATGAGCGCGTTGTTTACTTCCGTCGCCGCAACCAAGTCGCAGAGGCTTTTGTCATGCTATTCGTACTAGCATTGCTGTAAGTAGACCGTATTCTCCATCACGATCTAATTGGGGCTGACATCTTGTGTTTCAAAAGGATCTTCCATTCTGTACTGTTCGTCCGCAGCTGCATCGAGGTTCATCAACGAAGGTTGGCAAGGAGAGCCTCAAAGGATACAAACCACACTCTTCGAAAAGACGCAGGATTTGAGGCCGATCGCGAATCTCAAGCCGCCAATACCGATTAGATTCCTGCTGTTGCATGTAAAATTGCGAGCGTTTCCAGTCTTCCGGACAAAGATGAGTTGAAGGTCGTCGGATCACAGGCTTAGCTTGGTGCTGAGAGGCAGTGAGACATCAATTCCGTGAGAAGGCAAGCAGAGCCGAAGTCCCGCATTCTCGAAATCGCCATGAAGTTCACACCATCTGTCGCTATTTGGAAGAGACGTCATAATATCATGCTAATGTCCTAAACTCTAGAATAATATAAGCTTTATATAATATACGAATACTACCTATTGCATTAGCTGATACGCTCAACATCTTCGTGCAAACCTCAGCAATGCGTGTCCATGCCCAGGATTCCAGTAATAATTGCCATGTCTGGGAGAAGCTATCCGGAGTAGACAACTACTTACTTGGACTCTTTCATAAATGAATGAGAATGATTTGTTCACATTGACGAAGTAACGCTCTTTCCTCAGAAGCCGCGAGCGAGCCAACTTACTCAACGCCACTGAGAGTTGTCAGTCAGTCGTACGTTTCGAAGTGAAACAAGGGGTTCTGTAGGAAGCTTCTTTGCAGTGGAAGCCCAACTACACTGCGAGGAGCGCTATGGAACTTGAGCATCTTGGCAAATCAAGGCGCAAGAGAAATTGTTGAGCGCTCGTCTATATAAAAATTATGCAACGTGGTGCTAGAAGCATTGCACCGCTAGGCACATCCTCTTTTCGAATGTTTCCGGGAGTAATGAGCGCACGAGAACATAGCCACGTCTCTGCACACTTTGACATGCGCTGGGATTGCCCGAGCGTCAGCTGAGCTTGGCAGGAAATAGACTTGATACATGTCGTGAACCTTCTTCGTTGACACGGAACCTGTTTGCTTTCTATGAAGCGAGTAATGCAAAGCAAAACTTAAAGCCAGGGTCGAGTCTATGAGGTGAGAACAACGATAGCATTTAAATTCGACGGTACGTCTCGCTCACCTTCCCTTCTCGACCTTCTATCTATACACTTCATTCATCTTCGACTGGAAGTATCGCATTGGACGACACCAACCCTCCGTGTGCACACTCTTTCAAACCGTTTGAAACTTAAATATGAAGATTTCTCAAGCTTTACTCGTCGCCTTCATGTGGCCTTCTACATTCGGGCCTTATCAACCCACGGTAGCAGCAATGTCATTTGGAAAGGTCTTCCCGAAACTGGATGTTGCGTCACGAACGAGCCCATACCTCCCTCAGCCACCGTCAAGTTGAGAACCACTTTCGCGACGGCTGTGATCACACTACAAGGGCAGTCCCCGAAAATAGGGAATATGGGTAGTATGAAGGATGAGTTTAAAAAGGCGAGGACGCGGTTCTATCGTGGAGTCATGGATATTGCTTGCGTGATCAGTTCTCGCCATGTCACTGGAATCAAATCACGCCATGAATCCTGGTTGGACAGGATCTTGGATGGACAGGATCTTGGATGGACAGTATCTTGGATGGACAGTCACAAAACGCATATACTGCCCAGATTTTGCTTTCATATCTCCTGAGAGGGAATCTTACCATTTGATCGGTCATGCGCAAGCTATTAAGGTGTTCATAGAAAGACTCGATGCACTCATCTACCGTTCCGAATGAGGATGAGGAATTTTGCTAGCACTTACGCAGGCGTGCGCGTTGAGATACGGCGCAGGGCTTTTCACGACTACTGGTCTGGTGCTCGGTGGAGAGTTTAGTGCGAATTTAAAAAAGTGACTTGAAAAACTCCAATAATCGAAATGACGTACCCTCTCGCGTGTTTATCAAACCCCTTAAGAAACAAGGTCTTGCTTTATCTTGTTTCCATCCAATGCCAGCGACTTCCCATGCCATTTCCTCTTCCGGCCCACCTTAGAACATGGCTTTGTCCAGCGGGCAAACCAACAACCAAGCACTGAACATAATTGCTGAAGATCAGGAAGCTTACCACTTGCGTCTTGATGAACTGCATAAACCAGCCAGACCGCACGGGGCCTGCATCGAGGTGAGGCTCAATTATTTCTCTTCCAAAACTCTCTCTGAGTTTATTGAAGATCGAACCAGAAGTCAGCGCCCCTAGAAAGGCAGTACTGACCAGATCCGGAATAACGGAGCCAGAAAAAATTAGAGACTCGTAGTGAACAGACATGGCTTCTGCTTCCATTGGGAGCGAAACTACGAATGATGGTGAGAATCGTATCATGGGTATGATGGTAGGATCGGCCGTCGCAGATGCTGCTGGTATATATACGACCAACCTCACCAAGGATCAAGCCGTGCAAGCGTACCCGGAACGGAGAATCCTAGCCAGCGTCAATGCTGACGAGGTTACGCACCACTTACCCGATCCTCATCGGGCGAAGTACGAGGTGAGCAGCTGGCATATTGCATTTCCAATCGTTGAAACCCCATGGAGGCTATGACGTGAAATGGTTCAGCCCTTGCTCAGGACTGCAGCGTGTTAGATAGCTTGTTGCAGAGAGCTCCCCATCCAGCCATTCATGGTCCGTTAAGAACTAACTCCAAATCGTTTAGGACGGAAATTGGTCGGAGGCCACCGAAATGGCTCTCTGCACTCTTCTATACCATACCCATGGAGTTGCTAGAGAGAACCTCGCTCGGCGGCTTCGTCAGTTGTCGTTTGATGGGAATAGAGCATATGACATGGCCCCTCTCGACTTGGGACAACCGATCAAGGGCATCGTTGAATCGCCCTATTATCTGAACGACCCCGAAGTGGCCGCGAAAAATGCGTGGGTTAATGCTAACAAGGGCGCGAACGACACGAACGGATCGAATGCTCCGCTTCTACGAATCCATCCTTTTGCGGCCAGTATGTGCACTATCTCCACCACCCATACGCTCCATAATTATTGTGGTACGCCTAGGCGTAGCAATGCGATGTCTATCACATGGTTATATAAGCTGACACGGGGCGTCCACCAGTTGCAACGCGACGCAACCTTTATCAGTCATTGAAAGGTGCAAACGTCAACTGCAGAGATACTCATGTAGACTCGAAGTGCAATGTTTCCGTAATGATGGCAACGGCACTCCTTCGTGGGCTACTACGTCGAGAAGTGCAGACCGAGCAACAAATCAACCCGCTTCTGCAAAGGTGCAAGGATCACATAGACTTGATGGCGTTCCAAAAGTACCCCTCTCTGTACACTGACAACACAAAACCTACCCCTATCCCATTCCTTCGGATGAACTATGGAGTTGGTTCCAGATCTGAGCTCAGCCGTCTCCTCAGTGCCGAAACACTGGAAGAATTGCAACTGGACGACAAAAGGCAGTCTGGAGAAGTATGGAGATGCTTGGCCGCGGGAATCTTCAGTCTTCGCACTGCCATGGTTCGCCTCGAGGGTTCTTCCGGCCAGAACTGTGAGGAACTGCGCAAGACTCTGTTCGAAGAGCTCATAACAGACCTAATCTTTCAGGGCGGCGATGCACAGGCGAACGCTACGTTTGCGGGCGCCCTCCTTGGTGCATATCTTGGCTATGATGCAATTCCGGAGCAGTGGAGAGAAGGCCTGAGGTACAAAAACTTCCTCATGCGCAAAAGTAAGATGTTGTGTCTGATGGCCAGAGCTGTTGAGGGAAGATATAATAATGAACCCGACTCCAAGCTGTATCCTGCCCGTAGTGAGCTTGAAAGGAGGTACATGTTGACTCGTACTGCAAATCGGAGGGCTGACAGATTGGACATGCTACGACAAAGACGAAGAAATGCGAGTTAGAAGACTCCCGCAAGCAGGAGAAACATGACTTCTCAGCAGTGATTCAAGTCTGCAGTGATACATGTATCCGCCTCTCCCAGATATAGATGAGTGCTTTGGTTTCGTGGAATTTATTGTGAAGCATTTCGATTATTTTCAGGCATCTTTTGAAAACATAGTCGGCAAGACTGGAGGATCTGTGTAGATAAGCGCGTGGAGTCAGTTGGTGGGAAGGTGGGCTTAATATTGATTTTCTGGCTATCCCGCGTTGAATATGGACGATGTAGCATGATTTTCCTAACCTTCGATGAATTGTTATCGCTTTGATGGCCACATTATCGCTCGAGTTCCATCATACACGCTAGTTTGAGAACTGACCCTGCAAGAAAGCTTGCGAGAGCCTACTACACAGCTGCATTCAAGGAAATTGGTATATGCACTAGAAGCTCAGATGAAGCGTTCACGTAAATCTTGCGTCTTTTTCTTACTAAGTTTGACCTAGGCCAGTTCCCCTTTGTCCACGTACCAAGTGGAAGCGTCCATATCCCCGAATAGATATCCCCCACTATATAAGTATGTTCTTCCAAGCTGTCATAAATGAACCTTTCCCGACCCTATATTTCTGTAACCTGATAGCCTCAGGCAATTGTGACATATTCGTCTGGAACACCCAATTTGCGTAGAAGTCGTATAACGTCACCCGGGTAGACGCGGAAAAGTTCGAACTCGTTCTTTCGGCATATCCCAATACAATGCAGCCTTTTCTTTAAGATGTGGAAGTAGATTTCCGACACAGAAGACAGGCCTCGTACGGTCGTCAGCGGATCAGGCCCGATCTTCTTGAAAAGGACCTGAACTTGATATTTCGGGTGCCACGTGTGGTCAGACATGGTGTTGGAGCCGCCTTCTGGAACGGCAACAAGTCTCTTGTTGATTTGAGGTGTGACGGCGGAGGTTCCGCTGCTTTGACTTCCCGGAATTGAGACTTCCGTAGGAGTGGCTTTGTTTTCTTTCATCGTCGTTCGCATACCGTTTGCTGTTTCTGGCATTTTGAGGCTGAGGTTCTGATCTCCAGGCAATGCGGTAATGGATGTCAAATTTAAGGTAAAGGGCTAATTTTGTTTCCCAGTATTCTAATGGAATATTGCGCCACCGTAGAAAGTTGGCTCTGGACACATTGGGGGAGGGGCAATATATGGGGGAGGGAAAGATAAAAATGAAGAAAACCTGAATGAAATCACTTTTTTGAGCAATTCTATGCATCGCTTAAACTGATTCACCTATTACGGGCAATTGACTGTCATACCATCGATATTATTCAAGGTCTGATAGTCACACATGGCATGACTCACAAGGCTAATTAAATGTGGAAGTTTGGCTAGTAACCAGACTGCCTTCTCCGGTCAGGATCTAATCCAACCATCAGGGCCCACATGACACTTATCATCTTTAGAGTGTACTGTTCGGGTGATCAAGCAATGACATTGCCCATCGAGCGCTAGAAGTTTAAAAGCAGGAGTCAGTCAGTCAGCTGTCTGTTAACCGTGACATCAGCACTATTACGCTTAGCATACCTTGGGTCGAGTGGGGAAGCAGGTGAATCTAGCGGATTAGTCTCTAAAGGTATGAAAAAGGCTGTTACTATTGCACATAAGAACGGCCCAGTCTGCGATGTTCCATCGTCTTCTCACTTGACCAATCGGCAGTGTTATTACAAAATGATCAGGTTGGTAGGAAGGTCCTTCTCGGTATGCGGAGCCTCTCACTCAAGATTGGCCTGTGAACAGCCTAATCTCGCTGCAGGTCCAGGCTTGGTCAATCAGCTTACGGTCCACCCCTTTCTTCGGAGTTTATGCTTGAACGGGATAGCTTGATATGCACAAAGCTTATATGGCGTAGACAAATAAGCAGAAATTGGAACGAGTTCCGCTTTATGTACGCGCAGCAGACATTGCTCATCTTACGATGTTTCGCGACGCAGCCGTCCGCGTTTGATCAAGTCAAGCTGGGTACTTCACATGCCTTCTATCAAATGCAAGGAACCCTCAAAATGGTATCTGCGAACAATTTGCATCTGCTTATTTCCGTTCTCATCGTGTGTGTTACCCAGCACATCTTGCAGGTCCAGGCGTCCCCCCTCCATGCGACAGTGATATCTCGGGAACTGGCCAACAACACCCAGCAATATGATTTCATCATCGCTGGCGGCGGGATTGCGGGCCTCACTCTAGCAGATCGCTTGACGGAGAACCCAGAAGGTGCAAAGGCTCCAAAAAGCACTCTTGAATGAAATTTCAAGCCAGGCATAAGCTTACTTATTGTGTCCAGTATCCGTCCTAGTTGTAGAAGCTGGCCCATTAGACGACGGCGAGAACAGTGTCCTTGTGCCAGGAGCTTACAACCCAGCGACGTATTTTTGGCCGATCATCTCCGTACCTCAAACAGCACTGAATAACGGCGTCTACCTGGCAACATGTGCGCGTGTAGTGGGAGGCGGAAGCACTATTAACGCGATGATTTTCCTGCGAGGTGATGTCGAAGATTATCGAGGTTGGGCCGCGTTGGGAAGTGATGGTTGGACGTGGGATGACCTGCTTCCCTATTTTAAGAAAGTCAGTCAATTGCATGAATGCAGCTGCAGTAATACTGACGGGGGATCACGTAGAGCGAAAACTTCTCTGCGCCCGATGCGGAATTTGCGGCTGCTGGCAACATCTCCTGGGTCGATTCTGTCCACGGCTTCGAAGGCCCCGTCCAGAACACATATCCAAATTACTTTTTCCCTGGAAGCGGCAAGAGATCCAACTTCGTCCACGTAATGAAAAACAAGCTGATTTACTGACAAAAGTTTAGGCAATTGGTGGACGGCGGCAGAGGATATTGGGGTCACTCCTTGCGAGGATCCCAATGCCGGCAACGTCAAGGGCATCTTCTGGCTTCGCCTTTCGGAAGACGCTGTAACGAGACACCGCAACCACGCCCGAATTAATCATTACGAAAGAGTAATTGCCACGAGGCCGAACTACCACCTCTTGCCGGGCACCACTGTCGCAAAGGTACTGTTTGAAGGGACAAGAGCCGCTGGTATTGAGCTCTTGCCCACAACAGGAGGAAATATCACGGCTGTGCGTGCTTCGAAGGAGGTCATACTTGCAGCGGGTGGGCTTCATACGCCACATATCCTTCAGCTTTCTGGGCTCGGCCCCGCGCCGTTACTGACAAGCTTCGGCATCGACGTCGTTTCGAACCTGCCTGGAGTGGGACAGAATTTCCAGGACCAGCCCACGATCACGATGTCGTACAACTGTAACCATTCCGTTTTACTTCAAGCGGTTTAAACCAGAAGGCTGACCATTTGGATAGTCAGCAATAACGTGGAGCCGAATTGGAACAGTCTGCTTGACAACGCCACGTACGATGCAGAGCAGTTTGCTCTCTACAACACTTCCCACCCGGGACCGTACACAATCACACGCACACTCAGTACCAACTTCATATCTCTTCCATTAAGAAATCTGACTTCGAAATTTGATAGCATTGTTGATCCAGCTCGCGATATCAGCAGTCCTGGTGCCTTCCTGCCTCCAGACACAGACCCCACTGTGGTGGCAGGGTACACAAAACAGCGAGAGATCATGATTGACCAGCTCGAGAAAGATATCTCAGTCGGAGGATTACACTGGGGTACCGCAAACACCGGCACACTGTACTTGTTCAAGCCATTCAGCCGCGGCACAGTCAATATCAACTCGACAGACCCTCTGACAAACCCCATCGTCGACTTCCGCGCGGCAACCGATCCAACCGACTTGGACGTAGCGGTAGCTCTCGTGCGCAAAGCACGAGATATTATGGACGCACCATCCATGCGGGTGCTGGGGCCAACAGAGCTGACTCCATTCGGGCAAGACGTACAGACAGACGACGAGGTCAAGGAGGCCATCCGCCAGACTTTGACCCCGTCCAATGGGCACGAATGTTGCACTGCAGCCATGATGCCCAGGGAGCTCGGAGGTGTAGTCGATGATCAGCTGAAAATTTACGGAGTCGAGGGGCTACGGGTAGCAGACATCAGCTTCTGGCCAATGCCACTCAATGGTGCCCCGAGCGCGACGGTGTACGCGACGGCGGAATTGGTGAGACTGTTTTCCTATCACCCGGTGCCTACAGATCCGATACTGACGATCTCGCCATTAGCTCGCTGATATGATCAAGGATGAACACGAGCTTCAATAACGTTGTGGAAGACTGATTACTGAGTTGATGCTATGCTATGAGTAGAAGGGCCGATACCTAGGTATACAACGATCGGGCTCCTTGGAGCAATGCGCTCCTACTTCTTCTTCGGGCAGCAAGGAATCATGCATGTGTCAAAAATGAGTTCTTCATTCAGGATGAGCTAATTCCAGCATAGACAGAAGCCCTTGTGAGTATGCCAGAACGAAGAGTGACTGTGTCGTGATCACCGCATGGCTCCCGTCCATGTTGTTTTTGCTACTCGCAATTCCATGCCACAGACCAAAGACTCTGCCAGTTCGTGTTCTTCAAGCTTTCTCCGGAACCTTGAAGAGGTGGGCGTACTTCTCATCTTCCCATATGTCAGCCCGCAGTGATCTCTTCGCCGGATCCCATGCCTCCATCTTCTCAGCAGTGAAGCCATGAGTGCGCATCGTCTCCTCCATCTTCGTGACTGCCAGCCCAGCCCAGTACTTGACGTCATCTTCGTCAACAGTGACTGCCACCTGCTGAAAGCCACGCAACCAAGTCACCCAGAGCGAAGGCGGGAAAGGCAAGTACTTGCTTGCATCATCTTTGACCTCGCGGTAGTCGATCTTGCCCCATCGAATCAGGCTCCACAGCCACTCTGTAGCCTGTACGACCCATTGAGCTCCTGAAACGATATGACAGGGAAGAACATCTCCCTTGGAAGTCTCGTCAATGGTATCCTTGACCGCGTCCTGGACTGCACTGTAGCCGTAGAGGTAGTCACAGCATTTCATCACTCCCGCAGCTCGCACCCGTGCCAGGAAAGCGTTGGCGTTGATGTACTGCTCGCACTCAGTCTTGGGAGGGTTGTTTCTCTTCTCGGGGGTCACAAGGCTGTGACGCTCGCTGTCGCACCAGCCGTCGAAGGACTCGCGCCAGATGGGAAGCTCTGGTCCGCCGTGGTTGCAGGTTGCCGTGATCGGAAGTCGCCGGAGTGCTCCGAGTAGCTGTACCAGCTTGTCCTGGCTCTCGTGATCGCAGGGCATTTGCTTCGCAACCTTCCAGATAAGGTCTGACATCTCAAGCATCCAGTTGAGAGCAGGCTCCTTCTCTTGACCGGGCTCATTGGGTCGATTGTCGGGCACGATTGCGTCTAGACATCGCGCGGCTTCGTCGACTGACAGCTTGGTATCGGGTTGAAGGAAGTCGTTGAGAACGTTGAACATCATCCACTCAATGTCCCAGGGGTCGTCGTCCTCGTGGAGGGTGTCGATGATGAGCTTGAGAGGGTGGTTCTTGAGAGGGTGCTCGTTGACTGTATAATTCTTGAGAAGATAGGATGCGATGAGAGTGGATGTTGAGTGTAGAATGTTAGACAGCAAGTTACTGAGTAGGAAAACCACGCTGGAGCCTCTGAAGCCCTCGATGGTGGATGTTGAGGAACCCATAATGGCTGATGGGCAGTTATCAATGATGATGACTTCTTGATGAGTATTTTGTTGGGTAGAAGGGCTTGAAAGGTGATTGAGGGCTTTTAAGTCCCTGCAAATTGATGATCTCGGCGCGGGAAAGGGAAGTTTGTAGAAGTAAGAATTCTGATGGTGAGGGAAAGTCGTACAATGTTAGAAGTAGATGGGGCTGTTTGCAACGAGGCACGTGCGTTTTGTGAATGGCTTCACTTGGAGTGACCCACACCCGCCGCCAACCAATGGGTGGAGTTCGTTCGCTGATTCACTTCCTATTCACTTCCTTACATGCGACTTGGAATTCAATGTGAATTAAGCAGTAGTCGAATTCACTATGATGGGCAGTCAACATGCCCAGCTTAAAGAGAATGTTTTTGGAATTTCATCGACCCAGTACTTCTGACAAATTGTCGTCTTCCATGAACGACATCACTCTCAAGAAAGACAACAACCGCAATGGCACCTCCAAAGAAGACAACCCAGCAGAAGCCCTCCTCCAACCCTCACAGAGGCAATGGAGGCAACAACTCAGCCCCCAACGATCAGGTAAGTTTGTTCTCTTTCTCCTATGTCATTCTAATTTCCATGAAAACATGTCACAGAAGCACTCTTGCCAGCTCCTTATAACTTATACCCACTGAAATCTTCCCCAACCCCCTTTTGCATTGTCTATACAGGCCGATGTTGATTCCAACATGTCCTCACGATCCTTGAACGCCTCTACTAACACCAGTGGCCAAAAGCAGTACTACCGTGCTGAGACCAAGTATGTCCAGAACCCAGCGAGCAACCGCATTGGAGAGCGCTCGATTCAAGACCAGTTGCGCAACTCACCTGGCCCGAGGGACACTGGAAAGTCCGGCTACCCCCACAAGTTCACGAACAAGTACAGCGCAATCCCCCAGTTGGTCAGGTCTCAGAGCAATTCCAGCAGCACAACTTCCCTATTCGAGTACCCCGTCTTCGCCGATGGCCGCACCTACGACTATCAGAGCAAGAAACCCAAGGACGACCCGGGCCACATCCGGGGGATCACCAACCAAAACAAGCGCTTCAAGGGCGTCATTGCTCACGACGGTGAGGACGGCAACCCAAAACTTGGTAATATGCACTGGGTCAGGAAGGAGTGAGGACTTGTGGCGTCAGTACAAACAAAAGGTCCGGACTAAAGATGGCCTCTGAATCGATTGCTGACCGTTTGAACAATAGGAGACTGCGGGCGAACAGAGTGAAAGACTCGATTGGAGTGGTCACTTACAGCTAGAGAGAGGCAGGGAAGAGAGTGGTTTTGCATTGCCGTTCCTCACGTACTTATCATTGAGATTCAAGAAGGTGTTGGCTTTGGCTTGTTCATCAGCGAGGAGTCTCAGGAGTTAGGCGCCCACTGAAATTATGATCCCTATTAATACTAGACTTGCAAATTGTTGGACTTGAAGGCTAGACAAAACTGACTTAGCAGATTTATACATCTGATCACAGCATTTACTAACTATTCGTACGGTGAAACAGTCTTGCCAAAAATTGATGTTCTGTCTCAAGTCTACTGTGGTCCATTGTGATTCATCGAGGCCTCAGAGCATCGCTTGTTGAGCCAAAATAAGCTCACTACCAGATAATAATGTCTTCTATGAGCATGAGGCGATATTCGAAGCTAGGTGTTTACAATGACAGCTTGGAACTATTGTCCTATATAGTCCTCTTCCTTGTCGACCCTTCCCATAAGCATTTCTTTCCAGGAGGTATTTCTGCAAGATTTGATCCATAAGAACTAGATACCGATTTAGATTCACCTTGAAGTCCAGGACTATTGCATGCTGTCAAAAGACAAATCTACTAGTATACTTCAGAAGAAAACCACGTCGTGAGATCATAACCATCTCTTAACACTTCATAGCCCACTCCAGCATGATGAGCAACTCAGCGATAATTTGATATATCAACTTGAGCCTGGTATCCATAACTACCTAGAAGTAAATGCAGTTCTAACTTCAGAATTCTAGCTGTCCCAAATCAGAGGCCTGGGCGATGAGCGCCAGAGACATCGTCGTAAGCCCCACGCTCCTCGCGAGGTGTTGTCATGGGGTCAGCAGTGGCTGCTTTCGATGTTAGAGAAAGTGATTCTGGGGCCTGGTTTGCGAATACTAACAGATGCTGACACGACTCTGAGCTTGCTTCCACCTTGTCTCTGGTTCAGCGCCAAGAAAAGGCTGTGAAGCATCCACGCCGTGGACCTCCCTAATGTCCGATCGTGCTCTTGCATTCTGCTTCCTGGCACGTCTTTTGCAGCATATCCTAGATTGGTGAGTCTTGTTTAGCCGACAGTGTCACTGTTAGACTTATACAGAAGTACTTACCAAATGCCTGCAGCCACACAGACAAGGAACGCCCCTCCGAGACCAGCAGAGAGCCCGATGACGAGCCTCTTGGCCTCCTCGGACATGCCGTTGTACTCATCTTTGGCGTCACCAATCACTCCCGAGACCCCGCCACCGATTCCTGAGCCATCTGTTGCAACAGGTGGCACGTAGGAGACAGGACTGCCGCTGGAGCCCTTCAGCTTCTGGACGGCATCACCGAAGGCCGCAGCGGCGGCGATATTGCCGGTCGTCGCCGTTGCAGGGAAGACCGGCGACTCACCCTCCGCTACTGAAACGATCGCGGTCGAAGTAGTGGTCACCTGGACAGTGGTCTGTAGTGAGGCGGGGCAGTTTCTCAGCCCTGCAGATTGGCAGACAACATTTGTGATTGTGACGATGCTGGTAACTTCAGTTGCGGTTAGGTCAGCACGTTCAGCAAGAATAACTGGTGCCGTTTGTCTCGCATCAATTTCTGCTGTCGCAGAGGCTGGATCGATGGCGCAAGCGGAGTAGAGCGTGGTATAGTAGATCTGGACGCTTGTGTTGGGCGTCGGACCCCATTTCTCATCTTTGAACTGGACAAAAGCTCCCGCCTGCGCGCCGAGACCGAACTCGTAGGACTCGATCACGGGCATGAGACAGTCGTCATCCCTTGCTGCCAGCTCTAGAGACTCTGGCGTGGTAATGTTCGTGGTGAAACGGGCAAGGTCTGTGTATACCGTGGCTGAAGCACCAGCGGCAAGCTTGATGAGATCGTTCCCTAGATCTTGGGACATGTTCAGGCCGGCGGTGACTCCCAGCCGAAGGGTTGCGTCAAACACGACGCCGCTTGTGCCCACGGTCACCGGAAGGAACTCAAATGACCCGTCCGTGCTATAACAGTCTTAGGAGCTTCATAGGCGAAATAATTCATCTGGATTGGCAGACTCACAGCTTAATGCTTGAGACATCACTGCCGAACATGGCAATTTCCATTGCCAGGCCGTCGTCGAACTTGACATGCATACCTGTGCTGATGCTCACCTCGGTGCTCAATGTCAAGAGCAACTCAAGCGTGATGACAACACCGACCAGTTGGTTCCCGATCTTTATTCCGGCTGGCTGGTACCATTCCGGGGGATACAGATTGACCCTATACGTCTGCCCTGCATCCAGAGAAGCCTCGAGCTCCATATAAAGCTCGAGGTCATCAAATTCCAGGCTGAGAGTCGTCTCCGGGATGTTGGTCAGATTCATGTCGAAATCCACATCGAGGGTCGGGAAGGAGTAAGCACTCCAATCAATGTCAAGCTCATCTAAGTCACCGGTTTGGAAGAACGAGACAACATTGTCCCCTACCGTATCGGTAACATTATCGGTAACGGACTGCGACCAATTCTTGAACTGGTCCCAGACCTCGACGCTTATGTTCTTGACCTCAGGCCAGAATTGGTCGTGAAACTCTGTCAAAGCCTGGGTGAAGTTGAAGTCGCCGTCGACTAAAAGACTTGCGTAAGCTGTACCCTTGACGTAGCAGCTCACACATGATATAGACAGCGACTCACTTCGCGTTTAGGAAGAACAACGGTCAGAGGTGGGATTCAATATTGACAACACGAACTGAAGGAGAGACTCACTAGCTGAAGAAAGTTGCATCAGTCCACATCAAATCAAGAGACCCATTGGTCCTGTACAGTTGAGTGTCCGAACCGCGCTGCTGAATGCCTGCTTCGAATAAGTCTCTCCGCAGTCCTTGCAGAGCCACCTCATCAAAAGGCGTTGTATCGCGACGAGTTTCGAGAACTTGGACCGGAGGCGAGGGGCTCTGGGGACTCCCAACGACATACTCAAATCCGAGAGCCGCGATAGCGACATAGTTCCATTGACATACCATTTTGAAAAGAATTTATGTGGAACGGCGATTTTCATAGAGGGGCAGAACAGAGATTCGTCGAGATTCAGGGCAGCAGGGCTGAACTGACGCAGACCGCGAGCCATGTTCCATAGCTGGCATCGTCGGATATATTATACCGATCCACTTGGACATTACAGTGCCTCGAATCTGCAGCGGCGATGAGACCTGAGATGCAAGTTGGAGAGGGTGGTATGCATCTGTGAGGCACGGGTGCGTGGGCGTGGGTACCAGGTTGGCGTGGTGCGGCACAGAATATGCAGTTGGTTCCAATTATCAACACAAGGCCATTGTCACCTCGGAGCATCTGCCCATTACAGCCCGTGAAACTCAGCCGCACCGGAATTAACTTTTGTGTTTGGCCTACACCCTGGACCCAACATTTAAAAAAGGTAGCACCATGGTATGATGCCTGGGGACGTGTACCGTATTTCTGGTATCTCCGGCGGCGATCTTTGTCATAAGCGACCAAAGCTGGAGGATCGTGGACTCAGCCTTGGGTGGCTTGTGCGGAGTGAGCGAACGTAATGGTGCTTCCGTGAACAGCATTTGTATTTTTATTTTCATTTGATATAGTCCTCGAACAGCCTTTTGTATCACAAATGATAATCTGCAAGAAATACTCAGGCGACCGGGCTGCCACGAAGCCACGGAACGGTCTTGGCCAACAGCCACATGCATCCATGATTTTTTATTAGCATAGGTCAGAGCTGCCTTAGCTGAAAGACTTTGTAGGGTTGTTGACCGATGATCCCGGGAGAGTTCTCTCACGTCTCCAGTGACGCGTGAACCTGTAGACGCATCTGCGTGGCAAGGCGGCAGCTTTTCCGAGTGACCAAGCCACGGGCTCCTTCTGGACAAAGGAAGCGGAGATGATATTGATTTTTGCTGTGCCTTGCAGCCTGCTCACTGAATAGACAAATATCGATGTGGAGTCAACCAGTCCTGCGCCTGTCCTTCGTCTCGGATGAGTCAAAGTAATTTGCAGACAGCCCTGTCATTTCTTCCTACCTCTGTGAGCACCCCTCGTTTCAAATCGCCCCAAGCCTGGAACAGTGCAGGCCCTGCTCTAAAGTGAGGAAGGGGTGATTTTAGAGTGATCAATGACTGAACTGTACGCCCCCCGGTCAAACTTGCCATGGGTAAAAGCCGAGCCGAAGATGCCAACCGGGCGACTTGGAGCGACTGGCTACATAATACGCGCATCTACCTCCGGGCAACTGGAGCGAAACTCAGAATCACGCTTGTTGGCTATTATCAATTAATACACGCTTGCTTTTGAATAATTATTGTTAATAGAAATCAACGATGAATGGAATATCAATGTTGAACTTTACAAACATCATAGCAATTTATTGCCTGACCTGATCAGTGAAACAAATTTACTCGGTCACCACCTTCTCCAGTTATGGTGCGCTGCGCGATGTATGCCTAGAAGGAAATACAAGTAGTAGTGGTGATCCTACTCATCTCCATGCTTGTGCTATGCGTTGTCCAGCTCAGGAGCATCAACCTCGTCAAAGTTCTCCCATTTCCTCCAGTCATAGTCGCAAGGATTGATACCGCAGCCCTCGAGACCGCCCTGCCACTCTTTTATTGCCTTTGGAATCGGTATCCTCGTGTCGTGGACGTAGGCCCATGCGACAATCATCTTCTCGAAGTCTCGAGGCTCCTCCCGCCTCAGCTGACAGATATCATGCCACGAGATCCGGTCAAGACCGGGGTGGTACATAGTCCACGACCGGCTGAAATCGATCAGCTTTCCGCCAAGGTAATTGCCGGGGTGCATGTCGCGGATGAGGATGCTGAGGGAATGGAGAGTCTCGATGTCATCATACATCTGCCGTATCTGCGACTTTTCGAAATCGGGCGTGCTTTCATCCACGAAGTCCTTGATTATAGCTCGCACACGCTCGTGCCGATTACATCCACGTCGGTACCACATAGACTCTTCGTCCAGCTCGTAATTGCCGAGGCTAGTCAACGTTTCTGGGTCCACATACTCTCTACCATGACCCTCTGTGACGCGCTGTTCCTGTTCGGGCGTGAGTAGAATGTAGCCATGGGCCCTAACTGCGATATCCTCGCGTTTTTCTTGCTTAAGACGCCCGTAGACTCGGCATTCGTTGTTGAACGGGTCCAGATAGTTGAGATACTCTTGTGGCGTGAGTGGCCGATCTCCCTCAGGATCGTCCTCCCGAGATATAATCCATTTACCCGATATTTTCATCAGCCCTTTCCAATAATGAAAGTGAAACTGAAAGCGAAGTCGAAATTAGCCGCGCTTTGTCGGAACTGCGGTCGCCGGGGGAGGAGGATCAGTGACTCACTATCTTGAGAGCGTAGAATTTGCCGTCGATGCTAACCTTCCATACTTTTGAATCCAAGTCATCCTCACTCCCAACATAACGTATGAACTTTATTTCTGCAGTTGCAGTCCCACGAAATGGGTTGAGTTTTGGTCCGCCGATACGTGGGAGAGGGAGGGGGAGAGTGGCACTTGAGGCAGCCATACTGACTGATAGAACTCCGAAAGAAATCTATACGATGTGAAAAAGTGGAGGAGATACCAGCCTGCTATGTAATTGGCCAGATCTCAGAGAAACAATGTTTTCTTATTCTGTGTGATATGGTGGCATTTTGGAGTCATACGTGTTGAGGTGTTGAGCTGTTTGGTTTACTTTTCGTCGGTGAATCTGCACATAGCCAACTTTGAAATCGACTTGAGAGAAAGAACTCAACCTGCCGACTGCTATGTCGGAGAATGGCTTGAAGGTAGTTGATTGTCCGTTGGATATAGATGCTGTAGTAGAATTTACCTATTTTCCCTGTCACGTGAGGGCAGGCAGCCATGCGCGTTGGCTCCACAGTCATTGAACTGGAGAAAGTGGTTTCGTTGAATATTGCAGCTCAATTAGGATTACCTACACATCGGTACGATTGAATGTAGGGGCAATGGGGTCCGGTTCTCTTCTGAGATGGTAAAATTAAGGCATCTGCAAAGTCATCCTTGGAAAGTGTCACAGGAAATTAGAACACTGTACGATGCAGCACAGAAGACAGCGCCGCCAGTTGTCATAGGCACCTGGTACTCTAATTTGCTCATCACAGAGAGGCAGTTTCCACATCAACTGATGTAAGGCGTGATCTGAATGCTGGGAATTTTTGAAGCCATACAGATGTAGCAGTGGCCCAGTCTCTGGAGGATCGACCATCCAGAAGGCCCCGTACTACAATAGGGCTGCAGAAGCTAGTATGGTCTGTAGTATATGAGGAATTGATGCTGCCGCCACACACATGTGCAGTCAAACGTCTAGAGCCATACTTTGAGAACGTGATTTGACTGGCTGTCACGAACTAGCCAATTGCCGGCGCCAAAGACCATCGAATATCGCTCGCAACGCGAGCACAGCTTCAACAGATCAATTAGACTTCCACTACTGCCAGTGTGTCAGATCGCTCACTCCCATGAAGTTGCCAGATTTTTGAGTTCTGGACTAATGCCAGTTTGCGGTGGGCTGTGTTGAAGGAGAAACCGCGCCAGCGCAACGAGTCCTAACGACGGTTCCATCGCCAAAAGGCCTGTAGTAAGTCATGCCCTAACAGGCTGGTCCCGTTGTGGCAGCCAAGAATATCATGCGCTAATTGGCGGAGCCTATTACTGCGGGAAACCTGGCAGGAGACTGCAGACTGCAGACTACCTCGCAGCGCTTGGGCATTTGCTCTTCGAAACATTGCCGTCACTTGTAAGACAACACACAGGAGCGGATGAGCCCGCTTGTTGATATTCGGGGCCAGAGCAGTTTGTGTATGTATATATTCTCGATATTTACTTTTCACACACAAATAAGACGGCGCCCAAGAGTCACAAGTGACATGATTAGAGCGACTCAGGGTCGACCGACACCTAGAAACATTGTGAAGTTAAAAGGCCTTTTTCTCTCACACCGATGCAGTGCCAGACCGCCCCCATATCCCGTCACCTGACCCAATATCCATACTAATCTACGTCTTCCCTCACATTCCCATTACATACACTCCATTGTAGCTCACTACTTAGAGGAGCAGAGCCAGGAGGCCGAGGAGACCGACGGGCACGGCATTCGCGACAGCAGCACCGGTGAAGGTAGCCGGGGTAGATGAGGTAGGAGTCGCGCCGCCGGCACCGGTGGTGCGGGTAGCGTTGGAGCCGCCGGAAGAGCCACCGCCGCCACCAGTAGCAGTAGGCTTAGTAGACGAGCTCTTAGCACTGGAAGGCGACGAGCCACTGCCGGTGGAAGTAGGCGTAGAACCACCGCCGCCGCTGCCACCGCTGGCGTTGGTGCAGTTGCCCTGGGCGAAGTTGGCCTGGTTCTGCTGGAGGGTGGCAGTGAAGCCGGCGACGAGGTTCTGGGCGATGGACTGGGCCTCCTGGGGCACCTTGGAGACGACGGCGTCGATGAGGGCCTGGGAGTCGGTGGACAGGCCCTGGGACTGCTGCAGCACGGTGTCGCAGAGACCGGCCTGCTCGATGGCCGACTTCTTGGACGACAGGTTGTCGACCAGCGTCTGGGCGTTGCCCTGGAGGCCTTGCACCGTCGATTGCAGCGACACGGCGTCGGTGAGCGTCAGCGCGTCTGTGCCTTGCACGGTGCTGGTGCCCGACTTGATGGTGCTGGACAGGTCGCTGGACGCGCTCGTCAGGGCGCTGGCGTCGCCGCTGAAGCTCTGGGCCGCGGTGTTGAGGGCCTGCAGCTTGGTGGAGACATCGCCAATAACCCCCTGGATGGTGGCCAGGTCACGCTCGAGGATGACTCTGGGCAGGTTGGTGGCGTATGCGCCTGCGGCCAGGGCAGCGACGGTGAATGAGTACTTCATGTTGGGTATATGATGGTTTGACTTCCGTCAGCAACGAGTGTTGGGTTGTAAGTTAAGTTGTAAAGAAGTTTTGGCAACAGATTTCGTCCCTATGGTCGGTTCAAAAATGATATCACCGAGCAACGGCGGGAGGGGATACTCCAGTTCATATAGACATGGCTGAGCCCGTCACAAGCTTTTGTGCAACTCCCTCGGCCGATACCCTCGTCCATTGCTGTGATGTGAGTGATGGGAATGACGGAAGGCCCATCCCAGCCATCGTCTCACACTGGCACCACCGCCACACTGGAGCTGCTAAGAAGGCATCCTTGAAACCTCAAAGCAGGCGTCCGCATTGGGAGACGGTTTGCATTAGCCAAGCACAGGCAGGTGACGATGGAGGGCCGCCCATCCAAATTTCCCTCTACTTCTAGCCCATCCTCACGACTTCGGAGGGAGGGCAGGTAGAGCCGTGCCTGAGCTGACAGGTGACTACTGCACAGTCCAGAGCGGGCTAGATGCCCGGGGGCTGCATCGTCAACGGGCCCGCCGGGTGAAGAGAAGCATGCAGAGCTCGATTTGAGGTACGGGATGCTTGCCAAGGGGATGCCACTGGGTGTGACGTTGTTAGGTAAGAGGTTGCTGGCTCGATTATTACGATGGTCCGAGGGCCCAACGAGAGGGATGAACTCTTGCGAGTCTCAGAGAAGAGGTGACAGGATGTCATTCGATACCAACTCTTCCGCAGAGTTCCCTGTTTCCAGATGACGCCCAACGTTGCAAAGAAAGCAATTAGACATGAGCCGAGAGGACTTTCGCAGGGAATCGGGGTCGGTGATCTACCAATCGCTGTTGGGCGCTGTCCTGTGTGAGGGCAGAGGTCGAAACAAGGAGGAGAGGCTTAGCAAGTTTTGCTATTCTTCCGGGCAGCTTGTTGGTAAGCAGGGGATCTGCATACATATGGAGAGCTGGGGGATGGGGCCCTGAGACTGGTGAAGCTGTGCTGGCAGGCTGGCAGCCTCGTGCAGAGCTGTGGTGGATTCCGGGATAGGGTGGGATTTGTGAAACTGAGGTCCGCTTCACTTGCCGCATTCATAGAAGGCACTATAGTAGACTTCCAGTAGGAATCGTCCAAGCACCCCAGGGACGATCCCCCGCACTCTTGTTAGTTGGGCGCCGTCTTTCCCTCTTTGAGCTCACCCTGCGCCTCCTCCCGTTGCCATTCGCCATAAATAAAATGAAACGGGTGACGAGACTTGTCCAAGAGGAAAACTTGAGCGTGCCAACCCGCCCGTGTATCGCAGAGTGACACCATCGTCGACTGTGTAACACGGCACGACAAGAAGGCAATTCAACCCCAGTCTATAAGACCTTCATCAGACAGGCAGATCACACCTGGGTAGATCGTCGCAATGTTGCCTTTCCCCAGAACAGACAAAATTGGACTCTCGCATGGGACCGCCCCACATGGATTAGTAGGTGTGGATACGGGGAACTCTAATTGCACGACACCATTCCTTCAAGCCTCAGCTGGAGGTTGCCGAAAAGCCAACCTTGCAATGGCATGTGGACGGCTTTTCACCGAGGCATAGTCTGGCTTCCCCACGAGGACACAGGTGCGCCAAGATCTGGGGAATTGGGGTAGTGGCGACGGATTGGAGGGGTGGGAGCGGACGATGCTGCTGTAGATGACGAATGCTCCGTTGCTCACCACTATGCGATCCATCTCATCTCGGTGTGATTCGGATAGAGCAGCCTCTACACATTAGTCGCCGCCGTTGAGACACTATATCGAGCGGATGCGCGGGCTCGTATATGCAGCCCGTTGCCCGGCATCAAGATGGCTAGGCGGCATGTCGTCACTGAAGCCAGGCACCAGATGGATCCCTTGAGCCCTGAATCGCCAGGTGATCTGCTTTCATTTCACTCAGGAAATTACTGCTGAATTATCTCGGGAGCTCACAGGCTTCCGATGGGTATCAATGTTGTCTGTTCTGTTGTCTCCGTTTGCCCGAGATCGTCTAGAAAGGAGCACTTGCACATCCTCTCACAATTGGACGCAAGGCCGTATCCCTCCCCCCTTCCGTGTCCTCGGATAGCATCACTTGAGACTTTTGTGCAAAATGTGAAACTTGGCACGAGGTGTGTCCGTAAGCCGTTCTTGCCCAACAGGAATCGGAATCGCGAACGGCGATTGACCGGGACGCCATGGGCACATCCAGTGTGTTCTGTAGCAGTCTGATGCACACTCGGTCAAGCCGATTACTTGAACAAGCGACGGCCACGGGTCTTCACACCGAATCTCTCAACGCCGCTGCTCTGTTGCAAGTGCCACAGACCCAGCGCGCCGACGTTGCCGCCTTCTGCTCCTGACCTGTACCGTCTCCATGCCTCGCGCACGTGATCTGGACGTAGAGCACCTCTGGGCGGCTCCTTCGGTTTGACCTTAGGATGTGTCGCTCTAGGTCTACCGTCCTCAGGCTCGTCCCAGTGCTCTTCTTCTTCGTAGGGCCACGGGGGAAAGGAGACACCCTCTTCGGCTTGAGGCTCGCCCGACTTTTCTATCCACTCTGATTGCACCCTCCGTGATTCCTCGATGATATCGCCCACGAAGACCTTGGCAACCGACTGCATAGCTTTGGTGACATTCGCCGGCACGGATTGCGAGACGGCCGCATTGACGATCTGTTATAGACATAATCAGTGGTCGCTCCACCAGCGAGAGAGTTGTTAGAATAGGAAATAATCGATAGATGCTCACCCTTTTCACGACGCTCTCGGTCAACTTTGCAGCGTGCCACATCTCGTAACGCTCCGTCTGGTCCTTATCCATCTGTTGAACCAGCATGAAGCGCAACTTCTTCTCTTCTTCGCGCTCCTCCCTGCTTCTCTCGAACTGCGCCACTCCCATCTTGGTCTTGATGTCCTTGTCGTCCTCTTCCTCATCATCTGCACCGTCGTCTCCAACGGCGCTCGCTGCGCCCCTGCCAGCTCCACTCCTGCCACTAGCCACCGTGTTGGCCCTGCCTCCGACAACGCTGGGCGTTCCCTCCTTCTCTGCAGCCTCACGAGCCTTCTCAGCCTTGCTCTTACGACCGCGCTTCTTCTTCACGGGCGCACTGACGGAGACAGCGGAACCGGAAACCATGCTAACGTTGTCGTTGTCGAAGCCCACGCTGGGAGATCGAGCAGCGAAGGGAGACTCGTCGGGTGGGAAGGAGGTCTGTCGGAGTGGATGGGCGGAGCCAATTGAGGTGACAGACATCGTGGAGGGCTTCCTACGCTTTATGGAGGGCGAGGGGCCACCGTCACCGGCCGAGCGCTTCTTGGATGAGCCTGTGCCATTTGCGATAGTGTTGATGTTCGGGAGCTGGGAGTTCGATGGATAGGGAGGAGAGTGCGCAGGAGGAGATGTTTGGCTTTGGTACGGTGGTGAGCTCATGTTGACAACGTAATGTGGACGGGTTTGCGACGTATGTCGACGCTAGAGTGAAGATAAAAAGCCAGGCCCTTGCAAATAAACGGATCGACCAGCAGTCGTTGGATTCAAGGACTTAAAGATGTGGTGATGAGCAAAGCAGGCCGCGATGGGGAAGGCCTTTGGAGTGGATGCGAAAAGGTGACGTTCGGGCTGGGGATGTTGAAGACGAATCGACAAACCGACGGCCCACTGCTGCAGCACCCCCGGACAGCTAGAAGCAGCTCCACCGGCCTGATAAGATAAGGACTGACTAGAGCTGGCCCCGCCTGCAGGGACCCTGACAAGCTCCCCCGACCGCGGCGGCCAGCAACGGCCCACACAGGCACGGGGAATTCGGCGAGAGTCATTGTCAGTCAGCCATCGCAGCAAATTTGCCTGGGCATGCGATGATTTAGACCATTTCTTCTTATCCTAGGTCAGCTGCATCGGAGGCCGAACAATCCTTCGACGCAGACTCGACTTGTTCTTGAAGCCCTTAATTAACTCACATGGGGCTTCAGATTGTCTTTGTACACAATTGATTGCCAATTGAGAAATCCCACATGCTTGACTAACACCTTTTTTTTCTTTTCGTTCTCGGAAACCTTCTCACCTACACGAAAGCAATTGGCCCACGAATATATATATTCTCCACATAGACTGTCACACAGGCGGCCAGCAGACGTCGAAGGTACTCTCATGCCATCCACGGAAAACATGGACACAGCAAGCATCACAAGCTCGTCCTCTGGCGGGCGGCGCAACAAGCACCACTCGAGCGAGGAAAGATCGAGCAGCAAGAAGCGCAAACACCACAAGGTCAACGGCGCCAACGAGCGACGAGACAGCATCAGCGCCCCCGCGCGGGACCCCCGAGATATCCCCGACCGCCCCAAGAAGAAGAAGTCCAAGAAGTCCCCGGCGCACACCACCACCGACGCAACTGGCGCCTCCACAACCACAACCACCGGCGCCGCCGCCGCCGCAGCCAGCGGGACGGTGACGCGGTCACCGAGCCCGGTGATCGACTTCGACGGGCTGTCGCGGCCCAGCTCGGGCACGCGCGAGCGGCTGGAGGAGACCAAGGAGCAGGCGGACAAGCGGCTGGCGCGCATGTGCGGCGCCGTGCGGACCATACTCGAGTGCGTGGGCGAGGACGCCGACCGCGAGGGCCTGCTGGCCACGCCAGAGCGCTACGCCAAGGCCATGCTGTTCTTCACCAAGGGCTACCAGCAGAACGTGCGCGACATCGTCAACGGCGCCATCTTCGAGGAGGGCCACAACGAGATGGTGATCGTCAAGGACATCGAGGTGTTCAGCATGTGCGAGCACCACCTGGTGCCGTTCACCGGAAAGGTAGGCCTATCAGATCTCCCGAGGCGCGGGTCTTACTGCTCTTCAGAAGTCTTGGACTAATCCTATTGGTAGATGCATATCGGCTATATACCCAATCAGTCCGTCATTGGTATCTCGAAACTGCCCCGTATCGCAGAGCTGTTCGCCCGCCGGCTGCAGATCCAAGAGCGGCTAACTAAGGAGGTCGCCAACGCCATCATGGAGGTTCTCAAGCCCCAGGGTGTCGCGGTTGTCATGGAGTCGAGCCATCTGTGCATGGTGATGAGGGGTGTCGAGAAGACGAGCACGAGCACCATCACGAGCTGCGTCCTTGGGTGCTTCGAGCGCAAGGAGAAGACGAGGAACGAGTTCCTGAACCTGATCAGTGTCAACCGCCGGGCCTAATAGACTAATGCGGTGGTCTTTGGAGAGGTATTCGGAAGATGGCAGTGGGCTTCTTTCCCTCTTCTTCTATGTCTCATGATATACGGCGTGTACGAGACGGCTGGTTTCAGTGGAGAGGCTGAATGATCAACTCATTACAAGGAGCGGCAACGCGTCAAAAACGCTCGCTTTTCATCATCGAGCATGTCTGGTTTTGCATACGAATCTCGGCGTTTTGGGAGAACTCGGAGAGAGGGCGGTAGATTGGCGCAAAAATGGCATTCATCATGCCCGCCATTTGGTATTCAACATCAAAGCATTACTTGGGAATGGAGTCAGCTAGCTATGTGCAAAATTGGCGTTGTGGGCTCAACTCCTCGAATAGTTCTTCAAGGTATAATGTAGCATCGAAATGCTATCTAGGACCAATTATTGCAGTTTGCATACATCATCTGACTCCCACCAATGCCTCGCTCGTGATATAAACTGTCCAGTGATGCCAGCACGCCGTCCGGGCCATGACTTTCTCGTCACATAAACTCATCACGACACCCTCCTAACCTCCGTACCCAGCGCCCCGTTGTCAACCGCCTCGACCCTATGCCTCACAACCCTCCAAATCTCCTCAGCAACCTCCTCGACGCTCTTCCCAGCATCAACAACATCGAGGTCCTCCTCCTCCTCCTGGAACGGGCACCCGCCGACCTCCCCCCTCTTCAGGCCCCAGAACAGCTCGCGCACGCGCCGCTGCATCTCAACAGTCTCGTACCTCTCCTCGCCGAACCCGCCGCGCTCGCGCGCCTTCTCCTCCGACAGGTCCAGGAACAGCACGGCGTCGGGCCGGGGGAGCCCGGCCTCGGGGGCGCGCGCCCAGGGCAGCCCCAGCGACGGGTTGCCCTTCGCCGCGCTGTACACCATCCCCGAGTAGTAGTAGCGGTCGCAGACGACGGTGACGCCCTGTGCGAGCAGGGAGGTGATGGTCGGCGCGGCCTCCCACCTGTTTGCTGTGAAGAGGAGGTGGATTGACTGGTCTGGGAGGGTGGCGGAGGAGGAGAGGTATTGGTTTATTATCTGGCCTGTCGGCGTTGTGCGGTCTGGGAGGATGTTAGTATATCGACCACACCTGAGCCGAGAAAGGCTTGCATTTAAGCCGGCGAGATGACGGCAGGACGTGTAGAGTAGGAGTAAGACTGGACCACTTGCGATGGACAGACAAGCCTTGCTCACTTGAGCTGCCTCAGTCACTAACTAACCGAGGCCATGAACCTTCCAACGACCCCTTGGGGACAGTGCTTCTGGCCCGTGTTCTGTCCACCCCTAAAGCCTCATATACCAGCCATCCATCCCTCGTCGCATCATCCAGCCCACCAAAAAACAGATGAGAAACTCACCAGGAAACCTCATAAGCTGGACCCTCCTCCCCGCCTCGATGAACCGGCTCTGCAGCAGCTTGACCTGCGTCGTCTTGCCGCTTCTGTCCATGCCCTCGAGCACGACGAACGCGCCGCGCGCCACGTTGGGACCCGCGTCTTGCGCCTCAGGCGCTGAAGGGACCGCGGCCTCGCCGACGGCGCTGATCGCAGGGGTGGCGGACGACGAAGGAGGCGCGCCCGATGAGGAAGCTGCTGCTGCTGCTGCTGCTGCTGCCAGGGCAGGGTCATTCGTCGAGGCCATGATGAGACTGCGAAGAAGAGATTAAAAAACCCAAAAAGTGTCAAAAACAAGAGAATTGGGTTTCTGCCAACCCTGCAAGCTGGCTGGATGTCGATAGTGTAGATCAAGGAGACTGGTGAGTTAGACCCGTACCCGGGTACTTGTTAAGGTTCAGACTTCAGATCTTAGCTTCGTGTGCGGGTCGATCATCTCGGCGGATATTTTCTGGCGCTCACAGCCTGTTGCTAATAATCACTGCCATTCATTCGGGACAAATCACACGCGTTCATCGTTCAGCTCAAGGCTCGCAATGCATTCCCTGCCGTTTCTCATAACACGTCTCACTGTGGGTCCGTTCTTGAGCAAGGACAGATGTTTTGCCGGGCCTGACGCCTGAAAATTCGAGGCCGGGTCTCACGATACACTTCAACTCGCTGCATGAATCTGAACAGTGTCTTCTATTACCATTTACAATAGCATGAGCTCTTTACGGACTCGCTGTCAAAGGAGCGTTCATTGGCGCGTGTCCACACCTCAACCACGCGATACGCCTTGAACCGTCCTCCTACCTTGACCAATCCGACCAGCCATCCATCCATATCCGTTGACCCAGTACCGCAGAACCCCGCAAGCAAAGAATCGAGATGAAACATCAATCAAGCGCTTGAAATACCACCTGGCCAAGCCATGTACTCCTACGGCTTCTCCCCTGGCCTTATCCTGTAACTCCTGAAACACAACGTATGCAAGCAAAAGAGGAACAAGCAGGAGATGGTGAGTACTCAGCCCTCATCACCAAAGTCCTCGCCTGTTTCTGAGGCAGGAGAAGCAGGCATCGGGCTGGGTGATCGCGCACCGTCGCCCTCTTCCTTAGCGCTGGAGCTTTCCCATAGATCGAAGCTCTCACCTGTGCCCTCTACAGGCTGGAGGGTCGCCAGCTGGACCAGCTCTTCTGAATCTTCTGGCTCAGCGGCTGCCTCCATGCTGGCCTTGGTCTCGAGACTCAGCTCCTGGGCAACATCCTCCTCTCGACGCTTCTCTGACTGCTCCCCATCCACTACTGTGCCGTCGTCCTCGTCCTCTGGGACAATGAAAACAGATGTGGGATCACAGCCCTCGGCGTAAAAGTCTTCCACGTTCAGATCACCAAGGGCTGTGCGGGGTTTCTCATACTCCATGCCGCCTTCACTGATTGCGGTCGCTCTACGGGCCGAGGTTTGAGAAATGTCATCAGCGGGTGGGACGTTCTCCTTGCCCCGTCCCTCAGCCTTCTCCCTCCCCAACTTCTGCTGGCACTCCTCATCGCTGCTAATATCAAGCCGACATGTGCTGTGCTGCAGAAGGTTGGTCATCTCCTGTTCAGGGGTGTCCTCATGAATGTCGAATTCCCACGAAGATTTCACATTCAAGCCATAGAAATCATCGGAATTCGACAGGGATAGGGACGATGATGTAGCGGAGCTGGCTTTGGTAGAGGATGGCGTTCGCGCGGCATAGCTTGGGACCGTACCCTTGATGGCAGCCTCGAGAGAGAATGGTGTCGACGACAGGCTGAATGTTGGTGGGTCAATTCGAGTGAAGGTTCCTGTTCGGCGTCTGTTGAGGATACCGATGCGCTTGTTGCCACGAGTTGGCGAGCGGCCTGCTGGTGCGGACATGGGAGAGCTTGGGCCGCGAGCAAGACTACTGAGCTTCCTGGCCGGCGATTTTGGGTTCAAAATGGACCGCACGCGTGGCGATGCACCGCCCTTGAGAGGGCTGCTGAAGACTGAAGCAGAGATGCCATCCTTACTGCTGGGTAACGCCGAAGTAGAAGAGGATTTGGTGATGATGAATGTTGGTGGCTTGAAGAAGTCCTTGCTAGCCCCATCCGAGGTGCTGCCCTTTGACCGTTTGGAGAAGAGGAGCGCCGGGTCGACATTCTCGAAATCATCGACGTTGAGAAAGTCGGCGGCCTTGCGCTTTCCAGGAGATGATAATGGGATGGCTGTTGATTCGTTAGCACTGTTTCACTATCCCGTACTACGGTGGCAGCATAGTACAACGAGACCAGCCCAGTCGCAGAGCTCACTGAACACACAAGCCAAAGGACGAGGCTCAGTGACAAAGAAGGCAGGCAGCTCTTGCGAAAAACTTACAGGCTTGCTGGTTTCTCGCGCTTGTCAGGCTCTGAAGTCGTGTCCCGTCAAGGGGCGCGAACGGCTGGCGGGTGACAGCTGCCATTGTGGCAGAGAAAAGAGCCGGGGATCGCCGACCGACAAACAAACAAACACGGTCGGGCACGTCAGACGAGCTTGGAGCTGGAGCCTGTTACTAGGCCGATGCACGATCCGATGGGGATCTTGAAGTTACGGATCCCAGCCCAATGAATATCGAATAGGGTTTGGGGGTCGGAGCGTCAAGCTGCAGATTGCCTGATGTGCTTGACAGGTCGAAGATTGAGGGGTGGAATTGTGCTCCTCGCCGGCGGTGTGGAGCCAATGAGAGGGGATCAACTTCTGGCCGGTGAAAAGCGACTCGGCCGCGATTGTGGAGCCGCAACTAGGAGCTCTCTTTCCAATATCTTCCAACCAAGATAAAAATGGTTGAATTCGATCGGGTTGGAATGGAATCCAAAACTAGGATTGAAAAAGAGGAGAAGAGGGGGGAAAGCCACGGGTAGAGAGAGAGGTGGAAAGGTGTGGGCGGGTATTGTCTTATTACACCAAGTTGCTGGCGTGCGGCTTGCCGTGTGGTACTTGGGAAGGGGTGGTGGTGCTGGATCGGCGCGAGTTGACTGGAGAGGTCTCAAGAGGGGGGGTGGCCGAAGTCGACGAGGCCAGGTACGGTTAATGCTTCATGCGATGTGCTGCGCCAGCAGCCGGGACTAGTCGTACGGTAGTATTCGGAGATTGGGACTGGTACAAGGTGACAGGCAGCGGTAGTAGTAATGGTGTGCGACCAGTGGTCTTCGTCCTGTCTCGCAGGTGTTGAGACGGCGGCTGTCGAGGTCAAGAGCCTGATAGGGCGAGAGGATTATTCCTGCTTCTGGTGCGCTATTAGACCGGCATACTCCTTGTCATGCCCAGGGCCGAGAAGCTGGATTCAGAGGCACACCACAATTGATTCTCTGGGAACGTGGCCCAGGGAATTCAATTGGCGATAAGGTTGGGTAGGGTAGGTTGGTTGGCTGGGTGGGAGAGGTGAGTTGAGGTGGGTGCGGTGAGCGCGAAGGAGGGAAGAGATGGAAGTGAAGGCTTGATTGGGTCGAAGGGGGGGTGTGATCGGGGGGAGGGATCAATGTTGCGCGACAAGGAGGAGGAAGCTTGGGGCAGCAGGTTGGAAGGAAGCTGGCAGCTTGGGTGGGGTACGAGAGGATCTGCCCTGCTGCTGCACTCCAGCATCCAGCGCCCAGCACGCAGCACGCAGCAGCTGGGGGCTGCACACTTACCGAATAAGCAGGCGATGGGCCAGTTACAGTGCTGCAACTGATGGGCCGAGATGGATCTCGTGGAGTTCTGGAGTTCGTGGAGTTCCCGGGACCTGACCTGGTTTGTGCCGGGGTGGGAGATTGACAAAACTGGGAGAAGGGAAGGCAATCCTGGCCGAGTGACGCGAACTTTCGTGATTGAACCGATCGCGTAAAGTGGAAAATGGCCAGCTGGAGGGATTCAAGGAGAAGTGCGTGACGAAACGCCTTAACGGGCAGAATGAGGCGCAGATTGGTCTGTTTTGGGGTGGAACAAATGCAGGAGACAATCAGACAATGCAGGGAGGACGCCCAGGCGGCTGATTGACTGATTGATTGATTGAACGGCTGACAAGTTGGCGTCTAGGAAGTGAGGGAGAGGCGCGGGAAAGGATCGATGAGGAGGGGCAGCTCAATAGAGAATGAACGGATGGATGAATGGACGTGGATGGATGATCGCCGCTCAGCCCGTTGATATCCGGACCAGCAACCCCAAGCCTCGTATGAGAAGAGTCGCAGATTGTCTAGAAGCTGTCTAGTTTGCTTCTCTAGAACATGCAGTTCTGACGACGCCAACACAAGATCAGAAAGAGAGAGAGAGAGATGTCTAGAAGGGGGAACAGATCAGACTGGGAATGGCAGTCACCTCCTCGTCGAGTTGTACTGTCTGACCGGGTGGGAACAAGATGCAGAAGCCAGCTGCAGGGGCAGAAAGCCATCTGCTACATACCTGTGGTAGACTACTGCTGCTGCTGCTGCGTAGGTGCTGCGCATATCGTGCTGTGTGCTGTACACGTCTGCAGCTGCGAAAGGTGGGGATTGGTCATGTTTCAAGTGAGACGTATGAATGAGCAGCCAATCATCACGTCTGAGCTCAGCCACGGGAGGGGGCAAGTCGCGAGGTACCGCGTCGAGGACCTGACAAGTTCGCGCTACCGTGCCTTTTCTTCTTCTTCTCCTTCCAAGCTTCCTTCCGAACGAGTGGGCCCACTAGTCTGCTAACCCAGCAAAACCGGGAGGGAGGGGGTCAAAGAGCTTGCATACTGTCATGGGTGCTTCTTCCTCCTCGGATCCGATGCAATGGCAATCTTAGATGGCTTTATTCCTTTTTGCCTTCGGCTTCCACTCCCCCTACCTATCCACAATCTGCACTGCTAACAGTAGACTGGCACTTGGTGGAGTCACAAGTCCCGTGGCGGGATGCGACTCCAACAAGCTGCCGACAATTCTACCAATTTTGGACCTATCCAGCCTACAAGTACCCAGAAGCATGGTACGCCGTCTGCGCATATTGGTTCAACAGGCCGACTCATTTAGCTTTTCAACGTCCGGTCCTCAGACCTGGCCGAGTCAGACCAATCGTCCTGGGCCGCCCACTCCTGACGCGCTGTCAGGCCGTCAAATCTGGCCTGGCCTCCCCTGCGGGCCACCTTCGACACGCTTCTGGACGACCAATGCGCACTGTTTCTCTCTGTGTCCCAGCCTCCCATTATTTCGGGACGCAGCATGACGCAATCTATAAGACAGGATGTGCAGTAACGACGGTTAACTCACGCATTATTATGCCAACTGGCCCTATCGATGAGGTCGATGGCTTGCCCGGCGATAATGAACGTCGCCACTGAAAAGCTGAACGGGTGATGCAAGTGCGTCCCATGGCCATGTACTGGGAATGAGGGTTGAAACACACGAATAGACTGTCGCCACTTGATAGGTGATATCGGACCGGTCGATGGTGCTGTTGCAGAAGTGGCCATCTAGCGATTGCCAGCCTGGCTAGTGCTGGTGCTTGGATTCTAGGTAGACGTTGCCATCCCTCGACCCGTTCGATTTGGACTCCTCGGCATCCGGCCTGAGCTGCTCATCACTGGTACGCGCCGCTCAGTCCTCGCCTTTTCTGAATGCCCACTCGCAGTGCGATCATGTGGAAGCATTTGCTGACCCAATGGCTGCGTCCGAGTACCCAGCCCCGTGGCGGATTCTGAGGCGGAATAACAGCGGCTTCAACGAAAGTCAGACCTCTTGTAGTGCCGCCCAGGTCACCTTACTTGGTCTTCAATTCAGTCCATATCTATGGTGTCGCCTGCCCCGCCGCATCAATGCAAATACATCCACTCTCACAACACTAGGGGCCACTCCTTGTTGTACTCTTGCGTCCATCGGCCAGCACGTCGCGCTTCTAAAAAAAAAAAATTTATCTACTTGAGGTAGAGATCTCGAAGCGATATTATTGGCCTAACTTAGGTAGGCTTGAAAACGATGTGTCTATATGTTACATTTTATTCTATATGCTTAAATCAGTGCTTCCGGCGTCTCAAGCGGCTTCCGAGCTACCATCAAGAACATTGGCGTGAATAACCTCTCCTTGCCTCCCAGCACCAAGGCCTCTGCCGCCTTGGATAAGCTATCGCCCGTTTTCTTCGTCCCAGGTGGCGCTAGCCTCAATGTCTCGAGGGCGGCCATGAAGTTATGCGCAGCCCAACGGCCCCACCGTGTCATCCTGATGGTCCCAACCAGATCACCAACGGTGTTCGCATACCTCCAGCCGGCGCCGTCGAGAGGCCAGTACCATGGTGCCGGATCCGACCCCTCTGCGCCCTCTTGGAAACGTTCAGCAAGGTCCTCCGCCTCGACGAGCTCGAATCCCGCGGCTTTGATCGCACGCAGTGCCTCCTCGGCCTTGACCATATTAGCAATCCCGTCGCCCTGCTCGATATCGAGGCGAATCTGGCCGTGGTGAACATTATCGTTGTCATATGCGTCTGTCATAACCCACTCGTACACCCCGAACACACCACCCGGCTTCAGCACCTTGAAAATCTGGCTGTACACACCCTCGAGGCTGGGCGCATGCACCGTCGCCTCGATGGCATACACCGCGTCGAAGGTGCCCTCGTCGAACGGCAGGTCCATGAAGTCCCCTTGGATGAAGCGACAATTGCCCGCCAGGCCATCTTGCTCTGCGTAGCGCGCCGCACGCTGCACCTGGTACTCGTTGATGGTAATACCCGTGACGTACGCGCCCGTGAACTTTGCAATCTCCCGCGCTGGGCCGCCCACGCCGCATCCCACGTCCAACACCTTCTGCCCCTTGCGGATGCCGATGCTGTGTGCGAGGTAGTGCTCGTGCCGTGCGATGGCGGCGTTGAAGGCCTCGCGCGCGCCGAACCGGCAGAAGTGGAAGGACTGGCACCACCCGTACTCGTAGAAGTCCGTGGCGAGGTTGTAGTACTGCCGGGTCAGGCTGGCGTAGTCTTTTGTGCGTGCCTGTGATAAGAATCTTAGTGCCTGCGCGTAGTGCTGGGGGGAGACTTGCCAGCGGGACTGGGACTCACTGCTCTGTCGGCCTCTGTCTCGCTCTTTGCCTCCTTGTTGTCCCAGTGTTGGAAGTACTCGCTCACTGCCGCCTGCTGCGCTTCCTTGTCCTTTTTCAGCATGGCTGAGAAGCCCTCGTGTGTGGTGGCTGTCTTCTTGTGCATAATGTTTTCGAAGGTCATCTCCCTCGCAAGGGCAACCTCTTGTCCGGACACCATTTTGTTGACGATTAAAGCGGGTGGGGTTTCCTATATTATCTGAAGTATTATGAGAATTCAAAAATGAGAATGATTATTTGTTTGTCTGTGCTGTCAGACAGATACCAATATGTCGAAGAGTTTCGATTTATTGCGCTTGAGGATTTTGATTTCCAACATATCACAGCCAGCTCATGGCCGTATTTAAGAATCGGTGCGTTGATATCGTGAATCCGAATACTGAGCGCTTCGTGTAAGTCGACGCGAATACGCTTACTAGCCGGATTGCGACGCGAATACGAATGCGCGCGGTTAGGAGGCTAATTGCACTGAATCCTTTGGGAGCCGTCCTAGAGCCATCTCAACATAGACAAGTGAATATTCATGGCTTTTTTAATGAATTGTGGGATTTGTTAGGTGCCGTAAAAAACATCACCCTCGCAAAATTGGCTGCAGCTTGGTAGCTTGTGACGAACACGGAGACAGAAAAAGGGGATGCGCAATTGTCAAGGAAGACCGGCCGTTGACCGTTGGAGCTGACTTCAAGAATGCGTCAAGGCTAACGCAGATTGAATGAATCATTGTCCCTGGTAACAAAGTTCAACCTCATAGCATACAATTTGGCTCAGTGTCTCATGATATAGGTCGGCGCTGAGATGCTATGTGTGCAATAATACAATTTTGATCAGAAATTCATCCAGGAATACATCTAAGTTTATCTGCAGCTTCTCGGAACATGCGACCCATCCACAGGGACCTTGATACTCATGCCAAATGATCAACAAGGAGTCTATCTATTTCCGTTCTAGCCACCAACAGCAATAGCCTTCCCGAAGAGTTTCTCCCGCTTCATACAAACCGCAGCAATCAGCATCACGCACCCAGCGACAGGCACTAGCACGAAGGCCATCTGCATCGCCTCCGTGACAGCCACCAGCGCTTTCTCCCGCAGCTCCCCCTCCAGTTCTTTGAACAGGTCGCTCTGTGCACCTGCCACCGCGCCTCGGATCTCTTGCTGGGTGAAGCCGTTCCCAGCCAAGGCCCGAGACAGGTTCTTGATTGCCGTCGACTGGTATATCTGGCCCGAGATGGCGAGCGCGATCACCTGCCCTCCAATCTGCGACACATTCTGCATGCTGAGTGCGGCGCCTGCATCTTCGGGCTTCGTGGTCAGCGTGGCGACCGTGTAGCCGGTCACCATGGACAGGCCGCTGCCGACGGCGACGAGCACCGACAAGCCGTAGATAGTCCCGGTCCCTGACTTTGGGTCAAGATAGACCATGAGTGGGCCGCCACCGGCTACCAGAAAGACACCGGCTATCACGTAGAGTGCCATGTAGACCTTTATGAAATGAAGAAATGACCCCGAAACGAGGTTCACCGTAACAGCGATCACAACAAATGGCAGGAGACGCACGGCCGCCATGAGGGCTTCGTCGTTGTTGACAAATTGGAAGTAGATGGGGAGGTAATACACGACGACAAACAGGGTCGTGGTACCGGCTGCTGTCACCACGTACAGGAGGACTTGCGTCTTGTCGCGTAGTAGATGGCCCGGGAAGGCTCGCCGGGCTGGAGTCGTGAAGACTGCGAAGTACTGTTGCAGAACGTATGTGGCCAGCAGTACACCAAACACAACGAACATGGCGATGGTGCGTCCGTCGTTCCATGGCCACTGGCCACCGGCCATTGTGAAAGCTAAGAGGAAGCTGACCCAAACTCCGGCACCGAGGAGCAAGCCAACAAAATCGATAGGAGCCAGCCGGGCTCGGATGCTAACGCCTTGAACGGGATTGATGGATGGGAGGTAGAACAGGAAGGCTGGGGCCGAGACAGCACCTATGACCAAATTGATGTAAAATGCCCAGCGCCAGGTCGCCGCCGAGTCGGAAAATGCACCGCCAATAAGGGGTCCCAGGACAGCTCCAAGGCCCCAAAAGGCCCCTATGAGGGACATGTAAAAACCGCGTTCCTTCTCCTCGGTCATCACTACATAGTACTGCAGTGAGCCGAGGTAGATACCGCTGCCTCCAGCGCCGGCAATGACACGACCGACTATCAGGGCGTTCACTAAGACACTGTCAGTAGGGTACTCTGTGATGAGAGACAGAAATAATGTAACAATGTGTGGCCGCACGAGCACCTGTGGTAGAAACTTTTGTGAAGCTCGTTGTGCGTTTTCCATCCAGGGTACCGTAGAAAAAGAACTAGCACCATTGACAAGGACAAAACTTACTATTGGGCGCGGCACCGCAAAGAGCAGAGCCAGCCTCAAAAAGCATCACAGTTACAATGAAGACCCATTTAATGTTGAAGGAGTTGTAAAGAGTGCCCAGCAAGAGAATGACACAAACAGAACCCAACGGGAAGCCTGCTCCAATCCAGGCCAGCTGGTCGACCTGACCGAAGTCCTCTGTCACAGGGCCTTGGACATCTGCTGCGATCGTTGTATCGAGGCCGTACAGGAAGCATGTGACGTACAGCGAGATGCAGATGATGAGCCAGCGGAAGCCGCGAATTGTTCTTTTCTTTTCCTCTGGCTCAGATTCCGTGCTGGATTCTCCATGAGGTAGCTCCTGCCGCCCTTCGGACTTTTCAGAATCAAGCCCCTCAATGTTGGCCTCCGGACCTGGATCATCATTGGGATTTATTCCGAACATGTCGTTGACCAGTATCGAATGTGTGGTGAGATAAAATGAACTATTTCCAAGAACACGTTTGCAATCCTCACCGAAAGAATTACATGTGGCACGATAAGTTTCGCCTGGAATGCATGCCTTTCGTCTAGCCGAATTGTTTGCCTCGATGATATTTGTGATTAAGATGACTCCCTATGAATGTTTCACAGCCAGGGGGAAACTATTTTCCCTTGATTATCAACTTTCATCTGGGCAGAGAAATGTAACGTGTCGCACGGTCCCCAACGCCCGTGTTCGAAAGTACTTTAAGTCAGGCTTAGATGTTACATTGCTTCTTCACGATTTGTTCCACAATTTCCGGCCTTTGAGACGATTGTTGATTCGCATGCAGAATTCCAAAGGACGTTTTCTCATCGCCCATTCCACCCGGCATCAAGCAGGCTATTTCGCTGGCCATAATATTCCAGACCTTGAAAAGGTTAGATCGATAGATACCGTGGATACCTCGTTGGGAGTGGCTCGAAGAGAAAGGAGTTGTTGTCAGGGATGACTTGCAGGATTACCAATCGGCAGATTATCAATCACCAAATTACCAAGCAACGGCTTACCTAGAGAGGAAATCCTGAGGGTTATCGTCAGCTGCCCTCCATGGAATGAACGATGCTCAGTGAGGGCACTTCAAACTTTTCAGATGGGTCTGTCACCAATCGGCTGCCGTACTAGAGTAAAAGGCTAGCTGGTGTGATACTATCGCATCATTTATACCCATCATCCCCTTTAGCCCGCCATAGGGACGACGGAACATCCAGGTAAAGTTGCAATTAATTCTGGTCTATTATCATTTAAGCTTAAAAATTTCCGAAAGTATAAATTGGGCTGATAGTGCATCGGATGGAGCGCTGGCCGCATGTACATGAAGATAGGAGTTTAGTAGCTTCGGCCCCTGAATTCTATCAGACCGAGTTTTAGGGAAATATATGCGAATTCTGTCATGCGTCGAGCAGGATTGTGATTAATAAATGGTCATCTATTCGAGTAGCTAGAGAGCACACTCAACAAGATCTTTCAAGTATTTACAGCTCTGTTTCTCCCTATCATTTCTCATTGTACATGGGAAGCGATAATTACCCTCTCCGCTCTTTCTCCTCCTTTCTAGCCTTTGCTTTTGCCCGGGCTAAACTGATACTCTTCCTATTCCGTGAGGGAATCTCGTACTTCGTTTCCCTATCCAGCTGATGCCGCTCCCAAAAGTCATGCATTGTCATCTCGCGCTTCATCCTGTTCTTTTGCCTCTTTACTTCAAGTGCTTCCCGTTTGCGATGCATCTTGAGCCTACCAATTCTTGTGCGTGGTCTGTTCTCGTTCTTTTTCCAGAAAGCTGCCATTTGCTTCTTCCACCACCGCCTGGCCCGGTTCCTGGTCCTTCGAATTCTCTTGCTCAATGACTTGAAAGCTTTCCTTACAGACGTGCTCCAGGCCACGAACAGTGCCATTATGATTAAAAGTGCCGAGGCTGGCAGTGCGATTGACCCGATCGTGCGGAGGCGAATATTATTACCCCCGCCCCATTCGTGCGTGTTCATGCCGAAGAGACTGGTGAAGAATGAGAGGGGAAGGAATATTACAGTGAAGACCGTGAAGATCATCACGGAGCGGTTCTGGGCGCTGGCGAGGTCGGCCTGCTGCCGGGACAGGCGCACTTCGTCTATTTGGGCCTGGCGCTGAACCGTCTCGAGCAGCTTGTCGAAGTCGTGTCGGGTTGCCTGTACGCGCAGAATCATATCTTTTGCCTGAGCACGGTAAGACTTGAGCTTGTTTAGGGCCTCCTGTAGGTACACCCTCCCGTTATTGGTGAGAGGGGTTCCAAACAAGGGGAAAGTGCCTGTGCTGTTGTTCTCCGGGGGACTGTTGACAGGATTGCCCCATACAGGGGGCGGAGGTGGGCTGGTAGGCGGAGAACTGACGGTGCTGCTACCGCTGTAGATGGCAAGCATCTGGTTGATTTGATCCTCCTGCTCCCCAAATAAATGGTTGAGGGTAGACAGCTCATCTTCGATATCTCGGAGCTCTAGAAGGGCCGAGGTGTTGTCGCGGTTCTCCTTTTCCGCCTTTTCGTCTTCTCTCTTATGTCGTGCCCGGATGGAAGACGAGTTGAGCTTCAGATCGTCTTCCTCACCGTATCTGTTCCTGAAACCTGTAGTGCGGAAGCGCTTCAACGACGATGTCATTTTCTCCGTCAGAACACTAATCGCTTCTTCGAAAATTCTAAATATTTCTAGATCTGGGTGTGACGACCGATCCATCAGGGCTGAAACTGCGTAAAGGACTGTCAGGGCCGCCAGATCGAGAGCATTTTCGCATGGGCGGGGGAGTTCGTCGTTGATTTCGTTGAAAACGCTGTCGCGGAGGTCCGCTTGCTGATGCAATGGACCCTCCATTGGGCTGCCTTCCCTGGACGGATAGAAAGTGACCAAGGTTTCTTACAACATATGTCAGTCAGGGGTTGAAATTTTAGGAAAACAGGAGTTGAAGGACTTACTGGTATCCGCTGCCCATAACCATAACTGATCCACCATCAAAACGTTACCATCCAGGACATCATCTTCTGGTTTGGCATCTAGCTCGTCCTCATTGCTTTCACTTTCTGAATCTAAATGCTCCTGGTCATCATCATCGTCATCTCCAAAGCCAGCAGCGTCGCCTCGGTCGTACTGTGTGAGCACCCTTTCATCGCCTCTCAGCACGGGGCCAAGCGACGCCACAGCTGGTTTTGCATTAAGAATTACCCTCTCCTTGGTCATTTTGTACAACATCTGATCATCGTCCCTAGCTCGTGTGTCGTGGAGAGAAGGATAGCGGTACTGGTCAAGGGTCCGTCGACAATTAAAGGGCGGGTCATACCCCAAATATCCCCAGATGACCCGAGATTCAAGCGATGTATCCTTTGCGACCTCCGGAGGGACTGGTCTGGTGCGGCCTTGGGCCGCTCGTCTTTTGATTATGTCACGCCGTTTTACCAACATCTTGTATGAGTCGAAATGCAAGAAGGGAAAGTAAAGATAGAGACAGCCCTGACGAGGCGATGAACTGTCGTTACGTTGAAGGCCTCGGCCACTGGCAGCTGTTTGCCCAAAGAGCATCGATGGCTGTTTTGCCTTGAGAGACACATACCCACAAGCTGGCTTCAAGAAGCAAGCGTGGTGCTGAGCATGACGACCCCTCTCATGCCTCGAAGTCCAATTCTCTGAAGAGAATAGTTCAGAATAATCCTGTCTGTCCTTTAAAGATATTGTATCGAAGACTTTCTTCACCCACACAGGGTTGTTGAATGGCGTGTGGATCCAGACAAATTTGCGCGTCTTGCTGCTAGGTTTTGAAACGGCTGAGACTACTCTCATGTCCTGGATGAATGTGGTTTCGCTTCCCCTACGTTCTCTCCCTGTAGGGCTCGTTGGTCTCAAATATTGGCGTACTGTTCGCTGGCTTGAGCCGCGACGTATAGGTTGAGGCCTTACGTACGCTGCGCCAAATGACATCTGAGATACGAGAGTCTCGCTCCCAGTTGTGGATCGGCTCATAGATGAAATTTCGTCTTCATGTCGAGGTAAAGTGAGTCCGGGGCCAGTGATTCCTGTGTCTTGGAGAAGGGAGCCATTACGAACAGAACCTGGCCCTGGAGATGACTGGGAGTCTGGGGGACCATCGCCACCATTTGCTGCCCTGGATGCCGTTGGTTCTGGAATGAGGGAATTTCGTTTCGGCGACCCGGTAGATTTTGGGTCTGCTGGTGTACTCGAGCTTCCAGAGGATACAACTGTCACTGATGGGCGTCGTGTCTTTTTCCGGGCCTCTTCCCCACCGGTAAGAGCTTTGGCAGGCGAGAGCAGAGATTGAGCTCTGCCTTTTTGGCCGACGAACTGTGTGTCCTGAGGGTCATGTTGAGACTCTGACCGGATATCATTAAGCCTTTTCTCGAGTAGCCCGTCTGGGCCTTCCTCCCAAAATGCCTCCAATGAGTGGTCCTTGGTTGAAAAAAGGCGAACGCTGGTGTCACCAGGGGTCTCATTTGCCAAGCCAGTTTCATAGAAGCCGTGAACCTCGATCATGACCCTTTGCTCCAGCCTCAAAGGAACATGGGTGGTGTTTTGGTTAAGCGACTCTGCCTTTTGAATTGCAATGCCAAGGTCCAACAAGTACAGTCTCAGGGTCTGTGCATTTTTCATCCCAAATGATGCGCAGTTCGCATGGCTGCTTTGCAATGCATACACCTTTTCATGCCTGACTCCAAGGATGGCTGACCGCATGGATGTGATAGGGGCTTTGAACGGTATATCTGTTAGCCCAGTAATTCCAATTCTTGAAAGCTCAGAGTCCTCTGTTTCATGGAAACTCCAAACTTGGAACTCGCTTGACAGCTGCTTGAAGTCGTCGTCTATTTTGAGAAGTGGTGGGTGATCGGGTGTCAACTCGCCCCTTAGCTTGGTTGTCAACGGCCGAGGGAGGTGGAGTAGCTGCTGAATGCTCATGCCGAAGTCGCCAATAGACAGGTAGCTGGATCCTCGGTGGGGAGTAGCGAAGAAAGTTACGCCGTAACAGTCTTCGAGGATGGGACGATATCTGGCACTGCGGCTGGCTTGCGTCAACGCCAACTTGACTACTAGTCCGCCGATGCTATGGCAGATGAAGAAAAAAGGCCTTCTTGCGATTTTTCCTGCTGTTTCTGTACATAGTGTGTGAAGCAGATCGTCCGCCATAGTTTTTAAACTCCTGCTTTCCGTCAAGTCTCCATGATCGTAGGTCAAGACTCTGGCTGTGTTGGCCTCATTTCTTATTCCACTTCGTGCCCATGATGCTGTAGATTTGGTGTCTTTATTCAGGCCGGGCGACAAAGGCGTAATGGCTGTGAGTTTTGTTATTGCCTTTTGCTCGTTCCACTTCGCCACCTTGCTATGATGAAGAGTTGGTAATCTCCTGAAGAAATCCCTCGCCAGAGGCTCGCGCATCCACGTCTCATGAGGATCAGCCCCAGGACACGGAACCAAGACCACACTTTCAATCAAGTCAGTCAAGTACATTGCCAACAGAAGAATCGAACTTACTCCACATTTGTCTCATTATGGGACTTTCCGCCAATTGCACCATCTCTGGCTACAAACCGAGGTTTTCTGAACTGCCCATCTTGCGTCGCGCCGGGGGCAAGCAGACCATCTGTTGTTGGCGTACTCGAGCCCTCATGGCTACGCGGACCGGACCCTGGGTTGAGCTGAAAGGACGCGGAGCGGGACAAGTCGGGGCTATCGCTTTGCAAATTGATCTGCGGGATACTGCTCAGCTCCACCACCACTTGCCCCGGGTCGCCTGCTACCGGCCTATGGTCGACATCGGCTGTCGCCATTTCGAGAAGAATGGAGCCGGAGCGCAAGGCGATGTTTGAACATTGCAAGCTTCATGGCTCTGTATTATCAAAAAGCTTGAATTTTTCTTGGACTGAAATAGAAACATGAGTACCGCACCTGGCGAGGCTCTGCTCAGGATGGGTGGCGTCATGTGGTATCTAATATCCGTCTTTACATATTTGCGCCGGTGCACGCTAATGTATGCAGCTGGCCGCCATGCACGCACACTCGGTTTCGTGCATGTAACCTTTCGGCTCAAGTCTCAGCCTCTGGCAATGGATAACAGAAAATTGCCGCCCCGCTGGCGAAGGATTCGTCAGTGGCTGCCAGAATCGGGACTGGTAAGCAGCCCTGGCAGTCTAGAACCGGTCTTACTTTCCCCTCGCGATGCCATGCCCGAGCGAGCTGGACTGTGTGGGTGCATGGGTCGCAACCTGTATCGTAAAAGTCGTCGACTTCTGGATCGGAGAAATTTTCAGCTTCCATATTGGAATAGCTGTGGGTTTGGCCCCCTTTCCTACTGACACGGTACTGTGCCGCACGCGTGCATAAGCTGAATGCCTGGATGGATGACACAAACGATCGACACGGAACTGGACTTGCCACTACGTTGCTCACTAGGTAAGCAGGCACGAAAGACGCACGGTCGAAAGAGGATGGAACGTTGTTATACCAATTTGAGGATCATTGAAGTTGTGCGCGATTGAGTCTTGGAGGTCGCCGAAGATAGGATCCATTCCTCACAATGAGCAGACTTGACTAGCCAATCGTACTCTGCCTAAATGATCCCTGCTAATCTCATGTCGAGATGTGCTTTAGCTTAGGAGAGGGAGCTACGGCCATGTCAGCCGTTGTGAAAGCCATTCGTAGAATCATTGAAAGCATGCTTTGTATGATTTGATACACGATGAAATTATTCTTGAAACAAAGTACATGAACAAACAAATCATACTGGAGGCAGAGCGTCATAGAATCGTGGGTGCCTTCAAATTTTGCCCAGCTCCTTCCATAGGCAGAATGTGAAGTAATCTGTCCACGATATACATCATCCCATCCTCCAAGCATCAGCGCAATGGGACTCCGTTACAGCTTGTACAGATCCCGGAAGCTCTTTCAGTGCCCACGGCGCATTCCACAAGTGATTATTATGGGTGACGGCACTGTCCATGTCACACAATGATAGTATGCGATCTCTGCGGATAGTAGATTCGTACCGCAGCACCATCGTGCTACCCACAACTCTGCACCGCCGTGGCCCTCCTCACCATGGTCCTAGATGGAGCCAAAGGTCTGGCGCATCATTTCGATAATCACCCGGCTAACCTCAGCCCGCTTCACGACAGGTAGCTCAGAGATTCGGTTGGCTATCCCCCAGATTTCAGGCTCCAGGCCTGTCAATGAAAGCAGATAGTTGACTTGGTCGGGAATGGCTGCCCGTTCATTTGGAGACAGTCCTCTGGTACGGTCGTACAAGTTTGCAGCCATGCGATGGCACTGAATGATTGTATCCTGTACAGTCTGTCCACCCGCCAGTGCTCCCTGTGCATGGTCCATGGTTGACTGCTGCTGCGAAATAGCACCATCTTGAGCACGATGAATGGGCGAAGGTCCTTGAGCGGCATTGCTGCCTGATTGATCCCGCGAGAACGCCTCGCCCTGGACACGCTCTGCGGGCACGTCCTTAGCAGACGGGGCTTGTGTATCGCGATCTCGCCTCTGCTGAGACATTGATACCAGTTGAGGTTGTTTCGAGGGCCTTGCAGCCACAGGCATTCTGGTGGAAGGCTCAAATGAACTTAGTACGTGACGAGTATCGTCAACAGACTCAGCGTGCTGGCGAGAGAATGATCTCAGAGTCTCGTATTCGGCCATCGCGGGCATCAATTGAGGAGGTGCCAAGTCCTGTTCGGGGGCAGTTCCAGAGCTTTCGCGGCATTTGCGACCGCATCTCGCGTAGTAACAGGAAGGACAGGCACCTCTGAGTACGTCTTGAGATTCATCAGGCATCGTCGGCGCCTGCACGCAGATCCTCCAAAGACCCTTTCCATCAGCACATTGTGGACATGGAGTTCTGCGACAGTATATGTCAGTACAGTTGTGACATATCATGCTTTTTCAATGCTTACCGCTCGCTCCCGTGAGCCTGAGCTAAAGCGGCCTTGAGACTGATGATTTGCGCTCCTTCATCCTTAGGAAGCCTAAATTGTCTGGTTTTGGAGGATCCTTCATTGGTGTTGATCGCAAGAGCCTGTCTCCTAGCACTCAGACCAGCGAGGAAGGTAATGACTTTGTTGTTGGGGCAGCTCGTGAACACAGTAGAAACACAGTCATAGGCGCCGTTTATAGCATCCCATGCCGTTTCTGACACCATGCTCTCTGCCTGCTGATCATCCCCTGAGCTTTCACTCGTAGCATGCCTCGGCGAGCTTTGAATCGAAGAGCTTGGCAAGTCCTCGGAAATAGTTCGGCGCCGTTTTGAAGCCCGCGTTCCCATCTGCGGCTCAGCAGGTGCTTCGGCGTCAGAAGATAAAGAGTTTTGAGAGATGACAACACGACCTTGTCCATTTTCCTCCCTGGTGCCCACAATCGAAAGCGTTCCGTCACCATTGTCATTGAATAGACATTCACAATGGACTTTCTAAAATAACAATTAGCATTGATTACACCGTCATAGGAAGAGAGGGAGTATTGCCTGACATTGAAGTGTACTTTGAGACTGGTTAGCCAATCGAATAACCTTTTTTTACACTCCCTTACTGGACAAGGGTAGCGATCTTTGCCTTGATGCTGTACTTTTGTCCACTTATCTGGGATGACAATGCCAGATGTAGGTTCTCCGCCTATTTTTCATAAGTCAACCTTTAATATGGATAAAGCTTGTAGGAGTGATGTTTAAGACTTGATGGAGCGAATGGATAAGGGCAACTTGGAAAAATAGGACCATGAAGAGTGGGCAGCTTACCTTCGAATTGCATGTAGTCCCTGCCTGATGGCGTATGTGTGATCGCGCGAGGATCTGCAACTCTGCCACGTACAAGTCTGGGGACGTAATCCTCGTCATCTGATTCGTTGTGGTCGTACTCGAGCTGTTGCTCTTTGTGGCTAAGTTCGATCGAGTGCTTAGCAGGTTTGCGATAGGCTGTACTGTTCTCATGCCCATCGCTGCGCTGGATCTGGCTGTTGAATTGGTCATCGTGGGCCTCCTAAGCTGTTCGATGAGGGCTTCTGGGTTCAGATGCAACTCTCAGACGCGCAGAATGATGAGCACTCGGATGGGGTTGGTAGAATGTGAACGTGTCGAATCTGCCAGGGCGGCCTGGCAGTCCCTGATGAGCTTCATCATGGGATGTATCAGGAAGAAATGGCTGCCATTGCCGCTGGGACAAGGCCTGGGCGTTTCTGTGTCCAGAAGGAGGAGAAAGACGGGGTGGCAGAGCTGCGATGTGCTGCAAGGGCTCAGAGTCTGCGCCAGAGCGCTTCCTCTTGGCAATCGGCTTGGGAGATCGTGGGCGGAACATTTTCGAGAGGGGAAACGCGTGACTTTTATGTTTGTAAAGTGATCAAAAAGGCCTAAACAAGCGGGTGGGACACACGAAAACGTGTTGTTGAAAATGCTGGGTGGTTATTCGAGTCTGGGCGTGCAGGTGAACTTGCAAGGGAAAGAGAAAGTTCGACCCGGTGGAAAGAAGCAGGTACTGATCACGTTTGTTGAAAAGTGCAACTGGTCGCGACAAACTTTCATGTAAACAGTGGGGGTTGTATGTAAGTGGGAGGGGGATGGGATGAAATGGTTGATGGAAGGGATGCTTGAATGCCAGGTGGTGCCAACTGGAGGAAGAGGTTGAGATAGTTGCGGCTGATGGCACATTGACTTAAGTCAGGCGGGATCAGCCTTGGGGTTTTTTTTTCTTCTTATCATCTTACCTGTTTTCTGCCTTGATGGGTACGTTACGGGGAACATTGAATTGATACTGGATTCTGAAACTTCTACTTAGTTACCAAAAAGGCTGATTGCTGCTTGAAGCATGTCGACCTATTTCAGAGTGCGAATAAGAAGCAACAGGGGCAATAACCAAACAACCCCAGACGGCGCTAAAATGAGAAGTGTGAGAAGCAAAAGAGACCATCCTGAATATGCAAAAGTGCATAAATTCAACTTTCAGGACGAGAAGCTGTTCAGGCCGCACTAAGAGGGTTCGAACAGAGCCTCTTCATGTGGCTATTTAACCAGATCATGGGAAATGGGCTAGGTAACATGGCGACTGACACTTAAGTTGGAGCATATGAGCAAACAAGATGATATCAATGTACCCTCAATGTCCTAGAAATGGGAGAGTTGATCGGCCTATTATTCTTTATACGAATCAGATGGCACTGGAAATGAAAGAGACGATTAGGAATGTATGCCAAAAAAATTTCTAATTTTTTTCTTTTTGGAAAACATTCGTCTTGGGCATTGTATGCTGCGTGATTAATCAGATTTAAGCAGAACAGTCAAAACATAAGCCACTTGTAGTGGACGTTATCCATGCGATTGGTGTGCTGAGATTGCCAGGAGCAGCTTGCCTCACATGAGCAGGGGTATGTGGACTCAAACTTTTCAGAACATAACTAAATGGTGTCGTGCTCAGTTGCCGAGCCAAGTCGAGATTGCACGGGTATGCCTCTGAAGCTACTCGGTATTTACTTGGAGTGATGACTACGAACATTGTATAGACACGAACACGACAGGCCGTTCTTCCAGATCACACAGTTCTTTCCATTGAGGCTGTAAATGCAATTCTCGGTAGGAGCAATCCTCCCATACAGCTAGAGCACTAGACACATCAATAGACCCGTACACCTCTATGTTGAGAAAAACTGTCAGTCATCCGTCCTTGTCCACCACACCTGAATCCTCGCCTCCTTATGCAAAACATTCATGAGAATGCATTCCTCCTCGATGAGAATGACACCGCCCTGCCCGATCCCCGCCTCCACGTCTCCTACCTTCATCTTCAGTACACCCTTGATTACAGAACACGCACAGTTCCAGTTGTCCTCCGGTCTGATACTCAGCTGATCGAGAGCTGCGATACTCTTGTTCAAAACGCTTTGGGTCGGGCTGAGTTGGTGGGCCTTTTGAAGCTTGACCTCGTTAATTTCCCGGTTGAGGAAGGACGTGGATAAGGCAAGTTGCTTGTCCCCAGCCATAAGCCTGCCTGGTGCGATCTCCCATTCTTCGGCTAACGCAGAGGAGAATGGTAGCAGCGATGGAGAGGTGCTGTGGGCATTGGAAGCCCTTGTGGCTGTGCCCCTGCCTGTCTCGAGCATTCCAGCCATCTGTTGTATCTTATGCCAAACGGTGGCTTGTTCGTCGCCAGGCAGCTGGCTGATTTCGCCGAATAAGCTGAATGCTTTCCCTAGTAGTTGTGAAATGGAGAGCTCGCCTCTCGATAGTGTTGAAGCAACTGTTGTCGACTCCCTGGCGCCCGATCCGCGAGACGTCAAGGTGGTCTTTGAGGTCCCAGCAATCGAGACAGCGGAAGAGGTAGGATGTGAGTCCGCCTCGTCTGTATGGTAGTCCGCAATGTCAATGTTGTTAAAAAAGTCGCTGTATGTCTTGATGATACGTTCCGAGCGGCGGGGCATTTTTGATTTTGGGTTGTCCAAGGAAACATTAGATGAGAATGGCACTTGGACTAGGGGGGTTGGACCTCGATTTGCAAAAAGAGGAACCGGAACAGGGCTCTCTGAGATGGGTTTGTCCGCGACAGTGGCTTTGTACGAAGAGTACGAACGATCCTGTGGGCGACTGACTGTTGGAGGAGCGGGACGATGTGAGGTAGGAGGTGGAGCTAGCACGCGCTCCGTGTTTTGTGGTAGGCGCATCACTGATGGAACTGGAACTGGGATCGGAGTCTGCTTGGTCATGCTGGTCGAGGCTGGAAACTCGCAAGGCTTCGTCGCCTGGAAAAAGTAGCAGTTCACGCATTGTGATCCACAGACTTCCTGAAGCTCCCGCATGCCCTTAGCCTCCGGGGGCAGGATTTTGCAGTTGCGCTGCCTTTCTGGACTTTTGAGCTCACACGGCTTACATTGAGCCTTGACTCCAATGGCCTGGATGATAACACTCATCAGCGCACGATATATCCTTTGATGGGATCTTTTGGTTCCCTCAAGCCATGCCTCATCCAACTTGTTCCTTAGTGGTAAGGAGATAGCTTGGATAAATGCTTTTGTCTCAAGCTCGTCCGTGACGGACGCAGTCCAAGTCCTCGGGACCAAAGGAGAGACATAAGCCCAGACTTTGGACTCAGCCATAGAAGTTTCAAGATTCAAAGAGGTTGTTGACTGATTATCCTGATCGTCAGAAGCCAAAGGACTGCTGTGCTGGAGATCAGGGGGAGTCCAGGCTTTGCTTGGGACATTATCGTAGCCACGAGAACCAGTGGAGTTAGCTGTCGTAGTTTCGACATCTGTGGGCTTAACGATTTCGTTCTCCCTAGTTCTTCGAAATGTGAAAGTCTGATGAGTGAGAGACGGAGGGTGACGTGGGTTCTGAGAAACTATGATAGACCGTGTACCAGGCTCGGAATCCAGCCTAGAGCGGACAAATTCCAGGGTGCCTTCCTCATCCAAATTATCGTTGAATTCACTCCGTTTGTGACTTGACTGCACGGATGTTTAGTATAAGGTCTACAAGGAGAGCAGGGACCTTTGCCTGCCTTAAAATGTTTGTTGAGATTCTTGAGCTTCTCAAATTGCTGCTGGCAAGTACGGACAGGGCAGCCGAAGGGGAGGCTCCCGGAGCCACGCATGGGTCTCAGGCTATAATTATCAGGAAAGAGAACGAATTTCGTAAAGTGCATTGTCCCATATTGATCTGGAATTAATCAGTTCATCATTCCACCTTACGGATATATTATACAGCCGAGGGCCTTACCTGGGTATTCATGATAGTCCTTTCCAGATGGTGTCTTGTCATAGGAAACAGGTCTAGTGCCGTGGTTGTTATCCAAGTTATCATAGTAACCATTGCTGGAGGGCTCGCCACTGCCAATGCGAGCTTTCATACGAGCGCTGCCTTGACGTGTACTGGGAAGCTTCTCGTCAACGTCGTCCACGCTATCCCCGTCATTGTCGACATATGAATCATCATCACTCGGGTCGTAGTCGTAGGGTTGCTTCTTTTTCCCCTTGATATGATGCGACGGCAAGGCCTTGTCTTCTGTACCAGTTTGCCTGCCTTGGCTAAGGACAAGGTGTCCCGTGTTGTGGGAATGGCCCACCTGGCCGGGCCTATCCTTTCCCAGTGAGTTGCCCTCCCCTGCAGCTGTTCGATTTGCTCGTGAGAAACCATATCTCAAAGATTGGAGAGACGATGTGGGCAGACCCTTAGAAGAGGCGGGCAGTGTTTCGGTAAAGCGGGCAGGAATCAACGATGTGTCAGATGAAGTGCTGGACGAGGTTGGTGGCCCATTACGGAGGGTATCGAGCTTCAACTTGTGGTGGTCAGGGGCGCTGAAAATGCCCTTAGTCCTAGCAGGTTTGGTGGCCTCTGAGGCCCGTAGAGCCCTTGATGCCCCTGAAGCCTCAGGGGCTGACCCAACAGTGCTAGGCTGTCGTGAGGAGTGTTGCGTCTGCAGTGGACGCAAGCCGGACGGGCCGGATAAGAACATCCAGGAATTGGAAGTTTTCTGTATGCTGTTCTTCTTGACATCTTGTGTGCTGCAGTTGAAATTGGACGAGTCCCGCGTATGCTCGTCGACATGGTGAGCGTGTCCTGGTGTACGTCTTCTCTTTGTGTCCTGGCCCCGCGCGCCAAGGCCATCTCGGAGCGCGTCGTCCAGATCGCGTTTCTTCACATTGCCCCTTTCCTGGCTTCCACCTCCATCAGCTCCTCCTCGCATCGTTGCTCTCCTCGTTGAGCTGGCCGGATGTTGCTGGAAATCAGTGTGTGAAAAGGTCTCATTGAGTTGCGATTCGAGACAGATCACCGTAATAGCTCCTTCCAGGGTATCAAAACATAGCTGCTTAGCGCAAGCTGAACCCCTGTTATTGCTTTATCTTTATAGTCACAGCTCCTACCCGCTATACCGAATAACGCTTGAAAGGAAACAGCTTTTCAGCTGAACCACAAATTTGGTTCATAAACCTAGCCTCATCGTAATAGCTTTAGATTTTAAAGCTTTGATGCTTGATATTCCTTAGTGTGGTGATCCTTTGGCGAGAACAAGTTCTGTTTATCCTCATGCATCTCTCAAACACAAGAGGTCCGTTTGCACCGCGGTTATCAACCCGGGACGCCCCTCTGGCCTAGTGGAACCAGTGTGCGACAATTTTATTCCACTTAGCCACGCAGATATCCAAAATCTTAGCCAAGTGACCAAGCGTCACGAGGCTCCCTGCTGTCTGTCATAGCATAAGTCGGCTCGCTCGACGTTCTTGAGCCTAGAGCGTAAGTCAATATTGCCAGGAAGGCTGAAAGACGCAAGAGTATCGTAAGCAAAGCTATAATAGTACGAGGTATGCCAGCACAGCGCATCTAGGACCCCGAGAACGCGCAAGACAACTTGCGGTTGATTCATCCAATTTGAGCAAATTTCAGCAGGCCGAAAAGATGCAGGACCAAATTCCAGAAGGTTCAGTCTGGAAAGAGATGTTTGAATTCATCGTCTTACATTTCTACTATAATATGCGTGATATCACTACGCCTCACTTACCAGGCTGGTCGATTCGATACAGATATTCCGCGACATTAAACCAGCCCTCATATTCAATTTCTTCCTTTGTATCATCCAGGTCATAGTGGTAGTGTCCGCCTTTGGCCGTCTCCTTAGCCGCGTTTCCATCGAGATTACCGTCAACACTGACTGTGAAGCAATGTGTGTGCTCCATCCTCAAATCCAAGCCGGTGTCATCACCAGAATGGAAGACGCTCAGACAAACCAATGGCCCGTCTTCTGGCTTGCCATCGCTAGCAAATTTCATGTCGAAATACCGTATCCACTCTTCCACATCCTTTCTAGACTTCAAAGGCTCTGAAGAGAAGTCAGGCATTACATGCAGGTTCGCAACGCCTCTCTTGATTAGGAAAACGCCTCCAATGGACAGGAGCTTGCCACCATAAGCGTCCTGCAAAGCCTTCTGGATCGTCTCTGTGAAATTGAGGGGACCTGTTCGAGATCTGGCAGTCACATGAAGACAGGGCCCAGGTACTCCATCCGAGCAGAATAGATTGCACATGAAGGCGAAATCTGCTGTGTCGTCTGGCACATGAGCGCAACATACCGAGTTCGCTCCTGTAATCTTGGCGTAATGCGTCCGATTGCGAACATTTTGCGAATCTCTTGTGCCTGCAGCGACGCCGTAGGCAAGATTGGGCATCAGCTCGGAGTTCTGGCCTAGAACATGGAAAGGACCTGCTCCTGCGCCGAGAAGGAAGCCCGAGGAAGAGGACATCTCAGCCTGGCGAGCGATAGAGCGGAGATTGTACTTCTTGGTCTTATCTGGCAGGGGAGAGAGATTTGGAGGTCCACCAATATCGACGATTCGTGTAGATCCGGTCAGACCTGGGCCGGCGAGATGGTATGGTGGGAGGGTCAGGTCCGGAGGGGTGTCGACCGTGCATGACGAATGTGCAAAGTTGGAGGAGAGACCAGAGGATATGATATCAACAAGTGCTGGGAGGGAAGGGGGATGGAGGCTGAGCTTGTGGACGGGCAATTCATCAAGAGCCATGACGACGAAAGAAAAAAAAGTTCTCTCTCTGATCGGAGGATTGAGACGAGTGTGTTGTCTTCGAGGGACCTTCAGTATTGGGATAGCAGCGAAAGGAGCTTAGGAGGTTCTGCGAACAGTTTCCACACAACACTTTTAACGCTACAGGCTCACCCGGCCGCGTTTAGGTCCGAAGGTGCCACCGCCCTGGCCCTTGCACAACACTTCCCCCGCTTTCTTGCTTGCATTCCCGCCAAAACCCATGTAGAGCATAAACGATTCGTGTACAAAGTGCTCATGGCGAACGCACGGTGTGGAGTATTCATACTGCATATGTCTTCAGGTTTAAAGTCCCTGCAGATACTGTTGTTCTTTTTGCTACTAGTGAGTCAGGCAACTACTACGTAAATAGGTATTAGAGATATCTCGAGCTTTACTCCATATTAGCGACATGAGTGCTGCTCGTCCTGTCCCGCGTTTGGGCACTTTGGAGAGATGGCCAGAAGACCAAAGCCTGGTTATAACCCTGGATTATGCCAGTGTTGTTGTCGCCATTGGAGCGATCATTTTCTGGATCAACTGGCACTTACATGCTCAGAAGTATTTTGATGGCCCTGTCATCGAAATGATAGAATAGGGCGGCCAATGATCGATTGCCATACTTACATGACACATGAGGAAAGCTGAACCGGATGTTGCTAGAAGCTGGGGGGTGGAAGGTTTTATCGAACTACAGTTCGAAACAGGACACTGTAATAGCTCGATCTAAGGAAATAAACCACAGCTATCTAATAAAAGCCAATTTCCTATTGTTGTTCTATTTTTGTTGTTTCAGTCTTTATTTACTTGTGACAGCGCAGCGGGCGCAAGTGTGTGACTAGAGGTGGCTGCATATAGACTACCTGCAGCTTCAAGGCTCTCTACTTTTAAAGCTTGATGGAAACAGGAGGCAACCTGCCCTCCTACTGTTTCTTTTCAACAAAACAAGGTCTTGTTCAGAATTATACATTAATGAGCAAGACTTGAGAACATTGTCTCTTCTATGTCCCTCTCGCTACATATACATTTTGTGTCATCATCTACTTGTGCTTTGCTTCTTCAAGATTATTTTTATTGTTGAAGCTCTTGAATAATTTCAATCTCCACTAAATCTTGCTTTTAGTCTTTCTTTCAAGAAATCGTTCCTCGCCTGTGCGACGAATTCATAATGATCTGCCTGTGGACCGTCAACAGGCACAAATCGTGGAGGCAGCAGTGGGGGCGGATATGGCACAGCAGAAGGTGAACGAAGGGGTGATATCGGTTTATCCGCTGTGGGTAAACTCAACGATTGTGAATGAACCTCATACACTTTTCTTCGCGTCATCGGCCTCTCTGGATTGGTAAATTGCAGTCTAGTACAGTTGATCTTGCGGTCGAACTCGCGCACGATGGGGTTGCTGCACATATGACCGGGACGGCAGCTGTTGACTCTCTCGGTAACGTCCTCTTCGCCGTCGATATAAACGTTGTAGTAGATGTTTTTGATGCACTTTATGTAGGTGTTGTCCTGGGTTGAGACTCGTTCCGTAGAGCTACTACTTTCCCTGTGTACAATCTGTACGCGACGAAACTCACATATCTCTCCTTGATCGTTCTCATCAGTATCTAATTCTTTAGGTCCATGTTTCGTTCGTTTTGCTGGATTGTCAGGTGACTCTGACCGTCTTCTTTTGCCCAGTGTTGGCTTGTCGATTTCTGTGACGCGGCGATAGAAAATACGGCAATCAGGATTTCCACTGTTGTGCATTGTTCTGTTAGAACGGTATTCATTCGGTGGTTTCAAGGGGCATGAGGGAAAGAGGAAGACTTCAGCGTACCATTGAACATCTGAGGCTTCATCCTCGAGGCAGTCCAAGTTCTCCGTCCGGCAGCCCGGGCAAGAAGAAGTGGATGCTTTGGGTAGCTGGAATATCATACTCATAGCGAACTTCCTCCCAGGTCGAAAGTTATTCTCCCAAGGGCGGTTCAAATCGAGAATCTTCTTAGATCGCGTATCTTGCATGGCGTATTCCAAGCTTCTGACTTTGTTCAGACCCGGCATGTCTTCAAATCGAGCTTCGAGAACGGCTTGGAACGCGGCAAATGAGTTTATGAATTCGACGTGAAATGGGCTCAACCTGCCGTGTGCGTCCTCGAAAATGACAGGTTGTTGAAGCTCAACCTGGGGGGGTATATTGTACAATAACTGCTGTGTCTGAGTGACGCCATCGAAAATTTTGATGTTCCATTGTAGCACCTGCTGGATGAGTGATAAAAGCCCGTTCGGTCGTTGTTCTGCCATTAAGCTTGTAACGGTGTGCGATATTCTCTCTAACCACCCCGTATGGACTACGAGGGTCTGCTGATTCTGTTCAGCGCAATCACTGGCTTTCTTCGCCTCATCAGAAACCAACTGCAACATCTGCGTACAGTCTTCTAGACTCTCTTCCTGCAACTTGGTGGCGGACCTGAGGAAATTAGCGGCTTGAAAGCAGCTCACATGTGGCTGTACTCACACCTGAATTGTGGCAAGGATGACGTTCAATGTTGAAGTGTGAGCAGCTATCTCAGTCCGAAGCTCATCGATAGCGGTGTCTTTGCACAGAGCCCACTGAATCTTGTGAAGATTCGATCGCCAAGCGGAACACGGTAGAGACGGTGAGAGCCCCAGAGAATCATTGAATTTCGCGTTCTTCTGGAGGAACGTCTCGATGCTGATTTGACACTGCGTCGCTACGCGCTGCAGGGCGGTCTTTTGCGACGTTTGGGATGGACCGAGTTGAAGTTTGCTGATCTCGGTGAGGGCGTCGTCAAGATTGAGAAGTTCGGCTATCAGCTTGCGGTAGGCTGCGCGAGAACCGGCGGCGTCATTTAAGGCGCGTATAAGCTTCTTGACTAGGGACACGCCGGCGATGAAGTCGCCCACGGAAAACCCAAAGCCTGGTGCAGCCATGTCTAGCAACAGCAGCCGCTGAAGAAGCTTAGTGGAATTGAGGAGGGGGGTGTCGAACTTGAAGAGAGGTTTTCAGCCGTCATCAAGAAGAACTCTCTGGATGCGAGGTCAGCTGCGCGGTGGTAAGCTTTTAGGGGACCGGGGGCTCAGCTCGATTTGTGCAACCCCAAGTTTGGGATTTGCCATTGGACACCCGCCGCGATGCAAGTAGCTGCAGATACAGCCACATTGGGCATCCTCTCAGGCGTTGAATCCAATAAGAGCTTCAGAATTCTGCATAGCGTTATATCAGTGAGCTCGAACACATTCTCTGAGCATAATAGCTTAAGTTTACATGCTCGATGCAAAATTAGGTAAACAGAACTGAATAGTCTCGAAGTCTCCTTTAGCCTGACTCTCAAAAAACCTAAAAAATGAGGGCCTCGAGCGAAGAACAGCTTGAAGGGATTTTGTAACCAAGGGCGGCTCTGGCCAAGGGTGTCATTGAATCATTTCGGTGATGTTGCTTCACTACTTACAACTCGAAATGAAAAGCTCATTGCTCGAGGTAACGACCTGGTGTGCCCGGGACGTACTCCAAGCAATTGACTGATGAGAAGCACCTGTCCTTGTTGGCTATGTGGAAGAGTGCACAAGGCACGTTTTTGGATCGCCTCACCATCTGGCCGGGGCCACTCTCTACTGTCTTTTGTATTGACACATCCCACATCAGTATCATACAGACCGCCCACCTCACGCATCGACCTTCTTCTCACCCTCCTTCGCACCCTCCGTGGCGCCCTCCTTCTGCGCCCGCCCCTGTCCCTTAGCCCGCTGCTTAGCAAGCATGCGCGCTCTCTTGGCCTCCTCAGCGATCCTCTCCTTCTCCTTCTCTGCCTTGACCAGCTCGCGGTTCGCAGCGATCTGCTTGATGCGGTCCTCGCGGCGGCCGCGGCGCGCCCTGAACCGCGCCTTGCGCCCGCCCAGCTTCCACGGCGGCGTGTACATGGTGCGCGACGCCAGCCGGCCGATCGCCGCGTTGGTCTCGGTGTAGCTGTAGCTGCGCGGGTTCAGGTGCAGCGTCCGCGTCCGCCGCCGCTCCAGCCACCGCTTCTGGATGAACGTCAGCGGGTGCACCAGCCTCCGCTGTTGCGACCGCGACCGCTTCTTGCCCTTGGCCTTGCCCGGCAGGGCCTCGCCCGTCTCGGCGCCGGTGACGGGCGTTGGTGCCGTCTCGCCCGCGTTGGCGGCGGCCTGAGCTGCTGCTTGTGTCCCGGATGGGGCCGACGCTGCCTGCCTGCCTTCCTCTAGCTCGCGCGCCTTGTCTCGTGACCATAATCGCTGCTCGAGTTCCTCGATGTCGAATAGCCCGCCCTTGCGCACAACTCGTCTGGGAATACCGCTCGCAGAGATGGCGTCTTTCTTCTCGTGAGCCTTGCGCGTCAAGGCCACCATGCCGAGCTTTCGCCGCCGGGGTGCGTCCTTAGGGTAGGGAAGGGTATCGTCGCGGTTGAATGCAACACCGATATATTGCCTTGTCGGGTGTAGTTGAGGATCGCGGTAGTACTTCACGTAGCCCTCGACGGCAGCGTGGATCGTGTGGTCGCGGCCCTTAATAGCATTCTCGCCTGGGTGCCACATTGTGCCTCGTTGTTTGAAGATGATGTTTCCTGTGATGACATGTTGATCTAAGACACAAGGCAAGGGGAGCCTGTCAGCTTAATTGTTTTGCGATTCTTTCTCCAATGAGCTCAGTCCGTGTAAAGAGCGGGTTGGGAGACGGTTGACGGCCGCGACAATAGACATGAACATACCACCGCTCTTTTTTGCACCCAGTTTCTTGGCTATCGTCTTCTTGTTGGGTATCCGGTATGCTCCCTGCGACTTCACACTGGCATACCTCCTCCCTTCCACGACGCCATCTGCTGATTGTGCCTGCGCCGGTGTCGACTGGACTGCTGCTCGGATCGGCAGGGCGAATGTGGCCAGAGCCGGTCGGCAAGAGCCCGCCACAGCAACGGCCTGCAACGGCCGTTGCAATTGACCAAGCCGCATCATCTCGGGGGGTCACTGTGGGATCTCGCGAGCTCCGTGCTGGCCGAAATGGAGCTCCGTTCGAGGCGGCTTTCGATGCGCTCACCCAGAAAATTGCTAGCTAGACGTCGATTGGCTTAGTCATCTGGAAGTGCGATAGCGATAAGCCAGTTGCAGGGGTCGGCTGGCCGTGAATTTGGACAACTTGGCCGCTAACCAGGGGTTCAGTGAGTATGGCGTAGCTTTACCGATTTAAATAGGACAAATAACATCTCGACAACTCCGTATAATAGCAACGAGGGTCTACAAATTGCCCCAACTTGTGCCTCTCGTTTGCATACAGACCTTGTCTGAACAGAACACAATGCGTCAACAATTCCTCCTCTCCCTCCTCTTCGCCTTACTGGGCACAGTATCGGCTCAGTTCAACTTCTTCGAGCAGATGTTCGGGGGCGGCGGCGGAGGCGGAGGAGGCCAGCACCACCACCAACATCAGCAGCAGCAAAATGCACCTTCGGATTCTGGCTGGTATAGATCACAAGTTGACAGAGGTACTACCAATTGTTCTCCCTTGTCATGACGAGTTGGGAAGAGACTAACGTTAGTGCCATGGCAGCTCACTGCGATAACTACCTCTGCCCAGACACGCTCGCCTGCGTGCACTTCCCACACCACTGCCCCTGCGCATGGCCTAGCCACGAGGACAAGTTCGAGCTGGCGGACGGACAGCGTGTCTGTGTTTCAAAGGGCGGGTTCAAGGCTGGGGAGGCGGCTAGGAAGGTCGAGCTGGCGAGGAAGGGGCTGCTGTGAAGGAAGTGGTTGATTATGCCCGGGAGAGGAACAGGAGCATTTGTTCCAGCTCAGAAGACATCCGGACGACCTGAACGCCCGAACTATGTGAACAAGCACGGGAAACATAAGCCGGGCCACGGAATATTCCGCTCGTCAAAATCCGTGCTAGAGGGAAACAGGCCATCTTAAGAAATACTATGGATTACTTATGACCTGACTATGCCAAGACCAATCCACCGATGCGCGCCTGCGATGTTTGTGGTATGTGTACGAGCCAAAGGGAAACCAAAAGCTGGAGCTGCGATGAAAGTGAACATTACTCCTCGAAAACGCCCCCCACCAGATTCTGCCCTGACGTGTTACCGCTCTGCAACTTGCCACCTGCCCCTCCCTCCGCACGCGTGATACGATACAATCGTGAAGTCAGCCGTAACGACTGTGTCGCTGTGGAAACTCGACAATCATCCTTGGAAGCGTCCATCACAAGCTAGTCCCATAGACTTTGATCGCTGTTGTGCCAAACAAAATCCCGACTTTTTTAAGTATCGTCGCCACACGAGATCTCCATCCTCCAAGGTCCATATTCACTGGGTTGTCAATACCGGGAAGCAGTCACGTCCGCCTGATCTAAGCTGACCGACCATTAATACCAGCCGGCAGAGGAGGCATAGGCGGGACAGCGGCTCCATTAGACGCGCCACCCCCCTCATTCTCGTCATCGTCCTCCTCGTCGGCCGCCAGGCTGTCTATCTCCTCTGGGTGGCCGAGGTTGTGGACGACCGAGGTCATCTTGTAGTGCTTCTTGCGCAGCTCCTCGAACTTGCGGTGCTTCTCGCGCTCCTCCGGCGACAGGCCGACCTCCTCCTGGGCGGAGTCGTCGATGTGGACCGCGCTGCCGCTGCCGCGGTGCTGGCGCTTCAGCTCGACCTCGTCGGCCGGCACGTCTGGGACGGCCTCCTCGGGCTCGCCGAGCGAGAGGCCGGGGATATCATCCTCGTTCTGGCCCTTGCCGTGGTGACTGCCCTCCTTCCTCTTCTTGCTCCTGATGCTGCTGCTACCAGCGGGGGCGTTAATGTCGTCGTCGTCGCTGGGGTCCTCGGCCGGATCGTAGTGCTTCGCGTAGGGGGTCTTAGGCTCCGTGATCTTCATGGTGCTGGTGCGCTCCTGCTCGGTGAGGTACAGATTCGCCTCGTCCCACTTGATGCGGGGGTCGGCCTCCTCGGAAGGGTCGGTGACGGAAGGGGTGCGCGAGCTAGGGCGCCGTGAGCCGACTGGCCTAGCGGCGGACGAGGAGCGGCGGTGGCCTGCATTGATCTGGGTGTTGTGGATGGTGACCTCCTTGTCGTCCAGGGAAGGATCTTGCGTGGTGTCGATGGCGTGGTTGTTGGAAGACGCGCCAGTTGGAGAGATGGGAGGCGAGCGGCCTTGGTAAGAAGAGTTCTTGAGGATGCCTTTTGGGCGCTTGGCGTTGGGTGGAGGGGGCGAATGCGAGACGGCATCAGTTATCTCGGTGACTTCAGCCATGGTTGCCGTTGCAGTTGTGGGTATGAATGTGGATGCTTTATGGTGGTGGTATGTGGAGAGAGATTATGAGAAGTGAGAGAGTACCGTGGGTCCCTTTGTTGTTCGCTGTGTTGTATGCCGTGTGTTGTGTGTCGTGTCGTGTGTTGTTGTGTTGTGATGTAAAAAGAATGACAATGACGATGGCTGGATTCCCCCCTGTGGTGGTGTGGGCTTACAAGCTTGACTGGCGGATGGACCTTTCGGTGGGGTTCTGTTTGAAGTGGAGTCGGTGGTGCGAACTGCGGGGGAGAGCCAGGGTGTTGGGCCCAACTGCGCTGTTCGTTTGTTCTGGGCCTGGAGGGAGCTGCCCTGCTGTGGGAAGTTGGGACTCGCGCTGGTGGAAGGTTGGGCCACCCAGAGCCAACTGCAAGCCAGAGTGTGTTCTACTTTGGAATGAGTGAAGCTTGTCACCCAGCACACTGACTTGGCCAGAGTCGATACTCGTCTTGTAGAGATGTCCTATTTGAAAGCATCTGGCAGTCTAGTAAAGTCACCTCACTGATCGGAGACTGCCATTTGCAGTTATGACTACAAGGACAGGGTGATGATCGTCGCCAGATGGCAACTGATCAAGACACCCGAATCTGATGCGAACCTTGAAGTTCGCGCATTGTTGACAGGTGGGCGCATGGACGAACCACCCAGACCATCACCTTCTCCCTACCATCTCTCTACCTGCGAGATCTGAATGTCGAATGTGGCCACGCTGATCCTGATGTCAAAGTCAGCAGCCTCAGAGACATGTCAGCCACCTGCCACCCGCAGGCCAATCTAGGGGCGACATATCAGGAGACTGGCGGCATGTGATGCTCAACCAGGGCAAGCAGCGGCGTGGGGTGACCTTCAACCCGGACCAGACGGCGCCCTGCACAATGAAAGAAATGGTGCGGACAGAAAGCAGCTCTTCCCAGATCTGTGCAATTGTGCAGGGGATTGATTGGAACGGCGTTGGCCGTTTTAATAGTCTCAACGACAAGATGGCCATTCGTAAAACGCCATGTCGGCGGTCGGCAGGTCAGGTACCTAGGCACCTAGGTATTCGACTAGACTATTTGGACGACAAGCGTGTTGGAACCTGAGCATGAGGTGACATCGACCAGCTAGTGCTTGGCTTACCCTACCTTAGCAGTCGGGCACCTCTGCTGCGTGGAGATCCGTTAAGCTTCACCAACCTCTACAAGCTCCTGCAGATGTCAACTTGGGTGCTAGGGATTCACACGTGAGGCCTTGACATCATTGCTTCCCCAAATCCCTCCCTCTCCCTCACGCGGGGCGTTTCCGACTGCTTCTAGTCTGTATGCCTGAAACTTTTCCTCCATCGAAATTGCAACGCCTTCTACGCTGTGCTCGCGTCATCCTTACGTGGAACAGCCATCTAATGTGCGGATTGGTCCTCCCACATAGTCTGCAAGCCACTGCCAGATTTCGCACCCAGGCTAGGAGTGCGGTTATAGCTTGTGTGCCTGGGGTTTGTCTGCATGCGGCTGCGGCCGTCAGTGGTCCACAGGAACTCCGGGATGGCTTTCCGTAGTTGATGGGGGCAGCTTGGCACCTTAAGCTGGTGTCACGTAAATGCCGTCACAAAGTCCTAGGTAGTCATTTACTTGGTAACAGAGCTGTTGATTGCGGCAACGAAGAGTTGTATGAATCCTACTCTTTAGGGCTCATCCTACTGCAGTCAAGACAGCGCAGCCTCGTCTAAGTCAGTGGCATCCAGCCTTGCCAAGCGATCACATGTGCAACAAGATACTACATAACGAACCAAGACTTTACTGTTTCAATTGAACGCAAAGTTTTCTCCCTTACTAGTTTTATAAACATACTCCGCCGAGATGGCTGTTGATTGCCTTGAACTTGTGTTGGCATGGGTAGAGGGCTTCTCATGTGTACCCTCCACTATAAAGAGCAGTTACTTATTCGCAACATTCATTACTAAATCCAGAGAAAAATGGTCAAAGCTTTCTTAAAATGCTGTCTCATTTGGCTATGCCACTAGAACTAGTGGGTATGTGACAAGGAAAACTTCATGCCCTATAGACCAATAGTGTTCCTGAACCTCCTGCTTTCCTTCCCCTCCTCGCCAGTCCTGTCTCTCCCACTATGCCTCTGAGTATCAAGTGCAGGGATTCTTTTTTGTGAAGCCATAAAATAAACGACCAAGCTTCCCTGGATCTCGATTCCACAGGAGAATCTGTACCATTGTTACCCAAAGTCGGGTTGACTTTTCCTGAGAAATGACACCCGCAAACACCCTAAAAATTGCAAGAAGACCTCATATCCTTCCATCAACAATAGGCGCGGGTGGTCAGTCTTCCGAACTCTAGGGAGGATCTTGGTCGAGGGCGTGGACGCGGCTGTTGCGCATACAGAGAGACTTGTTACTGTGCAAAGTTTCGACAGTCAAATGTCGTTGGACTTTTGTTCACCACCATCCATCAATCCGCCAGCGCAGGCGAGCAAGCGCCCTACGATCCCTGGTTAGTCCGTCAAAGTAGCTCAACGAATCCAGAGCAGTAGCGAGATTCGCACTGGTGAGGATCTTCTTGCCGTCCTCCAGAATCTCGTCCCCCTTTCGCATGATGAAGTCTGAAAGGTTGACCATGATTGCTGCTTCCTTGTCCTTCAACCTGTTGGCGGGGCCTGGTGGTTGCAGGAGGTAGACACACTCCAGCTGTCGGGGGATTGCGTTGAAAATTGGTATAATGTCCTTGGACGAACCAACAAACAGGCCAGAGATGTTGAGACTCTTCATGTCATTGAGGTTATCGCTGTGGAGGATTTCGCGGAGCGTCTCTATGGGAAGCTTGCGGAACGGATAAAGGTTCACGTGGGCGAGGCCCTCCAGGAGGCGGGCAAGCAGCTTGGCTATCAGGTTCTGATTATCGCTAGCAGCAAGCAAGTCGGCCCGCGAAATGCAGGTGTCGAGGAAGTCTTTCGGAAATCCCGGAATCTGTAGCGCGTTATCGAGCAGGTTGAGGTCGTCAAGGACTCCGGAGACGATCGCGTCGAGGATCTTGTGCTCTGTGAGTTTGCGAAGCGATTTGACTTGGCTCTTCTGGGCGCGTGGGTGAACGGAGATCGAAAGTTGACTCAAGCCCGTCGTCTCTTGCTGGGACAAATTCCACATGGGGGATGGCCAGCAACCTGAGCAAAAGTCAGTAAAGCAGACTCTTAGTGTAGCTGTTGTAGACATTTGGACACTGCCATGGTCGAAGCTGAGGATAGAGTTAGGGCAAACATACTAGCAAGAGCTGCAACATCAATAAGTGGGTAGGCTTTCAATGCCTCCAACGCATTGAGGTCTTTTCTGTCACGCTCAAATCCGGTGACATTGTGATAAAGGTCGTACAACATCCGGCACGAGAGGGATTCACCGGAGCAGGGAGTGTATGCAGGCATCGTCCACGGTGCCAGCTCACCTTGCCTGTCTTGATTGTTGATACCGTCGGGATCGTAATCTCGTAGAGCGCACCAGATGCACTTTGAATCCATGTTGAGGAAGCAGTATCTAGGATTTCGCGGGTCCGTTATGTCAATGACTGAAACATTGGTGGGTCGTCCTACCCGTTTGTGGCGGATATCTAGCTTGCCCTTGTAGAAACAGCGAGGCTTCTCTACCGAGCAATGGTAAATTGCGTGGCCTTGGTCGAGGCAGAATGCTATAGCCGAAAAGAGACATGCGGCGATGTAGGGAAATTGGTTCTCGACTGCGGTCTTACCTCCCGTGGGGTATTGTTGTTTGGACGTTTGCACAAAGTCGTTGTTGTCAATCTGGCACTCGGCGGCGAATGCAATTTCCTGTAAGATAGGGACTTGGTGCTTGTCATCGGCGAAGGCGTTCAGGGCAGCAAGACAAGGGTGTATAATTGTTCGAGGGCACCGACAAGTTTGGAGAGCGCTGGCCATTTGACAGTAAGGCCCATCGGGCTTGGGTCTAGCGATGACGGCCACCTGTTGGATATTGAGGGGGGGATCCATGTTGTTAGTCAAGGCCCCTGATGTGCACAGCAGTTGAGCGACAATCAAATACTGCGACAAAGTGGTGGATGGTAAGAAGCATGGGAAGTAGATGTCAAATGGTTGAGGATGGATTGCCTGATGAGAATGGGTTTGAGTTTGTGGCAATGCTCTTTCTGAGTTGTGGGAAAAGGAAAAGATCAAGTGGGTCTGCTTGGCCTTAAATAGATGGTACAGCCTGAAGAATATTTGAGTATTCACTCAACCGTCCAAGAACTGTATTCACTGGTGAGTCAACATTTGTAGCGACGTGAATGGAGAAGGAGGCTAGCGTTTAAGGTCCACAAGACATAATGATTACTGTTATAACCACAATCAAAGCCCATGTATCCAATTTTAACACCATTGAAGCCACTGCTTGCCTTCAAATTCACATGAAGAATTATTAAATCTATTGTCTACAAGATACAAAGAATACTCACACTTTCATTGCAGCCGCATTGGCCATAGACATTTTACAGCAGTACGCATAAGTTGAAGTTGTGGCAGTGCTCTGGATAGTGTTTTGTTGCTCTTGCTATTAGATCTTAAGGACCGCGTTGATACAACAAATCAATTTTCGCAAATAACAGCCCAATCAACTGGACCTGCACACCGGATCAACGCCACAGACTCAGCTCCGCCTCTTTGAAGGGGGATCATTCAGGCCATCTTCGCTCTTCTCCGCTGATGCATCTGATGAACTAACGGTCCTGCTCTTATCTGACTTCAGCCGTGGTCTGGAAACTTTCGGCACGGAAGCTTCGGACTCAACGGAGCCCTCGTCTGAAGTACGGTCATACCGCTCCGGGAAAAGCTCCCTGGAAGACTCAACATATGAGTCTTCGGGAACAAAATCCTCCTGATTCTTCTCCAGGCAGCTGTCGAGAGGAGTTGTTCCAATGTCGGTGATAGGGAGACCCAGCTGCCGTCGCGCCCACCTCCTGACGGCTTCGTGGTTGGTATGAACGACCACGAAGCGCCTCCCTGAGTATTTGGTGATGGAGTGTCGGAGTTCACGACCTCTGAGAAGTTGCACGCAGCCAGGGCGGGTCTCAATCCGGAGCCCAAGATCTCGTAACAGGAGGTCTCCGCCTTTGAACGAACCAGATATTGTGAGCCCGGCCAGGCCGCATTGCCAGTCTCCGTGGTCTTTATGCTCATTCGTCATAAGATTGACGAGCAAAGCACGCATCGCGAAAGGCTCTTGGATTTTGCGAGTCTCGAAGTGGGCAAACTTGTTGAAATTGCGGACTTGTTCCACAATAGCAACGTACTCGTCGAACAGTTCAGGCTCCAGCAATCTGAAGAAGAAGCTGACCGCCTCTGTGCACGCACCTAGTGTTCCGAATCGCAGTTTGTGGAAGTTGTGCTCACAGCTCCCTTCAAGCCGTTGCCTCATGTCCTTTGTGGGACACGGACCTCCTGTCTTTGTGCCTTTCCCCTCCCCGTCTGGATTTCCGATGGGGAAACGACATCCAAAATGGTACACACCCGATTTAGCCAGACGTGGGTCATTGTTAAGTAGGCGAAAATCGAGGTCAGGCCTTTCAACGAGCCAATGCGCGTAGTGCAACCCATGGCGCGTCATATCAGGAGTAGGCACGGCCTGCTGAGTGCTAAATGCTTCCAGATCCGTCGTGATGGCCTTTTCGATCGTCTTATTAAATAATTGTTGGATTGCACCCGAACATTGGAACATGATGACGCTGCCCTTCGTGTCGAGAACCATAACGAGGTCGACATCTTTGAGGTGGCGGAACAGGTTCTTTTGGACTGCGAACTCATCTGCGAAGGATCATGAATTAGTCGGGGTGTTGTTGGCTCGTAACATTCCTCAAAGAAGGGTGTTACCTCTCTGCGCCTGGTAGTAGGGATTGAAGGCGTTCTGTCTGACGCATTTCTTCACCATCTCCAGCATCTTTGTGAGTGCTTTATCGGGATTGCCTTCCTCCAACTGGCTGCGTAGGCGTGCCTCTATGCCATGGTCAAGGTAGATGTGCTGCTGGGCTAGGTTTCTTGCGGTCTTCCAGTAATCGCATGCTTTCCCACCGACCTGGCCCCCGCGGCACAACAAAACATGTGCCATGACATGGTGCTCGGCCTCTAGTGCTGGCTTCTGAGTCTGGTACTCTCGATCCACAATCTTTTCGAATGCCTTAGCCGACTTGAGCTTCTTGTAATCCACACCCCTCTGTCTAGCGTCGACGCCTTCAATGGTGACTTTGGCAACACGGCGGCCCTTCAGCTTAAAAAAATCGATCGTGCATCCGTTGTCAGTTTCGGTATGCAGGGAATCCGCATCGGCAATTTGTCCAGCGTTGAGATTTCTTACGTCCAAGATATCTTGGGCAAGTTCAGCGATGTTTAGGTTGTCCTTGTCGATTTCTGTACTATCCTCCAAATCTTGAACGGCCAGCTCTGGGTCGTTAGGGAAGCCGATGTTTGACCAAGAGTATTGCACAGCGCCCTTGATTCCGAGAGTCTTGGCTGTTTTCGGCCAGTCCCTGGAGTCGCCGTAAATTGAATCCAGTCGGACAGGACCCTTTTCTGGTCGACATACCACGTTGCTTCCAATGTCAACTCTCGCACACCTCTTTTCCCAAGCTGAGAGTGCTCGTGAAGCAATCTCAAGTGCTCTTTCATCATTCTTTTGACTTCTTTCTTGGAGAGGCTCCTCAATGGGATACCTCGGTTGTCGGAGACTGGATTCATGCCCTTCGTGCGATATGTGAGTCGCTAGGTCCATTTTGTCAAAGCTGCTGGACCGTTTGGCCTGAGAGGAGCAAGAGTGGCACGGTTGACTCTTTGTTCTGGCTTCTTTGAAAGATTACCGTTGGTAAATTTCAAAATGGGAGAAAGAGGGAGAAAGATTTCATGTCAACTGAGAGAAATTTGGAGACAGCTGCAGTCGTCAATTGATAAAAGAAATTGAGGAAGCGAATTCGTTTGCTCGTGTTGCTACAAACAATGGTTTGTTTGCCACAGAGTGGTTTTAAAATCCGGTTCTTTGCGTAAACTATGAAACTTACAGGCGAACATCAGGCAATGACCGCCGTTCGTGCGTTCACTCGAAGAGTCCGAAGCACTCATTGCTGCAAAACCAGAGAACCCAATTATGATCAACTCATATGTGGCTCCATCAATGCAGCATCCCCTCGACTATTCCGAAATTGACGAGCTTTCTTCTACAATACTTCCGCATGCTAAAAATTGCAGTAACTCAACTAGGCGCTGATAGTGAGATCTCTCCAGACTGTCAACATTGATGTGGATGAAATGGGCACACTAGAGTTTAGGCTACCTACTCCTCGTCGGCCTTGTTAGCTGAGCACTTGTGTCAAGACCATCAGTGACGCATTTCACATTCAACTTGCTTTCTGAACTATGATCATTGGAGCTTCAGCAGATTTCATATGTACAATAAGATTGCCTGTGATATTTAGTCACGTGCCACTCCATGCAAGTATCGCGTTTACATCTGCTGACCAAAATGAGTGGGTAAAGCCATTGTGACTCAAACGGTATTATTTCGTTCGTAGCTCATACTGAAAGGGCGGCGAAAGATGATCGGCACACACATAAACACGCAACCTGACTTGGTGTCCACGGCATCATGATTTGGGTTCGGACCAAAGCCCGGAAGATACATTTGTCTATGTCTAGATACAGTCGATGCAATTATGCAAAATCCGATATTTACAGAGAAGTGATTCCAATCCCTCAAAAGCCACAGCGAACATCCTAAGCAGGGACGTACTTGCTGAGGATGTCCTTGTACGCAGTGTAGCCAGTGCCAGTAGACGGCTCCATAGAGTACATGTAGTCCGCCCACCAGGGGCCCGCAGCCCACCACATGGCGCCGATCCAGACGTCGCTGTTCTCGGTCATGTAGTCCAGCATGCCAGTGACGGCGGTCTTGCACTGGGTGTTGTCGCCGCCGGCGAACTCGCCGATGATGCCGATCTTGTTGTTCTCGCGCAGCCAGGTGGTGGCGGCGGTGATCCGCTCCTCTCCAATGGTGGTGGACACACACTCAGTCGAGGTACCAGACCCGTCGCTGTCGAGGTACTGGTGCATCTCGTAGACGAGCAGGTTGTCGACCGAGTCGGTGATGTTGCCCATGTGCTCGCTGTTGCCCGAGGTGGTCCAGGTCCAGGCTCCCGTGTACGAGGTGCCTTCGACGAAGATGTACTGGCTGGTGGCGCCGGCGCCACGGACACCGTCGACGCAGGCCTGGTTGAGCTCTGCGGTCTGGGTGTCGGTGGTCATGTCGTGGGGCTCGTTGATGCAGTCGAACACCACCTTGTCGTTGGTCTTGAAGGAAGTGGCCAGGTTGGTCCAGAAGGTCTCAAAGTCCGCAGTGGACGAGATGATGTTGCCCTTGTAGCGGGCGTAGTTGTGGGGCTCAATCACCGCGTACTTGCCAGCTTCGGTGATGTAGTTGACAACGGTAGTGAGGTTCTTCAGGTAATCCGCGTCAAGATCTGCGGAAAGGGAGGACTGGGCCATACGCTCGGCGAGGAATGGGATACGGAACATGTTCATTCCCATGTCGATGAGCGTCTGGATAGCAGAGGTGTCCGGGAAGATGTAGTCCTTGCCGTAAGTACCGGGATAGTTCGCCTCGCCAAACTCCGCACCAGACTCGGAGGTACCAAGGAATTTCAGGCCACCACTGGCGCTGGAGCTGGAGCTGCCGGCCGAAGCGTTGGCATTGGTGGTGGGAGTGCTCGACGGCGCAGCGGAGCTTGACGTGGTGCTGGCGGGAGTGCTGTTGTCAGGGCAAGCAGCTCTGCGGTGGTGACGGGCTCCCGGAGCCGCCAAGGCAGAGGCCGCGAAACCAGCCGCGAGGAGGGAAGAAGTGACACGCATGGTGAAAAGAATGTGTGTGGTTGAATGAACGAATGAAAGGCTGTGCTTGAGAAGGGAATGCCGCTATAGAGGAAGCCAAGTCAAGCAGCCAAGAGCAGAGCCGCGATGTGGTATTTATTATGGGAGGGCGAGGCGGAAGGCGAGGCCAGGCGAGGCGGCCGATGTGCCCATGTGGATAGTCGCCCGATAGGGCAACGGGGTGGCATGTCCGCGTTCAGGGGTGGGATAGCTCCTTCATCTGGGGAATTACTCAATATCACACTGCAAATGGCGGGAAAAACTCTAAAGGTCGAATCATGACTATTCCCAAAAATGACCGATTTATCCGGCTGGTTTCGAAACATCAAACACTCGTCATTGGGCGTTTATTTGAAACGTCGGTTGGCCGGTGGATCTCATCTCTTTAAGGGGCTCCTTGATCCATCAAAGTGCCGGATGTCGGGGCGACGGGGGTAAATTGAGCGAGACCAACCATGTCCACCGCCGGACTTTCCTATGCTAGTTTTAAATTCTTTTGGGACTTTAAAGCTCGTGAATTTCCGGCGGCTGCCGTTGGCGTTCCCCTTTTTGGTGCCTCTGCGCTTTCTACTACCATATACCTTGGTTCGCATGAAGGCATTGCGCCCTAAGAAACTAGGATTCGGTTGCTCTAGATTATGTAGTCTTGAATTGCAAATGACTTGACATTAACCGTCACAAATACCGTATTCGAGACAATGCAACCGGTCAACACTACAATGGGGGTTGGGTGGCGAGCGATGGTAAGCTTGGATTACACTCGCCGTAACGTCTTACCACCCTGAGCCCATTCGAAATGAGCTCCCCATCACCCCACGATCACTGCATAGCCAAGCGACCAAACAACAAGGGTAAATGGAGGACAATTGAAGCAAAGAAGGTCTGGTTCGATATGTTATGATCTGTCATACTCAAGACTAACATGCTGCACGCACTGGTCAACGGCCGGTATGGATCTTGTAGACCGCTTGAGCCGTTATTATGGGTCCATAGCGAACCATGCCATCGTCGACCTAGACTTGTATGGACATTTGGCCATTCTGTGCTTTTAGTCGCTGCATCCAATTTGCCATGTTCGTCCGTAGAAGATGTAGTGGCGTTCATAAAGCGGGCCGCCTTAATGGATACTACAACAGGGGCTCACAATCCCCTTTTCGATACGATAACACGATCTCCTATTCGAGAGCCACTTTCTAATGATACTGTTCTCCTATAGTCTGCTGAGCACTCCTTCCACCACCTATGACTAGGCATTAGAGTTGTACTCTTTTGTTGCCTACCATGGTAACCCAAATGACAGGCATTTGGGTCGACTTATGCTCAGTAGGGATCATTTTAGGTGCCTCATCACTGAGAACATGATCGAGCCTATCTAGGACTCCTACAAACCGTAGGCTCATAAAACTTTTTACGAGGCCGATTTTAAGATAGTGATCCCTCATACTTCAAAGAGTGAATGCTGTGATTTGCCTCACAAATTCAACTTCTCGGCGGCTTAACTACTTAAGACCGTTCCGCCGCGGAATCGTCTGCGGGTCTGCAGCTTGTTGAGGCCTATTCCTTTGATCAGGATGAACACTGAGACCATCCGAATAGCGGTTTGCTTTGGGTGCATGGGGCTTGCATAGGATGACCGGTTTGGCGTCGGATATCTGCGACGGAATACTTGGGATGAGGTTTATTGAGGACTATATCATCCTAAACATGCACGAACTTTAACACTGTTCTGCAGTGACATGACGAGGTTGGGAAAGCTATCCTCGAAGATCAAGAAAGTTGACCAACCAAGTCTCGGTATACAACGCTTGTTGCGTCCAAGCATTCGGGATCTCCCAGCTGGTGTGAAACACCTCAACTGTGTTGCGGCTCAAGACAAGGATGGCTCGACTCAGTAACAATAACCTTATTCAAGTGAGCACTCGAGGCTGGCCTTCGTACCTTGCACACGTTCGGATTCTCTGTTTTGTTTCCGCACAACTATTTTATTCTTGCTTCAGTGATTCATCAGAAGCTGTAGCATCCAATACCACTATAACGATCAGCCAAAAGCGTCAATGATCATAGGAAAAAAGGATTATGATGGCAGATCAAGACTGGTGATCCCTCACATCACGCAGATCAGGCTGAGCCAAGCCGTCTCGTCTCATCTGTCAAACGGGTGTCATCTGGCAAATCGAGTATCACCTGTCAACTCATATTCAAACCACAACGCATACCCAACTAGTTCAGACGAAACCTCACTCCTGTTTGGGCGTCGGACGAGCTCTCAATCAGACACCACGAGGCCTTCTATAAAGATGTCAACTGCTCTCACGATGAATGACCGTGTCCAAGTGGTCATCCGCCAGCCAACCGTTCTCTATCTTCTCATTGTGATTCGATTTCTATTATTTCTTCATTCTTTGCCAGGCGCAATCTATCTTTTCATTACCTACCCACTAACGAGATGCAATTCTCTACCATCGCTTGGATTGTTACCGCCCTCGTGGCCGGGCAAACACTCGCTACGCCAGCCAAGAAAGCCGGTCTGTAGCCCAACGCCTCCTCTTACCTGTATATTTCACCCACTGTCTCTGCTCCTGTGCTGATAGTCTGCGTGCAGCCACCGACGGACAAGCGTGCACTGGCTCTGTCCAAAACCTGCAGCAAGATGGAGTCTGCAAGGCCGGAAAGTGCAACATTGACATCCCTCCCAACGAGCTGGACATTGTGGCCAGCGCCGACTGCGCATAGAGAGCCGGGCAAACTCGGGCGGTTCCCCTCTCAAGCCATTCATTCAGTCGGTTGTGGGTGGTGCCTGGTGGAGCACGGGGCGAACTCAGGATGATACGGAGATCGACTTGTGCAGTCTTTACCTCTCTACGTAGACTACATGTAGCCAGTCATCATATGATACTCATGACTAATGAATAACACCTGCCCACATGCAAGACCAGCTCTAATGCAGTTGCGTATGAAAACAGTGAGAATTGGATTTGATGCCACTGAGCTTGTCCCATATCTCGAGGAGTGGCCAGGTTTTGATCTACTTCCGGTGGATATCGCCTTGGCCAAGACAATTATTGCAGATGCGAAAGAAGGTAAAAGAAGCGAGTCAGCACACTCACGTCAAAGAAACTTGCCTAGCAGCTTAACTTCTACTGTGATCGCCCAGCCGCTGCACGTCATCTGCCTGGGAGGCTACTCACTTTTCCCAGTCAGGCATCGTGGGAGTGAGATGTCAGGATGTCAGCTCTCCGAAGGCTCGCCATCAAATGTCCGATTCGGCATTTGCTTCCATGTTTCTTTCACCTCAGCAATCTCTCCTGCATTTCCAAGGTTGCTTTTTGGTAGCGACCCGTGCATGGCATCGTCGGTATTGGACAATGGCATTCTCCCCAACCCCACAATCGGGAATCTTTACCCCAGGTTTCGGGAATGGCCCTGCAAGGTTTCAGCCCCGGGGAAAATGACCACATCAGGGTAGGACAGGACCTGACCTCCCCGTCCGGGGGGTCGTGTGAAGCGGCCAACCTTTCCGCACATTTGACAACGGGATGCAACCACCCGATAGGACTCTCCTTGCTTCTCCCCCGCGGCTGTGGCGTAGAGGTACGGCATGCGCTCCGTGCTGTGCGACGCTGTGACCGTTCTCATCGGGAATCTTGGTAGAAACAGGATCAACGTCACCCCAGGGCATCTGCTGCGGCGGCGTATAAGTACTTTGACGATGACCGCACCTTGCATGGACGTGGGTTTGCACAAGCGACGTGCCTCGCTACCAGTCTTGCAGCCACCATCTCGTCGTCTGTTTCGCCCGCTGCAGATTGAACCCTCCGATTCTGGTTTGAGCCGCAGCCAATCTCTTGCTGCACGTTACAATCGGATCATCACTGTGATAAAGTGATAGAGCCTCCCTCTTCGCATACTTTTTGTCGGCGCAACCCTCCCCTGCATCGTTACGTCGAAGCTCACACACACACTCAACATTGATCATCCCATCTCAACCTTTCCTGCCGCCCCTGGCTGTGACGCGAGAATATAGACAATATCTCAACCGTGCAATCACTTCTCAAAGAAGCCAAATCCAAAGTCAGAAAGCATCTTTAATTTCCCAAAATGGCGACCCCCGGAAAGAAGCCCGTGGTGCTGCACATCGGCGACCCAATAAAGTACAACCCCGACACATACGCGGCCTTCTCGACCGCCTTCGACGTGATCCGGCCCAGCGCCGCAGAACGCCAGCGGCCAGAGTTCATCCGGGCGCTGAAGGACCGCAGATGGGGCGACTTCTCCGCCATCTTCCGGCCGTTCTGGTCGACGGGCGGCGAGATGGGCAAGTGGGACGCCGAGCTTATCAGCCTGCTCCCGGCGAGCTGCAGGGTGTTCGCCAGCGCGGGCGCGGGGTTCGACTGGGCTGATACGAAGCTGCTGGGCGAGAGAGGTGAGTGAGCAGTGAACCCCCTCCCCCCTCTTTGCCCCCATTCAGCCGGGAGAGGCGCCTGCACTCCACGGACGGGCGGAGGAGGCGATGCATACCCCAGACACACACACACACACACACACAAAGCCACAAAGCATCAACTAACGCCGTGCGACACAACCCAGGCGTCATCTACTGCAACGGCGGCCTAGCCGCCGCAGAGTCCGTAGCCGACTTCGCCGTCGCGCTGGTGATCAGCACGTTCCGGCACCTCGCGTGGAGCGTCGCGGCGGCGGTCATCCCGCCGCTGACATCCAGCGACCCCGCCGACGCCGAGGCGGCCTTCCGCTTCTCGCACGAGCACGAGGTCTTCCACAGCCACAACCCGCGCGGCCACGCGCTGGGGCTGATCGGGCTCGGCAAGATCGGGCAGCTGGTCGCGGACAAGCTGGGCAACCCGAGCATGGGCATGGTGCTGCACTATTATGATGTCGTGCGGCGACCCGAGGCGGACGAGAAGCGCATGGGGCTTACTTATCACCCGTCGCTGGCGTCGCTGCTGGCGGCGAGTGACTGCGCTGTCCTGTGCACGCCTGCTAGTGCTGATGGGAAGCCGCTCATTAACGCTGCGGCGCTGGCGAGCATGAAGCCCGGCGGGAGGTTCGTGAACATTGCGCGCGGGTCGCTCGTTGATGAAGACGCGCTGGCGGATGCGCTCGAGAGCGGTCGCGTCAGCGCTGCGGGGCTGGATGTCCATGCTGATGAGCCGCGGGTGTCGAAGAGGCTTTTAGAGTTCGCTGGTGCGCAGCTCAAGAGCGCGGGACCCCAAGGTGGGAAGATCGGGCCTGATGGCAAGGCAATTAACCCGGGAAGGGTGCTTTTGACTTGTCATAATGCTGGTGGAACGGTGGAGACGCATATTGGGTTTGAGGAGCTGGCTATGAGGAACATCATGGCTGTGTTGGAGGGCAAGCAGGCCATCACACCGGTGAACATGCACTTTTTGAACAAGAAAGATAGCAAGTTGTAGTTTGAGGGCGGAATCAGGTCGGGCGAGTATCTGATCAATAAGAGGGGCTATGAGGCAAGTGGGTCCTGATGACCTCTTTCATATGTGATATATCATATCACCGAGGCACGCATCTGAGGATGGGAGTTCTCAAAAGTTCAGATCAGGAATATTTGTCATGAATATATCTATGGACATTCGTCATCTTCGTGCATCTTCATTACCATTCTGCATCCTATCGTTCCGTCTCCCGACTGGAATGCAACCCGCCAGTCTAAGCTTATCTCGCCCAAACGCCTCTAAGCATCCCTTCGCCTCTCACATCCCTCGCCCAATGAAATCCAGGTCCGGGCCAGAAGCCCGCGGAGCCGGGGGCGGTGCGTCTGGAAATCGTTGACCAGAAGAAGGGTGATACCGGTGAGATCGGTAAGTCTCTGTCGGGGCCTGCTGTTCCTGTGCCTGCTCCAGTTCCTCCTTCCCCAAGTCCCGCTCCTCGGCTTGCGACCGTTGCTGTCTCGCCTGTCGCCGCTGCTCGCGCCGCGATAGAGCGGGAGCTACTACGGCCCCGGCCAAGTGAGCTTGTGGCGGCTCTTGCGTCGCAGAGTACTGTGAGTTGGGTGATGGCTCATTTCGGTCGTTCTCCAAGTGGAAGTGGAAGTGCTGATTCACAGGTTCGTGTGGCGCGGCCGACTGCGGATGCTGGCTGTATGTGGCGGTCTGCTCATTGGGTGACCGGTTGTCGTACGACCTCCTGTTGTCGTACGAGTTTCTGTTGCTGTAAGACCGTTTATCATAGGACCTGTTGTCCTTTTTGACGTTCTTTTCGTTATAAGTCTTATTGTGAACGTGTTTCTCCTTCGTGGTCTTCTTCTTTCCGCCACACAGAGACAGTGTGAACTTGTTCTTCTTGCGCATGAGGTACCATAGAAGCAGCGCAAGCAGAGCCAAGAAGGCGACGCCGCCCACAACTCCGCCCGCGATTGCACCAGTGTTGGTACTGCTCCCACCATTTCCACCGCCATTTCCTGCACTCGCGCTGGCACTTGCATTGCTCCCTACCACGGACGTGACCGTGGAGGTGGACCCATCTGCCGCGGTGGTAGTAGCAACCACAGTCGATGGCCCGTTCCCGCTCCCTGATGCTGCCTCCGCCGAAGACCTCGAAGCGGCGTCGGCGCTCGAGGCACTAGCTGCCGAGGCAGAGGATCGCGACGCATCGATGAGAAATTGCGGCTCATCTATCATGGAGATGAGGGTGGCGGTGGAGAAGCACTTGAACATGGACCGAGCAGGGGTGCCCGTCCAGACAAAAGTGCCACACTCGGGCTGTGCGGCATCCTGGCAGCATCCGGTCTGAGGGCCGGCCGACGTGCATTTACCGGACTGCACGGCCTCGTGGTTGAGGCAGATGGTGTAGAACTGCTCCAGGCCGTCGGTGGCACAGGCGACCACGTTGTCAGAGTTGGTGGAGCAGGTGAGTGGCGAGTCGCATTTGTACGGCTGCGATGAGATGCCTGAGTACCAGCCACAGGTTTGGTCATTCTCCCAGATATTGTTTGAGGATGAGGATGATTCTGTTCTCTGACGCCTGTGTAGGAGCAGCTCGACGACTGCCTTGGATGGTGGTTGTGTTGGTTGAGGGGCATATACCTCATAGTCATGGACTTCTGGTGGTTGAGTTGGGCGGGCTAGGTCGCCGCCTCTGAGATCTATGACTGGATCTGGTTTGTAGGCGAGCCATCGTGCTGAGGCCTGATGGCTCAGGGCGGATACTGCGAATATGCTTGATGGCTTCATGATGTCTCTCAGATGATGTCTCGGGAAGTGAGTGAGTCCTTTGTTCTCTTCCGATGCCTCGGCTGAAGCGAAATGTGGTCCAAAGGAGCAACTTGAGCCCGAGGCCCGCAGGTCAAAGGCAGTGCTGAAGCCTTATATCATGTGGTAGTGACAAAGAATCTATTCATGTGTTCAGAGTGTGCCTTGTGGTGGCTTTCAGATGGCGTGTGTAACTGAATGGGTCATAACAATGCAAGCAAGCAATTGTGAATGAAGCAAGCAATTGTGAATGAAGCAAGCAACGGGCGATGAGGCAAAAGAGAGGAAAAATGGGGTGGTTAGGGATTGACAGGTGTGGGTCCAGCCGTTCAATGCCTGCAGGAGAAGGTTATTGTTGGCAGCGAAGTCTGAATAAGGCACAGGAGGAATGCGGGTGGACTAGGAGAGGGGGTAATTAGACAATAGACAATAGACGCTGAATAGACGATGTTTTTGAATGGCCAAAGCAGGTCCCCGTCACGAAGCTCGATGGTGGGAAAACTGGGATGACTGGCAATCTGCGCCGGGAACAGAGCGCAAGCGAGTAGTTTTGCAGGTGACAGACCAGGAGTCAGCGACTCGAGTGGGAAACTGGACGCGATGTTGAACGTCGCTGTCTGTCGCTGACAATGTCACTGTCGGGCAGACCTTTTGAATGATGGTAACAATGCAGGGTAGAAAAGGGAAGAGTCAATCACCAGCAGCGACGATTCAGACAACCAGCCAGACAGACAGACACCCGGGAAAACGGCGGCTGCTGCTGATTCTATTCCGGGTCGGCGTTGTCTGGGTAGCCGCCAGGGTGGGCTCACGAGCATCGTGATTCGAGGAGGGCGCTTCTCTCCTTGCCGTCACCCCTGGAAGTTCGTCCGATTCACGCGGTGGTGCAGCGCCTGAGGGAGCCAGCAGCAGCCCATCCTCCCCAAGAGACTTTGCCGGATCGCCATCCTACCGCGACAGATTGTGGGTTTCGTGGAATTCTCAATTGCATAGACGCGTGGCTGTGTTGAACATCCCTCCTTTGCACCGCGACAAGACGTCGGTTGATGGAGAGAGGACGCGTGCTGGTGTTGAGTAGCGTTGCAGCTCTCGAGGCCCGGGTGGCGGCCGGTTTTTGGGCCTGAAACTGAAGCTGGAGCTTAAAGGCCAATCACTGCTGGGTGCCCATCTATGTGCTTTAGTGGAATGGTACCCACACAGCCACCTCAACTTGTCTCGAAAGGTTTCCAAAGACAAAAGCAATTGTTCTCAATGCGTCAATTGAAGTTGAACTGGTGCTGCTTTCTTCTTAAGAGGAAGCAACCCAGAGGGCTGCAGGGCCGGGGACTAATGGAAGCTGCTGGCTGCCAGCTGCCAGCCAGCCGGCTGCACTGTGCACCCATGTACGCGCTCCCTCGATTGGGACTGACGTTGTATCCCCTGGCTGCGTGACAGTAGCTGTCGGCCACGGCACAGATAACGACAAGTCTTCATCGCACCATTCCCCTCCGTCCCTGTTCTGGCAGTTGGCCCTTCATGGCGACATTGCACAACCGGAAGAGACATGACGCTTCGAAGACGAGCATCTTACGAAAGGTGGCAGGGCAGATTCGTTCTCATCAGACAGTCACTCAGCCCAACGACCACGCCGAAGCCACACAGCACACATCAACTCCTACCCTGACCATCACCGGGCTTGACGTTACCCGCTCGAGTTCCGGGACAGACTCTCAACAATTACACTGTTCCGCTCGGCCCTGGAAGCCTTGTGGGATTCAGTAATTCTACTGTGGGTGGGTGAGAGCGATAGCATTTGCGATCTTGACAGAGCAGGACATCAGGAAAGATCTATGTAATATGGGATCTCACGCAGACCCTTGAATTCCTCGACAGCTTCCCCAAACATTATGCCATCAATATAACACTGTCCGATCAGAAAGGTCCCTCCAGCTGGTTGCAAACCATCCCTCAAGATGAAAGGCACCTTGCCACCGCTGAAAATTTCCACGGAATCTCCAGGCAAAACGCTGCTCGGGGCGATTCCACATCGGCCTCGTTTCGTTGTCACGAACTTCCAGCCCACTATGTACTCGTCGAGTAACGATGCGTAGGTTTTACTTTTCTCACGCATGCCGATGATCGCAGGGCTCTGCTCAGAGCTGGTGCGCCGAGACGATGTCTGTGTCTTTGCTTTCTTGCCGGTCCCACGCATACTCCTGGCTTTGAGCTCATCCTTTCTGAGCACTCTTCGATATGCCGAGTAGGATTCTGTGATGTTTATTAGGGCTGACGATCCGGATTCCGGGTGCAATGCTCCCGCTATTGGGACCGTCTTTTTCAGCTGCTGTTGGCGGTCCAAGTCGAAGTGTTTGCACGCCTCAATCATCGAGTCCAGCTCCTGGAAGTATCGGCTTCTTTGCGATGGCACATTGGAGAACCGACTCACACAGTCAATGACATCGCAACAAACTGCGCACACCTCCAGTACTTCCCGGTCTTGGAGGTAGCAAATGCGACTTGAAAGCAGCCCGGATGCTGAGAAGATCACACCACGGCCCGCTGCCGAACTGAAATTACCTCGATCTGATGCCTCTTCAGTCCAGTCTGGTACCCATGAAGGCAACCGGCTGTCCCCTTCCTGTTTGTCTAATCCAGCGGCATATAAAAGCTCCATTCCGTAGCCGTCCTGCGCAAAACCTTGCGCAAAGCGGCGAATGACCACCTCCAAAGGACTGTCATAATCTGGCTCGAAGAGTGGGTTGTCTCCGTCTAAGGCCAAGCCTAAAAGCGCAAAGAATCGGTCTCGCTGGTACTTTCCCGTCTTGACGTACCTGAATGTCTGGATAAGACGGAAAAGCGGCCAGCGTTGTGATGTGGCTTCACATTCTCGGTGCTCTGTCAAGATCATGAAAGGTTGCCATGACTCTGCGAATGCGCACATGCCAAATTTGCGATCCGCAGTCTCTATTGCACAATGAAGGTCGTTCCAATCAATGATCCACTTTCCACAGACGAACTGTACTGTACGTGCTGCGATTGATTCTTGGACAATCCAAGCTCTCCTGAACCACGGGCGATGAAACATATAAGACACATCTCGCCAAGACGCGGAATCGGAATCTGGCATCCCGTTCTTCACCCATGTCGCGCAAGGGCGGACGAGGTTTTTAGGCCAACTAGAGAAGTCTGAACCGTAGAGGTCAAGCGCTGATATCTGCAGCAATATTTCCACGGCTTGGTCGCTCCTGTCATCTGTAGCAAGAATGGCCAAAGTGCATGTTGCTCCTTGAAAAATCCGTGGTAAAAGCAGGATCTGCTGTACTTTCTCCTTAGTATCCTCCTGGTTGATGCAAATCGAGTCGACCCAGAGAACCAGCTCCTTCTTTCTCTGGCGAATTCTTTGGAGAGCCGAGCCCAAGGACGTCTTGATTTTCAAGAATCCTTGTGGCGTGGCCAAACTCCGCTCAGATTGATGATCCAAGCCCCATACATATGACAACGTTCTGTATGGGCCGGCGTTAAAAAATGGCATGTGGCAGATAGCTCCACGCAATGGTTCGTCATACGCCCCTGGGAATAGCACGAACAGTCGCATATCTCCTTCACCCAATGGTTGGTAGCAATACTTTCGTAGACTTTGCTTCTGTGACCCTGCTTTCTCTGCTAATGCTGATGTCTCCAAGGAGACAGCTGACGCATTTTCCAAAGCTCTCGCGGATCCCTCGCAGTCCTGGCCTCCGGTTTTCGGATGTTGAAACGCATGTTGTGGTTGATATAGATCCAACCCTAACGGCTCGACGACGAGCAAAGACTCCGAGCGCAACTTCGTCTTGCCTCTTCTACTGCCCGTATTGATAATTTCTGCCCTGTTGGTATCTGATATCATTATTTTCCCGGATTTGAAGTAGTGCCAAGGATCAATCAGAAACTCGAACTGCGGGTCGGCGAATACATCGTGGATCATGACAAGGGCCATTAGGTCGCTCGTGTCTTCCCGGTAGGAGAATGAACAGCACCTGGACTGGGTTTAACGCATATCGTAAGTTAAGTTAGCCAGTGAGTCTTATTGGTGATCACACAGGCCTAGTAGAAATAGGGACGCGTTTCTCGACTTCACTCTGTATCAATTGTGCGAGAGAATTTCGCCCAAGACAAGCGTTGGACAAAAGAAAAAACTAAGGAAAACAGAAATGTGGAAAAAGAAAACTTTTTTAAAAAAAAGAAAAACAGACAAGGGAAAACAAAGGTTGTCAAATTTTACATACCTTTTCAATCTGCGAATTGTTCCATGCAAATCTGCCCTCAGATTCGTCTAGAATCATGGCCACTTCGAAGTGATATGTGGTATCCATATTCATACCCAACCGTAAAGCATGTTCCAGAAATGCACCCGAAAGAAGTTTCGATATTGCCTGAGAGAGATTCCTGCCTCTGAAAGTGAATGGCGAACGCTGACAAACATCACATCCACTTTCTAAACTATCCTCATGCTCGACCATGGGCAGACCTGCTCGAGGTCGTAGGCTGCTGGTCCAACATTCTGTCGGCTCGTAAAGCTGTCCGAGTTTGGTTTGAAACATCTGGGAGACCTTTTGCGAATCAGCTGAGTTACTCCTTTGCCCAATGAAAGATGTACTCTTACCAAGCTCTCGCCGATATACTGAAGGTGGTGATATCCGTCCCTCACAATCAGGTAGGGCGAGAAAACAGGAAATGCGTGCGCAGAAACAGCTTCTCTGAAGAAACGAGTGCCCCCTTGACGCGTACTCGAGTCTCCAAAGTCTTCCATAGACGTTTCTAGTTCATAGACCAAGCGCTTCAAGAGGGGAATCTGTCGGGAGAGATTTTGGGTTCCTCTATGGGATGATTGCGACATAGATTGCACAGCACCACCTGATATATTCTTCCGATTTTGGTTCATTCCGTTCAAAATGATAGGTCTGTGGTTAAATGGCGATACTAAAGGCGCCACGTTTCCATGAGGGGATAAATATCTCTGCTCGGGCACACCTTCGGAGTTGATGACAACTAATCAGCCTCACTTGGAATCCTGAAAATTAGGAAGAGCTCCATCCACTCACCATGTGCTGTTGTGAAGTAGGGGAAATTGTGTCCCTGACTTGCAAACAATTTGCACACTCGGTTATAGTCGAGGTCTGTGAGAGCCGCGAAGAGCAATAGTCTTGAGGTTGGATCGTGTATCTTGCAATGTCGACTAAATGACTCAAACCATTGTAATGACGTTGTTAACGCATGCAATGTCTCTTCAGCAAAGAAAATGCGTAGAGAGCTTCCTTCAACGAGTACAGCAGCTTCCCCCGGTGTCCCATTGACTATCAATTCAGACTCAACAGTGACGAGTCTGTATGTTCTCGCTACCTCTGTTGCAGCAACGGCGGACACGTTCTCAATCTGTTTACGGACATTTGTCTGGTTGAGATAGTACTCGGGAATTAAACTACCACAGGTCATATATTAGTACTCTTATTTCCAGTATTCGTTCCGAACTCTGCCACACATTGAGATGGAGATAATGTTTCTTACACTGTGATAAAGAGAGCCCGGCTTCGCAAGAAGGCCGTTTTCTTTGCAAGAAACGTTTGCCGTCCCTTCGGGATGGATTGTTGGATCACTACTTTCGATAACTTCCTCGATCCCAGTTTGAGTGCACCCAAAAGATTTTCTAATGATGCGACGGTAGCCGGAGGGATGGTAAGTAGCGGCACTCGTCCCGCGAAGCTGTTGCTGAATTCGTTATTGTCATTGATGAACCAAGATAGATCCTTCGCACAGACTAGACGATCGAATTTCTGAGCGCTGAGGGTCTCAGTTTGGTCAGACACGGGGAAAATATTCTTTAACTTGAGCGGTTTGACAGTTGCTGCCGCCTGCTTAGGCTCCATCCCTGCCAGATGCCGGCTGACCGATTTCAAGCCATTGATGATATCCTCCGCTGTTTGCGAAGGACGGACCAAGGCCACGCTTCTCACAAGGGCATCAATCTGAAGATTCTCTGGATTGCAAAGAGACCGAAATAAGTGTTGGCAAGTCGGATAATCGGACACGAGATCAACGCCCTTCGCCATGGCCTCTGGTATGCTTACCCATGAAGGCGGCCTGGCGCTGTCAGCTGTCGCGGTTTTGCTTAGAAGGTACACAGCCTTCATTTCATGGTACACTTTCCTGATTCACCCAATTAGTTGGCTATTCTGATGCGGTAAGATCTGAAATACCTTATGAAAACCAATGCGACCTCGTAGCGAGACTGAATCTCTACATATATCTGCGAAACTTTCTCGTACGATGGCGGTATCTGTGATTCCTTCAACGCGAATAGACACTTGAAATAATATCGAGCATCAGCTTCAACTGATATAGATAAGTGCTTCAGTCGAGCTTTCATTTCAGAACTGTATTGCGCAAGTTTCAGTGTTGGGAGTCGAATGTCGGCATCGTCCTCAAACCGTGAATCTAGATCCGGAAGAACGCAAGCATGCAGAGGCGCTAAACCGATGCTGGTCTTGACACATATCTGTTGAAGATCACGCAACAGCATTGAATTCCGATCAGCGAGTTTATAGTCGTGGGGCTGTGGGCTTTCATGGTTCGGTGTAGGCCAGAGAACATTCCGGAGTTCCTGAAGCTTATGTTCCTTGTCTTTACTGTCGATACCGGATATTTCGATGAAATTGGAATATTGGTGCCAGTTTGATATCAAGAGATGGAGTACGTCAGAAACATTGCAGCGTGAGAAAAGATCATAAAACTCTTTAGACATGCGATATGCACCGGAATCCTTGGGATCTTGTGACGTTACCGCAAGTCGCGGCAGCTTTGCCACCTGCAGCACCTCCCCCAAGAAAGATTGCCATTTATCATGATCGTTAGGCCTTGGTCGATCAGAATAGCCAATGGCCTTCTGCAGAGAAGCGTCCCAGTCAGACCTAAGTATCCGCCACCTCTGGAACTCTCCAAGTTCGTCGCTGGCGTGCCCGATGAGATAACACTCTACATCTTCCAAATAGAGTACTGGGGCTTCCGACCATGGTTCTTCTTCGGAAGTCTCGCTTCCATTGTCAGATAAGTAATTCAAATCTGAATCACTAGATCTTGTAGAGTTTGAACCGTCTTCAGGCGTGGTTATGGAACGGTAATCTTCGTGTAGAACAAAGAAGGTCTTGAGCTCCTGTGCTTGGCGAACAATTCTGTCGACTGCTTCGTCTTCGTAGGAACTTTCAAAAAGATATGCACCAGAAGATAGATCAAGAAGTCCGTCTGTGCTTTCGACCCAAAGATCCAAAGGCTTGGTTAGTCTCCAGTTAGACAAGTAAAGAAATCGGGCATGAGCTACAAGATGTGCCCTTGTCCACCCGACGGTCTTAGGGTGTGATCCCGGCTGCGAGTGGGCGTCAATAATATACTGGCAGATATCATGTCTGCTGATATTCTGGATATCTAGGGAAGACCATAGATGTCTGCGATCTGCGTCGATAGTCGCTGCAGGTTGAACGATACGAATCGACTTCAAGACCAGCAAGTCGCCCAAATCTGAATCGTCTGGAAATATGCGTGGCCTAGAGCTGGCTTTCTCCCACCTTCCATTCATGAGAGGTACAATTGAAAGCCTAAGGATGATTGATTTTAGGTACGCGTCATCTGTCAACGGTATCAAGGCTCGAGCTAGGTCGGAGTGCCAGTCTTCGTATCGTGCTTGGAAACGCGACTGATCTTCCGCGATCATTTGTTCCAAGTCGTCAAGAAACCGCTTATCAGTTAGTTTGTTGACACCAAGACGGTACAACGCATCAAGAACGTGGCTAGGATACTTTGGGGATAGGTACACGTCATTGGTGCCAGCCCATAGAGTGAGAGGCCTGTCGCCGCGGTCGACATAGCGTCCCTCTACCCACCGAAGCGTGGAGGGGGTAACAAGTGTACCAGAAACTGACTCTATCACAGGCATTTTGGCAAGTTTCTCGAGTATTGCGACCCTTGATGGTTCGAAGAATGAGTTAATCTGCTCTGCCAGGATGAAAGCAGGCCAGTAAAATCTCATGGAGCCACAGTTGAGACGCTCCACACTTGCAATGAAAGCGTCCTCGAGAGCGTCTCGGAGAGAGATATTCCATGGTGATGAAGCATCTATGTGTCTCCGGTTCGTCGTCAGAAGAAAATCCCCTTGTATAATAAACTGTGATAGTCAGAACAAACTCTGCTGAGCACGAGTGAGGTGCATTGTAAACCATACCTTCAGACCGTATTTGCCAATTGGTAACACATTGTGCACGTTTTGTATCTTGAAGGTTGTGTCTGCTGCATCTTCCATGGCGGGAAAAGCCAGTATAAGCTCTGAAGTCTTCGAACCCAGTCGCTTGGGCTCGTGCGGAAGGTTCTTCACCTGTTTCCTGGTAATGATGTATGTGAATACCTGGTCACCCACAGTAAGAACGGTAATCGGACCATTGGCGTCAGTCTCGTCGCGTCGTCCCATGTTGTTGGTTTGCATCTGACTGCCTTGATGTACCTTCACGGTGATTTTCCTGAGACGCCTTGTGAACAGGAGACAGGCCTGATCAAGCTTGAGTAGGCCGTCCACGAGCTCGGTCTCGTCGCAGCCGTCATTTAGTTGGAGCAGAAACGAAGTGTGGTTCTCGAGAACAGGTTCCGGAAACTCCTCCCAGACCGGTGCGATCATACCAAAGGGCCGAGCCTTGTCGAACTTGAAAGCGAACTCGCGGGAGCGAATCCAGACCACGTCGGCGACTTTGAACACGCTTTTGAAGCCGATGCCCTTCTCGCCGGTCCGTCCGGCGTGATCTTGACCGCTTTTGGTACTGCTGCGGATGCTACAAATAGCCTCCACATTATTCTTGTTGAACCCGACTTCGTTGCAGTCTACTCTGAGGAAGCCAGAGGTGTAAGTGAACTGCAAACAGGGGATCACACCCAGAGCATAGTCATTGTCGTCGGCATTCTGGAGCAATTCCAGTAAGAAGTGGGTCGACGTGTCGTAGAGCTCAGTTGAGAGTCTGCGACCGATATCAGCATGCTTCTAAGGGGTTGTCATATAAAGCTGGAAGGGGGGGGGGGGGCTCTGGGACTGAAGTCATTCCAAGGATACGTACATCTCAAGAGCATTTCTGACGATGGAGGAGACCTTTGAATGTCCATCGGGACTGTGTTCATGTCTAAGTCTTTCAATGACATCCTGTGCTTTTTCTGAGATCTGATCATCCATTGTCAACGAGGACATGAGAAGCTGCTTGGAGAGTTGGGGTTGGTAAATGCCTCTCCGAAGAAGAAGTTGGGTCTAAAGATATGACGAGAACAATGCACTTGGTGGCCCTACACTGGCTGACAAAACACGACAACTCACTGTGCATCATGTATTACATACAATAAATAGCATCAATGGCGGGCAAATGTTCATTCGAGTAAAATGTAATATTACATGTGAAACAACCTGCAGTCAGCATCAAGACGAGGCAGCTGGTCTCTTACAGAGCCTGCCAGTACGCAACGTTGACGTGAGAAAACACGTCGCCTCGTGGAAGACATAAAGAGATCTTTCGAAATCTGCCACTAAACTGGAACCTGCAGCAGTAAACTGTTGAATTCTGCCTTGCCATGCTCGCTGTGAGCTCACCAATACGCAGGCGAGATGGCCATCAGCCTATCTTGCGAAAGGGTACATGTGTTGCCAGCCACGAGATCGACAACCCCTCACGCATGTTTGGTCCGATGGGTGCCCATTGGGCACATCGACAGCCAAGAAAGAGACACATTGAGGTCGCACAGCTCGGGTCTAGGGCGCAGTTGGGCAAAGCGAGCCTGTTGAACTGCTGTGCCAAACGCCTTGTCCTCGGTCTTCCTCTATCTTCTAGCATTTTCCTCTGATCCATCATTGAAGATGGCGTGAGGCGCATTGAGTAACATATCAGCAAATGTGTAATGATAAGGGACCTGAAGATGACTGAGGCTGCATGCACACGTGATCAGCAAACACCCATGCAGGATCGTTGATGGGAGACCAACGCATGCGAGCTGGTGGTGTTGGGGCAGGTCGATAGGGTCTATCAGTGATCTCCCCACCGGTTCTGCAATTCCAATAATCCACGTGGGACTAGTCCGTGACAACCTCGGGGCGGTCGCTGATACAAACCGAAGATTGTTGAGGTGTTGATTGTGCATTTTGCAAAGGTCGCATTTGATCGCATTTGAGGTCTTTCATATGCTTTGGCCGGTGGCCGTGTCTGATCAAGGTGCTGGAAGAGAAGATGTGACACGTCATACGAAAGGATCTCTCAGATAAAAATAGTAGTCCTCGTGAACTTGACCAGTATTTCCACTTTCTTTTTCAAACCTGCATTCTTATTTAGTGGTGCAGTGCCAGGAATGGATGGTCTAGTACCTGGGTGTACAGTGGCCGTGGCCCCACACTAAAAGTTCTGTTTTCGGACAACCACGACTCGGCAAGCGCGATGCGGCCACTGTTCTTGTATTACGACGACGTGTTTCGGCCGGGCACAGGGGTAGAAATAGCTCTGTTGAGAAGGTCTCAGCTTGAAGACAGACGAAGAATATAAGTTGAGGTCTTACTGAGAATTTCAAGATTACAAGCAAGATTTCAGAGCATTTTCTCTTGTGATTTTGTCCCTCTTGTGGCAGTGATTACATACAGTGTATCTCTTGGACAGACACAGTATCTCTCGAGTCTACCCCTGTGCGGCATTCATTGATTTGATCCGCCTCATTGTGGACGGCCTTGTGCACACCTGAGAGCATTCCGACTGCTGGAGATCGTTGCCAAACGAAAAAAAACTTGGCCAAGGCTCTAAGCTCCGTCACTGTAGAATCGCTATGGCTGGTCATCTCAACTTTGGTCTTCATAATCGCAACCCGGGCAGTTCGGGACCAACGGTTAATGCGGCACGGCGTCGCACACGGAGATGTGCGACAACCAGCTCTCGTTGGGTGCGTAGTTCCTAACAGGGATTTCCTTGCTATCTGCTTGGCACCCGGCCGGCCCGTACGGAGGTTGCGGGTTGTCTGCACATACCCGGCTTCCTTACTCAATGTGTAAGGTGAGGTCATATTTGGCCTTGAGAACAAGATATCCAACGAGTTCCATCGCACTCGCAGATCTTCCGATATGTTACAACTCGTATGTCTCTGCATCAGAAAGTCCTCATTTTTTTTCATCATCAGTAAATCCTTCTGTTTGTCGTATCCATTTTGGGAGTTGAATTTCGGAACACGTCCTACAATTATTTCCATACATCTTCTCAACCAGCCCACGGGAACCAGTCCCTTAATGTCAAACATCGACTTTCCGCAAGAACTGAACCCGAAAGTCAGTCCTTGATCCACCCATGTCTGGAAAGCATCCCGGGGGGTTGGCAGCCAGCCAGACGCCATCGAGATGTGGTTGCCATTTGTCTTTGGATTCTATAGATGAGACAGAACAGTACGATGCCCCTGAAAATTACATCGCTCTCAACGAGGTGGGCGCACCACCCCCGATACACAACACCAGCTCTGCACCGATCCGTGTCTACAGAAGCCTCGAAGACGAGATATCCAGTCATCGTCTCTCGGGCAATAGCCGACCAAGAACTGCAGAAAAAGATGGCAAACCGATTCTGCTTAGCACCAGCAATCGTGTCCCCAACTCTGCAAGGGAAAAGCGACGAAGAACAAGGCGCAGTTCGCATGGAGAATATAATGCTCCTGCAGACTTCGCCTATCTGACAGAGCTTCAACCCGAACTTCCAGTTGAGAACCCGGACGAGGAGCGTGAATTCTTTCACGACGACCTGGAACGCGATTTCACACAGCTAGATTCCTCGAAGGATCCAGCAGCTCGAAAAAAGGGCGTTTTGCGCTCTGATGAGAAAGGTCGATGTTCTCAGTTTCTCACAATCATCATCACTATATCGCACCTCGTATTCTTCTCAATACTGGGCACCTTGGCCCGCCTAGGCCTCACCAGCCTGACGACGTACACGGGGGCTCCAGTGACCTTCCCGGATCTCTGGTCGAATGTGGGTGGCACCTTCTTCCTCGGCTTCCTAACCGAGGGCGCCGAGATATTCCGTCACCCTCCTGCAAAGAGGAGCATTGTGAGGTCGTTTGCAGAGAGTATTGCACCAGATCCTGTGTCGCACTCCAGCACTGAGGTGGAAGATGGTGACACGGCTGATGATACACATAGCCCAGTACTGAACAATAACGCGTCGTCCGGGAAAGATCAGCCTCGCACTACACCTGTCCCGTTGCACATAGGACTTGCCACGGGATTCTGCGGGTCATTCACAACTTTCTCTGGGTTCATCCGTGAATGCTTCGAAACTCTCTCCAACGGTGCCTCGGTCCCATCGTACCATCCTGGAGAGGTTAACAGCGACCCCGCAACGCGGAGACCTGGCCAGGACTTTATGGCTGTCATGGCGGTAATTATCGCTACCATCAGCTTGAGTGTTGCTGCTCTCAAGGCAGGTGCCCATCTTGCGATATTCGCGAGACGTCTTGGGAAGAATCTGCCTTGGAGGATGATCTACTGGGTCGATCGACTCATGATCCCACTCGCGCTCTGTACATGGGCCGGTGCTATCGTGTTGTCGGTTTTCCCTCCTGACCGCCCGGGTGGGCCTCAAGGCCGCACGAGCTGGACTGAGGAGTCCTGGCGGGGAGAGGCATTATTCGCATTAGTCTTTGGGCCGGCAGGCTGCCTGCTACGTTTCTTCGTGAGCATCAAGCTGAACCGCAAGGCACCAAGCTTTCCTCTCGGAACATTCATAGTGAACATGTTTGGCACGATGGTCATGGCAATTGTTTGGGACCTGCAGCGCGCGCCACCTTCGGATTCCTTCCGTGGCTTTTTTAAGCACCTTGTAACGTGCCAGGTGCTGCAAGGCATCTCGGACGGCTTCTGCGGTTGCTTGACTACGATTAGTACCTGGGCCGTCGAGCTTAGTGGCCTTCGTAGGAAGCACGCATACGTTTATGGGTTTACTAGCGTATCTGTAGGCCTGGCTATAGCTACCACAATAATGGGTTCTCTTAGGTGGACTGTTGGAATTGGTCAACCCATATGTACGGCTTTGTAGATATCATAGCATTAGATGTATTTCAGAACTCTCTTCGGAGGTTTACAAATTTGACATTCTGTATTTGAGTACTTAGGTAGAGCTTCTGGTTTGAAAGTGGGATTGAAAAGGAAAAAAAGAAAACAAGACTGCGTCTCGATAAATCGGCATCATCAAGACATTGCACCTTACATCTACGTTGAGCACGGCTGCCATCTTGTATATGCTGTGAGCGACTTTCCCTTCGTGAATGACAAGCACACGACGTTGCAAATCGTGATGGAGACCTCCAGATTTAGAAGTATCACGTTTGAATCCGTTGAGACTGGTGCATGTGGCTATATCTAGGAGACGAGATGCCTGAGGCTAGAATGAGCTCCGACTAGAATTGATTCTAAAATTCGTTTTGGGTTTTATTTAAAATCACAAATGGGTTCCAAACAAGAGTCGTAAACAAATTTAAGTCGCCTCACTGCAGGAGTGCAGGCTCTTCGAGCAAGGGAGACCAAGTCTCGACGGGTACTTCGACCACTGTCATTGTTCGGGCCAGCTTGTCAGGGCAGCTCATGCTAGCCGGTACCGTGTATTGGATGTGCTGTCTTATTACTCATCCCCCCTCAGCGATCTTCACCAGAGCATCGGCCACCTCGTCCGGAACACTGGCGAAGGCGGAGTGGCCCCCGCTGATAACAAGCTTGTTAAAACCAAGTCCCGTGCTCAACTCGTGCTGCAATGGTACAGGAAATGCATTGTCTTTCTCACACACTATGTACGTCTTGGGAATGCTGATATCAGGTGCCGCAAAGTCGATGGGCGTTATCACAGCCTTGTAAGACTGCGGAACCAGCGCCTTGTAAAATTCCTCGGTTGTCTTCGGGGACAGGTCGTTGTACAAATGCTTTTTGGACTTCTCGTTGACAGAGATTTGGTGCTAGAACCATATGAGATTCAGGAATACAAGAGCGGATGAAGATGTCAAAAGCCTTACAAATCCGTTGGTTTCACTGATAGTATGCCAATCGAACCACTGCCTATTTGGAAGGGTGTCCAAGATGCTCATACCGGCAGCAGGGATGGCAAACGCGCAGAGGAAGATTACATGGCGGAAGCCGCCGGAAAGACCGCGCCTCGCGCGCTCTGCGATGCTATTCTCACGGGTTGCTACACAAGCTGGTAGTCCTCCGTACGAATGGGCAACCAACAGGACCTCCTTTCCCTGCTTGAAGAGCGGTTCCGCATAGTCCAGAAGCGTCTTGGTGTCTGCCTCCCAACCTATTCCTGTCGCGTTGGCACCCATGCTTGGGAGGGCCGGCACAACAAGGGTATAGTCTCGAGATGCAAGAGCCTCTTTCAGCGAGTCATAGAGATGAGGTGGGTGCCAGGATCCGTGAGCAAGGAGCAAAACAGGCCTGTTCATGGTTAATTTGAACTTGAGAAAATGTCGGAATGGTGAGAGCAACGGTTTTGAAGAAGGTTTATTGAGTCCCTCAGCACTATGACTTGAATGATATTTCCCGAAAATGTGATCATGGTTTTATATGGTCTTTATTGTGGCCATTACCCCTCGTACAGCGTTGGATTGCGGGTTTAGTCCCGGAGCCAAAATCTTACACGGCATGCATGGTTGGGTGCATGTTGCCAGTGCCCAGATTGAGGTTACTATCTTCACCTCGCATGTGACCCCCTTACCCTTTATGAGACTTCCGACCTAATCTGGCTGCTTGGTTAACATCGATTGTCTCCCTGTACGCTTAAAGTCAAGAGTGTGAGCATGACCTGGAGAGATCTTGAAAGTCCCTACTATCACATTGCAGGTATTCTTTCATTGCGGATCAAAGTACGACCGAGGTACACTTATTGATCAGAAGAACCTTTCTAAGATTCACAAACGACCACAAGTATTGCGGACTTGGCGTTCAGATCGGCATCGTATTGAGGTATACGCCCTGAGATGCGGATTTACGCGAGAAAACAGTTCACTTGGTCCCAGAAATCTCATTCTACCCAAAGAAAGGCGCCATGTTCCGGGCCAAAGTCACAGGCAATCCGCAACGCAGCACGTCGGTCAGTCCAGCTTCTTAGTCAACTCTTTCACTTCCTCGCCAAAATCAAATGGTCCTCCCATCATTAGTGTCGCCTTTGGATCCGTGCCGTTCTCCAAGATGGCCTTCTTTGCTAAGAAGTTCCTCCCGAACAAGTCTCCCAGCATCTCCTTCGCCTTGGCCTGAGAGAAGCGAGGAAACTCTACAGCTTCACCATCCGCGCCTTTGAGGGACCCAGTCGCGGCATCCCACTCCCATTCCCAAGGATAGTCGGGGTCGGCAAAGGCCCAAGGATTGGCGATGATCTTGCATTTCAGAGTAGCACCAGCAGGGAGAAAGGGAATCACATGTTTGACATAAGTGTTCTGAACAAAGTCCATGGCGAAAAAGAGAGCCCTGGGTGTAGATTCGAAATCAATTTTGCAGCCGGCGGTGGTCGGTGGCTCCAGGTATTTGAATTGTGGGTGGTGGAACAGAGACCTTAGAAGCTCGGCGTAGGTGACTGCGATGTCTATGACCTCGGATGGAGAAGGATGAGAGAGATCATAAGGGATAGGCATATTGGACGGTTTGTTTCGATTCCTTGATAGCTTTTGGATGGACTTGCAGAGCAGTACGTAAAGCTCTCAACTTGAGGCACGCGACGCGGTGACGCGTTTGGCTATCTTCAACCCCGCGGTTTTGCCGCCTTATTCTTAATAAAACAGATAATTGCACTAAGAGCACAGGATAACAGTATGTTTAGCACAGTACAAATTCTCCGTCAATTATTCAAACGGACCTTCAAAATGTGCCAGATCCAGTCTGGCCCATGCAATTCAACTTGTAAAGCATGCTTAGAGTTGCATGGACCGGGACTCGGAGCCAACAGCACTGCATAGGTTGAATAATGTGTCTCTTAGCAGCTGCGCCATGTCTTCATCTTCGGGAAATGGAAAGCCCTAGAGGTGAGCTATAATTAAGGCATATCGTTTCATTAAATCAAACTTATATTTGTTACCAGCAATTGTTAGTTATCAGACATCTCATTGTTTATCATTATAACAGTTATGTGTTACTAGGAGGGCAGTGTTTTGTCATTTACCATAGCCACTTACCAGTAGCCGAAGCGCTACTGATGTTGACCTCCACCTTTTTGCTAGCCACTGCCAGCTGCCAGTAGCTGCCAGCTACCAACAGTCAGCCATCTTACACTACCAACATCAAGTCACTTAATATACCAGTACCCGATCCCGACCCACCACAGTCGATCGAGACTTTTGATTATGGCGATTGATGGACCTATGGGAACTTGCGCATTGACGGAGCCGTTAGAAATCCGTAAGAATTTGTAAGGCTTAGATTCTCAGCTATCAGTAGGCTACATATTCAAGGGATTCTAATCTGTTATATAGACCATCTTCTCCACAGTGTAGATCCCTAATAAAAATAGATATCCCATGATGTAATAGAGATTCATTCAATACCCGACTCGCTAACCGAACAAGTCCATAAAACCGGTGTTTATAGGTACTAGTCCTTCACAAGCCGCTGCCCGAGTTCGGCACACGCAGGCTCATATATGTCGATCCAGGGCATTCGGCGGATATTTGACATTATTTCATCCCAAGAGACCATTTTCTGCTCTTTCATATCGCTAACTATCATTCTCATCAAGGTTGCGTGGTCTTGGTCACTGGGTTCGCTGATGCTGCAGAGAACCAGGAGCCAAAGTCGGATGGTTTGTAGATCGGGACTGTCGTTCCAGACATGCTCCGTGTCGAAATTGCTTGATAGTATCTTGAGCAACGTTGATATACGTACTTCAGCAGTCCCGGGGTAGGAGCGACACCTTCGCTTCACCCGTATGATCCAAATAATAGCCCCAAGTCGAAGCGCCTCCGAAATAACGTCACAACGTGTCGTCGGCTCCGATGATCTTCTTGGTCTTTGATTCAGTAAGCGGTGAGTGATTGGGTTTATAAAAAACCCCATTTGCTCTTCATCATCCCAGATGGCATCGCCTTTGAACGCCAGCTCGACCCGGAGCAGTGTAGCGAGCGCATTTAGGTCACCTATACAGGACATCAAGCTCATGAATGGTGCATCTTGCGTGTTCTCGTCGTTAATGACGCTGATTAGCGGAGCGGGCAGCATTTCCCAGCCCAGGCGATGGAATACGTTGGGGCTGGCCATGTTCGCGAATAGCGGAAACAGTGGTTTTGTGTCGTGCAGCAATGCTGCCGTAATGTCCACCCTGTGTGACCGTTTAGTATTTATACAACAAAATCAAGTTAAAAAAACACAATATTCGTGTCGCCGAGCCGTACCATGAAATCATGAGCATCAGGTCCTGGTTTGACTCCAAGGTAGAGATGCCACCTCTTGCCGCAACCACCATCCACATGCCCTTGACATGGATCATCGCTTGGTCAAAGTCTAGGCTGGTAAACTGACACAACTTCAGCCGAATGCTTGAGAGACGGCTAGTCATGAATGGAAGCTTACATTGTAGCAAACTAGTGCCAGCACCGCGTTGATAACACTATCAGACGTCGCGCTGCTCGCATTGGAGCTGGCAAGCCTGGACTCGACGCACTGAATAGTTACGAGAGAGCGCTCCAACGCCAAGTACCGAAGCTCTCCGGCTGATCTACGGTATAATGGGATGAGAACATCAGGTGAAGTGAAAATCTGTCTGTAGTGATGAAGGAAGGCGGATTTTCTGAAGGCGAAGGGGAACCAGAAGGTGTTTGTCGAGCAAGCTGTGTCCTACTATTTAGCAAGTGGTGAATGGTCGAATTGACGGAAGATTGGCTTGGCTTACCGGATTCTATTGCATTCTTTCCCGCGACCATGATCAAAGTAAATCCATATGCCGAGAACCAATCCTCTCCCCACTCCTTCTCAAAGGCTGATAATGTATATAAAATAGGCGGCATCGCGTACGGTGCAGTGTATGGTTCTGGTGCCAACAGTTCTTTCGTAGCAGCTTTCAAATGATCTTCATCTTGACTAATCGAATATTCACCTCTACGAGTGCTCGGTTGAGTCTTTGAAGTTTCTGCCAGGGGCCATACTAAGGTGGCGAATTGGAGGTTCTTCGATGGCTTTCTTCGGGACTTTCCGATGTCGACCATAAGATGGCGACGGATCCTGGAGTCGAGCGACTTGCTGCGGGTGCGACGTGAAGTATGATTGCCATCATTAGCGGGCAAGAAGAGGAGGCGTCTCTTGTTTGAGGGCTCCTCCATCATCAGCTGTTGTCAAATACAACTGAGCCATGAATAGAGAACAGAATCAAATTTCTAGTGAAGGGCATTCGGAAAGGGCCGGAACTCGGTCGCTAGCAAAGGACATGTGAGAAATTAGCTCATATAGTTCCAGCTATTCAATGAAGATAAATCAGTGAGCTTACCCCAGCTGGACACCCTAGATAGGTGATTTCAAATCAAGAGCGCAAGCAGATGATTGATAATCATACCAACATGACCCGACCAGCACTACGATCTCCGGATCCTTGCCATTTCCGATATACCATTTACCCTTTTCGGCGACCGGGCGGACGGTAGTCGTATGCATTCTGTGTATGGAACTGAACTAGGTGCAAACAATATCCAATTTGCTTAAGCTGTTTTGATGACACCGTGATCCTGTTGGGGCAACGTCAAATCCAGAAGGCTTGCAATTGCTTCACTGTCTGGGCGCAGGGCAAGATGAATCGTGACTTACATATGGTCGCAGGGTTGCTCAGCTTGCGAGCTTGATAGGACCATGGGGGGACGAAATGTGTATAAATATGAAGCAAGAACCGTCCGTGAATGAGGAGAGTCAAGACGTGAAAAGCAGATTCATCACGACTTAAGACCTCACTCTTGGCTTCCTTCTGCACGACCTGAATGCTTTACAGCTTTAACTTTCTCCACTTCATTGTGCAAACGGCTTACCCACCTTCACCCACCATGAGCACAGATGAGATGATTACGCTCTACTGTGAGGGCACTCCCAACCCACTGAAGATTTCCATCGCGCTGGAGGAACTAGGCTTGAAGTACAACGTATGATGCCCATGCAACATCGCTCAAGGTCCCTAGAAAAAAGCAAATAAAGATTTTGAAAACCCTGACGCAGTCGGTATGTAGGTACGCGCAATTAAGCTCTTTGAACACGAGCAGAAACAGCAATGGTACCTCAACATTAATCCCAACGGCCGTATTCCGGCCATCGTCGACAAGGACGAGAGTGGCCACGACCTCAAGATCTGGGAAAGTGGCGCCATCTTACAGTATCTCGTGGACCGGTACGACAAGGACCACAAGATCTCGTATCCTCATGGCAGTAAAGAGTACTGGCAGATGACGAGCTGGGTAAATTTTGTTATTTTCCCATCCTAATTATGAAAAGTGGGCAATCTCTAACCAAAGACATTCACAAGCTCTTTTGGCAGGTGAGCGGCCTCGGCCCCATGCAAGGCCAGGCAAACCACTTTGAGAGTATGTTTCTGGCTATGCTACAATTGCACTGCTGGCCCGGGGAGATGGAAGGGAACAGGCATCACTGACCCGAGATGAACACAGTGTCCGCTTTCGGCGACTATCCGTACGCCTTGAACCGCTACGTCAACGAAACGCGCCGTCTCTACCGCACTATGGACAAGGCCCTGGCCGATAATCGTTCCGGATACCTCGTCGGTGATCATCTTACCATCGCCGACATTGCTATTTGGCCATGGGCCACCGCGTACAGTAAGAAGTTTCCACTCGGTGGCGTCTATATGCGAGACACAAACTAATAGCGCGTTGCAGAGTACAGTGGCCTATCCCAGATCGACGAATTCCCTCACGTCAAGGACTGGATGTACAGGCTCCTCGCGCGTCCTGGGTTCGAGAAAGGTCGCAACGTGCCGAATCCTCATATTTACCTCCAGCTCAACGAGATGCCGGACGAAGAGCTGAAGAAGCTGGGCAGGGAGAGATCAGGTTGGATTCAGGAGGCTATGAAGCGCGATGCTGAATGATCACGGGGCCGTCTGCTGTATGGCTGAGCCTTGACCGGTCGCCGAAGCCGTGACTTCTTTCATGCTCGCGGCCTGGCATACTAAGCAAGGGCATTGTCTTGAGGAAAGGCAGGATACCGTCGGCTATTCTCCGTTAACGTGTTCCCCTTGGAGCAGTCATACCAATTATATAGAGTTCGACCCTCACGGACGCGCGTGATTTCTCTTTTGCGATGTAATACAGTGACCTAACGGCTGGCAACATTTCGCGGCAACATTTCACGCTTCACCCACTGAACCTAAGAGGCCCAGACTGTTCTTGCCAGTCCATCCGGCCGGATCTGCACAATCAACTATCTTCCATCTGACCGACCTGCTATAAGACATCTGAGTGTTCGAGTAGTGTAGTGAGAACTTTATGCAATCGGAGCTTGGCCGATGATTATCACCTCCCTTGCAGCTCAGCTTGACCCCACCCCGAACAGAGAAAGAAACCGCTGTCCTCCCATCCCCATAAAAACCATGGGAACCTTCAGCTTCCAACAATCAATATATCCAGAACCTGATGTGGTGTGGCAAGACTTCTGTACATCAGTCTGTGTAGGATTCATTGCAGTTACAGTTTGACACATATTCCCTTTTTTTTTGGGGGGGGGGGGGAGGTTGGGACTGGACTGGCGCTTTGCCCATGCTTGCTTTAGATCCAATATAAAACGCCGCACTACACGTCAGCGTGAAGATTGACCGGGTTTCTCTGCTTGAGATGTCCTGACAAATGATATATTTTTTCCAGTATCGGGACTAATAAAATTGGCAAACACGCGCCGCGATTTTAGCTGGAAGTCAAGCCCACACCGAATTTGCACGAGCGTGCTGCCAACCGTCGCGTTTGGCCGCAAGGGGCTCGACGATCACACCCTCTATTCACAGCCAACAGCTCTGTTGGGACCTTTGGAGGTCGTCATCGTCAGCACCAATGCAGCCACAGACCAACCGCATTAGTTCCAGTTGTCATCCTTGATGAATTGTGATCAATTCCAGAGGGAAGACGTTCTGGTCGCTGATTAGCCATTGTGCATGCATTTATGGATCCAAATTGCGACTGTTGGCGGCCATACCATCTCGAGTTGCTACCATCAGACATAACTACCACCGCACCTCGGTCGGTCGATGAAATAAACCCAATGTCTGGCCTTTCATATGTACTAGCTGAAGGAGATGCGAACTGATTTTTGGATCGCCGCGCACAATCCGAAAATCTTGTCTTACCTTATGTAACCTAGCCTCACTGCTTTCCATCGATCATACATTCGTGCTGAAGGCACACAGGTCATTTTCAGAAGCCCTCCTGACTGTGCATCAGCTAGTACACGGCATTTAGAGGCACAAGCCGAGCATATAGAACAGTGTGGCGTCTTTTCACTACCACCCATCTCGTGAAGTCATCATGAAAACCACTGTCGTCGATATTATGATTATGGCCGCAACCTACGCAGTCGGCATCATTCTACCCATAGTACGTTATTGAACGCTGACGCTTTTCTCTAATTCTTCTTTTTGTGAGGAAAAACGCTGTCAATCAATTTCTTCCACTGCTAATCATGAAGTGATAGATCGTAATCATCGCCGCGTATCGACTTCTGCTTCACCCTCTAGCAGGCTTCCCCGGCCCATTGCCCGCGAAGCTCACGAGCGCATACACGGGATTCTATGCGTGGAGACGATGTTCTCACATCTCCACCTACCGTGCCTTCCAGAAATACGGCGAGATCACCATTGCTCAAAGGCTCAGTCCCCAGCACGCGTCATCAGGCGCCGAGGAAGAGGCACGCACTTCTAACACGAGCGTCACGGCCAGGCCCGATCGTCCGGATAGCCCCGAATCGTCTTGTCTTCTCCACTGTCACCGCACTCCATGGTCAGTAGCCCAATGTCCGGCCACCTGTTCCAATATTTGAACTGCTGTTGACGAGTATAAGACATATACAACAACCCGAAAGTGACGAAAGGCCCTGCTTACTACGGTTCACGCATTTTCAAAGAGCGACCCAACATTTTCAACGAGGCAGACAGGGAGCTCCACCGAAATAAGCGGAAGACCGTTGGGCCCGCCATCTCCGAACGTGCAATGCGTTTCTTTGAACAGGACATGAGCCAAGAGGTCGATATCTTCCTAGCGCTGCTGCTCGAGTCTAGCACAAAGAATGAAGTTGTCAATATGACGCCGCGTTGTGAGCGGTTGGGCGTTGATGTCGTGGGTCGATTGGCGTTCGGCTTTGAACTGAAATCGCAACGCGAACCAACCCACAGACACGTCGCCGAGGGCATAAAGGCCAGATCAGCCATCAGCAGTATTTACATGTCCTGGCCAAGTCTCCGCATCCTCAACCCCGTCATCACTTGGCTTTCGCCTCGTCATCGAGAGACCGACAAAGAGAATCTGTACAAATCACTCCGTACGATGATCGGCAGCAGGATGGTACTTCCCAAAGAGGCGAAACACGACTTCTATGCGCAGGTCTCGGGAGAAATGGGTCCTGATGAGCTTTGGTCCGAGGCGATTCTCATTGTAGGCGCAGGTATGCTGATTCTCTGCCTCGTTCTGCTACAACCCATTTCAGAGCCAAAAGAAACGAAACGAAAAGACATTGACATTACTCACAGGGGGCAGCACAACAGCAACGACCATGTCAGCCGCCTTCTTCTACCTTTCACGGAATCCCCTTGCATACAAGTGTTTATGTACCGAAATCCGAAGCAGGTTCTCCTCCGCCAGAGAGATAAGCCAGGGCGCGCAGCTCAGTGCCTGCAGCTATCTGCGCGCCGTGATTGACGAGTCCCTTCGCCTATCAACGGGAACTATCTCCAACTGGCGTATTCAGGCGGCGCCCTCAATTGCGGCCGGGGAGCAGCTCGTTGTCGACGGGCACGTCATCGCGCCGGGGACAGAGGTCGCAACCAACGCGTACAGTTTCATGCGCAACCCAGACTACTACCCCGAGCCGTTAGCTTTCCGGCCCGAGCGCTGGCTGGAGGGCAACGAGGAGCAGCGCGCAACCATGCGGCGCGCTCTGATCCCGTTCTCCTTGGGCTCGCGCTCGTGTGCCGGCCAGGCCATGGCCTACCTCGAGCTCAGCCTCGCCCTCGCGCGTACCTTCTGGTATTTTGACTTTGAGAAAGCCCCCGGGGAGGCTGGTGGGCTGAGCGAGGTGCCTGGTGCACCTGGGGAGTTCAAATTGGAAGATAGCACGATCGTGGGACACAGTGGCCCGAACTTAATGTTCAGGACGCGTGCTGATTACTGGAGGGAGTTGATGGCCACTTCGTCGAGTTGAGACTGGAAGAGCAAGCGGTCACTCATTGCGAAGCTACAATGTAAAGTTTTCTAAATGAGGCTTTGGATTTGAGTATATTTTTCTATCACGCTATTGTGGCAATGAAACCAATGTTCGACACCATAAGGGTGCAGGGAGCCACCGGCCATCAACACCGGTGCTGGAACATCATTGCACAAAACGCAGTATACTTAGCATCGCTTGCTTTGTTGACAGCTAGAGTCAGCCCACCCAGCTTTATCCTTCCGCCCACCTAGTGCTTACCTTTCTCAGAGAATTGTGATGCGGTGTGAGCTGGCAGGTATTCATTCCTTGGGCTTTGAGGTATCAACAGCAGATACCCGCCTGGAACCACTACTTCTTACTCTCATTCAACCACTTATAGACCACTCTCGCATCCTTTCCCTGGTATCTCGAATCCTTCATCGCCTCCTCAAACGCCTCCAAAGTCGGCTTGTCCAACACCGTGCGCGCCCCGACCATCTCAGCCAGGCGCGAGCCCATGGCTAGAACTTTCGCGCAGAGCTCGATGCGGAACCCGCCCTCGTAGCCCCGGCTGCTGGGCACACCCTCCTGCACCCCGGGAACGGGGTTGCTCTTGCTCGTCACCCAGCACTGCCCGCCACTGGCATTGATCACCTCGGTCAGCAGAGATGGGTCCAAACCTGCCTTGACCCCGATGTTGAGTGCCTCAGACGCAGCCAGCGACGTGATCGCGCTCAGATAGTTGTTGATCACCTTGAATGCCGTACCCGCCCCGACGTCACCGCACAGGAAGATACCATCCGCGCTGCCCATGTGCTGAAGGTATGACTTTGCTGCTGGGAATGCAGTCATGGACGCGGCCGGTTCGCAGCCCACCATGAAGGTCAGCGTGCCTGCGGCGGCGCCCATGGGCCCACCCGAGACGGGCGCGTCGACGAAAGTGACCGGCGTGGAGGCGCTGCTGGCCTCCTGGGCCGCCTTGGCTACTGTATTGATGGTCTCGGTCTCGATCGTGCCGCATTCCATGATGAGCTTTCCTCCTGGTGTCGGTGCTGATGATGTTGCGCCGGCAAGAATGCCGGTTTGGGGGTCCAGGTAGACTGCCTTGACCACCTCTGAGCCCGGAAGCATGGTAATGACGGTGTTCTGGAGTCGTCTATGAGCAGCAATCCTTGATACTACCCAGGTAATTTTCAGGATTCAGTCGAACTTGACAAGGACAACTTACAGCTGCCTTTGCCGCCTCGAAGCCGTTTTTGACGATTTCGACGGGCCCTTTGCCAGCCGTCTCGGTTTGAAAGCGTTCCAGAGCTTCCTCGCTGATGTCAGAGATAAGTAGAGTCGTGGTAGCGTCCAGACCCTTCCGTAAATTCTTTGCCATCGGGTACCCCATCACGCCAATGCCTGCAGTCAGGTCCGATTAGCAGCCAGTCCTCAAATCCGCCTAGGGCCTAATGGGTCACACAAACCAATGAAGGCGACTGTGTTCTCCGGTGATGAAGGCATATTGTATCATGTATTGGCAACGCTCAAACCAAGCTTGATCCTACCCGTATATTGATTCTAGAAGCGATTGAGGGTGAGAAGTGCACATGTTTTGGACGTGGGATCCAGCAGCACTTCTTTACTCCGCATGCCTCATGGCTCCTGCATGATCCCACTGGCTTGTTCCTCGCGCACAGATACACTCATTGGATGCCGATCCGCAGCACTCCGAGAGGGGATATCTCACGCACCGGGAGCTGTGACTGCTCGGCCAGGTCCCCTCATCTTATGAATACAGTCATTGTACAGGAAATCGGCTTTTAGGCGGATAATGGGACCTCGAATGCTACCTAGCTTGCAGACGGCTTTAGATATAATCTGTACTTTCCAACTCAACTTACCCAGACCGTGGCTACCGAGGCTCTGCGCCTCGTGTGAGAAAATCCAATCCCACTCTGGTTTTTGATCGTTGGTCGACCCCAAGTATGGTTATTGAGGACAGCGCCCACAATGCCTTGGCTAGCGTTGGATATATGCAGTGTAGACAATGGCAGGGGGGCCTGAGCCCGAAACGAGTGTGGCTCAGGTCGCCGGATAATTCGGGTAAGACGGATAGAGCGGAGTCGAGTCCCCAATTTGCCAAATCATCGTACGTCCTTCGTCTTAACTACGTCTGTCTCGGTCTGGGCTGATCCTCTACAAAGTGGATCCACACTTTATCAAGACAGTTGTTTGCTCTCGCCCGCCGCGCCGCTGACCTGTGTATCAATTCATCCTACCAAGATGCCGGACGAAGCGGCACAGCCGATTCACAAGCGCAGGCGGGTCACCGTGGCCTGCGACAGCTGCCGTTCTAAAAAGTCAAAGGTATTCCTCTCACAGCTGTGATTTATCTGGTTGGCAGCTTGGCAAAGCCTGGAAATATAAAGCTTATGTTCTGTAGTGCGATGGTAGACGGCCAGTATGCAGCCGTTGCGCCGGCTACGATTTCATCTGTACGTGGAACGAGCGGGAATATGACCGCTCTGCTGCCAGGCGGTCATCGAAAACACCGGCATCCTCTTATGGCCCGCCCCAATATAACTCGTTTCACCAATGCCAGCATCTTGTCCGACAGCTTTGTGACGGCCTCTCTGAAGGGGCCATGGCTGAGGTCGAGGAAAGTCTGGCTCTTATACAGACTCATCTTGATCAGGCCGCCTCGCAAGGCACAACAAACTCCACAAAGCAGCACCAGATTACATATTCAAGCTCCAACTCCCCTCAGCGGCATGCACCGAGGTACCTAGGTGAAGTGAGCGACATTCAATTCTTCAATCTGGCGAAGCGAACGTTAGGAGATGTGGGGTCCTCCCCCGAGGAAGTTGAGGAAGTAGTCGACAGTTATGACCAGGAGGAGGCCATTCCCGCAAGACAGATGCGATATGAGCTATCTGTACTGCCCGACCCAGTAAAAGCTGAGGAATACTTGGAGGCATACTTCACCACCATTCATATTGCATATCCTTTCGTTCCCAAGGCCTCATTTATGAGGACGTATCGATCATTACGATCGGGAGGCGATATTGATAGCCTCAGTCCTGCTTGGCTTGGATTACTATGTGAGCACAAAACGGCGATCGGTGCTTGCAGCGCTGACCAGAGTGGTAGATGCTCTACTTGCCATTGGAAGCTACTACACTTCCTTCCCTCGAGATGAAGACTCCGAAGGAGAGCAAAATCTCCATATGAAATATTTTTTGAGGTCTCGCCATCTGTCCGGCTATGAAAATCTCGAGAGATCGGTGACTCAAGTGTCAACACTCCTTGCGCGATGTTTCTACTTGCTCGCCACTTCAAAGACAGACAGGTCAGTGCTCTAATATGACAACGCCAGAACTCTGTTACCTGCTGATACCGCGTAGATGCTGGATCACTCTCGGTCTGGCCATCCGACTTGCACAGAGTATGGGCTTACATGTAGATCTCGCCACTGTCAAGAAAGGCCGCGATCATTTTGACTCGGTTTCTGAGCTACCGGAGATTAGGAGAAGAGTCTGGTACTCACTATACGTCTTAGATCGATTACTAGCTCTTCAGCTAGGTCGACCACCTGCTGTCTCCGATGAGGAATGCTACGTCTCTCTGCCTTCTGTCGTGGATGATATGAATCATGACTGGGAGACAGAGCCTCTCCCCACCATCTCGAATGGCGAGAAGTCCGTTGGAGAGTACTTCGTCCGTGTGATTGAGTTCTCCTCTATTCTAGGCCGCGTACCCAGAGACTTATATCATCCTCGACTGACGTTTGCCCAAAAGCTGGAGAATACGAGGAACCTGGATGAGATTCTCCTCGCATGGAAGCAAAGGCTTCCTCGATACCTTCGCTTTGATGTAGGACATGCATTCGAGAAATCAATGATATTCAAGCGACAGGTGAGTACCAAAGCACAAGGTGAACGTCCTAGTGTCACTAAAGTATTTATAGAGGAACATACTGGCGATCAAGTTTCACCATCTTCGAGCCTTGATCTATCGTACGTTTTTGGGATTTCCACGGGAAAACCAGTTCCCTGCAACAGAATGTACAGTCAACGAACAGCACAGTCTGATGCAGTGTTACGAGCAAATTTGTATCAGCGAGGCACAAGAAACCGCTCGGTTGCTACACAACGTCGGGGACGAGAAGGAGTTAGTACATGACTATCCATGGTGGCAGATGATTTCCTGCCTCGTCTGTGCAGGGTCTATCCTCATCGTTGCTCAAGCCATCTTGAAGCAGCGATCTGATCCGTTGGTCGATGTCACGACACTAGGCGACGACGCGGAGACATGTCTGGAAGTCTTTGAGGCTCTGAGCCACAACTCGCATGGTGCTAGAGCTGCGATGGGCATGCTTCGGAAACTCAAGGAACAGAACATGGTGCAAATAATCCCCAATGAGCCGCACGAAACACAATTTTCAGCCACACGTCCGAATCCGGTGCATCAATATCCATTCCCGGCTGATTACCAACAGCCATTGGCAGCAGCAACGGCTTGGCACCCAGAGAGTATGGGCGGCGCATCCGAACGAATGGATCTTTCTTGGGGATCAAGTGTACAGAGCACGAATCCTTGGCCTTTGGAAATTGGAGATTCAATGGCTTGGTCAACTCGTGTATTCAATGTTCTCCAGCAGGAGATGACTGATGAAAATCACAGCGAAGTGATAGATACTGTGTCCCCGCCTGGGTAGAAGTAATTACATAGCAGTCATAGGAACTATATTCCATTTGAGAGGCTTCGCGCATTGGGTAAATGGACATGACAATGAATCTAGGCCAGCAAGTTGATTGCATTTCTATTGGACCGGATAGCATACACCTGTTACGCAGTCATGATACTCAGGACTACTACAACTCCTGCGCTCTGCTGACGCTGTGCCGTCCACACTCTGCCGGCTTGGTTCCGGAGTGCTCGGATAGCCCGGCAATTACGGGATGGGTACCGGTTCAGGAGAGGATTACCCGAGCACTGATCACCATCAATCAGGTGATGAAACGCTGTTCTATATGCACGTGTGTTTTGCGGATGTGCATTTGATGTGGCGTCAAATGCTGGCTTCAAGCTATTTAGTGAAAGAGGACTCTTGGCAATGAGAAGGGGGTATCCAAAACATACAGATTTGATGCCTTCCGAATTGCGATAACTACTCTTTGGTGTGAATATACCAAGAATTGCACTGATCAAGATGAGAATCAATATCAATTTCGATCGTTTACCAAGAAGCGGGTCGTACACATCACTGGACGTGGTGACAGGGTCGATCCAGTTGATTGTCCGGAAAGGACTAACGGTCTCCCAACTGGTTGTCTCGCTATACGGTAAGGTCATACGTGGCTTGGCCCTGGCGAAAATATTTACACATCAACTAATTCAGTCCGAAGGTGAAATTCTATTGCCAGCGAGCGATATATTTTCATCAGAACAGCCCACAACGGTGCAGTTTGCGCACAAGGTAAACACAAAACTACTGAAACCCTTGGAGAAGATCAGTAATTGAGCCGTCTCAGCTATTTGAAACGTCCCAGACACTCTTTCCGACCTATCCTCTCAGCCCTTCGACTCGGTACAAACTTAGCAAAGGACAACATGACTTTCATTTTGGTATCGACTTTCCGCTTTTATCACGTTGCCTCAAAATCGGCACGTCCGAATACCACAGAAAGCAAGCAAGCTTCATACTGGGTCTGAATCTTCCCGACTTAGATTGGACCAAAGCTCGAGTGATTTATTCAATTCGAGCGACGGTCAAGGGTTGTGGCACATTGAGGTGGGACCGTACCACTTCGACGAGGCTACCATTTGTTCCTCTTGACCACCCGAACCTGACATTTGCTCTCCGGCATGAGGCAAGACGAGATTGTCAGATCATTTCATCTGGTAATTTGTGGAGAGAAACCGAGGAGGCAGGAAATACGTCAGATGCTCTATTGCCACCTTACACCCCTCTTGTGTTCACAGAGGCTGGCATCACCTCGTCGGAGCCACTGCTACCAGGTGACCACGTGCCTCTGCGTCTTGTGGTCACAGTGCCAGTGAACATTGCAAAAGAGCTGGATCTTCGCATCGGAAACATTTGTCTGGCTCTTCGGGACACCACAGTATCTTTGGCGCATGGCAGATGTGAGACTGTATTGTCCTACATCAAGATGATTGACACGAAGACGAATCTTCGTATTACGCCGAATTCAAGAGACAACACTTTTGAGGTGGATCCAAAATGGTGGAAAGATTGTATCATTCCTCAGGTCACTCGAAAATCGTCCTCGAGAGTTGTTGGGCAAGACTACTGGCTGCAAGTTCTGGGCGAATTTCATTCGGAAACCACGCTGTTGAGCACGGTAAGCGCATCACCCTCAGACGATATGATTTCGAGCCATCTGACTCATCACGTCTCCTACTTCAGTTTGTTACGCTTTTAATTCCGGTAGTCATTGGCGCCGGAAATGACCCGCCTACTTACGACACAATCGCATGACCTACCTCAGTCGAGTCTTTATTTTAATTGGGACCAGCTTTTCAAACAACCATCGAAATGGATACCGTGAAAAACTAAGAGGACTCGAAGGCTGAGTGACTCCACACTACACAGGAGATGAATTCAGCTGGGATCAAGACGCGCGCGTGTGTAGTGTTGCTACTGAACATTGAAAAAACAGAAACGCCTGGCGCTCAGAATGCGGATCCTTACCGCGGCCCGAGACGGACGCAAGGTGCGGCCTAGAGCGCATAGTGCAGACTTTTCTACGGGGCTTGATCTAGCGCGCTCTCGTCATCTCAGTGATTCCAACTTCGAGCCGTGTCTCATCACACCCACCGAAGACCAGCCGCATCCGACATAGCCGTGCCTGGCGTGTCGAGGTGGAATGATCAGCCCCGGCGCCGACAACGCCCAATGACTCATATTTCTCAAGAGTCAATGGAGTGGGACAGACTGAAATACAAAATTATATCTCTAGCCTTCAAATTACCAAGGACTACAGTATTCCATGGTGAATGTGGATTTCGAATCGGAGAGGCACGAACGTCAAAACTTTCCTGCAATCCTGTTCCACAGAATCGTCCGAAAAGCCGTGCCAACATTGAAGTCCATGGATCAGTCCTCTCAAGGCGTCTCCTTGGAAGGAGGAGACCCTTTCAGAGAGAACCCAAAATCAATGACCATTAAGCATGAGCAGACTCGAAGAGGATGGCGCAAGGTCGTGGTCAATTTCACGCCATCCTGGTTCAGCGTCAATATGGGGACGGGGATAGTCTCAATTTTGCTACACAACTTGCCTTATAACGCCGCCTGGCTACGTTGGATATCTGTTGCCATCTTCGTACTCAACGTGGTCCTGTTTGTGGCCTTCTGTATAGTATCTTTTTTGAGATATACTTTATTCCGCGGTATCTGGACTGTAATGCTGGCTCACCCTGTACAGTCACTTTTTCTCGGTTAGTCCAACCCGAAGGAAAACGAGATATCCGTGGCCGTGACGCGATTGCCATTACTTATCACTGAAACTTTGTTGTCTCTTAGGAACATTCCCTATGGGTCTCGCCACTATTATCAACATGGTCGTCTTCGTGCTCGTGCCTGCTTGGGGAACGCGCGCTGTAACTCTGGCTTGGGTTTTGTGGTGGATCGATGTGGTTCTTGCCGTCTCAACCAATTTTCTGCTACCTTTTATTATCATTCACAAGCACGACGTGAGTAACTATACCTCTTAATTTACTGTTCACTAGAAAAGCTGAGGACTTAAAATTCTAGTCCAAATTATCGACCATGACTGCGGTCTGGCTGCTACCCATCGTGGCCACCATCGTGGCATCCGCATCAGGCGGCATCGTCGCCAAAGTGTTACCCAATCCCCAACATGCGCTTTGGACGTTGACCATCAGCTACATCCTCTGGGGGTGCGGAGTACCGCTAGCCATGTTCACGATGGTCATCTACTTTCACAGGCTGACTATGCACCGCCTCCCGCCTCGCGAAGTCATTGTGTCCGTCTTCCTGCCCCTTGGTCCGCTTGGGCAGGGTTCCTTTGCCATTATGCAGCTAGGGTCCGTCTCAATGGCACTTTTCGAGAAGAACAACTTCATTCCACAGACCCCATTGGCTGGGCAAATATTCTACGCTGCTGGTATATTGGTTGCTCTTGTCATGTGGGGGTTTGGCCTTGTGTGGATGTTCTTCGCAGTCGCGTCTATCACTCGCAACAAATTCCCTTTCAATTTGGGTTGGTGGGGATTCACATTCCCATTAGGTGTCTTTGCCGTTTCGACCAACCAGCTTGGCAAAGAACTTCCCTCTGTATTTTTCAGTGTGCTTGGGACTATCTTCTCGCTCACTGTGGTAGCACTATGGGTCACTGTCAGTCTCGGGACGGTCCGAGCAAGCTTGTCTGGAGACCTTTTCCACGCCCCTTGCATACAATGTTGGGAGGAGAAGCAGGCAAAATCTCACGCCACGAAAGGTTTCGCTGCCGGAAACCCAAGCTTGGATCGTGACGTACTCGGCACACAATAACACGTCCCGAGTGTAACGAAAGAGTCATAAAAATTCAACATTCTTATCTAAGCCTACTATGCCTGCTAATTTGTCCAAATGAAATTGTCTCAAGATAATTATGATTCGGCCACTTACTCACAGGCTCAAAAAGGATAAGTCGAAATCAATAAGGTATTTGCTCTGCCATTGTCACGGACATCTTCTGTCTCACAGATACTCACCCGCAAAGGCCCGCGACCACAGGGCCGGGAATTCTCCCACAGAGACGGGCGTTTGTCGATAACATAAACGTGTTCATTCTCATATTGAGAAGACCCCATCTGGTTGGTATGAATTCCCAATGCTCCGTGACAAGGCTGAGTAAGTATCACGGAAAGGCCGTTCCGTGGAAATATCCCTCGATCTGCTGCCCAGTATCCTCATCATGGGTCCGGTTATAAGCATCATTCCCTGCGGCATCATCTGAGACTACCTGCCTGGCAACATGGGCCGTGTCAGCTCAACTCACTTTCTTTGCCCAGGCCAGGGTAGATAGACTAGCTCTTGTTCAAGCATCTTTCATGGACTTGCGTAAAGACAAAGCATGATTTGAATATATAGAATACAGCTTTATTCGGTTTTGCAGCAACCAAAGACTGTTGCTTTCTTGTTTGAAAAGTACGTAGGCGCACAATTCTGAGTAAACTGCAATACCGTCTGTTGTTTAAGCTGTAGCTGAAGGGGAATAGTCGTCGTTTTTGAAGACAGTTGTGATTTTGCTGTTCTGCTTCCTCATATGTGAAAGGTGTGAGGTGAAATGCAATCAAAGGTCGAGCTCTGCAGCACTCCTGATTCAGTCCCATTGCCCGGCCACTCTGAATTACAACGGAGAATCCAGTGCCTGGTCCGGATATCTCAGTCACTGACAGCCATATACGCTGAAAACCGATGTCAACCTGCACATGGTCATCACGACATTCTCTGCTCACCAGCGAGAAGTTCAGTTTGCCAGCAGGAGAACTTGGCCAATCTCATCATTCAAAAACTACGATTTTCTTTGGGGCAGGTTGCTGACATGCCTCTGCGATCGTCTGCCCACCTACTTGTTCCGTGCCGAACTCTTAGCATCCTCTGGCGTGATGATCTCTTACCCTTCATGAGTCTACATCATGAGCGTTCAAATTTGTGCAGCGATTCATGTACATGTATCATTCATGCATGATTTATGACGCATAATTGACTCTTGCTCGGAAATCGGCCTCTTCATGTCGTGACCTCGTGGGCTCCCTGCTTAGCCACGCCGCCCTCAGGAATGCTTCTGTCTCAGACCCCTTCCGCCGTCAACCACCACTCGCTAGGACATTCCCTGGAACATTTTTTCCAACCTCACCACGGATCGAGGGCACTGCTCAATCCGGAATCCACCATTATGAAAAACAAATGTTGTGGGAGGGCTTCCCTCGAGCGGCGGCCCTCTCACTCTCCTTTTCTCAAGAGTTGCAGAGTGCTACGTCTGGAATCGGATGCGCCATACAGACAGTCAGTCTTGACATGCTGGGTCAGTAAGTGAGTACTTGCTGTAACAACATGGACATGCAGACACCATCGCCGACAGCCAGCACATACGACTATGTCTACGACAAGGACAGCGACCAATACGTCCTGGATCGGTCCCGAGAAGGCGCCGTCTTGAAACTGCACTGGGTTGTGCTCGCAAACCTGGTGCTGCTCCTCATCTTCTGCTTCATCACAATCCTCACATCTGGGCTCGTCTTCGGCCACAACGTCGCCTCCAACGACTGCCTCGGCCAGAGCTGGGTCATGTTCTCGGTACGTCACATCTCACGCACATATCTCGCGGTGCCCGGACTACTGCCACCCTGCATGAACAGCGTGCTGGACAGCAAACACCTGCATGCGCATGCTGATGACAATCTGGCGGGAGGGCACATCTGGCTAACCCTTTTTTGTAACAGTCGATTATGGGCTTCCTGTACATTGCACTCCACCTGCAAGCCGCGCGTAAGGGTGAGCTGGTCGGCCACGTCTCTCATCCCGCCTTTCAGCAACCGCTTCACTCCTCCACCATTGTCGTCGCGCGTATCGATGTCGTCGCCTGGGCCATATCCCTCATCATCGTCTCGGTGTCCGTCTCAAAGGAATCAACGCCCATATCCTGCGTGAACCTAGTTGCGTGTGCCACTGTGACGTAAGTTCTACCTGCCTGTTCTGGAGGGATAATTGAGGAGGGGCCCTGGGGGCCAAAGCTTGTGGTGAAATTGTGGACACTTTCATCTAGATCCCTGAGGGTCGGCCCACCGGTCGATCCGGGGTTGTCGATCACTGCAGGAGGCTGGGCTGGCCCTGGGCAGCAAACAAACGAGCAGCCAAAGTAAATAAAAGGGGAGAGATGGAGAGAGAGAGAACAACAGACAGATTGGAAAGCTAACCATCGGAAATCCTCTAGACCCTCATTGATATTCCTCATTTGCGTCGCAGAAAAAGCTTCACGACCCTTCGAGCTCCCCTACATCACCGCCCGCTACTCTCGGCCCCCAAGCGTCGTCACCTGCCGCGTATCTGCCCTCATGGCCGAGATGATGCCCGAGGTCACCTCCGAAGACAGCATCTCACGCCGCGGCTCCGCCCACTCGATGCGCCGCAGCCGGCCAAACTCGCACACCCAGCACGCGGCAGCCATCGCCGCGGCTAACACGACCACCGCCGGCGCGCCAGCAGGCCATCTGGGTGGGCCCAGAGCTCCGCCTACAAATCTGAAAGAGGCGCGGTCGTGGTCATTTACGCGCTATGACGACAAGACCAAGAGGCAGCTTGCCGACTCGGTGAGCGAGGCGTCGCAGGTGTCCGAGTCAAGGTCCCGCATCTGTGGGCCCAGACCGCTGGCTACAAGCGATATTGCTGTCAAGACGGGCGTGCTGCCGTCACCCATATGCACAGAGCCCAGGGAGGCACAACAGCAACAAGCGGCCCTAGCGTTGCCGCCGCCGCCGCCGCCGCAGCAGCAGCAACAGCAGCAAACGGATCCGGAGAAGGCAGGTTCGGATAGCGGCGGCTGGAAGAATGACTGGTGGGCCCTGCGGACGGTAGCCGGGTGGGTCAGCCCTGCGGGGAGCACAACCCCCGTGTCGACGCCCGGGTTGGGCCCGGGCCCCGGCTCCTCAGCGGGCAGAGCACGGGCGGCGCGGTTGTCGACGGTGGCGGAGGACTGGGTGCCCGCGGGTGGTATAACGGGTAGTGTCTACCACCAAGACCCTGCTCCGCCAAGACGCCCTCCCCTGCTGAGGGGCACACGGGACCAGGGGTTCGCCGACGTGCACGCCGTCGACCGGGAGGCCATCCCGACGCCGCCGCCGGCTGCTGCCGACAGGCCAACGCGTGCCCCGACGGCTGCGAGGGTCAGGCTCATCCGTGCGCAGGAGGCGCTCAAGTCGCAGGCGAGGGCAAAGAATGGGACGGTGGTGTTGACGCGGCCGCAGCACCTCACTGGCGATCGCAGGGTGGCCGAGGACCGCTTGGCACCGGCGAGGCCGCCGCTACAGACTCACTTGAGCATACCAGGGTCGTTTGTGGACGAGTAACAGCAGATAAATGCAATTTGGAGCGAAAAGAAGGGCGGTGCATCCCATTGCGTAGCATGCAATGTCCCCGCCCCGTGGTGAAGAATGGCTCTCTGTATCTATAAACCCGTGACGCCGTGCAATGCTATAACATAATTCCACCCACACCCAAAACCAAGATCAACGACCAATTGATTAATGGCCACTCCCCTTTACGTGAAGAAGTGCGACCCATCCTGTAACATGCCGATCTCAGGGCACCACTGCATAGCCTCCTTCTTCTGGTAGGCGGTCAGCCACCGGAAGGGCTGGTGGTAGCCGAGCGGCCTGTTGAAGTAGACGGTCTCGACGGCGAAGGTCATGGCGACTTCTTGATCCGGCAGTTTGGCGCCGCGCTCCTTGAGCTTCATGTACAGCCACTGATCCTCGAACTTCATCCACGCAGGCTTTTTCGGCTTGCCCTCTTCGCGCTTCTTGGCTGGGATGTGTTCGTTGCCCTCGCTGAGCTTGTGCTCCTCTTTCTTGGGCTCTGCTTCCTTCTTGGGCGGCTCTTCCTTCTTGGGCGACTCTTCCTTCTTGGGCGGCTCCTCTTTCTTAGGTGGCTCTTCCTCATCGGCAGAGTCCCTCGCAAAGTCATTCGCAGGGTCCCTCACAACCTCCAATACCAGCTTTGGATTACGCAGGCTCAACCCCCCATTATACCCAACGCCATACTGCGCCGCAACAGGCGCGCCGATCAGATCCCACTCGAGGAAATCATCCACGCTCCGGCCGCTGCTCCCGCAGAGGATACTGTCGGCCTGGAAGGTCAGCACCCGCCCCGCGCTCTCAAACTGCTCCCAGAACCAAGGGCTCGTGAGGAACACCGAAACAGAGCGGTGGTCGGGGAACGTCGTCTCTTCCGGCAGGAAGTAGATGTGCATGCGGCGCTCGGCCATGAGGCGGCGGAAGGCCGGGCTCGCGGGCTCGACCCACTTGTCCTTGCGCGTCAGCAGGACCACCGGCCACTTGGGCCCGAGGACCGTCGCGAAGTGGAGGATCACGGGGACGAGGTTCGCTACGCGCGCCGGGTCGGTCTCCATGATCACGGCGACGTTGTCTGGGAAGGGGACCTCGGGCGGTGGAGGAGGCGGTGGTGGTGGGGGCGGGTTGAGGGCGTGGTGCAGGGCATCTACCACGAAGAAGTCGTCGCCTGTGCCGACTATGGGGGGCCCTGGGGGCGGAGTGGGAGTCGAGGTCGCTGTGGTTTGGGTGGTAGGGTCTCCATTCTTGGGCTGGGTGCCGCCGACAGAGATGAGGTGGAAGGTCGAGTTGGCCTGCGCAAAGAGGTTGTGTCTGTCAGTATCTTGCCTGCTGGTGATGATTGAACCCTAGAGGACGGAAAGGGTAAAAGGGGAAAGGGGGATTCAGGGGGTAGACGAACGCCAGAGTTCAAGAGTCGCGATGTTCCCAAGACCCAGATGACGACCAGAGCAGCTCCAGCCAGGACGACGAGCCTGAAGCCGCGGGTGCGGGCGACGGCGAGGCCATACTCATCGACGCCTACCATGTTGTATTGCTGTCATATCATGTCGTGTCGTACGGAGCCGAGTCGAATGGAGAGCCTGGTGACAGTAATCTTCGAACACGTCGCTTGAGTTTAAGCTAAGGTTTGGGGGATCAAGTCAGTTGCAGCGGTCGGAGGATTGCGCGGCTTGTGATTTGGGGGTGGAGCTGCCCTGTCCATCATCCATCAGCCAGGACCCAGACCACAGGCCAGACCCAGGCCAATCCGACCCAAACCAAGCTTCAACCCGGGTAGCACGGCAGCACGGATGCTAATTTTGGCTCGCTGTCGCTGTGAAAGCCCAGCTTCGCCTGCGTCTTTCGTCATGCGTCTTCTCGCCATCGTCTGCCCAGCCTGCCAGTCAAAGCACCAATTGACCTGTGGCATCCATCAAGCCAGTCCCGGTTGGGTCAGTAGATTAGCCTCGAGGCCGTGGACCGCCCATTGACAATGGCAACGGGCGATATGCGACTCGAGTCGAAGCATGGACGCGGTTTCCAGGATGAAGCGTCTTATATGTCGAGTTCAAGCAGAAGCAGAAATGGCCTCAGTGTGTTCGAGGTCCAATCAAGGTGCCATTGAGGCTGCCGTAGGGCTGAGCAGAGACAGACAGTCCAGGCCGCCAAGCCGGGAAAAGGAGACCAACCAGCATCGCGAAATGCACTGTCGATCCTTCACACCGAATAGGAATGTGGTTTCCGGCACACGTACAACGGTTTTATGCTGTTGTGTGCCTGACCTAGATAGTCTGCAACAGCTTCTCTTCGTCTCTTCTCTTTTCAAACCAGGCTACTTGTAAATCAACAGTATTTAGTGAAGTTCGAGCCCGAGTGCCGCACAAGCTCAGATGCCATCACACGCACCAGGTTGCTAACGGGTCTCTCCACCATTGATGCATTTCCACTGTCGCTGCATTTTGATATTAAGTTTCTAGATGTGTTGGTTCTAGATGTTGTCTCTGCAACGAACTGCTGAAAAGAAGATGGATAGGAGAAAATTGTTTCTAATCACCCCAATTGTCTCGCAGAAGCCTGGCCGCGACGCGAAGGCGCCCGGGAGTGGGCACTATACAATATCGATCTCTCGTTCATCCATATCCTGAAAACGCGCAGTGCCACCGCCGTCTTCCACCATGGATGCCCACACGCCCACTCGCACGTAAGTATTGGTTCCCGGGAGATGATGAACAAGGAGACCATAAGCGTCCCTGTTGTGGGCTTGTGCATTCCCCGGCCGGTCCTCAGAACCGGCGCGAAACCCGCTGGGGTCTGATTTGCTTTCATGCAGTCTGTCTTCTCCGTCGGGACTAGTCTGCGTGCGTGCTCCCGTATCAACCGCCTTGGAGCTTTGAGCAGCTCCTAGCCTCCTCGAAAGTGATGATCCAGTCTCGCTTTGAGTTCTGTCGCTGGACTGATCTGCTTGGCTCTCCGACTCAGCAAGGCTCGACGCGGGAGACCTGCCAGGGCCCGCTGCGTGCAAGGACAAAAGATTCTCAAAACAATGGCGTGCTGCTTCGGGCGAATACTGGTGGCACCACAGATGCGTTGGGTCGCCCACCTCCATACTCGAAATCAATAACATGCATAGTTCCCCTCGGTTGCATGAATCCCCATCAGGGACCCAATCGAGGTTGTAGTATGTGATGACTCCTTTATCGAGAGTATACCACACGAACGGGGGGTTCTCATTACATGTGAGCCGGTAAATGTCAGACAAGACCGTCGTGAACCGACCCCGGATACGAATCCATCCACTTTGTACTCGACCGAAAGGGTTCTCTCCAACACAAGTGACGCTTGCATCGACGACAGTACTCGCGGCCGACCCCTGATAAAGCCTTGTTCCTCCCCGTATTCCTTGGTAGACTCCTCCATCCCGTCCAAGTGGACTCCACGATGGCGCAATGTAGGGCGTCGGGGAGCGTAACATGTTGAGGAGGTCCGGAAGCTCAACGTAATACTTGGGCACATTAGTACAATAGACATGCCAAACCAATTTGGACGGTAATCCAGTTTTCCATAGGCCAGCGAAATATTCGTCATCGTTTTTATCAGCAATATACTTGGCCATTCCAGAAATCCCGGGCAATCTATCCTCGACGACTGTGAAGTCTTTCATTCCGTACAAATCCAATATTGTTTCCCAATGAAGATAAGAGCTCTTGGATGTTGAATGTGCGTCTTCCAGAGTCTCGATCATGCGTCGAACATTTACTGTTTTTCTTGTTTGTCGGTATCCATTCTCGGACACCAAATGACGGCATTGAAAATGAACCATGGATTTACCGAATAAAAGAAGACGGTTGGACATCTCATATTCCTGAAAGGTCCAACCCCGACTGTTCCAGTAGGTACTATTAATATCCAATTCTGGCCATCCAGGAAGACCGTTGTTCAAAAATGTGCCAGATGCCACTAGGTTGTAGTGACCATTGATACTTGGTAGTGCCCGGGAGTGAAAGGGGATTGCGACGTGTCTGCGATGCCGTACCAGGAAACCCTCGTTACTGGACCTGGAAGACGGGGTGCAAATGGTAACAAACGCATTCTTATAAATCAGTGTCATAGATGCACTCTCTCTCTCCCAGTCGGAAAGCTCGTCCTGAATGATGCAGAGCGAGTCGACCCATAGATAACGGATTGACAGGGCTTTGCAAACTTCGATGGCGTCCAATATAACTTGAGGAATAGCCTGCTTAGGCACATGCCCTCTCATAGACTCTATGTTGCCTACTTTGGTGCGTACCTGCTGTACACCGTCGGTCGCAAATGATGGACCCCAACAATAACTCAGGGCGGCGTATCTTGGAACATCGCTTCCGTCGCTCGGAACGATCTGAGGAGAATCAATGAGGCGGATAGATTCAAGGTTTTTTTGAGGTCCCAGATCCAGAAGGCGAGTTGGAAGGAAGTCAGTCCCCTTGAAATGTTTGCAGTTCAGGACACAGTCGGCTAGGGCGTCCCTCATAAAGTGGATGTTTTCCTCGCATAAAGGATCCGCTTTCCGAAGGCAAGGGATCTTAAGCCATGAAGCCACGTCTGCTATATAGTTTGATGGTAAAATTAGCCGAATAGACATCATTTTAATCTCCGGACTCTCTTGCGCAACTAACCATCATCGCTCTCAAGGGCAAACACAATACAATAGCGCGAAATACCAGGCGCGGAGGATGCGCGTGGTATGCACGGAATGTCAGGGCGCGACACCAATTTGGCCACCAAGACCGCTAGCCCAAGGCCCAAAAACCTCTCATCCCCCAGACGGTATTCCAGAGAAATCTCAACAAAGCCACTATAATGCGTTTGAGCCCGACTTCGAATGATTTCGAGCCGCAGCAAAGAGCAGAAGTCGCAGCCTCGAAGTGCGTTTTGCTCCAAACACGGCAAACTTGGTAACAAGTCAACGACCTTGTAATCGAGAGGATATTCCCCAGCTGCGGCTGCAATATCCAAGCATGGCTTCCTGGTGTCTTGCGTAACCATATGTGGCGCAATTACTTCATCGTTGAAAGGAATCACAGAACAGATAGAGCACAATTTTACTCCCTTCATTTTCGAAACATCTTGTGCTGGATTTGTCGCCATAGCATCCGAGTTTGATCCGTAGACTGAACACTCAATCTGGGTTTATTTAAGACTGATGATAACAGAGGGACGGATGAAATGCATGAAAGATGAATATCAAGCAGGCGGGGTAAACAACACAGGGCTGACGGACTTTATCAGGCCGTTAGTAGCATGCAGCTTAAAGGTCGCTGGTGCCTAAAAACCAGCCTGCAGTGTAGGCATCGATGCTGATTGTCACGTGAGGAATTCAGAGACATAAAAAGTTGTCTCCCTTGAAATTTAGTCGGCGCTACCTTCCATCAATAGGGGAGCAACTTTTGGGGGAATCAGGTGTGTTGCTGCAATCGACATTAGACTGGGTGTGGCCTCACTCAGGCAAGTACTTGGACAGGCAAGGACAAGAGCCGATGGTCCATATCAAGTTGGCTTGCACTCACAGCTGAGGGGTTTGGGCCTAAGTATTTTAGATGACCAGTACTACGGTACAGACGGGATAGATAGAGAGCAAGAATCAATTTCGCCATCCAAAGACACCAGAGCCATGACCATTCCCATTGCCAATCTAAGCCCTCCTCCTGACCCCAATTTCCAGTCCCAAAGGCTTCCTCAAGAACCCTTCGCGCGTCTCCATGATCTCCTGGCGCAGGAAGACATCATACCGCCTCGCCCACGTAGCCACGATGAGCTTCATCTCCATCTCGGCCACGTTCCTGCCAACGCAGGCCCTGGGGCCATGACTGAACGGGATAAACGCATTCTTCTGCCGCGGCGTGACGGAATCCCATCGCTCGGGCCGGAACTCGGAGGCATCGGGCCCCCAGATCTCGGGCGAGTGGTGCATCGTGTATGAGGGGACGGACAGCACCGTGCCCGGCGGGAAGTAGTGTCCCCGGATTGTGACGCCACGAGGCGCGTCGGCGGGGATGAGGCGCGGCAGGCCGATGCCGCTGGTCGAGTGGTGGCGCAGGGCCTCGTTGACGACGTTCTGCAGGTACGGGAGCTGGGCGACCATCTCGTAGGTCGGCACCGTGTCGGCGCCCGGGATGGCCTCGTCCAGCTCGGCCTGCAGCTTCTGCAGCACGCCCGGGGTGCGCGCGACGTGGTACAGCAGGGCGCACGACGAGTTGGACGTCGTGTCGGAGCCGGCGATGAGCTGCGTCAGGGCCTCGGCGGTGAGCTCCTCGCGGCCGAGCGGCTCGCCCTTGTCGTCGCGGCCCTCCATCAGCCGCGCCAGCAGGTCCTTCCGGTCGATGGCGGGCGGGCTGTCGAGGCGGCCCTTGACGCGCGCGATGGCGATGCCGGCCAGCTGCTTCACGGCGTAGGCGCCCTGGCTGAAGAAGGGGTCCGGCAGGTAGGGGGCCCAGGGCTTGAGCTGCGGTAGGCACCCGAGCGTGGCACTGACCTCGCCGCGGCGGTTGAGGATCTCGATGGCTGGCGCGTAAATGGGGTCCGAGTCCGGGCTCGCCCGTACCTCGGCCAGGTCCTCGCCCCGCTCCAGCATGCCGAAGGGCGCGCCGAAGGCCAGGTCGCCGATCACGTCGAAGGCGAGGTAGTTGAACCACTTGAGGCAGTCGACGTGTGCCGTCGGCGTCTTGGTGTTTTGGTTGTTGTTGGCATTCTTGGCGACGAGCTCATCCCATCGCTTCACAAACAGCTCGAGATTGGTGTGGATGTATGGTTCGAACTGCGAGATGCTCTTGAGCGAGAAGGTGTGGCTGACAATCTTGCGCTTTCGCGAGTGCTCAGCCCTGTCGCGCGTGTTGAAGAGGCCTCGCTGTATCGACACGAAGGCGTCGTAGAACTCACTTATAAGGAGCGCTGTGTGAGCATGTGTGTGTGTGTGTGACATTAGGTGCATAAGCGTGCATGGCATGTGTCTTATCTCCTTTACTTACCTCTTCAGGAAACCGTTGCCATGGCCGTAAATGACCTGGATGGCCTCATCGTCGGCCACACTGACATGGTTGGGCTGGATGCGCACAACAGGGCCCAATTTCTTGTGCACCTCGTCGACGGTCAAGTAGCGATCACCCCGCCGACATACCGAGAGCAGCCAAAGGTTTGAGAATTGGGCGGGGAACGGCGCGGGGATGCTTCGAAGTTGGGCGTATGTGACGAAGAAAGGGTAAAGATACCAGGCGGCGAGGAGGACTGGCGCTGCGAGAAGTGCCCACGGCGACAGGAACAAGTTGACTATGGCCATCTCAAGTGAATAAAGGTTGGATATCTCACATGTGTCTGCCAGATACCATGTCGTCGAGGTCGGACTGTCAAATGTTGGAGAAGACGTCTGGGCGCCTTCAAGTATTTCAACTCTTCACCACCGACACCTAGCCCCTGCTCCGGGATCTGCATAGCTCCCCGAGCCCCAGCTTTCCCTCTTGTCCCCTGAGTCGTCCCCACATCCTCAATGCAGCGGTATTTTGCCCGATTGTCCACTCAGAGCACCGCTATTTGAACCTTCACAAACAAGCCTCAGCCCTCCACCCGGCGTCTGTGAGAACGGCTGTCGAGGGCGGCACATGGCGGCCCTTTTCGCGGGCCACTCGGTCTTCGCCCTCGTCGCAATGCGTAACGTGTCTCATTCGTATCCTGGACTCCATCCACAGCGTCTGTACACGTATCGAGACGTCAGATTCGGATCGTGACCCGCGGATAGCGCATCCGACCCGATGCTTTGCACAGCCAAAACCTAGAACAGAGTTGGAGATGCGGGGGAGGGGTGGGCAGGCCCCCCAGGCGCCCCCCGAGGCCCCACGGCCAGAATCTGACAAGAGCAGACAAGCCAGACTCGTCCCGTGGGGTTTGGGCCCTTGGCCGCCCCAGCCCGGCATTCAGGTGCGGTAGCTGGGGGGCAATGTATATAGACGGATTCATGGCCGTCGTGCAATACCTCGCGACGCGAACCTGCAATATTCGCGCTCTCGCTCTCTCCCTCTGTGTGCCCTGGCCCTCACCGACCGCTGCCTGTCAGTTTTCAAGCTCCACCTTGGTAGCATTGATCGGTGAATCAAGCAGCTGCTACGTCATTTGACAGGACTATTGTGCGTACTTTATTGCGCAAGAAACTTCTATCAGTCAAAAGTGGGAGTAAGCATGTGATGCATCTTTATTCCCGGAGTCCTCGACTAGGTCTCCACTGGCCTCGTCAACAAACCCGTCTTAGATACCTCAACACTCCAGAATATTAGTTCTTGATGCAACTGGCACATGCATCACCCGCCACATCAGTCAGAGAAAGCAAGTAGTTCTCAAAATATTCTATTTCATTTCATGCATCAGATCACGTTAATCAAATTGGCAAGCTCGTGTACTAAGCAGAAGACTAGCGATTGTGTATCTCGACGCAACTGCTAAAACTTAAACCATATGTCTTGTAAATTTACTGATTACGAAAGGCTCGTACATACATAGCCATTCGTGCCCCGGTGGGATGCATCGTTGTCATTGCTGTCGTGGCCGTGCTTTCGGTAAACACAGCGCCCCGTATAGCTCCCTACCGTCCCCCAAGCGAACGGGTCACCATAGCTCCAACTGTTCCGTAAATCCTTCTTTATCATCTGAAGCCAAGGTTCAAGGCGATTTGAGTATAGTGTGCATGAAGGCGTATTTCCAGGTAGCATCTTGTCGTGATCTCTCCTAGAAGCTTGCTGGATATATAAGATAACTAGCAATCATGATTGCACATGATGGACAAAACGTTCCAAATTTCGTTGATATGATAACAGTCGGACTCCAATGGGTCAAGCAGCCAGTAAATATTTGATAGTAACACAGTGTTGAACATGATGTTGCCTTCCCACAATGAATTGACGCGAATTAATCGAATCACTAGTGCGGCAAATGAACGCCGTGATTGCAAGGCTGAAATCACACTGGTCTTCTCTCTAATTTGACTGAATGTCCATATTTTGAATACCGAAAGTTGTTCCCCACGAAGTCTTGGCGGACGATTTTAACTCTCTGACCGTTGGAAGTCGTCACCGGAGCTCCGGGATTGGGAAAGACCTGAGCGCATCAGATTGTGACAAGTAATAAACGCTGTGCAACATGCTTTGGTAGTTCGGACGAGACTTATATAGCACGTAGCATCGGACTCTCCGCCATCCCACCACAGCGTAGCGTCGCACCATCAAGTCCAGCTATACCCCTGTGTTTGAGCCTCTAGCGGCCTCAGATACACTCCCCATTGACAGTTGGCTAGTGCAGCGGCCCAAGAGGTTTCTTGTTTCCAGTGTGAAAGAATTTAAGGTTCACCCGTCTCAAGCTTATTTACCGGTCTGCTTACTGTGTTACGCGACGCGGGCGTGCTTCATGCATAAACGACGACGGCTGTAAGCGCCGGTTTCTTCTCCGACGACATCTCATGCGGGCACTCCGGGAATCGATGGAAACGCAAGCCCTCTCGCGCCCACAAACACCTCCGAGTCCGTCCAGCATACAACGTCTTCCGCCTCTTCCGGAGCCTTTGCGGACTCCGCGGACATCATCAGTTCAGACGTGTTGATGGATCCGCCAGACCGCAACGGTTCTGTCGATGCGACAGAGGACCCGGCGACGATCCCGCGCTCCGAGTCGCGTCTGAAAAGGCTGTCCGGTGCGACCGCCAACCGCCTGTCCATCCCGTTCTCTTTGTTCTCATTCAGATCACGCACCTCAGAGAGCGATGGACGCAAGCTCTCAAAGTCTCAGAACGGTAGGGCCAAGAGCTCTCGGCCGAGTGAATCGACCACTCGGACTTCTACGGCAACTGCGACAACTGCAGCGCAGCCAGATGAGCAAGATGCCGTCGGCCAGCTGCCTACGTTGCCAGTCTTGGGAACGGCGCGTGGGGGCTACCTGAGGTCGCTGCTATCGCTCTTCTCAGATGGGCATGACCACGACGGCATGTCGACACAGACGGCTACGCCTGTGTCAGAAAACACACCGATGACCGACCTGAGTTCATGGCCACGAACCTTAGGACTATACGAGTATGATATTAGCTCACCTGTTGTATACAGGTTCTCCAAGAACCACCAGCTGTACGTCGGTTGGCCAGATGTTGTAAACCCACCTCCAGAGACCCTCGTGGAATTCGAGAAGGAAACTTTGCCGTTACTGGAACAGGACCTGCAAGGAATTTGCGCACATCTCAGTCAGCAGGATATACGAATCACTTACGAGCTCCGCATGTCCGGCCACGCGGATCCAAGGACTGGCACAGTGACCCTGACACCCACGGTGTGGATTCTGTACAGGTCTTACACCTTAGCTGGTAATGTTGTCACCGCAGCCGCGCTGAACCAAGTCGCTCTGGGGCTAGACTACCTCCAGACAGACATCGAGATCCACGAGGGCGGCGGACGGATCGAGGTGAGCAGCGACAGGAAGCTAGTCGACGTCGACCTGGACGACAAAGACAACATCCAGCTATCAAACGGATCCATCCTCTCAGTGCATGTCGAGGACTGCCTGCAGAAAGACACAGCCTGCGGCGCGCTGTGCTGCGTGACGGTGCAGGAGGACAATTCCAAGACGCAGCAGAGCCTCTGCCGGCTGGGCGGGCTGCTCAAGATCAACGGCAAGTACGTGCTGGGGGTGACGACGGCGCACGCGATGCTGGACAGCAGCGGCATCTTCCGGGACTCGTTCGACGACACGGCGGACGCGGACCTGCGCACGCCCAAGGGCAAGGCCGTCGACCGCGACGCCATCGTGCTCGAGGCCGGCGACGTCGAGAATTGGCAGGGCGCCACGCGCGACGCCGCCATCGACTTCCTCGGCATCTCCATGAACTCGCGCGGCGACGTCGCCCTCAACCGCGCCCGCCCCCAGAACGCCACCGATTTCGCCATGCTGCGACTGAGGAACCTGCCTGGCTCCATTCGGAACCGTTATGTGCCACCCGGGTCGGACGAGCCTGTCAACATCAACTCGACTGTGTCTGCTAGCTCTTCTGCGCTTGATGAAGGGCCTGTATATATTCTCTGTGGCCCGGGCCGTGTTGCTGATGCGCAGCTTGTCTGGGGTTCTGTGAATTTCATTATCAGGGGAAGAAACTTTCGCGTGCGCAGGGTGCAGACTTCTCAGCCGCTTGGTAGGAACCCTGTTCTCAATTTCACTCGGATATATATACTGACTCTAGTTCACAGGGCCTGGAGCATCAGGGTCATGGGTAGTCAAGGGAGAAGTCCTATACGGCGTCATTATAGCCGTCTACGAAGATGAGCCGTTCGCCCTGATGATGACAGCAGAGAGACTATTCGAGAGCATCCTCGGCTCAGCATTCTCCGTCCGGAGCGTCGAGCTCTGGGACGGCATCCTGCCCGAAGCCGAGAAGTCCGAGCGAGTAAGCCGCACCCGCTCGTCAACAACAGAGGCCTCTTCTTCGAAAGCCGTCTCAAAGCGCGACTCGAGCACGGTCACGAACGGCACCCAGACGGACTCGTCGCGCCCCTCGACCTTGACGCGGAACTCGACGACGCAGGTGCGCGACTTCCAGCTCAAGGGGGAGGGCCCGGGCGACCCTGCCGAGATGCTGGGCCTGCACCCCGCGCTCCGCGGCCAGGACGCGCGGGAGAAGCGGGCCGCGAAGCGGGCATCGAAGAATAGGGCGAGCAAGCTCTTGCCTCCCACGGCGCAGGTCAGGAGCTATCTGGACCGGAAGCTGCCGATACTGGCACGGCGGTCGAGCAAGGGCAAGGACAAGGGCAAAAAGGTTGACCGCGAGACGCCTTCGGATGCCACGTGAGAAAGCCGACAACAGCGATCGTATTCCTTGTGAGGGAGTAGCAGACAGTGTGTTTACTTGATTTTGATACCCATATCAGACGGAACCAAAGACTCTGGCTAGCAGTCTGTGTATTATTGGCAAAAGTCGAACTGCAATTCTTGTTTTCTATTCTTTTGATGAGTTTATGAATGGGTCATTTCGGGAGCGGTGCAGCTCATTCAGGCTCTACGGTGTTGGGACTGTCATAGGAATTCGGGCTTTTGATACCCACATCTGAGCGACTCTCGCGCATGGGTATAGATTCTGGGAAAAGGGATTATTTATAGGTTTGCCTTTTTGAGCTTGATAGGACCAATCTGTGTGTTCAATATATTCTCTATATCGCACTCCCGACTGAGAACTTACTCCAACTCCTGATCCTCGCTCCAAAATAATAGAATGTGACTGGTGCGCAAAGCATAACTATGCACAAGAACGCCAGCAAGGAAGTCCCCCAAGGTATGCCGAGATGGTCATACATGATATTCGCCCACAGCGGAAACGAAGATGCGATTAAGCTCCTTACTATGACGTGAATAGACATGGCGGAATTTGCGTGGTGCTGATAAACATCAACGAGATACACAATGCCAGTAATGAATATAAGCAACAGGCCGTACCCGATCATGTAGCTCGCAATGACCTGACAGATCCAATGCACGTTTCCCGACCAGCCGAACCAGAACAGAGAAGGCGGGAGGAGACCAGCTCCGAGGATCATGGGAGGTAGACGCCATTCGGGCACTGTCTTCCCATGAGCAGCAATGACTCGCCTCTTGTAATACGTCAGAGTGTACAACGAGCAGGTGAGGAAGGCTGACACCACTCCGAGGAGCACCGCGAGGAAAGGCAAGTCGCTCATCGGGACGGTCCAGCCACGTTGCTGGTATGCGGCCGGGAAGGCCTGGAAAGACAAATATAGAATGCCATAAACCAAGGTCAGATATGCCGTCAAAATGATCAGAATAGGCTCCTGTATGATGATGCGGACCGGCTTGGTGAGATATCGCTGGACGATGTCTTGGAATTCGATAGGTGTTTCCTCGGACTTGGCATGCAGCGCCCAGTTCCTCGTCTCGAAGCGCAGCCTCTTTGCCTTGAGCTGTAGGATCTTCCGGCTCGACGTCTCCCTGACAGTGAACAGGGCAGCAAAGCACAGAATGCCGGCAAAGATGAGAGTCACCCAAGCCGTCCACCGCCAGTGAGCCTCATAAGAAAGAAAGGCCCCTGCAACCGGCGCAACAGTCGCACCGAGGTTGATCGACATCCCTGAGGCAGCCAGGGCTACGCCCCGGGGTATCGGCTCATACAGCTCAAAGTACGTCCCAGAAACCACGGCGAAGGCGCCGCTGCCAAAGACACCAGCGAAGAACCGGCAAATCAGCACAGTCCTGACGTTCTCGCCTAGTGCTATGGGGATCTGAAAGATAGCCAACCCGACCATGGCGACGGTCATGGGCAGCAGGTGCCCAAAGATCTCGGAAATCGGGCCAAAGAATATCGGGCCGGCGAAGAAGCCCAGGATCCAGAGCGCGACGCCCAGCTGGCCCACGACGAGGGGCACGCCAAAGGCCTCGGCGAAGATGTGCTCCGCGGGCGCGAAGACGCTCGACCCGAACGACACGCAGGTGATCATGCCGGACGTGACAAGCACGAAGGGCACCTTGCGCCGCACCGGCCAGTTCCGTGGGCATTCCGGGTCACTGGGCCCGTCCCAGTCGACGACATTGTCAGTTATGCCGCCATAGCGAGGCTTTTCGGCAGGTTCAGCGGGCTGTTGTTGCTCTCGGGGCCCGGAGCCGAGCTCGGGGTCGTGACAGGGGTCGCTAATGGTCTCGTGGCTGGAATCGGTGAAGTCGCCCTGCGACACAGCGCCTGGAGGCGTTCGGTCTCCTGCTAGGGTCGGCGCGGCTGATATTGGTGTTTCCATGGCGAGAGTTGTTTGTCTCTGCCTCGCCTCCTCATCGGAGTCATGAGGGCTGTTTGAATACAGGCTGCACGACAGGTAAAGAACTTTTCCGGCCCCTTTCCCACCGAGGGACCAGTCGGCTTTTCTAATCCGGCGACATCGGTGGAGCTCCGGGTCGCGGCAATGGTTGTGGAGCTGGTCGGGTTTGCCACGGGTATAACTGGGCATCGGACGTCATGCTCGTGATGTTGGGATGAGATCACGAGGATCATGTGATGCAAGTCCGTGAGATTCTACGGGCGTCGGGGTCTAAATGCGAAGGCTTCAACGTCTCATGGGGGTTTTCTATCTATTGCTCAAGTTCATTGCTTGCAAACACCTCAAGACATGACCCACAAGATAATCTCGAACGACATCTTGAATAGGCTACGTTTTCGAGTAGAATCCTCAAATGCCGGACATAGACTGAGATGCCGATCCCTTCATGAATCGTTTGGCGCTACTGCTGCAAGTACTCGCACGGGGTCAACGTCGTGCTGATGCGTCGGAGCGGTATCGCAACGACACAGCAACATCCCGAGTAGTACGTGTCAGGGTGCGCAGCCGGCTTGGTCTACGTTCAATTACCATCACTAAAAACTCATATAAGCCGTATGCCTATACCTAATTGTTATCTTTCACACAGCATACAGTCAAGATACTCTGGCGTTCTTAGTCGAAAACAGCCGGCAAGGCGTTGTCAGCTCTTCCTATATGTTGTAACGTGCGGAATTTCTTGTCTTGAGCAGGTTGATGAAAATGCGATCATCCATGATGCAGACTTTGCTAAATTACTCAACAGTTATAATGCATCTAACAGCCCGTCACCATTAACAAAGCCCTAGGATAGTTTGATTCGAGGCACCATTCAGAAGTATATTCTACTGCCGTTTTGCACAGCAGCAATATAGTCAGAGAAGAATTTGCCGCAGTGCCTGTCATTCATCAATACAGATGCAATGCGTCTGTTGTACAGCAAGGAGAGTACCATGCGACCAGTGGAAAACAAGAGGCTGGCCCCAAGCCCGAAATTGGTGGTGTGAGTCTCACACACCCTTAATCGAAACATCATCATTTTTTCTGCCTCTTTAGTAAGCGGCTAGTGTAGGATTGTATGCATTCGAATCGGTCCAGGGTCACGGTGATAGCTAAATCAACTAGCCTAGTAGAACCCGAAACTCTATCCATTAGTCAAAAACGTTGATCACCACTGCCGCACAGCTTATACGTCGATCAAGTCTACTAGAGGTGTCGTTGTACGAAATTAAATAAAATTGAAACAGTAGATGGCACATCGAACTAAGTCTTAGGACAGGAAGGAAGACACGGGGCACTGTCGCACAAAAATGTATTGATAACGTGACAGGCACAAATTCGCATGATATCGAGAGCCCTACAGCAAGTGTAAAGTGTCGAGACTACTTCGACATAGAACAGCAGGCACGGGTAATTGAAATCTTCAAGTCGAGAATATTGCTCAAGCCTTACGCTGCGGCGTTGACAGAAGTGAAGGAGCTGTTGCTTTTCAACCAGATTTCAATGATGGAATCAGCACGAAAGATCTTACATACGAGGTTGTGAAGATGTGAAAATTGTCAGTGAGTTCACATGTGCTGCCCGGGTTGTAAAGAACTTCAGACAGAATCCAGATTCCTGATCTGTGAACCAACCAAGTTCCACCACGATTTCCAGCAATCATTGGTCTGCTACCTATTTTTAGAGCCCCTTGCCCTGGCTGTAGTTGCCCCCGCCGCCCCTCCTGCAAAGTAACCAAAACATGTAGGTGACGGAGTTCTGGTGTCTTGACGCTCAGCGCGGCGTATTTGCTCCCGAAGCCTGCCACCACGTGCACTACTTTGGTCAGTCTTGACAACAAAGTCTCGGCATAATTTGAGTGTACGATTACTTGAAGTACTATCGATTGATGCGTGGTATATAGTACCTCACACACAATCAAAAACTGAATTGGTGCAGACCGTTTTCAATGTTTAGCTACCATCGATGCATACTGAGGTGCCCCTTAAGCAGATATCCGGCTGAGTGGATACTAGCAATTGTCACCGTGCACCGTGTTCTCACGTAGTGAAAACGGATCGTATCTTAATAAACATCTAATCCAAGCATGAACTTCCATAATGATACGAATGGTCTCCATTGTCATTCGCCATTGCACCATTCGGATTCGGACAGTCGCGACATCCCGCGCAATACTATTTTGGGCAATGCAACGGTCCAGACCACCAGTACGACACTGCATAGTATGCGTACACATGCATACAAGGAGGTAGACACGGCAAACTCGGAAGAAGACCGCAGCCTCCAGGGATGATGCATAATATTTGCAAACATGCATGCTCGTATCCTTAATATCTTACCCCAGACTCTTCCATGTCACGACCGCCGGAGGCTTTGCTTACCATGTGTTCAATATCGTGATCTCAGCCGACTGGTTTGTTTTCCAACGGACAGACTGACCGCTTCAAGGCAATTGGACGCTTTCGAGTCAGTGCTCGGTGGAATCTGAGCCCTGAAACATGTGAGCGGATCAGGGTGGTTCGTCCCAATGTCCTGAGGGCTAAGAATGGAAGAAGATCTGGGGGGCGAGTCATTGACCAACCTTAAAACAAGGCTGTGAGCCGGCCGACCCAAGCATGCTTATATGGGCTTTAGGCTTGCCGAATACTGGGAAACAAGGTTGTCTGAGCCGGTCTGCTGGGAAACTGCTAGATATCCGTTATCTGCGCTGCGCGCACGTTGTGAGCGATTCACGATACTACCCCCACACATCACATGGTGTGGGAGCCCCCCCTGGTCCCCAAGGCTGAGCCGCAAGGGGGAGCCCAAGGAGATCCCAGAGCACCACAACTCTTATCCAACGATATTGCAGTTGCGGAAGGCGTGGCTGCTGGGGGCACGGACATGACTCAACTCAAGATCTACGAAACGTGGGCATAAGCAAAGAAGCTGTCCGGAAGCGGACAGCGAATGGAGCTGACAATGCCTTCATTTCGCACTCTCGGGCTGACCAGGGTCGTATGCACTCTGTCAAGGATGCCAGCTTCGCCCGATCTTTTACATATTTAACAAGCTGTAAGGCCGCATGGTTGACCGAGGCTTGTTCAATAGCCAAGCCGCCTTCTTCCATTCTCTCAACAACACATTCTCTTCAGAACACAGTCTTTTTCGTCTGTTTCTCAGACAGCTTTACAGTCTTTCCCGGTCTGTGCATCACTTGGTATCCTCTACCACAACAAAATCCAAGAGCAGCGCCAGCCGCAAGTCCCACAAACCTTTTCACGATGCTTTTCAAGAACTCAGCCGCGGTGTTCGCCCTGGTTGGCCTCGCCGCTGCGGCCCCGGCCAAGCAGGAGCCCAGACTTCTCCTCCATGATGATGTCATCCTGCCCCGTGCCGATGGTGGCTACGACGTGATGAAGGACTGGGAGTGGTCCGATATCGAGCGCCGCATTGAGAAGGAGACCCGCGAGCGCGCCGTGGACGAGAAGCGCCGTGCCCTGTCCGGGTACACCATTCCTGCCGGCGCCAAGATCGGCAGAGAGGAGTCCGACCTCCAGCGTCGCTGCGACGAGAGCAGCGAGGTGCAGGTCCTGACCGATACCGAGTTCACCAACTGGGACGTCGCCATGTCGCCCGTCGTCGGTGCCACCGGTGGCCAGGCCACTGTTGCAGTCACCAAGGGTTACTCGATCACCAACTCTATCACAGTCGGAACCGGTGCGGACTACACAGTTGAGAAGGACATCTTGAAGGTCAGCATGAGTATCGACTACTCTCACAGTTGGACTACGTCGGACTCGCAGACTTTCACCTACTTCGTCACCCCAGGTCAGTACGGCGTGGTCGTGAGCAACCCCTACACCCGGAGAATCACTGGCAACTTCGTTACCGGCTGCACCGATTCTCCCAGCTACGAGCCTTACACCTCCGACACCTACACGGACCAGACCTACACCGGTATGACCTGGGTCGCAGGCCCCATCAGGCTGTGCAACAGCACCTCCTACCCCGTTCCCTACTGCGTCGGAACTGGTACCCACACCTAAGTTGCTTGCTCAGATTGCAGGCTGGTTGGCAATGATGAAAGCGGCTTTGGATTTCTGCAGTATCTCACAAGGCACATTATCTCATGGACGGACGAGGAGAACGATCACATCTTCACTTGACGATATTTAGTCAACCTGTACATGGTTTATGCGTATGATGTATATATTCCCAGCCCGAGGCTGATACCAATGACATAGCAAGCATTTGTTTTTGCATTGTATACAATACTTCTTTTGCGATCTGTGATAAGAAACAAGTCTTGCTGCACATTAGGAACTGACTAGATGTCGCTGAGTTCACCCCACTCTGGTATTAGCCGGTGTGGATATTGACCACATGAGTCCTCACCTTTAATTTACTGATTACCCGGCTCCGACGGATGATGACCAGTTTGGGGTTGGCATTTCATACTTTTGAATCCCGTTAATAGAGTAAATTGGTTTCTGAGTCTCCCATTGCCATGGTCAGTTAAGGCAACGTTGACGATAAGCCTCCATATCAAGAAATGACGTGCGAGAACCTTGGTGGTCGTGCTCCTTTTCCTTGATAGCATCGATTGCAACAACGGTTGCTGAAAATAGCCAAGAAATGATCGACGCGCGGTGCATGATTTCTGCTTGGATGGCCCCTCTACGTTCTATACTTGGATCCCCTGTTACCCCTAGGGCAATCTCTCCCATCGGACAAGGACAACCTTATGAACTTACACGTACGACGTGAGGCCTGAAGCTTGATTCAAGAGACGAAAGCTTGCAGACTAAGGTAAAGCAAGTCTCATACATAAACAATTCCACACCTGACATATCTAGTCCGCACACGTCCAAGCCCTGGAATTCACAGACCTGTCTGGCTTGACTTGACAGGCCATGTTGTGCAGCATCAGGCGACACATGACTGGCTGCAGGCCGCATTAGCCGCAACTGGCAGCCTTTGCTCCACAGCGGGATGTTTCCCTGTGACGCAGTGGCGCGTGGGCACACCAACGGACCGGCAGCCCACACCCGCCAAGCAGCTGACTCGATTTCCGCGACAGCGGCTTGACTAACCGTAATATCCTCTTCGTCCCACGCCACTCCGCCCGCGTGTCTCCGGCCTCTCCTCACCTTCAAGTCCTTGTCCTTCCTTGGCGGGCCCATGTGTTAGCATGGACAGGACATCAATGACCGACGCAGGCGGCGCCGTAGAAGATGATGCTGGCCGTACCGGCGAGGAGAGCGAGTTCGGCTCCGCGGTTGGAAACGGAGACGATGATCCGGCCGCCGGATATCAACCCCTTTGGGTCAGGCTGGCCTGCATCGGCCTCGACTTCCTCACCCAGACGTACGATCAAATAAGGATTGTGCCTGAGATCGCTCTCTTTGAGCAATATGTCTGCAGAGCCTACTACGCCGGTGATGGCGAACACTCTTTTCCGGATGGGCGGATCCCACATGTGATGTGCAAGAACCCGGATGTCCAATATCAACTGGCACGCCTCCGGAGTTACAAGGCTCTGTTTGACGGCATCGCAAGTATGGATGGGGAAGAAACCTGGGTCGGTCCTGGAAAACGGTTACTGACAATTTTCCGCAGTCCTTGTTACCGCTATTCCCATGGGTGTCCTAGCTGACAGGGTTGGGCGAAAGAAGGTTATCGCTTCGAGCGTACTGGGACCCATACTCCAAATGTGCTGGATCCTCCTTGTCTGTAGGTCGATCTTTCCCACATTCGTACGAGAGATAGTTTCACGGAAGCAAGCTCACCAACATGACACGGTCAGGCATGGGAGGCCTTCAGGAACGAGGCATGAGTATGATCTGGGCGGGTTCGGCCTTCCTCCTCATGGGCAACCTATCATCCGCGAACGCGACGATATACGCCATGGCGGCGGACTCGTGCCCTCCTGCGCAGAGGAGCCGCTACTTCTACTACCTATACTCTACTTTCCTCGTCTGCGAGCTGTTTGCTCCGGCCCTTGCCTCGGTCACCATCGAGAGAAATCTCCTTATTCCTTTCGTCGTCGGTTTGGCTTCTCTCCTCACGTGTTTTCCCATCCTGCACGTAGTGCCAGAGACACATAAGGTGGGTGCGTCGCTGGGCGCAGGCAGTCGGCGCTCGTCGAGGTCGTCAGCCAAGGACCAAAGTGAGGCCCGCGAAACGGACCCGCTCGTGTCCTCCCTGGCGGACCCAACAACAGAGACCGAGATACGGCCCCGGAGAAATCTGTTGTCGGTAGTGCGAAATAGGAACATACTGCTCGCCCTCTTCGTGCTGTTCATCGGCGCCCTGCGGCAGGGAACAGTGTCGGTCTTGCTCCAGTATGCCGCGGTACGGTTCGGGTGGCCAACGTCACGGACCGCGATGCTGGTTTCGGTCATTGCTGCGAGCAATATCGTCCTATTCCTCGTCATACTCCCGCAGACTGTTGCATTCCTCACATCCAGATGGCACATCAGGTCACAGCTCATCGACTATAATGTTGTCTCCGTGAGTCTCGTAATTCTGACAGTGGGAGCAACGCTCATGGGTCTGGCATCTTCGATGCACTGGCTTATCTGCGGTAGGTGGAGAAATTTTCTGCGTGCCAATCATCGCAAGGTACTTACATGGTTTAGCTACCCTTCTTTTTGCAACGGGATATGGCACCAGAGTTGCCGTTTTATCTCTCATAACTTCATGGACGGACGAGGACACGCGCGCAAGCACTTTCGGCGTTGCCCAAATTGTAGAGGGCATTGGTAGAATGTGCGGAGATCCAATGCTCCTCAGGATCTTCGCCAAATCCATGCGTATGGAAGGCATCCTACAGGGCTTGCCATTCTATGTTGCCGCTGTAAGCATTCAATGGTATCCAGTCGGTCTCCTTCATGCGTATCGCTGACTCACACTCAAAGATTGGCTTCGGCCTGGCTGCTGTAGCATGGCGTTTCGTTAGGCTAGGAGTACTAGCATAAGACAATCGGCGAGGAGCAGACATCCATGTACATACAAATCAATGCCTCTATGGGCGAATTAAATATATTGATTGTCGTAATACGCCATGTTGAAGTTTAAATTCCAATTTTATCGCGTGACTTCGTGCTATAGTAATACTGCTTGGCGCATCACCAAAACCCAAGCTCCTCCTCGACCCTTCCACCCCTAGTTCCTCTCTTTTAGGGCCAGCAATCATCCGTAGTTTGTGTGCCCCCCTTTTCACGTCCTTGTGATAGGGAGCCATATTGTTGAGGTAGTGGCTTCAGTGGAGATTGTTTGTCAGACATCGTTGTTGTAAATTAGAATGCAATCATGGGGTATGTGGAAGTTGGATGATTTGCCAGCTTAATACTGGAGGTGGCATTCATATCTAAATTGAAACTTTTTATCTAAACGTGGGGAGCTCCCAAGCTTACACATGGCAAAAGTATGCAGAATGAAGAGCCAGACTGGGAATGACCATCTCCTCGCCAGCCCGAGGAGGTGTGACACAAACAACCAATGATGACTCCCTCGTTACCCGACGATCCACAACACCTTGAGACTTTGAGGGCTTATTTTGAAAAGTTTAGTGACATATATTGACTCAGTTCTCATCGTGACGTGAGGATCTGTATTGACTGTTCGCTGGAGCGAGTTTGTTGACTGGGCATCAATGGCGAGCCTTCAAGTCTTTCTAGTACGGCTCCTTTTGAAAAGGTTGGCCGCTGGCAATGAAGACGTTGAGGGGTACTGGGTGTAAGTTAGCAGACCGATGCGAATTCGCCTTTGAGTATTGTTTCCTATGTTCACAATTCAATTTCGTTGGAAATCTCAGAAACCCACATTTGTAACTGTGGTTCTTCAGTACTGTCCGCACGTACAACCTAACATGATGGTAATTTCTTCGGTAATTATTGCAAAGACCTTGTTTTGGGTATTTTTTACACAATAGGATCTCTTGTACCTTTCGTAAAATTCTGCTGGGCAGAATTTGATTGTTCTGAAGCTGTTTTATATATGTTGCTAGTTTCGTTTTGGTGACTCGAGCCATACACCGTGAAGACAACACACTGACGACAAGGAAAATGCAATATGTTGAGGTTTAGTTGCAAGCTGATTCGACGGAAGGTTGATAATCCTCGTAATATTGGATGTTTATAGGAGGGAAACGATTGACTGGGCTGGGGTTCCGGTTGCGTTGGCCTAGCATCACGTCACATCCGCGAACCGTCCAATGTGCACGAAGTGTCCGGTTTCAACTGAAAGTAAACGACGGATCTCCCCCAAACTCGCATCCGACCTCTCTACCATCAATTATAAAGATTGCATATTGTCCATATTGTCGCGAGACCGAATTTATCAAGTGAATTCATAATCTCCTCTTTCTCAATTTCAAGACAGATTGCTCATCCATAACAACTTTACACGAAAAAACCTGGATTATCAGCGAGATGAGCGGCAAAATCGATCTCAAAGACCTGCCCGAAGTCTATTGCGAGGCCTGGGCCTCGAAGGACCCATCGAATCTCCTTGCCCTCTTCTCCCAGGACTCTTTCATGACAGACCATGGGGCGCAGATCCATGTTCCCTTTCCCTTCTTAGAGCGCCACCACAAGCACTGGAACGGCGCCCATGACGATTTTGAAGTTTGGTTGGACAAGCAGTACCCCGTCTACTGGGCCGAGCTTGACGACCAAGGAAATGGGTACTGCAGTTTCAGAACAGTCAACAAGGGGGTGTTTGTGAACGACCTGGGAAGACGCAAGGCTACGGGATTGCCGTTCCAGTATTCGGGTGTGATTGATCTGAAACTTGAGGGGGGCAAGATTGTACAGGCGGACGAGTGGCTGAGGGTACCATTCGAGGATAGCGTTTCCCCGGATAAGTATATCACTATCTCGGAGGAGAGTTTGAAGGGCGTCATGAGGAAGGACCTTCACAAGTCCGAATAAGCTACATCGGTGGAGACCATCCCCTTATATTTCAATTCAACTTTTGCGCATCATGTATGAGTCAACACATTTGTCCCTTGAAGCCAAAGCCTTTGTGCCGCCGAGAGACTGACATGAGATTCTGTAATGGGTCGGGATGACTTTCTGTCTATATACGGTCGAGGCATGCGGTGCAGATCGGTACCGAACGTCCTGGTACTCACAGCAGTGTCAGCCGCCCCTTGCGGATCGATGGGTGTAGCGAGGGGTTAAGAAAGCATCATCCTTTTCCTCCTTCAACTCGGGCACCTTGCGAACGATGACCGACGGAGAACCCGAGCAATTGGTACCATCACATCTCCGCTTACCTGGTGAAATTTAATTCTCAGTGCATGCCTCTAGCTTCCTCACTCAGTGTGATTTCCAAAAGCTGCTCTAAACCAAACCAGCAGTGTGCTTAGTCTGAAGCGACTTGGCTGCTTCAATGGTCTGCTCTTGGCTTGAAATTGTCATAAGCGGTAATTTGCTGATGACCCAACCAATTATGCTCAAGCCGTCACGCAGTTTTTAGAACCTATCAAAGAAGCGTTTTGGTAGGACGATGTATAGAGAAGCGGGACTTGGCACATTGTATTCTTCGTCACGATGGTGACATTTTAGTAAGGCACACCACCACCAAGAAGCCTCTCGTGGTAAGGGCTTGCTCCACGATAGCTTCAGTATCAGCTGAGCTTATTGTTCGAGATGCATGATTCCAAACGTCCTTAAAAGCCCAAGAACTTGCGGCATAGCTCAAACTCTGCCTTTTTGAGTATATAAGGGCATCCATGGCCTTGGTTGTTGGGCAGGAGTCTTCTCTTTGCCGCCACCATCAAGGACATCTTCTCAGGCACTGCTCTAGTCACTGTTATTCTTGACAAACTCTCATATCCCTCAAAATGCAATTCGTCATTACCTCCGCCCTTCTGGCTCTTCAGCTGGTCAGCGCCTCGGTCCTTCCTCGTGATGGGCTTGAGTACTCTGAGCTGACCGGGATTGAGCCTTTCAACACGACATTCGCCTTGGATCACCTAGTCAAAGATCGCACGCTGGATAGCACAGAATCTCTCGCTGAGCGCCAGGCATCTGGTGCTGTCTACTACTGCATTAATGCCAATTGGGGGCCGGCCTGCGAGTATCGCTACATGCCGAAGGACCAATGCGGTATGAACTCTTCCGCGAGACTCGATTGTCTCATCTCTCACTTGATCTGTAGACACGAGACTAAGACTTCAAATGCATAGTCACTTTCCAAGCTCCGTGGCAGGACAGCATTAGCTCATTCGGCCCCGACCCTGGCGTCTGGTGCCATCTTTTTGAGCACAGCAACTGCAACGAGAACGGACGCGTTCTCTGGAACGTCCAGAACCCCGGCATCGACAATCTCGACACCATCGGCTGGAACGATATTTTGACCTCCGTCAGGTGCTGGTGGTAAGCCTGCCAGAGATATCCGGCTGTATGAGCGCAAGAGTTTTAGTGCAGCCTATAGCGAAGGTGGTGGGGTGGGCCATTCACTTGTTGCCGTGATTACAAGACGGACGGATGGGATGGATAAAGAGAGAATGTTCTCTTGGGCTTAGTCTTCCGCACCACTCACTCGGGATAGCTCTTCAATCTAAGGTCGGGATGCAATGCGTCATCGCGGCCGCTTCTTAGGCTTACAATTATTGCTGAGGTCTGTCTTCGCCGTTTGAAATGTGCGCTCCCAGGAATTTCGGGCTTCGACCCCAGTGGTGCCAGCAAATATCAGAGAAACCAGCCTCTAGACCACCAAGCCAACTACAACCCAGAACTTCCCCGGGTACCTAAGACAACTATGACAGGACTGTGGTCGTTTCTGACGAGTTCGGACATTGCAAGGCGGAGAAGACACGAGCGACCGCATAAACGGATGACCTGAATCTGACCGTAATGAGCGCGGATTGTGATTATCATAAACATTTGAAGGCCGGCTCTATGGACAGGTGACCATGATAAGATTGATGGTACTCGAGCTAAACTCTGCTGCCCGCATTGTCCGTCTAGTATCTGATAGCACAATTCGGATGGCTGGGTTCAAAACCAGGAGAAAATGTAATTGCAAGTGGATTGTGTGGTCAGCATAGCAGTAGGAATTCGCCCATTCCAAACGCTCTTTACCTTAATTTTTCAACCTGAAACTCAATATCAATTTTAGGCGAAAGACTTTTTATTATCAGTGGTATGGATGTTTTAGAAAAGTCTGCAGTGGCGGCACAATTAAGTGAACGCGGTGCGGACACAAGACTGCTAGTGGCTAATGCAATGATTGCAAGAAACCAAGTCTTGATAATATGTCGATGACTTATAGTTCCAACATCTTGAAGCCGCTCCTCACTCCCTCGACCAGGTCTTCCTCCCAGAGCTGGGAGCTTGACAAGGGGGGCTGGCCTGGTATGTTTGTGGCAGCAGATCGGCCCACTCCGTCCCACCAGCACGGCGCTGATAAGCAGCGGCTACCGGAGACAAGATCTGGGGGGCATGTGCAGTGGAACGCAACACAGACCACGAGCCACTGACAGCACGCTCTCAACAGTCCAGTCACGGCCGAGTTCCCGCATAAGTTCCATTTTGTGGGCGCCCCAGCAGCCAAGGCGATAGCAAAAGAAGAACGTTACTTCGGCGCGTCCGCTTTGGGAGCCCTGCTTGCGATCACACGGGGCCGCGGCCGATGCAAAGATAACAGCAGCCCGGCCCGGCAATACCAGTCGTGCTCCTGGCACGATGGCGGCTGCTGAAAGATTTTCCTTCTTCCACCCCTCCAGATTCTGGCAGAATAGACGTCGACAACCTGGTTACAGGTACGAAAGTCTTGGAGAAGAGGAAGACGACGACGACGAGCTGTCACCGCCCGCAGACATCATGATCAGTCAGCCCAGCAGCAGCGGCAGTGGCGATGCCGGCCTCATAGCCAAACAAGTTCTTCGGAAGATTGATATGAGGCTTATCCCACTGCTCTTTGTCACCTATGGCCTCAACTTCATGGACAAGACCATCTTGTCCAGTGCATCGGTATTTGGACTGAAGGATGACACAGTTCGTGCAACCCCTCATCATTCTGTCCACGTGCACGCGGAATCACCAAACTAACTTTATCAACAGCATCTGGAAGGGCAGGACTACAGCTGGGTCTCATCTGTCTTCTACTTTGGATACTTCGCCTGGACGTATCCTACCACTCTTCTCATCGCCCGTCTCCCTGTTGCACGGTACATGACCGCCAACACACTGTTCTGGGGGATCGTCGTCGGCGTGACTGCGGCGTGCTCCAACTACGGCGGCCTGCTCACCGTCCGCTTCCTGCTCGGTGTTGCTGAGGCTACTATTACACCTGCCTTTATGTTCATCACTACGTCGTGGTATACGCGCGATGAGATTCCATTTCGCACCGGCATCTGGTTCTCGGGCAACTCCATCGGCGGCATGATCGCCTCGCTCTTCGCCTTCGGCGTAGGACACATCGACGACTCTGTCGGTCCCTGGCGGTGGATGTTCATCATCCTGGGCATAGCGACTTTCCTCTGGGCGTTCGTCCTCTGGTTCACCCTTCCAAACAGCATATCTACCGCCAACTTCCTCACCCCGGAGGAGAAACAGTTCGCCACGGACAGGGTCATCGTTGCGGGGACGGGGCGCACGGAGAAGACGGCCTGGAACTGGGCGCAGATGCGCGAGTGCCTTATCGACCCCAAGACATGGTTCATCTTCGGGCTCGAGATCCTGACCCAGATCCCCAACGGCGGCACCCAGAACTTCGCCAACCTGGTCATCAAGTCCTTTGGCTTCACGAGCCTGCAGAGCACCCTGATCAACATCCCGTACTCGCTCATCTCGGGCGGCTGCATCATGTTCACCGGCTGGCTCGCTGGCCGCTTCCGCCAGGCCAATTGCATCCTCGTCGCGTGCGTCGTGCTGCCCTGTATCACCGGCTCCGCCCTCATCTACTCGCGCGAGCACGTGTCCCGCGGCGTCCAGCTCTTCGGCTACTTCTTGCTCTCGACGGGGCCTTCTGCCATGCCTCTCGCGCTGTCGCTCGTCCAAGCAAACTACCGCGGCGTGACCAAGAAGATGACTATGACGGCGCTGATCTTCCTCGCCTACTGTGCCGGTAACATTGCTGGCCCGCAGTTCTTCAAGAGCTCCGAGGCACCCACATACAACACTGCCTTTAGGACTATCATGATCTGCTACGCCCTGAGTGTGCTGTTGGCGTTGGGACTGCGGACGTACCTCGCTTGGACTAATGCGAGAAGGACAAGACAGGAAGGCTTTGAGGGCAGTGCGGGCTCTGCCGGGGCGGTCGGTGGTGGCAAGGTTGTTGATATTGCTGGTGATGCGAATGCTGTTAACAACGTTGAGCTGAGGAGTGAGGACTACGAAGATGTCACAGATTGGCAGACCTCTGGGTTTAGATACCGTCTCTGAAAGGCATGACAGAGGCAATGGGGTTTAGAGCGGCTCCTGGTGGTACATAAGCTACCTAGATATGTAAGAGAACAGTTACTGGCATTCTACACATTGGAATAAAGGTCCTGTGGCCATTTGTGCCCTAAATGCCCGCCCATCGCATCAAGTCTGAGACGGACTGCTGCCTGCTCACTTTCTGACTGGGAGTAAAACACTAAGGACAACTTGTTCTCGAAATGATTCTAAATTCAGACGAGCCTTTGGTCGCTCAAAGCGTTGCACCACTGAGCAATATCTCAGTAACAGACTACTTCGGAAGGAGATAAACAGACAGCGAAAGATAAACTGTACATTGGCAGGTTGATAGTAAGCCTGGGTAAGGCCGCCTTCGGCGAGTCCTTAGCTGTGTTAAGGAATCTCTCTATTGTGAGTGTATCTAAATGCTGAAACTAGAATGTCTTCAGCGTAGATTAATACAGGGTGAATTTCAGTGCATCCCAATTTTCGGACAAGATATAGGACTTATTCGTCGAGGATTCCCTACTGGTTTGAAGATCCTCCTTTAAAGCCTGTAGCAGATGCGAACATCTTTGTGGCGTTAAAGAATGCGCCATCGGTACCTATCTCGTAGCCCCTAGTAGGGTCCAACATATCTGACATATTCAGCCTCTGCGAATGTGTATATGGGTTATAAGTGTCAAATATCCGTGCAACGACTTGGCTGGGAAAGATGCCGTCTTCGTCAGGAATAGCTGTACTTGCTCCTGCTTCGAGTAGACGATCGAGTATCTCGAGACTTCCACTATATCGGACTGCAAGATAAATTGGAGTACGACCGCGGGCGTTTGGTATATCGACCGTGCACTGCCCACAATGCAACAACTGTTCGACAACTCCTAGTTGCGCTGACTGAACGGCCAGATGGAGCGCCGTGTACCCCTGCGGCCCCAACATCCCTGCGTCCGCTTTATAGCAGAGGAGGACTTGAACCGCTGTTTCTCGACCATACTGACAAGCAAGGTGCAGGGGGCTCATCCCATAAGCATTCTGGATGTCGATCGGATGGCCCGCATCTATGAGAACTTGTACAAGATGACCAAGGTCCAGCCATGCTGCGAAATGAAGCATCGTGTTTCCCTCAGTGTCGTTAACATAGTCCCCGAGATTTGATTCTTGCAAAGAGAGTTCCCGTGAGATCAGCTCATTCGCCAATGAGACGAGTCGAAACTCCTCTGTCTGCTTCCACTGCTGCAATTCAGTCTTCCCTGAGGATGCTTTGATAGAGCTATCTCGGAGTCTTCTGTACAAGGCATTGTCTACGACTTTAGGATGTACAATGTCATCGTAAAGCTGAAACATGACCTCAGAACAGAGAGTTTCCAGACGAGATAACACATCCACCAGGTAGCGATCCAGAGCCTCATGAGAAAACATTGCATGAAAAGGAAGCAGCTTTTCGAGGCCGATTGCCAGTTTCATATTCTGTAGGTGTAGCGATTCCTCGAGATCTGGGAAAGCACTGATCACGCCTTGAATTCGATGAACAATCTCGAGTGGGAATTGGGCGCAATGCTGAGCTGAATGTACATGGTACGGTAAGAATCGGTATGTATGCTTTATCAGCCAGTTGTAAGCGTCTCTATCGGTGAAAAGTAGTTGGGAGAGCACCTCTTTCGTTGAGTCGAGGTCTTTCGAAACTTGCTTGAACAACATAGCACGCACGCAAGACCGGATGATCATGCAGTGTCCTAGTGCCAGAAACGTATCCGCATCTCGACAGTGAAAAACGGTGAATCCATCCTGTAGGAAAAACTCCCTGACAGACTCATGGACAAATTGAGCTTTTCCCGCAGAGACTTCGACCAGACCCCTCGAGATGCTTCTTACCAGCCGTTTCTGTCGCTCCTGTTCCAGACGGTCATCCACATAAGGTTTGACTGCCTCAGCAGGTGCCTGAAAGTCAAAATTGTCCCTCCCAAAGGTGTCGAACGCAGAGATCTCGTTAACTTGAAAACTCGGACTTCCCAGGAGCAGCCAATGTACCAGATTGCGAAGCTTTAAACGTTCCAGCACCGACATAGCCTTCAGAAGTCTGGTGAACATGGTGACTAAGTCCGTAGGTACGCTATCGAGAGTCTTCTGAACCTCCCAAAAGGTACACCCGTTATCAATATCTCGAAGGACTTCATCGACCACCAAGACAACCCACAGGAAAATACCTGAGGACTTTTCCATAATGGTCATTCTTAATCGGTCAATGACATTTGCAGTGAAACCAACATCGTATGGGATCTTATATTCCACCATTTTAAATATGTCGTTCCGATTTTCTCTCTCCAGGGTGATCTCGGGGCACCTGGAGATTGATATATGTGGGTAGTGGCGGCTTGAAAGGCAAATATCCAAGTATCTTCCCAAGGCGTATGCATCGCTGGTAAGGCTTCTAAGGAAGTAGGCCAACTCACGCACGTATTTCGCCTCGCATTCATCCACGGCGTCCAGGAAGATTGTAACACGATTTGTGTACGTAGTCTCGACCAGACATCGTCTTATTAATCGCAACAATTCTTCCAACGTTGGACCCCATAATGCAGAATCAGTATATGAAGTTTCAGACTTGAAGTGATCCACTATGACTGATTGAAAGGGATGACTTTGTTCAAGAAGCTGGAGCAGAAAAGATCTGAGCATTCCCTGTGGTGTACGGTCCAATTCAGATCCGCGCGCATTGAAAAAGAAATTGGCGATGATGTGGCCCTGTTGTGCGGTAGCCTTGGTAAATAATAGGATCTCTTTCATGACAGTTGACTTGCCAGAGCCGGGGAGGCCTTTTATCCACAAAATCCCGTGGTTTGTCTGAACGTCAGAGCGTTGGCTCCAGGAGACGAAAGTCCGGTGACTGCGTAGCCACTGACAAGTGTCCAGCACAGGAGGATGAATGGCATTCTGTCTATCAAATATTTGAGGATAGGACAAAGCCTGTTTGCATTTTGCGACTGATGAATATAAGGTCAGTATTAGCAGAAGCCACCTGTCTCGACTTGACTGGACGTACCGACAAAGTCTTCATGCTTGCCTGTTACTTGATAAGTAGCATTCGTCACGGGATGCGGCGATTTGGAATCTGCGGGCTCTCCATATCAGCATGAAACACATGCTTCTGTCAACTCAAATTCACTGACTAAGACTTTGCACGGATGCCGTTGCTGTCGAGTTTACCTCCCGACGCTTGATTTGCTTGACAATCTTCGCCAACTCGCCTCCGACCTTTTGATACCCCGGGTCGGAGGGTCCGTTGTATTTACACATGTCCATATGGTTTGCCGGAATCGTTTCCGCATGCTCTCTTGGATCATCTAACGAGGAAGATGCGTCGGGAACGACCTAGTACCGTTTTAGACGGGCATATTCGTAGAGGGATGCCAAAGACGCACCTTATCGTTCAACAATCCGAGCTTCACACCCGTGAGGGCGTGGGCCTCCTGAAAGGTCTTCACAGTGAACTGAAACTTGCGCCATTGTGAAACGAAGGACTCCCGTGAAAGCTCAAGCTCAGGAGCGTCAATACCTAAAGAGCGCAAAATGGAGTCATGAGAGTCAAAACGAAGGACAGCGCCCGCGATGCGTCTGACAACGTCGGCGGTTGACGCGAGTCCAGGACTTCCTCTATGCGGAGTTCCCAGAAAGACAATGGCGTGTGTGCTCCGGATTATGTCTTGAAATTCGGGGTCCTCCATGGATTCACACCGACGCAGTGCCTGAATACCACTCTGAGAGATTGTCATGGGCTAGGTCATGGAGTTTTCAACATACCTCTTTCACCACAAGACCACCGAGAGAATGAACCACAAATATCACCTTCCTGTCCCTGGGACGATTCCGAGAATACTCGAAAATAAGGTCTCGAGCATGGCTAAAGATGTTGTTCCTACTTGTATTGCCGTATCCCTTAGTAACCCAGCTGTCGTAACCCCAGGTTAAAATGCGCGAATTTGGAGCATCCGATGGTAGAAGATCTGCTGGCCAATATACATCTGGACTATCTGTTGACCTCCCAGCCGTATCATTCTGTATGTTGGCCTCGGATCTGGTGACGAAAATTCGGGCGGGTCGTTTGAACAATTTGTCAAACCGTGAGGATCGTGCAGACTTGGGCCGGTTAGCCTCGTCGGTATCTTGGCTGCGGAAAGACCATGTTTGCTTTGGGTGTCCCTGTAGACCATGGACAAAGAGGATGCTGGAGTGTATTGGTCAACTGGAGTCACTCCCTCGATAAGGTTAGGGTGGCACTGTACTCGACATCTGGAGCCTGGTGTTCGGGCTCATACAACACTGTTAACCCGATCGCGGGAACCTCTGCTGTTCGCATTATCTTTAGCAACCTGAAGGCTTACACGAGACAAAGTATCAGATATATAGTACAATAGGAGCAACGGACTCCGACAATCTGAATCTGCTGTGACTTCGGGCACTTCTTTAATCGTGCGGGAAAAGGATTTGAGCCCCTCAACACGTCCGATCAGCTGTTGCTAACGACTCTAGGCCAGGAAAGGAGTGGTGCCTGGCTGCCCAGGCATCTCTGCAGGTGTGGTGTGGCTGCTTGTCCTCGTGTCACATATTTATACATGTTCAGGTAAGATGAGGGCTAGTCTGTTTATTGGCGAGGCAGTAGCTGTAGTACAAGCAACAACCTCACACTTAGATCCTTGCAACTCGGAAGGCTGTCACACAAAAAGTCTCAAATTAAGTACTATGTACAGTAGCAACACCACAATATATTCAAGAACATCAAAGGTCAGGCACGGTCCACTGCCGGAAAATCACCACCAACTCATACGTAGACGTAGCAGAAGTCGTTGGCGGTCGTGTCAAGCAGCTCGCCGAGCAGGTGGGCCTTGCCCTCGGCGACGAAGCCCAGGCCCTGGACGTCCTCGGCGGTGCCGTTCTTGTGGGGCTCGGTCGAGTTGTTCATGGTGAAGGCGCCGTTGACGGCGCTGGTCCAGTCGGCGACGCGCGAGGCCGGGTCCTGCATCTGCCACAGCCACCACACGTGGTCGATCTGCCCGTGGTGCAGGTAGAAGGCCGGGTCGCCGGGAGAGACGAAGAGGTCCCTGCCGGGGTCGCCGCCTATGTGTGGATATCTTGTCAATCAATGTTTCTCTTATTTTGTTCGAAAAGGGAAGTTATTTGACGGAAGGGGAAAAAAAAAGAGAGACGCGGGATGAAGGTTTGGAACTGCTCGAGACTCACCAATCGAGAAGTGGATGCCGCCGTGGACGCCCAGCTCCGGGTACAGCGGGTCACCCTGCATCAGCCACTCGAAGGACCAAATATCCTGGGGCTCGCGCAGCAGGGTGAGGACGCTGCTGGAGTTGGCGAAGCGGTCGTTGGCGTCCTGGGTAAGGCTGCGCTTCAGGCAGCGCGGGTTGTACTTGTAGGGGTAGGAGGAGTTGTCGGAGCCGCTGTTGATGGTCGTCAGGCCGCTGGGGCCAAGGTTGACAGTGTAGTTGACAAAGGGCCCCGAGGTGACGCAGCCGCCACCTGTGCCAGCAGACAGGTACACCGCGGCGTCGCCCTGGTCCTCGTTTACAACGATGTAGTCGGCGTCCGTGTAATTCATCGAGACGCCGTTGCCGCTCATGGACGTCTCGCTGCCGTCGAAGATGGGCGAGTTGGCCAGACCTTCTTCGGCGGTGCGCGCCCAGTCCCAGTAAGGGAGGGTGCCTGTGTAGCCGCACTCGTTGCGGAGGGCTTGTTCATGCTCCCAGATGAACCAACGATGCCAGCCTAGGAAGTTGGCCGTCTGGTGGATGGTGAAGGTTTGGTTGATATGCTATTGGTGAATTAGGTCAGCAGGAGCGCGCGCTTGTTTCCTAAATATTCTTGTGGAGAAAGATGCGCTAGACTATATGTGAGACCATTCTATCAGGGAACAGCGTTTATGCATACCGTCACAACAAAGTCGTCGAACCTGGACTTGGCACCCTCGGCAAGGCTAGACGGCGTCTTAGCCTCCTTGCTCTGCAGGCATAGCACGGCATCCGTATAGGCGATACGCTCTTCCGCAGTCAGATCGTGCCTGGGAATCTCTTGTTAACTCTAATCCTTATCTATATCACATGGCAGGGCTCGGCACTGTTGTCGACCCTAATCAGAACAAACGACTTACCAAGACTTGCGGACAGACACCTTGTCAGCCGTGCATGTAGAGTTCGCACCCAACCGAGACAGAGCAACGCTGCGCGCATGCTCGCCAAAATCACCGATGGAGGCGTTGAATCGGTTGAATCCCGCATCCTGCCTCTTGACGAGGGCTGGGCCGGCCTGGGAAACACCGGCCAAGGCGAGAGCCGCGCCGAGGGCTCGCTGGGTGAGTTGCATCTTGAGAAGGGTCTAGTAGTCTGGATACCGGCGATAACTAATGTTGCTGCCAAACGAGAGACTGGACCGGGCGAGACTGGACTGCAAGAGCACAGAGGCGAGACTGAGCGAGGGTAAGGTGGGAAACGGGACTTGATGTAGGTATCGTGGGTTTTACACCTCGCTTATATATGAAATTACATACGGCCCCAACTCTCCACAGGCAGAATCTTTTCCCCCACAGGCAATGGACACGCCCTATATCCACGACGGCCAAGTCACCTAGGTGCTATGTCTATATTTACAGCATGTTTTGTTGGTGGGAGAAAGCAAGGCGCCGGCCCTGTTTGGGGGGCGCCCGGGGGTCGGGCGCACTAGTAGATTGATCTCTTGAGTCGTGCTCCCGGCGAAACATCGCATATAAACCAGGTCCCAGTGGCAACGTCCAAAGCTTGGCATATCCGCTCGGGTCAGGGGCAGCCAGACAGGCGGGTCGGCCACTGCCCAGCATGCAAGGCCCGCAGGGCAGCTGGCTCATTGGGATCGTCACATCGTCGCCGGACCCTGCGTCGTGTTGTGGGCGGGCGCCGTACAATGGCAAAAAGGCTGTGTAAATCCCGAGCACCGACAAGAGAGGGTTGTCCCTTGGGGCTCAATTGGCAAGTGGGGACTCTGGCCCGGACGGATTTTCCTGATAAGCTTGTTCATGATCGGAGGCTTGGGCAGGGTGTGGACTTGTTCTTATTTTTTATGGAGTGCAAACGCGTCTGTTTTCCCAGAGACAGGGCAAACCTCGGGCGGAGTATGACAGCAGTGAAATTATATGCAGTACATTTCTTCAAACCGTGGTGCCCGGCGACCTCAACTCTGAGGGCCTCAGCCGCCTGCGTAAAAGCTCGCTCATACGCATTGTTGTCGGAATATCTATACTCCCAGTCGCTATCGACTAGTCTGTCGCACGAGCCAATACAAGTGTCGAGCCATCGTCCAGAGTTACACAACATCTCATCAATTCATTCATTGCGAGTTGGCGCTCATGCTACGTGGACAAGAAAGCTTGCTTCGGCCAAAATAAGAGGACCTATCAAGATACATGTGTTGAGTTGTAAGGGAAAAGCCAGTACATGGCGGCGTGATTGGGTCGATATAAACAACAGTGACACGCAACAAGACACACGTCGTGCGGTATCAGTATTTCCAAGTTGCCCGGCTCCGCATTCCGCTCCATCCCTTGAACGACCTCGCATAAATCCACAGCCGTCGTTTTCCTCCAATGCACTCATACACCTATCCACTTCATCCGTGAGGAAAGCATAGTCCCTGAGCCTGAGATAGAGATCTTTTTGGTCTTTTCGATTTGTGATGGATTTTTTTGTCTTTGCCTCACTCCCTCCTTCGCTTTGCTCTCCTCCCTTTTTTTGCCTGAGGTGGTATTCGGAAAAGATAAAATAAGAACAAGATAAGGGTATGTTTGCAGTGAAAAAAGGTCAAGTCGTCATATATGCAGCAAGATCGCTTTCAAATCATGGCGGTTTAAAGTTCGTAATTCTTGCACCAGAGGTCTCATTTGAAAATTCTTAGCCCATCTTGACATCTCCATCGACACCAACTCCAGCAAACGGCACAGTCTGTGACTGTTGCTGTTGGTGCTGTTGCTGGTCACCTTCACGGGCCGCCGCTGGTTGGTGGTCCCGCTTCTTCCTGCCGAGTCGGTCGCACCACTCTTCCGCGCTGACAATCGTGCCGTCGAGCACGCCGCTCACCTGCGACATCATGTCCAGCCCCTCTTTGGCCAGAACGAGCACCCGCTGTGCGCCATCGCGGACCTCCTGCTCCTTGCCTTCCTCGGATGACGAGGCCTGGTTGCCGTTGGCATTGCTGCCCGACTCTTGGGTGGCGATGCGGAATCGCTGGGGTAGAGAGGTGAGGTGCCTCCGGACCAGCGCTCGCGCGTTGTCTGGCAGTGCGCCGCCAGCGTACTTGGACACTGTCTCAATCACACCTTGCAGTGTTTTGAGCACCTCTGTTCGCAGGGCGTCGATGCGCGCTCCGATTGCGCGTCGTGCCTGCTCGTCGTCCTGAACTCCTGACATGCTGTCCGTGTCGTTCATGGCGTGGTCCTCCAAATGTGGATGGCTCTCATATTTGTCTAACGCGTCTTTCAGAGCGCTGATCACCCTGCCGATGTGATCATTGGCCCATCGCAACCAGCTTAGGCAGTACTTGAGGCTACGCAGGCTTTCCTCACTCATAGCAATACTGAGACCAGAGGTGGACATGATGAGCCGAGATTGCCATGCCGTTGGGGTGGTCGATGACGGTCTTGAAGCTGTCCGTTCTGACTTGTCATTTGGCGCCACTGCGTCCTCTGTATAAGCCGGGCTCCGAGCATCGTCGTATGCCGGCAATGTGTCGATAGTGCTCATGGAGAGCCTTCGATCCTTGGTGGTAAAGCCGTAGGGGTCCATCTGGCCATGCGCATCTGCACCATTTGCGCTGTTGTAAGTGGGTGCACCAGAGTCTCGCCGTGGAGAAGACGTTGAATTACCTCTACTGCCTACTTTCCTGCGCTTGTGACTCTTTTCGCCTGTCTCCAAATCACCGGACGATTGGTGTCGGCCCTTGCCGCGAAAGAACCACCGCACGCCGCCCTCTATGCCGGTGAGATGAAGGCCGGACCCGACGACGCCCTCGATGTAATCAACAGGTGTTTTGATGAACCCGGGAGAAAAGTTCTTGGTGGTGTTATAAGCGGAAACGGTGCCCTCAATTGGCTTCGCGAGCACAGAGCCCGACGTCATGACGAGTGACAGGAGCGGCTCGGGCGGGCCAGGTGTGCCAAACATATTCGAAGGCGAGTTAGGCATAGGGGTATTCTTGTTCTTAGGGGACGAGACGAAATCTTGAGGCATGGCTTGTCAGAGATAGGGTTCCCCCCAAGGGCGGGGAAGATGGGACGAAGGGTCATGCACTCACCGGCCTTAAGATCCCCGAGGGCTTCCGCCGCCATTCGCACATCCGGATCATCCAAACTAACGCTGCTTGCGCGACCACCAATGGGCTCCGGGCTCAGAGGGCCCCTCGTACCACTGCTCAAGCTGTCGAGATCCATCTTCGCAGGCGAGCCAGCCGACTGTGCATGGCCCCCCGAGTAGTACGCTGAATATGGGTTTCCGGTAGGCCACGGCCGAGGTCGCACAGGAGGTGAAAATGATGTGTCGCTCGCTGCAGATGATGAAGCGAATCTAAGGGAGTTGGACGTGGGTGGGCCTGCGAGGTAGGCTAACGAGGGAAGAGAATTCACGCCGTGGTCGCTGGTAGGGTTTAATTGCAGAGGCGCCAGCTCGTTTGAAGGAGGCTGCGGAAAGTTCAAGGTGGTAGGGTCGTGGTTCTGCTGGGCGAATGCGTAGGAGGGCGGCGAGTAGGCGGGCAGTTGGCTCAAGGGTCGAGGAGACAAGGAGGACGACTCGGAGTGGCGGTGGGATTGGTGTTGGTGGCTGTGATTGTTGTTATTGCTGGCGCCGGAGGCGTAGAATGGGCTTGCGCTGGCGTTGGTATATGGCGGCGACAGCGTCAAGGAGGAGGAATGCGCTTGCTCGGGCGGCGGTTGCAACTGCTGAAGCGACTTGTGGAATAATGGGTCTGTGGCGCCGTGGGTTGCGTTGCCGCTGCCGATGCCGTTGAAGTCAAAATCGACGGGAGGTGGGAGCCGCATGTGATTCTGACTCTGGGTCTGAGCCTGAGCCTGAGCCTGTAACTGTGCCTGTGACTGGTGGTGTTGGTGTTGGAGTTGGTGTTGCTGCTCCATTTCCATTTCCATTTTGGCCGTCTCCTGGCCCGCCCGTGCTTTTGCTGGTCTGGGCTCTTTGCAACGAAGCAGCCGAGCCCAGCGAGATGCGAGGTCGGGTCCGTTGATTCAGGTTAGGCCAGGAACAGTCCGCCAAGAGGGGGTTTTCTGGTCACGACTAAGTCGTCATTTCAGGATGACAGGCGCGCTCGGTCGGCGAGAGAAAGACGGAACCGAGGAAGCGCAAGACACTGACTCGAGAATGCCTAGGTCGACGAGCAGAGCAGAGCAGAGCAGAGCAAAGCAAAGCAAAACAGAGCCGGTTCGTAGAGAGAGAGGGGATAGTGTGCGTGCACGTAGTGTGACAATGAGACTGCGCGAACGCCTAAAGAAGAGGCTGCAGATGCAGGAGCACACCCAGCACAGGCAAAAAGTAGTCTGGGTCAGGTAAGACACACAGACGAGCCGAAGAGGCAAGGGAAGGATTCTGGCGATAGCCGGCGAAGTTCCAAGGTTTGTCAGGAGAGAGTCTGGATTGGTACTGTGGTAGTGGTGCCCTGCCTTTCCTTCTCCCACCACGAGGTGCCGATGCCGAACAGGGTTATGCTGGGGAGGGGAGGGTCTGCACCACACGAAACCCAACCATGTGGGCAGTCTGTCAAGAGCAGATGGTGGCACAACCACGTTCTGCGCTCACTCACGCAGTAGGGGCGAAAGGAGGAGGAGCAGTACGAGAAAGAGAGGAGGCAGAGTTTGTTTGTTTCTCTGACGCTGGCTTTGGGTGTACGGTGGCACAAGTTGGTTCGTGGGATATCGACTGGCAATATACATAACATACATTACCAATGCTTGCGATGTTCGAGCATCCCTCTTTCTTCGATGCCGTGGCCACCGTGCAGTAGATAGTCTATCATGTGAGGAGTCTGGCACGTCTGGCTACCGTCCTCTTCTGCCTCCTCTGCCGCCTCTGCTAGCTGCCTTTGCTCGCTTCGCTGCTTGCCCTGCCTGTCCAGCCCCGTCAGGCCTGTTGAAGCCAATTGATGCGACACGCCCCTGCAGAGTGGGCTGAAGGCAAAACAGCCAGTCGGCTCTTCCCTGTCCCCACGGTTGATGGATGGCTGGATGGGCATGGCGCAGAACGCAAATCCGCCTGCTGCACGCCATGTATCCGTCCAGACGGATGAATAGTCCTCCTCCCAGAACCCGTCATCCCCAATCTCCGGCTGGGAGCTGTGTGGGGTTTCGCTTTCGCCCCAGCGACTCACCGTCTGCCATGACAATCATGGATCACCCATCCTTCGATTTGTGATATTTTTTCCTTCTTCGTCTGCTGTATTCGACACTGGGGCGGGCTATCTAATTGTCTACTATGACAGTGCGCCTTACCGCATCGCATGACCCTTCCAAGATTTTGATTTTTTTTTCTTCTGGGGCCGAGGCTGCCGTCATGGCCCCACGGTGTCTAACGAGCACTTGTGTCATCCCGACAGCCTAGTGACTCGCCCTACTTTCGCAGGCACAGAGTACAGGCAGACCACAGTCCTCACTTAGCCGCGATCACATGCTTGTTGATCACAGGCGGGCGCACATGGTTGATGGACGGAACGGAACGGATATCTCCAACACGCTCGCATTGACAAAGCAAAATCCGATGATTGAATAACCCGACGGCTGCTACACTGCCCCTGTGCAGCGATAGAGTTTGAGCCCTTGTCACAGGGGAAGGAGACGATGTGGTTGCGACGGCATTGGAGAGAGCAGAATGGTGGGAATGGATGGATGATGGGACACGCACATGTCAGCACATGAACTGCTGAGGTGGGGGTCTGTTCTCGAGGGGGGATGAGCATGGTGCATGCAGACCCCTTTGCCCATCCTCCGAGACAAAAACGGGCACCCTGGCACCAGATTGAATCCTCCCAAGAGCCAAAATGGCCCGCTCCTCGTCGTCACATGCTCGTCGGGAGCCGCCCGTCAAGGACGACCCTGTCTCACCGGCTGCAGAGCTTATTGGGTGCGCCCTGTTGGTCCTCGACCCATCTCAGGGCCCCTTGCCGACTTGCATATGATTTTATCTGTGTCACAAGCAATTCGTCGTCCTACGCAGTGGCATAGTATCTGCGGGACAGTGGCTTCTCTCCTTCTCGACCCCCCTCCCACTCTCCACACCTGGGGCCACTCGGGCTGAACTTCGGCTCCGGCGTTTGAATCAAAGTCTGTGTCACCAAGATTTAAAAAATGAACGCTTCTGAAGATTGCTACTACGTACACATACGCGTACGTGCGCGCACATATATACCCGCAACGGCCAAAAGCTTCGTGGTACTCCCAGAGTTAAAGCTGTCAAATGCCGTTCGAATGCCGATGATGGTTTCTGATTGATTGGGTCGTCGTAGTCGCCAACAGACTGCTGAATTAAAAATGCGCCATGTTTGGGACCTACTGCACTCCACAGGCTTGTTATGTACGTGCTACATGTCGTGCTGATTCTGATAGATAACCCCACGATGATGCTTGAAACATGGGTTCATGTGATGATGTCAAAGTCCCAGCTAGGCGGGCCAGCAGCAGGCTAAGTGCCAAAAAACGACCCTTTGCACGTCAATCGTGCCGCCAACGAGCCCGGATCGGGCATCCGGTGAGCGAGGAGAGGCTGGAGAATCTGACAGGCATTTTGACATACAGAATGACAGACTGACAGACTAACACGCAGACTGGACAGGACACACTATTGACGCGAAAAGCACAGAGATCACACAGTAGCCCTGCATCGCATCAAGCTTGCCCCGTCAGCCCGTCTCATCATGTTGCCTCTTTGGCTCTGGGGCTGGCCCAGCCGGGGGAAAGATCTTCTGCGTGTGACGAGTGACCCGTGACCACAGAAGAAGCTGCTGTGCGACGTAACGGCACATAGCATCGCCGTCAACCAACAGCCAGTGCAGCGCTTCACCGCCTGCACGCCTGCACGTCTGCACGTCTGCCTGTCGCCCAGCCCAGCCCAGCCCAACCTTCTGAGCGGCTCATTTGTTTGTTGAGCCCTACTGCAATGTGCAACTCAACTCAACCCAATTCAGGTCGTCGGTGAGATGTGACATGGAGCATGGAATGTTCGGTGCCTCTGACACCGCCCAAACCGTAGAGTTTTTAATGTTTGGGCAGTTCTTAATGGCACCGCAGGAAATCCATCCTTCTCCGCCCCCATAATCGCAGAATTCACCAACGTCAACACTATTGATACCGAACAAGACGCCCGAATCTGGCGTGTCGCAATGTGATGGTCTGCACTGTCAAGAGGGGGCGTTGAGAGGAAGAGAAGGGAAGGGTTTCCAGAGTGAACTCGCAGCGGAATTTTCTTTTTGATGTCTTTCCCTCGCCGAATAAATGTGGCCCGTGCGTCACGGAACGGTGGCTCCTTCCTCCGACCGTCCAGTGGCCCGTGCACCCATCGAGCTGAGCTGGAGGTGGACAGGTTGTCTGGACTCCTGGGCCGCGCTGCAGTCATCCCCTGAGAGATGCTTGGCTGGCCTTGCTTGGGAGGTCCATACGAAGCTAGGGTCGCGATACCAATCTCGAAATCCACCCCAAGTTAACATCAACCCAAGTTGTTCATCGCCATTGACGACAGCCTTCAGCTTGCTGCTGGTCCACTCACTCCTGCGACAACTCGTAACACTTTCCGCTCTCATGATATAGGCCTTCGTAGCAGCCTGCTCCTTCTGGCCAGAGTGCCGTTCGCATTGCTCTCGTGCCCCTCCCTGCCTTGTCCATAGCCTCGACGACACCGATACACTTTCGACAACAGCAACTCCAGCGCCCACCATGGCTTCTGCCATCTTTTTCCTGGACTTGAAGGGCAAGGTCTGTTCAGCAGAGCTTCGGCACTTGTCTTGAGTCAATGTCTTGGAGCTGATAGCCATGCCTTACAGACCCTCCTCGCCCGAAACTACAGAGGAGATATCCCGATGTCCGCCGTCGAGAAGTTCCCAGTGCTGCTTAGCGAAGCAGAAGAAGAGTCATCAGCAGTACCGCCCTGTTTCTCACACGAAGGAATCAACGTACGCTATCGCCCTTGGTGATATTCTAATTCCCGGTCCTGCGACTGACACACATGCTTCAGTACCTCTACATACGGCACAACAACCTCTACCTCCTCGCACTGACGAAACGAAACACAAACGCCGCCGAGATCCTCTTGTTTCTACACAAACTCGTCGATGTTTTCACAGAGTACTTCAAGGCTCTGGAGGAGGAGTCAATTCGCGACAACTTCGTCATCATATACGAGCTGCTAGACGAGATGATGGACTTTGGCTACCCCCAGACAACCGAATCCAAGATTCTCCAAGAATACATCACCCAAGAATCTCATAAGCTTGAGATTCAAGCACGACCGCCTATTGCCGTTACGAACGCCGTCTCATGGAGATCCGAGGGAATCCGGTACCGCAAGAATGAGGTCTTCCTCGATGTCGTCGAAAGTCTCAACCTCCTCGTCTCTGCTAACGGCAACGTGCTGCGCTCCGAGATCCTCGGCGCCATCAAGATGAAGTGTTATTTGTCCGGCATGCCTGAATTGCGACTGGGACTCAACGACAAGGTCATGTTCGAGACAACGGGGCGGACCACGCGAGGCAAGGCCATCGAAATGGAAGACGTCAAGTTCCACCAATGCGTTCGGCTATCACGATTTGAGAACGACCGGACCATCTCATTTATTCCACCAGACGGCGAGTTCGAGCTCATGTCCTACCGGCTCAACACGCAGGTCAAGCCCCTGATCTGGGTCGAGTGCGTGGTTGAGAGCCACTCCGGAAGCCGAGTAGAGTATATGGTTAAGGCACGAGCACAATTCAAGAGGCGTAGCACGGCAAACAACGTTGAGATTATTGTGCCTGTCCCCGAAGATGCTGATTCACCAAGGTTCAGGACAAACATTGGCAGTGTTCACTACGCGCCAGAGCAAGCCGCTATCGTCTGGAAGATCAAACAGTTCGGAGGTGCTAAGGAGTTCCTCATGCGGGCGGAGCTAGGTCTTCCGAGTGTGCGTGGTGACGACGAGCATGGTGGTGGAATGACTGGTGGCTTTGGAGGAAGCATGGGTGGTGTCGGCGGCCCGGGTAAGGGTGCGAAGAGGCCAATCCAGGTTAAATTCGAGATCCCCTACTTCACAACCAGTGGAATCCAAGTGCGCTATCTGAAGATCACAGAACCGAAGGTAAGACATACCAGAAAGAAACACCACTTGAGGGCTCAGCTAACACGGCCAACAGCTCCAATACCCGTCCTTGCCATGGGTCAGGTACATCACACAGTCAGGCGACATTGCAGTAAGGTTGCCGGATGTTGTTTAGAGAACGCATGGAGAGCCGTGGCCGAGCCCTCCAACAAAAAATGGCTCGACACTTGGTGAAGGCGTCCTGCGTACGCCCCACGTGAGCGATCCAAATTATCTCTCCTGATCACAACAGCCAGTAGAGAATCACTTTCTCCCTTAACATGTTTGGTCGCTTCTGTATATTGGGCGCCGACGGAAAAGGGATCCTCTAGCCAACAGACGCATGAAAACACTGCTTGGGGGAAAGGCCCGTCGAAGCATAGTCAAGCGGACAGACAGCATTGCATTGTGACGCGAAAATATCTTATCCTGGACAATACGGATGATGGTGTTGGAATCCGCGCCAATTTGCAAGGCGATTCTCATGAACATGCGCTTAGAAATTACGAATCAAGATTTACTGCTTCAAAGCGGTCCTGTGATTCCTTGTTTTCTTCAGAATTTGAGTTCCAAAGGTTGTGACTTCACGTCACCCCCATACCAACGCCATGGCCTCCCTCCAATACTACTTCCCCGTCCAATACCCGTGCCTCGCCTGACCTTTATCGATCAACGCTTAATAAAAAAAAAGCAGTGATTATAGCTGACCTCTACTGTTGTGAACTCTAGCAAACAAGTTGTCACCAGCTTTCTGCTCTCTAACGCCCTACACGACTGGGACTCACAGCGAGGCCATCTCCGCACCGCGACGCAGGGGACACAGACGACATGAAAGGCCGGCCATTGCTCTCTGCCCTCTGTCTGTGCGACGTCAGCAGCGGACTCCGCTCGTCGGGGGCGATATGTGAAGAGGCAAGCGACCGGCTGGACCCGTTCCACCCGTCGAAGTGCAGTGCGATGAGGCTCTTCCTCCGCTCCTCGTGGGGCTGCGTCTCGCCCGTCAGCTTGAAGTACGCGCCCATCGCGATTAGCGCCAGCTGCATCGTCCCGACGAGGACGTAGACGGCCCAGGCGCTCCAGCCTCGTGCGCCCACGCGCAAGATCATGTTGATGCCGAAGGTCCAGGTGTACTGGTGAGCACACCAGTCAGTCAGTCGGTCGATCATCAGTCAAAGGATCGCCGCGCCCAATATGATGTCAACTGTCAACACACCGTACGTACCGGAGCACTTAAACAAAGACTCGCCAGGCTCAGGCTCCCAAGGTGACCCAGCCGCCACGTCGTCAGCGCCTGCGGCACCCACTGCACGCACGCCAGCACCGCGACGCCCACGCCCAGCACGTCGGCCCACGTCTGATTCAGCCGTGGTTGTTGCAGGCGCAAGATGACGGCCGACACTGCCATGACGGCGAAGGCGAAGGCGCACGCGGCCAGGAGGACGAGCCAGGCACGCCGCGCGCGGCGGAACGTCCGCTCCGGCCCCGTGAGCGAGGCCCGCTTGCCGTGGAGCTCGGCCTCGGCCTCTTCCTCCGAGTAGTAGACGTACATGAACAGGCTGTCACCCGCGGGGGTGGCGGTCAGCACGGTTTGGACAGGAGAGGTTTTCGGCATTGCTGTTTGTCGCCTCGGCTCTATCATGATCTTCACTTACACGGTCCAGAAGCAAAAGATACCAATGATGACCTGCAGCATGCCCAGTAGACCGCTGATGCAGGCGAAGCGCGTGAGCTCCCTACAGCAGCCGACGCCGGCCCCGCTCGAGGGCAGCATTGTGATGTTTCCTACGGCGCAGACGCCCGACAGCGAGCCTAGGAGCACGTATAGCGTTGACAGACCCTCCGCGGACTTTCTCGAGGCGATGCGGGTCCATTGGGGGATGTAGGAGATCAGAACCCAAGCTATGAGGATGCTGTTATTTCAACAATTTAATCTTTGGTCAGCGTACTGATGACTCTTTTTGCTTTTGTTAAATGTTGTTTGGATGTGCTTTCTCGGCTGACATACCATGAGGTAGTAAACTGCGGTATTGATGGGTTCGAGAGCTCCTTGCAGCTACCTGGTTCCGCGGCCAGTGAATGTATAGTGTCTGATTGGAACTGTGATATCGCCATCTTCCCATATTCAGACGGAGTCTTCAGGGCGCTCAGAAAAGTGAAGGCTGCAAGGTGCTATTGTGCGAATCAAGCAAAAAGAATGAGCTCCAGTTTATACCTCGAATATAAGATTCATTTCAGGACAGATACCGCCCATCACATGCTTACTTTTTGGAGCCCAGAATTGCGTCAACAATTTTAAAAGATAGATATCGTCATGTTTTCGTAGCTACCCTTCCTTACAGTGCCGCAAAGGCCTTACTTGCATCGCCTTATCTTTCGCCTTCTCAACGGGTGTGACCTGCCTAACTGCAGGATCCCGCATTGGGCAAGGAACGGGGAGTGATGATTCGACATCGCGCCTGGTGTCCAAATTGGACAGGCCACCTTGGCGCTGGGGCAAACATTCCGGCAGCTCCCTGCATGCATCTGCAATCACCTGTGGTATTGGACATGATGGGGACTGTTCCTGGGGTTGCACAAGCATTTGTAGCCGTTGGGGAAGACTCGGTGCTTCGTAGCACAGCAGGACATGGGGGATTAACTTGCACAGTTATCACGGAAGCTTGTGTTTGTAATTATATGGTTTTATTCCGTCATAATCTCTGTCTTATTCCGTCTCAATGCCCATCAACGAGATTCGTACCCTGCCAGTCGAAATTGGTTCCGCAGCTGAGAATGCATCCTCACAGTTCATGCCTCAAATAGGCTACCAATATTAACGAAACCTCCAGAGATGGTTTTCCCTTTCAGAAACTTTAGGTCGGTGGTCCTGAAGGCGGTGGTGGCTGAGGGTCAGGTGGTGGCGTTGGTGGTGGAGTATCTTTGATCAGGCTGGGGCGAGGCATTTTTCAAGTTTTGAGTTTCGGTGATTTCTGGTTTCGTATTTGTCTGTTGTGCCCAGCAAGATTTGAAGGTCAGATTTGGTTGAGTGTTGAAGTTGGAGGTGGGAAAGGAGAAGAGAGGTGGAGCCAGAACTTTCCCAGCTTAAATACCCGTGAAATGGCGATGATTCATCCTCAATCTCATAACCAGTCTGCAAGTCACTGCTCCCCATCCTTTCTATGATTTACTTGATATGATTCTACCATGGGAGACGTTGAAGTGATATGGAGCAGTGGTCGAGTGGCTTCGATAAATACTGCGATAGTTTCAGCTCAGAATGAGTCTCAAACACCCGGTGACTCCCAGCGGCGAGAGGAGGGTCCTGCTGAGAGAGATATTTGAAGCTGATTCTCAAATTTGGAGAGCTGAGACGCCTGACATCCAAATTGACATGACACCAAAGAGAGGTGCAAAGGTGATAGTATGTGTATCTCTGGGTGATCGCAGTCTGATCCTGTGCCATCATACGTAATTACTACGGAATCTGGATTCGGTTGACCAGTTGCGACCGAGAGCACTTAGTTTGGGAGATATAGACTGTAGTGGCGTCTGCGACATGGGCCTAGACATGAAAGGCTCATATCTATTCAAGTGCGCACACGAGCAACTCATCATGTCGAGGTACTGCGCTCATGAACGGCTGAAGCAAAATACGGGTTATGTCCTTGGATGTTCAGGAGCTAGACGCTGATCACTATGGTTTGCTTTGCTGTGCTTCGGATCTAAACATAGCTCACAAGTACCAAAGGAGGTGTGGCATCATCTATTCTTGCGTACTGGGCATCTACAATGTTCCATGAGGGTACTGGAGATACAGGATTTTTAACCTTCCAGAAACCTTAAATTTATCAATCCCTCACCATTCAGAGCCCGAAAACCCTAGCATCAGCTCAAGAGGCAAGGCTGAGATTGGCAAATTCTTCTGATTCTGCTTGAATTACCCGTAGAACAAGACAAATTCCACAAGTGTGCATAGGAAATCATAACCTATCCTAGCAATGACGGAGTCTTGGTTTTCTCTATGCTTGTATAGTCTCAAAATTCCTGAGCCAGGAGACCTCAGCTTTCGATGAACAGTTCCTTGATCCACCTCATCAGACTTCGCACAGAAGAATTCAGAATTTTGTCCATAAAAGGCCAACAGGCTTTAGTTTAGACCATACTCCTCGGTCACGCAAAATTATTTACAAGAAGTGAAGTAAAAGCTATGTGCATGAAATGAATCAGAAACCCAATCCCACTCCGATGACCCTTCTTAGACAAAGTAGCCCATGTCAGCCTATGGGAATTCCCATCTATTGCTAATCCTCACAGTAATCATCCCCATCATCAGCGACCGCCGCCGCAGTAGCAGTGGGCCTGGATGTGACAGAGACAGTCAATGTCTCCTCATCCTCGCAGTAGTCACCCTCGTCATCAGCAGCCGCAGCAGCAGAAGCAGTGGGCCTGAATGAGATAGAGGAGGTCACCGTCGGCTCATCGTCGCAGTAGTCGTCGTCATCTGCCGCTGTACCGGTGGGAGTGGCAACGGCGGGAGCGGAAGATGAGGAAGCGGTGATTGTGACGAGAGTTGTGGGCCGGGCTGAGGCAGACCCAGACGCGAGGAGTGTGTTGATGTAGTCGACTTTTTGAGTGTGAATGTCAGCCTCGGGCACAATTGTGAAAGGGTAGAAGTGTTGCAGTGAGCTTACCGTTTGAGCCCGTCGCAGTTGCGTTCGTGTATGAGCCGTCAATGGCAACACACTGGGAGTAGAAGGGATTCTGAACCTTGCAGTAGGAGCCGGCCTCGCAGTCAGTGGCACCATCCCAGTTGATGCCGCCACATCGGTGGTAGAGAGCAGCAACGCGTCCAGTGGAGACCGTGGTGTTGGCAGAGGGGTAGGTGGCGTTGAGAGCAGACATTCTGTCGGGAAACTTCTTCGAGAAGTGTTAATGTGTAAAGAAGTATTTTCTGAAAAGTGTTCAAGCTGGTTGAAACAAGAGTGAATGAGCAGTCAATGCTCAGGTGGTGATAACTGAAGGAGTGTGTGCGTGAGGGATGCGGATCTGAGAAAGAAGCTCATCTTGCAGGACAGACTCGCCGACTTTATACTTAGGTACGTCTGGCGGTGCGAATGGATGGCAGTAGCGGTCTCGCTCAATCCCATAGAGTTCAGGTGAGTGAAGTCTTGGTTCGGCCAGATAGCCGGAGCCATCGGGTGGAGATCAATCTGACAAGGCTGAGGGATGTGGAACCTCAGAGAGTCCACTTCCAACCCTGATCATGGAAGTGTAAATTTGAGAATCACGGCGCCGGTGGACCGGATCAGATGCATCGAAAGCTTGTTCTATGATTAGCGTGTACACATCTCTACACTTTTCGTCAGTATGGACAAACGATCAGGGGGAAGGGGGATCATGGTGGGATGTTGGGCTCATTTTAAAATGATATGTGAGCTCCGCTGAGAAAAACTTCCGAGTGGCTGTATCCCGCTCATTCGGCCGGCATCCATTTCTTGTTGACTCGACTAACACCGCGTCTAGCTCACATACACAAGATTGCGTTTGCTTCTTGTTTATTGACCATGATTTCAGTCAGCACGCTGTCTGCGCACTGTGAGTTTCAGGCTTCCACATAGGCTTTTAAATTGCACGGTTTGGGTAGCGTCGTTGCGGTGATTTCTTTCGTCGCTCATCTCCTTACAGCCTCACCGGACGCGAAGCATGGGGATGTGGGGAACACTTTGACATTCTAGAATCGACTGTCCGCCTGTGGTGAAGTCGGTCGCTGGATTGTACTTCTTACAGCAATCAGATTCATCCATGTGCAAGAGGATACAGGTGCTGTTTCAGCCATCAACTGCCAAAGCTGGTTCTCATGATCGACAAATCAAATCGATCTTGAAACTACGATTCACGCGTGCCGGTGACTCTCATCGTTCGCTTTTTGTGGAGTTCTCTGATGAGGTCAACGTGGCCATCATTGCTATCCTGAAGTGGTCGGACCATTTCTTCGAGTTGCCGCTAGCTAGCACTAAATGTTTCTGCAGCCCTTTCAGCCTTCTACTTCCCAAAGATGTGGCATCTTTCTTCTCTTGGAAATTGCTTTTTGCACTACATCATCAGCCCAAACGAGGTCAAGTGAGTCTCGCAAAGAGCCCGTTCAACATTGTTGGAAGCTGAAAGGCTCCTCTTCCGGGCCTTCCATGAAGTCAAGCTTCAACAGCGACAAGAAGTTGGGACCGCGCAGGACCTTGCACCCAGACTTGTGGCCCTTCTCTGTCCAGCCCTTGGCCTGACACTCCTGATTTTTGCGATCAGTATTTTCATTCACACAACGCATTGGAGATTTGGTGGGCGCCCGAGATACCTTGCTGCAGTAGGCGTAGGTCTTGCACTGCCCACAGCGACTCATCTGACCGTGCGGCTTGACGACGTCGCAGCCATGGCACTTCCACTGTGCGCTCTCGCCGTCCACAGCGTATATCGCCGCCTCCGAACCGAGTGATCGCAGTGTTTGGAGACCAGCGGGGAAGACCTGGCCCACCATCAGTCAACTTGCCTGCATCATTGCGTAGACAAGTTCTATCTCTTGTCTCATTTCTAGCTTTGTTGGCGTTTTCCGGAATTTGTGCGACGTACGCAGACATCATCCATATTCTCGACTCTAACACCGTACGTTCCATCACCGAATTGGTGCTGGCGGGCATTCATAATGGCCAGGGTGTGACCCCTCTTCAGCTGGCCAAAGTCGAACCCTTCGTAGCTGTCCGGATAGAACGCCACGACACGAACCTCGCCATCGCCATCCTTGACAAGGGTCCGGTAGCGCATAACGCCGTCACATTGCTGGATCTCCGCAAGAAAACAAATGTGCATCAGCGTGAAAACCGGAAGATTGTTCCAGGACGGAAAATAGTCTTCATCGTTCAGGTTGTTGTAATCAAAGTGCTGTGCCATGGCCGCTGGATCTTGGTTTTGAGAAGGACGAGGCTGAGTGAGACTGGAATTGGAGGGTGGAGAACATGAAAGATCAAGAGGGTATGAAACTCTCATGCCGGTCTCCAGCTGCCCAGGTGGTATATTTATCCACGCGTATCTAGGTAGCGATGTGCCAAGGGTCTCGTTTGCACGCGGGCCCGTGCTTCGCATTGCAAGCGAAGGAGGATGGCAGGGCCACAAACATATAACTACAGATTCAAATATGGCCTGGCCAATCTAAGTTTACAGGCACGCTGTCTCATGTGGAAACTTGCAGAATAGCCGTGTGGATCTTCGGCAATGCAGCGAGGAGAGTCTTAAGTCTTCGGGGTAGTCAGATAGCGTAGCTATCTGGATGACTTCAAACGTTCGGCAGCTGAAGGCAGGTTAACTTTTATCTCAAACCAGATTGGATTGTTCCCCGGCCTGTATTCCATCAAGTCCAAGAATATGTTTTGGTGAATATAGCCATTAGAAAAGAGACCGCAGCCACCATAGCCCACTTTATAAAAGATGGCTGCGTCCCGTTGCCTTGAGTCATCGCATATTGGGCTCCTTTCAGGAACAAACGGTCTAATTCCTCCGCTGCAGTCTCGTTGTTGACTTTCAGTCGCAGGAAATGCTGATTTGTGACCGCTTCGTCCCAGACCCATTGATTAGTCCCATTCTGCAACACCTTGTTGTATCCATGCTCATTTCCAAATTGGAAATAAGTACCGAGTCCCTGTGCGGCGTAGAGAACCGCCAAAGGATCCCACGAAGACCGCGGCTCCAGGAGTGAGTAATACATGTAGGCCTTGCGCACTGGATCCGTAGCGGGACCATTAGCAACGAGCGACCCACCTGACAATACGTCCTTTCCGACTTCATCCCCAATGAAGACAATCGGAATATGCCGTTCCCATGTATTGATAACATGACCTGCAAGCCCCGGGTTGGAGCCCCAGAAATTCCAACTATGACCTGGGCCCGGGTAAAAGCCACCCATAATAACCAGTTCTGATACTTTTCGAGAGATAAGGTCTCTACCGCTGAGTTCTGAATGGGAGTCACTCGAAGAGTTCAAAAGACCGGATATCTGAAGCAGGAAAGATTCTTGTCAGCCTTGCTTTTCATAAGATGTTGGTGAGAATCATACGTTATCGAGGAAGCCGATCGAAACGATCGTCACGCTACCATCATCCGCTCTAGACAGTGTCTCCCGATAAAGATCTACAGGATCTCTTGCATCTTCTGCATGACCCCAAAGCAAAGTTCCACCAGACCATCCGTGGGCGATTTTGCTTGCGTATTCGCCAAGTTCGAAGAACCAGCCATCAAAGAATGTGTTATTGTTGAGTGGCCGCGGGATGCCAATGGGAACTTTGTCATGTCCGTAGTGCGAGAGTATGGCTGAAGCGGCAAGGGCCGAGAATGACGATGGGTAATTGACGTTCACAGCTAGCAAATCCAGATCAGGCAAAGTCGCTGCTAGCAACAACGCCCCAGCATCACTTCGTTTTGGTACGTATCAGCTTAGAGACTGAATGGCATGGGCACTGCAAGGTTTGGGCTGTTTATCTTACTCAACATCGCTGTAGAGGTCTGTGTCAACGATGAGGCTTTTCTGGAGAGCTTGCGTAAAGGAAACATTGAAAATGCTCGATATGACAAACACAAGGGCCTTTTTCATAGCCATTCTCTTTCATTTATTGTCTTGTGATTGTTCTTGTTGTGGTCAACGCCAGCATTCAGCAGAACAGGCAACAATTTGAACGTAGGGAGAATGAGTTGCATCTACAGTGGTGCTAGGTCACCTGACGGCAGATCTCTTGGCAATCTTACTTCCCAGGCGCAGCGGAATTCGCCGCTCGGAGCCTTGTGCGACCCCTAACCTCCTACGTGTCCTACGCCCGATTGCCTTCCCACGCTCGATTCCCAGGGCTGAGATGCCGTATTGAGGGGTGTGACCAGCACCCCTCGACGGCCTGAAATGCAAGCCACAAGAACAGCATCAGCCTAATACAGCCGCTGATGACCGACATTTTAGCAAGGCTGTGAGGGGAACACCGCACATCCCTTCCATTCTGACGCGCATTTCTTTCCGCTATGCTGTCGATCCGCCGCGGAAGCATTGTCGTACCCTGAAATTTGTCATCAAAAGTGCCGATTTTCTGCAGATGGACTCAGCTTTCCTCGCCTTCCTCTTTTTCAGCTCTGCAACAGCTTAGTGGCCTTTTTGGGAGTCGAAGCCTCCCTCGAAGCTGTCCCAGCAGCCTGTCCTGTCCGAAGACGATCATGCGCAGAAACTTGACAACCATGTCATCCTTGGCTGCAGTAGTCTTGCTGCGTGAATCTGAAAACCCCTCGAAAAAGGATGTTATGGGTCCTGTTGCGAAACGCCTCCGCGAAGGGCTCGCCTTGGAGATAACCAGCCTGCTGATCAAGATAAATATCTGGGGAATCGTCTGCCGTAAGTTGAAACGGGTGTCCTTCAATTCTGCAAAAGTTAAGTCGGCCGTGTCACTCTATGCATCTGTTGCTTCAAGTTGGAACTACTTAGTGCTTGCGCTCCAAGTGCTACTACTATCATGGACCAGACTATATATGCGCAGTTTCCGTTGCCCTTAGACGAAGCTTCGCGCAAGATCAGAGTTCTCAAGCTGGAGCGAGGTGATTGGGATGACGTGATCAGGTGTAGCCTAGACGTGGTTAACTTGAACGCATCATCGAAACCTGAATTCGAAGCGATTTCTTACGTCTGGGGTGGCGGATCGGAAAGCCCGCCACATATTCTGGTAAATGGCCGCATGTGTAATGTGCACGTTAATCTCCTAGCAGCTATCCGACACTTTCGCAGCACAACAAGCACGAGAACGCTCTGGGTGGATGCTATTTGTATCAACCAGAATGATGTCAAGGAGCGAAACCGACAAGTGGGGATTATGGGGATTATTTATCGTCAATGTAAGAGGGTACTGATCTGGCTGGGTGAGAGTGAAGCAGCGACCTCCCGAATGAGCCGAACGAGTTTTTGCAAGTGGGAGACAGACTTCAGCGTGCTATCTCCGCATCCTTTGATCCACGACCATGACCGAGAGAAAATCAGACAGTTCGTGGCCAGATACAAGAGATACTACCAGCTACCCTTCGCACTCCGGTATCACTCGAGGATCGATAGCGTCATGGGAGCATATTGTCTTATCAGCCTGCTCGCTCAAAATTATTGCCTTAATCAGGAGAATTTCCCCTTCTTATGTCAAGAAGCCTCACGCAACATCTTTCTAGCTCTCGGGGATATCGTGTCTAGGCCCTGGTGGACTCGCATTTGGGTTATTCAAGAGCTTGTCCTGGCGCCTCAGGCTATGGTCTATTATGGCAGATTCATTGCCCCCTGGGATCTTTATGTGCATGCAGCACGCAATTACGACGTCCACCGCCGAACTTGTTGTGAAGGTCATTACTAGTGGCTGCAGCCCTACGACATCCGACTGCTTGAAACTTTCATGCATGCAGTACTCGAGATTCAAGATTTGCGACAGCAATGGCAAGCATTGCTGAGCGGCGATAGAGGTGGCGACAGAAGTGGCGACAGAAGTGGCGAAAACACTCGGATCTATCTTCGTCATTTGCTGTGGAAATTCCGCAGTCGCATCAGTTCCGATCCAAGGGACCAAATCTACGCGCTTCTGTCCCTAGTCAACTCCTGGGGAGCCGGACGGAGTATGTATGTTGACTACAAAGTTGACATGAAAATCCTCTACCAAGTTACTCCTGAACGCATAATCAACGCTGAGGAATCTCTGCTCATTCTCGCGGGAGTAACTGCCAAAAAGGAAGGTCATGATGACTTGCCATCCTGGGTTCCGGACTGGACGACTCAGCCTTCTTCTCGTTTCGAGTCGGAACGACTGGAACGACTGGATCTCTTCAAGGCCTCCAATGGAGCGAAGATGAAGTTGCCAGTGCGGGTAGTCGAAAACTCCCTCCTGAGGCTCCACGGCAAGTGCGTCGATGAGGTCACAGATGTGTCGGATCTCATGACGTATGACGACAGAAATTTAGATGATTCTTTCGACACATTCGCTTCGTGGTATAATTTGGTCATCCGTGGCGGCCCGATGACAGCCAAGTATGTCACTGGCCGAGAAACGAGGATGGAGGCCTACTGGAGGACTTTATGCATGGACACAGCTAGGAAGAATACTGTGACAGGAGCCACCTACGGCAAGGGATACGAGTATCAGCGGTGTGCTCCTGACTACGTTCAAAAGTCTCTTGATTCGTGGATGGATCCAGAGCTAAAACCTCACCTCGCTCTCACAAGAGGTTACCATCAAAACGCAACTTCCTCACTCGATAAAACCGATGGGGCCACTCAGATTACCCCTCCACTTAGGACCGATCAGGGCAAGGATCTCTCAATCCGTGATGAAAGCCTGAATTACATTGAGGTCGATTTTGCTATCTGTTCAGCGACAATGCATCGGAGAATTTTAATGTCAAGGCATGGACTCTTAGGTCTGGGCCCCTCAGAGATCAAAGAAGGTGATCAAATTTACATATTCGCAGGTGGACATGTTCCTTTCATTGTTCGCAAGGCTCAAAACAGACCTGTATTGAGAGACGAGGCCGAAAGCTGTTTTGAATTAGTTGGGGACTGCTATGTGCATGGTATCATGGACGGGGAATCAATGGCAGAAAATATGGGTCAAGAGGAAGCTATATGGCTCGTATAATTTACTGTTCTATACTCCCTGGTAGGGACTCAAGTAACATGCCATGTTGAGCGTACATCCCCATTCCCCCCCAAACCACAGCATCTTATATTATATTCCTTCAAGCCCTCAAGTCATTGCCACTCCAGACCTCTGCGGTCGGCAGACAATGAAGACTTTTGTGATTGCAGCGCATTTTATCTAAGGAGGGATCACTTTCCAGAATTAATGATAATAGTTACATAAAGTCGATTCATTTTACAAAAACACAGGCTGGCTTTAATATATGTTGGGGTCGGAGGGGTGATTAAGGTGATTTATATATTGAAAGTTATTGGACGTCAATGAGGTGTGGATTGATCAGAGCTGGGTTGTTGATAGCCCGGGTGGGATACGTTTGGAGAAAAGTTAGGGAAGACTGTTTACGTAGTCTGATATCTCGAGCTGCCTCGATGGGCCTAGTGTGCGTCAACGAATCTCACCTCAGCTTTGCGGGCAAATAAGCCAATCCCGCGCACTCAGAAGCTTGATCGATCTGAAACATACAACATCATCCACATCTACGCAATTCTTACCTGACAATTCGTACACGATGGCGCCTCAGACTTTCACTCACGCGGACGGGCGCAAAACTGATTACCTCGTCTCAGGGGCGCAGGATGGGTTTCCCCTCATCTTCATCCATGGCACGCCGGGCTCGTACACCGTCAGCGCAAAGTTCGCCGCCGCATGTGAAGGGAAGGGCATCAAGGTGATTACGCTCTCGAGGGCCGGATACGGCGGCTCGACGCGGAACAAGGGCAGACGGGTCGTGGACGCCGTAGCGGACATCCAGGCAGTGCTTGAGCACCTGGGCGTCAAAAAGTGTGTCGTCGGTGGAAAGAGCGGCGGAGGTGAGTCACTATGCGAGCTCCTATCCCGCGGGATTGCCGCACGACTGTACTAGAATTGAGCGATGCTAAAGATGGTCTTCGACACAGGTCCGCACTCTCTGGCCTGCGCGGCTCGGCTGCCAGGCTGCGTGGCCTCGCTGGTTGTTGCTGGTGTTGCCCCCTACGATGCAGATGGCCTTGACTTCCTTGCCGGCCAGGGACAGAGCAGTAAGTGCAAACCCACCTTATCATAGGTCCCTCTCATAACTCACCATACTCGTGCCAGATGTGGACGAGTTCGGGGCTGCACTCGAGGGAGAGGAGCCGCTTCAAAAGTTCTGCCAGGCCGAGCGGCCAGGGATGTTAGCGGCAAGCCCAAAGGGACTGACGGAGGCGATGGCGACACTCCTGCCCGAGGCGGACATGAAGGCGATACTGGAGGACGAGGACACAGGCGTGGATATTCTCAAGACGATACAGGAGGCACTAAGGCTGTCGTGTGATGGGTGGGTGGACGACGATCTGGCCTTCACGCGCCCGTGGGGTTTCGAGCTCAGCGAGATCAAGGTGCCGGTGTTCCTGTACCAGGGCACCGTGGACAAGATGGTGCCGCTGGCGCATGGGGAGTGGCTGGCTGCTCACCTCCCGGAAGGTAAGGTGAAGGCACGTCTGCTGGAGGGCGAGGGGCACATTTCTATTTTCTCGGCGTACATGAACGAGATGCTAGACAACCTTTTGGCTGTGGCGAAGGAGTAGGCTAAATAGAGTGTAGAAGTGTCGAGGTATTGAATGTGAGGGTTATTGCTAGTCAGGGTTGTTGTGTGCTACCTCAGGCAGGTGTGGTGAGATGATGCAAGCTGTGGTGCAGGTGAGGTGACCGGCCGCCAAAGTGCCCAGACTAGCGCCAAGGTGGTAGTTGCATGTTGGCCTGCCAGTCATGACAGTGGCAGCCGTCGGGACATGCCAGAGTAGAATGTGGAGGGGGGTTTGGATTGGGTTCCAAGGGCAGGAGCGAACAGGGTGAAGGGTAAAGGGAAAAGGACTTACCCCACATAGGCTACTGCAGTCTATCTTGACACCATCCATACAGAAAGGAAAGAGCCATTCATTCATGGAAGGAAAAGATGGGGAATGGGGAACCCTTGAACAACGCAACGCACCTCCTTCTAGCTTCAAGACGGACTGTCTGTCTGTCTATCTCTCTGACTGTCTGCACAGACTGCAAATACACTTACCTTACCTGTCTGTTACATTTCTCCGTCCGTCGCAAAGTCAGTCTGACGAGTCGATCCATCACCCTTCCATAATCATCGCCGCTCCATTCATCAACTTTCCAGGTCCCTTGACCAGACATCACTCTTGTTGAGAGAAGAAACGATTACAGGCATTTCTTGAGCTCACCCAAGACTACCTCGCCTGTCGTGCTTAATTGCGCTCACAAGTGCTGCCCTTGGTTTGCTCTCCTGCGCTGGAATAAGACAAGGTTGCTGCTTCAGAACGGCTTCAGATCTCTTCCGGCTAGTTGGGCGACGACCATCAGCTCCCTTTTCCCCGCCTAATCCGAGTCGATCGGCCCTGAGCCGCCTGCAGCACCGCACAGGATCCGCTGTATCTGCCATTTAGAGCTGCCGCCTGACCTGCCGAATACCGAGGGACGTCACCTTTCTCACCCATCAGCATCACTGCCAAAACAGTCGCGCCTTTTTACCTATATTCCTAATCCTGCGACTCTTACGAAAGCGGCGAAACCGGAGCCCTGACCATCGATGCAAATTTTGGCAATTGATTCTGCTCACACGCCGTTTGAAGCCACACCTCTCGCCCCGTCTCCGCCCTCGCCAGCTCCAGCTTGAGCCTGACAATTGCTTTCAGCCTCCCTAAGTTCATCACTCTCACTCACCTCATGAGGCGCACAAACTCGCTGCAGGACGAGACAAGACAGTACAGGACACGAGCCAAACTGTCGCACCGCAGTTGCTTCAAAAGCAGTGTCGAGAACCAGAACATCTGTCCACTCTGACTGAGCAGTGGTCTTCGGCAGCCAGCTGTCAGCAGCTCTGCCTCAAGCAGGCTGGGGCCACCCATCTTTGAAAACACAGGGGCCATTGACCGTCCGTCCGTCCCGTCTGTCCTCTGGCAGCCAAGAGCCGGAAGCCAAGCTTGTCTCGATTCGAAAAATTACGCGACGCTCGTTATTACTAAGGCTGCCCCACTATACCAGGGTTCATTCGCCTCGCTGTTGACTCGCCGGCTCGGTTCCAGTCAAAGTGCTGTCCAGCAAGCCCATAGCTATTGGAAACCGCTCCTCCGCCTCCGTTGAGCGGCCGGCCCCCCCAGAGACGTCACTCCATGAAGGGTTCCCCATAAGCCTCAAACTCACATTGAAATTGACTCTCACCCCGACGCGGTGATCACTGCCGTGCCCGCCCTCACACTCACACTCATGATCCATGATCGCTTCCAATCCGCCAAAGAAGCCTTCTAACACGTGCGTGACTTGTCGCGCACGCAAGGTCCGCTGCGATGGGCAACGCGACATCTGCAACAACTGCATGCGACTAGGCTTCACCTGCTCCTATGACGACTCCATCCCAACCCACAACAACGCAACTCTCTCCGCCGCGGGCATGAATTCCGACGGCACCTCCGCCAGCGACGCTCTCACAATACATGCCGTCGCCTCTCATCCCCCGCGCCGCCGCGTCCGCCAGGCCTGCCAGAGCTGTCATTCGAGGAAGGCAAAATGCAGCGGCACCATGCCCAAATGCGACAGGTGTCGCACTCACAACCTTGAGTGTGTCTACCGTCCCTCCAAGCGGTCCCGTCTCAGCGCCACTCCCGGCGCATCGTCCTCTCAGCATGGTCGCGATTCTCTCATCGGCGATAGTGCCTCCGCGATGCTTGCCTCAGGAGGCGCCGGCAGAGACGACTACCTCTCAGACCAGAGTCGCAGCACCTCTGATCACCTCGAAAGCAACGGCCTCGCCGATCTTCGCCATCTCCCACCGCCCGAAGAATCCCTCATCATCCGCACATTCGAAAAGTTCTTTCGCCATGTTCACCATATCGCACTGTTCTCCTTTCTGCACCAGGCATCTCTGATGCAGAGATACCACTCCGGCTCCATGGACCGGCCTCTTCTCCTGTCTTTGATCGGAATCACATCCATACTGACCGACCTCGGACCTGGTGCGCGGGAATACGGCAACAGGTGCGTCGCTGCTGCCGAGAGTCTCATCCAGCGCGATCTCGGTCGACCCACGGTGCTGAAGATCCAGGCCCTGGTTCTCATCATCAAACACCGTATCTTTTGCCGACGTTTCTCCGACGCCTTCATGCTCACGGGGCTGGCATCCCGGTTCGCGGCTGCCCTGCAGCTCAACCACGAAAACCCTAGGCTCTGCTTTTTGGCTCAAGAGTCCCGACGGCGGTTGATGTGGTCTCTTTTTATGATTGATATCGGGATGGCAGCCGGCCACCCTGACTTCACCCTATGGGCCCACCGGCCCGAGTGCATAGACCTTAAGCTGCCGTGTAATGAACGGAACTTCGAATACGATCTGCCTGAAGTCACCGAATCGCTGGTACCGCCGCCCCGTCAGTCGGATGGCAGTCTGCCCCCGCTGACTGATAAGGTTGGGTTTCTGGCGCTTCATATTCGTATCCAGTGGATTCGCAGCAAAATCCTGGCCTTTTCGAAGACACTTGTGCTTCCAAGACCTGGTGGGTGGGATTTGAAAGCATTGCCCCGCAAGTGCGAGGAGCTTCAAGAGGACCTCAATGGCTTCGAGGGACGCTTGCCGCCGCAATTCAAATGGAATGAGGCCAATCTTCGGCTGCGGGCATACCATCCACGACTGTGTGTCTACCTCATGACGCATTTATGGTGGGAGCAATGCCACTGTGACCTGTATCGAATCGCGCTGGTGGGGAGGAGAGACAGTCTCTCTAAGGAGGCGATTTCCAGGATGGATCCCGCGTTCGTCAAATATTGTCAGAGGCAGTGTTTTGAGCATGCCAAAGCAATGGCTGAAATGCTCGACATGGTACTGCAGAAGGGCGTTCCTGTGTCTGACCTAGATCTGCCCGTGTTGGCTTATCAATGCGCCAACACACTGTACTACACCCTCGCATCTTGTGGGGACGAACATGGCCTCTCACACGCAAATGTGACAGAAATGGCAGCGACTTGCCTCAAAGTTGTGAAGCAATCTGCTCCTGGCCCTGCTGCTGCTGCTATTGTGAGTTATACCCACCTTCGAGAGAAACCGTTGCAGTCTAGATTTTGCTCAGATGGCTGACTGATCGATCGATGCATAGGCCGAGGCCCTTGAGAAACTCATAGAGACTGGTTGGGTAAGACCGACCCTCCCGAGCAACGTGACCTCGCCTGTATCCATGACACCTGCGAATCATGACGCGTTGGCCGTGGACCCGATGCTCCAGCGTGACGCCCTCCAAGAAGCGGACGTTGCCCACCAGCTGTATAACCCATCGATACCACAAAACCTGCCACCACAGAGCGAATCACCCGGTCAGGCAATGGCCACGGATGTGACGCAGCCACAGGCACCAATGCAACCACCGACGCCCGCAGTGCTTCGCGATGACGAATCAATACCCGTTGCCCAAGCGAATATGATGTCCGGGGTAACGCCCAACCTGAGCAACGCCTTCGAAGGGGCCTTGGATGGCTCAAATTTCGGCATGGGTGGTCTGGAGCCCTTTGCGATGGATTCATCGAGCTGGTATACAGGGGACTGGTCGAACGGCGGGCTAATGTAGTACAAGGCATAAATCGGCGTGAGGAAGACCACTTTGTTAAGTCACTGTGTAGCCTTGAGCGAAGGTTGCCAAAGACGGGGGGAACAAAATCTAGAATACAAAAGCTCGGGCATGTATATATAATTCTGTAAGGTGGGCGGCATCGCGTACATAAAGACAGCAGCGATACCCGATAAGAAATCACGCAAAGTCAGGCCTCGGCCGGGGCCCCCACGTTGTTTCCCGCACAGAAACCCCTATATATCCTCCCTTTCCCCTGCCTAGTGCTTAGGTGAATTGCGTTGCAGAAAAGGGGGGGGGGGGAAGACCAGCAGCAGGAGAAGCACCACTTAAAGGCCTGGCTTGACATCACTTTGCATCTCGCTATGGCCACAGCGGCCGCTTCCCAAATTACACAGGCTCATAGTGTACATAGCGCATGCCCACCTTTTTCTTTCCACGGGGATTTGGCGAAGATGTGTTGCTATTGGCGGTGGTATGGGGGTGGTTGTGCGCGTGTTGTTGTGCTTCGGGTTTGGGGGAGGGTTGGTGGTTATGGGGTAATTATGGCGAGACCGGCCCACTTAATGGTGACATCTGGGTGCGACCTTATTGAACGGCTGGAAACGAGACGGCTCGATGAGCGATATGGCTAGGGGTTGTTTTAGCCCACGAGGGGACTGAGATGGCACTGACCAGCCCAAATACATGTTATTGGGATCACTTTCTCATAATGGTTGCGCTTACTGCTTTATCGAACGTGGCGTGCCTCATTTGGACTGGGAGATCCTTCGTCTGGTGTCTATTATTGTGGGTTTGGATGCTACGAAGGAGGGTGTCGGGGCTGGATTGTGAGTGAGAGGAGGCTCGTTCGTCTATTTGTCCTCCGGGAGGAACTATCAGGCTCTCACCCTAGCTTTTAGAGTGCCTTTCATCAGAGAAGCATGGGCAGTTTAAGGCAGGGCTGTCACAAGTTTATTCATCCTCAAACTAAGTTAGGTCATCGCAGTGTTTCTTGCAGAGACTTCAGCGGTAGCTAAATCATCTGACTTAGTTGGCAGGGTTATCAAGTCAAGGGCTGGACAGTGAGAGGTCTCACAAGATAGCAATGGGACTTTCCCTCAGGCCATGATATCTGAGTCCGTGCTATCGCCCTTAAAGCATATGATCTTGGCCAGCAGAATCGCATGTTATGTTACCTTTGTGTATTCATCGGCATGCTGCCGGTCAGATCCGTCAACTCTCCAAGTATGGAGGACCGAGCAGTAAAATCAGCCCAAAGGCAGAGACATTTTGGGGGAAGAGCCGAATTCTGTCGCCTTCAGTGCCCTTAATGCACAACACTCCCGAGACATTACTGTTTTACAGCCAAGAATTCCTTTTCAAGGAATGGCTTGGGGACTGCGTTACATGTAGGGACTGAAAGCAGGAATCTACCGCTATGTAATAGACAGTGAATAGCACAAGACCCCAGTGAGATGGTTTTTGGGCCTTTAATGATGCACATCGTAGAGGATATAAGACGATACCGCCGGCTTGGCAGGTAATACTGATGACCACACATGATCCAGGCGAGATCGTGGTCATGTTGCGGTGTCACGACGCTGGAGAGGCAATTTGACTTCAGTGAGAATAATGTTGCTTCTTTCGGGGAGCAAACCATGCATTCCATCACAATCTTATGGAACGCTGGCTTTTGGGAAGATACGTATTGCTGGTATCTCTCCAAGTCGCGTTTTACAAATACTCACAGCGGCGGGGCTTCAGCCTCTTTGCAACCAAGTAATAAGTCCCAGAAGATCCCACATTCCTTCACTGAAAGATACCGTATTCACGTCAGTCCTCTCCCAACATTTGAGTAAGCAGAACGAGGTGGAGTTCAATATCTATTTGTAATTATGGTTGGAGCATGCCTTCATATTGTGACTCTCATTTTGCTCCTTCCGTACATGCATGCTGCCCGTGTCAGCGAGATCCCAGTCATCAACTCCGGCCGTGAGCCGGAAAGGTCCCTTGACGGAACGGTGATGTGCACCGGTCACCAAATGGAAGACAATTTCGAAGCAAATCTCGCAGCTGCCACATCTAGTAAGTAATACTCAGGATTCATACAGTCTTTCATTACGGCGTCCATCGGGACGATTACTTTAGTGATCGGTCTGGTAAGAGAACGAAGAGAAGAGTCTCTTCAAAATACCTGCTCAAGACGTCGTTGACCACAACCATAGGGTTGGACGAGGTATGCGTTTCCCAGCTCGGTCTTTACACTGGTTTCGACAATCCCGCGACGGGCACCGAGGGCGATACAATGGTCTATGCATGCGCGTACGGCAGTGTGTCGGCATGCGATTCTGTCAGGTTCTGGGAGCTCAACCCCCTATTTGACGAGAAATGTCCAGGTCAGGGCGCATGGCTATACAACTTGACGACGTCGATGAGCTATGGCCGGGATCCGGCAGGAACAACAGAATGTTATGTGTGAGAGGTGGTGTGCAACGGTATGTGGGGAGTTCGATAGATCCAAGGATCGGATTGAGTGTGAACGCATCAGGCAAATACAATTGTTCCAAGTCACCGAGCTGTTGTTTCCTTGTTTGAAGCAAAATTTGCGATGGTATGGGAGAGCGGGATTTTGTCTCATGATCTCTGAAGACTTCAGGACGAGATAATGCCGCTTTAGATGTGGAAATTGAATTACTTTGCTTTATTTTCTTTGTATTTAGCTACTCATTTAAGTATGAACTATGAAGTCATCGGCTTTATATCCAAAATCTTGGAATTCGTGACTACCCACAGACCATGCTACCAATAGCTCGATCCCTGCCCAGGTTTGTCGTAACACTCCCCTGGACCTCGGTATGTACGGTCTTCTTCGTCTACAGGCAAGCAGATGGAGACTCTAAAGAGGGTGCTAATGCAGCGTTTCGCGAAAATTTTCTAGGAGGAAAAGCCCTGCTCGAGTGTGTGGTTGTCGAAAGTCAACGAGCACACATACTGAGGCTTTCGAAACATTCCTTGCCGATGAAGCCATGAATCACCGTCTTGCAAACAACCCGACGCAGCGGAAGAAAATGCCAGTAAAATTCCACGAGAGTCAGAATACTGTGCAACACATATTGATTCGCGGGCGGCGTTGTATCGGATTTGAAACAGTGGAAGTGTGGACCGACTAAAGTTCCCAAGGCAGCAGTCCTGTTGTGTCACCCGACTTGAGGCCGCACTGTTGCATCTACGGGTTCAGCTTCGTCCCGAAACCACTCAACCCACCATGATTGCACCATCACGTTCCGCAAAGTAGATCATGTCCACAGAAGCAGTTGTAATGATCCGCAGTAAAACAATGGGAATAATTGGTGAAAACCTGGACTTTGCTTACTGGTATTTTGTGCAGCAGTGCAGATCTGCTAGAGACCAAGCGAGGACATACGAGATACAACACGGCGCAATGTGCGGAAAATTTGAACAGACATATACGTCTAGATGGCTGATAGCGAAGTATTCTCAAGTACACAAATATCTCTTTCAGATTCTCTCGGGTGCTGAGCCTTAACTCCTCGTACCGAAATCATTTGCCCTCAAGCTTTCCTGTGCGCCCCTTCCGGCGGCGGTGATGGTGATTTTGACCAGGCTCTCCTCGATAAGCCCATTTCTTCCCAGATTCTGTGGACCTCATCATCGCCTCTGTGGGTGCTCTGCCTTGTCTCTTGCTTTGGAGAGGTTACCGTTACATCTGGCGGCTGCATGTCTTGGGTCTTTGGTCCTTCAGGATCTCTCTGGTTCTGAAAGGCCCTGCCCTCATCAGAGTCTGCGGTGACAATTCGACCGCTGGGTAGTTGGAGAAGCTCGACAGATCGAGTACCCTCATTGACCGGGGCAGGCTTTGCCGTCTTCGACTTGGTTGACACTGCCCTGCTCGATGTTGTCGATCTGTGAGACGTATGGTCGGATTGGAACATGACGCGGATTACCGGAATTGTCTGGGCGATAATGAAGACGGCAGCCTCGGCCTGGTGAAAGCAGCACACGGCAACAACCCCATCTGTGGAAAATCAGCCAATGACTTCAGCGCAACCTCAGGGTCAAATCCGAGGGCTTACAAGTATAGTCCACCTCTCCATGCTTATCAGCTGGGATCAAGCTGAATATAATTATCTTAGCAATTTCCACTAAGATGGAAACGCCCACAAGACTCATAGACGCAGTGACTCCCCACTTCTCTCGCGGCGGTATGTACGCGACCTGACTGATTATCCACCATGGATAACAAGTCAAAATAAGGTCGCAGAGCAAGGAGTTGATGGCAGCGCCCATGTGAAGCCAAGTTGCAACGAACATTGAAATACATCGGCCGGGTATATGTGCAAGGTCGAAGCGAGTGTCACAAATATCCAGCCATGTCAGTATGAAGAGGGCGAGATTGAATGAATTGGTCAGCACCATAACCAGCCACAAGATTCCTTTGCTCCGCCGGCCAGACGTCAACCGAAGGAGAGTAATGGCGAATGCTGTCTTGCTTAAAGCAATGGCAGCGTACATGAAGCTGACAGCAGTAAAATGAATTACTTGACCATGCGCACTGCCGTCGAGAACGTTGAAGCCGTACGCGGGGCCGGCTGCGCCAAAGCCATTTGACAGCAACAGACAGACCCAGGCCGCAATGACTGGAGAAGTATGATCAGTAAGGTGAATTAATGTCGTAGATTTTTGCTCTTATAAACACGGCGTGATGGGTGGCAAAAAGAGTCAATGTACTCACGAACGTAGTCATCTCGCCATAATCCATGGTAGTGTTGTACCCGAGCCCAGAGTCTCGTGAAGAGGAATACCGTGGTGAGCGATCCACAAGTCGAGTGGACTACTTTGGCCAGCTCGATATACCCTGAGCGGAGCACAAACGGTGAGACTGTCATTTTCGAGGAATCCGGCTCTTTCTGAGCCTAAGCAATCGAGAATGACCTAAGGCGATGCGAGAGGAACTGGACGTAAAAGGGGGGACGATACCAGAGCGATGGAAATCAGCGCGACATGTGGCTCTTCCGTATTTTTATCCCCATGCAACGGTGCCGCTCAGGTCCACTCTCGCGTGCAGTGATGGATGGTAAAGTACACGACCCATAAGAAATTTCGCCAACAATTGGCTGGAGGAGCTCGCTGCAGCAGACTGGGGCTCACTGCAGTACACCCTGGAACCAACAGATTCCCTCCAGAGCCCAAACAAGTGCTTGTCCCGGTTAACCGAGAAAAATTCCTTCGCATGCGGATGCAGTCTGCAAAGCTTGTTGACAGGCGAACTCAGGCTTGGCTGATTGCTGTGTAATACGAGTTACATGTATGTGAGCGAAAGCGTTTTTTATGTTAGAATCGATGATAGATTTTGATGGCTTCTTGTGCGTTTAAGTGACCGGTGTACCAGGATTTCGTACCCCAAACACAAATGCGAATCACATCCTAAATTGACTAGAAAAAAAGAAGGATGGTGCAACATTTAGACTTATTCAATATTTTGATATTTTGAAGTGACGGGTATTCCTTAAAACTCCTTAGGTGCTCTTTGGCTCCATGCAATTTGATGCTCGCTATTTTCCACGACCAGTGAACGGACCCAGATGCTTCAGCTGTACCTATTTCAAACGAAAATAGCCGTAGACCGCAAGCTGGGCATATCAGTTGGGTATACTTTCACTTCCACACTTGTCGTGTTCTTCTTCCCCTTTCCCGAAACCGGTTTCGGCCCGCCTTGCCCCTTGTTGGACTTCAAATCCAGGAATTGCCCCACAAGACTCTCGACCTGGTCTTGAAAGCCCTTAAAACGGAGTCCAAAAGTGTCTTCAGCCAAGCTACCATCGATTTCGATCTCGGTGGTATCGACATTGCCGCTCTTAACCAACAATCTCGTCTTCTCTGCGACGGGGAACGACCTAATCGCCATGTCTTTTGCATCATTCCATCTCGATTCTTGGCTAAGTATATAGCTCTCGTTTCCAGACACGTTGATCGTGTCAATGGCAGCGGTGACATGGCATCTTGCCACGTCGTCAACATGCACCGTCGCGCCGGCAAATGGCCCGAACCGCCTGCCTAGGAGCATCGCCAACACCATGGCATTGGTGCCCTTCATACATTGTGCCGTGTTCGCAGCCATGTCGTTTCTTCCTAGGACGAACGACGGATGCAGATGGACGACATCAAAAGCGGGTCTTGTTGTCTCGCACCATGTCTCGGCGGCGTGAAGAGCTGCTATCTTGGAGTTTGCATACGCTGCGAACTCAGAGTGGTAAGGTCCTGATGTGAATGGGACGCGATCTGTAGGCCTGACCGGTGTGCCTTTTGGTCGAGGTTCGGTGCCTTCCATTTGAGCTACCGGGATGAGGGCCACGATCGAGGAGGTGATCACAACTCTTCTTACGGTGCCACAGCTCTCTGATGCCTCAAGCAAATTCCGCGTGCCTCGTACCGCTGGTCCGATGAAGAAATCCTCAGCCAGCCTGCTGTCGATGGGAGGTTGTTGTGATCCAGTCACCAAAGGAGAAGCCACGTGGATGACATGGGTCACATCATCCATGGCATTATCGTAAGCTCCATCTGCGGTGATATCGGGAACGACAGTGAAGCTGAGTCTTTGGCGTTGCTTGCTGGTGATTTTCAAGCACAGTCGGCTCAGAAGTTGGCTTGCCTTGCTCTGTGACCTCACCGCGACGCGGACGTTGAGACCTGTTCTGAGAGCATGTACCAGGGTCCTGAAGCCTACATGGCCAGTGGCTCCTGTGATGAGGACCAAATCAGTGGATGATACAGAGGGTGCCATCTTGGGTTGTAGACGAAAGCACCAGGATGTGCACTGATATGGAAACTGCAGCGAAGGTCTACTGTTCCACAGAGAATGACGATGAAGATGATCGAGCACCTGGCGAGGGAATTAGTTCTGAGCAGATGCGAGCCCCTATATGGCACATGTCAGTATTACTCCGAATGACAGGGCCCAGACCCGGGTGGTACCCACGAGGTGGCATTGAAGTTCCTGCTCGACTAGACGGTTGTGGGGCCGGCCAATGAAAATAGCAGAATGCATAATTCGTGCTAATCAGCCTTAAACAGATGGCCTCTGCGCTGTAAGACAGGATGACAATCATGCGGCAAACGCTTCTCCTGAATTGGGCCTGGCCAGGTCAGCCGGCCCTGGCTGACACTGATCCTGCATCTCGCCCCTGAGATCGCGCCTTGGAGGATGGCGCGGCCCAGGCGGTTGGAGTTCAGCAAAGCTGACCAGTTACCTTGGTCTCATGTGCTAGTTTCAATAGTGCTTGCGAGCAGAGCGCACAGATGGGGTGGGACAGTTCCCCGCTGAGCACGGATTGTTGCTCTCCCGCTTTTGACTGGCCTCGAGCTGCGCGTGCGTCTTTTGTGTACATTGGAATGTTATACACTTACTCCGTACCGCAGCAGATATATCTACCTAAAGACCTTAGAGGTGAATATGGCTTCCGGGTGCCGATCTACCGAAAGCTTCACAGTTATCAAGATCCTCGCCGAAGACCTCAGATGGGATTTCCTGAGAGAGAGAGACCCTGAGTAAGTTGAGCAGACTTCATCTGAAGTGGCACGGTCTGGATCTCCACTGGCTTTCACAAGCGCCATTCCAGGCAATTGGTCCCAAACGGCTGAGATGGTCCAGACCCAGGCGCCTGAGACTTGAAGTTTTGAGGCTGAGAATTCGACCCAAGTCGAGACGGCCCAGCCGCCAAGGCTCCCACTATGTTAGTTAGAGTGGGTCTAGACCTGAATGTTCAATAGAGAAGAAACCGCGATCTCACGGGTAGACGCACTCCCACTTGCCGAGAGCGTGCTACAAGTGTGGCTTGTCTTACTGCCCTGAGCAATCAGACGGTGCCATTGGGCGCCGGCAACGAATGGGTGAGCACAATTCCCCGCAATTCGCTGAGAAGTTGGGACGATTGACGCCAGGAACCCCTTCAATTGTGTGGGTTCCGACGAGTAGCATTCTCTGAAACCAACATGAAGTGATAATTGGCTTTGCCACTGGCTTGCTGTCTAGAAATCGCCGCAGATTCATCATTCTCTGACTTGTGATCAAGCGGCCCTACTGTGAGCCACAGGTCTGATTATTCATACATGTGTCTAGTGTTCAGTGGTGTTGTGTAATCTGAGGTGCTCGGAGTATCCGTGGGAGACAGCATAGACTCTAACTATTCTTGATTAGATTCACAAGTGGGTTCTTCTTCCAAACCATTCCATTTCTGTAGGGTAACTAGAGATTCGGCCATCCGAATAAAGCAAGTGGCACTCTGCCCGAAGCCTGTGGTCGTCCGATCTCACGGACGCGGAATTACAGACCGAGTATAGAGCATTTACCGAGACCATCTGAACTTGCAATTTGTCGGTCTTCTACCGCTTTAAACTCCAAATAGCTCAAGCTCTAGTCTCGCGGAGAGGTGGATCCTTCATTTCCCACTGATCATGGGAGGTGCTCCGCTGGCATTGCGTTTCTATATCGAGGCAGCCCACGCCTCCAAGGCCATGACTCAAAGTTCACACTCATATTCTCATTAGAAAGAGTCACATATGCATGTGCTTCAGCCTCGGTTCTCAAATGCTTCATGTAAAGATCCTGATTCCACCTTCTCTGGTCACTAACTCCTTTTCCCCTTCATTTACCTTCCCACAGGACTGACATCTTCAAGAAAGTTATACTTCTCAGTACCTTGTAGACGTAGCACGGAACCTATACACAATGCCCTTTAGAAATGAGTAAGTAGTATGATTTGTTAAGGAAAATTGGATTGTCACACAGGAACCTGATGCCACTGTTGGATGAGGTCAAATTAAACAACAAAACGGCCCGGATCTTCGTAACCACGGGCAGGAGAAAGGATGAACTTACAATCGGAAATCATTGGCTGATCTGGCGGAACTTCAATGCGTTTAGAATGAAGTTCTTCGGACCTCCGGTTGTGTGAAGACCTTGAGAAACGTGTTTGGATTGGCGAAGTCGTATTCGTGTCATAGCTTCCCTTACCCATAAAAGTTGGCAACAAGAGCCATGAGGGTACACATTTTACGGGGGCCATAACACGGTGAATAGTTGTCTAAAGTAAGAATGCCTAGTCTCAGTACCTAGGTAATTTGTTTGTCCTGGACAGACGCAAGTTGGAGTAGATGAAGCCTCAGGGTTGCATTTTGTATCAACCGTCGAGACAAGCTACATGAATTGATGCAGAGGGACAATTTGAGGGTTGCTGAGTAACATGATATGTTTTTATACTTCGTCCTCTTGCTCCGTGCCAGCGCTATCTTGCCCAGGATTGACCTCCTCATAATGTGCCCACTTGACAAAGCGATAATACATCGCAGAGAGAGCTGCTCCGAGAGCTGGGCCAAGCCAATAGATCCAATGATAGCCGGGAAATTGCCTACCCGCAACAGCACATCCAAAGCTGCGCGCAGGGTTGAGGGAACCTCCAGTGTAGTAAACGCCTGGATTCGATGTCAGCCATCGGGGTTTTACTTGAGTGACAAACTCTAGCCTACCAGTCAGTTCGCAAATGAAAAGAGCCAGACCTATTCCTACAGGAGCAATGAAAGTGTCCTTCGACTTTTCGGCGGCGAGCATGAGGATCACGAAGATTAGTTGAGCGGTCATGAACATCTCGATGAAGAGGCCCTGGGCTGTCGATGTACCCGACACGAGGATGGTGTTGACATTCGAGATATCCGTCCCGAACATGGCCGCAACCAGTCCTCCGGCACACATCGATGCGATAAGTTGTGCTGGAATCAGAAAAGCTGTGCGCATCCACGGGACTTGCCCAGACAGGCTCAGGCCCAGGGAGACCTAGAAAAACGTCAGCTCATGTATCTTGACAGCGCATGAGAGATTGTCATCTAGACTCTTACTGCAGGGTTAAAAAGCCCCCCTGATATCCGGTAAAACGTCCAAGCATTAACCAGAAGTGAGAAGCCGTACACAAGCGATATGTAAACGACCGTCTCACTGCTGGGACCGCCCCCAGCTGCAGGAGATGGGGCCAGGGTGAGGGCCACGGTCTGGCCTGAGTAGCCCATCCATAGGAAGAAGAACGTCCCGACGAATTCTCCCGATGCCGCTATCAGGTGAGCCGCAAGGGGGCTGAGGTGGCTATCCCTAGCGCGAGGCTCGCTTTGGTTGTGAGCCCAGGTGTCTCTGAACTTCATCCTGCTTGAGTACCTGGTTTCTGATATCTTGGTATGTTGGAAGAGCAAGCGTCGCAAAACCATTTATACATCTTGGGGGCTCGCGCTAGGGCATTCAAAGAGTCCCGGCTAACACTGTTCGCGTTCGGTAAGAGGCGTCGAATTAGTGCCACACTCAATGCGAACAGGCGCTAACAAGACCTGCACAGCTACCGATCTTCGAAATCTGACCCAAAACTGTTCTATGACGCAGTGATAAGTGTCAATTGCCCCTGGTGTTGCCTTCGGAAGCCGATGTCACCAACTGATGTGCGTCAACAATTCCCCGAATCACACTCGGGCACATGGAGAGCATGGTATTTTCCAAATACTCTGGTATCTTTCTCAGGGATAAATCCCAATGTTCAAAGTACACGCATGAAATTGGATTTCATGAGTGTCACTTTTGGATCTCTGCCACGTGGAACAGTGCGGCTAAGATCTGCTGGTGAGATCCAGGGCTGGCTTTTGCCGCATTCGGAGGACATGGCGACATGATGATATCAGTAAGAGATAGCATTGACCCCAAGTCTGTCCTAAGAGAGCCCGAACATTACCATGTCTTACTAAGTCATCAAGAAGTTAGAACCTGCGTACTACCACATTTGACGTAAAGCACGCGCGGCAACGCGAAGTCCTCCACGCCATCCATTTCCTGAGTGGCTAGGAGATTGTACCACCTCGTAAACAGTAGAGTGACGACATCGTTGGAACATGAAAACGCACGTATCTCAGCATATGGCAAAATTCGCTTCATCCGACTCTTCCTCCGGCCCTGTGGTGGATAATTATGGAGTTTCAGCCATGGAGTTGTAACATCTTCCTAACACTTCTCTAGTGAGCTCATTGAGCTCATGCCTTCCCTTCTTATTCATGGATCATGATTACCATAATGTCTAAGGATATCTCCTTGATTTCATCATTTAGATTCATCTGATTTCTTTCTACGCATTTCCCAAAGAGGCTCCCAAGCTGTCGTGGCCTGTTGTCAGGACGAGTGCTGGAATCAGTCATATCAGGAACAACAAAACCCGGCTTTCTTGGGCCCAATTTGTGAAGATCGGTGCACTTGCTGCCCCATGACAGCATGCTTATGTGCAATCAGAAGATCTATTGGTCGGGGACATGTTAGGAGAAAATCGGCGTCTTTAGATAGTCAAGTAGACCATGGAGCCTTGAACTTGAGAGGAAACATTGCTCTTGGTCATCGTATCGAAATTGACGCCTGAAATCTTTTCCTATGCGTCGTTCTGTATTCATTAGGGCCAATTTCCGATCTCCACTGAGACTTCATCAGCTTTAATTTTACTTGGTCTGGAAGACTTGTAAAATCGCCAGTTTCTGAAAGACTGGAAGGATGTAGCAGGTTGCAGTACCAGAGCTGCTGACGATTTTGAAGGAGACCATACTACTGGCGAGAAGCATGCTGCAAATCCTGATACCAAATTTGACCCTGTAGATTCAAAATTGGAAAGGTGTCTCTTGAGCTTGAAGGTTGAATAATTATGGTCGTTTGGGGGCTACAAACGCGACACAGGTGTATGGGACGACAGCGACATCTGCCAGTTTCGCATATAATTTCTGAAAGCCCTAAAAGCCCTGCCATCGTCTACAACAGAAGGAGGGAATGACGTTCAGACGTTTGTTTCCATCACTCTGATCTTTTCTCCCTAAAACAAGCCAGAGCAGCATACCTTAACCTGAACTTGACTTCCCGGAGTGAACAAGTGGCCAAGTGTGAGCAAAGAGATTGCTCACCATATCATCTTTTCATCAACAGAGGCTTATCGCTCCCACAAAACTACAGAGGCATCCTGATCCCCAAGGTGAGTTTTTATTTCCTTGCTGTATCCCGTGAAAACCCTTGGATGCCACCATCACACATCCGAATGGGTCTGTTCCACACAGAAAATCACCAACAGCCCTTTGAGTCGAAATTGAGAAATTCCTTCTTGCCGATCTCACACTTTGTGATCCCGAAGCGTAGAAGGCGCGCAGGTGATTCACTTGGTCGTTTGCTTCCTTGGGGAACTCAAAAGCATAAACCACACTTCCAAAACCTGCAACTCTCTTCCTTAACCTCTTTCTGTTCTTCTACCTCACTCCACCATTCACAGCATTCAAAACATCAAGACTTATCCTGACTTTTCTTCAACGCAGTTTATTCTCGACTGCTGCCTTCATCTGGACCGTACTCAGATCACAACCCTTGAACTTTCGTAAGTACACCTCTTGTTTCACCCAAATTTTGCAACCTTTTCAAAGTTGGTGTTCCGAGCTCCTCCCAAGACAAGATACAAATATCCAGTAGCACTGGAAATCCTGGGGTCTTGCGACTCATATCCTCTAGACACAGCACAATCCACTTGAACACTTCTCTTTTCACAACCATAGCATCAAGAAGAAACCAAGCTGACTTCACACAAAAAGAAAGCATACAACAACTTAAACCACGTATTCATCCAAGATGCAATCATTCCAAGCTGTGATTGCCATCCTCTTGGCCACCATGGTCAACATGGCACTTGGAGCGGCGGAAATCCACGCCACGGCCTTGATTTTGGCCAGTACCTTCCTCAGCACTGTCGCCTCCTCCACTTTCCAGCACGCGATTGTCGCTGCGCCTGGCACCCGAGGATCCATCGGTACCCGCAAAGTCTCGACTCTCCAGGCCAACGACACCGGCAGCTGCTACAACGCTTCTACCTTTCCCCACACAGTGAATGACAGCTCAGCCTTGGTGCCGTGGACCGACATCCTGAACAAGAATGACACAGACTCATACCTGTGGCTGTACGATATTTTCGGGGATCTTTGCTGGGAGATCAGCGAGACGATTTTGACCCGCGACATACCGGTAAGTCCACCCAGCCGCGCCTCCGGGGTCTCTCTGGTAGTGTGTCCTAACATATCGCTTCCCAATACGTAGTACACCCACTGCAAGTCTGACAACTACACCAACGGCACGTACAGCATCATGGCGCAGATGACGTACCTCGGCCCGAATGACACCTACGACATGCGTGGAAAATACGACAACTGCATCGGGGCCTTGGTCATCACCATGTGGTGTCCATACGGCGGTATCTTCGAGCACAAGCTTCCCTGTTTTGGTCCTCCTAACGAGTTGCAGGCCTGGGAGGTCCAGGCGCGGCCCATCAAGGGGCCTTGCCCGGACTGTGCCAAGGGACTGCCTCCCCCGGATGCTTAGTTTGGAGTGGTTTCTTTTTTGGAAGGAGGTGAGGGCTACTATGAGGTTAAGGGTTTCATCGTGAGCTCGAGTGGCGATTTGGAGGGCAGGATGGAATGACCCAGCTTCGAGTCTTTATTAAGACGGCAGGAGTAAACTAATACACCCGGCATTGCGTTTTGCAAACTCCCAGCTTTCGTGACCATGTCCAATTTCCATTTGAGTACAAAGACTTGTGGCTACAAGAAGTGCCTGTCAAAGAATAAAGCCTACCTTCACTCTCCCCACACGCCAGGTCTAGAACAGTGCCAGGGTAGACAAATGGAAGGTTGCCGATTGGTGCCCATGGTGCGGAAGCGGATGGTGATTGTGGCACCTCGGCAAGGTAGGGGGCAGCATGACGGGCAGATGGCACCGCAGAGGGTACTACCTGAGATGTGTGCTAGCAAGGCGAGATGATGAAATAGTAGGGTGACAGCGATAATGCGCCGGCAGCACGTAGGTGCCAGGTGAGTCATGATCGTACGATTGAGTATCACACGCGTTGCCTATGTGTTTTGTGGCAGCTTCAACAAAGAGACGTGTCATGGGTTTTGACAGTGGCAATCAATTTGATAAGCAACTTGATTGGATGTTCTGAATGTTCTATTCCTGTTCAAATAATTATTCGAATGTTGGAGTAGGACATGCTAAGCAGGAATCCTGGAGCTGGAGCTAGGGCAGAGAATGCCGTGCTGAAAGTTTGATACTAGCCGGTCTATGTATGCGGCAATGCTTGAGTTCTCCATCTGTTGGACATCTTTCTGTGCAGCTATTCGTGGCCTTTGGGTAGGGCAGGATGATTAAAGTTGAGGGCCATGTGCAGGCAGTCATCCATCCATCCATCCATCCATACAACCAACCCGTAGGCGGTCAGGATGGATGGCGCGTCTTTGGGGGGCTCGAGGGGGGGGTGCCCACACCCAGCTAGGCCCGTCCCGCAGCTATCGGTAGCTTCCGACAGGGGAAGCGGGTCCGCAACATGGGGGGCAGCACATGAGCGGCACAGGGACAGGGCCTCCTGGGCCTCCGCACCTTGAAGCTTGGAGAAAAGTCTCCACTGTGACACACTGCCTGCAGCTCGCATGCGAAAATCTGTGAATCTCGTCGGCGATGCCTCACATGCATCATTTCCACTTCCAAAATATCCCGTCCCCGTCCCCGTCCCTGTCCCCCGTCCTCCTGCCTCACATAAACAGAAGCAACGAGCAGGCAGACCCGCAGTTCCGCCCTCCCACCTGCTTCCCACCCAGTCCTGGTCCTATGCGGACCCCGTGAGATCGAGACATGTCCAACGGTGCGTCGAGCCCTCTGGGCGGGAGCAGCGACGGCGATGTGGACATGGACACGGATACCCTCGTCAATGGCCACGACGACGAGGCCACCCCGCGCCCGGAGCCCATCAACGAGAATGCCCCCGTCAACATAATGCCCCTGCTCGCGAGGCACCAGTCCAACTCGGAGCGACACGACGTATGCATTGTCGGCGCCGGCCCGGCCGGACTCATGCTCGGGTATGGAGCACCACCACCACCTCTTACTTAATCTTAATCCAGTTGCGTCCCATCCCGGCACTTACCTTTCCCACTCTGAGGGTGGTGTAGACTCAGCCATACTGACATGCACAAGCCTGGTTCTCGCTCGATTCGGCATCAGGCCGCTCATCCTGGACGAGCGCGCCGACCAGACACCCGTCGGTCGGGCAGACGGCCTCCAGCCCAAGACCATCGAGACGCTGCGCATGCTCGGTCTGGCCGACACCCTGCTCCAGCAGAGTGTCAAGATCTACGACATCACCATGTGGCAGTCCATGTCCTCGTCACATGAGCCCGAACTGCGCCGCGTGGGCAGAGAAATCCACTACCCCGCCTTCATTGTCGACCTGGTCGACCCGTTCGTCCTCATCGGCCACCAGGGCATGGTGGAGAAGGCCTTCGCCTCGGACCTCGCCAAGCGCGGCATCAGTGTGCGGAGATGCCACAAGCTCGACTCCGTCAGCGTCAAGGATGACGGCACCATGGAGGTCAGCAGTGCGTTCAATGTCACGCGCGACCTGAGGTCTTTCGATACGACCTACCTCGTCGGCTGCGACGGGGCGCACTCACGGGTGCGGAAGTTGATTGTTGGCCCGTCCGACCCAGGCGCTCGGGACGACCCGGATGAGATGTCCGTCTGGGGAGTTCTCGACGGTGATGTCGAGACCAACTTCCCCGATATTTGGACCAAATGCGTCGTCTTCTCCGAGCAGTACGGTAGTGTGTTGATCATCCCGAGGGAGCGGGACATGACACGGCTGTACATCGAGATGAGACCAGACTCCGACATAAGCGCCAACTCGAACCCTGCGCGAGTCCAAGCCGCCATCATGCGCCGGGCGGCGCAGATCCTTCTCCCCTACCGGATCCGATGGAAGAGTGTCGAGTGGTTCGGCCAGTACCGCGTCTCACAACGGGTCGCGCCCAAGTTCTCCTCCGCCGTGCCCATGCCGCCGGGGTCAGGCAGACAGCAGACGCCAACGCCCGCCACAATCAACGAAGCCATCGACATCGATACCGACGGCGAACAAAGGATCTTTATCGCCGGCGATGCGGCCCACACGCACTCCCCCAAGGCCGCGCAGGGCATGAACACGGCGCTGCACGACAGCTGGAATCTGGCCTGGAAGCTGAATCTCGCGATCCGCGGCCTGGCAAAACCCTCGGTCCTCCTTGATTCGTACTCCTGGGAGCGGCAGAAGATCGCGCGCGATCTGGTCGCCTTCGACTTCACGCACGCGCAGGAGATGTCGCGCGGCAACCCGGCCGCGCTGGCGGACAACTTTCGCAAGAACGTGCGGTTCATCTCCGGCGTGGGGTGCGAGTACGCCCCGAACGCACTGAACCGTGAGCCCGAGGGCTTCGACGATGAAAAAGGCTCGGAGGAGGGATCGACGGGCGCAGGCGCCGGCCACCAGAAACTGGGCGCGAGGCCTGGGTGCACGCTACCGCCGGGCAAAGTTTCTCGGTATATCGACGCTAACCCTGTCGACGTCCAGCTCGACATTCCCGTGCTGGGCCAATTCAGGCTGTACTTCTTCATCCCAGATATCCTGTCTGCGCCGGCGGCCGCGTTTCTGGTGTCGCTGTGCGGCGCTATTGCCGAGCCCGAGAGCCTGATCCACCGGCTGTCCGCCGCGGCGGGCAAGAGCTACCTCGAGCGGCCGAGGGTGCCGAGCCATGAGGACATTTTCAAGCGGCCGGAGCGGTACATCGCAGTGAGCCAGTTATTCGCCTTTGCACTGATCAGTAAGTTCCCACTCGCGACTGAGCCTGACCCCTATCCACTCTCCCTCTTTACAAAAAGAAATCACCATCGCACTGCACCACACAATCCGTGAAGTAAGCTAATCCGCCGCCGCAGCATCAACATCAAAGCACCTCTTCGAGATCTCAGACCTGCCCGCGATCCTCTCCCGCTCGCCCTGGACCATCTACCTGGACGACATGCCGGACCTGGACACGCGGGGGCTGACGTGCACGGAGAAGTACCTGGGCGCGCCGCTGCAGGACGGCGAGGTCGCCATCGTCAACGTGCGGCCCGACGGCTACGTCGGCGCCGTCCGCAGGTGGGACATGACCCCCGGCGGCGTCGCCGACGACGCCGTCGAGACGGGCCGCGAGGCCGCCCGGTGGCTGGACGCGTACTTTGACGGCTTCTTGCAGGTGCCAGACGCTTGAGGATGGTGGTGGTGGTGGTGGTGCGGATGATGGAATTCACATCATTGCAGTGGGCACTTACTCGCCAGTGTATTACCTAGGTATCTGTTAAGATTGTGGCGAAGATTGCTTGCCCTAAGCTGAGATGTTTGGTGCCAAAAACCTGAGGGTGGTACAGGTGGACGTTCACTAGGAGTCACCAGACAGGACTTGTAAATTGGATAGGCTTCACACAAAGGACAACAGAGACTATGACGATAGACTTAAATTGGGTCCGCTATGGAATTTTCAGCTGACAAAAGAAGCACCTGCCATACATGGGTCAAAAAAGTCCCGTAAAAATCGCCAGGGCGCTCCCTGACCTCGTCTGGTGTTGACCCACCCAAAACTTTTGTCTTGCCTTCCAAGTAGCCACCCCAATGTTTTCCCAGCCAGAGTATGAAGTGATAACGGGCAAGATGCGCGTACCTCACAATCATAGATAGTGCACCGATTGCACAAAAGAAAAAGGTCTCATCTATTCTCGTCAGACCTTGACTCGGAAGAGATATCGCAGGCGGACCTGCGAGATGTCATACGCGATGTACTCGTTGTACATTAAATAGGCTCCTGGAACACCCGTCGGGCCTGGTCGGTCTTGGCTGGTGTCTGGCATCTTGATGCCCTTCATGGATGGATGGACACATGCCGCATCTTTCCACTTTGGCGGTCCAGTCATGCCCTTGCCAAAAGTTGACCACAGGCCCTTGGCTTTGGCATGGCTCGCTGCATTGTACTCGGCGTTGGTGAGCTCTTGCATGGGGTCGCCCAGCTCAGCCTCGCACAACAGGAGAAGAGCTGTACCGTCAGAGATACTGGGGATGCAATAGTTGATGCTCTTGCTGCTCATGTCCGCGAGATAGATTCCTTTGTCAAACATGTATCCTGTAGCCGGCGCCTCTGGAGGTGCAATTCGAAGGCCTTGGCTCAAGATTCCACCGAAGTTGGTGGCACGGCTTCCATGCCATAGCAGACGGCGGTCAGAAATCTTGTCAGCGATGAACCTGTCTCTCTCACCCCGGCGCTCAATGCGGAAGATGTTCTCGACGCTGTAGTTAACCGCATGCGTGTGACCACGCGTGTTGACGAGGTACTCTTCAAGAGACTTGAACTCAGCTCCGCTGGGGTCCAAAACGGTCATTTCTTCCATTCCGAGGCCACGATACTGTCTGTCCAGGGGATGCAAGCTGTTGCGCTCATCAATTTCTGCCTTCAGGATATTGGTGGCATCCTTCATGTCGGCCAAGGTCTCGAGAAGTTCTATTTCCCGTTTGACCATGTCCTGAGAATTGATGATTGGCGGTCGATTGCGGCCGAAGCTGTGCGGAATAAGAGAGTAATATCGATTGGAGAGGTCCTCGGTGGACATCGAGTTTCCAACAGCAGCAGCAGGGTTGTCGATGCGATCCGAGAGGTCCTTCAGTGTTTGGAAACCACGCATGATGGTAGCCTTGCTGAGTTTTCCCAAGGGGAGTTTGTTCAAGTCATAATTCATTTCCGTCATCGCGGCAGCGAAGAACCTCTGGTTGAAAATGAGCTCCATCAGCTTTTGGACATCAGGCTCAAGAGTGCATGGAGGCGGGCCTGCTCGGGTGTCCTCCTTGCCATCAGCCGGTTTCTCGTCCTCTGAATCAGTGTCCGGCTGGTAGCTCTTCTCAAGAAAAACATATTTCCCGGGCAAGGGATCGTTCGCTCGGTTTTCCCAGAGCATTCCAGACTTCTCCTTGAACTTCTTCTCGAACTGCTTCTTTGCATCTGTGAGGGAGCCGTTTCCAAGGATCTTACTAAGACCCCGTTCGCCAACACGACCCCATCTGGTCCAGGTTTTGGCATCTCCAGAGGAAACAAGGACCTAGGACATATTAGTCGAGGTCACTCGCAAACTCAGACAATGCGCATGCTGTAAATGCTTACTTGAATTCGATAGAACTTATTGTTATTGGCGCCTGCATTAGTCTGATTTAGAGAGGCGTCCCAGATGACACTATCATCGTCGACGTGCACCCCATATCCAGCAAGAGGGAAGCCCTCATCAACAGGTACTTGGACATCCCACGACTTGGCGATCTGCTCTTTGCCCACGACAGCAGCCTTGCCATTTTGGGCAACTGTTTCGAGCTTGGTTTTCTTGGCCGTGGGCGCGGGGCTCGAGCTGATGGCAATAGGTGACGCCTGCCGCTTTTTGGAAGGATTGCTTTGGGCAGGAGCAGTCTGTGTGGGGGCAGGATTGGTAGGAGCTGCAACAGGGTTGTTGCTATTGTTGGTTCCATTCTGTGAGGCATCAAAGAGGTACTGGGCCTCAGATTGCTGTGCATTGGACTGCTCAGAGTCAAGCAGCCAGTCAAGGCTGACGATGAAGATGCCGCTACGATCCTTTGCTTGCCAGACTTTGGTGCATTTCTTGTCGTAGTCAGCTTGTGTGGTGACAAGGTGAGTCGTGTTTGCAGTGACGCTCTTCACGGGTTGTGCTCCCAAAGCGGCAGCCTTGTCTTCCAGAGCGGATTGCTTGTAGCCGGTGAACTTTCCACTAAAAGCGATCACACAGCTGTCAAGTGGCAGTGCTGCAGTTGCTGGAGGCACAGAGGCCGCAGCCTTCTTTGCTCGAGGTGGCATTTGGGGGTGTCGAGCGGCCTGCGAGACAAGTTAGCAATGGTCGATCATGTAATATTCCCCTGGCTAGAAGGACCATTGCAGGCAAGGGAAGGATGCAAGTGCATAGACTACCTTTGGGACCGAGGTGAGGTTGCGTGGTGTGCTGAGAAGTGATGAATCGGAGTTGATTCAACCGACCATCGGGACTGGTGATGGCAGCTGGTTCTGTCCCATCCAAGGGCGAAGTTGGTGAGGCTGGTCGAATGCAGACAGACTCACGGTGGGTAGGAAGGAAGATGGAAGATGGAGTGTGGAAAGTCGAAGTGATTGGTGAAGAAAGTCGAGGCGGAAGTCGAAGGTCAAATACAAGGGGAGAAAGCCATTTTCAAATGGAACAACCACCGACCGAGAGAGAGATGAGAGAAATGAGGCATTGTCGTTGATGCTGAGCGCGACCGCGTTCCTGCCTGCAGTGGCTTTGTGCCGCCCTTTCCCTTTTGGGCGTTAAGTCGCAGGCTGCAGCAGGCAACAGCTCCCATCCCGCTACTGGCCCCTCACCCCTGCCTGGGGACAAACGCTCTTGGGTGCTCCCATTCAAGTCACGTCCTCACGTGTCTGCCCAACGCTGCACGTTGAAAGCTGGATACTGCAGCCTTGATCTGCCTGGAGCTTAAGGTGAGGTTGTCGCTTCCATCTGTGACTGGATCTTGGGAGACACTGCGACACTCCTTTCAAGATCGTGGACTGCCTACCTATCAAGGTTTCTGTCCCTCTCTCCTCTCCTCCACAACCGAGAAGGCCAGCGCCTCAGACGCCCCCATTCCCTCCAAGATCACGGGCAGCCAGTGCCCTTGCTCACTATCATTCGCCGAGGGCCCATCCCCATTCCGACTGGACTAGCAGTGTCCCCTCAAACACCTCCGTGAACGAACGACCTTGACAGCTGCAACAGACACGCATTGCTGCCCTCGTCAATATGGCGTCCCAAGTTTCAGAACTTGTGAAGCTTCCCCGGGAACTTCTCGACAACGTGGCCACCTCATTGCCCACACAGGATTTCAACAGCCTTCGCCTGGCCTGCAAGGAGCTGGAAGCCAAAACCTTCCCATATTGGGCCAATTGCTTCTTCAAGAAGAGACAGTTCAGTAGGCAACCTACCCTTCTGCCTGCCTGTGTATCCTATTGGGTTGCAAAGATATCACACTAATACGCTATAACATAGTGATTGACCAATTCTCCTTACAAACCCTGGTCGACATCTCACAGCATGACGCCCTGTCCAAGGTTATCAGCCACCTTATTATTGGCCTTGATGAGTTTCGAGCTTTCAACCTCGATCGAGCTTTTAGTTCCGCTGCGCAGAATCTGCAGCCTCTCGCCGAGTTCGATCGATGGCGATCTGCTGACTGCACACAGCAGGCCCTTCTCTATGGAGGTGGCGCAGTGGATATGTTGTCAAGAGCACTGGTCAATCTGCCGAATCTCCGGACAATCGACCTTCGTGATTTCAATTCTCCGACTCGGTATCGGGACGCAGTCCCACGGAATCCATCCCCTCAATGGCGAAGCTATGGCTCGTCCCATTACCAACAGTGGCCCCGTGAGAATCACTGGCTCTTGAGCGTCAACCGTCCTTCCAACTTTGTTGACACAGTATTTCTCGTCGCTATTACGGCAGTTGGCCGATGCTCCACCACGGGAGTGCAAAGTCTAGAAGTCATCCTCCGAAACCATCATTTCGCACTTGGAGACGACGCATTCAGTCTCTCGGGTGTTCCAGGCAGTCAGCTCGCCGCTGCTCTTCGTGGTCTCACTAAGCTGCACCTCGATCTGAACTCGCACTGCCCACATTTGTCTGGTCTCTCACACGTTCAAGTAACCATGCCTAAGCGCGACTTTTTCGACCCCGCCACGACTCATCTTCGACGTTTTCTGGGACTTACACCTAGCATCACGTGGCTGAGGTTGAACTTCTATCCCAACATTGGAGCTTCACACCGATCTTCTCCCTCGAAGCTGATCGCATGGCTTGGACTTGAGCCAAATACTATTCCACCACCAAATTTGCCCTGGGGTCCGGGGAACCCAGCTCCTATCACGCTGCCCTTACGAAGGCTTGACCTTGGAAACGTCAAAACAAGCCCGGTTATTTTCCGCAGGCTCCTGAAGAAATTCACCCGTCTAGAGTGCATTAGCATCAGGGATATTTGTTTGCGGGACGCGGAGGCCACCTCCGATTCGCATGAGTCCGATATCGAGGACAATGATGACTGCCTGTGGGCTAGGTTCATCCGCAACCTACATGCCACAAATCAAAATATCAAGAAAGTCGAACTAAGCCGACTCATGGAAGAAACATCTCACGGTTCAAACACCATTGTTTTTTGCAACGAAGCCGTCCCCTCAGAGTATACTGTCTTCGCTAGCATTCAGATCACTGATACTGCCTCGTTGAGGCGGCTTGCTGACAACACCTGGACGGACATTCGTTGGCATAAATCGCAAGGTCTTGGTGATGGTGATGTGGTGGACGAGGACGGCGAGATCTACGTTGATTCAGAGCTTGACACTGATGAAGATAGCGAGGGTCTCTCTGAAGACGATGGGAACTCTGAAGACAATCAGTGATCATGACATTGAGGGAACACGCGCTAGCATTTCACTAGGGCACTCATGCCATTAACACAAGGCGCTCATGGTGAATGATAGCTTTACGTCCTTATGCGGCAATCACATGCCTTTTCTCGTCGACTGTTTGACAGAAAGGGCTCACCACCGCAGCAGTAACAGATTTGCTATTTGTTCATGACCTTGGTCAGCTAGCACCTCCGTTAAATTAGACAAATTGAGAGCATCCACTTTCATGTGGTAATGTTTTCTTTTGACTTTAAGCGCTAGTTTTATAGAATTGCGGCCTTTCAGATGCGGAAGTAAAAAGCCCTCCATAAACACCTGGGTCCGAAAAGACCTCCCTATTCCGGTGAGAGAGAAAAAAAAAAAGGCAACTGCGTGGCTGTGTCCTTGCTGAATTCAAGAATATCCTCGCCCGCACGCGGCGTGCCAAGGCAGGGCAGGCAGACCTGAAGGAGGCAGAGGTAGGAGGGTATGTGGACATGACGAGCAACGACAATCAACGCATGGACTCATTTTACATACCACAAAATAAGCCGAGAGACCTTTTAGAATACTCGAAGAGAGCCTATTAAAGTTCTTTCATACGTAGGAGCGCAATTGCGTCGGGCGTAATCGAGGCTATTCTAGCATTACGTCGCCTCTGACACGCATCTATGGGAATCCAGCCACGCTTCTGACAAGTGGTGCTGATCCCGCAAGCAACGTCGACAGCCTCAAGGATGCCTTACCGGTCAGTTGTCGTGGACTTCTGTGCCCGCAAGCCTTTCTGTCTTTTTTCACATTCAGATCATTCCAAGTATTCGACGGGTCGTTATTAAGTGATTGATAATAAAGAAAATAGAGCAATGCGAAAAGTGGCAAAGTGACCCATCGTGCCTGTACGGGCCCCTTCTGTGGCAAGCGCCCCAGCTACCTTTCATATCTGGGCCTATGCCCGGTATTTTCTACTGCGACACCTTTGCTCCTCTGGCCACATTTCTGGCCCGCAGATCTTGCAGTCGCACGGCGCCGGCTCTGCAGACAATTTCAAAGAAAGCATGACCGATCTTTCGTCTCCACCATAATGTATCTGGGCAGGTCCGTTGGATACGCAGTGAAGTACAATCTTGTAGGATGTGCCATATACTTGAGCACGAGCTGTTGCTGAACCCACATGTTGTCGACCAATTGTACGGTCCCCTAGAGTGCTCTTTGACTCCTAATGAATTCTATCCCAACGGACAAGTAACCTGGGAGACGACACAAGCCGGCTTGTCGAGTAGTGGGCAACCGCAGTATAGCATCTTCTGACGAAAGAACTGCATTTTCTCTTCAATCATCTGGCGATCGTGTTCAACTGTTGGATCTTCAGCCGATATGTGTGCCTCATGCCAGCGTTCCGACAGACACGTCGACAGGTCCCTCTCACCAAGTTGTCCCAGGGAACAGCAGCTTGCGAGATGACGGGCTTCTGACTGTGCAAAGGCGAAGAACCGCAGTGCTGCTTCGGCCTGGAGCAATTCTTTGCCTGGTGGTGGCGGTAACTTCTCCCAGAACTTGCGCAGCTGATATCGGATGTGTTTAAGTTTTTGAAGATGGAGGTAAGTGCCTTTCAGAAATATCGTGACCGGCTGACAGCCTCTTGTTGAACATAAACAAGAACAAGAATCTCGCCACGCGCTTTCGTCTGACATCAATTCGGTCATCCGGACAGTATCAGATGGGACGCCCGAGATCTCGTGTTGGAAATAAAATCCAGGGTACTGAAGCCTGTGAGCAAACATATGCAAGCCAGAACCTCCCGTTTGGGCATGTTTGGAGAACGGCGAAGCTCCTTTGGTTATCAGCCACTGCAAGATGTCGAAATCTGCATTATACCAGGCCTCCAGAATTGGTGTCAATGCAGGGCCGCACACATCGTAAGGTTCTTCAAGTTCTTGAAACCCCCCATTCCAGAGCTGCTCGGCTGTAGAGATCGGTATGCGAATCTCTGAATGTAGGTCTCCTGTCTGATAGTGTCCCTTAAAGTCCAGTTCCAGTGCAACCGGGCATTCGTGACCTTGTCGACGTATTTCTTCGTACATTTCCGGTAACAATGACTGCTGAAGTTGGCCTGGGACGATTTTGCTGTACAGCCCAGATGACGGCGTTAGAACAGATAAAGTCCAATTCAGCAGGCGTGTATGCCGATCGATCAGAGCTTGGACAATGAGAGCTAAGATACGCCCCCTTTTTTCCCCCTCTTCAAACAGTAGACACTCTTTGAGAAGACCACGATGGGACTCTGCCGTGAAAAGACTGCAATCTGCCTCTATCAGCAGTTGAACGGCCTCCACAGCTCCCAACGCTACTGACAGCTCGATTGGACGTCGCCCAATATGATCTTCCACATTGACGTCCGCACCAGCTATGATCAGAGTGCGCAGTGCTGTAGGCCAAGTCGCTGCAAAATGCATAGCACATATGCCGTTTACAGGGGATCTATGGTTAACGTCGCAACGGATCAAAGCTTGTTGTAGACTGGATTCAGATCGCCGTAGTATTGCTGATATCAACGCATTATACTCGCAAACTATATGGTAAACACATCACGTCAGCGGAAAAATTGCTCAGGTAACATCTCCTCCAAGCATGTCGATTCACTTACGCTCAAACTGTTCCGGAAACATATTTAGCTCGCCGAGCTCTCGTCGAAAATTCTCACAGTGATAGTAGTCATGCAGGGGTGCGTAGGAAATGAGATGGCGCGAAAACTCGCCGCCTCCAGACGCAATCTTGTCGCAGACCAAGGCAGCACTTGCTGGGCATCCGAAGTGCGTATTTGGAAAGGAAAGTTCGCCTGCGAAAATGTCCATGGCTGTCCCTCTTGCTGTTCCTTCTACATTGCTAGTGCGGATATCCGGGGATGAGCAGAACACGTTTGGATTGGAGCCCCTTTCCAGGAGGAACCATATCAAAGACAAGAACTCGACATTGTTGTTCCCTATTGGAGAAACACGTCTATCCGCAGGGGACCCAAACCAACGGTACAGTTCAAGAACGGCCTAATAACACAAGAGTTAATGTGATACTGTTTGCTAACACATGGGAGTTGGATCGGCATACATAAAGGATGGTTCTACCGGTCTCGTCTTTGTCCAAGGGTGAGCTGAGGCCACTGTCAAATAAGTCCCGCAGTGAACTCTCCATGGCCTTGACCATTCCGGGACCGTGACCAATACCATGGCCACCAGTATTTGGAGATCTTCGCAGAGCTCTATAATCTCTATCAAAGTTATTGAGCAGTTGGAAAGCGGGTGATGTATACTGGTCGACAAGTCGGCTAGCGCCGAAGACGACCGGTGCGATCGAAAAGTTTCCCTTAATGGCTGTCATCCGTATCTGCAAGCTGAGGTGAATTGTATGTGATAGCAGCCAACTCGGCGGGATGATTTTCATCGTGTACTCTAGGCTGTCATCGGATGTCTTCGACTTCGGACAGCTGGCAAAGTGTCGCCGGCGGAACACTCTTCGAAAGTGCAAAATAGAAAGAGGCTCGTATTGACTGCTGCGACTGAAAGACCTGCATGTGCATTCTAGGCGTGGTGAGGCAGTTGAGAAGAGGCGCATGCCCTCATCTGGGTCCAGATGGATTTGTCTGAACGTCTCACACATATTGCGGACACTGTCTCCTTCAAACCCGGCGGGGTTTCGTCGGTCGTTGGCGACGGCGCGGGCAATTGTGTCTGCAAGCTCAGGATTCACGCCCAGAAGGATGTTGAAGTTCGCAAGCTGTAACGACTATGATCAGTACGCTTTTGTTTTGGGGAGAGAATGCAACAAACCGAAGTCCCTAGAGTGCGCCATTCATCGGCTAAGCACCGCACATCAGCGCTTGTTTGGCGCGCCAAGGCTAGAGTTTCTGTCGTTTCTGCACTCATTTGGAGGGCTGTAGACCTTGTGACAACAGAGTTATCCTGAGTAATACTACTCCGCCTGCTTATCTTCTCTAGATGAGCCCGTATCTCTCCTTGTTCCGAGTTGTAGCAGGCTGTAGCAGTTCGTATAATTGCAGAATTGTTCTGAATTGCTTCGGAAAGCCTCGGTATATCGTCCAATTTAGCACTCACTTCCATTGACGCAGTATCGATTTTCCCAGACAGGGCCACATTCTGCTCGACACCCTTCGTTGTGATATTTTTGATTTGAACAGATAGGCCGCTAATAGCGCACAATCAGCAAAGGGGATATTTCAGGGTCCTCCAGTCGGTAGACCACTTTCGAAGGTCTTGGCTCACATGGCGGTATTCCCAAGCCAAGACGATAGCAGCCTCATTTTGGCCTCAAGCTGATCGCAGGCGGACTCGATATCCTTCTTCTTGTCAATTGCTCGTATGCCATTCCAGCTACGGCGCAGGATGTTATCGCCAGACTTGTTGGTGACAGACTCCAAGAGATTGAAAAGATGCTCCATCACTCGACGTTGATCCTCCAGGATTGACTTCAACAGAACCTCGGAGCTGTCATCTACAGCAACCGATGCCCCTAAGACCGAATTCTGGATGCTTGAGGCCACTTCGATCTGCTGTTTCAGGTGGTTCTGTAGGGCATTCACCTTTTGGGGCACATCGCGGACTTCGCTGCAGAAGGAGTGCAATCTGAGACAGAGACGCAAGCCAATATCCACAAATTGAACCACTGCAGCAGATACGCCTAACGCTTCAGCCATGTGTTGGGGGTGTTGGGGTTCTGGAATCGTTGGTATCTAGCAAGAAGTATCAAATGATGTGCTTCAAGTGAGGAGAGATGACTTGGACTTTCGCGGGGGCGTCATCCTCTTGTGAGTCAGGGGATACAAATGTGGCAGTGTAGGAACATGCGAAGGCTTGCCATGCAGCCACTCATGAATATTCTCTCCAATCATCGCGACTGTGAATCAGCACATCTAGGTATCTTGGTACATATGCGTCGGTAAGCGCCTCAAATTCAGAAGCTTCAATCCATCACATCACTTGAATAAAGAAGCTGATACTTCCCTTCATTCTGAGGAAAGCGGTGACCTACCTGTAGCCACAAATCACACGCTCCAGTACTTTAAATCGCTGCATAGCTTAATCATTCAGCTCTGATACACCTGATAGACGATCGACAGGATGCAAACACTAGAGCCGTCAGGCCGGCATAAAGAATGTGGCTGTACAGTGGAACACTGCATGCAGCTGCTTAGTCGTGGAGATGTGTAAAGAGCCTACTGGCCGAGCTGATGAGTAGTATGATGATATATTACGACAAGAGGCTCTATATCTAGAGGGCTATTTCAAAAGAACAGCTTGAGCTTCTTCTTGTTAGAAAGCATAACGATACATGTGTTTCCAAAAGACTTAGAATTTTCCGTTCGTCCGTCGATGCCTTTCCGTTCAACATCTGCCATCCTCCGCCATTGTTCCAACCGATCAACGAACCAAAGCTCTCACACCCTTCGTACTAACTTTTGGAAGCGGAATGAGGAAGTCGTGAATATGTTTGACATCGCTCTCGTCGGTTTCGTAAAGCTCCAGCTCCGGTCCGCCGGCTCGATAAAGAACAGCCAGAATGAGACTCATCTCAGCCATGGCCAAACTAAATGGTTCGTCTTATTAGCAAAGCTCTGTGCTGTTGTTACATCCCTGGAGCATCCCCTGGAGGAGAACTGGCACAGGATTCCTTGGTCTAAGACAGGATTGGAACTGACTTTTGGCCTAGACAGTTCCTAGATCCTCTGCAAAATGGAACGTAATTCCTGTGCATAGCCGGTTCGACTTTGCTTAGCCAACGCTCCGGATGAAACTCAGACGGGGACTCGTATACGCTCGCATCTGAGTGCATCAAGTAGGCCGACATCCCGACTGGAACCTGGACCGGGGTCAGTTTCAATGTTGGATGATAGAATGCAGTGAACCAAACGTACACCTGGCGGAATAGTGTAGTCTTTGTACTGAATAGCAGTATCCGGCGAAACCCGCGGCAGTCGATGCATCACGCCATAACTAAGTCTGCAACGAAATATTAGGAAGGTCACACCGTACGGGATGAATGCAAACTCACCGCAGCGACTCTTTGATAATAGCCTGCAGGTATGAAATCTTCTCGAGCTCCGCCCATGTAGGCACTCTCTGAGGCCAATCTGCCATTACCTCACGAAGCTCAACTTGGAGCCTCTCTCGCACATCACTTCGGGACAGAATGTAATATGAGGCAAATCCGATAGTCCTCGCGGTACTAGCTGAGCCCGCGCCCAAAAGTGTTTGCGCCTCTTTTGCAAGACGCTCTTCAGAGCGCTCTTCTACTGGCATCTCGTCATTCCGCAGGATTTGATGAAATAGCGAGAACCCCTCTTTGTCATGGCTGTCTTCTATGGCTCTGCGGATATGCTGTTTCGCTTTCTGATGGGTTCAAATCGTTAGATGGTCAATTTCGAAAACCACAAATTGAAAAGCACCGACGAAGAAGGTCACAAATGTTAGGGGGAGGTGGGGCATACATCATGAAAGACATTGAACATCTGGCCCTGCGGGAAAGCCCAGAGAAGGAAAGATTCTGGAACAGCAGTTACGATTCTGATATATCATTCAGTATACGCTTTCTTATTACGAACAGGAAATTACGCACCGTACAATCCAGGGAAATCCTGTGAACAGAGGGATTGATCGTACAATCGCGTGAATGACATCGTACCTAGTCGTCATAATTAGACCAGCTTTTCCGTCAAGAAGATTTGCCAAGTTGTAAAGTTACACTGAGACCTACCAGTCTGGAGCGAAGTTCTGATCATCCAAAAAAGAATTGAAATCCGATTCCGCACCATCCAAGCATATCCGGCTAATTATATCGCCAGAAAAAGCTAAAAAGGCATGGTCTAGTCGAATGACCGTATGCTGTCCCTTCAAAGCCCTCAGACGTTGTTCAAGATGCAAAGAAACCTCAACGAGCAAAGGTTGGAGCCGCGTGATACCCATACGAGAAAAGAAAGGCTCGAGGGGCTTTCTTCTCTTTCTATGAAGGTTGTGGTCGGTACTTAGGAAATGAGAACCTGTCCAACAAGATTAAATCAGCGTGGTGGGTAAAAATTGAACTTCGCGAGCTTAGTGCGTTCCATTCCCTTTCTTCTCTTTTCCACTCTTTCCTTGTTCAATTCCAGAGACACAACGGAAGGTTTCTTACCATCAAAATCGATGCCTTTGCAGAAGACATCATAGTTGTGCGTTCTTCTCCTGCTCTCCGTGACATAGATCTCGTTATAGAAGTTGGCATCGTGGATTGAGAGTTCTTCCGGGTTAACTCTGACGATCGGACCTGTTATGAGGAAATACTTAACCCAGGACTCTTTACCCACAACCAAGCATGACCTCCCAGTGGGGTGAGGCAGTCACATAACTTGCTTGCCAATCCGCTTTTGTTTTCTTTTCTTGAAAAAAGAAGATGAAAAAAAAGAGCAGAAAACAAAAGTCAACATCGTGAAAGTACTCCACTGACCATATTTTCTATGCATTTTTTCAATCTCGAAGATATACTTCCCTTGAAGCCACCAGTCGAAATAAAATTCGTACCAGCCGGTTGCGGCTGCAAATCTGGGGCCTGGGAACTTCGCGAGAGGCGAGAAGAAAAGTCTGTAAACGATAGTACCGGAAACATAAATGAAATAGATTAACAACACTACATGAATGGTGGTGGCCAAGTCAAAGCCAACGGCGAGTGACACAGTCATCTTGATCGGAGATTTCTGGGTCGCTTGAAGAGAGCCTTGATCCTCAGAGGGCAAATGAGATGCAAAATACCGATTGCAAGAAAGTTGGTCAACCAGTCATAGCAGATTCAGTTCTCTGAGTTCTCCGAGGAGTCAAGTCAGCTTCAGATGATGGAATAGGTCTTTACAGTCGAAGACTCGTTACATCCGAGCCCTGACTGCACGCTGTGTGTGACTTCGATCTGGCCAGAGGGGTCTACCAAAATGCCGGCTCAGTCTTGGCAACTATTCACAGTAATACACGCGCAATCTTCTCCATTACTAATTAGGTAGTCATGCCGGTGAGCTGCATGAAAGGATTCTTGTAATCAATAGACTCGCTTGGCGTGAATGACGGCCCAGGAATTCGACGAAATGCCAGGTTGTAGAATAAAAGGTTCCTCAGCTCTATAGAACTCTGAACATCGTATCGCGTCCGAATATATATGCCTTTTCTACAACAAGCATGCACACAATGCTGTCCGGGTTACCTAATATGAAATTGGTCAGGATATGATAGATTAATGGACGGTACTTTACGCTTCATTTGATTCAGCAACTGTGAGACTAGCCGCGGTCTTCCGGTACCAGTGCCTAAATGTATGACCACCCACTGGGGCTGTGGACATGCTTAGAACAATGGGGTCCATGCTCTACGGTATGGCCAGTCAGCGTGTCAGTCCTGCTGTAAGATGTTTCATCCCTGCCAGTCTCACCTATACCCATGCTCTCTTACTTGGTTCATTGGCGATCCGCAAGCACCAAAGGATATTTAGACTCGGCAATAAATGCTAAAACAGAGGCTAGAACGACGCAGCTAAGATAATCTGGTTTTGACAACTCAATAGGTGTATTGCGGCTCGGTAAAGCTGGCATGATTTCAGGCATTTCGCCATTCTGTGATTACTCAAAGTCCTCGCATTACGTCGTAGGATTTTTTCTCTTTCCTTACTAGGGCTGGTGGAACCGTCTCTCTCACCCTGTTGTTCCAAGGTAAGATTAGTCCTGGCGCGAAGGAACAAGTGCACGATGCCCGTAGCCAATCGACTGGCGCTCCCGCGCGGTCTACTTCCAGTGTGGACCCCTTGTACTCTGTCTCTAGGCATCTATAGTAAGATGGCGTTGTGGATATTGTGTCCTAGCTCTAATGTGTTGTTCAGCATGAAGCACATTTGCTCTTACATTGTTATCAATGTAACACGAACGAAGACCGATCGGTTGCAACGGGCTTTGGGCCCTTGCACCACGCTACTCCTCTTCGGAGTCCGAGCATGTAGTTCCAGGAGCAAGCAGCCGCAGATAAGAGGCAGACTTCGAACTGTACAGGTATGTCTGGCGAGTAGACCCTCTTAGCATGGACTGAACGGCTGAAAATTTTGGTGCAAATAAACGCGCGAGGTGAGCTTTCGTGTTGTCTTCTTTATAATTATAAACACCATCATGGATTTCATATATTCCCAAGAGATCAGTGGTCATTTATACCAGACAGATGGACTGGACAGCGGTATCCCTCTTCGAATACACAAGGATGATGTAAGTGAGATTCGCGGAGCGTCTCGAGCTCAAAAGGACTGGAACGACTATGTCTCCCCTATCAAAGGCTATGAAGGAGGGCTTGGAGAGCCATACAGCTTCATTCGGGTGACTGTACCTGAGTGTCTCCCAGACAGACTAGAGACAATCTCGTATGCCAATGAATTCGCGTTTATTTACGACGGTTAGTGGAACATTTGCTTCCAATTTCTTTTTTCAAGTTTGACTAGTTGGAAATTAATAATTCGATAATCTTTTTAGACGCTATGGAGGATCTTGATTTGAAGAACTTGCATGAGCTCCCACTCAATATCTTAGATACCTTCGGAAGTGAAGTTCTCGATCGGGATGTCAAGCCGACAACGAGGCCGGAAAAAGTTTTGCAAGCACAAATTCTCTCAGAAATGATATCGATTGACAAGGAGCGAGCTATCATAGCTATGAAAGCCTGGGCTTCATTTGTTCAACTGGCTTCTCGGACTAGGACTGCTCCATTCGAGACCCTGGCGGATTATGTACCGGCTCGCGTGATTGATTCCGGAGAGTTGTGAGTGACCCAAAAATAAATACCATGCCTCGATTGGAACCGAACAAATTGAGCTCTAATGTCCCTCTCCAGATTCTGGTTTGGCACTCTCACATTCGGAATGGGCCTGACTATACCAGATGATGAGCTAGACATCTGTATGGAACTCGCTAGACCTGGGTACGCCGTCTTGGGTCTCACAAATGACCTCTATTCGTGGGAAAAGGAACGACGTGCTGCCAAGCGAGCAAATCAGGATTACGTTTTCAACGCTGTCTGGGTGATCATGCAAGAGCGTTCAGTCGACGAACAGAAAGCAAAGACGATCTGTGTAGAGGAAATACAAAAGTACGCCGCCGAGTATTGTCAAATTGTTGAGGATACAAAGGAGAACCTGGAACTTTCCAAAGATGTGCGGACCTACATCGAGGCAGTAAAATTCAGTTGCATTGGGAATCTGGTCTGGAGTATATACTGCCCGAGATACCGCAAGTTTTGAACGGTAATCGGCGTTATGGACAGAGTCCAACAATTTCCTTTCAAACGTCGACTCAGTGTATTGCATATCCAGGTGTGGTCTGGTTACGTAGCAAGAATTTACTGCTTTTGACCCAAACGGGGCAACCAGAACGTGAACTTTTGGAGTCAAATACGTGTTAACTTCGTCATGAAGTCTTCCAGTTCAGATGAGATATTTAGGTAGGTGGTGAACAAGGCTTTGACAAAACATGCGCTTGGGCTAGAATAATGACATGCAACGTCTAAGGCTCATAATTTGTGCATCAGCCCGGTCCGCCTTGTCAATATTCCCTCCATTGACAAACCCCCTCTACCCTATCATTAGACGCGGGATGTTACTCCAATGAGCGGCTTCCTCGGGAGCCTCACTCTATCGATAGAATACTTGGCGTTCTCAGAAGCCGCTCGCATAAACGCTATTAGTCTTGTAGTCTTCCCTCTTACATCTCAATCGCTACGCCAGACCAAGATCGTCTTTGCGAAGTCAAGACTTGCTATTAATCCCACTATAACGTGATACTAGCTTTCACTCTTCCTAGTGGCTTCATGACGAAAAAGGATCATCGGCGAAACTTCACGAACATTTTGGTCAGTAAACAAATGAGCTTCAATGACCATGAGACGGCTTACAATGTGTTGCCGAAGCCATCGTCGCAGACCAAGCGGCCTTGAACGGGGCTGCATTCAGCGCCATCGAGGACGACTCTTCCTCCGCTGTTATCCTTGGCTGGAACGGATTGCGGCGTAGGGGCTCCCATCGCGACAGAGGCGATGCTGGTGAGAATCAAGAATGTGTCTTGGAATTTCATCGTGGTTGACGAAGACGTGACGCGAAATTTGACGATTAAGAGATACGTAGAAAAAGAAGTCGTTGAGATGAATCTTGCACAGCAAAGATGTTCGCGAAAGTAAGCTCTGAGGAGAGCGAATCAAATGGTGCTTTGGAAATGACGAGCTTCTTATACATAGTCGAGTTTGGAGATGCTATTCCCTTTATGTTCTTTCCTTAAAGGGGTGCGAACCTTGTTCCTCTTCGGTCGACATGAGACGAGGTCCAGAGGCAGGTGAAACAGGCACCCCGGCCCCACACTTCAGCCTCCCTGCTGTCGTCTCAGGTCCCTTCCACGATCCACTGCACCATCCGTTCAAGAAGTAAGTAGAAACAGATTTAAGTGCTCAACTTTGTCAGTCGAGCCAAGACTTGCACATAACCTCGAACACACTTACCATGGTACGGTCAATGGAGCCTTTCCCGACTTCCCCTATCGCTTTTGCTTTTCTAAATTGCATGTAAGACTGAATCACCAGAAGTTTGGCCCATGCACTATCTACGTCGGGGAAAAAAGGGGATCACTGGAGATTATTTTTGTAAATTTGTATGTCAGAATATCGTTCTTGGAAGATAACTGTAACACTTGGCTTGCCCCTACCATGCGGTCGATTGTCTTCTCAACACCACTCCCTGGATCTCGTGAAAAATGCTTGGCACAGCTAGCCCCCACGCAAGCTTACTGTGCAAAGCACATACCTGCCCATAATTATAGAGCGTGGGCGACGCATGGCTTGCCCCGGCGGTTGATCGCCTGCAGTCATCATTGGCAACTAGTCATTAAAACCTCAACAAGATCGGGTCAGTGACCCTTCTGGAACGGAACCTGTCAAAGCCGACTTACGACATTCGATCGGACTTATATTGAAAAAAGGGGCTGTATGGCGAATATTGGAACCACATCAGAGGCGAGCGTGTAATGGGTGGGCCGACAGAAGATCCATCATATCTTTGTTTACTAAGAAGTACACACTATCTAATCTCGTATCACATGTAAACGGCAGGCGTAGATCGCAATCACGAATAAATCACTTGCAGCGCAAAGATGCCTCTCATTAAACAGTAGTCGCTAAAAAAAAAACAAGCAAGTCGTTCTGCCCCCTAGATTTCCTTAGACTCGCGAGCCCTCCAACAAACCAGCTCTGGCTTCCATGCATCGGGTCCCAAACGAAATTTCCGCCTAGTACAGTCGTGTGCGACCACCCCGTACTAGTCATGCTTTGCGTGTGCCGCACACGATCCTGCCACGAGTTTAATCTGCTCACTGGATGTCTTCTGCCCTGCGCAGCCCGAGGCAGGTCGTCCATTGATGCCACACGGATGCTTCTCATATTTCTGTACCAGTTTGCCCATGACCATATGCTGCACCATACAGCCGCAGTCGCTGTACTTCAAGGCGTATTCGATGCACATCGTTGTCGCCTTCCGGGAATTGACTGATTCTTGGTTGCTGTCGCTTCAGAGTAGGCTAATGAGGTTTGCAGGCCGTTTTATTTGGTGTTTCTGCCCTTCTGCATGTCTGATGGGCTTAAGGTGGCTTTCACGGTCTTCTTCTTGTTCGGCTTATTAATTGTATTGTTTTGTTGCGATCGATGGGAGTTGTATTATTCCAGAGATGCGATAAATCCTAGGAAGAACAGACAAAGCAGAAATAATGTGTCTCTTTTCCCCCTATTTATACCCGTTCTGGAGTTCATGTTTCCACATCATGTTCAAGCTCACTCGCAACAGCTCGTCACTGAAATCAGCAGTGAGTAGTGACTTCTGATGGTCATATTTCGTAAATATGTCCGGAAGCAGCCAGCCGTGACCAGAAAGACTGGCGCAAGACGCGGCCCGATATTGCTGTCAGTCACTGCTTGCATGATCCGTGTCGGAGTTTGGTTGACTCTTCTATACTGAGTGAGTTTCCGACCGAACTACCCATGACGACAGCATGAATCACTCCCCTGTGCGGCAGTATCAGCTCTCCTACGGGAAACCGATGAAGAACAAGCCGTGGTTGAGGTATGCCGTGTGACCTCGGGGAAAAGAATGATACCACAGTAGTGCCTTATCATTTGCTGCAACGCCTGTGATCAATCCATAAAGGCAGGTTTCGTATGATTTTGTAGGCGGTGATTGAGCAGTGGCAATCCATACGGTCGACATGGAAAGAAATCCTGCCGTGACCATTCGCTCGCCACATTGCCGTTCTTTACTGGTCAGCGAGATGCAGTCATTATTCGCGAGGTCGCATGATTTGAGGCGATTAATCGAACAGATTTACTTAGATCTGAGACCCTTGATGTGAGACCCTTCCCCAAGGATAGTAACAGAATCTTTGACGTTGACATTCTCCTAAGACGGTAAATGACACTATACGCGTGTCTGGCTGTGTTCTCACGCGTCTTGCTGCCGGTTGTCGGCGCGGACGTCGTTGCTTGGCAGGCTGGTCCCCGAGCTTTTCTAGACATTTCCAGTCGTCGCGGTTACAGTTAGTGGAGCAGGGTTCCAGGATTCCATGCATCATACCTCTATCATCTCGATTGTGCAGCCCACCCTCCATTACAGAAACTTAAAATGGCCCAAGGGCATATGAGAAGCCTCACCGTCGAGTTCTCCTTTCTTCGAAATGTGACATCGTCCATCTTCCAATTGAACCTGCGTCAGGTCGTTGCGGAGTGGTGCTGTACTGCGCATACTTATCGTCCCCTTGAGAGATACCCGAGGCTTTAAGCGCATGCTGGCGGCCTCTACCAGCCCCGAATGCAAGTGATATGCCGGATTTCTTAATTTGACTGAATTGCACAAGACATTCAGGGCGACATCTGTTTCATCGTGTTACGCTTATTTTCTACGAGTTGATCACCGGAAATCATGTCTCTAGCTCAACGCCGAACGGCGCCGGAAGGCATCGACACAGTACTTGAAGACCATGACTTTGAGAATGGCAACTATCAAACCTCTCGCGACGATGATGACCGCGCAGATTCAGATGGTACTCAACATGCCGCTTTATCGATCCCCAAAAACGATGAAATATGGCGAACTATCAGCTACGACCCGTTCGCGCAAAAGCCGCTTCAGCATTATGAATCGTTCCCGCCCGAGATCGCGGAGAACAGGGCGGCGTACGAGGTTGCCATAACGAAGAGAGTGGGTAAGTCATAGAGTATTCACAACCATGTTACAAGAGCCTTTCTCTCAGGCCTAGAATTGACGCCATGTGACAGCCCAGGTCGCCCTTGCTGTGCTTTGTTGTGTCCTGGCATCAGGAATAGTCTGTGGTTTTGCAGCTCTCAAACCAATTCTCATTGCTGAAGGGGTCTACCGCTCTCTCTGCCCGACAGACTGGTCACCTCCAACGGGGAAGGAGAGCCAGCTGCCCTGCCCGGAGCAAGACATGCGCCTGAATTTGATGTTCATTCTGGCGTCCATCACATTGAACATTAGTAACATGCTGGGCGGTTGGGTACTAGACAATTACGGGCGGCGCATGTGCTACATCCTCGCGGCGGCGATTCTCTTCCTCGGTAGCGGATGCATGGCCCTGGCCTTCCAGCTGGGCGAGGAGCTAGGCCATTTCGATGGATATATCGTCGGGAACCTTCTCCTCGGCCTGGGCGGGACATTCCTCTTCGTCAGCTCCTATCAGCTCTCCCACGCTTTCCCCCGGCACTCAGGCCTGATCGTGGCGCTGGTGACGGGTGCTTTTGACGCGAGCGCGGCAGTCTACCTCTTCTACCGGCTCGCCTACGAGGCTACCGACCACGCCTTCAAGCCAGCGTACTTCTTCGCCGCCTTCGCGGTGTTCATCCCGCTCCTGATCCTCTCGGCCGAGCTCACCATCATGCCAAAGACAAGCTACGTCACCCGCAGCGAGTACCAAGCCGCCATCGACCGCGCACAGGACGAAACCCGCGACATCCACGACAGCGACGACGAGGTATACGCAGGCCGGCCGCGGGAGCTGAAGCAGGCGCGGAATCGGCGCGCTGCGAAGCGCGAGGCGCAGCTTGAGGCGATCGAGACGGTCACGGGCGACGAGGACGAGCGCGAGGCGGACCGCGCTGCCGCGCGCGGGCGGCAGGAGACTTCGGGCGTGTACGGCGCTGAGGTGCACGACTTGCCGTTCGCGCGGCAGGTTCTGACGCCGTGGTTCTGGCTGATCCTGATCCTGACGGTGCTGCAGATGATGCGCATGAACTACTTCATCGCCACCGTGCGCGCGCAGTACCGGTATATGCTTGGCGGGGAGGATCTTGCCGAGAAAGTGAACTCCTTCTTTGACGTCGCGTTGCCCGTGGCAGGCGTCATCACCACGCCATTTATTGGGATTCTGCTTAACGAGGTGCCTGTATGGGGGACGCTGAGCGTGTTGACTGTGCTTATTGTGGTGTTGGGCGGGCTCAATGTCATCCCGGCCCTATGGGCGGGATACGCCACCGTTGTTGCGTTTGTGATATTCCGCCCGCTATATTACTCGGCTGTCTCGTGAGTTTCAACCCGTTCCTTTCTGTCCGAGCCCTAGAGGCACAAGACTGATGTTTTCTGTTTGATATAGCGACTACGCAACAAAAGTCTTCGGTTTCTCAACCTTCGGTCGTATATACGGCAGCATCACTGCCATCTCAGGCGTGGGACAATTCATTCAACCGGCACTGGACGCACTCACCCACGGGCCCCTGCACGATAATCCTGTGCCTATCAACCTCGTCTTCGCGATGGCCGGGAGCGTGATCAGCGCGGCCCTGACTTTCTTCGTGTACGTCAAGACGAGAGAAAGTGGCGGTGGGAAGAGTTTGAGGTTTGGAGAAGACCTGGCGGATGAGGAGCGTCGGGCTTTGTTGCACGATGGGGGTCGGATAGAGGCATATGGGAGTGCTCTGAGGCAAGAGCCGCGGTAAGATAAAATGCTGGGTGTCGAGGGAAGGGTACTTTCTATGATTTGGCTGAAAAGCAGACAAAATGGGGCTTGAAGAGTTGCGACGCTAGAAAGCGTTTGTATTTGGGAGTAACAGGCGACAAGCGTGAGATTCAACGAAGATGGCAGACAAGATGGTGGACGACTTTTCCGTCCAGAATAGATCAGTGAGGAGCGATACGTTTCTATTTGATATAGATGGCAATGAAGTGGCGTTTATCTCATTGATATCAACAAAATGATATACTCTACACCTCAAAGTAGTCACTCTATGCTGAACAGTGACAGGCGCATGAAGACATTTTGCAAATTCCACCACCCGGAAGCTTTGCAGAATTTGCGCAAAGCATATTGTAAGAAACCAGCATCAGTCAAGTAACAAAGACCAAATTTATGTGAGTGGCAAGGGCAACGATGTAGTGAGAGGCGAAGGCAAACGCTAATTAGTTTATTCATTCCATGTACACTATTTTCAGTGCTGATGCATTGCATTCGTTATCCAAGTTCAGTAAGATAAAAATGTTTTTCTTTTTTCTTTCCAAATCCCCAGCCCAAAACGCCACTGGCAATGCAGACAGTAGGATCAACTCCCGGTAATAAGCGTAAGGAGTCAACGTAGATTTCAACGAAGCATATATGACAAGTCAGGCAAAGCGTCCACAATGCTTCTAACAGCACGATTCTCCTCATCATCCTGAGCGAAGCTGACACTCTTTGCAGGGGGATTAATAGTAGCAGACGGTATCGTTGGGCTCATTGGTTTCGGTGAGGAGGCCTTCGGGGTTATGGGGGTTATGACTTGTTGTAACGGAGAGGGTCGACCCAAGCTGAGTGATGGTCGATTGGAGTGTTTGGGGGACGGCGGTTTAGAGAGTTGAAATGTCGCAGGCGAAATTGGCCTGATGGGCTCCAGGGCTGGTTGCGAACCAATGGATGACTTTGGTGTGTGCTTTGACTGGGTTGAAACAGGAGGTGTGGGCGGTGGAGGGAGCTGGAATGATGCTTGTGATGAAGTCCTCGAAGACAAATTTGGGCCAGATGGTGTAGACGGCGTAGGCAGTTGAAAGGCTGACGTTGGCGATGCTGTCCTCGAGGGCCCGCTCAAAGCGGGTGACTGTAGCGGCGTGTCAAAGTCGAACTCTGGCTTAGAAGTTGTGGCTGGAGGGATGGCGGGCACAACTGGAGAGACAGGTGCAAAGGATGGAGCTAGAGTCGTGTCGAAAGCTGAGAAGTCCCAAATTGCAGCCGAGGATGCGGGTGGCTGTTGTTCCGCCTTTGGAGTGGCCCTGTCATGTTCAAGTTTCGAGGCAACGGCAGTAAGTGTTGCACCAGTGTCGGTGGAGGGCGCCGGTGACGGGTCGTTTGCGGAGAGCTCAGCTATGGAGCCATTCACGCCAGTGTCAAAAAGCCCGCTGGCAGGCCGACTGCTTTCCATTGGGGAGGCTACCATTTCCCCCCATTCCTCTTCGTTCTCGTCCTCCACCAAAGCGTTTGAGCTCACTGATGGCGCTGAAGGCGGCGGGGCCAGCTGCAGAGAATGCCTGCTCTCTGGCTCTTGGATGCCGGCAGTAACACCAGTGCTGCTACCAAATCTTGACGACGGGACGTCAAGGGACTGCCTAACAGCCCGGCTGGGCGGGCGTGAGGAGGCAGGAGTGGCAGATCCATCGGTCATTGTACTCCAGCCAAAGGCAGGACTCTTGGGTGGGCCCGGAATACTCAAGGGTGACGGAGATGGTAGGCTGATCACGCCCGGAGACCGAGGGGGTAGACTCTTGACGTCGGCGGACAAATTGCGAGAGTGAGCCGCAGCTGACTTCGGCTGCAAGGATAGGGGGCGAGGCACCGGAGCGGGCGCGGCCTTTGGAGGCTGGGCACTCTTCCTCTTGCCAAAGATCTGATCCATGGAGAGTGGTTCTGCCTTCGTATCCCAATTGAACGCTCCGCCTTTAACAGAGGTACTGCCACCGAACGACGGATGACCTCCAGAGTACGAACCTTCCTCCATCCATCGGCGCACGATCTTGTTGGTCTCTTCCCGCACCCTTGAAATTGGCCAAGTCACACGGCGGTAATTGTCATCGTCTCCCAGGTCGTGCCTACGCATGGAGCCAGGCCGAGAAATGCGGTACCAGGTCTTGCGCTCTGAGACGGACGAGAAACTGTCGTTGATGATCCCCTCAACGGCGTCGAGACTGTAGTCCTTGGCGCTTGGCTGCTCCGCGTCGAGCTTCGCCACATCGTACAATTTGTCGATGCTCTCAAGGTCCGGAGTGAACCTGACTGGGCCAAACTTGGCGCGCAAATCTTGGAACACATTTGATCTCTCCTCGGGAATCGGCGCCGGGGCTAACGACTTCGTGATACTTGGAGCTCGTAATGACGCTTTCGAGGCAGATCTTGCGCGACCAGCTCTGGAGCTACCCGGACGAGGAGATCCACCGACGGAAGGTTTCCTTGATGGTGGGGCGGAATCAGGGCTTTCCGCGTCTTCGAAATCCCCGAAATCGCTAAGATCCTCCGTCCTTGCACTGCGAATACTCGCCGCACCCCGACTGGTGCTGCGTTGTCTGCCACCAGCCGCGCTAGGTACGGAGAGTGCGTTTTCGTTCGGCTTGACCATTCCGTCGTACATATGAACCAGCTCCTGGACCTTGGCTGATGCTCTCCGTGGTATTTGAGGACGATCCTTTGCATCCTCGTCCATAGAAGTGATCGGGGAGTCCGGCCGGTCTTCATGGTGGCTATCAGCTGACATTGATGATTGCCGAGAGCCACTGAGCGATCTGGTATTTGTCCCGTCTCCATCTTCTCTATTGGCCACTTCTTCGCGTGTAGTTGTGACTGGGTCCACGTCTTCGACCCGAGTCTTGTCTGAGGGTTGCGGAGTCTCGCGGTCCTGCGTTTTTTCGGCTTCTGTTGGAGCATCGGCAGGTCTCTGGTCTTCCTTGAGTTTCGCCAGATCCTCTTCATTCTCCTCCTCGTGTCTGTCAAGTGTGGAGAACGCAGCCTGCTCGGCCGAGACCAGGGCCGGGGTTGGGAGACTCAATCGATTCTCCGAAAACTCGACAGCCCAAGGATCGGGGGAGGGCTGGCGGAACAGAGAGCGAGAACTGCTCCTGCGCGATATCGTCTTGGACGGAGGAAGGCCTGGAGACGCGGCGGCGGGCCATGATGGACTGTGCATGCCGAGACTGCCCTCTCGTGCCCTAGGGGTGGGTGTCAATTGTGTCTGGCTCGAGTTTAGAGTATTTTCACCGCCCCATCCTGCCCAGATCGAACTTGACGTAGCCGCAGGCGTGGGCAACGCCAGACCAGAGCCTGCAGCTGCCCAGTCATCCAAGCCATCCTCGTCAGCGGCCCATGGCGATGCTGTAGAGAAGGACCGTTGCCTGGTGAGGGTGCGGCTAGGGAGTTCGAGGGTGGAACGAGGAATGGTCGGCTCAAGGGTTGTATTGGTATCGTTGGTCGCCCACGGCGAGCCCCATGGATCTTCCATGCTTTCGAGGACTCTTTCTCATGTTGCTGAAGCCTATAAATCGATCATTGGCGATCTGTAGGTGAACCTCTGGCAGATTTGAACCTCGTCCTGCCGGGGTTCCCGAATCGAGCTGTTGATCGCAACCTCGCGGAGAGCGCCAGTACAGTGGGTTCTGGGGTCGACAATTGCAGGTGGTCCAGGTGAGCAACTTTCTAACAAGCTCTTTCTTATGCCTCACTAAGCAAATTTTGGAAGCAGAAGTATCCAAACCCGTGGTGATGAGGTTGTTGGTGGCTAGCAGGGTGGTGTTTCGATTGTTGATGCAGATTTGAGGTTTGGAGCAAGGCCAAGACTTGGGTCTGGACGGTCTACCTTCCCGAGGTCGCGTCAGTGGGGAAAGTTAAAGTCCGCAGACAGCATGTACCTAGACAACGCAGGCACCAGGGTCCGAGCACCTAGCATGTGTTTAGTCTAGGCACTGGGTGAATATTTGAAGGAAGTAAGTAAGTCATATACCCTGAAGGAGGCTGTGACAGCGGTCCAAGCCGCGATGGCTTGGAGGATCTCTGTTATGGACAATTGGCATTTTTAAAACAGAGATGGCTTTCTCTGTCCATGCTGTAGACCGATGCGAATGGGCCATCCACCGCAAGTCTGGCCAAGTCCTGACGTGACACCGACGGTGGGGATCAGGAGCATCAGGGGCAAAAAGTATATCTACGCAGCGCGGATTGAGTCGTCTGCGCTGGGGAAAGTATCCCTACCTCGCCCATGCACTGCGCGTACCTTAGCGTGGACCGTGGTGCAGGTTCAAGGAGAAGGAGAAACAAAGTAAGCAGAGCAGCAGCAGCAGCAGCAGCACATGCTTATCTAAGGGCGGCTGCTTTATCAGCTGGCTGCCGAGATCGCTCCGACCAATTTTGGTCGATGACAAAATGCAGGCGCAGACTGTCGCATCTTTCACGACGAGATGGCGAGCACCGAACCCCTCTTGATCAGATTCCATTCCTCATTCCCTTGCTTACGACATTCAACTCACTGTGATCTTGCTGTGAGAACGTCCCATCGTCCGATCGAGCTGACCCGACCACTCGGGTGAGCATCTTCGGTTGCCCCTCGGCATTAGACCAACAGTAGGGCAACAGACATGTCGAGCGCAAACCTCTCCAAGGTCAAGCACATTGTGCTGGTGAGCGATGCACCTCCAAAATCAACATATTGCATCTTCAGATCTTGTCAGCTAAACACAGCATGTGATCCTGCAGGTCCTCTCGGGCAAAGGCGGGGTTGGCAAATCCTCGGTCACGACCCAGCTCGCCCTCTCCCTCTCATTAGCCGGTCACTCCGTAGGCGTTCTCGATATCGACCTAACCGGCCCCAATATCCCGCACATGTTCCGCGTCGAAGACAATGCACGAATAACACAAGGCCCAGGCGGCTGGGTACCGGTCAGCATACACGACGCCGACCCCTCTCGCAACCTTGGTGCCCTGCGAATAATGAGTTTGGGGTTTCTTGTCAAGCGCGGTGACTCGGTCGTATGGCGGGGGCCGAAGAAGACAGCCATGATCAAGCAGTTCCTCACCGATGTCTCCTGGGACGAGACGGACTACCTTCTCATCGACACCCCTCCTGGCACGAGCGATGAGCACATTTCCGCAGTTGAATATCTCCTCCAGCTGGCACGGCCTGACCAGCTAGCCGGAGCGGTGTTGGTGACCATGCCACAGGACATGTCCACTGCCATGGTGCGGAAAGAGCTGGACTTCTGTCGGAAGACGAATCTGAATGTTATCGGCATCGTGGAGAACATGTGTGGCTTCGTCTGCCCACACTGCTCGGAATGCACATACATTTTCAGCAAGGGCGGCGGCCAGGTCCTAGCCCAAGACTTTAGCACAGAATTCCTAGGGAGCGTTCCCATTGACCCGCAATTCACCAAACTCATTGTCTCAGGCAAAAGACCTTGGTATCCGGACGGCACAATTCTTGACGGACAGGACTTGTCAAGCGCTACAGAGGCGGTTCCTGCGTCAAAAGAGGGCACAGATGGCGATGACGATGATCTCCTGGCATTGAAATACCAGGACTGTGCATTAAGCTCAGTGTTCAAGACTATCACAGCCGGAGTGGTCAAGGCAGCAAGCGGCCCATGACGGTATGGGTGATAGAGAAGAAGACAAACCAATAATTACCTGGGATTTATCCAGGCCAGCACGAGATCCATCCGTCCAAACACTCTGTGAAACAAGGCGGTGCACGGCAACTAAAGTCAGATTGAGTGGATATGTGCTCAACAGACTCTTGCCGTAACGAGCCGCAGAGACGTCCTCTTTTAGTGTTGGATTGGATCAGCCTGGGCGGCGATTTGAGACTATCTCGAACTCATTGAAGGTAGCATCGAGCGCTGGCCTGTAAGAAGGCCACTATTTCGAATCAAATCCACGAATTAGGAGATAGGAAGACGGGTAAATTTGATAGGCACTGAGGACGAGACTCTGGTCAGTTGATACTGACAGCGCGCCAGCCAACTCTGTCTCCAAAACGAGCCACAGTAACTGAGATATAGTATGAATAATAGCTCGTGTTCAGACTTGCGTTTATCTTCTGATTCGTCTGAATTTTATGATGTTTTTCGAATTTCATCCCATCTTAAGTCTGATATCCACACACCTCATCACCCCTCCGTCTGCCCCTTGGTGTTCACCAGGGGGTCCCTATCACCTGTCAGCTCTCTGCCCATAGGGGTGTTAAGGTTGTGGCGGTGGACCAGCAGCGCCGGTTATCATTGGACCCCCCTCCCTGGGGTAGGGTGGTGCCAACTACGTAACGATTGGGCTGCTAAGAACCATGACAGCCCAAGCCCAAGCACCCCACTATTGACGGGCGCAGGTCAGGAAAATTTCAAACAATATCTTGGACGTCGGCCGCACCCAACAACAACATCTTGAACTGGCAACGACACCAACGACTGGCCCTCCAACATCCACGGGCACAGCATTGCAGCATCACAGCATCACAGCACAGATTGATGCCCTACTAATTGCTCAAGCTCTGCAAACAACTGGCAAGAGCTTCACCAAACACCGATACTCCACCACAGGTGTCGGCGCAAACTGACCCACGGGGCACACGACACCAAGCAGCCCACCATTCCGTCGTCGCAGGTCTTCCTTCTCCCTCTTCCCGCACGACCTCCTTAACGTCCCATCCGTGAGACGTTCAGATATCCAATCGACTTATAGCTGGCTTCCGCCAGCACTTAAAGGCAACCACCGTCCTGTGGGCCTACCCTCTCAAACGGACGCCGCAAAGTCTGTTTGAGTTGGCAGTTAGTGTCCCGCGGAAGAAGCTCGTCTTCCTTCGACCTACCTACCTCGACTCTTGCCCACCCCTCCTCCTCCAGCCACCCCGACCGTTACAGCGCTCGCTGCTGTTGCTGCTGCTCTCCTGCAGAGAATAGACGGATATGGTCGATATTGAGGTCCCTAACAGCTTTGTCTTGTCGACATCGGAGGCTACTCCACATCTGACTATCAATCATGATGTCGCCGACGATCTAGACTCGAGCAATGCCTTTGAGGGCCCGGAGAAGTTGCTCGAGGTCTGGTTCGCTCCCAGTCCCTCAGCGCTTCCCTCTGGAGCCAAGGAAAATGGCCTGATGGTTGTTCCATCCCAGACTTGGAAGGAGATGCTTCAGCTCGTCCACTGCGAGGTTCTGTCGGTTGTCTCCTCCGAGCATATGGACGCCTATTTGCTGTCCGAGTCGAGCATGTTCGTCTTCCCCCACAAGCTTATCCTCAAGACTTGTGGCACTACCACCTTGCTCCTCGGACTTAGGCGGCTCTTGCGCATTGCGGCTGTTGAAGCTGGCTTTCCCTTCCACAACGTTGCCGACATCAAGGATGAGGCTGCCATGGCCTCGCCATACCGCGTCTTCTACAGCCGCAAGAACTTCCTCTTCCCGGACAAACAGCGCGGCCCCCATCGCAGCTGGAACGACGAGGTCAAGTTTCTCGACAACCTCTTTGATGGCGGCAGCGCCTATCTCGTTGGGAAGATGAATGGGGACCACTGGTACCTCTACATCACTACTCCTGACCCGCAGCTTACTCCACCACGCACTCCGACCAGCAGCAAGGAAAACAGCCCTACCCGTCCTGCCAAAATCCCCACGGGTATCATGTCTTCTTTCCCACAGATCCGAGGCGGGGAGGACAACCAGGATGAGACGCTGGAAATTCTCATGACCGACCTCGACCCTGAGAACGCCAAGCAGTTCTATCTATCGCATGCGAGTGCGGTCGCACGCGATCGGGTTCTGCAGGCTGAAGGGGCGAGGAAGGAAGCTTCGGACATTCCTGAAGGCGACGCGGCTCCTGGGGTCGAAGGGCTCGACAAGAACGACGAGACTTTCGATGTGTTCGCCAATGGTGTCAATGCTGATGCTGATCAAGACGCGCCTGCTGAACACACATCGGAGGGCCACGCCCTCGGAACGGTTGTCTCGCAGAATTGCGGCCTGTCCGAGGTGTACCCCACCTCCAAGTACCCGGACGCGCGCGTTGACGCTTACCTTTTCTCCCCGTGCGGGTTCTCTGCCAACGCCGTCATTCCAGCCCCGGTGCAGGCTGACGCCGAGGTCAACGACGACGTCAAGAAGACCGCGGGTGCCACGCACTACTTCACCGTCCACGTGACTCCCGAGCCGAACTGCAGCTTCGCCTCCTTCGAGACCAACGTCCCAGGGGGCCAGAACGGCCGCGAGACGGGCGAGGTCATCGAGCACGTTGTAAGCATCTTCAAGCCGGGCCGGTTCATCGTCACGCTGTTCGAGGCCAAGGGCGCCGGTGCGGTGCGGCCTCCCGATCCGTACGGCCTGCGTAAGACCCGCAGCGAGGCTATCCACGGGTACAGGCGCGTCGACCGCATTGTCCATCAATTCGATGATTATGACCTTGTCTTTGGGTTCTTCCAGAGGGATGACTGGATTGGATTTGGGGGTGCGAGGGTTGGCGAGGAGTCTCCTCGCTCATCGGTTTCCTTGGAGCTCTAGGAGAAATGCTCCAAGACGGTGCGGCGGTGATGGAAATGGCAATTTTTGGTGACGAGGCCTTTGATTTAATGATGGCTGTCGGTTTCCTATCGCAATAGCTTGGTACATTCAAGGTTAATGACTTACGATTCAATGTGTCCATCTGCTTGTGACGACAACGTTGATGTGCGCAAGTTTGTTGACCATGTAATCATGTCTCGACGAACACAATGCACCTTGCGAAGTGAACCGTCGCCTCGAGCATGCTATAAAATCGGCCAAGGGCAGCGGATCGTATGGCTTGAGGAATTGTATCACCGACGCGTGAGGTTATCAGTCGCCCTTTCTCCCAACACCGGGCGGCTAATAGAAGATCGATTGGCAATGCCTTTGCTTGTCAACTCGAGAGAAGTAGTACAAAGAGCGTCAGGGCTGGAATGATGATACTGCGTGGATTATACCTTGTGCCCGGATACGTATGTCGAAGCCCGCAGTGAAAATGCCTCAGAACTGAAGAATTCCCGCACTCACGCTTGCTTCTCTGACCAGGGTAGACCGATTCTTCCTCCCTTGGTTGATTCGGTGTCGATCTCCGTCTCATGTTCTCCTCGCCTTTTACAGCTTCCGCGCGTAACGCAGTCCTGATTGAACACGATCTCTTCGTTGCCGTGGGATGCTTTGTTGCGATTCCTCTCATGGCAGGATACAGATGGTGTTTAAACGGTCTTAATTTATCGCTGGTACGCTGTGTTAAGACATGCAACAAGTATTTGGAAAAGAAGCGACTGTACTATGGAAATAAAAGGGCGATCAACTCCGTTCGCCTAGGCCCACAGGTTCTATATATTACCACAACAAGGGCCGGCCGTTCACCGCGGCGACAACGATGAATTCCCCTCTCAAAGTTAGCTTTGACATGGACATACATGAGGGCGCCGGGTCAAACGATCGGTCCAATGATCAAGAGACCGTTGGCATGGAACGATCTATCCAATATGATTGCGCCATGTTCGGCCCTAGTACTCACGCCACAGCCCATGGAGGGAACATGTCAGTATTGTTAACAGTTCCACCGATATCTTGCACGAGTTTTCATCTCCGCTTGAAAGGAAATTCGTGATACCAGTCCTGGGGAAAATTATACATTCTGGATCGCTTGTTGCCAAACCATAGCCTCCTCGACAACTTCAAAAGCCAACACACCACTCTAGTCGCGCCAAAAGTAACTTGGTGGTGAACTGTAAGGTTATGTGGAGCTGGGGGATTCCTGACCAAAACTCTGTTTGTTTGATGGCTACCTAGCCAATGGTCAGGTGGCTCCGCTCTACTTAGGCACGTATCCTTTCACCTGTGGCCCTCGTCTTATATCCGACTGATCATACGTCTATCAACTTCGTATGGCCTTTGAAAGCATTTTCTTGTGGCAAACCAGAATATCACCAGTGCTGATCGGGCACAATTTCCTGCGGCTCTTAGTCGAGATATCTGGGCAATGATGCCTTGTGGACCCCCTTAAGGAGCCCCTTGACCCCCAGCTGTCTAACTAGATATCTACCCAGGTACGCTCACCGGCCAGACGTGGCCCATACGCCCTTGCTCTCAATTTCATAGATGTGCTCCACAGTGATGAAAGGGTTGCACATGGTCGTGTGCTCAACATGATCCTCAGGCTGACGATCAGCCCATACAGCAGCGAATACTACTGCTTCAGGCTGTCTACGCTAACAACTTCAGAGCGGAGCCAAGGCTTTGTATTGAATGTCGTGTCGAGGCTGCGAAACGCCACGATATCAAACCCCCACTCACAATAACTGTCGCAACCGCGTGCTCCTACGTTGAATGCCTATTGGTTCCTGATCAACCACGAACCGAGCTCTTGGGCCGAACTTGGCACCTCCCGCCCAGCTTCCGCCAGCTTCCGCCGAGGGCCTTGGCCGCTCGGCGGACGCTTAATGACCTGCGGTTCACCTGCAGGGCACTCCGGACGTGAGCGAATAGGCAAGGCTGTCTCATACTTTCGAACAGCCTGGGCTGGCTGAAGTGGCTTTGTCCTTCTCGAGTTTTTCTAGTGTATGCTGTTAGCCCACAACTTCCAAGGAACCAGAACCATTCTCGAATTCCCAAGACCCGGAAAGGCAAAATCAATACGCACATGCAAAATGTAACCCAGTTCATTGGCCCATGCTGGGTCCTTGCATCCCGCGTGAGAGCAATTAATCACACTGCTGTCTGCCATTGTGTGACGATATATAGACTCGTGGTCTTTCTCCTGCATGGCAATTTGCGTAGTAACAGCAGCATTGGGGTAGGTACGCAAGAGTGTGAACTCCTGTCAGGTGTCTATTAGGAAATTCCACCGAACAAAATGGCTCCTGCACTTCCTCAATTTGACTATCTCTTCGCTATCGGCACCATTTTCGCGTTCCTCGATGCATGGAATATTGGTATGCTATCTCTTATCCCTAGAAGCTAACTCTTGGTGGTGTTTCCCTCTTTCTGTCTTTTTGGTTTCTTTTTCTTTTTCATTTCTACTCCATCTGAAGAGTCTGTAGCTAAAAGATTGACCTAGGTGCCAATGATGTCGCCAACTCTTTCGCGACATCAGTCGCATCACGATCCCTGACATTGAAGCAAGCCATGGTCATCGCCTCGTGCATGGAATTTGCTGGTGCTATGGCTGTCGGCGCTCAGGTCACGGAAACTATCCGTACCAAGGTCATTTCTACGAAGCTTTTCGAATCCGACCCGTCTGTACTCATGCTCGGCATGGTCTGCGCGATTGTTGGATCATCGGTTTGGCTCACAATTGCGACTCGCTTTACCATGCCTGTGTCGACTACTCACTCCATTATGGGAGGTGTCATCGGTGTGGGTATTGCTGCGATCGGGGCCGAGGGTGTCAACTGGTCATGGAATGGTGTATCGCAAGTCTTCGCTGCATGGGCAATCGCGCCTGGGATTTCTGGGATCTTCGCTTCCATCATCTTCTTGGCCACCAAATACGGAGTCATGCGCAGGAAAAACCCGGTCAAGATGGCATTCATTGCCGTTCCTTTTTACTTCTTCCTCACATCGGCCCTCCTAACCATGCTTATCGTGTGGAAAGGTGGCTCCGCAAGAATTGATCTTGAGGACAGGGAGCTCCCGGGTCCCATCCTTGGTGTGGGTGCTGGTGTTGCACTCATCATCACCGTATTCTTCATTCCTTACCTCTACCGAAAGATTCTCAAGGATGACTGGCAGCTCAAGGGGTGGCAAGTAATCCAAGGTCCCCTCCTGCTTAGACGCCCTGATCCACCAGCTCGCCCTGAGGGCGTTCAAGAGGGCGGCATCCGAGACTATTACGAGGGACACTTAACCAAAGATGAGCTTGACGCCAGGAGAGCTGCCGTGGGACACTCCAATGATATTGAGAGGCACCCAGTAGGAGGTGACACAGAGAAGGCTAGCTCTTCTTCGGACATCGTACCTGGCCCACGAGCCGACGAGAGGCCGACCCTGAAGGACAAGCCGGTTGATCCCAAGCTGGCAGTCCCAGCTGGGCCCTGGTATTCACCAGCGGTTGCTTTCTTCTGGGTCAAGTACTGGTTCTGGCACGGTGTTGACCAGGAGGTCGTAGCGGCTCAGGGCAAGCAGGACTTTCTTTCGGGTGATATTGAAGCCATCCACGCAACAGGAGAGCACTTCAACAACGAAGGTAGGCGCGCCACTTGTACATATTATCATTCATTTCTGAAACATATACTAATACGTCCCAGCGGAATACACCTACTCATTCCTCCAAGTTCTTACCGCCTCCACGGCCTCCTTCGCACACGGCGCCAACGATGTCTCCAACGCCATTGGTCCCTACACGACAATCTACTTCATCTGGCAATCGGGTCAGATCAGCTCCAAGGTGCCCGTCCCAACCTGGATTCTCGCTTTCGGTGGTGCAGGTATCGTCGTCGGTCTCTGGACGTACGGTTACAACATCATGCGCGCACTCGGTAATAAGATCACTCTGCATTCGCCGTCGCGTGGCTTTTCAATGGAACTCGGCGCCGCCGTTACAATAATCATGGCCACCAAGCTCAAGTTGCCTGTCTCGACAACTCAATGCATCTGCGGTGCAACTGTCGGCGTTGGCTTTTGCAATGGGACGTGGAGGAGCATCAACTGGCGCATGGTTGCTTGGATCTATATGGGTTGGTTCATCACGCTTCCCTGTGCTGGTTTGATCTCTGGCCTGCTCATGAGTATCGTTCTGAATGCCCCTCGCTGGGGGACCGGAATCTAGGCCCTCCGGCTCTAAGTCGTCGAGTTTCCAAATGAAGGGGGGTAGGCTTTTGTACTTTTAAGGATGAGCGGAGATCAAAGTTGCAATAGACAAAGCATCTGAGTGACCGCGAGTATTAGCAACAAAGGCGGTCCCTTCCTTGCCAAACCGCTTAGATTAACAATATTTACTCTTATAGTTGTTCTTCATGTTGCATTCCTGTTGATCAACAGCTTGATTTGACCGTTACGGTATGTCAAGACAATACTGTATTGTGACTTTCTGTCTTGACTGCCGTTTGCGAAAGATTATTTGAATTTTGAGGTGCGATGACTTGGCCATGACTCTTATAACGTTATAATGTTTTTCTTCTTTAGTGTGAAGGTAATCAAGTGCAAGTCTTCGTTAATCTTTAAAAGCTTTTCACAAAACTTGTTCAAGTTAAATATTTTCAATATAAGCTTGAAGTCATAAAGTTTCAAAAGTCAAACTCATCGGAATCGATGCACGTGCCTCCCTTCGCAAATTCGTAGTTACTGCGACAAGTAAACACCATCTTGCGCTCCCATCGATCCCTATAAACATTGTGCTCTGGAATGCAGTTTTCGTACTGTAAACGACGGCAGTTGGTCCTGTCCAACAAAATTGGGAGAGGACACTCGAAAGATAAACTTTCCGGGTCTGATTCCAGGAAGCACAAGAGCTTCGATAACTGATCCTCTGTCAGAGCGCATACGCGACTGGTCGCGCCTTTTCTGAAGGGGTGCAGCCATACGTCCTTGCACTGTAGTTGTCATTGAAAGCTTTGGTCAGCTATCCCTGCAGAGAAGCACAGAACTCCGTGGCGCTCGGAAAGCTAAACTCACCTCAATTCCACTCTCACCCCGGCTAAAGACGATGACACCGCCAAAAATGGAGTTCTCGGCCCAGTATCCGGTGACATCGGCAACGCCCTCCGGGTACTGCTCTGGGTCGGCATAGGCATACAGGCAGAACGGCGTCGGGTGGTAGTGACGACCAGGCCCAGTTGGGGCGAAGCAGAGACGGTTTTCTTCAACCGGGAGTCCCGTCTCCTTGTGAAAGCTCCCCTGTTTGTAGATGAGGACGGCAATCCGGTGGATGGCGACAGCAACTAATTCGATAAAAGGTAGCTTCGACGCCCGTGAGCCAGCTGGTATGCCTTGGTATCTTTCCAGAACTTGGACGGGTATATCAAGACTGAGAGGGTCGAAGTTGTCGCGAAAAGCCCTTGTTCTATCTAGCATGCCTGGACAGAGCGTTCTATGCTCTATAACAGCGCTGTGCCACCGTAATCCTGCCGTAGAGATGGCAACGCTTCTCAGAGGTAATCCGTCTACCAGCTGCGCAAACGTGGTCTCTGCAACTTCCGAGCAAAGGATATTGCGGATGGCACGACAGAAACGTGTCTGATGTGGCTGGTCCAAAATGTCGTCGGTGCGCGACTTTTCGATAAATGCAGGTGGTGGAACGGTTATGTATTCGCAATCTGAGTCTGATTCCCAGTCGCAGTCAGGGGTTGATCTCGACTGAGGCAAAGACATATTGGAATCTTAGCAATTAGTACTTGTTGCACGTCTGTGGTAAATGAACATGATATGGCTTTTTGAGACGAAAAGTCGGAAGACTCTTGATGATGTTAGTGGACTCTAGAAAAGTTAGTGGAGTTGGTTTCCATTGCTGCCTGTTGAAAGTTGCATGGTAAAGCAAAGCAACACCAATGTGGAGAACCAAAAAGATTGAGGCAGTGCTGTCGAGAAGACATGAGCCCATCACTAAGCCCAAGCACTTGCCCAAATGGGTTTTGAGCGAGCTATATTCTGTATATCAGTGACGCCCACGAGTTGTGCGCTGTCTTACTGGGTACCTCACAGGGCGTGGTCGCCCATGCACGCCGCCAGATGTGCATCTATTGGGGCTGTATGAGCTTAATGAATGGTGAGAGGCAGGATGATAATGGTACAGGCTCATGTTTGGTAGTATGACCCACTTTCGGTATACCAAAGGAATTGCCGAACCTCTAGGTCTGGGTTAGTGTATTGGCATCACCGTCTTAATAGTCGTACCGAATAATGATTGGCGAAACAAATCGATCATGTACCAGATCGAACACACAATGGTAAAGAAGATCATTGAATGAAAGGCCCGCGAAAAAGTTTGCAAGGCCAATAAGTCTCTTTACGAATTTTTGGCCAGCCTCTTCACAGGGCTCGACTCTGATGACTGGCACGATTTACTTAGACCCCAAGTGATTTTAGAAGCTTGGAGATGGAATGGATCTTGGTATATCACACTCACAATGTAAGAAGAAGTTCAACGACGTCGTAAACAGCTGGAACAAGTATTACGGTATTTCTGACGTGCAGGAAAGACTGCTTCAATTGGCCTACGCAGATATCAAATTCACCAGCACACTGAAGGCAGTGGGAAAACGAAATACAAAAGCCACTGGCTGTTATCGATACTCAAAAGGCTTTGAAGTCCGAGGTACTTTCAGAAACTTGCTGTTGTTGAACGTAATAAATAGGTCGACTATAGTCTATAGAGTGCTGGCTAACTAAATCGATGGGAGCACTCAAGAGCCAAGGATACTAGTGATTTGAACTGGATAGCTCATATATCTGAAAACCAGGTTCAAATCGATTATGCTTTCCGGCTAGAACAGCACTCTCAACCTTAGTTTGCACTTTCTCAAGAATTACTTAGTCCACGTACCTCAGACCGGTATGTTAGAGGACAATTCAGATAATTACTCGCCTTGGAATGGCTGGTTCCACCGTTCGATTGAATTAGGCACATGATCCAAATTTTTGACAAAATTGTCATGATCAGCCCTCTCTTAGCTTCCTAAATTAGGACTGAGTCGAGCCTGGTGAGGATCCTACCTCTTGATCAGGCTCATTGAGCTAGGCGCTCAGCCCGTGGCCCTGGCTGATCCAGCTCAAAGGATGGGGTTTTGGAGGCAAGATACAAACCCTGTTCCTTGGAACCTCATGCAAGTGTTTGCGATCTTTGGACTGGATGAACTACCGAACTGCGGGGAAGCAGCCCCGGTCCCAGCTGTCACTTGTCTATTCCCAGAACAGACAATTGCAAATACGCGAACGTTCCAATCCGCGTATGGTCGTTACACTTACGACGGGTCAGTTTGCGGGGGACCTGGACAGGACTGCAGCCAAGATTACCCCGGTGTTGAAATTGGGGTTGATCGCCCTGATCACGGAAGTCAAAAATGTGAGCGGGTATATATATTGGACCCTCGAGACCCATAAGGTAAGCTTACGTGCATTATCGTGTCTTCATACTCCAGCGTACCACGACGGGCAGCCATGTCTTCAGACGCACACCTGCCAGAGACGTCCCTATGGGCGAACAGAGTAGGTTTTGGTCGTCTCATAGTGAGGGATGCCATGGTTGACCACTGTCAATAGAAATGTCTCGCCATATGTGCTACCGTGGCCATTGCGAATATGCAGTACGGGCTGGATTCTGCAGTCATTGGAAGCCTGCAGGCTATGCCCGGCTTCCTAGTCGTCTTCGGTTATCCAGATCCTAAAGCACCTGGCGGTTATTCCATTGACGTGAGTCCAACTCCACAGTCGGTACTTCGGAGACAGACGACTGGAAATAGCCGAGAAGGAATTAACACAAAGGCATCCTAGGGAACATTCCAACAACTAATCGGCTCCCTCCTAACGCTCGGGGCATTCCTCAGTTCCCTCACCGCAGGCAGCTTTGCTCACTTTTTCGGACGCAAGACCGCGCTCTGGCTGGCCTGCCTGCTGACAGCCGTGGGCTGTGCCATCCAAATCAACACCACCGACAAAGCAGTCGTGTACGTCGGACGGCTCATCCTCGGCATCGGAAACGGTTTCCTGGTGACTTTCTCGAACATCTACACCGCGGAAGCCAGTCCGGCCCACCTGCGGGCCGTCATGGTGGCGTTGTTCTCGGAGTGGGTCAACATTGGGAGCATCATCGGTGCCGTGGTCACAAACGCTACGCAATCCCGGTTTGACAAGCCGAGCTACCAAATTCCGGTGGGAATTCTGTTCGTCGTGCCTGTTGTATTGGCCATCGGTCTGTTCTTCGTGCCGGAGTCCCCGCGATACCTAGTCAACAGGGGCAAGATGGAAAAAGCCAGACGTGCGCTGGAGTCGCTCAGAGGTTCATCGCTGCAGCCAGATGAGCTGGAGCTGGAGTGGGTAGAGATGGTCAAGGGTATTGAGGAGGAGAAGAAACTTGCCAGCACAATCGGGCCCCTGGATCAGTACCGCGGAACGGACCTCCGACGGACGCTGCTTTGTTATGGTGTGATCATGAGCCAGGTTGGTTCCGGCTCGTGGTTCGTCATCAGCTACAGCACCTACTTCCTTATCGTCGCCGGCTTGACTGTCAACGAGGCTTTCAAGTACTCCATTATGAATACCTGCCTGGGTCTTGTGGGTGTCAATTTCGGCATTTACCTCATGCGCCATGTTGTTGGTCGGCGGACCATCCTGACGATGGGTGCAGCAATACAAGGGCTGTGTATGCTGGGATTGGCAATCGGAACAGGAAGTGTGAACCCGGTGGGCAGCGAGGCGGGCAGAAATTGCCTCATCGCCTTCTTCGCTCTGTACTTATTCTCTTACAATGCTTTTGTCGGAGATGCGAGCTATCCGGTGAGCACGGAGCTGGTCAGCACTAGACTGCGAAGTTGGTCGGTGGGCTCTGCGATCAGTCTTGGGTATTTCTTCGCTTGGTTGACAGGATTTTGCTCGCCGTACTTTATCAACCCTGAGAACCTCAACTGGGTAAGCCTGCGTTTGCACCCTTTTTCTTCGTGTTTGCAATACAACTGACTCTACAACAAGGGAGCAAAATATGGTTATCTTTGGGCTGGATCCAATTTCGCTTGCATGCTGTTCTTCTTCTTTTTCATGCCTGAGCTCAAAGGGCGAACACTGGAGGAGATTGACGAGCTGTTCGCGGAGAAAGTGCCGGCCTGGAAGTTCAAGAGCTATCACACAACAATCCAGGAGAAGGCAATGGCCGAGGTCAGGAATCAGGAGGGCTCAGAAACGAAAGGTCCTATTTCTGAAATGGTCGAGGACGAGAAGATGGGGGCCAGCGGCTGATTTATTGTCAAGCATAATGCATCGGGATCAAGCGGAATCCAGAGCAAGCAGCCACCGACACACTGGCATGCTCAAGCAACTAGTGATTAAAGAGTCCACGGGTATACTCCGTATGCAACTCCTTATCTCTTTTCACAAATTTCGCAGTGTTAGGCTTGACATTTTTAGAAGCACATGTCATGAGAACTTTGTTGAATTGGTTGATATAGTACTTTTCACTTGCTAATGGCTATCATCCTGCTAACTTCCTTACAACGGCTTGGTCGTAACAAAGAGAGCGCTTGCGAAGGCCTCGGGATATCTAGAACCCGCAACCTCGGTGCTCGCAATAGCCGCCCTGATCTTCTCATTATCCTCCTTCGTGATCTGAACCTTCAAGGCGCCCATGTTATCGTCAAAGTTCGGGATCCGCGTCGTGCCGGGAATGGGGATGATATCATCCCCTTGCGCCATCAACCAAGCCAGCACAAGCTGCGAAGGCGTGACCCCCTTGTTGTCGGCCACGGCCTTGATGGCATCAACAAGCTCCAGGTTCTTGTGGAAGTTCTCCTCGGAGAACCGCGGAGCAAACGAGCGGAAGTCGCCCTCGCCGAAGTCGTCCCGCGAGCGGATGCTGCCTGTCAAGAAACCGCGGCCCAGGGGAGAGTAGGCTACGGTGGCGACGCCCAGCTCGCGGGCGGTCTTGAGCAGGTCGATCTCGGGCGACTCGATGTCGAGCGAGAAGGGCGAGTACTCGATCTGGACGGCGTCAATGTGCGCAACCTTGCAGGCGCGGCGCAGGCTTTCTGCGCTGCACTCGCTCAGGCCGAGGTATTTCACCTTCCCGGCGTCCTGGAGCTTCTTCATCTCGGCGACTGTGGTCTCAATGGGCTGGTTTGCGTCCAGGCGGTGGCAGTAGTACAAGTCGACATATGGCAGGCCGAGCCGCTTGAGCGACTTGTCGATGGCCTGCTGGATGTACTCGGGCTCGTTGCGGACGGAGCGCTCGCCCGTCTTGGGGTCGACGTAGTTGGCGAACTTGGTGGCCAGGAAGATGTTCTCGCGCTTGCCCGGGTTGCGCTTGAACCAGCGGCCGAGCAGGTCCTCGCTGTCCTGGTACATGTCGGCCGTGTCCCAGTTCAGACAGCCAGAGTTGTAGATGTGGTCCAGCACGGCGTAGCGCTCCTCGTCCGGCTTGGGCGCGCCATAGAAAGCGGATAGACCCATCGTGCCATATCCAAGGGCGGTAATCTCAGGGCCGTTCTTGCCCAGCTTGCGCGTTGGGAGTTGTGGGGGAGCCATTGTGGAATTTGGGTCAATTTTGTTCGCAGCCTCAAAGTGTACTTGAGTATTGAGTGGCAGCTAGAGCTAATATGAGTTGAGGAGGTTGAAGTCGAGATAATTGATTTCCGCACAGATGTGCTTCAGCATCCAGAGCTTATATACCCATTTCGTCACCACCTCCTAGTGTATTTCCATCTACCGATGTGGAGTTAGAAGCGCCGGTGCTGTTGTGGAACTTGCTGCAAGCTCTCGAGATCGAGCCGGAGTTAAGAGCGTAAAAGCCTAAGCAGGGTTCAGTACCTAATAGCCGTCGAGACGCGAGTCGGCGCCGAAATCCTATGACAAATGCGGAGTTAAGACGCCGTCAACGTTCCGCATATCAACCCAGGCCAAACATTCAAGCCAAGCCATGAACTTGAACAAAGAAAAAGTCCCTCCGCCGGAGCACCGGTGTAACCTGATGCGATTGCATCCGCCGGTGCAGCCTGGGATCGTCTTTGGTTACACAGTCATCTCTTGACCTACGAAGCGTATCGTGACCGTGACTGCGTAGATGGCCAACACAAAATCGTCCTCCATTCCAGACATTGCGAGACCGTCTAGGGATTCTAGTGGCCGCCATTGTGGATACCCACATCCTGGACTCCGCGTACAAGCACAATAATTCTCCAACCCCATGTCCGACTGTTTATTTGACCTAGTCATCGCAAATGAGACACTTTATCAACGCTTCCCGTCACTTAAGCCCAATGACTCACCATCAACGCGCAAGAGTGCATCATGGCTAGGTTCATATTTGTATGCATGGTCTCTGTGACTCCTTGAGTTTACAGAAACATCACCATGCAAGGCATGTATAATGAATAAAAACCAGTTTTGAATTTGTCTTTCGCCCATTATCCCAAGTAAGACATCGCATCCTGCTCTCACGATGCCCCCATCACCCATAACCCTCCGCCGCGCCACGAAGGCCGACCTCCCGCGGATGATGCGCATCCTCCTGGATGCATTTGCCCCGGGGCCCTGGGGCCGGCGCCTCTTCCCGCCGCACCTCAAGGTAAAACCCGGCGACGGCGACGAGTACGCCTGGCGGCTGTACATGATCTCCTCGGGATTCGACAACCAGGGGTGCGAGAACGTCCTGGCCTGCGAGGGCGGCGAGGGGCAGCGTGGCGAGGAGATCGTCGGCTGGGCGCAGTGGGTCGACTCGAATGCTGAGCCGAACGGCGGGATGAGCCTCGATGAGAAGAAAGCCAAGATGGAGAGGGAGCTGGGCGCTAACCCGGCAGGGCTGGACACGGAGGCGTTCGAGACGCTGAGCAGGGAGGGCCTGCGCCTCGAGGCGAGGGGCGATGAGTATTTGGGTACCGGGCGGTCCAAGAATTCGTGGCGTGAGTGTAGCACCGATGTCCCAGATCCTCTTTGTGACGGGAATCGGCCAGGGAATGCATGATTCGTTGATGGCTGACCTGCAACGCGCACACAGTGCTGAGTTACCTGCTCGTCGACCCGAAACACCATAGGAAAGGCATCGGCAGGCTCCTAGCCAAGGAGGGGCTCGACCGAGCCGCCAGCCAGGGAAGAGACGTGCGCCTGCGGGCGACGCCCGCGGGCCGCACGTTGTACCTCGCTTTGGGCTTCGAGGAAGTCTGCGAGGAGAAGATATTCGGCGACAGCCAGTACGCTATGATATGGAGGGCTCCCAGCCTCGTGCGGGACGGCTGATCTGGCCAGTATCAATTTCTGTATTCATGATAATGGTGTTTGTGGTGAGTACAAATCCACGATCAGTGTGACCAAGTGCAAGCATGGTTTCTCATCACCTCAACGAGTGTGACAGAATAGACAAAACCAAACGAATATTGCTTCGATGAAGCCCATGTAAAATTGTCGCTTGCTAGTGTATTGATATTTCTTGTTTCTAGATCAGCAAAATGGCAAGCAAGTTTGTCCCTGGGCATTGCGCCTGATCTGTGGCAAATTATGGTCGCTATTTCTCCTCGGTTCTCTGGGCCCTTGAATACCGTCCAGCTCACCTGAGATACCTGAGCTCAAGCCTAATATGACCGCCGTATATCCATCAGCCTGAATTGAGTGTTCGTGTTTGTTGGAGTCTCACGCGTCCAAGCGCATTCATTCCGACTCTTTAAGCTTTGCCATCTTCAACCTTCACCTTCTTCTCCCTCTTTTTGGGAAACAACCAGTCCTCAAATCCGATAGGCCAATATACCCTGCCGAGAGGCCCACCCATTCCGAATTCCTCAGGAGTCACCGTCAAGCCAGGGTCAGGAGCAGGAGTCTTTGCTGCAAAATCAGCCTCACCAATATTGCAGGCCCCGTCGGTATCTCCAGGGGTATCTTCGCTGGCCTTCCTCTTCTTCTTCCGCGACGACGGCTTCTTGGTCTTTTTGACCTTCTCCGGTGGTCTATCTTGGTCACCACGCTCATGTGCCACCATGTCGGCCACCTTGTCGAAGCCAGGCAATTTGAATCTGCGCATGAGCTCAAACACAGCTTGTTCCTTATCCTTGGCCTCGATCATGAGGTCCGTATCGGGAGGGCACGGCGGTAACGTCGCCACGCGAGGGCTGTGTTTTCTCCGATCACGGGGTGTGACGGCACCGTAACATGGCTCGGAGTAATGCATCTTCTGTTTGATTCCCTTTCTCGTCCAGGTCCTTGTGATGCGCTCCATTATCTCCGGTTGTGAGATATCATATGTGCCCTCTCTGATTTGGTCGGCATCAAATACTATGTTGTGGTGGTGATAGTCGAGGACCATGGGGATATTGAGCTCCTCACAGATAGGTAGCAGGTCGTGGACTGACCACGACACATCATCATTCTCCAGGACAAGGCGACGTTTGATCGATTCAGAGAGAGAGGCGTAGTTTTGGCGAAAGCGATCAAGGGTGGCTGGCTTGCCACCTGCATCAGGAAATGTCCCTCCCATGTGAAGAATCATAATAGCATCCCGATCCTGCTGAGGGGGCAATTTTAGGAGTGACAGCAGCTCATCATGGTATTCGAGATCTCGAATTGCATTGGTTACAACCTGCTTTCTGGGTGACCCGAGCTGCGTAAACTTTTTCTTTGTGTTAGCACAGCTTACGTAGGACTTGCGGAGTGATGATTTGTTCTCACCTGCCCAGGATGAGTTGTGAGACGGTGCCCGAAGTCCGCCGCGATTTTGCCAGCGTCGGCGAGAGCCACAGATGCGAATGGCGCTAGCTTGTACCCATATTCCTCGTGACTCGCGAATGGAAACATTTCTGAGCTCAGTCTCATGAATTTGATGCCAAACTTTTCGTTCCACTGAAGCATTTTGACGATATCCTTCGCATTGGCCAGGCCGAGATTCTCTACATACCTTTGGCCTCGAGATATCTCTGCCTTCTTGGTCCTGTCTGGGCGATTTTTGGTAGGATGTTCAGGCTGCGATGGGTCTGCCAAGGGATGCCGATGTTCCAGGATCGATGCTATGCGGCACGTCCTGGAACTGAAGACTGGAGGTTTGGCGGCGCGTAAGTACGTGTTCAGGCAAGCCTAAGTTGAGATTAGCATTGGCACACCAACTTCCTTGCCTTCCGGAAGGACTGACATAGCCTAATCGACCTCTCCATGGAAGTGGGAGGTAGTCACTGTTGACGGCAGGTGGGCGGTTGGCTCCCTTGACGACTTCTAGGGGCTCATCGTCCGCTACACTTTCTCCGCCTACTGGAGGCTCCCATGCATGCTCCTTTTCCTCGTCCGGGGTGAGCAGGACATGATCCAAGTGGACAACATCGCTTGCACTCCGGACCACTCGGGACCTCATTGCTGGCGCTGACCGGTTGGCACCTGCATCTTCGACCATGCTCTCCTCGATCTGCAACCTCCGCCTCTTGATGTCCTTCTTGAAGGACGTCTCCATTTCTCCCAGGCGCCGTAGGGCTTTGGCAGCGTCTGAATCTTCATTCTCTAGTTGTTTTGCGACATGCTCTACCGGCGCTGTGGATAACGATGCCTCACTAACATCCATTGTGTCGACCTGGTCTTGATTTGTCGTGTTGCTAGCGCCCTTCTCCCTAGTCATGGGGGATCTGCCAGAGCGACGTGACGATCTCCTTGGACCCCGCGATGCGACTTCAGGAGGGTTTGAGGCGACCGCAGCATGGGCTGACTGGCTGTCCTCAGCCCCCAAAGGTGCAGGTGCTTTCTTTCTATTGCGCGGCGGCATTGTGGGGCTAGTAGTGGCGATATGACGTCTCGTGAGATGTCCTGAAGGGCTTACGTTGTTCTTGCGTGTTGACAGGGCCGTTCCGGAGCAAAGCGTCCTACAGGAAGACGGCGTGCAGGATGAAATGCGCACCAGTAGTCGGGAGCTAGGATGAAATAGAGCTCGACATCCAGGAGCTCTAGACAGGACTGCAGGCCTCAGGGACATGCAAGAGACTGCGTATTGGTCCCAAGAAGATGACGGAGGAGTTTGGACTAAGGGGTGGGTGGCACGGAATCAGAGGCCGATGGTGCGGGAGCTGGTTGGTGCTATAATAGACGAATACAACATGTAGTGATCCCTAGCGGTGCCTCAACCGGATCTTTGTGAAGCGTGAAAAGAGGAAAAAATGGAAGAAGCCGCTCAGCTGTCAGATTTTGGAATGCAGGGCTAGAAGCTTGTTCGGGGATTGTGACAGTATGGGTGGTTCGTCAAGGAGATGAATGTGGACCATGCAGCCAGTCTGGGATGTTGACGCAGAGAATAGAAGAGAGATCTTGTTGGTAAGATACAGTACCAAGGTGGGCAGCGTTGAGATGGGTGGCCGGATTGTAGCAGCGTCTGGGCCTATGGGGCATCGGAATAGACTGGTAGGCATGTAGGAGATAGAGGGAAAGAAAGGGAGGGTGGGTGACGGAGACATCGATTAAATGACTACATTGAAATGATATCGTCCGTTCTAACGACGACGATCTGCTGCCACCCTGGCTCGCTGGCTGATGGCTGGACTAAAGGAAAGGGGAACACGACCCCCATCAGCCTCTTCGCGTCTGTACTCAGGCTGTGGGCGATTCATCACTTAGCTAAGCGGGCCAGGCAGTCTGCAGGCAGGCTGGTGTCCAGCCACTGTATGGGAGAGACGAATGGAAGATGTCAGTTTGCGACAAGAGCCTAGATCGAGATGCGGCGGGAGACAGACGTCATTGGAAGAGCACGAGGTGTCACAGTTCTTTCACGGCGGCGCGGTTGAGGTTTAGTGGACGGAAGAAAGGCAAGACCAGGTGAAAGAGAAGATGCTACCCGTAAGTAAACTGGGTAAGGTTACTTGGGCCCTTTTACAACGGCTAGTCAATCAAATCAACGAGTGGGATTTTCCTCGATGTGCGTGTGCGTGCTGCTATGCTGCTTTGCCCTCGCCCAAAGCTCAAGGTACACACACATACACGGACAGTAGGCTACGTTGGTACTTAGACCCAGCACCCTGCACTGCAACTGCATCAAAACCCAATTAGATGCTTTCTCCCTTTTCAAATGTTTTGGCGGAGAGAGCAGACGCCACTGACACTTGACGCAACGCAATGGACCAGTGGCTAGACGCAGCCATGACGTAGCATGAGCTCACCCCTGTCGACTTTAGGGTACGGTGGGTCGGAGCTCGACCGTCGCTCCGATGTGCAGCGGTTCTCTCCTCCCGCCGTGGAGGATATCCTCCGCCACCCAGGAGCATTTTCTCCCATCCTGCGACACCATCGCCATTCTGGCACATCAAGGATCCAGCCTAGGCCTGGGCTTCTGCAGGGCCCGCACTTTCTAGGGACCTTACACTCAAGCTACAGTATGTAATATAATCTGATCTGCCGATGCGCCTGTCGATGCATCATTTGTGACTGCCCTTCTCCTGAATGGGTCAGGCGGTTCGACGCCGTCACTCACTCTATCCATCGATCGCGTCCCCGTCATTCCATCTCATCTGTCTCAACTCTCCAGTCTCCAATTTCAAATCTCGATCCACCCAAATCCCATACCTTAGCCCTATTTCGAGATGGGATTGTTGCATTGGCATTGTCGCCCTCCTCTTGTGCCACGCGGATGCAGGTGCAAATGCAAGTGCCCCAGGCTCATCCTCGGCCACTTGCTTGCACGCCATGTACCACAGCTCCGTGTACTGGACCACTGCTAGTTCTACTTGCTGGCATCATGTACCTGAGTGCTTGACTCCGTCTAGCTCGGCCGAGTGCCCGGAGAACTGTGCCACAATGACCCTCACAGTCCCGCGATCCGAATGAAATCGGACCCGCTCCAGCCCTGCGCTGACAGGGGTGTGTAACCGGTCGATGCTACCTCCCCGATGGACTAGCTAGGTATGCTAGGTTGATAGGGGAGAGAGCAATGGCAAGTCAATGGGAAAAACAAACAACAACTGACGTGGACGCAGGTCGAGACCGGTCCGCCCCGCCTAGCTGCCTGGCCAGCAACATATCTTCAGCCACATCATCAGCAACAGCTTCGTGAGTTGCATCTATGCACTTGTGTATCACGTCGACGGGTACAGTGTGTAGACCGGGTATGTCGGCAATCGAATTCGAGCACCATCAATCCGCTGGTTAGAAATTCGGCTGCTCGGCAGGTCTGTTCCCTGCTCGCACGGTTCTTGGCAATTGGGTTCTGGGTCTTTCGTAGTCGAGACACTCTCAAAAGGTTGTAGAAAGCGGACTGGGGTTTTCTTTTTCTTCCATTTGTTCTTTACCCCATTCCTTGGCTTGCCTTGCTTTGGCCGACTCTCTGCCCACCGCCGGCAGCCGTCCTGGGGCCAAGAGCTTGTAATCGCCACGTGTAGATCGCAATTGATCGATTCCGAACAAGGCAACCCGCTTCTGACATTTGTTACTCATTCTCAGAGCTTTCACTGGTGGCGGATGTTAGGCTGATCGAACGAATATGAGCGCTGATCAACGCACAAAAGAAACAACTTAACTTGACAAGGTCGCAGCGCTGAGTGGCAGAGAGCCCGGGAAGAGAAATTCGTAATGAGTACGACCGTCAACAAAGGCATGTTGCAGTCATTACAGTTTTGAATTGTGACGGCTAACCTTCCTCGACGCGCATTTTCAGTATTCTCAGTGCTTTGTTAGACTATGGCTGGGGATTAATCTTAGAATGCTAAATTGAATTTCTCTTGAGGTAGGATACTATATGAATTGATGTGTACCTAGGTATATTGGCCTCTGCATGCGGTGGTCGGGATTGATGACCAAGCACAATGTGTTCCACTACCCCCCCAAAACCCCTCTTGACGGTCAAATTCGGCAATCCAGAAAAGTGCGAAGATTTGCACAACTATTTCGACTAATCAAAAATTCAGCCGACGTCCAAATAGAGTAGCGTTTTAGCCAAGCTGTGCTCCTATCGACCCACCTGATGCTTACCACAAGAAGAAGCATTACCAATTGCGGGCCAATGATCCGACCGACGTGCGAAAAGCTGCACGAACAACAACAGAGTTGTGTATGGGAACAAATTTGACACTTAAAATCCCCTATATGAAATAGCTATGAATCGTTACGGTTTTAGATGCTCCTCGAGCTTCAGAATCTTCAAAAAAGACTTGAGAATTCCGAAGTTATCAGGCTGAGAACCCTATCGACGACAATCACAGCATGTCTAAGCTAATTGTAGTTGTGGGAGTCACTGGTATTCAGGTACGTGATCAATTCCGACGGATATAATTCCGAACATCCTCTGACAATTTCTGATTTTAATACAGGGGGGGTCTGTTGCCCGCACTTTCCACCAACTCCCAGAATGGCATGTCCGCGGCATCACACGCAACCCCTCGGGCGAGCCTGCCCAAGCCCTGGCAGCAGAGGGTATTGAAATCGTGCAGGGCGACTTGGACAATGAACAGTCCCTCGTCCGAGCCTTCGATGGCGCCGCGGCCATCTTCTCAAACACCGACTTCTTCACCCACCTCTTCCACGCCATGGACCCAGCCAACCTGCCCGCCGGGCGCACGGCCAATCAATACGCGTACGACCGCGAGGTCGAGCAGGGTATGAACATCGCCGCGGCGGCGGCCGACCCAGCGGTGCTCAAGACGCTCGAGCGCTTCGTCATGTCGAACCTCAGCAACGCAAGCAAGTGGAGCGGCGGCAAGTACACGACCGTGTACCACTTCGACTCCAAGGCCGAGATGATCCGGCTCACGAGGGAGCGACAACCCGAGGTGGCGGCACGCATGAGCACCCTCCAGATGGGGCACTACGTGACCAACTGGAAGGCATTCGCGGGACTAGCGCCGCAGAAGCAGGCGGACGGCAGCTTCGTCATGTCCAGGGCGACGTCGCCGGACTTCAGGATGCCGCACGTGGTCGCGCACCGCGACACGGGACCGTTCGTCAAGGCGCTGGTAGACCTGCCGCCGGGGAAGGACCTCCTGGCCGTATCGGAGTGGATGACCTTTCCAGAATGGATGGAGGTGTGGGGCCGTGTGCTGGGGGTGAAAGCTCGATATCAGCAGATATCGCAGGAGGAGATGTTTAAGAGCGTTCCTACGGCCCTGGCAGAGGAGATCAGGGACGGCTTCGACTATATCGAGGAGTTTGGATTTGATGGCGGAGACCCGGACGTGTTAAGGCCAGAGCAGGTGAGACCGGTGCCTTGCACTCGTATTCTAGAGTCATTTGCTAACACGCGCAGCTCGATTTCAAAATCCCCTTGACGTCCATGGAGGAATACATTAAAAGCGAGGACTGGTCGTCTATTATGACAGCTTAAGCATGGCTTAGGCTAGGGGAAGGACCTTGCAAACCCAGAAGCTTTGAATATCTTTTCCACTTTATTACGACGTGCTGATATCCCAAGATATTTTCTTTGAAGACACGAAATAGCTCAGGTAGGATTGATTTACCAGATAGACCTTGGTGAATGACTATTGCAGTAAAAGAATTGATCACAATCCGTACACCTGCACCCAGCATAGACGCACGCAATCACTCCCTCTTAGGGACACTACCGCTCCTTTTGGAGCTTCTTCATGCCTATTCGCCTAAGCATCAACAGGCAATCAAGTTCCAAACGTATCGATCAATCACATTGCAGGTGATCTGCGCGGTAAAGTAGGCGATCCGGGCTGAGACGGACACTCTTGTTGTGCAGGATCATGGGCGAGACGTCAGAGATGATGGCATAGCAGACGAGTCCGACAGTCAGACGGTCAATACCGAGCCAGCCAAGAATCATGCCAGCTTTTTTTTTTTATTTTTTTTTAGTTTGCACCATCAGAATTGGATGCAGCCGCGCTTATTGACCTCGCGACAAGGAATAGAACTGACAGGGTGAGCGTACACTCCAAAGATAGAGGAGTGCAACGACCGAATCTGAGAGAAGGATACGGGACAGGCTCGGGCCACTGAAGACCATTTGGAGGCCTGTAGCTGACATCTGTAAGGAGATTCAAATTGGCAGTCAAGCTACGCCGAAGGGTTAGATCAGGGCACCTGCCAGGGCAGGTCCAAAGAATTGGTGGGGGTCGAAGATCAAGCAGCCCGTATCAGTCATTCACATGTGCACTCTGCGGAAGCAGTTGAGGTATTGTGTAACTTGTTCCACAAGAAGAACCAAGTGCATCTGCTCATGCACTTGGATTGGTGCTCACTGTGCCACGCAAATAATCTGTCCGACGCATCCACTTGGCCCCAGAAGGGAACGCTTCAAGGTCAATATCAATGCTGTGCAACCGAGCCCACATCGAATTTACTTGTAACACCAGCCCTGTGATACCTTTATGTGCAAGCTACTGGTTGGACCAGGGCGGGGACCAGGCAGCATTGCAGGAAGTGGAGATCTCTTCTCCCGACATGAGAAGAGCCCAGCCTTGCAGACAGCAGCTGGTGGAAGTCAATGGATCCATTTTCGTGAATTTAGTAATGACCTCTCCTGCATTGGATTCACAATTTCATCATTAACTAGCGGCTTTCCTTCTTCTAACCTTCTTCTCACCTCCCTTGCGCCAGCCGTTGCTTTGAGCCTGACGAGCAGTGGCAAACTTCGAATCCAGGGCTCACACTTCCTATGCCACCATAAGAGCCTCTGAAACAGTCATTATTTCTATTCGTGGTTCAAAATTAACTCGGCCGCTCAAGATCTGTCCCGTTCCGATGCACCGTGCTGTCATGTCCTCCTTCATTGAGCCTCAACCTTCTCTTCTCTACCGCGTCCTTCGGTGGATCAGTTGTCGCAACCCCAGAACAGAGCCATGGAGTTCCTCTAACTCCACCTCCTCCTCATCCGAGGAAGAGATTATCTCAGAGTCATATTTTGGCATGGCGGCAGAGTCTAGGAATCTCTATCGTGAAGAACCCGGGCTACCGTGGAGGGAAGTGCTACCTCAGTATCTCACCAGCAGTTTCAAGACAATATCGGTGCGCGACAAATTCGCCCTGGTAGTCAGGCGGCAAAGGCGTATTGGCGATAATGATGATTCCGACCTTTCTCTTTGTTCTATTACTGTACAGAGCCCCCTCATCAGAGCCTTGCTCGGCCCTGTCTTCTTCGACTATAACGGTATCAACACGAACCTGAAAAAGCTAGAATTTACGGCGCCTTTCCATGAGTTCTTCTACCGGTGGACCGAGTTCGTCCAAGCCAAAGCCAAGATAAAGGACGAGGCCGAAGTTGCACACTTTAGGCTTTTGTTTGATATCATCAGCGTCGAGATCAAACCGCACATCGAAGTGGTCGGAGATTTGATCAAAAACGGGGTGATTTCGTTCGGCCATCTTTGGTCGCTCTTCAGCCCCGGAACAGAGATCTATTCTAGGGTCGATGATCAGGACCGTCTTTACCTGCTTCTTTCTTCCAGATACACAGGCATGGCAGCAGGTATCGGCTCGTACATTCTAACATGTTGCTATGTCGAGACTGACGGCATCAACTTCGGCTTTGCCCCGGCGTTTTTGATCATCAACGCGTTCGATAAATTCAAGCCAATATCCGAGCTGAGTGCACTGCCCAGTTACCTTCACCCAAACATAGACGAGATCCGGAAGACTTTACATGCCAGGGGAAAGAAATTCGAACAATTGAAAGGATTCCACCACGTGTCTTACAACGGACACTACGACCTCTCGGAAGTGCCTTTTGGAAGCTCGCGCAAGAGATTTGTACATATAGAGATCCCCTTTCCTCATACCGACTTAAGACTAATAATTTTGCCAATTGAAGGTCCAAGATGGCAGGGTAATCGTTGACTGTGGTGTCTTCGCGAGATACAATGCAGTCTCATGTGCAAACCTATCTCCCCTAACAGGAACACCAACGCCAGCCAATTCGGTCAACATGTCGCCCATGATCGATATTGAGAACGAAAATATCACGGCTCTCTCACCAGTCATGCACGAATTGCAGCGAATGGCAAAGCTCTCACGGCGAAAATACTCTGCGCAAATACCAACACATCAAAGTCCGTTTCCCTTTCTCATTGCTCCAAATATTAGTCGCCAAATGAAGGCATGAAAGCTCATAGAGCTATCAATTGTCACTATTTACTCACTGGTTTCATGATAGGAACATATCTATCCGAGGAGCACTACGTTCTGTGCAGCCCTACCGCTAAGGGGTTCTGCCTTGGAGCCAAGAAATGGGGTGCGTATTAGACCTAATTCGGACCAGTATCATCCGAGGCTTACAATGCCATAGTGCTCCTGTACGTCGATTCAATCTCGGAGATCGAATGGAATAGCGATGCTTTCAAACATCTAGTCCTGCCGCATGACTACAAGAAAGTTGTGCGTACATTTGTTGAGGCTCAAATGTCCCAACAAGATACTTTCGATGATCTGATTCGCGGCAAAGGCAAGGTCAGTATCAGACAGCAGTGATCTACATGGAGACAAAGTCTCATGCTAAGTTTACTCAGGGCTTCATCATGCCTCAGCGGAGAGCCGGGAACAGGCAAGACATTGACTGCGGAGTCCGGTAAGTGGATCCTGGGATATGAACCTGGCAATTGCATGTCTCACTAACCATTACCGGCGATTTACAAGTTGCCGACACAATGGAGAGACCTCTGTACTCAATAAGTGCTGGAGAGTTGGGCAACGAAGCTGGCGAGGTCGAGAGGAACCTGCAGCGAGTGCTCGAGCTTTCAACGAAGTGGGGTGCAGTCCTGCTCCTTGACGAATGTGACGTCTTCATGGTGAGGCGTTCGTCGTCGCACCTTCATCGGAACCAACTGGTGTCTGTCTTCCTGCGTCTATTGGAATATTATGAAGGGGTTATGTTCCTCACCACCAACCGGATTGAGTCGTTCGACCCAGCCTTCGAGTCACGCATCCACTTGACCATCAACTACCCCAAGCTGGACCAGAATTCAAGGCTGCACATCTGGCGGACATTGATCCGTCTGGGTGCAGAAGCAGATCTTCCGAGTGATATTGACGAAGAGAAGCTGCAGGAATTTGCTGAAGCCGATCTGAATGGAAGGGAAATCAAGAATGTGGTGAAGACGGCAGGCCTTCTAGCTGCAGGGGACAAGGTTTCCCTTCGCGTGAATCACATAGAGACTGTGCTGCGTGTCAAAAGAGGCGACCGTGCTTATCTTGGCTTTGACACTCAGAAGATGCGAACAGACTACTAGCGATGTCATGAATTCAATCAAGTAAGACCATAGGACTGTCAGTGTGAGCATACATACTCTCATATTCTTTCAAGTGAGCTACTTCGTGATAGCGTGTTCATATTGAACGAGATTGGAAGAGACTATTTAACCCAAGGTTTCCCCCGGCGCGGAAGCAAAGCTGACAGGTCTGGACACCACGTGTTGCGTTGAGTACTTGTATGACTTTTGTTGCAGCTTTCTCTACTGAGATGTACCGCGCTTGTCCTCGCTCACAGAGAACCGAGCGAAATGTCCATGATGTGGATCTCGTATGAGATTGTATCTGAAAGCCTATGAATGTCTTCATTTCCATTGACCCCAGGTGCCGGATTGGCTAATGGATCTCAGGGAACATCCGTTTTCCTGCAGGTCTCCTCCAGATCATTCGTCCATTTCCCCATGATAGCTGCATGTGAGGACTTGAGGTGTTGACGAAAGTGGTCAACCCGGTAGAATTTCTTCGAAGAATTGCATTCACGAAACTTGTGACGTTCCCAAAGATGGCGAACCCTCCCATCCCAATCGTCTTCTGAGGCGTACCATGAATAGGTCGTTGTGCCTGTTCTGTCGAAATCTACACCACAGAAGTCACACGTGTCCGCCCGGCCATGCCGAGATTTTGACTCGTGGAATGCTTTGTCGTATGCGCTAAGATATGAGCAGGACCACGAGTATCTGCTGGTATGTAAGGAATTGGCATGTCGCTCCAACTCATTCTTGTTTCCAAATCGGTTCTCGCAATGAATGCATTTGTATGACATTTCGGCCTCGTGGACAATGCACATTTCGTATTCGTGGGCACTACGTTCAAGGTCGTCAGCAAGAGGTGTGGTCGAAGAACGCTCTGCCTAGATCTATCGGTTTAACTCACTCAAGCTCGTCGCGTGTCTCAAACGATTTTGGCTTCTTAGGACAACAGTTGCACATATAGAGGGCCGGGGGTCTTCCCGCCCGAGAGCTCCCTGTCATCAAATCTGATGAGAATCCGCTGCCTGGTGAGTCCAAAGCTAATGTTCCGTATGCCGCATTAATTGATGAGAACGAGTTGACAGATGAAATGGAGTTTGTCCGGTCAGACATGTCATCTGGAGTTGATAGGCAACGAGAAAAGCTGTCCGTGCTAGGTCTTCTCATACTATCGTGGTCTTCCGGAGGAGATGTGGCTCTTCTTTTATTTGTTCCTCCCGCATATCTCCTTAAACCCTCCCAACTGTCCATCTGTAAAAACCTAGAAGGAGGAGCCGGTTGATGAATGCGATCTTCCGTTTCGGAGCCATGGTACTCGATATCATCTGTACTTGCGTGTTCAGAGTCGCTGAACTGTGGCGTGTGCTCGGCGCTGGGGATGGATAGTGCCGGTTGGGGGCTCACGGCTGTAGAGGGCCTCGATGAGGTTCCTCGAGTCGAGACTCGACATTGTGCCACCACATCCGCATCCTTATCCATCTCGAATAAATTCTTGAGAAATTCAAAAGAGTTGTGCCGTTGGTCTCCGATAAAATTCTCGAGTATGGTCTTGCGCGCAGTCGCGATGTGCCCGGCCAATCTTTGATTGAGTGCTGATCCTGATAGCAAGTGGCCAGTCCCGTGGTCCGATGTGATCGGATCCCACCCAGCCGATGCGGCATCAAATATGTTGAGAGCTGTATAGCAGTACTGACTCCATATATGAGGGTCAGCAGTCAGCCGGATATTGACTTCAGCCTGAACCATCGAAAGCGTCTGGCGAACGGATGCCTGAATACAAAGACTGTAGAAGACGGAAAGCCACCATCGTCGATCACTTTGTAGAGATCTCTTGCGGAAAAAAACCCGAGAAAGTTCCAATGCGTATTGGTCGATCTGGCTCTGCAGGTCTGCGAAGCACTTGAAGCGACATTTATCTTCTGGGCCGGTACCACAAGCCTTGTGCATCCCGTGGTAGAGTAATCCATTAATCTGAAGTCTCCAAATCTCCAGGCAATGTTGTAAAGAAGCCAATGATATGATGATCAATTTGTCCTGCAAAAGGGAAGATCAGCACTGACCCCGGGCTCTCGAGGGAGTTACTAATACTCACATCTCCCACTTCGGCTGCGAACTGACTAGAAGCTACAAGTAGCTCCCTAAGTTGAGCCTTTGTTCCGAGTTTCAATTTTTGTAGGGTGGAAGGACTGTCAGTTAGCTCCCAAAAGATTTGAATGATGCATTTCCGGAAGTCGTATTGATCATGACTGTAACCAGGAACCTTCGACGGATAGACACAGGCGGGGCATCCAGAGCAGCCGATTGAGCGGCCTGTTGGCATAGTGGTGTTAATTCCGTTGGCGGTGATCGTTGCGGATAGCGTTGTTTCTCTAGCTATCAGATCTTTTAGACCTCCGCGGACCCCCAACTGCGGCAATTGAGCCGGACAGTTGCGATCGATGAGCAAATTCTGAGTCGCCAAGTTGCATCGATCTCGGGCATTCCCAAGGCAGAGACTTGTCTTCATTTGCAACTCACTTAGAGAAACGAAGCAAAGAGTGTTTGATAAACAAAGATTAATCTGCAATTCCAGTCGCCCTCGCTGGCATCCTATCAACTGCCAGGCCCTTCGACCGCCTCTGCGTGGGCAAGCTTTGCAAGGCTGGTCTATGTCGCACTTGTATTTCTGTTAATAGGGCCTTGACAATGTATCATACCAGATTTGGACTTACCCTCTTCCTGAGTATCTTGCATCTCCAGCATGCGCCTTTAGCATGCTTAAGTTCCTCCATTCCCCTTCGAACAAAATTACTTAGCCGTCCATTTCTCCGGGGGGATGGAGATGGATGGGAAGCAGGTTGCTCATCCTCAAGATTTCTCAGGTTTTCAATAGTACGCCAGAATCGACTTTCAAGCTCTCGTTGACTTCTTTCTTCTTTTATTTGATTTGTCAGCGGCGCGTCCGGACTGTCCAGATGTCCGGGCCAGGTCTGTTCCAGGTTAGACTCGTCTGTGTCCGGCTGCCCTTTGTCGGGCAGAGACTGGCATTGAAATCTTTCATTTGTGGTGTCTATTTCCACATTCTGGTCCTCAAATCCCTGAAAGTCAACACCCTCGAGGGTTACGCCTTCTGTGGAAGTGCTGTGCTGGGTCCCTTCAACCCATATGCCCGAATTCGACAAAGGCCAGTCGACAAAGTCTAGCCAGGCCGAGGACGACTCCTGGTCTAGCCCTTGATTATTTGAATCGATGCCTAGCTCAGCAGAAACAGATGGCACTGAGTCCCAAGAATCCATTGTTGTTGGTATGTGGACTAAGGACTGACTTCGGGATCATCCGGCTGCATTATTAGCTTCAGCGGAAAAGAGAGAACGCTGCTGGCCACGAGTTCGAACGACCAAGTGTGATTCACCAAACGTAGCTTTCCTTTGAATGATCCTCGGACATGTAAAGAGTGACGAAGCATTGACTGTGTGCGCCCCTCGGTATAGCTGCTGTTCTGGAGAGAGATTCGGGCTTCAATGTTGTCGGTGGACAAATGAAGTCGACTCGTAACAAGTTGTCAGCAAGACTTATGACTGCAATGGTGGTATATATGGCCGTCCAATGAAATGTTTTGCACCAGGCTGCGTGCATGAGGACCGCCTCAACCCCTGCTGGACGCATGAAGGCGGTCCAAGTAAGGCGGTCCCGAAGCGACTTGCAGTCGACATGGGTTTTGTGTTGCCCTACCCCGTATTCTGATAGCAAACCCGGACAGCTCATGTGCAACGCTTCCTATTGGTCAAATACAAGCTTCTCAAAACAAGGTACCATCAAAGACCGCCACAGCATGGGTGCCTTTTTCCACATGCTCGGGCAGCTCAATGGCATGCAATGGCGGTCTCAGTTGGACCGCCATTGGGACCGCCAGTCAAGCGACATGTCCATCAAAGCCTTTAAGATTCGTGACAGGATAGCTGCGCATCAGTCTTACACCTCATCATAGAAAAAGGGCGCCCTTCAAATCCGTATACATATTGAGATCCAACTGCCCTTTTTTTCTAATTTGAATCTGGACACATTCAGAATTGCCATACCTCGGTGCATACAATATGGATTCACACTCTCAACATATTCAAGATCTAGACCAGCCGAGCTTACATCAAAACAGGTGGCCCCCTTTGCAGCCTCAGCTACTGGGAATCTCACCGGATATCGAAAGCCGCATCACGAACTTCTTGGCTCCTGACACCATCCCTTTAGCAGGCTTTCTTGAGACACCATCGCTACCAGACCTGAAAGCATGCGATGCTTTTCTTCCGTTTCAATGGATGGATGAAAATGTACCTTTGCACCATTTTCCTCCCCAACTCGATGAACATTACTGTCATTCAGAATGCAACATCTTTACTTCGAACTCAGCGCCAAGAATGACTCGTTGTAGTGGGAGTGCAGTCAATGAGGATTGCACAACACGAGACAGCAACGATGTCCCAAGTCCCCTGCAGAACGCCTCGATCGCACTTCTGGGGAAAAACGACGTCGCAGAATTGGGATCTTCAATCGGTTCGCTCATAGTAAACCACTTGAAACGAATGAGCCCCACACAAACAGTCAAGGTGCCAGTCAACGCAAGCAACGATCCCCTTTTGCGGTCTGATACCAAGACTTTCGGCCGTGCTCATACCGCTCTTCGAAGCGACAGATCTAGGGGCCTGCCCATCAAGACACGGAAACGAGTAACCAAGGGCTTTAAAAACCCTAAACAGGGTGAAGTGGCCAAGTAACGCACAAGTCACGACTGCTTATTGAAAACGACGCAGGCGCTGACAATGTATGACAGGTCTCGCAAAGAACATGACGCAGACTTCAAATGTTCCCACCCTGGTTGCAATACTAAAGCGCTTTCGTCGAGACGCAACCTTCTGAGGCATCAAGAGAATGTACATTCGACTCCCGTGGTCTTGGCTTGTGGTGCAGTGCAGAAGTATCGCCAGGACAACTTTGTTCGCCATCGCAGGAACTGCCAGAAGTGCCAGGAATATAGTCCATGATACTGTTGGTGGAGTACAGGTGTTTCTCGAAAGGTGCAGGCTCAAGTTCAGAGCATGTGATGGACAAAGTAGACAGGTGGCTGCCAACACAACAAATATATCACTCTTCCTCTCTCTTCCTATTTCCCCCCTGTACCCCCTGTCCCCCCCCCCTCTCTTCCTCTCTTTATATATCTATCTGTTCCGGCGTATGTACTATCCATCCAAGAACACCATATTTGTAGTCCAGAATGATCAAAACCACCTCATACCGGGCTCGTGCAACTAAAGCTTGTGGCCACCCCGGACGAAAAAGCACCTATGAGCTGAATAATAGACGCATAACATCCCAGGCCACATGCGGCAAGTGTTCCCAAAAAGTAAATGAGATTCCACGTATGGAAGATCGGCCGTTTCATAAATCCCCGGCCGAGCCGCTTCCACCCCTGATCGATGCGACTATACGTACGAGACGCCTCGTCAAAGCTCTCGGAGTCGTTGACCATGGCATCCTCACGGATGAAATAACCCAAGGCGCCCCAGGCAGGCAAGATGTACGTGAACCCCAACCCGAACAGAGCGCCCACGAGACCTGAAATGGAGGCGAGTTGGGGAATGGCCGCCGCCAGAACGAAGCCTACGGTCCAGTAGATCGGGATTAAGCATGCCCACCAGATCTTCCCCATGGTCGATGTCAAAGGCGGGAAGCTCAGTGGCTCGAGGACTTCCACGTAGGCAATCTTCATCCCAACATTACTGTACAGTCCGGTGGCTATAAGACCAGCGACCATTCCCAGGACGTTTAGGCAAGTCTGCCACCCATATACCGATATTCCTTGCGCGATGGGGATAAAAGTGAATTGTCCTTGAAAGTGGTAGACCACCATGCCAAATATCAGGTAGACGGACGTGAGGAATGCCTGTGCACAGATCATCCCCTTCCAGAAGTCCATTGGGTGGCGCATTTCCGCCATGAAGGCCGGGAACAGCATCGCACCGCCGTATGCGAATACAGCTTGCATAGCTCCGTTTACAGATGCCACGAACCCTGAGCCACCCGTAGCGAGGCCATCGGGGGGTGTGCCGGCGAAGGTCTGGATTGGCCCCGGAATTCCAAAGTCTGGACCGAAAGACGCTGCCAATGCTCCGAAGTTGGGCGGGTAGTTTGCGACCAGGCCCATAACGATGAACATGCTCAGCAAGTTGATCCAAACCGAGAAGTTAGCCAGCCACGAAAACTTCTGCAGCGTCCGGATCTGGCCGACGACCATGCCGGCCAGGGCAAACACCAGCACGCAGACAATAAAGCATAGGCCGGGCCCGGTGCCGTTGACCTGGGAGATTTGGGATATCGCTTGGCCGTTGAGAAGGATGAGAAATGCGATGATCACAAGCAGCTGGACCGCCTGAATGACGTGGACGAAGTATCCGGACCAGGGACCAAAGCACCGGAAGAAGAGGTCGGCGTAGTTTCGAACTGGATATCTGTCGGAGTCGAGGCCGAGGAACATTTTCCACAGGATCCAGCCTGAACTGGTTTCCGTCAGCACATCGAAATATGGCAAATTCTGCGGTGACTGACTATGCGGACAGAATGCCGAAGGCAAAATACAGCGCGAAACCAGCGCCAAAGCCCGTTTGAGCAAAAGCCCAGCTAAGAATGTTGTCAGCGGCAATCTCATTCTCTTCATAGCGTTTGTGGGTACACTCACGGGGTGTTTGAAGGGCCCAAGATGTCTGTGGTTATGAGGTAGAAGACGCTGCCCCATCCAGCTGTGCGAAGCGCCCTGTTGGCGGTATGCAATTCATGGTTGCCAACAGGGGACGGAGGCGTCCCTGTATTAGAAGCTGTTCTCTGGATGTCCTTCTCCTCAACTCCTTGACTCGACCTTGTAATTTGTTGAGTGTTTCCGTTCGCATCCTTGTGGCCTTTGGGGGACGTTTGAAATCGGTCTAGCAAGAGCGACTTTATTGTCGTCGGCCCTCGTGCGCCTCTGTATGCTTCGTTCGCAAGTTTCTCCTCGGCACGGGTGATGGATGCGTAATAAAAGTACTCCTCAAAGCTCACTTTTAGCTCGAGTTGCTTCCCAGCAGAAAGGTAGGTGTGAGCTGTGTCTGAGATGGTAGCGGGAGCCTCGCTACCCTTGACATTCAAAGGGCCCCCTATTGTCGGAGTTGCCATGCTTGTCGAAAGGAATCTTGTGTTTGAGTTTGAAGAAAAACAGACCGTGGAACACGATAGGTGACGGCTCGATTAAATACTCTGAGAGGGTCGTTAGCCACGGTACTCATCAGCTAATCACTCCCTAGGCGAATGATCCGGCGCGGGAGCGCCACTTCAAAAGCTGATACTGCCTGCATTAGCAAGTAAGAAAATGAACGCGATAGGGTTCCTCGCACTCGATGCCAGTCTATACATCTGCAGTGCTACACAACTTATGCAAGCTGCACCTCCAGGAACAGGCTAACTCAGAGTAAGCAGACAGGGTGATCAAATTAAAGTCGGCCTATCTCTTGCTGTTCTAGTAGTTCAATGTTGTCATGGATCTTGGCCAGTCCCTGTGATACGGTTAGTAGTTCGTCAGAAATTAGCGCTTGTCTCTGATGTGTAGCCTTTACTTTTCCTCCAATTGGATGATTCCGTCTTGTTCGTTTGGATCTCTGTTCGAGCTGGGAGAGAAACGCGAGGCATAGTGGATCCACCCGGCAGACCAATTGGGTGGCGTATGCGTGTAAGTTGCGCTTACATAAGCAGGTTTCCCGGAACTGCCAACGTCGTTCTGAATAGTTACACTTCTATGCAAGCACAATGTATACACAATTTGCACTCATCATACCAGTCTAAGAAGATAGAAACGCATCCGAAATAGTTCTATTACAACCACTGGGGGCACCATGTACTTGATTATTCCGTATTCAGTAGACTGCCCCTTGAAAGATAAAAATTCAAGGTCTATCTAGGTATCGCGTCTTGTTGGCGATGAGGCTCGACGCGCCATGGTCCGAGCGTCCGTGTCTTCAGCCAAAGCCAAAGTCAAGGACCAGGGAAGCTTTGCCAACGGATGCACTTTTTTCGTTGACGCTTTTGAGCGAGGCTTAAACCTCTGTACCATCGTGAAACAGCGCTGAAGCATTTCTGCTCCGACACAACAACTCGAAGGACCCAAGCTTGAATCCCCCCTCCCACCTCACATCATGCCCAACACGGTCAATTCTGGTGCCGTGGATAGCCCGACTTAACAACTGCGGGTTCATCGAAGAAACGTGCAGTTGAGCCTGACGCAAGCGAGGGTTCATCTCCGACCAAAAAGTCCAAGGCAGCTACCACCAACCAAATCCCCGCGCAGTCCAGCTCATCTGTTCCACCCCACCTCACCACTTTCGCCTTCGAAGCTCCTAACAACGACAAAGTTGCGCAAACTGCCTCGATCTCCAGTACCGCGCCATCGAAGTTTGTTCCCCAATTTCGACCTGCTAACAGAATGGCACCCGAGTCGACCGATGAGGTAGGCGAGAGTTCTGGCGTCAACGACCAGGTCGCGGCGCAGGGCCCAAGCCAGCCTTCTACCTTCAAAGACACACTTGCTCTTGCCCAGGAGCAGTCCGCTGTCTGGCAGTATGTCAAGAACCTGCTAGACGGTACCAAGTTCAACTGCAAGAGCGAACTTGAGCAGCAAGCCTACTTGCAGATCCTGAGCCTGCCAAAGCGAAATGACCTCGACGACAAAATCATGTGGGAGGCTGACAAACACCAGCGTCGCTACCACGTCATCATGGGCGCCATCTTGCAGGTGGTTGGTGTGGAGGGCCACTGCAGTGCCTGTCCAGTCAAAGCCAATTCTGAACACAAGCAACAGACTTGCATCGGACTTCCTCCAACTGCGACCGGTCCAGAGTACGAGGATCTTCAGAGCTATGTCGCGTCGCGATGCTGCAACTGCATTCGATCGACTTACGCGCCGCACACGTGCTCTTTCAAGGCTGGCCACCCCAGTGACGATCAACAAATCTCCAGTGCAGCGGCCGCCGTAGTCAAGAACAATTGCTCTGCCTCAGCGGAGATCTCCCAGCCTCAGACCCGAGCTTCCGTGATCCTTGCCGCAGCTAACGAAGCACTCCGAACCCATTTCAAAACATCTCCAAGCGCGAGCCCTAAAACAGGCAAGGAGAACGCGAGCTTGGAAGCCGCCTCAAAGATCCTCGCTGAGATTTGTTCTATCGGATTCGACGCCAGCAATCAGCTTCCTCAGAATGAATTAGCAGACTTTCTCAATTGGATGACCTCGATGTTCTCGTTCTCGCCTTCGTCGCCAGACTTGGAGAAGCAGGCCATCGCTCTCCGCGCGCGCATTCTGGAGCTGCCTCCGAACATTCAGACCATCGTACGGCAGAGAGTTGTTGACATGCTCCCCGGAGCAATGGGCAGACCGGCGTGAATTCTGTGTTCCTCATTTGGCGGTGCCTCGCATCAGCTGTGAGGGAGAGGGAAGCGCTCGAGTCGACTTGAAGATTGTTGTTGGTGGCGGTGGACTTTCGGGGTCGATGCGAGCGAATGCTTGCAGATGTCGTACTCCAAACAACAAAATCGGTGTGAAGGGCTGGAAATCGTGGAATGCCAGGCCCGTTGATGTGGTGGCAAATATCAGACGGGGGTCATGTGTCCGTGACGCTGGTTTCTTGTCTCTCAAGCCATTTCTCTTGGCTAACATGGGAGCCAGACGACGCTCTTGTATTGTCATGTTGGTTGTGGACGGAGGTACTGGTTCCGACGTCTGCGCTCGTTTGTGTGCCAAAAGCTCGTTCCAGAGTGGAATCCCATTCCCTCTGCAAGTCAGTCACCAGTTGAAATTCGGTATTCAGCCTTCTGGAGCGGTTTGCAAACTCGAGGAGACGATTCAAAATGGTGATTTCACATTCTGGTCTCCAGTTAATCAGGCGGTACCGAGGCGGTATCGACGCATTTATTGAATGTTTTCGCGGGCGAATTGGTTTAAGCTGTGCGTCTGGAAGGGAAAAGGACTCACGAAGCTTTACGCTGTACACAAAAATCTTGTAGCCCAGCTGGATAAAATAGAACCCAGCATGCTGTTTGTGCAATGTCAGCTGGTATTCGTGGCTGGCTGAGAGATCATTGGAAACTGGAACAGTTTCTGTCAAATGAAAAATACCTCTAGTACAACAATTGTGACGTCCAGGAACAGCACAATGATGTTTACAATGATTAATTGCGTGAGAATGCTCTTCACAACTCGCAGCGACGTTGTCACCCTCGGAGTCGCATAGCGACGGATTGTAGGTTCCTCCTCAACGACCTTCGGCTTTGAATAACGGCCAAGCAAGTCACGAGACTTCCACAGATAGAGTCCAGATATTATCGTCTCCTGGGTGAAAAAAACCGTGATATTGATTCTCTCAAAAACACTGCAGCCGGCGTCAACTAGTGCGCGATCCCTATTCCGTCTCAAACGTGACACTGACCTGTAGGCCGTTGTGAAAGGCACCGATTTTGGGGGTTGCAAACGTGTCCCAACAGTGAGAACCGTGCCGGTGACGTGAATCGTGACAGCGTTGATGATGATCATCCACAACACCAGACGCAGAACCCTTCTTGTAATGGCCAGGAGGTGTAGACGCGAGTATAGTACGACTGACTGTCCGGTGACCATGAAGACCCATCCAATACACGAGAGGACCCCATTAATCATACCACTGACAGTAGGTGCTGCAATGCTGATGATCTGTGAAGTCGAGCAGATAAGAATCCCGATGGTTGACAGTATCATCGCCCAAAAGTACAACGTCCACAGCCGCTTGAACGTCATGAAAATCATCGGGAACATGCCCACAGCGTTCCATATCGCGGCTCCGAGGAAGCATGCGACTAGGAATCGCTCTCCGGAGGACATTTGTCGCGTATCCACGATGTTGTTGGTGTCCACGCGCCTTAAGAGCGACTCCATTGATGGTGACGGCCCCATCGCTGCCAGGGCTGGCGTGAGAGACAAGAGCCTAGTGGCACGGTTTACAGGTAGAAAACAGGACCGAGTCGCAAGAGGAACGTCCGGAGCTTCTGTTGCAGGCTTTAGAGGTTCTAGGGCTTCTATCACCCATGCGTGCCCGTAACCCTCCAATGGGAGGGTCCCGGCCAACTCGCGGTAACAAAAGTTAAATCCATAAACTCTGCCCAGCGGCAAATCACACCTTAGGAAACGTCCGGCGTGCCATGGATGGCCCCGCACGAGCGCTGGATTTGATCATCTTGAGGTGCAGCCTGACTCGGATTGTCTGAAGTTGGACGCATCAAGATCAATGACGGGGTTACATCCGATCGATGTGCGCAAGCAGACCGCCCTTAGAAAATCGAGCGAGGCGTGAAACAACCTACGGTTGTGCAACCAGGGACTGCAGAAACAAGTGCGGAACCTCCCGAGCTGAATCGATCATGTGCCCTTGTAACGGGAATGCGATTGTATACTTTCAGACCTGCTATGTACGAATGGCTGGCCTAGAAGCTGAACTGACGATGATACCTCCTAAGGGGGAACCATCGCCAGTCGTGCTATATATACATGTTACATAGGCTCAAACTCTCAGAAGTTGTTGAACCACCGGACGGCCTGCAGGAAAGCCGACTCCTTCGCAAACTTTTGCACCGGATCCGAGACGTTGGCGCGAACACCAAAGCCGTGCTGCACACCGCTGTACAGATTAACCTGGTAAGGCGAGCTGATGTTGAGCAGCAGAGCCTCGAGCTCGGCTCGCAGAGACGCAGGCAAAAGGCTGTCCTGATCTGTGGCATGATGTCAGCTTGACATATTGATCATCATCAGATTATGCACGCTTCCCGCACACCTGGGCGGGACACGCGTAGTCCGCACGAGTCATCCGCAGCATCACCTTGGAAAGCTACCTGGCGGACAGACACGGCCGTAAACCCTTGGCAAGGTATAACTAAGGAATAAGCTTACCGGCAGTAGCCACCGATGTGGCCGCCCCAATCGCGCTGACCTCGGCATCCTCCCAGGCACTCGGGTGCGCCGCAAACGCCACATCCGCCTTCAACGTCCTGGCCGGGTCGACGAACCGGAACGAATACCGCCCGCCGAAACAGTAGCCCGTCACCGCGAGCTTGGTAACATTCAGCGTGTTGCGCAAATAGGTAACTGCAGACGTATCAGTGGATCGCGCTCTTCCGAGACGGTTCATTTACCACGAAGATATAACCACTGCTAGCGGGATGTCTCTGTCTTTCTCAGTAGACCGGCGTGTGGCGCGATACATGTTGACCCGGAAACATGATCAAGATGATAGCAGAAGCTAATAAAGTTCATGCAGGGTAAACTCACTGGCACCCTCGATGATTGGGTCCGTAACATTTGGGCCATGCTGCAGCATCTGGAGTTAGCTATCAAAGCACCAAAGAAGATTTTACGGTAATCGGGAAGAACTAACGGCGGCAAGGAAGGCAGTAGTATTAAATGTTGGGTCATTCAAGTCCGATGGCGCAGGATTTCCCTGGAACAAGTCAGGAGCGACGGTGAGATAACCGGCGCGGGCGAACGAGTCCGCGAGACTGAGGCATCTAGGTAAGCATGCTGTGGAGGAGGCCGAGGAAAGAAGCTCTCGCCTGGCTTACAGTCTGTTCTCGGTCAGGTTGATTCCAAACACATCGGTCAGGTACAGAACCGCAGCACCGCCGGTGTCTGGTGCGTCAGCCCCTGGCTTGGTGATATAGAATGTCGCTGCAGTTCCACAGGTCAGCCGTTTGTTTTCAAGACCTCATATACAAGCCACACTGACTTCCATCGACGACTTCCTCAGTGCCAACGGACTCTCCAGTATGCGCAATGATGGACGTATCGCCACCGACAGGACAATCCGAGGCGCTGGCAAGGGAAGCCGAGGCCAAGAGCGGGGCCAACAAGAGGAATTTGGTCAACATCGTGGGCGATACTGCGAAGTTGCTACAGATCTAGGTGGCTGGGAGTGTGGTCAAGAGATAGCACCGCGGTAAGGCAAATCGATTGTTGACGTTCTTATACCACACCTAGGTAGTTCCTGAGAAGGGGCAGTCACCACAGTTAAGATACGCCATTCTTGTCCTATATGTCTCCATTCAGACCGGAGTTACGTCTTTGAAGTCGAAATTGCTACCCATCCTTGTCTTGGTGCCAAGGTAATCTCCGCCCTGGCTATCGGTGCTTTGTACCGAGCTGGGGAGGTGGTTCGTGCGATGGTCCATTAAAGTTTTGATAGCCGCTAAAACGATGTGTCATTGCATCATCGAACACGGCAAATTAATTAGTAATTGAGCCGTTGCAACTTCATTATTGTCAGGGGTAGTGCCTAAGAAACCGAGCACTCGGAGATAACAACTCGACCCGACGTCGGGAGCTGCGGATTGCTTTCTGGTGACATTTGGCCACCAATCACCACGCCGAATCATGTATTATGTGTGCCGCACATCGCGGAGAGCAGTGTAAGCACAACCTGCATAACTACCCACCTCTATCCCCTTCGCCCTCCTAAGTCAGCTTTTCGCAGTGGACGAGCTGGACGAGCTGGACGAGACACGTCCAGACCGGAGTTGCCAGCGGATATATGATTACAGCCGGCGGCCACGATCGCTTACGACTTCTGTCAACGCTCAAAATACATTCACCGCCCCACCAGCGCAGTGTTCAGATTATGTCCGAGAGTGTGAAGGTCGACTCTTGAATTTCAGGTGAGGAGGTCAAAATAACAAGGTCACGGAGCCGAATAAGGGTTATAACAAGTGGTGGAAGACGAGTCCACAACCTACACCGCCATTCCAAAACCACGCAGTCATCGCATCACATCATAACGGCCGCATTCGATGTTCTGGTATATCAGTACGTCGAGGAGAGAGTGGCACTCAGCAAGTGTACTCAAGGTCCAAATGCACCAACGGTATCCCATCAAAACCAGCTGGGACCACATAAGAAACGTTGTAATAGAAATGGTCCTCCAGCGTACTGGTTGACGCTGTAACAGGTAACGCTTCCAAGCCTGGAGCAGATACGTCAACACTCAAGCATGGTAGGTCCTCCAGCCCCGTGATCTTTTTCCCGCTCAGCACCCAGCCCGGTGGGATGCCAGATACAGCAAATGTGAAAATATCGGTGCCATCCTGCGTTGTGTTGGGATACGAAACTGTCAACATCTTGGGACCGGCTACAGCGTCAACCGTCGAAGCAGTCGGGTACAGCGAGAAGAAGCCGACATATGGGGAAGGTGTCTTCTCCGGATCCGAAGCCCAGTGCACAATTGCTGGAACGAATTGTTCGCCGCGGTTGGTCGTTTCTGTCTGGGATACACCACCAACCATGACCTCCGCCGACAACCAGGATGTAGCAACTCGAACTACGTCCGTGTCAAGAGACTCCCGGATAGTCTTATTGAGAAGACGCTCCCCTTGCCATTTTCCTGTGGCCTTCAGTGCGTCCACGGTATCCTCTGGGATGTATTTCAGTGCAGTGTCCGAGACAAGTGCAATGGCAGCTCCCTGGATCACGTCGTAGAGCAAATCAGCCTCTCCCAGTAACGGTTGGCCCCCATACTCATGTCCGAACATGCTCCACCACCACAATGACAGGACAGAAGAATGGGCGGTCATGTCGCGGGTGTATGCGCGGTCGTAAGGGCCCACCATATTGCGCAACAGGGGATTGTAGTGGTCTGCGATATCTTTCCACAGCTCAGTGAGAATGTACTCAGAGTTCGTGGTCATGGTCGCGTTCTTCGGCCCGTAGGCAATATTGGCTGCTAAGGCCCAGGTGTCCATGCCATAGTAAGTCGGTGCGTTGTACTCGCCCAGAGTATTGTAGCCGTCTGACTTGAACAGCTCGAGCAGTGAGTCGCCTTGCTCATTGGCGAAGTCGATGAATGTTGAGTTATTCCGGCGGGCTCCGATCCACCCTACAACCAAAGCGCGCATAAGTGCAGGATTTGAGTAGCCCAGTGTCAGGTTGTCGTCCAGGGGATAGGTGCCATTGCGCCGCATGGCACCCACCGCAGCCTTCTCGAGAGACTCCTCGATTTGGGTGATGAGCTCATTGCCAAGCAGGTCTGAGTAAAGCTCCACGATTTGGATGAGCTGTGATCTGTTGAATATGAGTAGTTGCTCACGTGAAATTGGGAAAAGTGCAATGGCTGTGAGTGCTGACTTGCCCAACGAATTCCCTCCAGTTCGGATCATAAGTTGTCTGCATTGTGTTTTAGTTGATTGCGACGAACCAAAATTTGTAAAGGAAATGTCGCTTACATATATTTTGGGTGGCCAGTAGGTGGAATTTTCCGTGGGCTCAGGCGCGTCAAGTGACACTTTGTAAGTCCCGTACCAGGCTGAGTCAAACTCTGAAGTCATTTGGGCTCGAAGGCTGGAGGATTGTGAGTTAGCTCGCTTCCATTAATGTTAACGAAATGGAAAAACTAACACATTCTCGATGGCAGCTCTAGCGTTGTCAACGTCATTGCCCTGGTGCCTGTGCAGCAACCCAGCACAATACCATGCTGTGAACCTCGTGCTGAATTCGCCCTTCTCTTGATACCAGATGAACTTATAATAGTCATCAAACCTTAAATCTGAGACTTGCATCGAATAGTCAAATAAGCTTTGAGCGGTTATGGATTTGCTCGTTAGCCTTGATCCACTTAGCGTACCCGGCCGAGAGGTAACGCGTCTGAGCAAGGCTCTTACTTGTAGACATAGACTCGGTCGAGTTTCCAAGCACTCCCTCAAGAGCAGCTGATCCAAGCCTTGCATAGGAGAGCAAGGCAACGAGGGCAGGGCCCAGGCCACTCTTGCTTTGGCACAGCCAATGCATGGTGATTGGAAGGTCACGGAACGCCTGGGCAGAAGGGTGGGAGAGGTTGACGTGCCATTGGACACAACGTGAGAGAAACAAGAAGGGCTTTTATACGCATTCTTTCCCAAAGGATCCAAGAGACCCCTGGTGGGATGCGTGCCTAGTCCAGAAACAGGAAGCCAAGTCCATGATCGCGTCGGTCGTCGTCAGTCCTATTCTGCTTGTCAACACGCTATCACGCACATTCGTGGTCACACGGCGCGCCAACAGTTCACAATGGCAGGTTGTGATGTTCATCCGCCAATAGGGAAGTTGGCAGCAGCGAGATCCAGTGAAAAAGAGCCACAGTCAGTGGGTTCAAATCGGCTAGTCTAGCTACATATAGGAATTGGCGCTGCGGAGAAGCCTGCTTGAGAGGGGCTACTTTACGCATGGCAGGTCTTCGGCCGGGAATAAGATCATCTCAAGGGGAAATTAACGCGGGTGGCTTAAACCTGGAGAGGAAAGGTGACTTCCTTTAATTAGTCTAACATCATGATGTATGGGCTAGAACTCAGAGTCAACATTGCTGTGAAACGCCTTGCCCACCGAGGCTCCCCCTGCCTCTCGAAAAGGATCACGCCCTGACTATGCCACTTTGACAACTTTTGCTTCTGGGTTCGAAGTGTTGGCACGCATGCAGCTGAGGTTGAAGCCGGATGATAAGTCACACTTGCAAAACCTCAATCTCAGATAAACCGAGCCTCAGGGTAACCGGCACAGTGCGCGATAGCTAGTTTGTCAGCCATGAAAGTAAGTATGATCACTTTACTAGAGCAGATGCATTTCGACCGGGAATCCTGCCCAGGTGAATCCTGTTTTGAAAATCGGTTCTCAAGACGACCTCACTACTTTTGGGCCTAGGATTAACACCACAATTCACAACGAAGCTCCATTGAGTCTCCACCTGAGCCAGAAAACAAATCTACTTTGAAAATAAACTATTCAGGTTGCTGTGAGCTCCTACTTCCGGCGGCCGAACTCGGTGGTTAGCAGTACCTTCAATCCTCCGGGGATCTTATGCTCGTGGAATTTGGCGTAACATTCAGAGACATTCTCAAAATCATCTGTTCACAATTTAGTATTCGAAACAAGCTAGACCATCCATGCACAGGTTCATGCGAGGGGCCTTACCTTCATGTGTGAACATCCAAGACGGGTCGTACTTCCCTTGAACGACCAAGTCCAACAGATACGGATGGTACCTCTGAGCCATCAACTGTCCGCCACGGAGGGTGATGGTTTTCTCCATCAGCATGCCGATAGGAAATGAGTGAGTCTCGAAGAAGAAGTCGCCAATCAGAGCCACGTTTCCACACTTTCTCGTAGCCTTGATTACCTCCGCAATAGTATCACCGCTGTCTCTCTCAAGCATGGTATCTCGCAGGAACCTGTGCTTGGCGCTCGCTGCGCTTCTGAAACCGCTTGCCTCGATACCGCGATCCAGACCACCGGGCTGAACCGACAAGATATAGTCCGCAACATCCTTGTGCTTGTTGACGTCGACTGGCTCCAATCCGAAGTTTTCGGCTAGCTCGAGTCTCTGCGGGTCAACGTCCACGATATACACCCTCTTCGCGCCCCTTATATCCTTAGCGAGCCGAGCTATTGACAGACCAATGGGACCAGCACCCCATACGCCGACAATATCGCCCTCGCCGACCTCGGCCAGCTCGCAACCATGCCATGCAGTCGTCGTCACGTCCGCGAGGCCGACCAGTTTCTTCGCGTCAATATCGTAGGGCGCCTTGACGCACACGAGGTCCGCGTTCGGCACACGGCAGTACTCGGCCTGATCGCCGGGATAACCACCAGTTAGATGTGAGTACCCGAAGATACCAGCAAGTCGGTGCCCATACATCCCCTCCATCTCCTTGCTTGGGTTCGTTTTGTCGCACAGGGAGAATTCCTTCCTCTTGCAGTACTCGCAGTCGCCGCATGCTATCACCGGAAGGATGATAACGCGGTCTCCTGGGGACAGGCCCTTGACTTCTGGGCCAACCTCGTCGATAATCCCGATGGCCTCGTGGCCCATGATGTCGCCCTTCTGCATGGCCGCGTTCAGATCGCCTGCATACATATGCAAGTCCGACCCGCAAATGGTGCAGTGCGTGATCCGCACGATTGCATCCGCCGGCGCGGTAATCCCAGGGCGAGGCACAGTGCCTAGGGTAATGGATTTCTTGCCGGTCCATTGGGCGGCTTTCATCTGCTTGCCGCTGGGATGCGGCTCGTAGCCAGTCGTTGCGACCTTGCTGTGGACAATTAGTGGTGGGAACATCGCTTTTATTGCAAGATATTGCCATACCCTGAAGAAACTTCTGTCATGATGGATATGACTCGTGGTGTGAATGTTGAATGTGTTTTATTTTGGTATCCGGTCGATCTGATAGAACTTGAGCAATATGGAAAACAACTTTTTTTATTATTTTTATTTCCCAGCTCCCTAGTTACAATTTTGTATTATATAGGCAAGTCCCGTGGTATACGTCTCAATCATGTAAGACATCTTTTGAGCAACAGGTTTTGACCTTTTGTATCATGTTTCTGATTTATGTTCATCATTATCGGCCCATTTCGGTCAGCTCGGCCTTTGCCTTCATTCTTATATCATGGGTCTTGGCACGAATTGTGGTGGGCCTGACTTACTTCAAACCGGATTTCTACATTTAGATGGTGATGAGTGTCGCTATCCCCACAAAAGACGAGGCCGGAATTGTAGGTAGTCAGATTCTGACCTCTTTTCTCTCTCTTCCACTACGAGATGACTTAGTTCCAGAGCTGCAGCCTGGAGAGGAACGTGGAGATTAACATGTAATGATTTACAGGCGGTGGTCCTCTTTGACGTATTTCCCCACAACATGCTACAGTCGAATACATACAGCAGGAAGATGTTAGACCCAACGCAACAGATTAGAAAACTTCCTGATCCTTTGACTGATCGAAGAGCGGTTTTGATCGGTTGGATTGGATTGAATATTCTGCCGTGACACAGTACTGAAAAGAATCCACACCACACCTGAGTGGACTCCGATGATCAACCGGTGACGATCTTATGGGATCAAGGCCACTTTTGATAATCAGGAAAATACGCATCGTGTATCCTCTCAGCATACTCAAGCAATACCGGATACTGCTTGACAATGCTCTGTGACTCAGGACCACTGTGCCCACAGTGTTAGTTCAGGGAAAGAATCACGAAACTAAAAGGAAAGGGGAAGCCTGACGCTGTGCATAGTAATACAGAAACAATAAACCCAAAAATGACCGTGTCAACTTCCGTCGGCTCATCGCCTCCTAGAAACCAAAAAGGCCGTGCTTTCGGGCTCGAAGTTCCGGTTGATCCGGCAGTCTGTGACGATCGGACAGCAGCCAGCACGCCGTTGATGCTGTCCCAGATCTCGCATTTCGATGCGCGGATCTCCTCGTCCGTCAGTCGCAGTGTCCCCTGACCGTACAGCATGGCATTGTGCTTGCGGTACACGAGCTGGCCGACGAGCACGCGCATGGGCCACGGTATCGGCGACAGTGCATAGTCGCGCATGGTATAGTAGTGGTCCATCCATCTTTCTTTTGTCTGGGGAAAGCAAATCAGTCTAGAATAAGCCGGCCTGGCCGCACAGTGGCAGTCCGCGAACGCACGTGGTAGAAATACAGCTTCTCCTCCAGCAATGCTCTGGTGGCCAAGTCTCGCGCGCGATCCTCGGCGGAGAGTTTCCTATTCAGGTCAGGTAAAACCCCTTCCTCGACGAAGTGCTTCGCAATGAGGCCCGAGTCTCCCATCTGCACCAAGCCATCGCCATTCGATGGCTGGTACTCCACATACGGGATCTTCCCCTTTGGTGCGGCTCTCGGACTGCCGGCATCAACTTTGTAGGCCACGCCGGCGAATCGGAGCCGGGCTTCAAGTTTGACGACGAACGGTGACCAGACGTATTCCCCCTGGCCGACCCAGCCCCTATAGACCTTGAGGTCGGTGACTGATACCATGGTCTCCGAATTCTGGCCAGATTTAAAAGATGCAGATTATTTCTGGTCTTGTAGGTGTCTGGGCAGCTATTCCCAAGATACACAACCGCAAGTAAACTTGAAAAGCTGCGAAGAGTAACATAGCCCAATAGCTTAGCAAAAGTCTCAACACGAAGGTCATTGCCCATGACTTTATGCAAATGCTGGGACCAGAAGGATTCCAGCGTGCTGAGCCCAGTCCGCCAGGCTGCCGTTGCGGCTGGAGTGTCCGAGAACACCGAATCATGCCGGCTCCCGTCATCCCCCAACGTGGCGGATCGCGACGTTGCGCCCCCAAACCGGCCGCTAAATTGGGAACGAGCGAGCGAGCAAGCGGCGAAACGCGACGCGAGGTCACATGTCAAAAACTCTAATTAGAAACCACCATCATTGCCTAGTCAGTGCATCAGCATAGCTGCACATGCATCCTCTTTGTGCAAGCTTCAGAGAATGCGCCAGAGCTCACATTTGGTGGAATGTGTTTGCAGCTGTCGATCGACTGATAACGGATTCTCGGGAGCGCAGGAAGGCACAGACAGAACAATGGATGCATTGAGTCGTTTGAAAATGCTTTCATTAAATTTCATAAATATTTACGTACAAATCATTAGACATAACGCTCATCTACAATATTAGACGTGCCTAAATCAATCATTGAATCCAGTCGTCCGAGCTGCGACCTCCCTCCACTGCCTCCTCTTAGCTAACAAGCGCCTCGGGCACTCAGAATCTGGTCGCTGCTCATTACGACTGGCGGCTCCCTTGGCTCTGCCTTTCCCGATGCGAAGCGGCAATGTCATGTTTGTAATGGTCCATAACAGAGCCGTCGACATTCTCCTCAAAGGCATCGATCTTCGCGGACGCGAACTTGCGCGCTGACACGCCTTGCTCAAAGAGCATGTCCAGCTCGGCGAACGTACGGCCGGTGGGCTCGGGCACACGGAAGTATGTGTAGACGATGCAGCAGAAGCAGATGCCGCCCTGCGGAATTGTGTTAGTAAACGTGAACTTTCAAGAGGGGGAGCGTAGAGGGGTGAGAAAGAGGGGCTTGTGCTTACCCAGAAGAACCCAGCAAAGTTGCTCCAGTTCCAGGCGCTGGGGTTGAGCATGTAAGGCGTGAGCACACTGCAGACGATGCCGACGATGATGTACAGCACACGTCCCAGCACGACGGTCTTGATCTGCAGGCGGCGCGAGGACATCTCGGCGACGAGCGAGTAGCAGACCGTTCCGACGGTGAGCTGGTAGCACAGTGCCCAGCCGAGCATGATGGATCCGGTAGCAATCGAGGCCTCGTTCTTGTGGGCGGCTGGTACGAGACCAAGGAAGCCGAGGACGAAGAGCATGATGCAGAGGCCGCAAAGCCCGTAAAGGTACAGGGATCGTCGACCAATGCCGAGGGTCATGAGGCCCCATGCACCAAACACGCCGACCATGTTCATGCCGTACTGGCCCAGGGCAAAGCCATAGGCCGAGGTGTCACTCAGACCGGCTGATTCGAGGAAGTATGTGGAGTAATTGGAGAAGGAGTTGCCCGAAAGATTCTGGATGGCCCAGACCATGCACACGATCTCGGTACGGCGCAGGTCGTGGCCCTTGAAGCAGTCGAGATAGCTCGCGCCAGATGTTGTCTTCTCTTCGAGGGCGGTGGTGTGTACCATCATCGCAACGGTTTCGTCAGCGTCGAAGTCGCTCTCGTGCGACCGGCTCGTAAGTCGCAGTAGTGATTTCTTGGCCTCCTCGGTGCGGCCTTTGCGGACGAGCCACCAGGGGGATTCGGGCGCGAAGAAGATGCCAATGGCCAACGGGACGGGCCACATCCACTGCAGAGCGTAAGGAATGCGGTAGGCCCACTCGTCATCGCGCTTCAGCATGGCCATGATGACGCCGATGCCGATCTCCTGGCCGAGGCCCCAGCAAAAGTTGACGTAGGTCGTCAGGTATCCTCGCATGGCAACGGGGCAGACCTCGGAGGCGTAGGTGACGGTCAAGGTCTGGAAGACACCCCATGGGATTCCGCAGAGAATTTCGGCAGCCAGAAGGGTCTGCACGTTCTGGGCAGTGAAGAACAGGGCGGTCCAGCAGCAGATCAGGCCCAGGCAGGCGATGACGGTCCACCTGTACCCGAAGCGTTCCGAGACAAAACCGTTGATGAGCAAGCCGATCAGCTCGCCGACGTTGGCGCCATTGGACAGGCCGGCTTGCCATGCCGCAGGGACCTGATAGGTGCCGTCTGCGAGCTGGATGCCGTACTTGCGGTTGAACTGGTTGAAAGCGTAGAAGTTGTTGATGAGGCAAACGTCGTAGCCCTCCATGACGATGCAGGTTGAGATGAGCATACTCCAGAGGATGGCCTTGGGGTACAGCTTGATGCCCTGCAGCAGGGTCATCTTCTGCTCCTTTTCGGTCGCGGACTTTGCGAAGTCGAGGATCTTGTCCATCTTGGCGTCGTAGACGTCGCCGTTCTTCTCGGAGTCATAGTCACGACCAGACTGAGGCGCGGCAGCCTCGGACGCGATGATGTCCCCTTCTGTCTTGGACATTTTGTCGATTGTGTCCTCGCAGGAAAGACTGAGATCGGCGGGCTGGCGATGATGGACGCGTTGACCGTGTTGTCGTGCGTGTCCTGTCTGTCCTGTCGTGATGCTTGGGCGGAAGTCCAGGCCAGACAAGCAGAGATTGATAAGGCGAGATGCGGGCGGTGAGGGTTGAAGGGCTTTAGCTCCAGGCCGCGTGCTAAGAGGCGCGAAGAGTGGAAACCGCTTTTCTGCCCGTGGACTGATTTGCGAATTAGGACTGAGTCGCCCAGTCACGATTGAAGGTGTCGAGCAGCAACTCCCCAACAGAGGTGTTTTGAAGGTGGGAGGAGCGTCCTCTTATCGTCGCGTCAAACACATCAAGAACCCCCAGCCCTCGTCGTTTGAGTTCTAGAATAATCTCGCCCTGGTCGAAGCGCCATTCCCAATGCCATCTGGAGTCCGAGGTTGGTTTGATTTGCCTGATCCAAAAGTGGAGCGTTAGCGGGCGGTCGTGGGCGGAAGCGTGACTAATTTAATTCGAACGGCCGAACCCACCCGAGTCAAAAGCCAAAGCAACGCGTTTGTAGCTGAAGGACGGACGGGCCAACGGTTGTCAGCCCAAGACGGCCCCAAAACTGCTGGCCGGTACATCGTCGTCGGGGTCCAATGGCCTGGATTCGGGTCCTTTGTCGCGTGCTTGGCCTCCAATCACCAGCAGGCAAGTCCCCGTCACCCCGCACCCGTCGGCACTCCTTTCAAGCTATTCTGCCCAGGAACTACTGTGCCCAAACGCCCAAGGGGTCTAGCCTGCGACCATGTAAGCTCAGTGCCAGATCTGGGTGCATTTTCCGACGGGGAAGTGGTGGGTGCAGAGCAGCTATGCTTTGGTGGCTTGTCGGTGGTGAATGAGGGTGACTGACAGGCGGGTGTGGGGTTGCTGAAATGTCGGGATGGAATGCTGGTGCTTGCTGGTGCTTGCTGGTGCGGCAAGGGTGGCACTGGTGGGTGCTTGAAAATCGCCGGTGGGTGATTCGCTTGTGAACTAGTGCGGGGTAAGCGCGGTGCTGGCCATTGGTCCACTCGATGCGGGGTGGGGGAGAAACAAGACTTAGCGGCCAGCCAGCCAGCCAGCTGCAGCCAGCATTGCTCGTTCGCTCCCCTCTTTCCCCCAACTTTCCGTCGTGTCGTGTTGTACCCAGCCAGACGGTAAGTGGCTGCAAGCTCCAGAAACCAGACGGTGGCACAGGCACACGCATGAACATGACATGGTGCTCGACCTGCTGATGCTGCGGATCCCGTCCAAAACCGAGAACCGAACCTCGAACCTGGAGAAGAGCCCTGTCCTTAGCTCCTGGCCTTCCCTGCCTTGGGCAAGCGTGTGCTCTCCTTGTCTGTGTGGCCCTGGTCGCTTGTCTCGTGGATTTTTACCCCCTTCATCCTCCCCGCTGAGCCTCCTCCTCGCTCCAAAGCATCATCAAGCCCTTGCTAGAGCCCATTGTCTTCTTATGATTTCCTCTTCCTGCTCGGCTCCTCCATTGAACTGTCTGTCGCCCATTCGACTCATCGGAAATCTCGCCTCTTTTGGGACATGACTCGGACGTTTTTCTTATCTTCGTTTTTCCGCTGTTGACTGGTGGCCCGCTTCGACTGCCCAGCACACCAATCATCGCTGTCGTCGTCGCCGCCGTTGTCACACCTTGTCTGCCACTCAGATGAGCCCCCCGTGGTCGGTGGATTCAGTCGAGTTCTAGCAACTTCGTTGGTGCCGTGTTGAATCGGGTCTCGAATCTGAGATCTGCTGTGCATCGGAGTCGAGTCCAGACTACACCGCAGTATAGTCCAGTGATGCCCTCGTCCAGTCCAAGGACCACCAATCGGCCCGAAGGTTTTGTGGCCCCAATTGGATGGTGAGTCTTCAGCCGCGTCGCCAAGTGCTTCTCGCTTCTTTTCGTTTCCGCGTCTTCGGTGTTGGTCGTTGCTTTTGTCCCAATCTGTCGGTATCAGGCTCTCTCCCTGATCTACACGTGCAAGTTAGCTTTCAAGAATAGATCGTCCAAGCTAATCAGATCCTTGTCTCACCCTGTGACCAGCCAGAGCTGCCGAGATCAACATTTGAAATGTGAGTTCTTTTCAATTGTTCCACGCCCCGGCCCTGGCCCTGACCCTGGCTCTGACCGGCTCCCAATGCCGGAGCACGATGATGCAGCTACGGGGGTGGGCACGTGGAATCCCGGGCCTGGATTCCATCACATTCGGTGACACCTCCGGCCCCTGGCTCCACACCTCCGTACACGCTGTCGTCCCACCTCTCAAGGCCCCGCCAAAGCCTCACCAGATCGCGAAATTCGCTGATAATCGGTCCTCCATTTCCAGGTGACCGAGTAACTCCGGTCTGCGGACGCTGTGCAACCAACAACAAAGAATGCACCAGAGGATACAAGTTCCGGGTTAAGAATGGTGAGTGCCCTATTCATTTTCGTGCAGAATCCTGTCGACTTGTCAAGGCTCTTCCGAGGTTCCGTGCACCATCATGGCGTCCGCTGACTCCGCTCCCCAGGACCTTTCTCGAAGAAGCAGAGATGGATCAGGACACCTAGGAGATGTGAGTGATCACAACGTATAGTAAATCTTTCCGCAATTCTGACATGGCTCTGCAGTGAAATTCGTTGACGAGACCGGTGCTGCATCGGGCGATGGCGACGCGACTCCCGTTGTTGATGCTTTCCAGGATGACTGGCCCGACTCCATCTCAGAAGACTCTGGCACCGCCATCACTGCCACCACAACCACCACGGCCACAGATGGCAGTGGTGGTCTATCAGGAAACACCAACTCTTGTCCGCCGGTCCTTCCGGTTGGCTTGGGCCGGCAGCGATCACCGACGGATCGATTCCTCATGCATGATGACCATCTGGTATCCCCCGTGAGGGCCCTGCCTGGGTTCCAGAATCTGACACTGGCCGTCTCGGATTCTATCCCGGCAACGATGCCAATGGTTATCCCATTTGAGATGGAGGCCGAAGACCCAGAGGTCCGGGCTATGCGAGCACAAATATATCGTGACAAGGACATATGGCCTCTGGAGAGTCGGGAAGAGGCCATGCTATTTCGGCACTTTATCCAGAAGCTATCAATATGTGTAAGTACTATGACCGCTCAGTCATGGCTCCGGAAATCATGCTCACCATCTCCCGTGTGGATGCAACAGCTTGACGTCTGCGATCCGAATCAGTCATTTGAGACCGTTGTTCCCCCGCGTGCAGGAACTTGCAAGATCCTCATGAACGCCATTCTAGCCCTCGCCGCCAAACACCTTCACAATACTGAGTCCTACGACCCGTATGCTTCGGACCGGTACCACCAAGTTTGCTTGAATACGCTCATACCGATTCTGAATCATGAGCACCACACCATGTCAGATGAGAATCTCTTCGCTGCAACAATCATTCTTCGAATGTGGGAAGAAATGGAAGTGAAGCACTCTGGCGTCGACGCGCACAGCTATCTCCTCGGCATTCAAGCGTTTGTCCACCACAGCGTGGGTGGAGATGGACCCTTGGGAACGCGATATTTGATGCCTGGCTCTCTGAGCGGTGCAGCCTTCTGGGTAGGCCTGAGACAGGAGATATACAGCGCCATGATGAACCAGGAGCCCGTGCGCATCAATCTCGTGCACTCCCTCGTAGACAGGTCACTTGTGCCGACTGACGACTATGGCTGGGCAAATAGAGCATGCGTGCATTGCGCGGACGTGCTGAACTTTTGCTTTGGTGATGGTGCGGCGGTGTCGAGAGGAGGCGGCCTGCAGTGGTGGGCTGAGCTGGACGACTTCAACCGGGGATGGACAGAAAATTTGCCCTCAAGCTTCACACCAATATTCCTTCGTGAAGCGGATAAGGCGAAGGGAGAGGTGTTTCCAGAGGTCTGGTATCAGAGTGCTTGTCATGGTAAGTGACTTCTGATATTGAATGCGGAGCGTCGTAGACCTCCGACCTCCATATCAGCTGATACTTGTTCGAGATGGCATGATACTGACACAATGACGCAGCATTGGGAGTACAACATCACTTGCTGGCGGAGCTGTTCCTCGTGAGCTTCGACCCTAAAATACCCCGAATAGGCGGACAGAGGAAAGAAGCGGCGAAGAGAACCAATGTAAGTAACGTGACAACGCGGCCAAGGTGTCATGCCGAGTGATACTTTCAGCCTTGTGGGCTAAGATTTCCGGCTGACACGTTGAAACCCCTTTCGCAGGAACGCATCCAGGACCTCGTGCGGAAAGTATGCGGCATTGGATTATGCAATCAGTGGACACCACCAAGCATGTTCACGGCCTGCATGGCCATCGCAGCTTGTTAGTACCTATTGCTTCCCTATTCCCCTTTACGTCGAAGATCCAGACCCAACCCCCAAACTCTCCCAATAGTGTCCGCCAATTCACCGTTGCCCTGAGGCAGTGAACGAATGGACAGGCGGGCCGAGCAGCCAAGAAGAGTAACTGACTTACAACCCATGCAGTTGGAGATCAATTTCAAGACCGCCGGGACCAGGAGGCGTGTATGGACCTCCTGAAGAGGACCGAGAAGGATCACGCACGCCCTACCGAGGCAGTGCAGCAACAGATGATGAAGTCATGGGATTGGACGGCCGGCTAACGATAGCTCTGGCCGGAGCCACGGAAGACAAAGATTTGCTAAACGATGATTGTTTTCATCTCAAGCGCAAGGGCCGCAGTAGCCCTGACACTGATACAGCGAAAGTGACGAAACGCTGCAGCCAAGCGAGAAGAGGGCAAGAATTTCCGGTACGGTGTGTTGGAAGCGAACAAGGAATTGTGCGTCGGTCCGTCTCGGATGACGGGAACAAGCCCTGGCCTGGCCCCTTTACCCCAAGGACCCTGAATTCTGCGTCAACGCCAAATTCTCGGCCAAGAGATGGAAGAGAAGGAGGAAAAGGAGAATGCGGAGGATCGACGATACGCAGAAACAGCAGAACCTGCGGTCGTCTGTCCGGTGATGAAAGGGTGTGGAGTGTCTCGGGAATTTTGACTGTTTTCGAGTCGGGAGCCAAATACGGTCAATTGACTAAGAGATGATTGGTGTCTGCCGGCCCACGCCAGCAGGGATCTATCAAGTCGTGTTTCCGAAAGAGGTCAAATTTGGCGATTGACACCCTGCCCATGCCCAGCGGTTCCCACCGTGCACGACATCCAAGATCCAAATTGTGGGGAAGGCCAGATCAAACTGATGGGCATTTTCCCCGGACAACTCACGACGTCAACGGCGCATCTGGAATTCCCATCCTTAGAAACTGCCGTGGAGGGGGTGGACCGCTTACAAGTTTGGGGAAGAGTGGATCATGCTACGACATGATGGCAGTCAGGAATGTACCGCCTAACACCGTGTGCCTGTCTGAGGGTGTGTCTCTGGTAAAGTTTCGTCCTCGGACTTGGCCTCTTCAGGAACCTCGCCAGTTCCGTCTTCGAAGGCAACTTTCTCCGCTTGTCAATACACAAACTCTGAGAGGGCGAGAGCGACCGATCACTCTACGTCTTTGCGGCCTGCTGGATATTTAAACCCATCCTCACTTGGAATCTACAAGCCGTCGAGTATCAACTTCCTACTTCATCATCTCCATCTCGAATCATTGTCAAAGTCTTCCAAAAATCAAGCGATCTTTGACAGTGCAGCTATTCAGTAGCCAAAACCCCCTTCCAATCTTTTTTAGCTTTTCCCCGCCCACAAACCTCCAAAATGGCTCCCGCCGCCACACTGGACTTCAGCGTCAAAGATGGTGCCGCCATGGATGCCACCTCAGACGCCATCGATGCCGTCAACGTGCTCAAGGACCAGGCCAAGCAGGATATGGCCGAACGGCTGGCCAGCTACGACGATGAGTCCAAGTTCGACAGCGAGAAGGACAAGACACAGTTCCGGGACTTCGACGCGGCATGCGACCGGGTCAAGAACTTCTACCGGGAGCAGCACGAGAAACAGACGGTGGCATACAACCTGGCGGCGCGGCTGAGGTTCCACAGCGCATCGCGGGTGCGCCCCGAGATGACCATCTGGGAGGCGATGGAGAAGCTGGACACGCTCGTCGACGAGAGCGACCCGGACACGGAGCTGGGGCAGATCAACCACCTGCTGCAGAGCGCCGAGGCGATGCGGCGCGACGGCAAGCCACGCTGGATGCAGCTGACGGGCCTGATCCACGACCTGGGAAAGCTGATGCTCTTCTGGGACGGCTTCACGCAGGGCCAGTGGGACTGCGTCGGCGACACCTTCCCCGTCGGCTGCCGCTTCGACGAGGGCTGCATCTACCCGGACACCTTCAAGGGCAACCCGGACTACGACCACCCCGTCTACGGCACCAAGTTCGGCATCTACTCGCCCGGCGTCGGCCTCGACAACGTCATGCTCAGCTGGGGCCACGACGAGTACCTCTACCATGTCGTCAAGGACCAGAGCAAGCTGCCCGACGAGGCCCTCGCCATGATCCGCTACCACAGCTTCTACCCCTGGCACAAGGAGGGTGCGTACCGGGAGCTCATGAGCGAGAAGGACCATGAGATGTTGAAGGCTGTCAAGGCTTTCAACCCTTATGACCTGTACTCTAAGAGCGATGGTATTCCCAGCGTGGAGGAGCTCAAGGTTAGTCATCTTACCTATTCCCAACATCTAGCTACCTGATCCTTTACTAACTTATCCTCCACTCTAGCCATACTACTTGGAGCTCATCGATGAGTACTTCCCACAGAAGGTCATCAAGTGGTAGACGATACCACGAAGGATTCACGGTCTTTACGTGATGAAACTTTAGTCATGATAGAAAGCGATTTGATTTTTGTGTTACTCAAGAATATCTAGAAGCCGGCTACAATGATTGGCCTGGTATTCCTTCTCCTTATGATGTCTATCTCTTTGGTATGGAATGGGTCAGGAAACACCCATGGAGGTTATGTCCCATGCAGGGCTCCCACAGGAAACACCATATTGGTGTATAGCGAATAAATATATTCCACAGAGACGCATACGTTCTCACTACACCAAGACTGTGATGAGAGATTCTCTTGAAATTTTGTGACTCAATCGTGAAGGGATTCGTTTTGGCCTGAGATAACGAAAGACAGAACGCCCACGAAAGTTCTTGTGTGACAGTCATCTAGCGAGGGTCGACCTTGTCCGTTGCACAGACATTTGAAGCCTCGTTCGAAAAGGTTGGCAAGGTCTGTAAGTGACTGAGCAGAAACGGGTCTCCGAGACACTCCGGGCGTAATCCATCGTGTATGCACGGCAGGAATGAAAATAATCCGCAGGTTAGCAATCAAAGGCCATGTTCAAGATGTAGAGGTCCTAGTGATACGGCAGCCTCGTCTGAACCCATATCGTCCAGCACAACCCGAGGGCATTCATCGCTGAAATAGAACCAAGCCGGTCGGAAAGGCAATTGGCGCATGCATAGCTCACGCTGCACCAGGCAGTTGAGTCTCCTTATCACGTCGCTGGCTTACGTCTCGCACAAGCAAGCGGCATTTCCCAACAGTTGCTGAAGAGTGTTGTATGTGTGACAGGGAAGCTTAGGTGTGACTACATGCGGCTGAGCGTATCGAGGCGATAACATCATTGATGAATACTCATCCAATTGTCTCCTTGTCCCACCTTGTGCTCACAGACGCAGCATCTCGGAAGGGAAACAAACTTCATTGTGCATTACACCTGATCCAGAAACACAGCCGGTGTAGCAAAAACCGCAACGAGGCAACAAGACGTGCAGTGTAGAATTTGAAATTCCTGTCACACCGAAATCTCTTTCCTTTTTATCATTGGCTTCGAAGACTGAGGGGCAGATTCTCCGTGTTACCCAATATGCAAGTGGGTGTCTCCATCATTCCGATTTTCTGCAGCTGCTCAATGTTGTCACCGACCATCTCCGAGTTCATGCTGAAGCTGATTGGCCATGCCAGGATTCATGGGCTGGAGTTCATGGGTGGCGGTACGCACGGTATCGCAAAGGGGAAGGTATCGTTGATCAAGCTGTAAGATAGACAGTCCCACGGATACCTATACAAGCACCCCTTCAATAAGAACACACCCCAGCCTGGAACAAGTGCAGCCTCTGTTCAAAAGAGAATACCGGTATTGACACGAGGAACATATCAGACACCCACCAAATAATGCCCGGAGCCTAATTGCATCGACCACAATCTCCGTCCCCATTACCATCTCTCGGTCCGCGTTCTCCACCGCGACAATGCCTCTTGGTGGTCGTTCTTGGTCGGGAAGTCGAGCGGGTTCCACATACAGTGTGCTCTCCCATCTCCCATCCACTCTGGTGGGGGCGTCACCCGCTCCCAGGCATCGCGGTACACACCCGTCACGCGTATTGGTTCCTCGGGGTCGACACGTTGAGTGTTCGTCTCATCTGGCAGGACAGGCAGCGGACATGCAAATTCGTTGCTGGCTTCCTTGGTTTGGAAAAAGTCCATCATGGCCTTCTTCTGCAAATCCGTCAACAGGCAGATCCGATATGTGACCTGATCACGATCAGGATGCAGGTAGACAGCATCTGACTCCCCACGCGCCTGTGCCGCGCGGTCAAAAAGAACCACGCCGCCAAGGATGCGGGACTCTGCCCAGTACCCTGCCATGTCTGCCGCGCCTTCGGGGTAATTTTCCACGTCGATGTACCACAAGTGCCGGAAAAGAGTAGGAGGTGGCCCGTGGGGGTTAAATTGCCACCACACCTCCCAACGGCCATCTAGGTCGTCTGCGTCCTTCGGCGGCTCCCAGGTGTGGACGTCCTTTACTGATGAAGAGGTCGATATTGAGAGATCAGGGTTGTTGTTGTAAAGAATCACGGCCACCTGGTGGAGGGAGCGTGCCATGATCTCGATGAGCCGAGTCTTGAAAGCTCTAGACCCTGGAGAGGCTCTTGAAAAATCATCTAAGAGCTGCCATCGGTAAGCACGGAAGGTTCAGAACGAAGCAGTGAGAAAATTAGAGTGGCTTAGTACCGTGGAATCGAATTGTAGGGTTCCAGGATCAAAGCCGGTGCGGAACCTGCGGGTGGTCTCAAGAATCCCGGCGCTGAGTCCGGTATGGGCGAAAATCGGATGATCATCACATAGCAGGTCGCCGTAAGCATCCCTAAATACGTCTATGAGAGGTAGGCCATCGATGATCTGTGCATAGGTCGATTCAGCGATCTCGGTATTGAGGATATTTGATATAGCCAGCCTAACGGCCTTTTGATGCGATTCATCTAGTATCTCGATCGTAGCTGTGCGTGTTGAGGCGTTTGCCTCCTCATCATCGCTATTAGTATAGTGCTGTCGATCCATGTTCGCAATGAAGACAAGCAAGAGAACGGAATGGGACAATCAGTATCCCTTGGTTCGAGATTTATGGGATCGAGCGGGGAGGCAGCAAGTTATGACACTGAAGAGAGTTGTGAGCTGTTTTGTCGTGCAGATGTTTTATCGTGAGGTATGTAAAAGCTTGAATAACAATTGTTAAGCAGATGCAGCAAAGAGGGTGCCTATAAAAACATGTAAGTTGATTAATTGGTATCGAGAATGAGCTTGCTTTGGTGTGTGTTGGGGTCGTAGGAGTGGTCGAGATGAAATTTACACTGAACGTCACGAGCATGAGTGAGGTGTGAGCGGATCAAAGGTGGATCGCTAACTAACCCGTTCGGGACACGCTGGGACCAAATTCATGGAGAAGTATACAGCTCTTAGCTACATCGTTTACATACACACATTTTGTGACCACCTTTTTGCGGCTGATCTACATTGCGGCTGAAGGCATCCATCCTGGTTCCATGGACACGCTGATTAAGCTTCAGGTCACTGAGTGATACAAGGCTCTGGGTTCGCGTACATAAGACTCCGGTTTTCCCTTCACGGCCGGTCATTGGTGATCCCCGGTCGGTGCAAAGCATCAAGAAATAGTTCTCATTCAATATTTTTTATTCAACATGACAGACCAATTGAATACCAGTAACGACCAAGCATCAGACAACAACAATGGCAAGGAGATCGGAGATAAGGTAGACGAGTGGCACAAGCGCGGCGTTACAAAGAATTACTATCGAATGGAGGCTAAGCAGGCTCTAAAACATATCGAAGACCTCCGGAAGCCTGGTTTCGAAGTACCGTTGGAAAAAATAGAAGACGATGAGCGTCGAATCTTGAAGAATCGCACGAGGCTCTGCAAAGTTCAGAGTACGAAAGAACTGCTAGAAAAATTGCAAAAGTCGTTCGAGGATTGGTGGGTCGAAGCAAAGAGCGACAAGGACACAGTGATTAAACATTCATGGGATCAGCGTTGGAAACTCGTCAAACCCCAAATCTGCTCCGAGCCTGGCAAAGACGCGAGGGGAACCAGAGATAGCGACGACCCTGACGACCCTGCACACGACTACAACGCCGCTTTCATGTTCTTCGAGAAAGACGAACAACATTGGAAAGGGGTGACTTATCAAGGTCAAGCGTTTCCGAAGTATGAGAACTTTCCCCACCAGAGAATATCGGTCCACAAAGCTTTGTATGACAACACTCACAACCCATTCGATGTCACTCAAGATGAGAATGGTCAACGGTATCTGCGGTACATCCATTTACCAGCAAACCATATGGGTGTAAGTACAGCTGCACGTAATATTCTTGGGCTCAAACTATGCTAACAAAACAACGTCGATGCACAGTGGGTAGAGGTATTTCAGATTCAAGGGGCGGGCCCGAGTCGCAAGACTCTGTAATTCAGAAATGGGCTTGCTGACTTCAACTTTGAGTAGCAAGCTATGTCCAGATACCATTGCGAACACGAGAAAGACACGGATAAGAGAGTGAAGACCAACCAGACTCTGTCCCGTGAATTTTGGAAAGGCCAATTGCACGGCAGCGGCCTGGGGAGAAATCCGATTCACGCCACACACATGAGATCTCGTTGTTCTGTCATTCCAGGAGGTATGTGCATAACATTACAAGGCCCTTGATCCAGACTTCCAACGAATATATATAGAGGGAGTGTGTTAACTTAATCAAGAAACACAATCACTATTCGGCGAACATAAAGTGAGCCCAACAGCGGTAGAATCGAAAATGGGCTTACGAGTGGAGAGGAGGTCTCTACAAAAAGATGTGGCTGTATTTGTAGGTCATGAATGCTGCTTTGAGAGTACGGGGCTGATTTTCCCTAGATGCCATATCTGCATTGGGAGACTTCTGGCCGTAGAGCACGAATGGCAAAAGCTGTGCGAGCGGTACTAAAGGAAGAGGAGGCCAAAAATGGGCCCTTGAAACACCGTTCTAACAGGTCCGCAACGATGAGGCAAAACCTACAAAAGTACAAGGTCCAGTTCCAGCCACCAAAGCATGACCCTCGTGAGCTAGTGGAGAAGTGGAAAGAGAAACGCGAGGAGTTAGTTTAACAGTGTCATAAATGGCTGTGACTAGACCAGAGAATGGCTGACATTAGATTAGACCATCAAAGCTTGGACGATACCTTCTGCACCTCGCGCAGCTATGGGAAGCCATGGATGTGGAGCTTGACGAGAGGCTAGTGAAGAAAAGCCTGGTATCACGGGACACCGAAGGCAGGGCATCGGAACCATCCCTGCATGTTCGCCGAACGTTGGATCAGTCCTACTTCCTGAACCTCAACGATACTTCTCAACGTGACCAAGACCAGGTTGTGTATCGTGCGACACAGGGGCGAGGGAACCTCACACGTGTTGTGATGGTTGACCAGCTATGGCTCTGGGTCCTAGACGAACGTGAGATTCATCTCTGTCCTGTACTCTCATTGCGATTTATCGGGAGAGAGACTTACCTTACTCCTTAGATACCATTATCACGTCCTTTCCGAAAAGATGGGGCCGGAACAAGCCCGACTCATCCGGGATACATAAAAGCCTCCGTGAGCGCTTAGCTCGGCACGATTGTAAAATCATGTCAGCCTGGCACCTTGGTAAGTCAAAATTTATTGAGAATTGGCGTTATTAACGAAGATATTGACAAGCCTGTCCACAGCATTCATCATCATCGATCAATGTTCCAGTGTGTTCTTCGACCGGACAAAACCCCTGGACCTTAGACCCGAAGTGATGGATATCTTCGCAGAAACACTCGGTGACGTCAATCATTATACCACAATCGCCTTCAAAACGTTTTGGAGACATGTTGAAGGCTTCTCCCAGCATCGTGAAAACACTGGCTCGAATAGGCAAAGCCAGAGATACCTCGATATTAACCCAGAAGGCACGCTGCTCAGAGAAGCTCAAGATATTGCAGAAGAATTGCGAATCATGACCGGCATCTTTTCTCAACAGCTCGGCGTCGTCAAAAGCTTTCAGAAATGTTTAGAGCACATGAATGGAGACCCAAACACTCGGACAAAACCACATCACTGGGCGAAGACACTGCAGCATTTGGTTGACCTGACAAAGGGGCAGGAAACAGCTTCCCCATGTCATAATGAGAAGCCTATCTCGTCAGTAGAGATGGATTTTCTGGAAGACTTGGTTGAAGAGGTGGAAAACCGGAAGTCGGAGATTACGGATTTGGAGAGTGCGGCACTGCAGACCTGCCAGCAGGTAAGTAATTTTCAAGATCGTCAGTCCTTCAAGTCGACTACTAACAGATCGACTCAGCTGCAAGAGCTCTTGTCACTCAAACAACAGCAAGCAAGCATAGTCGAGGCAAAGGCCGCCCTCGACAGGGCAGACCAGAGTGTCGAGCAGGGGAAAGCCATAATGGCATTCACGATCATGACAATTATCTTCGTAAGAACAACCTACGATGACACGCAGAGTCCGGCATACTCAATCGTACTATAGACCCCTCTAGGATTTTTCACGTCTTTTTTCGGTATGAACAACTCACTCACCGGCGCCGACTGGATGTCACTTGGCTACCAGTGCCTCTATATGTGTAAGTCTGATATCCAAGACTCATGTAAGCACGGAATCTATCTCTATCTGGAGCTCACGGCGTCACAGTCTGCCTCTCCGCAGTGATCATCATCTGCGCCTTATCACTCGCATTTAAGGGCAGCAAGATTCGACAGTTTGTAAAATCACCTTTAGGACAGTTCGTGAAGTCACCATTTGGACAATTCATAAAACCACTCCTTGGAAAGTCCACAAAGCCACTCAAAAAGTTTGCATTCAAGAAGCAGGGTAGGAAAAATGTGGATGGCGAGAAGCAAATCGAAGAGGTGGACGTGGCTCCATCCTCTGCAGTGGATATTGCGAAGAGGTATTTCCAGGTTGTTGGTGGCCGTGACCTAGAGGCAGGCGTAAGGAAAACAGGGCGCCGCGGCAGCCAGGCGCCGAAACTTGTGGAAAATATCATGCCAAACCACAAGTGAAGGATTTCTAGGCTGAAGCGACTCATTGTCACTCACGGCCAAGCTATGGGTTCTCGTCAAATCATGTACCTTGGCTTGGAAAGGCTCTTACGGCAGCATCACGTAGAACCACATATGACAACCCCTAACATTATTGCCCATCTGCTGGGGGACCGCATGGCACATAGATCTGATGAAGCCAATATAGTGACTTGCTGATTCCTCCTTGCGGCCATAAAGCATGATGGAAACAACCATTTCCATAATGACTCGATTTTTTCTTCCCAATACCCCCTTTACCCTGCTCCTTCGTCGATCTCGAACTGCTCAAGGGGTGAACGTAAGCCTGAGTCAAGCCCAATTGAGATCTTGATTAAGATAAGATCTGCGCAGTACCCACCATCCCTAATGCCTGTCCAAGCAATCTACAAATTGCTGAACAGTCTTCTTCTTTTTTTGAACTCACGGAATACTGCAAAACTCCATGTACTACAAAGGCTTGCTTTGCCACAGAATGAGAACATATCAGGGTCGTGGTCTGCCCCCTCCTGAGCTTGTTGCCCGCTGCGTGTTGTATGTGAAGGGTTTGGTATTGCGGCTACTTCCGAAGATCACATACACACAACTGGTGATTGCCAGTTGAACGTGGTCCTTCAAAACATGTGAAGGATTGCGCGTCCAGCGTGTGATCAGAAAGACAAGTTGCTCCTTCTTCTTGTTACCGGCACAACGGTTATCCGGGAAGGTATTGGAGCCCGGCACAGTTCGTGATGAGGAGCTACAATGTTCATCCGTTCATGTTTGCCCCGCAATTCATGCACAGCCTTGCCCCACAACGCATGTATACCCCAGATATTAGGCACCTCTAATTGCGAGGAGAAAAATTCGTTGGAACGATAGATCCCCCGCGGTTTTACCGATACGTCACATCACCCCGGACTTGAACGAGATCTTGTCGAATCAAAGAGAGTCACAGGGCTGCACTAGATCTGAAGCGGCATCTCAAGTCCACAGCCTTCAACCTTATCACTGGTGGTGTACCTGATTTCGACGGACTCGGGTCAACCCCCGTACCCTGGGCGCGGGCCCTTAGTGCACTTGGCGTTTATTTGTTTTCCCCTGAATATCACCTTCCCCATCACTGGACATACCCTTTCCGGGACAAAAAACTGAGAAAAACACATGTCAAAGGCGCAACCCGAGACTATGCCATTCCCGGAGCGCTTATTGGAGTGGGGAGACTGGAGGGAAAAACCATGGCAGGTAGGTGGTATACGCGTATTCATGCATTGAAAACACGCTTCACTAGCTGGCCTGTCAGTTGCCGACATCAAGTACCGCACCGGTTTATATGACCAAGGCCAGTCCTGGACGGGAAACGGCCCCGTTTGAATGACTTAGGTCCCAAAAACTGGGGTTGTTTACCTGGGGAAAGCGCCGACTCAGGTTTATTTCTCATTAAGGCGTACGTCAGCTATGGCGATCATGCGGCCTGTGCGATTGAGCGGGAAATTTGACAGTCGTCTTAAGCTGCCGTCGTCCCAACTCAACTTGACAAGAGCTGATTTTGCGATATCAAGCTTCTGCAGCAGACATACGATCACACAGCCGATCTGCGGGAGATCTACAAGATGAAGTCTCAGCAGTACTTTGGCTCCCTGTCCAAAGGCTTGGCCTTGGTGACGTCTTTGGCTGCCAATGTAGTGTATGGCCAAAACAGCTCCGACTTCACCGCCCAATGCACTGGTCTCGCAGACACCCTCGCCAGCACAATTCCCAACGCCACAGTCCAGTCGACCGTGCCTGTTACAGCCGGCACAAACCTCACATTCAACCGTGACCCTACCTGCAGCTCGCCATACCAGGTCGTCGACAATGATGTCTGTCGAGTGTCCTTGTTCGTGCCCACCTCTGACCGCTCAAATATCAGCATGGAGGTGTGGCTACCCCCGGCCGAGGCTTGGACCGGTCGCTTCCTGAGCACTGGTAACGGCGGCTTGGGAGGCTGCATTCAATACGAGGATTTGGCTTACACAACTGCTCTCGGTGAGTTCTCATATCCCTTCAGCGTCTCTGTGGCTTCGCAAAGCATCTTCCTGTATTCCCATTTATTCAAGTCGTGATCCAAACCAGCTGCAATGAACATTTTGTATTCGTTCACTTGGCAACCTACTGACTCACTCTCACAGGTTTCGCTGCAGTCGGCACTAACAACGGCCACGATGGGAATAAAGGCGACGCGTTCTACAACAACGAGGAGGTCGTTCTTGATTTTGCATACCGTGCGATGCACACTGGCATAGTGTTGGGAAAGCAGGTCTCGGAGTCCTTCTATGGAAAGCCGCACGATCGCTCATACTATCTGGGATGCTCCACCGGCGGCCGTCAAGGCTTTAAGGAAGCTCAGGACTTTCCGGATGACTTCGATGGTCTGGTCATTGGTGCCCCGGCCCTAGCCTTCAACAACCTGTCATCGTGGTCCGGCTCTTTCTACGTCAAGACTGGCTCAGCAAATTCATCGACTTTTGTGCCCTTGAACTTGTGGCCTATCATCCATGAGGACATTCTCCGCCAATGTGATGGTCTCGATGGCTACGTCGACGGTATCATTGAGGACCCGTCTCTTTGCAACTACCGCCCTGAAGCGCTCATCTGCTCAGCCGGCAACTCGACCAACTGCCTCACTGGCGAACAAGCAAACACTGTCAGAGAGATCTTTACTCCTATTTACGGCTTGGATGGTAAGATCACCTACCCGGCAATGCAGCCTGGCTCAGAGGACCTCGCGCCCTACATCTACTACACTGGCGAGCCATTCCAGTATACGACCGGCTGGTTCGATAATGCCATCTATAATGACAAAAACTGGGATGCGTCCACCCTCGGACCCAAGGATTACGCATACGCAGCCGCCAAAAACCCCGGAAATATCGAGACCTGGAACGGAGACCTCTCCGCCATCCGCGATAGGGGCTCCAAGATCCTGCACTACCACGGCCAGGCAGATGCCATTATCTCGAGTTTCAACTCCCCACGGTACTACGACCACGTCTCGCGCACCATGGGCCTTCCTTCATCAGCACTAGATGAATTCTACAGATTCTTCCGGATCAGCGGCATGGGTCATTGTTCGGGCGGCGTCGGTGCAACGTTCATCGGCCAAGAGGGAGCCAGCAACGCCACCCTGAATCCGGATGGAAACGTCTTGATGGCGATGGTGCGTTGGGTGGAAGAAGGTACGGCCCCGGACAGCATTCTAGGCACAGCATACGTCAACGAGACCAAGGACTCGGGTGAGATTGCTTTCCAGAGGAGGCACTGCAAGTACCCACTGCGAAACGTCTACTCGGGCTCCGGGGACCCAACGAAGCCCGACAGCTGGCAATGTGTTTGATTCGATGGAGCCTCTTACTGAGCAGGGATACGTACATATGGGCGGCTGAGTGGATAATATGGGAACGTATACTTCGGAATTAAGCTGTACATATTTTAAAACACCCCTTCCTCTTGATTCTATGTGATTAGGTACATATGCGCACTGCTATCGGAGCACCACATCATTACTGTACATTGAAGAGACCAAGACGAAGCAAGTGAGATGTACCATAGTAGAGTAGCATTGTTACGGACCGTTAGCCCCACTCGGTTCCACAAGCATGGAAAGAGTGCAGTAGCGGCTTGTAAATAAGCTGACGAGTGCCCACACTTTTCAACGTCACCTCGCAACTATCCAAGCCAAGACCCTCAGAAACAATCAGCATGTCCTCCTCTACAGGCCCGAAACTGGTCGTCGTCATCGGCGCGACCGGTAATCAAGGCGGGTCAGTCGCCCGGCGGTTCCTCCGAGAAGGCGCCGACCGATTCCGCGTCCGGGGCCTGACTCGGGACCCCGGCACTGGGCCCGCCAGAGAGCTGGCTGCCCTGGGCGCGGAGATGGTTCGTGCCGATCTTAACGACGCAAGCTCCCTCGCAGCAGTTTTGAAGGGCGCGAATATCATCTTCAGCGTTACCAACTACTGGGAACCGTTCTTCCCTCCCAATATCGAGGCGAGCCGGGCTCAGGTCAATGCGCTGGGCCTAAAAGGCGTGAGGGAGTACGCCGGCCGTGTGGAGTTGACGCAGGGGAGGAACATTGCTGACGCTGCTGCTGCGACGGTGGACTCACTGGATGCGAATGGTTTCATCGCTTCGACACTCAGCCATGCAGGCCGGTGCAGTGGAGGCCTATTCAAAGATTTGTATCACTTCGATGCGAAAGCAGAGGTGTTCCCGTACTATGTGAGAGAGAAGCACCCAACACTGGCGGCCAAAATGAGCTGTATTCAGACGGGATTCTTCATGACGAGCCATAGGATCTTGCCCGACTCTTATCTTGCCAAGGTTAGCCCAACCCTCTCCTCGACCAGATTCGAGTTTGAGGTGCTCCGTGCTAATACATGTCCATTCTATCCCAGGTCCAAGATGGCAGCTTCGAGATGCGCTTCTGCACTGACCCAGACAAGCTTGTGCCTCATCTAGACCCAGTAGCTGACGTGGGAAACTTCGTCTATGCCGTCTACCAGATGTCATCGTGGGTTGGGAAGGAGTACATGGCCGAGGGTGCAACATGTACATGGCCTGACTGGATAAATGCCTGGAGTAAAGCGACTGGCAAGGCGGCTACTTACCGTCAAGTAACAAGAGAAGCCATGATCAAAGCTTGTGGTGACAAGGATTTCGGAGCAGAGATTGCCGACATGTACGACTACACATCGAATCCAGGATACGACGGAGGGAAAACATTACTGAGGGCAAAGGATCTACAGAAGGTTAGTAATTCTCGTTGTGGCTGTGACTATACGCAGGTGGCTAACATGGCCCAAGGCTGGTGTCGATTGCCCCATGACGAGCTTGCAGGACTGGATGATGAAACAAGACTGGTCAAGCGTCCTGGCTAAGGCGCCTGTCGATCCGTAAAGCGGTGTGTCGAGCCATCAAGGGGTGCTGTTCGACAAGGGGCCCCAAAGGTTTGAAGAGGGTGTGCCATTCCTATGAGGGCAGCAGGCAATACAGTTTGTGAAAGCGAGATGAAGCTACAACATTCCAATGCTTGGAGGAAATTGACAAAAAAAGATGATTTCCTGAATTGCAGGTGATTTTGGTTCCAAAGATAGTGCCCAGGCCACTTACCCATAAGGTGCTGGGACTCCCCAACTTCTGCGCCGACTTGGATAGGGGCAGTCGACGTTGCAAATCGCCCTTTAGCATAATTCTTCTTTTTTTTTTTCTTCCTTTTTTTTTTGACACAAGCGGGGATCGACTGCAAGAGCTCGTCGGATAGCTGGCATGCGCAACGGGTGGGTCACTAACCGAAGTGCATTACCAACTGAGCTACAGAAGTGGTTGAAAACTGGCCAGAAAGATTTCTTTTTGAGGCTGGGTGGAAATCCGTTTGGCAGTGAATTGGGACGAGATTTGGGCGCAGTGATGGCCTAATGGCTGGATTACAGGCAAGTGACCTTGCCATCCCAAGTAGCTACTCGATGCGGCATCGGAAAAAGCCCATAAAGCCACGGCAGTCGTTTACCAAAAACAAACCAATGTTTACGCATTGAATGCAGTTTCCATTTAGAAACCCACCTAAGGACGCAAAGTCTCGGGAACAGGCAGCGTTATGACCAGTGAGAACCTGATCAGGGCAATTGTTGACACAAAGTGAACACTACGATGTTCAAACCGACAATTAAATAGGACGGGGATCACTCCGTCAGTCGACGACCTGTTTTTGGAAAACGAGCATAACGTATCGAAGTAATGTATGAATACAGCATACGGTGCCCGTTACACCTGCACAAGAGCTCCATGCAGGATTACGCTGGGGTAGATGTGGACTTTGTGTGCAGCTGCTGAATCGACATGTCATTGCGCACATGCGTCTTATAGCGATTTCTGGCCAGGAAGCAAAACCGTAGATATACATGCTGGTTTGTCGTCCTCACGCAACGACGGAACCCACATGGCAGCGGCCACCAAGGTTGCTTTCAGTCCAATCAATTCAAGTGAGCACATAAAGTCATGGCAATTTTCTCTGTATTTAGCAACTAGGTATCGATAAGGGCATATTCCTGCCTATGAGTGGCCGAAAATTCAAGTTGGCGAGGTCATCATGGATGTCCAACAGTCCATAACAGTTCGTTTGTTCCTGGTAGTACATGCTCCTTTGGTTGCAACTCTGTAAACGCCATTGTTGCTTTAAAATGAATTGATAACACATTCAACAAGCTTTTGCCTCGGTATGGCACCGCTTACCCAGGCATGACCAGCAGTTTTATTCACTTCTACAATCATTCACAGGATCAGTATTCACTCTGCACAACTCTCCAGTTCTCAGCGCGTAAAGGCGTAAACAAAAGGGAAGTGGATCCTCACTTCAACTTTCCGCAGCACAACCCTCACCTTCGACCGTCTTTGCTCCCTTTGGGCGGCGTCTTGCCATCGCTTTGCATCAACGGGTCAGACGCTCAGTCATCGTTCTCTTCCAGGCACATCTGCCTATGGGCATGGTTCGTCTTGAAAATTTGGCCGCATTCCACTACAGGACTGTGTTTGTCTCAGACGGCTTCCTTAAACCTACTGCCCGCAATCGCCAGTTCTCAGCTGCGACACAAAGTTTCCAGCACTTGCCTACCAACTTCATTTGGTCATCTCTGCCCTTGTAATCGCCTATGGGTAGGAACCTGCCCTACCCTTACATACCCATGTCAACGGCAATGTGTAACCATGCTGACAATCTTAGGCAAAGTCTGTTGAGTGCACCATGGCAGATCCACAGCAATCTCTGGCCAAAGTGCCACAGTTTAGAGGCCAAATGCCCTCGCTGCTGGTTCAAGATGGCTCTAGCATTTGCGACACAGACCTCACTGCCGACACGAGCCCTGAACGATATGTCTATTCATATATGGGCAACGAGGACGAAGGCCCTGAAGAGCAAGAGTACGCCCGAATCACCGGATTCGATATCGATTACACGAATGCCGACAACCTTTCGTTCAATGGCTTCAGATCAATGCGAGGTTACCTGTCTGGTGGAGCGGCCCACTATCTGGTTTCTGAACGTCGTTGGTCTAACGAAGGCGATTCTGATGAGACTGTCGGCCAAAAGAATGTGATCATCATTTTTGTTGGCATTGCCACAATCGAGGAATGCCTGGTGTGTGAAAAGTCTGAGACCATTCTTCCAGTCAATAGAGCATTCGACGCTTTGATGGACACCCTTGGCATGCATACCCGTCGCACTCGCAACCCTCTTGCCTTCACGTTCCTTCGGGCAATCCGAAATGCATTCATTGCAAGCCGAAGAGCTGAGATAGAAATTCACCTGAGAGACTGCAATGGATCGCCATCAGAGCCAAGTGATTTGTCAGGATTGGACAGGATGGTGTTGGACGTTATGGACAGACACATTGCATTCTTGATCACCAAGAAACCACTGGCTCGCCTAGCCGTTCCATTTCCTTTGGAAAAGACGTTGAGGCTTCGCTTGATACAGGTCAAGAACCAGTTGGCGAGAAAATCAGGCATTGAGAAATGCTTCACGACCTTCGTGCCGACCATTCCTGCCGCGCAGCAGATCGCATGGCCGCGAGCCGGGAAGGCCGCAGCATGGGATGCTGCTCAAGCCAAGCTACGTGCAAGCCAATCGACCCTGGAAATTGTCTCAAATCTGAACGAGGGCTCAGAATGCATCCGACCGACCAATCTTGAAGCATCCACCGACGCGCGCGCCTCCTCCAACTTGATTCTTCCCCCTGTCATCCCTGGCATTCTCACGGACGCACCGATGAGCTCTCTACCCTCTGTTCCTGATTCATCAGCGGCACACCCAGATGCTCTGTCCGGCTTGCAGATTTTCAAAACCGCCACCTGTCAGGTCCGGAACGTCATCAGACGCTCCCAAGACACTATCATGTTTAAGAAGTTCGTTGGTCAGGTTGAGAACGACATCGAGCAGTTTCATGCTACGTTGCGTAGCAGCCTGACATTAGTCAAGCCTAGTCCCGCCAGCGAGACTGGCACCCCCGGACCTGAGCTTGATTTGATTCTGGATCACCAGCACACTCGCACCCTCATGCTTATTGGCTTGGGACTGATCCAACAACAGTGGAAAGAGCAATATCTCACTGAACAAGATCGCCAGAAGATCATCAGCGATATCGAGACAGAGCTTCGCATGATCAAAGAGGCCGCTAGTCATGTCTACTCAGCCAGAGCCTGACCCAAAGATACCGAGCGAGTTATCACGACCGTCTCTCCAAAACACCACAGTAGCCACACAACAACGACGTCAGTATGCAAGTGTACTGCGACACTGAAAGGCTTTGGGAAGATCCAGTCCTTGTTATGTGCTTTTCAATGCCGCATTTTCAGCTTGAGGAGCCAAGTCATTGATGGAGTGTAATGTACCCATGGACAAGGTCCGGATGTCATGCATGGCTCTTGATTATAGCTCACAGCCTCTTGTCATCTGGCACTTCTGGCCAATATCGCGGCCTAGTCAGTTTTGCAGAGGCTTGTTATTCACTTGGTATCAATTAATGCTCCGTATGAGAAACATACAACCTGTTCTTTCAGGTGATGTTGTGGGCCATAGTAAAGCTGCAGAGGGTCTTGTTCAACTGTAGAAAATTGTAACCGCACCTTTCTTCTAGTTCCACATATTCAATCATCGTAACAGCTTGTTTTTAAATCCACTCAAGTAATATTGACCACCTGAAGTCGAGATGGGATTCCCAATGAGGAAACTGAATGCTTTTGAAAACATATAAACGCATGCTCATCCTTCGCGAGGTGATATGCACCTCCGCGCGAAACAAATCACGGCCGCTGTTCCAATTAATCTTACGCTTATAATGCTTGATTTATCATCTGTTGTTCTTTTATCCAAAAATTCGACTTTCCTCTTTCACTAGCGACCTTCTTTCGCTTGATGTAATTTCGAAATTCTACTAAATAAAACCTTCTCGCCAATTTTGGCAGCCCGTGGGTGTGCTGTTGGTGGGGCGGCCCTGGGCGACGGCCCGTATTATTGGATTACCTTGTTTAGTACTGAAAGGTGGGCCTAAAGTCGGCGAGTCTGGTGCTGCATCGGACACAATAGCTTTTAGAGGAGGAGGCGGACGGAGCGGCTGGACGACACATGACGACCTCAACTCCGGGACACGCTCCTGTACTGGAAGCTCTAATTTTGATCGCTGAACTTCAGCCAGGAGCTCATGGACTGACTGACGGCTTGGCCAGGCATGCTGCCGGGGGAGCTTAGGCGGCGGGCTGGGATGCGCCTGATACATTGTGCTTTGGAACGGCCAGGTTCCGGAACCGTCCCGCGGGTATTGAAATGTGGGCGCCGGTGGCTGCGTAGTCTGTGCTGCATGCCATTGGCCATTTGGGCTATGCTGATGGCCAAGCTGAAGTCGTTGATAAGGGGGCAAGGGCGAACCTGAAGCCGGCGAGTAAAGCATGGTACGAGGATCAGTGGACTGGGAACGAAGGCTAGAAGAAGATGAATTTGTGTAGCCAGATTCAGGACTCCGGGGACTCTCCATCAAGGAATCTTTTGCGGATTTTGACAGTAGGTCGTCTTGATTCCTTGGCTTGGTTGAGTTGAATGGGTTCCAATTGGACCGACGCCAAAACCAAGCACCGGCTATTAACATTACCAGGACAATTATGGTGACCACAAGGCCAGCGATGGCCCCGGATGACAAACCAGTCGAGCTGGATTTGGCCACTGCGGTGTCCTTATCACTATTAGATGAGGATGATGGTGCTAGAAAAGATGCTCGGTCGTCATGATCGGACGATAGAATGGCTGCCCTGAGGTTCGCTGAAGGGCAGGTCATATTGACACATGGGTTAATCGTGCAACACCCAAGGAACGGTGGGTCATTAGCTTTGCAAGTGTAGAACTGATCGGCGCCATCACTGGTCTCACAGCTTTGCGGGGGTATGTCGAGATAACTAGACTCAGAGAATGAGGCTGCTCGGAGATGCACTTCCTCGCACAGGCCTGAACCGTCCGCACAGGGGTCCATGGTACAGCAGCCGATAAACTCCCTTTTGGTGTTTTCACATATGTGGAAATCTCCACCGTTGGGGCATGATAGCCCAAATGTTTTGTAAGGATTAGATGACATCTCAGAAAAGTAAAAGATACGAAGACTTTGGAATCTGGTGATTGTAGAGCTCGGAGCGCCCTGAAAACCCTAAATGATGGTGGCAATCACTGGACGCCAGTATCGGACACCATGGAGAACTATTTGGGCAACAAAGACTTCCGGACGAAGGCTCGCGCCACCCGAGAATTTGGAGATGGATAAACAATGAAGCATTGGATAATGTTTCTGTTTTTAGAACTGGCCTTTTGCCACTTTATCACATTCCGAAGGTGGCTTTCAAATGCGCTTCCCATCTCTACAACTTACTAGTGTGTGCTATTTTTATCAGATGCGCACAATGAATCCATGTTACGAAGAAGTAGTATTCCGCGCATATTCATATGCTGGTACGTGATAATCAGCCTGATTTTCTCAATTCTGTATAAAATAACTAGGACAGAGTGCTTACAAATGTACTTCGCCGCCGGCGTGCGACGAAGGCAGTTCCCGACAGTGAGATTATTAGAGTCGGCCCATGCACCCACAGCATCGCTACCAAAAGCTTACGCAGCACAGGCATGTGATCTATGACATTTTAATTAGACCAATAGATTTCATGAACCATTATGAAACGTTTTAGGTAATACCCAGTTGCACCATAATATTTCATCTAGCTGTGTATCATTTCTTAAGGGTTCCCTTGGATGACAGCCCAATGGTTATGGCCGGATGTAAAAGTTTGCATAAGAGACTCCCTCAATTGTGAAATTTTCTTATTTCATGCTGTATATTCCATGAGTTGCTCATTGAAATCTTCCCGCTCTCCATACAAAGCCTTGTGGCAGCGATTTCTTGGCAAGACGAAAATGTCGCCAGTAGTTCGTGCTCCATCAGCATGGGCGCTTCGAAGCTTGGATTCTGAGTCAACTTACGACTCAGCAATCGAATTTCGATTGATCGTGAATATATAATCATCTTTATCGGCGCTGAAATACGGGTTCAGCAGACTTGATTCGCTGATGGATTATGATGATATGCTGTCTTTGGTTACCCAGGATCCAGCTGGATATGCTGCTTTCCACATTCATGCCGTGCTGAACAAGACAATTTGGCAGAGCATGTATCACATACTTTTTCAACGATAGTGAGATCGTTACAGCTCTACCTTGGGGCTTGAATAGAACGCCCAGGTTGAGTTAATTCATGTCCCTAACACCAAACAGATAGCTCCAAAACGTTAAAAGGGCCTGCTAATTCGATAGAGATCACTGCTCAGCATAAACTCACACCCTAACCCACGGTTTCAAGCTGTCCAGCGATAAAATGGGGCAACCCCTAGGCGGCGCTACAAAGTTTCGGCTAAACCACATCAGAGTTTCTCGGAAAGTCAAAAGAAATGGAAATGGCCTGTTGTGGGTCTTTGAAGACATGATAAAAACAGAACCGGTCCGCAATACCTAGATCGCCAGTGAACAAGTAATGTTCATCTTAGTTGACGAAATGAGAGGAATGGAATGATCGAACTCAGATGCTTCATCTGCACATTCACGGAATGGGTCAATGCTGAAGGTACGTGAGGAGTACTGCTAATGCCGCATCGAACCTTATTGTGCCATCAATGATAGGCTTGGATGCGCATGGGTCTAAAAAAGGGATTCAGGAGTTGAGTTACGCTAAAGCATAATCATCGATATAAGCAAGCTACAGGCCCCAAGTTACACACTTTCTACAAGTTTCAGGCGTCTTACATTCGTTGCTTTGCTCATGTGGTTTCTCACTCTTACGCTGCAAATGCTGCAAGCAGCTTTCCTGTTCGTGATCATGGCCTCAGCTTCAAGTGTCCCGTCCCCAGAAAACCTAGGCCTTGTCGTAGCTCGATTCAAGGAATCACTCGAGCCATGGGCACCTGTGGCCAACAACACGTACCTGTACTCCAAGGGTGGCATTGAACAGGAGAACGATACCGTATCTCACGACCTCTTTCGGAGATACACCAACTTGCCCAACGTTGGACGCGAAGGGCAAACATACTTGATACACATCGTCAACAACTACAACAGCCTAGAAGACATCATGATCTTCACCCAAGCTAGCCCTTTCGACTTGACAGGCCCAGTCGTCAACAACGTCGACGAGATGGTCGCTGCAGCGCTACAGGTGCCCATCGACGACGCAACGCCGTTCAATAAGCAGAAGCTGTTCCGCGACGAGGACGACTGGGAGGAGATCAACTGGACCGCGGCCGAGGAGAAGCCGTGGATCACCGAGAACCAGCTCAAGACACTGGTGAGGGCCAACTATACTCCTGCGGAATTCTGGCAATTTGTACTTGAGGAGGAGCACCCACCCGCGATTCGGGCAATGCACGGGGGAATCTTTGCTGTCAGGCGTGAGACCATCCAGTGTCGGCCAGTCGAAGTGTACGAGCGGGCACTGCAGAGGTTTGAAGAAGCGAACGCGACCAATCCCGAGGTTGGTTTCTATTGGGAGAGGATGTGGGCACCGGTCTTCTCCAAGCGATACTGGACCTATCACCCTATCAATGAGAGCACTAACCCCTTTCGGAGGTGAAGAAAGAGACGTCGGGTGGATGATGGACTCAGTGTCTACAGATGCTTCTTCTGCTGTCGTACGTGTACCAGGTAGCCAAGAATATGACCAGCGATCGAACGGAAATCATGAATCTCGTTTTTGGAAGGTCAAGCACCATGAACTTGTCTTTAGTTGCGTGCCAAACCCTGTGTTATAAGCGAGTTACGGCTCGAAACGGTAGTCTCGCCCCTTACCGTTGTGCCTTTGTGTTCCTAAGGCCGCAGGCAACCGCAACCTGAGCAGTTGCGAACACGGTCCTGCATCATACAAAGCGAAGTTCCAGGCACCAATCCCAGCCAGTCTCATTTGTAACTTTGCATTGTTGCTTTCAATTCCTGGCGCGATCCTGCCTCCTTTAAAATCACGAAGTCATCGCGCAACATCGTACCCTTGCGGCAGCAACCATCCTCAACAACCAGTCAGAGGAGCCCATGCCAACAAGTGCCACCATGGCAGAGTTCAACCGCTTTTCTGATCTGCCCAGCGAGATACGCCTCCAGATCTGGGAGGCAGCCATCCCTCGATCCCCTTCTGTCCACTTCCTCTCATATCCAAAGAAGCGTGGCCCCACGACGCGCACTTATCAGTGGCAAAGCGAGCTCGTCAACGTCAATCGCACCATCAACGTGAGCAACGATCCTACCACAAACAAGCCAGACACGCGCACCAAGACTTGGGGCCGCTACTCGTCGTACCTCGCTAGGCTTACCATGCTCCACGCCTGCAAAGAGTCGCGGAACGCCTCCCTCGCCTACGCTGCCTCATGCACCAACCATGTCAGCAACTCGCCCACTTTCGTGTCCACCAAGAACAGATACACTCTCGACCAGGAGAAGGATGTCATCTGTATCCAGGATCCAGACTCGCGCTTCCCTTGGAACGCGCCACGATACCTCGACTTGACTCCCAAGCTAGATCCCATGCGCATTGCTCTCGAGTGTCGCCCGTATCTCGACTGCAACGTGAACACTTTCGCAGAGGCACCTGATGAGTTAGGTGACTGGGTGACAGAGTTGGCTGGAGGATCTCACGCAGTTCCCGGCTTCGGGACTTCAATTGGCATTGGGGACTATGAATTGGCGTTGAAGGCAATCTATGTTCTGAGCTACGGCATCAAGCCAAAATACGCCATTGTTGGTGAAACATCCGGCATCAGTGCTGGTGGATCTGAACTCGCGAGTGGTGTAGGAGAGAAACAACCAGATCCTTCGACTGAACAGTCACCTGGTCAGGCTGCTGAATACAGCGATAAATTTCACGGCCACGGCGTGATGTTCTATGCTATCTCTGCTAAGGACGCGGAGACCTGCACGGGCTGGAATATCCCCCAAGAGGCTTGGGACTTCTATCACAACATATGTGCCCACACCCAGCATCGCTATGGTTTCGCAGTAGTCGACAGTTTGGAGGAGGCAAAGAAGGAGATGTGCCACATCTGTATCGAGTTCCTGGCCTGCGTGAAGGCTTGACGGTTTCAAAGGGGCATGTAGTCATCACTCTTATGGGGACCCAAGTGGTGCCTCATATCTTGTCTCACCGTGGGAGTTTTTGTAAGGTAAAGGGAAATGGATGGGCCTGACTTTCGCCCATATCAGTACATCGCATTTGTGGTATTCGAGATCATACTGCACATAACGAGGAAATTTTCTCTTGCAAGATATTGCTGTTTTGAGATTTCGAAAACCTAAATCTCTCCGTGTGTCGTCTCTTCTCATTAAAAGTTTACGCGTGAGTTGATCCCATGAAAGCCAGACAAATCTTCTCAGCTTGAGCCATATCCTAAGGGAAGCGAAGGGCAGGTTATCATCGCTGCATTGACTCTGACGGCAAGGTGGCCTTCAGAAGGCAGATTTACAACACCTCAGCACCACGATGAAGTGCTAAGTAGACGGCGGTCCATGGGGGCTTCTTCATCAACCTGGAAAATCTGCAGATAGAAAGACCAGGGCAGGTTGATGGACCAGTGACCTCGAGTGAATACAGTCAGACGCTCTTGGGTTGGAAACCAGTGACAAAGTCAATCAATTCTGCGTGGTGCGGAAGGTCCATGATTGATCAACCCAACAAAGGCATCCAAGATCCAGCTATTTATGAAATTGTCAGCCGCAAATTTCATGCCATGGGAAATTGAATCTACCACGGCCTTTTCTTTTCTTCGGCCGGAGAGATCATTATTTACTTGATGGATGATATGATAGATAGCATGGTCATATCAACGATGAACCCAGAGAAGTAATCCATGTTCTGCTCTTGATCAGCAAACCCTCACGCCTCACCTGCCCCTGGATGGTAGCTGGCGAGGCTATACGCATATTGGCCGCGTCCCGAGTGTCAAGACTGTCGCAGATCATGGTACAGCACATTGGCAGTTCATCGACTTGCGATTGAACTCAACATGTGTAGCCGGAACAACTGTCTAGACTTTGATATTTTACTATTCGCAATTGCGCGCCGCATCGAGTAAGTCAGATCCAACACTGGAATTGTTTCTGTCCTGGTGTCATTCCTCCACCCCGCCCCGCTGAATCGATGACAGCGACCTGGGAGTCTTTAATTCGTCGCCAAAGCTTTGTGGACGTCTTGAGAGTCCTTCATATTGTCTCAAAAGCCCATTGTATGATGATCCAGGATGAGATTTTGATATGATTGTAGGGATCTCGATGATCTGAAGAATTCCAGATCAAGACTGAGAGCTGCCGGGATATGGTATTAAATAGCCCTGCACGGTGACGAAGCGACGGGTTCACAACCCCATACGTTGATCGATTGTGACTGAGCTAAGGATTCCTATGCTATCGACTCTTCCGTTGCCATCTCCGTCCCATTCAATTGGGAATGGCGTCATGTAAGTCATTTGGCTTTGTCACTGAAAGGCCCACAAGCCCGGGCTCCTCTGCCACGCTGCAAATCTTCAACTGAAGCTATCTCGCTGCTGCTACTTCATGAATACAAAAGATTGCTAGTGGTGTGATTTGTAAGGGAATCGCAATTCCTGGAAGAACACCGATTAGTACGCATGAGAATCGTGACCATGTGTAGCCGCTCATAATCGAGCTTGATTCTTTTGTAATTACTTGGCGGCGGAAACGTGATTCGTATCCAGTTTCGTCCTGGGCCGGCAATTATATTTTACGACTTCGAAGTTACAAGATACTTTACACTCCTCTATTTCAATGCCATATTCGTGCAAGGGTGTGTGTGTGTGTGGGCCATCGATCTGCGGTAACGCAGCAGAAGACAAGGAGGAAAGAACAGCACAACTGGTCACCAGCAAGGTTTGAAGAGACAGCCTGACTCGGCGATGCTACCGCGGAGTCCTTTTGGTTTGTTGTGTCTCTCGGAACCGATGGGTCCCCATTCCCCATGTCTTTCATTTCCTTTTCTTCAGACACAGTGCTTACTTCAGTCACATGTAATCCAATTAATGACATTATTGTTTCCTTGTTCATCACTGCCCGAGGCCTGGAGCACTTCGAAGACCAAATTATTTCGAATCGTGCGGCGAGATGACACTAATGTGCATGAAAAGAATCAAAACTTTCAGACGCAGCTGGCAGATCTAGTTGCATGAGGCATCGCTTGCGATTGGGAGAGGATTTGGTTTAGGGGGCGGGAGGAGGGGGGGTTGGTTGCATCGGGCCTGGGGGGAACAGAACGTCACGTATTACATAAGTAAGCCAAGCGTCACTCATTTGGCGAGTCAAAGACTTGATTTGACGATTCTTGGCCATTCTCACTTTTCCCCTTCTACCCTCAACAACACAGACAGACACTCAGCCTAGCACGTCAATGATGGCGCTTGCCTGCGCCATTCTCTCGCACACGGCTACCGATCATGCTTCCTGAGGAAGAACTCGCACGTGTCAGGGAGCACATTGCCCGCGCGGTCGCGGACCGGCTCGTGGAGGAGACCTCGATTGATTGGACGGCCGTCAGGCAGCTCGATAAGCCTATCCTCCGCATTCAGGCCTGTCTCCAAGATGGCTCGAAACAGCAGGCCAACCAGTCCATCCCTGGGCCTATCATCACCGTGAGTATCGCAGAGTAAGGTGCTTCTGGTATCTCGAGCTTAGCTGACTCTGCGCATCTAGCACCTCATAGATATCTCGGGCATCGTGGCTCCGAGTCGTGCGACGCCGGAAGCCCCTGAGATGCTCCATGGCGGCAGCACCAGTAGCATCATTCAGCAGCAAAGGCACAAAGGCAAGCAACAGCCGCCAGCAACAACTCCATCAGCAGCTATCGTGCCTGATGAAGGCCGTATCACACCGCCCGAGTCAGAGGCAGTCTCCAGCGGTGATGGCACTCCTGCGTGCACTGACCAAGACGCGGAAACATCGGCTGGTCGGCAACGAAGGCCACTCGGTGGGCTCAGACCCGCGCGGAGGGATCAAAGCTCAGTAGACTTGGAACCCGAGCCTACCAGCCAACGGCAGATATCCAGCGGCGACAAATTCCCAAAGCGCCGCAAGCAGCAGCCCACCGGCCACGTCCTACAGCCCTCTACCCTCGACAAGCTGATCCGTGGAATCTGGGAGCAAATCCACGGCAGCCTCAGTCTGGACCCTCAAAACCTACTCGATCAGGTGCAGCTTAGGCCGTTGGAGTCGGCACCTTTTGACGAGGTGAATTCCAAGCTGGGCCTGGTGCTGCACCCCGGCGGCCAGGGGAGCATCGTCCAGGACAGTATCTACGACAGCAGCCGATCATTCAAGCGAAGCAACGTCTTTTGCAGCCAAGTGACTCAGGCGAGTCGTGCCTGTCGCTCTCTGGAAGTCATTGTCCAGGCCCGTTGGGTTGAGCACTTTGACGCCTACGTAGACAGCCTAGCGGCGAACGACCTTTCTACACCTCGGAGCCGCTTCAACAAGGCAGCGTTGATGGAGGCGTGCACCGACTTTGGGTGGTCTGAGAAGGAATTGCGCAACAAGATGTCAATCTGGCGTGGTTACAACGAGATCAAGCAGGCCGGGGGATGGGCAGCACTTGTCTTTGCAGGCATGGGTATTTACAGGTTCTGCAAGTACCGAATTGGTTTCGATAAGGACAGCATGCAGCGACTGCGCAACCTCCGGCCAGCCATCGAAGTCGCAGCTGATACGCTGCACCCGAACTGGAGGCAATTACTAACCGCAATAGGCGAGTCCTCGAAGCAGATGTACCGAGGCCATCCTCACGACTACGTGATCAGCCTGGACGGATCGCCTCCCGTGCCTCTTCGGGTAACATATTTACAGTGGGACCCTGATTTCTCTTACCAGCACATCGATGAGCCAGTCATTGACGAGCACGCCTGGGGCTGCGACGACCCGCGCTGGACGCCAATGAGCACGAACGAGCCGTTGGCGATGCCCACCTGCGACACCTGCGGCAAGGAGCAGTCTGATGACCCGAAGCAAAACTCGTGCTTCTGCTTCCCCACCCTCTTTGGCACGGCCAGGCCGCTGCCCGTGCCGGTGCTCATCTTTCGGACGGCCGATGGACGCAACAACGGGCTGATGGCGCTCTGCGCGTTCGAGCGCGGCGCACCAGTCGGCGAGTTCGTCGGCGTCGTGACCAAGGGTCTGTCGGATGTTGACGTTATGGAAAGTGCGGTGGCTGCCAGCGCTGCCAAGTACCAGATATGGCAGGGCCGGCAGGGCAATTTCACACGCTTCGTCAACCACAGCTGCAAAGCAAACGCGCAGTACCAGCGCTTCACGTGGCTAGGAACGCAGCGAATTATTCTCGTTAGCAAAGGCATCGAAGCTGGCAGTGAGATCAGTGTCGACTACAGCGACAAGTACTGGAAGGGCCTGGACAAGAAGTGCCTGTGTGGCGAGAGCTGCTGCCGGTATCGTCGGGACGGGACAGATGCACGAGTGGGATGAGATCTCACGTTAATTTGCGGAACTTGTGGGAGCCTTTCAAAAAGTATTTCCATGAAATGTACGCGTCTGGGTATATCATAACAGCAAAGAAGTACAGGCGTGGTGGGGGATACACAAAACGCGCTGGTGGGAATCCACCACCCGCCCTCGCCCAAGGACCAAAGTTCACATCAATAGTCGACTGGTACTTTTCCTCGGACCACCAATCTTCTCTCACCAAGCCCTATCAAATCGGGCTGACCTCTTCCGGGTTGCCCCTTCTCGGCTCATGACTCGGCGGGTCCTCGTGAGGTGTCATCGTCTTCCACGTCCCGCTCTCTCTATCATAGCTGTCGCCTATCGAACTCGTCCACGATGCCGCGCTAGATCTCCTCCCATTTCCCGTCAACGATCTTGATGCTGCGTTGCCCTTGGGTGCTGGCTGGAGTGGAGGAGGATAGAGCGCTGTCTGGGGCACAAAGGTCGACCTGGCACTGTTGTTCAGCGAGTCGTCACCTGTGGCCCAGCTCCGGGCGCTAAGTGGCTGATTTGGCGTCAGCGGCGCCGGTGCGACGAGGTATGTCGCGGTCGTTGGTGTTGGTGCCATCGAAGGCGTGACGCCGTTATAGCTTGGTGAAGGGGGCACTGGCATGCGCGCAGAAAGCGGCGTGCTGGGCGCCATTAGGGGGTTGCTGTTGAGGGGGTTCGGGCTCCCTCCCGGAAGCCATCGCTGGTTGCGCAACCAGTGAGTCACGGATCGTCGGTTGTCTGTCTGCGCTGCTGTTTGCGGACTGGCAGGCTCCGGCAGTTCACCACCTGGCCGACTCGCCACCCTAGCCGCCGCCGCATCCCACGACGACTGCGATGTGTGCCCGGGCCTGGTGGTATTTGTTGACCCATAGCGGGGGTCGGTGGTTCCATCCTCAGCTGCATATACGGCTTTCCAGCATTCATCCATAAGCATCGAGTTGGACCTTTGCCTTTGGTGACCATAGGTTGTTGCCTCTGAGACGGCTGGGGATTTGAGGGCCTCCCCGTACGGCGGTGGCGCGAGGCCATTTGGTGCGCTGATGTTCCCGAAGAAGGGAGCGTTCATTCTCTTTTGCTCATCTAATTGCTTCAACTTCTTTTGGCGACGGCGTCGGTAAATGATGAACAATATCACGCTGATGACCATGGCGATGAGGACTGGTGGCAGTGTTAGTGGTGGCTCGCAATTATGGAGGAAGCCTATATCCATATGATGTAGTGACCTACCGAGAATCTGAATCACCAGGGCTGTGGAAATTGGGAATGTAACGGATGAGCTGGATCGTTTGGCGCTGGCATGATGTGTAGGTGCCTTGGGTGTGTCAACAGCTCGCCTTCGCACGATGAACTCATTCCGGGTAAAGATCCAGGATTCCACCGTGTCCAACATGTTGTCGAGCGGTTGGCGCTTCCGAGGCGCTCGTGGTATTTGGCTGGGAATTCTGACCATTGTAAATGGCACTGAGGTGGCGACTGACTTGTAAATGGTCGTGACCCGGGGGTGGTCCCAAGAAGGGAGGGCAAGAAAAGCAAAGTCAGCACGAGTGGGAAGAAACCAATATTTCTACAAGCTCTCACACATGCACGAGTATGCAGGGCTGCCGGCTGCCGACCGAACTCATCTACACAGCACATGAACGGGCGAGCTATTTTCCCATGTCATCGCCCTGCACGATGCTGTTTCTGTCAGTCTCCACCCCACATCCCATACCCAACTTTATCGATCGACAGGGGGAGGGGCAGGGGCAGCCCATGGAGCGTCCAAATGAACACAGGAGGATGTTCCCCCGCCCAACTGCCGTATTGGGACGGCGGAGGCGTGCGGCTCGGAGTATGGCTGTCAACGTCAGACGACGCTGCTCAAGGTTGCGCCCAAGTCTGTTTGATGTACGGGATTAGGTTTTCCAGTGCGTCCTCTCAACTCTAGTCCGATATAGATAGGCCTTCGTTGGTCGGATGAGCATACCGCACCATGCTCGCACGATAGACCACTAAAAAAGGTCGTTTGCTTGTGTTTCCCGGCAAAACATCGAACATTGTTCCTATGCGTTTCTCCCTCGGCATCCCCACCAGGTCTACGCCCTGCAAGATTCGCAGCAGGGACTAACTCGGGCCTAAGCCATGTTCAACCGAGGTGGGGGAGGACATAGTCTTCCCGTGTACGCAGCCCCGACGGATATAGACCCAGGGCACAAATATAGCGACAGCAGCGAGTGAGCGCCGCAAATCCGCTGAGTCGGTCGTCAGCACCCCACGAGTAAGGTTAGGGGATAAGGTTTCAGAACAAGCTTGGCGGCATGGATTGGCGAGCCTTACGCACGCCCGTCCCAGTATGGACAGTGCCAAGGATCTTCGGTCTCGTTCCTCTTTTTAGCCGCTGGCTCTTTTTGAGCCGCACTCTACGAGGAACAGAGCCTCAATCAGATTAATTGCGGACAGCCTTAGCCGTGACGGCATAACTAAGCGAAGGCAACCCCTCCCGGCTCCACTATCGGCGTCTCCTCCTTGGGCCAGTTCGTTTGGCACACACATAAATACCAGGACCAACGCGATCGCCTTCCTCTCCCACCACTAGCCTCTGCCTGTCTGGGAGAACGACGATCGGCCGGTGGTGGTCCTCCGTCGAAACGCACTTCGGATGCCGCTAGAATTCGCACCAGTTAGAGGACGCGTGTGTTGCGGGTTTGTTTTGAAACATCGCCCTGTTGGCTGATGTTCCAGAGAGATGACGTTGTCTCGGGACAACTCTTCACGACATTCGGCGCCATTTCTCCCAAACTGTTGGCCCTTGGGGAGGAGCTTCTCGCCCCGCCTAGATTGCGTTGGTCAGGATGTCAGCCAGGATGATATAAAACATCAGTCCATCCACACAACCCTGACAGTATATAGTGCCCGCTGTAGCATTGTCCTATGAGAGCTGCCAGACGCGCAACTTCCTCGGTGTCCGAGCGATGATCCCTCGGCGTGCGAGGGCCAGGAAGACGATCCCAGAGGCTGACGGGCCGATGCACTTCACCCGTGACGTGACCAAACAACAAACAACCCTCCATCCACCCAACGTAACGCACCGCTAGCAGTTGCATCCTCAAAACTGTAAATGCCAGGCGACCAAGTCGGGCAAACAAAGCGGCAATGGCGACGACCCCTCTTTGGACCAAGCATTCCTAGACCACCACCTCTCTTGGCAAATGCAAATTCACGCCCGCACCAGCCGCATGGACGCGCGAAGCCCTAACAGGCTGAAAATAGCCCCTGCGCCTGGGCTTCCTGATCAGACCAAAAGTCTAAATCATCCTACCTGCCTCGCCATAACCCATTTTCGGAAAACCACCTGGAGCTCTGAGGGCCAGCTGCATTTGTCGAGAAACTTTGGTCGTCTCCAAATGTAGTCAAAGGCAGGTCCTCATGGTCAATTTCCGTGACTCGCATCCTATTAGATCAGATCGCGACACGGTGAATAAAACCCGGGCAGTGTTGAATAAGTCTGCTCACAACGGGGATCTGCCTGGCACAGCTGGGCGCAAAGATGCAGAGGTGCACTACCCAACCATAGCGCAAACAAAACTCGAAATTGTTTCCAAGTTTGTAATGGGCCTGGTGGGACAAAACTCCATAACAATTTGGACCATGACGCATGGATAGCACGGCGCCAGGGCTGCACATACAACACCTATTTTGATGTGTTGGCTTATTTTTAGATCTTACGTCGTGAACTGACTGAACTTCCTTCCTGCGTGGTAGAGCTTTTCCGATTGTAGGATGCGCAAGCGTGGTAGACGGGTTGTGACACGATGCTGAAGAGACCAGATTTAGCATCGTGACCATGGTCTTGAAATTGTCGAAACCAACAGTGAGCCTGGTCGCCTTTCGAAGCACTGTCGACTCGCAATTCTTACTTCGCGAAGCCACTCCCGAAAACGATACGACCTGAATTGTCTCTTGAGCGAGGGCATTGAAAGAGAGAGAACGGAGACAAGAACTGGAGCATCATCCCGGTTTACCAAACGTATTGCCTGCAAATGCAGATAATTAAGAGAGGATAATCCTTCTTCATTCTCTCCGTTCAGAGGAGCTCGGTTGTCACTAAGTCATGACATCAAATCAGGATCTGATGAAAATCTCAAAGCGAGCACTATAATTGACCAGTAGTATGACTTTTCATTCCTTTCTGAACTTCGCCTGTGACCAGTTACTCGCATCACTGCCTGTTCTCTTTAGCCCCCCTAAAGTACCTCCTAGAGTAGATAGTGTTGCTAAGGGTCGATTTACACTCGGTCTGTTATATGGAGCGCGTCATTGACCGACGGACTTCTGATTCTCGAGACCTGGCGTGAGCGTTGAAATGGCACCTACCATGCTGAGGTAGCTGTGATTCTTTCATCAAGTTGTCTTCTCATAGATCGACAGAATCCCTTTATAGGAGGGTCCTAAGCAGGTTCCTCAAGCACGCCAACATCTTATCTTCCACTCCTGGGTGAGTACTAACGCAAACGTCGAGACCTGCCATGTGCGCCCCATTAGCGGCAACGAGCACCCGGGAAAGAGGCGCTCCTTTATGAAATAACACTCCCGAATCTTGCCTGGACAACCCGATTTTGATTCGGTTCGCACGAATTTCTCGACGGAGATGGATCTCCAACGAAATCTTGATTCAGAGCAGCTCAGCCTGCGTGACGCAGCGCGTCTTTGCGTGAGTATTCTCTCTTCAAGGCTTCCCCGCCCAGCCCTCACCACATAGAACTCTGAGCAGTGTTTCAGTGCCCTGAACTTGCCTCCACCGTAGCGGACGGTAAGCTGGGCTATCCGGACAGCCCGGAATACAATGCATCGCTGGAATCATACTATTCGGTGCAGCAAGAGAGCATCCGTCCAGCTTGTATCGTATTCCCGCAAACCATCCAAGACGTATCAGACGCTGTGAAAGTCCTGACAAAGCACACAATCAACGGCTTGTGCAAATTCGCTATCCGGTCCGGTGGGCACACCAGTTGGGCAGGTGCGTCCAACATTGCTGGAGGCGTGACGCTGGATCTGCGCGGACTCAACAGCATCGACCTCAGCGAAGATGGCAAGACGGTGCAGATCGGTCCTGGTGCCTCTTGGGACGTCATCTACCAGAAACTTGACCCTCTGGGACGCAGCGTGGCGGGCGGCCGTGTGCCCACGCTGCGTCCGTGTGGCTGGAGTTGGCGTAGGCGGCCTGACCCTCGGCGGTGGCATCTCTCACTTGTCACCCCAATACCGCTGGACTTGTGACACGGTTCGCAACTATCAAGTCGTCCTGAGTGACGGGACGGTGGTCAACGCTAATGAGAACGAGAACGCAGATCTGTTGTTCGCACTCCGCGGCGGCGGCAACAATTTTGGCATCGTCACCCTCATCGACTTGGAAACTTATGATCAGGGTCTGCTGTGGAGTGCATCCTTGATGTGCGACGCCTCTGTTGTTGAGTCTAATGCTAAAGAGTTTGTTCGACTCAGCACAGCCCATGACTATGATGAGAAAGCTTCATTCCTGCTGTCGTTTGCTTACATTGGCTCTATGGGTCTCTCCGTCATCGCGAACACACTCATATATGCCGATGCAGTGGAGAACCCTCCTGTATACCAGAAATTTTTGAAGCTTCCAGCACTTCAAGTCACCACGGGACTCAAGAATATGACAACCTTGTCTCTCGAAGGCGAGGCCATGGTACCAAAGGGTGCGCGATCCCTCCACTGTACCCATACTGTCATCTCGACCGAAGCTATGCTCCAAGCCATACACAAGGTTTGGAATGACGCAGTTTCCGCTGTCAGAAACGTGTCGGGCATATCATGGGTTCTCTCATTCGACCCAGTACCCCCGTGCTTTTACGCTCGTCATGCGGCCTCGAACGCTCTCGGCTTAAGTGGCCGAAATGGCGCCGCTCTTCTCGTGTTGTTGCTAGATGTCAGATGGAGCGAGGCAACTGACGACGAGACCGTCGCATCCACTGCTAAATTGCTTTTCGAAGCAGTGGGTATTCCGAGTCTTGATTCTCCGTTTTTCCTTTTCACTGGCATGCTGGGCAAGACTGATTTGTGACTCACATGTGTATAGATCAAGCATGAGGCACAAAAGATAGGCGCATTTGACCCGTTCATCTATCTCAACTATGCAGGGCCGGACCAGAACCCGATAGCGACCTATGGCGCGGAGAATGTACAGCGGCTGAGGGCAATCCGGAGCCGAGCAGATCCCGGGGAATTGTTCACGGAGCAGGTGCCCGGGGGCCACAAAGTTCCCGGTGAATCATTGATACATTACACGCGACTCTACTGTGTTGGCTATTACATCTGGTTGCAAGGTTTCAGTGGCTTTGTAAAGGCTTGCATGCCCCATCACTGTTTGACCTTGAGCCTCATCATCAATACGAGTACATAGTAAGAACGCCAAACAGTTCTGGGATACCGACAAATGTTTCTCAAACCTTTCAGGGAGAAAATGCCACTAAAATTGTGACTGCAGCAGTAGACTGGATCATGGCATTTTTAAAGTGGAACTGAGGTGCTTGCATCAGATTGTTCAGTCTCGGGATACATGATTATTTCTCTTTGATGGTTTTTTAACTGATTGTCTCACACGACACGTACACGTTCAAGAAACTGTATTTGTAGCTCCATTTCCGTGTCCTGGAATATGAGTCCCAGGTTACTCGTACTTTAGTGGCTCTGTCTCGCATGCTACGCGAAACTCTGCCACAGCAGTTCCGAGGGCCGAAGCTGATTCTGCGCAAAGTTGTAGTCGTAACCTTGTTTATTAGAACAACGACCAAACACCCCGACTTCGCATGCACACGAGTTATGCAGGCCGAACACAGTCAACGGTCGCGTGAACTGGATTCTCAGTGTAATATCCCCCCGTAAGCTCGGCCGGACCCTTGGAGCAGTCATCCAGGTTCGCATCATTAATAATGTCCTATCAAAATGCGCTATTTGAAGATAGATGACGGACCATTTCTTGCCGCAGGACTGAAAGCGTCTGGTCCAGAGGGACACCACAGACAAGGGCTGGATTTCAGTCCATCGACTCCTAGTGTCCTGGTACCCAATAAAAGACGAGCATCGATTAGATGGGGGATATTATGGGTCACAGTTGATGGCAAACTGGGTCATCAACCGGTGTGAGACACGGCCAATCGAGGAATTTAGCGGGCGCAGCAAGGAACTCGGAACTCAGTAGGCAGGTCAAAGGCTGAGGACTTCCGAATTACCGTTGTTGTGGGCTGCCTGTGTAGACTCTTAGGCAGGGCAGGACATTTGATCCAGTCGCCAGGGGCATCGCACTACGTCTTAAAGATTTGTATCTTCATAACCATGAAGCCATAGGTCTCCAACGAGCTGAATCTCATGTGCCCGCTTTGGGACCTCGTAACTTATGTGGGAAAAGCAGGAGAAACAAAGGAGGAAGAGCTATAGAAAAGAAACCGATCTCTCAAGAATAACCGACTCTAAGAAATTCTCTGATAGGATGACCTTCTATGGGAAAACATCCTATGGGATAGCCTCATGTGGGATAACCTCCTCTGGGATAACCTCCTGTAGGATAACCTCCTGTAGAATAATCTCCTGTGGGATGATTTCCTGTAGAATCCGTTCGTCTTGGATAATCTTCTAGATAAGGAAGAAATTAATTCGCAGGGGCTCCGCTATAGCGTGTTGCGATGAGAGTGTGGCCGTGTTATTCCAATAGTGGATGTGATGTGAATTTCTTTCCTTAAGAGACTTCAGTATCACACCACCTGATTCATGTCAGCTGGCCCGTGTTCTCTCTTATCTTGAGATAAGACTGCGATGTGATTTAAGGGCATCAAAATTGACCTCACGCTGGACGAGGTTGTTGCATGGCTTCTGGCTCACAGAAAATAACCTTATTACCATGAGTGTTCCTTAATGGTGTGACATAAAGCAAGCGGCTTCACATGCGCCTCAATTTGACGAGTCAACAAGACGCTCCATATCCGAAATATCAATTTGGATTTCTCAGTGCCTCAGAGACGGTCTACGGCATGCAATGGGGTCTAAAACTATCCTACATGCCTCCAATTCTCAATTCCGGCTTCTCCTCACCATCTTCTCCCCTTTTCAATTCCCGCCGGGTGTGGTCGACGATCCATATCCTAAAGGAGCCTAAGTATCGCCCTCCACACTAGCCTGCACGTCCTCGTTTCCAGTTCCATTGTCCCCCCGTTCAGAAACACGCTGCCCATGGGTAGTGTGCTCCTGGGCGGTTCGAGACGTCGGTCCGAATGGTCTTCCTATGGTCGGCCCACAAGAGCTGCGGAACCCGGACTCGCGACACTCAGAACAGGTCCGGGCGGTGCTGAGAGAAGCATCACGGCCAAAATCTGGCTCATAGGAGCTGTGTGGGCGGTCGTAGGGGGTAAATTCCTCCAAACGGACGTAGCTACCATCTCCTCGGCCGCTTGGAATGTAGGTCACTCTGGGAGACGAGGAGGGAGTCGATACATATGGAGAAGCAGACCTTGTAGGAGAAGGTGTAGTAGATCTCAAATATGGGGAGTCTTCACGATCGTGGCGTCGACGAAGACGGTCGAGGCGGCGGTTGTAGTGATCCCTGTGGTGGACCATCCCGCTACCAGTGATTGCGGGATCCCCGTCACTTGCTCCTCTGATTGGGACCAGGATGCAAGGCCCGAGAGTTGGATGTATCGCGGTCACGTTGTTGGGGCTCGTATGAGTTCTGAATAGACGGGCACGGCGATTCTGATGCCGCCCACGAGCGGTGATGTCTCGTTCTCGTGGGTATTCCGGAAAAGAGCCATGCGGGTGGATATCACTCTGTGTTGACTCATTTCCCTGGGCCCTAGTGTGCAGGTTGTTCTCGAGGCTACCACGGGTAGAAGCTGATGCACCACCATGCGTAGAAGGAGCTTGGGGGAAACGATCAAAAGGCAAGTCCCTCACGTACTGGGGGACATAAGGGCCAGTGGGATATGCACTCGTGGCGTTGGTCATACCGCCCTCTGCAAAGATGTGAGGGTGTGTAACAGCATGGTAGCTAGCTGGACGGCTGCTGGAAGAGAAGTCGTACTGAGGACTGAAAAACTGATTCAACCAGGCCCGGTAATATTCGAGATCTTCATTCTGACAATATTGTAGGGCGTGCCCATCTCGTGTGGTTGTTTCGTAAGACATTCTTGTTCCAGGTCTGGGTCAAGCTTATGCGGCAGTCGTCGTTGTTGGTCAATCGTTTGCGACGGGTAAGTAGGTAATGAAAGAAGGCGTGTTGAACAGTACTGAAGGATTTGCAGCTATCAACATCAGGTTCGTGGTTTTTATACTCGAGAATTGAGCTTCTTGACACATCAGTATGATCAGTGAGACAGAACCGTCTTGTGAATCATGGCCACAAATTCATCAGAACTGGAATCATTCGGGCTTTTGTTCCGTGAAATATGACCCCAGTCACACTATGGATTAATTGGTCTCAAGAGACGATGACATGGTTTCCGTGCAAAATCACTGCGTCATATCCACCGGGTATATCGGATGTTTGGGAGAAAAGCGAGAACTACAACAATTCGTCTTGCAGGTCCTGATTTTCCAGCTCGCACAGAACATGGAAGTGTGATGTTCGCATATTGTAGGGGACGCTCCAGTCCAGTAACTGAAATATGTTGAACATGACTTCTGGTCATATGAGATTCACAGAAGTCTCAGGTTCGTGCTCGAACTGTGCCGGCTCAGGCAGATTACAAGGAGGCTCTATCCTCCACTGCCTTTCCATTACTTTCTGCCCTGCCTGGGCAGTCACTACAGTCGGCTCAGCCCCTCCTATAGCAGCAGAGTCAATGTCGTCCTGATCTTGTTCAGTGTCGTATGAGCGCATGACTCATCAGTATCAAGAAGCTATCCTCATCAACCGGCACGTTGCCTTTGATGATCTGGACAAGTAGGCTCTGTCCATCCAAGCCCGTTGTGGGAGACAACGCATGTCTGATAGTAGTAGTACCTTGGGAGATGCGTTCGTCACCAACTGCACTTCAACCAGAAACATGATTTCTGATCGGACCATTCCACGACATTTCCTCATCGCAGGTATACCTACAGCACAGGAAAGACCAATTTTGGAACAAGAGGCGATCAGATACGGTTTCTCGGGCGTTGGAGGTAGTGTGTTCTCTTTCCCGCCCGCCACAACCTGATCGACCACCCTACGGCCGACGTTCTGGGTGAATACGACTTCGCCTTGATGAGGAACGCCCACAGAGATGGGACACACCCGTCAAATGTCCAGTAGCCCAGAGAAACGGCTGAATGGAGGTTCGAGCGATTCTGAAGAAGAGCAAGATCGGCCATTCAGCCGTTGTCTTTTAAAGTTGGTAAATAATTCGAATGTTGATCCTAATCATGAGAAGATTTTAATTCCTGTAGGTACAGCAATTATTAATGTAGCAGCAGTAAAGAAGCCTTCAATGGAAGACCTAATTGGTACCTGGTCTTGCATGCCCGCATCGATTGACAGCAGATATAGACTGTTGCTATCGCCGAGTTTCGTGGTCACAACTCATAAATGTACTAATGCAGCCAAGTGTCTTACAACATCTATCCGCCAGTAAGTGCGGGGGCTGCAGAGTTCGAGCATGTCATTGATACATTGGAAGAGATTCACCGGGCTCTCCCTCGCTTCAGCTTTTATCTGCGCGAGTTCCCGCCAGCAGTAATAACTGCTAATCTGAGACTGTCAATCGTTCAGTATTATACCGAACTTATCCGGCAATGCCAGGATTTCATTCGCTTTCTGAAAACGGCTCCAATTAGTATTAGAAACAAGCATCCTCATGATACTCTTATACGCATACAAGCCAACAACGCATTGGTTGGCACAAGTTGTGGTATGAAACTACTCATGAGTTGAAGGAATTGGATTTGTAGATTTACATTTGACTCCTCGTGAATACACGAATTTTACACAAGCATCCAACCCTCTGAAAAAAGTAGATCAAGATTGCTCCACCTAAACATTTTATCAGCCACTTCTCACGCCGCCGCTCGCCATTGTCTTCCAACGTCCTTCGTTGTGTTTCAGCACAGCGAGGACAGGAAACTGTAGTCTTAGAAGAAAACGGTTTCCGACTCATCCACAATATGAACTTTGATACTGCCATTGCGAGGGTCTGAAGAAAATGTCAAGCCCTCTTCGGCTTTTTCCAGAGGGTAGACATGGGTGACTAGCTTTGTCATGTCGATAATTCCGCCGCTCATGCACGAGATGCCAGCCGGCCAAGTGTCCGTGTATCTGTTGATGAATCTCAGATCGATCTGTCTCGCAATTATACCAGTCAGCGCTCAGTCCGCGATAGACGTATCGCATTTGCAGAGTAACGAATTCGTCGAAAGGATTCATGATACTCTTACGAGGAAACGTACCTCAGACAAAGATAGATGCATGAACGGTAGGTTGTTCATGGTACTCTTGCCAACGCCGACCACCACGACCCTACCGCCCCTCCTCACGGTGAAAGCCGCCGTGCACACACTCGACTCGACGCCTGTGCACTCGACCACGCATGGTGGTGCAAAATACTCATCCCCTTCCTCGCCTTCGCCTCCTCGAGCACCAAAGAGCTTTCTGATGCCCCTCGCATTGCCGCGAGCATCCTGGGACGGGTCAATACGGTAGGTGAGACAGGACGGGACGAGCTGCTTCGCAAATTCTAGCCGCTTGGGCTCGATATCAGTCACGACCAGCGGGTAAGCGCCTGACGCTCTCGCTGCGAGCAGGGCAGTGAGGCCGATGGGACCCGCGCCGCAGATAACGGCACTACGACCCAGCGTCAGCTCGGCGACCCGAAGCCCTGATAGGATGACACTGAGTGGCTCGAGCAGTGCTCCATCTTGAAAGGACATGTTATCTGGCAGTCTGTTGATCTGTCAGTTCGCTCCTCCTTCACAACACTCAATGATAGATGGCACTCACTTGTGCAGCCACCTGGCAGGGTGCACTGTATACCGCTGCAAGGTTCCATGGTATGGATACACTCCCGCGAAGGCGACGTCTTCACAGAGATTGTACTTGCCCATCTTACACAAGAAGCACTTCTCGCATGGTACGCCGGGCTCGACAGCGACTCTATCGCCGGGCTTGAGGTCCGTCACGCCATCCCCGCACCTGACAACGACGCCTGCGGCTTCATGGCCGAGAATACAGTCACCCTCAAACACTAACGAGCCAATGCAGCCGGTTTTCCAAAAGTGCACGTCCGAGCCGCATATTCCTGTGGCTTTGACATGCAGGAGTACCTCGCCAGGGCCTGGGGCATACACGGGGGCTTCAACAGACTTGAGTTTGTGGTCTGCAGTTGCTTGAAGGGAGGGGTTAGGGAGCGGCGCTTGAATTACTTGGCGAGTGTTGGATCCATTCGTGTGCGCTCCATTGGCACTAGCCTGCGATGTCGATTCGCCGTGTGATGCCATTGTGTACTTGTGAAGCGTGTTTGGAGAGTCGCGGGATCTGCATGCAACAGCAACGAGGGGCAGCTAAGCTGTAGAGAACACTCAGTCCTTTGAAATGTCGACTTTGTGGGGGTTGGCCTGGCAAGTAGAACATAAGCGGAGTTGCTAGGAGAATATCCTCATTCAAAGTGCCGATGGGCTCCGCAATTGAAGACACCGACCCCTCTTGTTCCGACACTGGACACGATGGGCCGTCGACTCGTCGAAGGCGGAGGCACTATCCGCTTTGTGGAGCTGTTGGCATGACCGTTGTCCATACAGTCACGATGAGCACCAGAGCGTGACACACAGAGCTTGTCGGCTCATGCAGTGACTACTCCACTGTCCAACCGATAACGGTGCTAACATTGTCGGGCATAGTCTCTTCTCGGCGTCTAGATATTTGTCAAGCTGCATCGTTGTTGGTGTAAGTGGCGGCGGGATTCCCCCTTTCGGGAATCCGCCGTCCCGCCTTTGTGGGCTCTGCCCCGGACTGGTCCATGTTTTCATGCACCCCAGACATCGGAGCAGATCGCCCGAGCGGGAGACAGCCGACCGATGCTGCCGATGCCGTCAATGCCGCTATGAAATCTGTGGTAGTTGAACTATACCTAAGCATCCTCCGCCTAGTAGATACTTACTAACCCTTTTCATCACGTCGTTGACGCTGTATATAATATTACCTATGCTATCTTGCAGCCTGAAACATCTATCTTTGGCCAATTCATAAATTCTCATTGTGCTATATTTAGGTACCTTGTTATTTCTTCACACGTCCAGCGCACCTCCCATACACGAAGGATGGGCTCTCGGTCATGTTTGAATACAGAGAGCGGTACGCTTAATGGCATTAAATCGCTTGCGGTCACTTAGACAAATTGGTCACCTCACGCCGACGGGTTTTAGCTCATGAGGCCCTGCGAAGATATGAAAGGAACATCAGGTATTTACGCCACACTGGGGCCGAGCCACATCGGCCTAGTACGGCTCTGAGACCACTGGTGTGCTTGCTCAATAAGCACAGATTGGTTACGGCCGAAGTCGAAATATACCGCAATTTCCTTGAACTGTCGGAGGGTGTGTGGCTGTGTCCTTCAAGGGCGCAATGAGATCGAGGTGAGCCCGGACGGCTCGGTCTATCCCTAACTTGATGATCGGGCGGTCACATAGAAGAGGACATCAGAATTGGTACTTGCCTTCGATTCGGATACTTTGGTTCTGAGAGTGAACGTTTCATGTGGAAGCAGTGACAGCCACATGCTCCCACACCCTGACACTTGTAGAGACTTGGCAGTAGGAATCGTTAACAATGTTATTTCTTTTCTGCTGAACTTCAACACCAAAATAAAATCATAATTATGACTCGCAGCTTCACGATTTGAGAACGGACATTAAATCGATAGCTAATCCCAAACAGCGCCTGGGCTGCCCAGGCGATGCAGTCTCTTCACCGGCGGCAATGCTATCTTGGTTCGAATTGTGTTGTACTCCCGTGCACGTGGTCGAGCCTAGACAACCGAATAATGTGAGTAAAGTTTATCTGGCTCGATCTCTGCAACAGCAAAGACGTCTTACTCAGAAACAGGCACACGATTCGAAGTGGCGACAGTTCGTCGAGCAGTGAACCAAAAACTCAGGTGCGCACGTACTCTAGATGTGTGTCGGCGCAGCATCGACATCTGGAGTCGCATCGGAAAACAAGCCCGTCCACCTCCCCACAACCCGATTCGTCACGCATATAAGGAACCTAATCAAGCTTTCACGTCGCCATAGAACGACCCCAGGAGCTGGTTTCAATGTCCAGAGCTTAACTTTGTCCACCTCTAAAGTTCTTCGATGCGTGACATCGGCCACTGCCGGCAGCTGGGAGTACGACATAATAAGCACGACTCGACATGCGAGGTACAGTGATATGCAGCCGACTCACACCGCTGAAGCGCAGGGAGTGAGGTCGATGACTGCGATGAGAGAGAGAGAGATCGAGAAGCCAAATGTCGTTGATCTGTGCGGTAAAAGGTACAAAAGTGGCCTTATTTAAAATGCAACACTATTCCCTCTGCCTATGAGGATTGTTCGCCCCCCTTGAGCCATATGTGTCTTTCTTTCTAGGTTGAGCAGGTCTCTCCGTTGTCACATAGCCCATAATGTCCAAGGAAATAAGCGTCATTTCTCATGGCTCGCCAACCCCTACAGGGGAGAAGACCATCGAGGGTCAACTCATAGAGCCAAGCCGGCCATCCCTCGACAAAATCAGGGCATTCACCAAGGCCGAAGCCCGCGCCGCCAACATCGCCGAGCATGAACAGACATTCCGCCATGCCTTGTCCACCAATAAAAAGGCCGTCTTCTGGTCGCTCGTGATCTCCATGGCCATCGTCATGGAAGGCTACGACACCGCCTTGATGCCGCAGTTCTACGGCTACCCGTCCTTCCAGAAGCGCTACGGCGAGTTCTTCCCTGATATCGGCGAGTGGAGCCTCACTGGCGCGTGGCAGGCAGGGCTGAGCAATGCCCAGGCCGTGGGCGTGATACTCGGTGGGTTCATCAATGGTTGGGCGAGCTCGATGTTCGGCTACAAGAGGATGATGCTGGTCGCGCTGTTCTGGATTAACTCCACCATCTTCATTGTCTTCTTCGCTCCCAACATACAGATCCTGCTCATCGGCCAATTCCTCTGCGGCCTGGGCTGGGGCGTCTTTGCGACTACAGGACCAGCGTACGCGTCTGAGGTCTGTCCCCTGGCGTTGCGTGGGTATCTGACTGTATATAACAATCTATGCTGGGCCAGTAAGTCACCCTAACAGGACATGCTTTACATCCGATGGCTTTCCCTCCTTTAGCCATCCAAAAGGAACCCATTGCTAATACTAAGTGTGTAAGTGGGACAATTAATCGCAAACGGCGTCCTAAAAGCCCTAGTCAACAACTCCTCGCAATGGAGTTACCGGATCCCCTTCGCCGTGCAATGGGCGTGGCCACTGCCGCTCTTCATTTTGGTATCCTTCTCGCCAGAGAGCCCCTGGTGGCTGGCGAAGAAGGAGCGGTACGGAGACGCCGCCATCAGCCTGCACCGACTGTCGAATCGTCCCGAGAGTGAGATCCAGAATAGTCTGGCGCAGATCGTGTATACCATCAGGCTAGAAAAGGCAAGGATTGCCCGGTCCAGGGAAAAGGCCGCTGCTGCTCGCCCTGCCTCTGCACGGAACAACACATCACAGACACACCATCCGAACTCCTGGCTCGCACGGTATTCACGGCATCGTGTTTGTTCGCCCTTTCTTCACTCGTCCTTCCCTTTCGTCCGTGATAAATACATCTCATCTGTGACTATCTTGTGCAACGTTTTGAATGTTCCAGCTAACGTTAACGTCTGTTCTCCAGGAGCTGCAATCGGGAACCACGTATAGAGACTGCTTCCGTGGGCTTGATCGGCGCCGCACCGAAATTTGCTGCGTTGCCTTCGCGGGCCAGATGCTTTCTGGTGCGCAGTTCGCATACGGTCCATCGTACTTTTACCTACAAGCTGGCATGTCCGTCGATGACGCCTACAAATTGGCCGTCGTCAGTCCGGCTCTAGCCTTTATCGGTACTGTGTCTTCATGGCTACTCATCACTTACTATGGCCGACGCTCGATCTATCTGTCCGGAATTGCAGGAACCACAGCAGTGCTGTGTCTTGTCGGGATCATTTCCGTACTTCCAGAGAATGCGGCGAGCCTATGGGCGCAAGCTGCGCTGTGCCTTGTGTGGCAGCTCATTTACAGCTTGACACTGGGGCCGATCACTTACTCCATCATTGCGGAGACAAGTGCCATGCATCTGCGTGCCAAGACGGTTGTGCTGGCGAGAAATACGTATAATGTTGTGACAGTGGCATCGCTGGTCATCGAGCCGTAAGTAGCTGGCATTCTCATTCCTCCCTCCGTGGCGCATGATTTCATTCTTAATTGCAAGCATGAAATGCAGTAGGCTAACAATATTCATAATTAGATACTTGATCAACCCAACAGAGCTGGACTTGAAGGGCAAGACAGCGTTTTTCTGGGCCGCTACAGCAGCGTTGACTACGGTATGGGCTTATTTCAGGCTCCCAGAGGTCAAGGTAAGCGTCATTCTTCTATTCCCACTGGTACTACTAAGCAAAGTGTCTAAAGAATCTTCCTAGGACCGCACGTACGAAGAATTGGATGTGCTCTTCGCGAGAAAGTTGTCGGCCAGGAAGTTCAAGTCCGCGGAGGTACACGTGTACGAGGATTCAGAGTACCAGATATTCTTGGATTAAGACAGAGCAGATCAACATCAACCTTAAGCTTTTACGAGTATTATTTGTTTTGTATTACTTGGGGAACAGTTATTTACAGCAGCGTGGTGTCAGGAGGGGCATGTTCTGGAATAATGAAATATTCAATTGCGGCATTCTTCGGTTTTCGAATAATTCCTGGTGCACAATGGCTCAAAGTCACTTTGTGCTCTTTCTGAAAAAACTTTCCATCCATTGAATATCTCGACAATGAGAACGTTCTAGCCCTCGCTCTCTCTCCATATGACTTTGAGTCGTCAAGGCTGAAAACGCGGCCTTGCCTTCAGATGAGCAGGTGTGCCGAGCATACGCCTCCACGAATCATTTCCGACTGTTCGAGATATAGACTCTATCCGATCGTCTCCTGACACAGATGTGCACTCCCGGTGCCGTCCGGCAGAGCCGGCGGGCCTTGGTCTGCCTCATCTCATCTCCTCCCGAACCCCAAAAGCTTGCGCCAGCCTGCGTGTCACACTTAGCCTATCGTTAAATAAACTCGATCAGGGACTGGACAACCAAAATTTCAGCTCAGGCAGGGGAAGCAGCCTCGCCAGCTCTTGAAACTACCGAGCTCTCATCATTGATATCTGCACGCAAACTCGACTGCATGTAGGGCGCTCCGGTAAGCTCTCGGCATTCCTGAGACTTAACATGCGAGCTGTAGATCCTGAGTGCCTGGAAAGGATATATGAGCTGTTTCTGGTAGGATCATGGGCTGTTTTGATACGTCCCATAAGGAACCCGCGCGTATTCGGCACCATACCTCCACACTACTTGGAAGTCATCCGGGCTTATACACAGAATAGCCTCGCAGATGAGACGTAGTCTACCATTCTCTCCACATCACCCGGCTCGCGCCCACAAACTCAAGCTTAAAGTCAAAGCCTCGTCTTGCGATGTGAAACAAAAAGAACACAGCCACTCGCTATGAACACCGGTACCGCCCGGGCCCAGAACACCGGATTAAAACCTTGAACTAGGTCCAACTCCGCTACTGGTAGAAAATTCAGCCATCACAAGCACACACATGCCTCTTGGCATGCCGTCGATCAGCCACACCACAATCGTGGTCCTGCGACATCTCGCGGAAGCATCAAGGCAGTATCGGCGACGGTATAGTAGCGCCGATCACATGGAAGAAGAGAAGCCCTTGCGAGAACACGGGCAGATGAAGCCTAGCAATGCAGAAATCAGCGGTTGGGCGTTACCGAAGCTCCCATTTTTGCTGATCATTCATGGTGTAGGAGGTCAGGACCTACTACTTCAATGATGTTAGCTGGCCCATATTGCCCAATCCGATAGATCCTTGCCACTTGTTTTCCCGAGCCGAAGACCAGTGCCATTGTTGCAATGTGATTTTCGCAATCTCGTATCTAGCAGCGATTCCTCACTGTCCCGGACGTTTGTTGGACTCCAACACTGCGATGCTGTCTTTCAATCACCGGATGCGGCATTGCCAGTGGCAAGCGGGGCGGAGGCTGATCTCAGTATGGGGGTCGACCGAGTGTTTCCGCAAAGGGCCCTGGATTTCCAACTCAGGCTGTTGTTAAGTTGAGAGAGGCTGGCACAGCCGCTTAGAACAGAGGCGTGCCTGCAATGCTTGCAAGTCAACTCAAATTGTGAAATTGTGTCAGCACATTGAGATGGGGTCTCATGGCACGGTCTCACGGCAAGTATTCACTGTAACAACAGGTAGAAAGATGGCGGCGCGAACGATATTATTATTTCATGTGTATCTTAGGGAAACAATCTCGTCGAACAAGACGGCAATCAGTCAAACAGTCAAAGACTCCACAATCGTAGCAGCAATACACCTCCATGCGCCAGACACATACAACCCCTCCCTGCTCGTACCAAGGAAACAGATTGAAGTGGTGCAGAAACATCATGAGTGCCCTCGTCAAGTTTAAGGAAGATCACAGCGAATGACCTCGATAGGCTCAGACTTCTCCAAGTACAGACCATGAACCTTGAGTCCGTACTCGTCAGGCAGCTTGACAAACTTCTCGATCTTGAGTGGGGTCCAGGGGAAATAAGACTTGGTTGGAAGACAGCGGACGGCACCGTCCTCCTTCTCTGAGTAGTACTTGATGAACTTGACGTCGAAGTGCTTCTTCCAGTGATCTTCACCTTCATCTGTTGTGGAGATCTATCAGTACGTTGCAAGCTAGGATAGTTGATGGCAGAGGGACGATAAAGTGGTGGTGAAAGATGATAGGCAAGAAGGCGTGATGGTCTGAGATGGCTGCCTGATCATGACGTGGCGGAGCAGTTCCGAGACTGGGAGAGATAAGGGCATGACTTACTGAACCAGTGCTCATCACCGTCGGGCCAGACCTTCTCGATATAGTCCTTTCCGTAGTCGTTGTAAAAGTGAGCGGTGATGTAGGACTTGGGCTCGAAGGGATGGTAGTCGTGATGATGATGGTAGTGGTCGTCGTGATCATCATAGTGAGGGAGACAGTACTCGTGCTTGTCCTTGCGAGGGTCGCATTCGTACTGGTCTGGTTCCTCACGATGCTTCTTACACTGGTAGCAATCCTTGGACTCAGGCTTGCACTTGGGCTTGCAGAAGCGGTCCCGATACTTTGGTGGTTCGGGCTCGTCACGGCGCTTCTTGTAGCACTCCTTGTCGTCATAGTCCTTGTTTTCCTTGCTGCACTTGCGGTATTTGAAGCAGCCCTGACGCTCGTAGTAGCATTTGTCGTAGCACTTGTCGTATGGGCCGTATGGATTGTAAGGATCGTAAGGGCCCTTCTTCTGAACGGAATGGGTGCAACGGTCCTTGTAGTCGTCCCAACTGGAGCTGTCCTTGTAGCATTCCATGTCATATGGATGACACTCTTTCTTCTCGTCGTAGTACTTCTTCAGGCACTTCTTATCGCTGCAGGGATATGTCATGACCGTAGACAGGGCGGCGGAAGAAAGGGGGCCCAAGAGGTCGCGTTCGACCAGTGTCACGTTGGCTGAGACATCATCAATGGAGCGCGTCGCGATCTGAGAGGAGGAATTTGTCAGGGGAGAACACTTTTTGTAGAAACCTGCAACAGTGAAGCCGACGGAAACACAGCCCATGATCATGCACAGAAGCAGGCCGAAGGTGAGAACCCAGCGAAACATGAGATGAGGGCAGCGGGAGCAGCCTGGAGGAGTGTCAATTACCCCTGCGGCCTGAGAAAGGCCCATGAAAAGGGATGCCAGCATCGTGAGAGCGGCTGGAGTGAGCATGTTGACCGATGTCGTTGATGAAATTGCGGGAGCGCAAGAGGAGATGCACAGCAATGGGAAAGAGAAGCAAAAGCTGAAAGAATGCAGATAGAACTTTTCTGTTGACAAAAGGATGCTGATGGCCGTGTCAAAATTGTCGGAATTATGGACGGTCGTGATGTGGACGTGTGTGGCTTGGTGGGAAGTTGAAGAGCGAAGAGAGAGGAGAGAGGAGAAAGGAAAGAGAATCAGAACGAGAGACGGAGGGGAGATTTTTTATTGACTCTCTTCTGCCTCAGTCGTCCACACCTTCCTCAAACGTAGTTCGCGCAATGTTGTTGAGCTCGAGGTGGCCATGAGGTTCCATCAGGGAAGGCAGCGCTCCCAGACACTACTAAATGGGTAGGCATTATGAAGCAGGCACCCGATCTAGACCACAGCCAGCGGGTAATGAGAACAGATTGAGTGCTTGATGCCTGCCAGAAGTGTTCCATGTGTCCTTCCACAATTTGGCTGCTCATTGGGACGCAGTAGTTCTCCTGTGACGACGCGGAGAGCCATCTCCGGGCAGTCGTCTTTACTCAAGAGTGCCATGCCATCACAGGGACGCTTACTGGATCAGAGGAGATGGCAAGAGCTGGGGAGACGTGGGCTCACCCAATCTGGCTACGCACAATGAGCCATGAAGTCGAGCCAGACCAGACAGCCTGGGCTTCTGGGTGGCGTAATGGGGTCGTCAGGGCTGCTCGTGTTCAAATGTGTCGCGGACGGCCTCGCAATTGGCGTGGAGGAGGCGGAGCAGGATCTTGAACAAGTGGCAGGAGCAAGCCCTACAAAGTCAAGAGGCATTCAGAAAGAAACGACCAACACCATGGTAGTATTAGGAAGGCGCAGTCTTTTTGGGGCGTGCTTGTCTTCAGAGCAGGAACGGCTCTTTGGTTGTTGGCTTGACGTCGACGGTGGCAATCCGACAGGACTGATGAGACGAAAAGGCGATGCTGTGCTGCTTTCCAGAGCTTTAGGCTGTCCAGACGTATGTGAAAGCGGAAGGCGACGTCCTCGTTGCATGTTCAGGAGTCGCTAGCATTGTGTCTTGCTCCGGGCAGGATACCCAAGGGCCGTGGTTCTCACCGAGCTTCTCGATGGTGAGAAGATGTAGTGCAAGAAGACCAAGTGTCTGGGTGGAAACGTGCTGTCCGTCTGTGCATGCTCATTCTTCCCGCCGTGTGATCTTGAGCCGCCGAGAAGCTCAGGACTCTCGTAACGAAAACTTCTTCGGGATGCATCTGGTGCTTCATTGGCAATACCATGAAATTATCTCCAAATGCTCGGTCTATCGTGACTCATATGCAGATGCCTAGGCCTACCCAGACTCATTACTCCACGCCGAGGGTATTTAAGACCCTTCAAAAGAAATAGCCTAAACCGGGGCTGACCAATCCAAAAACCCAACAGATGCGAATAGCATCACCATCGAAGTATCATCATGAAGATTCCTGCCATACCACCCTGATAAGGCCATTCCCAATACCCTCGTCCCGCCGCACGTAATACATCGTAGTCGTCCTGGCGGCCTCGTCCCGCACGCTCTTCTCCACGAGGAACTGCACCTTGCCCTGGTCCTTGGGCTTCAGCGGGTCGAGGCTGTGGGTCCAGCTGTCCTCGATGTCCCAGATGGTTTTCTTCCAGGTGTGCTCCATGGCCTCGGGGTGCTGCGCCGCAAGCTCCGTCTCGTTATAGCTGTACTTGACAATGCTGAACCCGTTGGACATCTGCCAGCCGTCCTGGAACCGGTAGTTCTGTAGCACGCATGGCTTCCCGCAGACCTCGGAGACCGACGCGACGGTCGGCAGGTCGTGGTGGTGCCAGCTCTTCCAGTGGTGTACGCTGATGGGCTGGCGCCGGACAGCCTCATAGAAGCCCGTCACGTCCACGTGTAGGTCGAGCTGGAACAGGCCGTGCTCGATCGACAGCTTGGTCGTTGTATGCCGGTACACGCAGTCGCCCACGATCCAGTCCGCGCCCGTCGCGCCGTCCTGCCTGTCCTCCCAGCACGACTCGGCGTGCGGGCCCAGCGTCTCGATCAGCGGCCGTGACATGAACACGCCGGCGCCGCCGATAGCAAAGAAGCCGCCGTTGTTGATGTTCCACTTGTTCTCCGACAGCCTCCCCACGTACCACGGCTCGGAGGGGTGGTACTTCTTCAGCATGCCCATCAGTGTGTTCATGTCGAAGAAGAAGGTGTCGTCATCGATCAGCGCGACCCAGTCCGTCTGCTTCTCGACCGTGGTGCTTAGCCAGCTCAGGAGAGACAGGTATCTCTCACCCCAACCCTTGTCCGACTCCACCAGGAAGAGGTGGTTGATCCCTGCGTCGCGATACATCGTCTTGATTTCATCTGGGGAGAGCTCTCCTGGGCGAGCTTCAGTGTCCTGAGGCTCGTGCACCACAACGAAGCGGGCATTGGTGTGGGCTGCCCAGTGCTTGAAGTTCTGCAGGGCATCAGGCATGCGGCTAAGGAGAGTGGCCACGCCAAAGGTGATCCTAGAGGCATCAGGTGTCTTCTTCTTGGGCGGGATGGTGATGGTTGTGCTGGCGGGTGGTGTCCCAGGGACGGGCTTGTCGAGGTCGGTCACATTAAAATCCGGGGTATCGACGCGGTGGGTTGTGAACTTGGGCAGGGCGATGGGAAGCTGCTGCTGAAGTGGAGATGGCGAGAAGATGCCGTAGCCCTGCCGTCGCGAATTGGAGGGGCGAGCCTGTTCGTCCTGAGGGCTCTTTGCGGGGGCAGTTTTACCGTGGGCGGACTTGCTGTTCGCAGTGGTGCCGTCACTTTGGTGCTGTTGCTGTTGCTGCTGCTCCTTGACTCTGATATTCAGGGTCGCGATCTCGACTTCTGCACCAAAATCCTTTAGACCGAACAGCTCGACTCGCGGGCCACTGTAGGCGGGCGGCGACTGTGGCTCCTCCACCACCTTCGGTTTCGTTGGGCCATAAAAGCCTCCATCTGACCCTCCAATCCTGAAAAGGAAGAATAAGACAAAAACGGCGAAGACGAGGGCGGCGACCAGCCTCGATCGCTTGTTGGCATATGACATCAGGGCAGTAGCCATCGCGACGGGCGCGTTCCCAACGGAACGGGTGAGGTTGAAAGCTCGTTGACGAGCTTGTGCAGAGGGCGCGGGTTGGTGGGGTGTTCTCTGAGGGTTTGCTGCGTGATATTAGGCCTTTATCGGCTGCATCAGTCAGTTCCTCTTAAGTGGCAGCATGTTCGTCTCATCAGCAGCTGAGAGACTTGTAGACGCAGGCGAGGCCAATCCCAGAGAGCAGGCGTTGTGATGTACACAAGGTCAAAATGGAGGGAAGAGGAACAAAAAGAGGCGAGGTGAGGCGCGGTGCGGCGCAACACAACGCCATCGGCAAGACGGGGCAAACGACATGATTAGCGACACGGCTAGTCACAGGGCAGATCAGGCGCATGCAGGTTTGCCATCCAAGCCGTCCTCAATCATTTCCAGATGGACGGGCACAGGACTGGTAGGTGGGCAGGATCTACACAGTATGGATCTGCAGGATGCAGCCCCTCCCTGCTTACAGAATTGCAACGAAAAAAAATGGGTGGCATGGGAATGGACATGGGCCCTGCCTGTTTGGCCCGCCTGTCGGTCTCACACAGACATGTGGGAGATGGGATGGCGGCTTTGAAAGGTGCCTTAGTACCCTGAGATGGATCGATTGGGACAAGCTTCACGCCAGAGGCGCGATGCGACTTTATCCGCGAATCCTACCCAGGCAGCGAGACAGGCATGGCGAGACAGTTAGAATAAGCATAAGCCAGCCTATCTGCAGTCTGTTCTCTGCTCTGTTGTGATCAGTACGGTTCAGTACTTGGTCACACAAGCAAGGGCGAACACTGAATTCGTCACTGTGTATCTCCTAATGCTCCACAAGAGATGTCATCATCCGGATGGGGGTGTCGAGCTTCTCTTTTCTGCTTGGGCGGGTTACTGTGGTTCGATTACTTGATCACTCTACCCAGTAGCTTCAAACAGCCCTCCATCCAATCCTGCCCTTTTCCATCCTTTCGCCAAGACGCTCATCAGGGATGTCCTCTCTGGCTTATCTTACTTTTCCGATGGCTCTCGCAACGGTGTCTAGGCCAGAGCAATAGGACCAGTATTATGCCATGGTGCCACAACGAACGAGAGATGGCGTTCGAATTGAGTTTGAGATAACGTGCTTCCAGGGTGCCTGCCCTGTATGTATCTTTGTATCACCCTCACTGCAGACTTTAGTCAGGACCTGGGGACGGTTCCCATACAACGGGCCCCCTCCCCCCACTGGATGCAGTCATTTCGAGCCTATGCGGCCTGGCGGTCCTCCCTTGGTCCCCATCAGGCCCATCCGATGTCCACACTTCACCGAAGAGCTTGGCTGAGCGGCTAGTTGTCGCACCGCCGAGGCCGGCTGCAGGTTGATCACCTCCCTCTCTCCTTTTGGGCAGCTCCCCGAGCTCTGCAGCTTTCATTTACCTCTGACACCTCACCGGCCGATCCAAATTCGGACCCAAATATCGAAATTGGGATGTCTCATTGATTGTCGGCCAATTGGCAGCAACTGGCAGTCAGCAAGGAGGACGAGTCGCATTTGTGCACCACACAGGGATGCAGATGGCGTTCTTCCAATGAAATCGTCCGTCGGATGGCAGGCCCACGGTTGCACCCAACGCGGCTCAAAATCGGTTTGGACCGCCGTGTTACTTCAGGGATGGCGCTGTATACACTCAATCCCACCGACCAGGATCGACTCATTGCGCCTTTGCACTGAAAGGGCAGCCCGGCCCGCTCAGCTGAGTCTTAACGAATTGTTCATATGACTTATCCAGTGCCCTGATGTCCTCCTTCCGTTTATTCGCCGCCGCCTCTGGCAAGGTATTCAGCGTCTCAATGAATGATAGCTTAGGATCAGGCATAAGAGCCTCCGTTACGAGAAAAACCGTCCTTACGATGAACACGATGACGGCCGCAAGTACCGGGTGGGTAGGCTCCATGCGGAACGCACGCAGCGTCGTCGGCAGCGACAGCGCGCGAGGGAACTCGAAGCCGAGCCATCGCAGGCCTGGGGGAAAGTACCGGTACGCGAAGAGGTTGAAGATAGAGATACCGATGTACCGCGCCCGCTCGTCGTACTCTCGAGGCGTGTTCTCGTACGCCTCGCAGAAGGCCATGCACCCCTCAAAGCTGTCTGGGAAGTCCTCCACCATGCCCCGGCCCTCGACCCTGAACAGTGGCGCCATTTCCCGCCAGAAGTGGTGGGCCGCGATCCTCTGCTTCTCGCCGAAGCTCGAAAGGCCCAGCCGCAGCCGCAGCCGGTGCATCAGGATCGCGCTGAAGGCCAGGGTGTAGATGTAGTCTTCATTATGGGAGAACCTCCCGGGGTACTGGCGGGCGAGGCCCGCGTGAAGCTGGTTGATGCGCTCGACGGCGGCCTGACACCGCCGATCGCTTGGACCGTAATACCACCAGGTCATGTTATACGTCTCTGTCTTCTCGATGCGGTCGGCGGCCTTGTGGACCACCTTGCCGCCGTCCGAGCGCCAGACCACTTCGGCGCCGTTCGTGGTCACGATGAAGTTGGGGAATGTCAGCGAGTAGACCAGGTAGTTTGCAAAGTCTGAGAGATGATAGCTCGAGGTAAGCCGCCAGATGAGTTCGTAGTCGACCTCTGGGTCGAGTGAGTCGATGGCTTTTGAGATCCAGTGATAGCCATTTTGAGAGATCTGGGAAGTCATCATGTTATTCGGTATTGATGTATAACAAGATTCCAAAGAAAAGAAAGAACGAATATAAATTTTACAAGCAATTCGATTTAAATAAGCTTTATTCTGGAAAGAGAGACAGCATCAGTCTTGGATTGCTTAAGTACTCAGCCTTGAGGACATACGAGGCAAGGGTCGCCGGGGAGTTAGGGAACGTCTTGGCCTCGATTCGTGGGTACACGAGGCACCGGACGCTTAGCTATCCCCGATCCCCGACGTGATTGTGTGACAGTGTTGATCATATTATCAATGCCCTCTCTAAAAACGGTCGCCTATAGGAGGGGTCGGAATTCCGAGGTCATGCCCCAAGCTAGAGACAGTCCACGTCTGACAGAAGAACGCTTTGTGGGATAGTCTCCTGTGGGACAATCTCCTGTGGTCAATGTCCTGTGGGATAATGTCCTGTGGAGCAACGTCCTCTGAGACAAGGATCTGTGGGATAATGTTCCGTGGGATAATGTTATGTGGGATAATCTCCCCTACGATTCCAGTGGGATAAATAGGTGCCCTCTTGTGTGCTGCATGATGAACTATAAGGTTTCACAAGACCGAGTAAGCGTATGTGTTTAGACAAGCCTTGCCTTTGTCTACACTGGGGTCACGGCGACATAAACCACACAGGGTGTCATCGGAGGACTGTGTCAATCAGACCCAAAATTGAGAAGAAACTACCTATTCATGTAAGTATCTAGTTTCGAAGTTCCATTTCATGATGTGCCCATAGTGAATCTCCCACTGTTGAGGTCTTGCTTGCTGTGTAAACAAATCCTAGAGGGCAAGACCACCGGATCCAACCGCCCCAGGCACGAGAATCAAGCAATCAGCATCACTTGAAAATTTCCAGTTCTCCAGGTGCCAAATGCATCCCAGAAGAGAAAGTGAAAAGGCCTTCCATCTCCTCGAACGGCAAAATGAACTTTGCAATGGATCGACATCACTCTCCGATCGCCCACTCAAAGTCCAAACAGGTTCCTCAACTCAGCCACATCCAGCCTCGAGACGCTCTTGGCGCCCTTCTCGCTGAGCGCCGCGTCGACAAGCATCTTCTTCCTCTCCTGCAGCGCCACAATGCGGTCCTCTACTGTACCGGCAATCAGTAATCGGTGCACCGTGACAGGCCTCTTCTGGCCAATCCTGTGCGCTCGATCAATGGCCTGCTCCTCAACGTAGGGGTTCCAGAAGGGCTCAGTGACGATGACCTGGCTTGCCGCGGTAAGGTTCAGGCCCGCGTTGCCCGCCGTCAGCGATACCAGCATGACCTTGATGGTCGGGTCCTCCATGAACGACTTTACCGCTGCCTCTCGTGCCTTCGGGCTAATGGAGCCATCGTACCGGGTGAACTTGAGCTTTGCCCGCTCGATGGGGATCTCGACCAAGTCGAGGAACGAAGTCCACAGGCTGAAGATCAATGTTTTCTCCCTTGTTGGGCGGATATCTTCCAAGATTTCCATGATCGCGTCGATTTTGGCGCTGGATATGAACTCTTTGCGCAGACGCTCCTTGTAACGGTTCATTGCGACTGCGCTTCGCTGCGCAGCTTGCCTCTGATCAGCCAATGACAGGTACTTCACCTTGGTGCCTTTTCCCTTCTGGATGTCGCTCATTCTCTCCGCGACTGTTCGGGACCTCTTCCGGCTATGAGCTCCAAGCATGCTGGCAGAGATCTTGCGCTTGGGAGTTCGAATTTCGAGCTCGGAGTCGAGCTCATCATCGGCACCATCCATCTGGAAGATTGCAGACTCGCCAATGTAGGCCATTCGTCCGTCTCCGTCGGACTCATGTTCAGAATCGTTGCCTTCGTCGTATTCGTTCGCATCATAAAAATCCCCCTCGTTATCAGAGCTTCCGTCATCAGAGCTGTCGTCAGAATCAATGACGAAATCTCTAAGGTTACCGTATCTGTCGATATCGTCCTGGCTGATTTCATCGTCGTCGCTCTCTGAATCGGAATCGGGCACATCATTGAGAAGGTTGTAACATATGATGTTCTTCGGTGTGATGCTGTGCTTGCACTGCTCACCAGGACAAGGGACGAGGCGATTCTGTCTAGCCTTACTTCCATCGTCATCGTCTGGCTGATCATCACCAAGTTCCTCGGACTCTGAAACAACCACACTTGCGCTGAAGCAGTTCGCGCAGATATGGTGACCGCAGGGGTGGATGATAATAGGGTTTTCTGTGACGCTGCTGCAGATAAGGCAATCGAATTGATTCTGCAGTCGCAGTGCGTCCACCACATCGCGTGGCAGACCGCACGCCAGCTTGATCATCTGTCTCTCGTCGAGCTTCGTTCCTTCCGGAATACCACGATTCTTGAGAAGGAAGGGGTGGTCGCACGCCTGACGTAATCGCAGCAGCAGTATGAGGATATGGATGTAATTCTTCATCACCGCGCCATTCACCAGGTATCGGTTGAATTGCAACTGTTGCTGCACTTCAAGAGCCTTGTAAAATTCTTGCTGCTCGTCATCGAATGCCGTATATGCTGGTTGATCGGTACGGGGTGGTAACTCGATGATACGCTTTCCGTCCAGCTGGCTGTCTTTCGTTCGACGTAGTGTGAAACTTCTGAAAAGGGCCTGGAGCTTGATCATGCCTTGCTCCTTGACATCCCCCTCCCAATTTCTCAGCGGTCTGACGATGTCCTCGCTGAAGCGTTCCCATACGTTGTAAGGTGGGATGTTCAAAAAACGTATAAGCGGGAAAATCTCTTCGGCCCTATTCATGAAGGGAGTGCCAGTCATACAAAGCCGATACGTTGACTGAATCTCCGCTGCGGCTTTAGAACCGTAGGTGAGCTGGTTCCTGATGTTGTGTGCTTCATCCAGAATAACGCGATGGAACTTTGCGTTTTTGGCCAAGATTCTCAGCTTCGCGGGCTGGTTGTGCTCGAACTTGTTCTTGTACTCGATTTGCAACTTTCCGTATGTGCACAAAACGATGTCATACTTAAGAATGTCCGAGACCGTCCGCAATTTGGCATTCGGACCGTGAAGTACGAGAGTTTTGAGTTTGTATCTCGGCTCGACTTTTGTTAAGATTTCCTGCTCCCATTGTTTAAGGAGTGCTAGAGGGGCAACGATGAGGGTCGTCTTGCAATTTCGGTCTTTAGATGGACGCGCCAGTATCAATGCCAAAGCTTGCACAGTCTTCCCCAAGCCCATGGTGTCTAAAGCATCATCGGTCAGTCATTGCAAGAAGTGCGCTTCAGTCTGTGACGAACCTGCAAGGAGACCTCCTTTTTTCTGTCGATCCTTTTCCTGCTCGATCAGCCAAGTAAGGCCGATCTTCTGGTGTTCCAAGAGGGTGCAGGACATCTGTTTGGGAGTCTGCTTTCTCTGGTGCGGAGGAATATCCAATTCTGGCAAAACAAGCAGGTGTTGGACATTGTCTTGATGTCCGCCATCTCGTGACTGTTGCGGGCTAGGCACTTGGTCTGCACTGTTCGTGGGCGCATGTAAAGGAGTCGACGGGTTAGCAAGAGGGGGATGCCAGCCACTTGCCGCTGTAGCTGCGTGGGTGCGCCTGTGAGGTTGGAGCGAAGAAGAAACCAAGTCGGGTCGAGAATCGAGTAGACGGGATTCGCTTAGAGCCGACTGCTGTCGACGTTTGGCTGCATCTCCTTCAAAGGTCGTCGCGATTTCTTCGAACTCTTTCACGAGCTCTCTCGCTTTTCGCAAACATCCCTCAATGACAGGCAGACAATCCTTAGGATCCTTTAAACCTTTTGTGATTGGGTTCAAGACCTCCGTTCTGATCGTCTGGCTTTTATCTGGCGCACCAGGAAAACGATACTTTTCGCTCAAATTAGAGGCAGTCTGAGAATCTCCAGGTAAAAGCCCCGAACTTACCTCGACCTTTCGAAGAAATGTGGCGAGTCGGCCCTGTAGACTTGGGAGTTTCTGGCGCTCCATCTTGTCTTATGCGAAGAGAGTAGCCAGGTGTGTTTGAAATTGAGGTCGTGTGAGACTTTGATCAACCATCTCGTGGCTGAAAAACAGGTTATGCGTTGTTGAAGGTAGTGGTCAGGAAGAGATGGGCTCAAAAGTGTGGTGCCAGGCGAGTTGCGTTGGGTAGGAAGATGGACGAAAGTCAAAGACACTGGACGGCCCCAGTGCCAATGCTGTGGTCAAGAACTTTAGAAAGGGATGGAAGCCTACCCAGGATCGTCAGATCAGACGAGAGTGGCTTGACGTTTTCCTCGGCATGAAAGGTTTCTGGGAAATGTTGAAGGGTTCTTCGAAATGTTGGCGGGTCCCAGAATTAATACATTAGTAACCTCCCTTTGAGTTTGGGAAATCCTTGATCTTGAATCTTCTTCCCTTTTCTGAGTATCAGACCTTGTGATGGTGACTGACGTCCCGGCCTGTTCGTGTGTATGGCCCAGAATGTCCGGTCCACGCGAGGGCCACGATCAGAATTTGTCCGTAGATGCTATCCGAGAGACGCAAGCCGCTGCGCTCACTCTGTTCTTGCTGGACTTTGCTTAAATACCCGTTGTGCTGTATGGAATGTGTAAGTGTGTACATTGAAAACCCTTTGCACCACTCGAAACTGGGTTGGGTTATCACTGGCCGGTCCCAATTGAAAAGTCGTAGTCTCTAGACCAAGGGCACTTTCTTCGGTGTCATGGCCTGCAAAGCTATCAAAATTGGAGCTGAGCTATTGGCGGCCTTGCCTATATACATATCCCAGAATAATGATCCCATGTGAGGCCATCCTATGTAAAGCTATCCCATGAAAAGCTATCCCACGTGAGGTTATTCCATGTGAGGTTATCCCATGTGAGGTTATCTCATGTGAGGTTATCCTTTGTGAGGTCATTCTATTGGAGACTTTCTCTTAGGAGGCTATCCCACCAAATACTACCTGAAGTCAGTAGTCTCATGGGGGCTGTGTCCTGTCGAAAGTTATTTTGCAGCTATCTTAATTAGGCATTTAAGACTCGGATATCTGAGGCCCTGGGGCCATTTGAGTAATTAGTAGATGCCAATAGGCATGAATTCTGTGGCTACTCGAATATGTCTGTGTTTCTGGACGTCATCCCAACAAAGAAAGCCCCCGATCATATTGTCCAGATGAAGCCGTCTCGCCTATCATCACCCGAGTCTCTCGTGAGCTGCAGAAAGAGAGAATTAGCAATGAGCACTATAGACTTGATTAGATCTCAATATCCAAGGCTCTTGAGTAGTCGATTGGCGACAGACTTGCCAGGGGCTCTGGCGGGTACAAAGCTCATCGTAATTATCCCCCGGGCCGCCGCGAGGTATCCTATCCGTGTCAAGCAACTGGACAGGCTAGTCAGTCATCCAAGTAATTAGAGACAGAATACTTATATGCCCAGTCAGATAAAGGCCCAAGCAATTGTTTACAATTAAAATTTTGGCATTATCTATCCAGATGTATCTATCGATGCTACCCCAAAAATATTTAATGTTGCCTGGTCAAAAAGACTTCCCTGACACCTGAGCAAGGTTCTTCGAATCCTACTCAGAGCGCAAGAGAAATCCCATGTCACTATTGGGCGTCATTAAAGCTGACGCTCGTGACGAGAAAATTAAGTGTAAATATAGCAGAACGGAGCGCCTGTGAAGCCCAAAGTGCTCCCTGCCTGGCCAATTGTGATGGGAGGCGACGATGTCAGCACGCCCATGAAGAGCGCATCCGTCAGCGACCCATTCCGACTAGGCGGAACGTTGCCTCGCGTGATCGTTGCACCAACAACTTCTGTCCGATCCTCTGGGTGAAGGTTCTGCCAGATCCAGAACACTCGGTCGATCATGGCGTGGTGGAGGAAGAAGATGGGGTCGCCTCTGTGGAGCTACGGATCAGCGTCTGTTTCTCATGCGTCTTTGCTATTGGAGTATAGATCTTACGGGCTGTTGAAGAGATCTCCGCCAGGGTCGCCACTTGTAATAACTGTAACACCAACCTGATTAGCAAAACGATCTCGCCTAGTGTTTACCTTGGACAACTCACAATGTGCACCGCCATGTACACCATAATCTCCAGCTGAGTAGTTGCCCTGCATGGTGAACTGGAAACTCGAGATATCGTCATGGAGTGTCAACAGATCCGTCAAATTCTTCTCTGACGTCCAACGCGTGCTGGTCCAGTTCGTGATGTCCCGTCGCAAGCATCTCGGGTTCCACTTCAGAGTATCATTCGCCGGCATGGCGACAATGCCCGCAACAGTCAGCAGCGGCTGGATTGGCCCAAGGTTGACCGTCATGTCGCGGAACGGACCCTTGTCGACGCAGCCGCCACCATCTCCAGGTGGTATACAGTTCCCTGGGCGGCCAGCCGTGCAGCCGTGCGGCGCATATACCCCGTTTCCGCTCATGCTCCAGTCGCTGCCATCGAAGATCTCAGCGCCCAGCGGATCATCCGCCGTCTCGGCCCAGTCCCAGTACGGCAGGGTGCCCTCATAGCCGCACTCGCTGATGAGGGCCTGCTCGTAGTTCCACGTGAAGAGGCGGTGCCACGTCAGGAAATTTGCCGTATTGTGGATCGTCTGCGTCTGGTTGATATGGATGGCGACGAAGTCGTCGTATCGCGACTTTGCACCCGCGGCGAGGCGTGGGTCAGTGAGGGAGGGCTTTGACATGAGGCAGAGTGTGGCATTGATGTATGCCATGCGCTGCTCTCGCGACAATCTTGTCCTATGTGGAAGCAGGTGAGCGAAGGATTCCTATGAAGGGCCTCGGGTACGATTGTTGCCCTGCTTGACTTGCTCACCATTCTTGTCTCCTGGCTGCCGTTTCAAAGGTACAATTGCTACTGGCTGGTGTTGCTTGAGTTTGGGCATAGTCCTGAAGAATTTCGAATGCTTGGCCGGCGAGTGCGACACTCCGGCGCTCGTCGTGATTTGCTCCTTGAACACCTATGGCCAGAACCAGCCAGAGCAGGTGGACCCAACTTGGAACGAGGCGAAGAATGAACATAATCGGAACTATAACCCCAGGCTTGGCGTTGGAGTCAGTAGTTTGATACAGATCGACCAGACGAGATAAACCTGGCTGAATATTTGTTGCATACTTCGCCTTGGCGTATGGTCTACTTTATATAGCTTGATGTTGACCGCTGCAGGACATCACGGATCTCTTATGTTTACTTTCTGTGCACCCGAGCGACTCGCAGGCTAGGGTTCTTTCCTGCCACGAGAGATAATCATCCTGGAATAAACTTTGCCGTTGTCAAGAGAGTTCTGGTACGCCCCACTCACTATCTTGTTTAACGGCCCTCAGAACCCATTCATGGGTGTTGCGGCGCCGAGAAAGGAGTTTGCCTAGGCACTAAGATTGCACACACGAGCGTTAATGCGATGTGATTTGTAAGAGACACAATCCTCACTTGCTGGGAATGCCTTGTCAGTTACATATTATTCCTTCCGGATTGGTTCAGTAAATGAACAAAAAGTGGTGTGGCGGCTCAACGGACCACAGAGTCTTCCGCAAATCCCGTCCCCCGGATTGTCCATCGGGATGACAATTCTCCTGAATCAAACAGAGTTTATCCCGGGATGTTGGGCCATTCTGGAAATCTGACGTCCTCTGATTGACTCGAATGAAGATAGAAATCGCTACTAATGACCCAGAGTTTTCAATTCATCATTACTAGTACGTACATATGTAAGCCGTTCGTGATATCTTCTGTGCAATATGCAGGCCGTCCGAGGCCCTATAAGCTTTCAAAAAGCTTATCTGCTGGTTCGCCCGTTCCCCTGAATCGATTGAGTTCGGACTTAGAGTTCGCAGCGTATTCAGAGACCCGTCGTCACTCATCAATTCACTTGAAAGCACGACTCTCAAGTTCACCGCCCTGAGTCAGATAAACGGACTGGGTCATCATATTGAAAGAAGCTCTAGTCTTCGTATATAGCAAGTTCGTCGTAAGTCTGGAATGTACCGCACTGAGTCAGAAGAACATTTAGCTTACCGTTGAACCTCCTAAGGTTTGTTCTGTATGCGGGCTAAGTATGATGCAAATCACTTCAGCCAAGAAAAAGGCACGGCCCGTAGTACTTTACGCAACATCGACATAGATGATCTCTACCTTGTCCAAATAGACCGAGTCTGGAGTAGTATTCCCTTGCATTTGAGTGCAGGGCTAAAAGAGGGACGCAAAACGTATTGAAAGTCCCTCTCGCGGGACTTGGAACGCAGGACAACATGAGTCGGCAGCTACGAAGCGTACCTAGGCAGTGAGACCGAGCACATGCAGATGAATACGACTCAGTAAAGCGATGCAGGCAACAATCTGGCAAAATCTTTCAGAAAGCTAGACCTCTGGAGTTCAGTCAGGCCAGCTGGCATCATTGATTGTGATCGAGCAAAGAGGTGTTTTGGATGCGATAGTACTAGGAAGAGGCTGGTGTGGGGAAGTGTCTGTTTTCAGACTTTCTGGCCTTCGTTGAGACCGAGTCTGTCATGGATTCAGCGATCAAAAGCGTTACCGATGGCAAGATTGAATTTTGAGTTTTATACGCATGTCAATGAGATGGATAAAGGCGGCGGCATGGGAACCACTAAGGCTATGATTGTCATTTCATCAATAAGTTTTCCGAGTTACGAGCTAGTTAAACACTTGAACAGGATGAGATCGTTTTCTTTTTCAATCTATGCGCATCCAATGTTTCAAGAAAACAGTTCAAATTCCCATCAATCTCGGCCTCTACTTCACTGATCTTTTAGGCGAGAATTCTGATCAGCAATAGACTGAACGACCGACGACGTAGTCCCAGCCCCCGGTGGCTCTCCCAACGCCCGAGCCTATGCCATGAAGGTCAGCTAACTTGACAACATCTTTCCTTTCGAAAAGCCAAAGACTCACCTCGGCCTTTTGTACCTCCGCCGCATCCTCTCTTGTGATCTCACTGACGGGCTTTCGAGCCAGGTCACCAGCTTTCTGGAAGAAAGTCTGCTGCTTGTCGTAAATGCTCTGAGACGTTGCCGCAGGTCCGCCCTTGACTGGGCCAACGCCTGTCCTGGCTGTTTCCTCTGACTCTATGTTTGAGACCTCGGCCTGGGAGAGGGGAGCTCCTTCAACGGCGCGGGTCTTGAGTTCGTCCTTGGGTAGAGTGGTGTCGGCCATGATGCCCAGCTTTGGCAGGACTTATTGGTTTTTATGCTAATTATGCGTTTGCGTGCAAATTAGAGTTGGACAGCGTCAATGTGAAGCGCTCAGAGACAATTTTATCGAATAGATCGTGCGTAGGAGTGAAATCGGACGACTGACTGTTTCGAGAGAGATGCGGTTGGAGGCATACTGAGTCTATAGAACCGGGGCGATTTGTTGATCAATCATGATCTCATGTTGACGCCTGCTCATGTTGATCTAAGGCAGATGAGTGGATCGTCCATTTCCCTCGTGTACATACGCTCAGGGGGTCTCTGGTTGGTAGGCTAGGTATCCTACCTTTCGACTCAGGGCATGATGGTCGCCTTGAGAAACCCTAGGAGATATATCAGCGCCTTCAAATATCTTCGAATCGAATGACAAGGCAACTACTTCAATCTCAGCTATCTACAAACACCTCCGTAGCAATTGGATATGTGATTCCTTCACTAAGCATGAGACCAAAACTTCCTGTGGTCGTTAGAAATATTGATTGGGTGCATTCATTACCAAAACAGAAACGGACTCTCGGGTTCACTTCGAGGTGAGAGATGATATTTAGACCCTGTCACGGCCTGGCTTCACCAGCCCGAAGCCAGAGCTTATGCGCGGCGGTTGCATTTATACGGACGAGAGCCTCATTCATTGGTCTGTGGCCGTCATCGTTGCCTGTATGGGTCTAGTGTTCTTGCGAATAGCCGTATGTGTTAAGAATTGGCCTGGAGCGTGATACGTTCGAGTTACGGTCGTAAGATTCGGCATGCGTCTTTCTCAATGTTTTGGTATTTTCCCCGCCATTGCTGAGGTCTGCACATGATTCTTTTGTGAATAGTACAGTATGTATAATACACCGCCATGGGCTCGCTCATTGCTTGATCCTCCTGATAACTCTTTCTCGAGCGAGTTTGCTCGCAGCCTCCGCACCGTGCTGCAATGATACGGCGCCAATGATGGCAAAAATAGATGTGGCGAGTACCGTTTCTATACCTGAGCCTTTCAGGTTGTCGGGCTACGAGTACAGCAGATCAGTCGGTGTACTACAAGGCAGTAGTGGCCGATTGCATAGGGGTCAACTCACATTCCTTGGCTTCCAACGCATGACATCGTTGAGCCTGTTGTTCAGTCCGACAGAAGCCAGACCTGATAATGAAATAATGTCTTGAGGTCGAGTCATGCTCAGCTTGTCGACGTTCTGAAGGGCGGGGGATTCGTAGTGCTTTCGTTTCCATGGGTCACCCAGGTGGTCATCTGGCGTCCGTGGAGAGGTCATAATCTCGTTCATGGCCTCGAGGACAATTATTTGTCGTCCTGATGAAAATTGACCTGTTAGCCATGTCCACCAGGCCCAGACGACTCTTGTAGCCGAAGAATGTCACGTACCGTAGAAGGCCAATCTCGTGTTGAATCCTCTTCGGCCGAAGTCGAAACTCTTGTGCGTGACCGCCAACCACTTCAGCTCCTCTGGCAGCAGTTTCGAGCCGTTTCGTCCAAGAAACCGCTCGTAGAAATCGTCTAGCTTGGCGGGATCCTCGTTGACATGCCATACGGACCGGTGCGGCACCTTGGGAACGTTGAGGGAGAAGCCGTGGATTCCCTTCAGCCCCTCTGGTGTATATGACCACCTTGGTCGTGCCTCCTCTATGTCCGCCTCCGATATGGGCTCGTTCAAAGGGTCATCTTTCTCTCGTAGGGCAGTCGGGTGCCGTGCTATTTGGTGATTCGCGCGGCACGCTGGTCGAGCGACGGTAGGTCTGAAGGGGCGCAGAGCTTGTCTGGAGGTCGACCAGACGGAGCGGGAGGTGTTGAGCGCCATGGGTCCTGTGGAGATGGGAGGAAAGAGGCTGGCGCATTCCCTCGTTGTCGAGCTGTGCTGGCGGACTATGATTCTGTCACTGACTGCGATAGCTCGCGCGACGGTAACTTTTTCAGAGCTCGCGGCAGGCAGGACAGGGGGTGGGAGCCGTGCACGGGCCCATTCGGTACTCCAGATCCGACCCACCAGAGCTTGGTGCAGCGCGACTCGGTTAAGCTGCTTCTTACAGCACCAACCGCGCCCACACCCGCGCGCCCGCGACGTGAAGGGCCAGGGAAGCGCAATTTGATCGCGTCGTCAGCAAGGACTTCGCATTGGACGATCCAACCCAAGTGCTTGGTTGGCTGGCCGGCTGGGGAATCTGTCTGTTCCATATTATGACTTCCTTTACTGCAATACAATGCCTCGATAGCAATTCGCAATCCAACATTTTTCTCCCAGCAAGATGTTCTCAGCAGCATCTCCAAGTGCGCCCAGTTCAAAGCAACAATGCAGTGCTGCCCTGCTGAGCAAGCTTGCCAAAGTGCTTCCCAAGGGCCAGAAGTTCACCATCAACCACCTCTCTACTCCGCCCACTCGCACTGATGCTCTGCACTCAGCTCCTCCTGATGCGCGTCCCGATCGAACATACCGAGAATCCCACTTCCTGGCCGTCAGCGTAGATGCGACTGCAAGACTGGCTTCCTCGAGCTCGCCCTCGTCGCCAGTGACCCCCAAAGCCGCCCACGACTCCAATTCAACAAGTAGACAGGTCTTGGTCCTCGGCCTCGAGATCTACATTTTCACAACAGCCTGGGCCAGCACTTTCTTCGTATCCAAAGCCGATTCGACTGGCTACCTGAGCCTCCTCAATCTGCCGAAGGGAACACCCTCTCCGATCCGCGAAATCAGCTCTGCCTTCATATCGTACCTTGTCGAGCAACGTCGTCGCAACAATGTCCAGACCATTGTCAGCCTTTTCGCGAGGGCTCAGAACCAATACCTGTTTCCCGGGAGCGTGGAAAACAGCGACAAGCACGTCCTGGACGACCGAGGCTTGGTCAGATGGTGGTGTCGCGTCCTCAATTCCCTGATCGAAACACAAAATACGCACGAGGACAACATCTTCCGCCCTTCGAACAAGACAGGTAATTGGGAAGATATCAAGGCCTACCTGGTTGTTCCCGGTCTCGATGCCTACGATCTGCGAGCCTTCCTGCCCCGAACACCTGCAACATCTTCCAACTGGGTTCTCGGTCATCCCTTGGAACGTATCTCGCACTTCGCCAGGGAGTACGATTGGGTACCGCCCAGGTGTCTGGTGCCCAAGTTCCCCGACGATCCAAAATCTCGCTTCCGCGATGAGCTCGATCTCGAGGCCTCCAAGTCGGCGCAATACGAAGAGAAGGGACTCTGGCGAAGCGCTACAACCATGGACCAGTTCTGGGAAATGATGGCGTTCCGACAAGAGTGCTCAAGCGGGCACATGACAGGATTCATTTGGGTTGTTCTTGAACCATATGGTTGGGCCGAGCAGAATACAATCGCGGCTATGTCGCCTTCCAACTCTTTGGTCACACCAAGTACTTCATTCGATGGCTCACAAGTAACACAGCCATCCACTCCCCCAAGGAGGCGAGACGTGCTTTTGAGTTCGACACCAAAGACAAGCCCCTTGAAATCAGCAATGACCCCGGGCTCCACGCAGCAAACCCCCACAAAGCAAAGCCCTTCCAAGAGCAAAGGCGAGACGAAGCCGAAGAAGTCTGTTCTGAAAGGGCCAATTATCTCTCGTCCGCCGCGCGTCAAAAGGCATGCGCGCAACTACGTGCCGGACATACCCGTCTCGACTTCATATTACTACTGGCCTCCAGAGGGGCGAGGAACCCGGATTGCTGCTGAAGCCGATTACAAGAGAGCGGTGGACTTACTCACCAAGCTGGACTTTGAGACCCTGGAGCTGGCCAGTGCAAGCACTAGGAGATGGATCAGTGAGGTCGGCGGCGGTCAGAAGTGGGCCATGGAGGTTGTTGGCCGGCGGCCCTTCACCTCCGCCCCGAGTGTCACGGCATCAACTGCGATCAACAACATGGCCAACCTAGTGCGCAAAAAGGGACAGACAGCTGCAGGCAGTGGGGGTGTACCGGGATCAGCCTCTGCGGCTCCGGCTCAGGCCGAGGTCACCATGCTTACAGCGAGGAAGAAGGCCAAGAAAGATACAACGCCACCACCAACATCAGGTGAGGATGCTGATGCCTCTTCTGTCAATCTCCTTGTTCCACGAAAGAAGCGCAAGGATTCGGGCTCCGAAGATTCGGCCAAGGTAGGCGGCGGTGCGGAAGCGACAGCGGTCAACGCCGCGAGCGTGACAAGTGAAACGCCAGCTGTGAATACCCTAGGTGGCGGTTTAGTGCGAAAGAAGCCCAAGACGGCTTAAAAGAGTCATACTTAACATGATATTCTTCTTTTGGAGAAAGAACACGTGGATAGTGGTCTTGGACTCTAAAGGTACTGGTGGATACCCCATGGCATGAATGTTTACACGGCGTTGCGTATGGAATTATTATCATTAGCATATTCGAGACAGCAATCGAAGATGAATTGCCCCAGAAGAGACTGACTTCTGAAGGAGATTTGCCCCGCACATGCCCCTGATCCTGCCTGCTTCACCGTAAACACCCTACCTAACCTTACATGGTACTCACCAGTTGATAAGACGGTAAGAAAGGGGTAAATCTACCAGATGCTATCCCACCAGAGGCTGATTCCCGGAAAGTTTCTATATGTGAAGTTAGTCCATACGAGGTTGAGCAAAGGGCTATCAAGTAAAAGGCTATCCCGTAAGAGGAACCCCCCCGGAAAGGGTTCTGTATTGGTCAAGTTGTACTTGAATGTCCAGGATCCCCGTGGCTGTAGATCAGTACATTCAATAAACTCCAGACGACCGATGTGGAAATCTGTACGTGTTGTATGGGTATCTTGAGAGGCTGGAATATATCTAATTTGAGCAGCCTTCACACCCTCCTTCGCTTAGCGCTGGGCTTTTCACCATCACTCTCGGCCTTCGCCAACTCGGCCAGCTTCGCCTTTACCGAGTCTGCTGCATGTCCCAGAAGTACCTTCTCTCCTATCCTTACATCCAAGGCCATTCGCTGTCGCATCAACTTCCGATCTGAGCCGTCGACATCCTCCTCGTATTGCTTCAAATCCTGCTCCAACGTCGTGCCATACTGCCCTATCCTCTCCTCCAATGCCCTGGCGATAGCAGAATAAAGTACCTTATCCCGGGCAGCCTTGTCAGGCACCGCCTCGGGCTTGACCTTCTTGACGGCCTTGAGCACAACCTTGAGCTGTTCAACCAGCTCCTCGGGCGCATCCGCTTTCTTCTCGACCTTGCTCACCCTGCCCTCTGAGTCGGGGTCGTCCGCCCCGCGCTCAATTACAAAACCGTCCTCCAGCTCGTCCTCGTCCAGCGCGCCGAGAGCCTTCTCCCAGTCCTTCGCTGGTAGCGGCAACTCAGCCTTCAGGGCCGCGACCACGGTCTCCCACGCGAGATCAACGAGGTTCCACCGCCTGTGCGTGACTGTAGTGTAGCCATACCGCCGCAACAGCTCGCCATTGCTTAGAGGCCCGTAGTAGTTGAAAATTTCCTCGCCTTTGGCGATTGGTCGTAGTGCGGTAGCAGTGAGCGCTTGCTCGCCATGCTCGATGTGTGCATTAAAGGTAGCATCGGCGTTGAGGATGTCCGCCATAGGGACCATTCCGAGCATCGTTTTGCCCTCGCGGTCCTCAACCCACTCGTCTTCCTCCTCCTCTTCGTCCCGCTCCTCGTCGTCTTCCTTCTCCAGATCAAACGCGTACGCCATGATGATGCTGCCCATCCTGAAGGCGAGCTGGACGAGCTGGTCGTCGCTCAGATCTGGCGAGCCCGCGGGAAAGAAGACGTCGCTATGAGCCCGGACGACAGGCACGACCTTTTTCCGCATCATCTTATCCGCCTCGTCTCTGCCTACCTTGCTTGCGACGGGGCTGGCCTGCAGCTCGGCCAGCTCGTCGGCGGCCCAGAACATGGGCGTGCTGAAGTCGCTGATGGACGGAAGTACCTCCAAGTAGGGCTTCCACGGTGAGTCGACACCCTGGAAGTACTCGTAGATGAGGACCAGGATGAGCGAGGTCCACGAGTCCTGGGACGTGTCGTTCTCATCGTCGCTGTCATCCCGACCCTCCTCGTCTCCAACGTCCATGTCCTGGTCAGCGCCATTCTGCTCCTCAGGCGGGCCGAACAGGCCGGGGACCCTGGTGGCCAGTGACGATGTGTTGGTGCAGATGATAGATTTGCGGGGGATTGTGAAGAGGACCGTGTCCGGGGAAATGTCGGCTTTGGCGACTGCAGCAGGGCGCGTAAGTCTTCAGCTCAGCTAGTGATCTATCACAATATGTGTTGCTTACGCACCTATGCCACGGCCTGCTCCTTTGCCTCGCAGGTCTTGTATCTCGATGTCATCGTGGAAGGTGGTTCCTGGTTGGGCCCTGAACCAGCTGAAGAAATCCGATGTTTTCTGATCGAATGTTTGCGGGGCCATGACTGGTCGGTGCCAATTAATGAGCTGAAGCGAGCTACGCCGTAGAAATCCAGTCTGGTGATGTAGTCTCGGTCAGTCAATTCGTCAAACTGGTAATTCGCCAGTCAATCACTCAGCCTATCCACCAAGGCTGTGCTGCGTAATAGCGAGAAATCACAAAATTTCAGTGTGTGACGCCCCACACCCTCCCACACGCACACGCACACACACCCACAACCCGTGCAGATCTACAGGGGATGGTAGGGCGGGACAAGGAGGACATACCAAGCTTTTAGTGCCAAGGCGGCTCGGCGATGGGTCAGTGGAGAATGGCACTCTATCCCATCTTGGCACCGTTGAGCTCTAAACTTGCAGCAAGGTGAGGCTTCACCACATTGGCCATGTTGTTGAGTATACTTTTCGACATCACCACAGCCTCAGCCCAGGCCAGCCCAACGCAGGCCACAGCCTGCCGCATCTCGTCTCGTCTCATCTATTCGCAGAGCATGACATCAAGATTCATCCAGCACGCCCAGACGGCCACCGACGAATCCGTGCCCGTTTATGGAATCCCAGCCCAGCTGTGGCCAGCGCGACTGAACTCTATCCAGATCGTGGACCCAAGACACAGGACGATATAAGCTGGGATGATTCAGGTCGTCGGCAGTTGAGGCAGAGCTGACAGCTCAATGGCACCTGGCGATGCCACCCCGTCCAAGCATCTACCGTCCTTCTTGCTTGGCCAACAGGGCTCCTCGTCCCAACCCTTCGTCCCGTCGTCAAGGAGTCTGGCATGACCCGGTGTCGGTTTTGGAAAGGCTCTGTCTTGGCTGCGACGGTGTGTTATGCGCAGCAAAGTAAGGTGCATATGGTGCCGTAACAGCATTGTGTTTTATTGCCATCGCCCAGACAATGACAGGCGCGCGCCATCCACGATCCTCGTCGCCGCCGCCGTCGCCATCGCCGTCACCGACGCTATGAGCTAGACACACGGGCCTCGCTCACCGAGCACATGCCATCATCTCCCAGAGCTCGCCCTGGAGCCGTTGCTCACTGCCGTCCTTCTGGATGAACGTCCTTTCTATCTGCAACGGCCCCCGCAAATTTCCTGAGATTCCTGAGATGCACACCTCATGCTACCAGCTAAAATTGGCCGATCTTTTGGGCACGCGGTACTACGGGTTTGCGCCCCGATGCCACCTCCGCAGGGGTTCCCCAGTCCATCCTCCCTTTTTGTCCCTTTTTCCCTTTTTTCCTTCCGCATCCGGTAGTGGATGTTTTGCACGGTTTTTGTCGACAAAAATATGGTTTGCCTTACCATGCAGGTTATTTGTGTAGGTGTCTTGCATCAAGACAAGAATCTGCCAAGATGGATGGAGAAGTCTCACTGCTTTCCGCATGTCAGTTGACGGCAACCCCGACAATCGACCAATACGGAGTGTGAAGCGTATTGCAGTACAACACCCTCTTATATTGGCCCTGGTCTTCTGCCCTTGTCTGTTGTGGCAGTGTGAATGCCGGGTCTCGTCCGGAAATCCGAACGAGCACGCCTACGGCACGACCAGGCCACGCAGCCGACCTTAACGCCGAGTAAACGGCTCGTCTATATGCCAGATAGTATCTGCTTCCGGATGCTGCAGACCTGATATGCAGAAGAACACATGGGGTTACTCATGAAAACTTTCACCCAACCCAAAGCTGCCGGAACAGACGGGCAGACTTCTGTCAAGCTTCTCGTCTGTTCCAATAACGCCTATGGGATGAAGGCAGTCGGCGGGATCTTGCATGAGGGGCCAAAGCTTGTTATGCCCAGATAATTTCCGAACGGGAGACACGGACAATTTTAGACCTTTTCCATAGCATTCGGGCAGCGGTTACCGAGTCAGCAGGAGGCATGCAAACAGCTCCAATCCATGCACCGGTAAAGTCATTTCCCATCCGTTCAATGGCTCCTTCAACTTCACGCTCGTGCCATCCATGTCGATCGTTACGCACCACCTACGATGCACTATACTGTAAGTACGTGTAAGTATGCACTAGTACTGCTACTCGGAATTAATCTCACCGTCATTGGGTGCACGGTTGAACGCCGAGTTAACAGCGAAGGTGCTCTCGCTCAGCACTCTACGGTACTAGTTTGCCAGCATCCTTGACCTCTACCACCTTCACATAACACCTGGTCTTCACAGTTTAGTCCCGCGAGATCCCATTGGCGGCGTCTCATTTTGGCTGAGTATTCTTCTTGTCACGACCTTTCGTCCAATACAGAAACATGACATCATGAAGCCTTTATGCTTAAACAGAGTCAGGACTATGCTCAAAGCGCAGAGAAGCACGGCCATACTGCGCTGTTTTATTCTCACCGCCCACTTTTTAAATTAATCAACTCTATGAAGCTACATAGCTGCCCAGAGAGCTCAACGGGGTGGGATCCATGTGGATCTATATGCAGTGCTCCATGGGCAAGGGCATGCATCATTGCTACGCTATTCCCGGCGATGACCTCCTCGGCCTGTCCACACTACAATGATTAGTGACTTAGAGCCACCAGGTACCCAGGTACGTGACGCAGGTGCCCACCACAGGGGGCTGTGTGGAAGCTCGATGTCAACATGTGCATCATGACTACCATAGCTACTCGATAGTTTCCTGAATCTGGAGTATGAGGCACGTAGGTTGTATAAGAAGGCAGCATCTCCGTCTGTAATCTCATCCTTTGTTCATCATCCAAACCACACTCACTCATCACTCACACTCTTTTGTACCTTTCCAATCATCCAGTATAGCATCACAACCGATCAGACCTCAACATCACCATCTTCCAGTCTTCAAGATGTACTCTCGCGGATATGTCCTCACTATGGGCCTGCTCCAGGCTTTGCCCTTCTCCCACGCCATACCCGCCCCACAGTGAGTCTCCTTCCACTAGTCGCCACCATGTACCCAACATTACCCTTAGTTTTCATCTTACTAATGCATACTTCAGAATGGGAGACTATGGTGAGAACTCGGGCTCAGTCGGCGGCGTCGATCCCCCAATCCCAACCGTGACGGCCGCTTCTGGGTCATTGTACGGTGGCGAGGATCTTCTTGGTGGCAACGCCGCCCTCCCCGACGTCGAATCCGATTCAGCCGTCGTCGAAAACCCTCAGTTCGTGGATGGTCAGTCTGCGGACAGGAAGCTGGGCCTGTACCTTGACTTCAACAGCGTCGATGCTCCTCAGCCCGAGAGGGGAGGCTATGGCGCCACCGACCCCGGCCCGCGTACCTACTACTACGAGAAGATCAACCCCGACGTCTATGCCATCCCCGGAACCGACAGCGGTGATGTTCCCCAGGCCATGTGGCCCCTGGGAATGTCCCACAACCGCGCTGGCTCCGACCCCGGCGCTGGTTGGGCACGCCAGCAGAACCAGGACGTCCTGCCCTCTGCCACTGCGATGGCTGGTGTCGACATGAGGCTCGGCCCCAACGCCTACCGTGAGCTTCACTGGCACACTGCCAATGAGTGGTCTTTGATGCTCAAGGGCTGCGTGCGGGTGTCCACAGTCAACGAGAATGGTGCAACCATGGTGGACGATGTGTGCGCTGGAGATGTGTGGTTCTTCCCCTCCGGCGTTCCACACAGTATCCAGGCCTTCGACGAGGGGTGTGAATTCCTGCTCGTCTTCGACGACGGCGCCTTCTCTGAGGATGAGACCTTCCTTCTGTCCGAGATGATGGCACGTACCCCCGTGAGCGTCTTGTCCAAGAACTTCAAGGCCGACCCCAGCGCTTTCAAGAACATTCCTCAAGATGAGCTATACGTAAGTTTTTGCCTGTCTCTCACTTCAATCTACAAGAAATTCTGTGCTAATTTTGGAAATTTCAGATCTTCAACGGCACACCTCAGCCCAAGGAAATCGACGACACCCAGAACCTCACCTCTTCCGGCGGCTCGCTCGACGGTACCGCCAACTCCTACACCTACCACTGGTCCGAGCAGAAGCCTTACGAGACTCCTGGCGGCTCCGTCAAGATCCTCGACCCAACGACCTTCCCTATCGCCTCTAACTTCGCCGCCGCCCTCGTCGTCGTGCAGCCCGGTGCCATGCGTGAGATCCACTGGCACACGACCTCGCCCGAGTGGAACTACTTCCTGCAGGGCTCTGCGCGCATCACAGTCTTCAAGGCACCCGAGGCGGCCCGCACCTTCGACTTCACGGCCGGTGGCGTTGGCTACATCCCGCAGGCTGCCAGCCACTACGTCGAGAACACTGGCACTGAGGACGTCATCTTCCTCGAGGTCCTGCAGGCTCCCAAGTTCTCCGATGTCAGCGCCGCCCAGTGGCTTGCCCTCACCCCCAAGCAGGTCGTCGAGGACCATCTCGATGTGCCTGAGGGCTTCTGGGAGAACCTGCCCAAGGAGAAGGAGTACATCAAGCAGGGCCCTCTCAACATGACCTCCCTGGCGACCGCATCCCTTGATGGTGGTGACGCCGCTTCCGCGACCCCTAGCTCGACCCCGAGCGCGACCCCGTCTTCGGTTGCCAGGAGTATCAAGGCTGGAAGTGTTCAGGAAAACAAGAGAGAGGTCACCTTCTTTGCTTAATTTATGTTTGGAAAGGGACAATTGTGAGAACAATTCTTGTGTATATATTCAGAGAATATTCGTTGCAACAGCAGGTGTTTGTATTTGGGATAGATGTGCAAGCTGATTTGCATGACCGGAAACGTTTTGATTTACGACACGATTGGGAGATTGTTGGGATTGTATTGTTTGATTTGGAGCCTAGCTAGTCTTGACATTGAACGTAGTAGCCGAGTTTGCGACCGCTAAAAAAAATCTACATGATTATATGGGTTAATTTTGCTTGGTTGCAATAACTATATCTTGCAGTGGGTTGTGACAGGCAATTTCAAAAGTCCAAGTTATCTACTCACACTATGCATCTAATAGTACGCTGCCCGCCGGCATGTAAATTTTGACAAAACAGAAACGAAAAGTCAGAAATTTGTCACCGTACTACTTTTGCTAAAAAGGATCATCCAAACGAAATAGTAGCTACTGCCTCAGTGGGATATCCAATGATTAACAACCAAATATTCGGGAAATCCCTTGCATTCGCCATTCCTGCGCACGTACGTTTGGATATGCCATGTCCAAGGCCCTCTTTCTTGTCACGAGAAAATGATGAACAATGATTCTGCGAATGATCCTGAATCCAGATTTGTACTGGTTATGCCGACCGCTCCAAATTTTCTGCTTGATGGACCGGCACTATGTAACGGGTATGTGTGATCGATCCTGTAGTGACAAGTCCATACGCTCGAGGATACAAAGTCACGGCGGGTCAGACTGCCTCACATATTACATCGAAGTCTCCGATGCTACATGTTAATGAGGCGCCGCGTGTGACACCAGCAAAGCAGCAAGAAACGCAAGAGGGTTATATCAATACTTAGACGGGTCTTGTGGGGGACTTTCGGATGCTGGCACAAGGACGACATTTGGAGAGATTAAAACCTCAGAGCTCCGTTCCAAAGCACATACAAAAGGATGCTGTGCCGGTGTTACCTCTTCGAAGCACTGCTAAAGAGGTCAAGGGAGGCACATAATCACAAAACGGTCCAAGGAATGGGTGCAGAGCTGCGGACCCCACAGTATACTGGGTATCAATGCTAATGCTACGCGGGAGCTTTGCTAGCCCACTTCTTGAAAGCTCAGACGATCTGCTTGGCTACTAGCCATGACAATCATGCACCGCGCATAAGACAATAGTGTTCAGACCCTAAGGGTTCGCAGACATCCAGGCCATTAAGACGGCGCGTGCTTCCATTAGAATTACCTACTTACGCGATAGTCTCGGATATTAGAATAATCCTCTGTCTCGTAAGGCGCCTGTATATAGGCCGGTCTTTCGCGGTCCCCTTTCCTTTGATTTCTGGAGCACACATATGTGGCTTGGGATCCCCGTAAACCTCTCGCTGCCTGGGTATTCGATCAAACTCACTTCCATTTCCATCGTTGACATCAGATGCTCCGCGTATTCTCCGCCTGGTGTGCATTGGTTTTCTGGATGTTTCGGTGTGCCGTGTTCACCACCATATCCTGAGGCTTTGTAACTTCGAGTTCGAATCCTTCGGCTTCGACGAATACGTATGCATCTGTAATATAACATTGTTGTAGTGGGTCGCGCACCCCCTATGACTCCGTGAAAATTGAAAAACCTTTTCGCGTCCACGCTCCAATCCTTCTCTGGGCTCTTTCCCCGGCTTGTCCCTCGTGCGCGCAGCGCATCGTCAGGAGATTACGCGAATCTCGAGTTGATAAAAGGTAAGCCGTCGCCCGGTCCGCCGCCGCTAATCGTCAACGACATGGCTGTGTTTTTCAGATAGTCCTGAATTACGTGGTCTTCGCAGTTCCCGTGCTGCAGCAGCTCGGTCTTGAGCACGAAGACCTCGGCCTGCAAGCCCCTGAAAGTCGCCGACAGCTGCTGGTGCCTCAGTGACTCGGCCCTCTCTGTGGCCTCCAGCGATGTGGCGGCAGCCTTGGTCTTTGCGCGGCACTTGACCGCTGCATTACGGTTTCGAGCGCGCTGTTCGTGTTGTATTGCTGGTCTTGATTGTGATTGTGACTGTGCTTCGTGGCTGGGGCTTCCTGTTCTCGAACTTCCTGATCGTCTCGGATTTGGGCGGGCCTCTGTGCCTGGCGGCTCGAGGCTGATTTCGGAGGTAGCGGATACTGGGGTTTTGGGCGGATCGATGGAGTATGTAGAAGCGACTGCTAATCCCAACCGTTTGCTCTCAGACCTCTTCTCCTTGTTTGGTCCAGCGGCATTAGATTTCCTCCTCTTACGCGATAAATCATATCGCGGTGAGCCCCGACCGGAATCACTATAGTTCAGATCTGCAGTCGAGCTGGGAAAAAGTTTTAGTGCGGTGTTGTGAACTTGGTTGTTCGGAATGCCAGCTTCCCAACCATCCGCTGATGTTGGATTGTTATTGCTTCTCGTAACAGTCTGTGACCACCACGGTACCCCCGGGCTTCTTTGTGACAAGGGCGGGTCTTCAGTAGACCATGCAGTCGGCGCCACAGGAACAATCTCGTTAGATGTGGTCGGGAACGGAATGGGAATGTTATACGGAGGAACGGTCGGTGAGTTTGCGCGGTGCGTGTCAGGTCCTGCGATTGTTTCGGTTGGCCAAGCGTCGCTTTGAAAAATTGTGTCGTAATTGCCGCTGTTCGCGAACATTGATGTGACATATCTCTCGTCGAAAGCCTCGAAGCATGGGTCGATGGACGCCATACTTGTAGGATCGCGGTCAAAATAATCCGAGTCCAGCGTAGACGGTCGGACTTCGACCATTCCGCCCGATCTGTCCCATTGACTCGTCATTTTGTAGCCGCCGTGTCCCGATTAAAGAGATATATGAGTTCGATGAATACGCTTTTGCGGTAGGCACAGTATTCTTGCTTGCTTCGGCGGGTATCGTGTGTTCGTATACAGACGAGAGGGGTTCGCTGGACTCGGGTGGCAAGGCAGGATCAAGAATGGTTCGCGCACAAGGTGTCTGTCGCTCTGCCGTGATCGACAAGTTAATGTTCGTCAACACTGTTCCAGGCCCGGTATGGGCGCTATCCATTGATTGGTACTTGAGGAGCGCGATGGCGTGCGTGTATCATGATAGCAGTGGCAAAACCCTTTTCTCTCTACTTTGCTGCTCTGCTGCTTGGCTGGAAGCCGGGGCAGGAATGGTGGCTAATAGCGCTCGACGGAACCTTGATTGCAACAGCGACATCAGCAATCCCATGATACAAAATAGACTAGGTTGCTCATGACAAGGGATCAGATAGCGCGTACCGCAGAACAGGGCCGTCGAAAGCAGTGTCTAGACCATACCAGAAGCAATGTGTTTCACCAATGGGAACAAAGACGAGAGTGTTGGTCAAAGGGTTGCAATAGAAGCAGTGTTGGTCAGACTGTACTAAGGCCTGGTCAAAGGTGGAATATGGTTTGAAACGAGCATCAGCCGCAGGCCAAGCACATCGGGACGACGCTTGAGGGGTAGGAAGACGACGATGGCACCAAGTTTGTTTCCTCTATTGGTGCGATCCACCGCGTTGAGATCCCTACTCTGTCTCGGTGGGCGTTAGCTTCGACAGTTGGATAGCTGGGGTGAAAATTAGCCACTCGGGTCTCATGATGGCTGCAGGCGCGGGACGGGGCTTTGGGCGGGACCCGGAGGAGGTTGAGCACTTGTTGGTACGAGCCCTGTCTCAAGGCCCTGAGATATGCCCTGCTTCTCTAGCAGCGTTGGGATATAAAGGGTTCGCCACGGATGCTGCTACACAGGCATGGACGTCTGTGTGGCGAAGATCCACCAATGTTGAGATCGATCTCAAAGATTGGTCTAGACTCATCGGTATCTCTGTTGCGACGTCGCAAGGGCAAATATCGATCATGGTCTGGGAGGCAAAAACTTACTTGTTAGGGCCGCGCGGGATGAGGAGCGAACACAGCAGCACGACAGTAAGGGGGGGTGTCTGCTGCGTCACGAAACCGTGCTTCGACGGAGAAAGTTCCGCCGCCTCTGATTGGACAGAGGTGGATTGTCCGGTCTGATAGGTCGAGGCTTTCGCAACCGACCCTTTGACTTCGTTTCTCCGCAGAGGGCAATTTTTATGGACGAAGAGCAATCCGGATGTGAGTATGCTCGACTGAGCAGCAAGATCAGAGACTTTTGTAAGGGATGGGACGAGTCCCAATGTTGATTATCTGCTGACCACTGCACTGCATATTCGTAGGGGTTTCAAATCAACTCGATTGGCCGCGTGGCGGGCAATCCCTAGGGGTCACTTGATTATGTAACCCGGCACGTGACTTGTGATACGTGCCAACTGCGCTGGGCGCAGCCTAGGGACGGCCCCTTTATGTAGGTAAACAAAACAAAACAAATCCAACAAATATTCCCTCTGTTTTCCGTCCCTCTGTTTTCCGTCCCTCTGTTTCCCCCCTTCTTCTTTCTTAGGAGTGGGTGGGTGGGTGATTTTAAATGCAGTGCAAGCGTAGCCTATAGGCGCAGATGACAGGTGAGGAAGAGGGGAAAAGCTAAGATAGATGCAGGCGGGGGACGCACTCCTTTTTGTCCGCCCGCTTCCGTGTACACAGACATTACCAATAAAAACCACAGGTTTTCAGACACCCATGGACCAATAACTTGATATTGCTGCATGTTGGACTGCGTTTGTGGGTCGTGTCTTCTCGGCGATCTCTGCCTGTCCGCCTGTCAACGAGACTTGACTTCGTTCAGACTACGCCAAAACCATACCGTTGCAGACCCTGTAAGTGCCTCGGTCTGTGTCTCATTAGATCTGAAATGCGTGTTCCTGTCTCCGCTTTCACGACACTGTGCTGCACGGATGAACGGGCTCACTGGAACAACCCCTTCCAACCCGCGGAGCCGTGCTTGAACAGCAGGCCAGGCCAGGGCTCATGCCAGCATCCAAATTGTGTGAAATGCTGACAAAAACTACAAGACAATACTCAACTAGTCATTCTCGCTATCTTGTAAGACATCGGCAATGGCTCGGGGGCGAGCAGGCCAGTGGCGCCGCCGAGGACTGGAAACTTGTTTGTGCCGACCTTAGAGCCCGATCTTCGCCAAAACTCACGAGGATTGGGTGAGTGAAGGGTGGTCAAACCAGGATTCGGGCCTTGAGGGGCGGTTTCGAGATGATAAGCAACATCTCCCCACCTCATTCCTATGGAAGGAATGGGTGTAGGATGGTCGAGATCTGCTGTGCTGACACTGCCCAACGCGAACACGTCACAGTTCTGCCTTCCTCTCTAGAATCTTGCATTGAATGATCCTTTGGCCGGAGTTGAGTTCTCGCCTGTTTGTGACTAACCGAAGCTTCCTAGTTGCCACGTAATTGGCCAAAGACAAGCCACCCCAAGCATTTCATCATGTCGTGCCGCCTTCAATTGTGCTTGTTGGCTACTCAGGCGCGTGCAAGTCTGTGCGGCCGTCGTTCTTGGCCAAGTTAATCTACGACCTGAGCACCAGATCACGTAGAAATCCCTGCTCGAGAAGTAATCATCATAACTCAGTTCAACCTTTCGCCTGACTTGAAAACCTCGGGCGGCCCGCAACCCAAGATACATTCTGAAGCATAAGGTAGATGAGGCAGATTTCTAGCTGATGCCGCTTGAAATACCATTCAAGTGAGCTGCCAAACAGATTGGCTCCCAGTGTTACCTGCCGTTCTGACTCTGTTCAAGGTCTAGAACACGCCTCACACGACCTCCGCAATCCCTGGGATATGTGAAGGCACTAGGCTACTTCTGATTTATTCTTCACTCATCTCCAACACAATCCATGCTTAATGCGGGTTGTGCTTCTGCTGAATGTGTGAGTGGATGCTTGAGGTCCCCGGGAGGGGGAACGGAAGTGGTCTCACTTATGTTGCCGGAGTGGATGCTGAACAGGAAGAATGCACCCGAGCAAAAGCCGGACTTCTACCACGACTCGTCCTATCGGCCTACAGTCCGTTTACTATAAGCAGACCCATGCGTAAGTGAAATTGAAAGCTTGACGGCTGTGCTTGAAGAAATTGGCTGTTTTTTTAACCAACTAGCCCTGCACGCTAGACATTCCCAACAGTAGCCCTCTCCTTGACTGACTTGCCACAATACACGGGTTACCCTGGACAACATGCGCCACAATCACTGCTTGCGCTGAAAGTCGTCCAGAATACACTCAGAACTTTCATCCATACGCTATGAAAAATCATTCCGTGCGCAAATATTTGATGTGAAATTCGGACATTTAGGAGTATAGCAGTAGGCTTGAGCCAAATCCAACGTAATTTTCAGAATTTACGCGTTATTGTTGAAAACTCATGGATCGAAAGCCAATATCTTTGAGGCGCGCTGAGATGAATCGATGAGCCCCGGCAAGGACACTTGCAGTGGGTGAGTGGGACGTTAGCAGTAAAGAAAGCACTGCAACCTAGCCACCAAGGATCATAATCACGGCATGGTGGCTACAATGGTATCCGCAATTTCACTAGAATCAGCCCTGAGCCCAGGCCACAGACCGTGAATCTAGTCTGAACTAATATCATCAACTTCAGGGAGACAAGCACCAATTTCCTCAAACGAAATAGGATTCTAACTTTCCACCGAAGCACAAAGTTGTCGTACCAGCATCGATCAATTGACGTGTCGTCCTCATTGCTAGTCTCAATCAAGTGGTTGAAATTTCATTCCGTGTCAATTCAACGCACTCAGAGATCAAGCCGGTCCGTTCGATTGACAATGTTTCAGTCTATTAATGGCTGACATCACAGTTGTGAGTGCGTGAAGAGTCCTCCAGTCCATGTCATGCCCATGTTGGGGGCGGGTGCGCTCTCCATGTGGAAAATGTGAGCATGGATGCGGCCCACCGGACCGTCACAGCACGCCAAGGTGCATGTGTCGGACCAAACCCTTACTTTCACGACGAGAAACACAAAATTTCGAACTCAACGATATATTCAGCATCTTGAACTAAGTTTGGTGCAATAGGCTTCTTCAGAAGACCAAAATCGGCTCTTGCTGACAAGTCAAGCCACTACAATCAGCACAAGCTTGTTTCACGGCACGCCGAAAGGCACATGTTCTGTGGAGCCCCGGCCCGGTTGATGCATAGGAGGTTGCTGCTTTCACGGAGCGCTTCATCGACCGGACTCCGGCAATGTAAAGCCTTGCTTGAGCTCAGCCGTTGTCATTAAATATTGACTATAACCGAATGGGCAAAATACTACGATCTACGGAATTGATTTGAACATGCTTTTGGCCAAGCAGCAGCAAACAGGCTCTTGGTTGAATGTGACCATTCCATGAGCGTGCAGATATTTTGTTCACCATGCACGTAGGGATACGAGGCGAGTACTTTTGCATGCACTAATTCATCGCACCTTCGCATCCTGAGGCCATTATAGTATGGTGGCACTTTCCTGAAGAGAATTTGAGCGTCATGACGTTCAGTGCTTGCGAACCACGGGACTAACTTTGCAGGAGCATTCAGAGATACGTGGTTTCCGTTACTGAGACTCCTGCTTGGACTTGGACGAAGGTCAACAAACAAACAGTTTTGAACAATCTGTTCAGAATCGACTCCCACCTGTTTCTTCTTCTCCGGCATCAATGTTCACCACGATGATGACTATGGACACAGCGACGCCCATGACCACGCACGCCCACGCCACTCGTCGTGAATTTCTTTTCTTTTCTTTTTCATCATTCTTATATCATCTCTTTGCCCAGTATCATTTAAAAGAACCAGCAAATAAGAAAACCATATATAAAAGACGATGTCGACGGCACAATCTCTCGCCATCTTCGGTGCGTGCACCACAGAAGGAATGTTCGAGGTGGCTGCGCTGTCGGCCGTGGGAAATGGCTGGGCTGGTGCAGGCGTAAGCATTTGAGGCCTCATAATGTTTCCTTGCTTCCCGCCACATCCTGATATGACAACAACCGTTCCTTTTCTCTTGTCCCATCCTGATGTGACAGCACTCTGAGCCTCTTTCCTTTTCTTTACTTCTCATTACGTCCTGATGTGACAGCTTCTTCTCTCTCCATCCTTCACTTTACAAAGTCTATCAAGCCTTGCGTTACATCATTCCAGAATTGACGTATACTAATTTGTATCATAGCTCGGGCGTCCCGCCGCCCAGACGTCGAGCTGGGTGCGCTGCCGCCGGCGGCAGCACCAGCAGTCGCACCAGCAGCACCAGCAGCACCAGCAGCAGCAGAGTATGAATCTTCCGCTTTTCACATAAAGAGAGTTAGACCCTTCAAATATCTGTGGAGACTGACTATTGCATGGATTATAGACCAGCAGCAGCAGCAGCAGCGGCGGTGGCGACGGCGGCAGCAGCAGCAACAGCAACATCAGCACCACCACCACCACCATCGTATGAGCCATCTTTTTCCCAAATGAAGAGAGTTTGACCCTTCAAATATCTGCGGAGACTGACTTTTGCATGAATTATAGACGAACACCACCACCACCACCACCAGCGGCGGTGGTGGCGGCGGAGGAGGAGGTTCCCGCCTCCTAGAGCCTCCCTCCATCTCTCTCTCTCGCTCTCCCTAGGTCCTTCTCCTTCTCCTCTCCTCCTCCTCCCCGCCTTGCGGAGGACGGCCACGACGACGAAATGATGATGACGGGCCCCTCAAAAGTGTCTTCTCGGCGATTCTCGGGCCTCGACGGGGACGACGAGCCAAGTACCCTGGGACTGATTCCCCTGGGCGAAACCGAACAAGATCAACTACTCTTCTGAAACTACCATCATGTTTCTATTCAAAATTATCTCCACGTCTGAAATCATCATTCCATCGGGAAGCACCGTCTAATTTAAGTAATCATGGCCGCTGGCGTCGTCGTTCTCTTCATATTCCGGAGCCGGACCAACTTCCGACCAGCGGATTTGGCCACTGAGGCCGTGGGGAAGGTGGGCAGACAGGAAGGCAAGCGAGAGAGGAAAAGGAAGCTTATATGAAGCAGGAAATGGAGGAGGCGGAATGTGTAAAGTGCTAATCATTCTCCGGCACCGGAATCTGCGATGGGGAGAGTGGATGTTCATTTGATGGGGATCCGAGTCTCGGACAATGACCCTGGCTGTAACTACATGCTAACTTTTGGACGATTATGGTCCTCGAAATGCTACTGGTTTCTCAGATATTGGGATGCCTGATCAAGTAGCACAACATTGTGAAAGGTGGCTCACCTCATACACCTTCAGATCATGATCCAAACCTAGTTAGTCAAGCCCAACACAACACATGTCCACAACAAGTTGTTATCACCTGCTAGGCAAATACTATGCAACGACCGCTGATGAAGGTGCATGTGTTTGGGGGTAGTAGCTATGGCGAAGGTTTCAGGGCTCCGATCTCTTCCAAAACGGTCAATTGACCTCCTTCACGACGTTGTAGAAGGTAATGTAGAAAGGAGTGAGAATTCTTCGAAAGTGGAGTGAAAACCGAGCCGCATGGCTTGTGTCCTTGGCAGCCGAATGCGCCTCTGATAATGGTCAGCTCGGTCTCCTTGACGAGGGTGACGGTGACACAGCCTTGAAATCAACCTGGCTGCCTTGATAAGACCTTTCAGCTGCTCATCTGTAAGGCTGCAAGACGGCCCTGAAGGTGCGGCCAATCTCCGCGCCATTCTCAATTTATATACCTTCAGGTGCCTCGGTCCGGCGTATCTCAATATTTGCAAACTTGTTCTTGTCTCTTCATACCAGACAAGTGGCGCTGCTGCTCATTCTTAATTCGATGTTTTTGGTGCTCATCAGATGACCAGCGCTCCCACGATTCCGGCTACCTGGAGCCCGAGCTCCAATTGCCTCGCCTCGACCGACATATGGGAATGGCAGAAAGAAGAAACCGCAGCACACGTGCTCGGCGGGCCGGTCGAGACGAGCAGCTGCTATCCACCTGGATATACAGGAGGGACCAATTCTCATTACCAGGCCACGGCATGTCCAACCGGTTTCAGTCAAGCTTGTGCCGATGCTGATATGACCACCTGCTGTCCAACGTAAGAACTCAACTCTCCGCAAACGCTATACTCAAAAATGTTTGTTTCTGATTGCTGACTCTTGAGAATATGGATAGGGGATACAATTTTACTTGCAACCACAGCACCGGCTACGCTTACCTCGGGGGCACAACGTTTCCTTGCACGTCCCATTGGCCGGGCCAGGGTGTGACCACCACAATCACTGTCACATACACGCAAATTGATCGAAGGGAGCAGTCTTTGGACTCTTATACAGTCACGAGAGTCACTGATGGCTCGACCGAGACCTTCACCACTTGGGGCTCGTTTACGAGTGCAGAGATAATCAGTACCGGGGGCACCCTTTTTGCGATGGCTGTGGCGATCAGCCCGCCAGTGAGTGGGGCCCCGTCTTCTAGCATGACATAGACGAGCTGACAAGAAACTCAATCGATGCAGACTACGATACCAACCACTGGAAGTAGTATCGTTGATCCTCATTCTACCACAGTCACCTCTGCCAGTCCTATCGTAATTAAATCAGGGTCCGGAGGACTCAGTACTGGGGCTACTGCTGGCATAGGCATTGGTGTGGCAGTAGTTTTTATTATACTGGCTGCTACATTTTTCGTTTGCCGTCGTAGGAGGACAAAGAGACGACTTCGATCTACGGTAGGACTTGTGCCGCAAAATGCGGCTGCTCCACAGCTCCGGGACAACTACGGCAAGTCTAATTTGCAACCACCCACAGAGATGGCAGTGTATGAGCAACCTAGGGAGTTACCTACATGAGTGCAATAATATATTTAGCATGATCATTTCGATATAGAGGATTGAGCGCGTACAGGAAATCTTTATTTGATTCACCAGACATACCCAAGCAATATCTTACCAAATGCTGTGCCTCCCATAGAGGCACAACCGCCTCGACCGTCTCGGACTCCAGGCGTTCGAGTGGCACATCCTTTCCAAGGGGAAAACTTTCTATTAGATAGTCAACTATGAGTTCATCATCCAAATATGAAAAGAACAGTCGGTGAAATGTGACGGGGTGATGCGTATATATGTTGCGTGCTTAGTCAGGCAGGTCCTTCGTGGTCCACCCCACCTGTTCTTGAGTACTTGAGTACCTACAAGTGCCCGGGTGTTGAAAATCCCTGCTCCCGGAGCGGCGCTCTGTTGTTGAGTTGAAAGCAACGTGCTGCCCGAAGTTAGTCCCGGCCCACTACATGACTGGTTCTGGGGCTGGACCAGTGACTCAGTCTGAGGGGTGGAGCGGAGCTGGCTGTCCATGACCACAGTAGTCATGTATTTGACCTGGAAAGGGACCGGCAGAGTAGCACTCCGCTCAGTAGTTCAACGACGTTCGTCGGGACGCACACTAAGGCGATCGCCCTTCTAGGCTAGTTAGTGTAGTCAGAGCATCATATGTACCCCCACAGCAGGATTTGTGTGATCATATACTTCCGGAGGTGCGGTCCTCCAAACGGCGGATTCCGCTGATCGCCAGCAAATTTTCCCACCGGCTTCCCCAACGAGAGGACAGGAGCTTCCAAGCCAGCGCGGGAAGCTTCTCAAGCTCCCGGATCCAGGGACAGATAAGCCTTCCCAAGGACTCACCATGCATCTGCCAAGCTGAGGGATTTCCGAGCCTTGACGTCCTCTTTGCTCCGGATTTTTATTCTTTCTCCCAAGACATGACTTGAAGGAAACCAGTCTGATACGTGGCCAAGGTATCTTTGCAATGATAAGAGGACGCCTTTGCTCCCACCTCGCACAGCTCCCTAGACCACCCACTTGCTTCTCCTCCTTCAAACGGGGTCTTACTCACAACCTCAACCTCAACCTCAACCAAAACGTCAGCCGCAGCTCCCAGCGCCACTGTAGCTCTCACTCCGGGCCCCGCGGTCACAACTTCTCGCCCAATCTCGTCTCACCCACCACCACCAAGCGTCACCTCAGGAGCATCATGTCCGACGAACAGATCTCCCGGTACCTGCAGCAGACGCACGACCGTGTGTTCGAGCACAACACCAAGTGGGCGGCCGAGAAGAAGGCCCAGGATCCGGACTTCTTCGCCAACCTCAGCGCCGGCCAGAAGCCCGAGTACCTGTGGATAGGCTGCAGCGACTCGCGCATCCCCGCCGAGCAGATCACGGGCCTTGAGCCCGGCGAGGCCTTCGTGCACCGCAACATCGCCAATCTCGTCTGCAACATCGACCTCAACGTCGCCTCGGTGCTCCACTACGCCGTCGAGCACCTCGAGGTCAAGCACATTGTCGTCTGCGGCCATTACGGCTGCGGCGGTGTCAAGGCCGCCATGAGCCCGAAGGACCTCGGCATCCTCAACCCCTGGCTCCGGAATATCAGGGACGTCTACCGGCTGCACGAGCAAGAGCTTGACACCATCAAGGACGAGGACGCCCGCTACGACCGCCTGGTCGAGCTCAACGTCATCGAGCAGTGCAGGAACGTAGTCAAGTCTGCTGCCGTTCAGAAGTCCTACGCCAAGAATCACTTCCCCATCGTCCACGGCTGGGTCTTTGGCTTCAAGGACGGTCTGCTCAAGGACCTCAACTTCGACTTCGCCACTACCCTGGCTGATATCCAGAAGATCTACAAGCTCGCAGAGTGATTGCTGCAGACTAGTTGTGGCTGGCGGCGTTTAGACGGGAACTTTGGGCGTTTAGAAGGATCAAGGGCTGTCTGTTGGTACGGACGGAGGGCATAGTTGGCAGGGCGAAGGTATCATGCGTCAATGGGAGCGGGAAAGCGCAATAGGATGGTCCGGAAAAGGGGGCATGAGCAATTGCCATGCTGGGTTTAGCATAACGAAGAGCAAGATGGTCTATCATGGCTTTTTGAGCAACTGAGATGTTGCCTTTTATGCCCGGGGAGTCGCCTACTGTGAGGTTGAATTCATGTCGACATGGGTCGTATTCACAATGCTTTGCCTGAGAGCTCCTCTTAGGCATGCTACAATTGTCATAGATTACGCACGCCCGTCACCCTTGGCCTCAATAGTTTGTACAGATGGCAACCAAGCCATATGGTGAGTCTGTATGTCCTCGACCTCCTCGGCTTCGACCCTAGTAACTCTTTTGTCACTGCATATGTTCAGATGTACTCCCTACATTTACGTCTGCATCATCTCACCCCAGATACACCCCTCTAGCCCCTAGCTGACAAGCACTCTGGAGCCCTCTACGCCTTGCTTGTGGTAAAATTGTACACAACCTCATCATGGTGGTCTTCAGTCTTTCTCGCGACAACAGCCCAATTCCAGCGACCAATCTCGACTCATGCTTCCTTTTCTGTCAGGGTCTGGGTCCCTCATGCGAGAACATGATCTCAGTTTCTTCCAATTTCTTGCCACAAGTCCTAGGATCGAAGAGCCAGAACCACGCCGAGGCTGTGACACGCAACAAACCAAAAACGCTACAAAGTTTCCTTGTGGAAGAAGTCAATTCATTTTTAGGAAGAAATAGAAAAGGGTGACCTTTCATTGGGAATCTGTGAATCTGTAGCAAGGTAGGTAGTAGACGATGGCGTTTGCGTGGGGTAGTCGCCAACGTGAATACGTTGGTCAGTTCAGCACTCGGTAATCCGCGTTAAACGATAAGACTTACCTGCCAAGCTTGCACGCTCATGTCAGTGTGGGTACGCTTCCTTATCCCGTTCTTATTGAACTTGCGCCATGCCTTGCCCGCCGGCTTCCATTTCCAGCCTGCATCACCTGGAATGCCTCCCACTCAGCAGTCACCAAAGAGTCCTCGTTGTCTCCAGCCTGAATATTTGCCAGCATTTCAACACCTTCCCACAACTTACTAGCTAGCACATTGTTTAAGAATATCTGTTCCTGATTGCCTGGAGAGAATCGATATTTTTTGCAAGCAGAGACTTCAAGTCCAGCGCAACACACGAAAGAGATCAGAACGGTTGGACCAACCAGACAACGATGGCTCAATAGGCTAGTACTGCGCATGCCGTGCGACTAGTAGATCTTGATATGATTTAGAATGTCCTTAGGCTTGCATTGGAGCTTTAATCACAATCGGCTTCGGAACTGTGGTTTTACCACCCCGTCCGCGGGTAATATGTCCCGGTCCTGGCTGCTCCTGGTGAATGCCGTTACCATTGGGCACCCATTGAGCACACAAAATCCCGGGACTACGGAAACCCCGCTAGTTCTTATTTAAAATTGTGCCTCTACTTTACTAGATTGTGGCTATGGTCAGGCGCCAAATATTTTGCCACAAAGCTTGAGTGCTGTCTGACATTTACGCTTATCTGCTTAGCATTCCAAGATTGAAGAGATTTGCCACTCAAGTTCAATAGCCATAGGTAGAGCTTACACATTGTTAGAGGTCATTCTCTTGGAAATTTGTTATTGTCTTTGTAGAAGCTTAACTCTGGATTAAGTTGGCGGTTTTGGTTGAGGATGCCATGTAGAACTAGACTTGGTTGGCATCAGGCACTGAGACCATGGTTTGAATCTGTCCCAACAGCCACTCTCCGCATTACTGCTTTCACGATACTTTTCAAGTCTCCTCAAGATTTAGCGAGAACTTTCATATAATTCATATTAGGTAGATAATCGAGATCGGTCTTCTATGCTTTGATACTACACCTCTGCCCTTCATTTGAGTCTGGCATTGGTACCAACATACCGCTCATCTGCTGAAAGACGGTTCGGAAATTCCCGAATTAGCGATGAATTCTTGGCTCTGATACACCATGTGAACCAACAGACTTTGACTCCCGTTGACTCTGCCGGATAGCAGTTGGCTCGACTGGGCTGTTGGGGCCAGGCATTGGGGCACCACGATCCACTTGATCTCGTGTATACTCGGCCCGAGGATGGTAGTTTTGAGATCCACTCGCCTTTTCCAATGGATTGCGGCTCCTCAAGTCTCCAACCACATGCCATGTTGCAGATCTAAATCACCCATGATGAATAACAACCAACGCCCAACGAGGTGAGACTTCCTGGATGAAAGCTGCCGTACCCGCGAACAGCTGTTTTTGCGTCTAACATACATACTGGGCTGCTTCTTGAACTGATCCAAAAATAAGTGTTCTGTTGGCCGCAATAAAATTAGCCTAGCATACGTAAATTGATGTTGTTTGTAGACAGATATTCCTAAACATGTGAGTATTCAGCTGGGCGCTGCTCCCATCACAGTGCAACCCCCCCCCCCCCCCCCAAAGCCCGGTCCCCAATGAAACCCTCTCCCCCCATTGAACCCTACTCCATCCAGCGTCAACCCTCTAGCATGTGCTCACTTGAACATTCGAGTAACAAATCATTGGCAAGCCACGATAACAACTGCATGTGACACGAGACATTAGTCGATTTGATCAAAGCTGCAAATAAACAGGAAAAGTCTCCGTGTAGACTCGAGAGTATATTTGGAACGCTCCGGTGGTACGAAGCATGTGGTGGTGGGTTTCCAGGGTTGCACAAACCCCCCCAGAATCCAGAAGATGCTTTTTTTGGGCAGGCCTGGCAGGCCAGGCAGGTGGCAGGCTGGAAAACTGCTAGTGCAACTAAGCGAGACGTCAACCTCTTCAACATGGCTGGACAATCAATTGCCAGGGGTTTCAGCATTTTCGTCTGAACACTCCACTTGCCATGCTCCTTCAGCCCTGGGAGGCGGCTTCTTCCGTGCGTGTTCCTGGCTGGTGTCACGAGAACCTATGACAGACCCGACAGGCTGGCCATGGGAAAATCGCCGCGGCGACTGACCGAGATGTATCCGTCCACAGTTCCAGAGTTCCTCGGTCAGACAAACGTGTCAGGCCTGCAGTCAGCCTTACCTGGTTCCTGAGGTCCTGCTTTGACAGCTCGTCCTGGGGCTTCGATTGGTCAGCACAAGCGGTCGGCAATCTATTTCGTCTCCAGTGAAGCCTCACCTCGGCTGTGTCAGTCGAAGGAATATGCATGGAACCTGCCATTGCAGCTCCGCCCTTGTCCAGGCACCGCCTGGTCCGTGGTGTCTCTGACTTTTGACCACACCCACTCACGATTGGGCATCCGTCATGATGGCACAACCGTGCATGGCATGGCGTGTAACGGCCTGAAAACACGGCAGACGTACCCAGCCGTCCGTCGAGTCCTCGACGAGTCCTCGACGAGTCCTCACATCCGAACGCGGGCAGCCGCACTGGGGCACGCAATTAGCGGCGGGCGCTGAATGCTAGGGCTGTCAATATACGAGCGGTCGAGGTTTCCATTGGGGGGATTGTGCCGTGGGTGGCTCAATCCTTCTCCTTGGAGCTGACTACATCGACCCTCGGCCATCACTCAGCCCCCATCCCGGCCCGACTTCACGTGCTAGCTGATTGAGCTGTCGAGCAATCGGAATCACATCTTGCCCTGGCGAGAGAAGTTGACTACGGCGATGGTCCCCATCCGGAAGAGAAAATGCGCTTCTTGCCGGCAGGTGGCAGATCCAGTCTTCAGCTGGGCGAGCAACGACGATCCGGGCATCACGTCGCATTTCGTCCAATGGTAGGCCCGTTTGTCTGGCGGTCCCTGCAAGCCTCACGAATACCAATCCCTGTCGCGAGGTTGGGGCTTTATCTCCGCCCTCGCCCCAAATAGGGTCAGGCAATACTGTTGCTCGTTGCCCCATCAGCATATGAGCATATCAGCATCGATGCTCATTGTTCACGATTCAGTCTCTGGGAGGGCGACTCCGGCCCCGTGCTGAAAATCTGCACTTCGGCTTGGGCGGGTCGACACATGGGCCTTACCGATCTCACATCATCCCCAACCTCGCACACCCCACTACACCACGGCGTGTGGCTTCTGTCATTGGTGAAATTGGCGCCTCTGCGTAACAGCCTCACACCCCGCTCAATCCTGACACTGATGACGACCCTCCAGGTCAGAAATAATGGCCTCAATAATGGCCTCACATTCAACCTTCGCAGCGTTCGATGGCCTCGTCGGCGCCCGAAGGATCGATAAGAATACAACCACACCGAAAATATTATGGGATGTGTGTTGCCTACTTTGCTGCACTGCCCCAAGCCTCGGTAGGACCTGGGCCGCCTAAAAACAAATGGTTCTAGCTTCCCAGGCCACCACCACTCATTGGCGACGATCGACGATCGAGAACGGCTTCCTGCTTGGTGGCGTCCTTGACATCGCAGCCATGCGCTCTTCATTGGGGCCCCTGGGCAGGGTGTACTTCCGCACTGATCTTGGCTTCGGTTTTCGAGACGTCTTCGATTATCAATCTGAGGTCTACAGGAGAGCATGGCCATCGGGCGTCACTCCTCGTACGTACAGGCATATGATCTTGAGGAGGGAGGGGGGCGCCTGCAGCGTCGTTGCTGATGTGGGGCCAGGAATCCGCCGAGGCCCACGAGCAGACTCAGATCGCTCCCGGTGAAAGATCCGGGTGTAGAGTAGGGGTCCAGGAGGCTCTGTCTGCGCGGAACTATGTCTGTTCTGGATGCCACTTTTTTACATTTTCATCGCCTGCAGCTGTCGCGAGTGGTCATTAGTTCCTCTCTACACCATCTTCCAATAGTGGCTCGACTTTAGCAACGCGGCCAATGAGCGTCGGAGCTGAGCTAGACTTTGTGGTGGCCCCGGTGATAATTTTACCTTCCTGCCTTAACGATCTGCACCCAAGGCATCAGCCCAAGCCCAGACTAACATCCAAAACGGCAAGCTGTCAGCTGCACTCAGGCCAGCATTGGTCCAGCAAACGAGACAAGCCGTTCACCGTTGAACGAGAGGCCGGATAGAGGCACAGGGTACGGAGGTACCGCGCTTCTGCAGACCTCAACCCACCCCTTGATCGACGCCCTGACCTTCAGCCGATGCACGCCCTCGTCACCTTTTCGACAATAATTCTTCTCGTCGACCTGCATGCGGGTGGCTATCCTGGATTATCTTTCCTTCACAGCCCGGCAACCATGTCTCCGCTCCGATCACCTCCGCAAGGTACCTTCAGCCTCCCCACGCTATTCCATCTCGATGCTACCTTACGATTACATCTTACAAGGATGAGTCGGGGTTCACTTCTCGTCCGCCATTGAACACCACTAGGCCATATAAGCTATATATCCCCTAGTTCGTGAAGTCACGACTAGTCCTCCATTCCTATATACTCCTCACATGATACCCATCTGCTTTGTCCCAAGTGCGTGAGACTTGGCGTTCCTCCTAGCAAGCCATAATCAACCTCGTCTTTGTTTCCGTGCCGGTCCACGACAGCGCTTATTCGAGCTTCAGGCGCAGCTCATCATACTCGACTCAGTACTTGTAGCCATACACCCCCGCCCCTGTGTGATCGCAACAGGATCCTTAACCCACAAGACAAACCCTCAATTTAGCCCACAATGTCAGAAACGAACGGACGAACGAGGTTTCGTCTTCAGTCTGAAGGAAAGCAACCAGCAGAAGACCTCTTTCTAGGTGGACCCGTCCAGCTGCCCCCCACTGGCCTTCTAAACGGCACCAACACAAATGGCACCAACAGTGTTCTCTCGACACCACGCCACGTCTCTAATGCATCCGATCAAAGAGGCGATGATGGCCAAGACGATTCAGGGTCATCGACATATCAGTTCCCCCGCCTATCACCTAGAAGGGGGACTTGGCCACGCTCTCCATCACTCCATTCAGTACAGGCGGAGGTCGACCCTTCAGAGCAGGGATTCAGCCATCCCATCCCTCCCTTGGGCCCTCACGAGGGCGAAGCCGGTGGTCCACGTTCTCGCGCGCACGCAAATATACGGACGTACACAGACGACAGTCGCGTCGAGCACGAGTACCCTCGCCTTTCACGGCCTGTTGAGCTTCTTCGCAGGGACTATGACTGTATCGTCATAGGATCCGGCTACGGTGGCGCTGTGGCAGCGTCCCGGCTGGCAAGAGCAGGCGAGAGCGTCTGTGTGCTTGAGAGAGGACGCGAGAAGTGGCCTGGCGAGTATCCCAGTGGGGCAGGACATGCTCTAGATGAGCTGCATTGGTCAGGGAATCTCGCGCCCAAAGGTGTCAGTGAGGGTATCGCTGTTGATGGTGGTGATCCTACAGGGATGTACCACTTGATTCTCGGGAGAGGACAGCATGCGATGGTAGGCAATGGTGAGTTATGCTCCGCTGGTTCAACCATACTTGACCAAATCACTCACATACATTTAGGTCTCGGTGGCACCAGCTTGATGAACGCCAACGTCTTCCTGAAGGCCAACCACGATGCCTTGAGGATGAAAGCATGGCCAAAAGAGATAAGAGACCATCCTCACTGTCTCGACGAATGTAAGAAAGCGTACTCTCAGACATACACAAGACTCTAGGCGGCTAATCCCATGTCTCGCAGACTACGAGAAGGCAAAGAAGGTTCTCGACCCAAAGCCATACCCGTCTGATTGGCCTAAGCTTCCGAAGCTTGAAATGCTCGAGAAGCAAGCCGGGTATCTTGGAATGTCGGACAAATTCAGGCGTGTCGAGCAGACAACTCGCTTCCGCAACGGACCCAACAGCTGCGGAGTGGAGATGTCCCCTTCGGCACTGACCGGCCAAGACGTCACGGGTGTCAATGACGGCTCGAAGACGACCACTCTGGTGACCTACCTCGCAGACGCATGGAACTGGGGCGCCGAGATGTTCTGTGAATGCGAGGTCCGATACATTGAGAAGTGCTCCGAGAAACGCGGCGGGTACAACGTGTACTTTGCCTGGCACGGGCGCAATCGAGGTCACTTCCGCGCGAACCTGCATGGCGATTTGATGTGGGTTCATGCAAAGCATGCTGTCTTCCTCGGTGGTGGCGCTATTGGCACCACAGAAATACTGCTGCGGAGCAAGCAGTTGGGCTTGAGCATGAGTGAGCAGGTCGGGCAGAACATGAGCGGCAATGGAGACATTCTGGCATTCGGGTAAGTTTACACAAGATGATGCGATCGCCTTCTCTGAATCCTATCGGTCTCCGTAGTAGAGAGAACTTTTACTGACGTGATCATCACAGGTACAACACGGACGAGCTGGTCAACGGTGTTGGCAGACCATTTCCTTCGCCATATAACCCTGTAGGACCGTGTATCACTGGTATCATCGACAACCGCGATGGTCATGATAATCCTCTGGATGGTTACGTGATAGAAGAAGGGACCATTCCAAAAGCACTCGCCCCGTTTATGCAGGCCATGCTGGACCTGATGCCCGGTAGTATCTCGAACGAAGAGACCTTACTTGACAAGGCTCATGCCAAGTTGGCCCGGTGGGGAAGCCGAATCCTCGGTCCTTACTTCAAGAACGGCGCAATAGAGAGGACCCAGGTCTACCTCATCATGTCCCATGACAGCAACCAAGCCATGCTGACCCTCAAAGACGACAAGCCTGAACTTGAGTTTCTTGGCGTTGGACGAAGCGACCATGTCAAAAAGCTCAACGAAATCCTGGCCAAGGCCACCAAGGCTGTTGGCGGAACACTCGTGCAAAACCCCTTCTTTGCGCTGCTGGGCCAGCAACAAGTAACGGTACACCCCATTGGCGGTGCAAGCATGGCCCGTGATGGCACGCCAATGACGGGCGTGACAAATCATCTCGGTCAGGTCTTCGTAGGCAAGAACATGGACAGCAAAGCGGTTCACAAGGGCCTGGTTGTTATGGATGCAGCTGTCATTCCCGCCGCACTCGGAGCAAATCCATTTGCGACCATCACGGCACTTGCAGAGCGCTCTATTGAGGCGTACTGCAAGGATCGCCACCTGGAAATTGATCGCACGGACAATGGTATTCTGGATCTCTTCGGCGAGCCAAAACACCACCCCAAGAGACGCCGGAGAAAGACCATGGAGGAGATGGCACTTGCGCGCTCCGAAATTGAGAGCGTCAACGGCGCTGCCCATGTGATCAGCAAGGCGGATGCCATCAAGGCCAGCGGATTTGGCTTCACTGAGGTCATGTCAGGCTTCATTCACCACGATGAGGATGGCATGAAGGAGGACAAGAGACCCAACTATGAACTGGCTTATCGAACAGCCAAGAGCCTGTGCGAGAGCGCTCGATTTTTCTTGAGTGTCCAGGCATTCAACACCAAGAGTATCGTGCGTGATCCTGCACACCGGGGAATGCTCACTGGCACTTTTGTGTGTCCGACGATCCCGGGTTCCCCTTTCATGGTGCAAAGAGGCGAGTTCAATCTCTTCAAACTTGACCTGAAGGCCCCTGGAACCCGTAATTTGACGTACGACTTCGACATGACGGGTATCAATGGCGAACTACTTCATTTCCATGGTTACAAAGTTGTCGACTCTTCCGTCGCCCTCGCGCCGTGGCAATTCTGGCGGTCAACCACAACACTGTACTGCACCGTTAGCAAGCGTATCGCAATGGGTCCTATCAAAGACGACGAGCACGACGATGATGCATGGCGCAAGTTACAAGTCGTTGCTAAGGGAATGATGCACATACAGGCCGGCGACTTCCTCTCGGAGCTCATGACCATGACGCCCACTGGCTCGTCAATTCTACAGAAGCTCACAAGCGCGGCCAGCTTCATGACCTTCTTTACTCGCAGGTCCATGTCACTCTTCCTGGCGCCCTTGACAACTCTTCAGTACCCCTCAACTGTATACAGCGGATACATCAACAACACGGTGCCCAACAAGTCCTTCGACATTTGGGCAGAAGACGGACGGTGCACCAAGATGCATATGTGGAACGCGACGAACAAGCACGCCAAGGGCGGCGTGATCGATCTGTTCATGATTCCTGGTGCAAGTGTCGATCATCAGATCTTCGCGCTCCCGACCATCCCCTACAATGCAGTCAATTACTTCACGCGCGCCGGATACCGCGTCTTTGTGACCGTCCATAGGATTGGCCAGCTCATGATCGCAGAGAACAACTGGACCACATATGACGCGCGACTTGATATCAAGGCGTGTCTGAAACACATCCGCCAGATAAATCGCGAAGAATTCGCGAAAAAGGAAAATCTCCACAAGGACTCGGAAGAAGTCAGGAAGTTCGAGCCGCCCAAGATATACACCATAGCTCACTGCATGGGAAGCGTGGCGTTCGCATCCGGCCTGTTGGACGGCAGGATCCCGTCGTCGTGGGTCCGCGGCGTGACGTGCTCGCAGGTGTTCATGAACCCGATCTGGAACACAATGAACATGATCAAGGCGACGGCGGGGCCGATTCCGCTGGATAAGATGTACAACCTATTGGCTGGCAGCTGGTTCAGCTGCTCGACGTCGCGCGACGACAGCCTGGTGCAACGGGCGCTCAACCAGGTGCTGCGGTTCATGCCGGACGCGCGGCGCGAGATCTGCAACAGCGCGAGCTGCCACCGCATCAGCCTGACCTTCGGCCGCTGCTGGAACCACAAGAACCTCAACGAGGCGACGCACCGGCAGATCGACCGCTTCTTCGGCGGTGTCAACATGACCCTGCTGCACTTGCTGATGCGAATGGGCGCCGCCGGCCACGCCATGGGCAACGGCCCGCTATTCGAGGTCCTCAACACGCGCGAGAACATCGCGCGCCTTAAGGGCGTGCCATTCCTGCTCTTTGTCGGCCGCGACAACGCTGTCCTCAGCCCTGAGTCCACCGAGAAGACGTACGAGATCCTGTGCGACACTTTCGGTACCAAGGCCGGCGGCCTCGCCAACGGTGTCCAGGGTGATGGCGGCCCGCACGACAGCGACGGTATCGAGTACCGCCGCCGCGTGGTTCCTGGCTATGGTCATCTCGACTGTTGGATGGGGCGGAACGCATGGAAAGATGTATATCCTTTCGTTAGGGAGGAAGTTGACCGGGTATGCCGGGGTGAGGAATACCGGTTCCACGAGCCGGATGATGATTTCAAGAGGATGGTGGCTAGTGGTGAACTGCTGTACTAGGTGGATAGCGGCGTCGCTTCCTGTCATTCTTCATATGTATTCTTCATCACCAAATTCGTGTTGTCTGGTTGCATTTTGGTTTTGGTCAGGGTAAATACTGGGCACAGCTTGCGCTTATTTGTGTAAGCAAGCTCATGGGATGGCGTGGCGAGTGGTGTTCTTCCAGCGGAAAGGGCGGGTTTTGGTTCAAGACGGGTTGAGATCATCACTGTTTAGATGTTCCTTGCAGATCAGGACTGGGATTCTGGCAATCGCAGTCGATTTTCGAATACATTCGCGAATCTGTCCACAAGTCACATGGTGATCCCCCCCGGTTCATCTCAAGGTAGCTTGTTTCAACGTTCATTCACATTGTGCCCTGTTTATATCACCCTGGACATCTCGGAGAGCATCTCAGACGATTAATATAGTCTTCCAGCGCTATGCTGATGCGCTTTGAAAACAAAAACGTTGAATCACACGCTACACGTACGTCTTAAAAAGTAGAATGATCCATTTGATCATCTAATCCATCTTCTCACTGCAATCAGTTCCACCTCTGGTCCGGAGCCTCCTGATTATATATAAGCCCAACCTCAGGGCACCACTCCACAATCTCTGAGTATCGCTCCGCTTGCCACCGGTGCGGCTGGTGATAGCCCAGGGGGTGGTCAAAGTACCACGTCTCAACTGAGAACTGGCCAGCGACCTCGGGTGACGGGATCTGCGCGTTCAGGTCTGGTCGCTCGTCTATCCTCCACATGAACCAGTGGTCTTCGAAGCGCATGTTGTTTGGAAGCTTGTCGTATGGCCCTGAGTGCAGGTCTTGTGTGAAGTTTAAGTTAGGATCACGGGCGATCTCGGCGAAGATGCGAGGATTGCGAATCGAAAGACCGCCGTTGAAGGAGCGGGGATTTGGTCTAGTCGAGTCCACGTATGCCGGCAGTACGGGCGCCCCAATGAAGTCCCATTCGAGGAAGTCGTCGACGCTGGCTTTGGAGTTGCTGCAGATTATGCTGTCGGCCTGGAACATCAAGACGCGATTGACCTTCTCAAAAGTCTCCCACAGCCAGGGATCTGTGAGGAATATAGACACAGATGGATGTGACGGAAACGAAACTTCATCGGGCAGGAATCTCACTTTAATCTTGCCATCGCTGAGGAGTTGTCGTAGTATCAGACTCTCGGGAATTTTCCATCCCCTTCGTGTGAGAATCACCACTTCCCAGCTAGAACCAAGCATGCTGCGGAAGTGTAGCAATACCGAAGCGAAGTTCGATATCGCCATTGGATCCTCTTCCATCAGTAACGCGACGTTTCCACCAAATGAGCCTGGGAAGTCGACGTCTTCATTGAATCCAGAGACTTCAGGGATTGCTGTGAGTCCGCTTCCGGGCTGAACATTTTGGCCGACTCCCGGCCTCCGATCCGAGTATTGGAGAGCTGAGAGTTTCAATTGCCGCTGTAGAGACGCGTCAACAGCGCAGGTCAAGTGACTGGATAGCGGCCAGACTTACTATGGACGCGGGCCCCAAAGTCCAGCAAAACAGTAACACTACAGCAAATGCCACGGCGGTTGTCGTTTTCCGACTCCATATTTGCCGGATTGTAGATGGGGAAGGCGATTTGCCCGCCATGCCGCTGTCTGTGGAAAAATTGCCAGTGGCGTTGGAGACTGTATACGACGGAATCGGCGGCGAAACGGTTCTCGTCAGAAGATGAAAAGGTGGCCCCACTTCCTACTGCACCAGGTACTGCAATGTTCTCAAGAGCTAAGAGTAGTCAATTAATGAAGAACTACGGGTCGGAAAACGGGCAGGAGTTCAGTGACGAGATTGTTTTGGGATTTGAGGCTTCGTGTTCTACAAGAAGGGGAAAGGAGACCAGAAAGTCAATTTGACGGGAATTTCTAAGCTGCCGAGCTTCCAAGACCCAAGACCGTGATGCTTTCGTCTGAAGCACTCAATCAAATTCAATATGCGTGCCAATAAAGTTTGTTTTCGGCTAGGGTGTTCTTGATTAGGCCGAAAGTGGTGCGAGCCTATGCGTTCAAGGAGACAGGAGGCAAATGCCACAGTGATAATCCTGGATCGTCCAGATCCCGTGAACTCTTGGTACGCCCCATGCTATTTCAAGAACACGACAGTTCGAACGTTACCGAACCGGCCGAGCATCTTTTTGAAGTCGCCTATTTCAGCTGATTGGTCGAGACGGGATGAGTGGCGCTGAAACATGTTTCTTCGTGTTGTCGTAGAGTGTGCATCAGTCAGCCCCTGCCAAGATCTCAAGTGACTGATTCCCTTTCATCAACTACGGAGTCAGCCACACAAGTGGCTGGTGACCTGAACTGCTTGTTTTCTCAATAGCTCGTTAATTTAGCCTAATCAGTTGTCAGCATAGCTACTAGCTCCATTATCAGGCTTCGATGCTGTTTCCGGGACACAATTACTTGCTCCCAGGCACATACAATTTACGTGGACAACTACTAATTGTTGCCGAGATGAACTTAATGGGAACCTCAGCATGCCTCACTGACTCGACTGCAGCACTGGGGTAGGAGTAATTCAAGTCTCATTTTGTATGACCCCGTGAATCGACGGGTTAATTTCTCCTGATTCTAGTCACATGAAACCTTATCATAACGCCGTCTCGCCATGCAATACGTAAATAACCACACTTTTCCTCAGTACCAGAGAGCCTTGTTCCAGAATGCAACCTTCGCATTCTCCAAGTCAGAAGTCTGGGTGTACAATCCAGATGTGTTGAAGACGAGGTCGTTTCCGCCTTCGCTGTAGAGAGGCCACTCCAGCTTGTCCTCGGGCCACTGAGTGTTGGGGTTGCCAGTGAGAACAAAAGATAGCAGATACTTCTGCATCTGGATGGCAGTCGCGGTGTCAACGGAGGAGCTCCCTCCGAAGCCGCCACCACTGCTGCTAGCAGAGCTAGAGTTCGAAGTAGTTGTGGAGTCCGATGACAGAGTCCAGGTGCTGTACCAGTAGTAGCTCTGGTCGGTACCATGGGTAGACTGATCGATCTGGACCATGCCGTTCCATGTCTGGTTAGACATGGCGTGTGTGAAAGCCATGTTATGGGCAGTGAGGTCGAAGTGCTGCTTCATGTCAGAGAAGCGCAGGCCAGGGCTCTCATAGTCGTCCTCAGGGTACAAGGTGAGGGCTTCCTCAACCTCGGCGTCGGTGATGGAGGGGAAGAAAATGCGCAGGTACGTTGACACATCCTCGGTAGTGTTGACGCCGGACCAAGCTTGGCCGTTTGCTTCATGTTGCTCGTGGGTAATAACAGCAGGGCCGGTAAAGTTGAAGCGGTTTTGGTAGAATTGAGCCTCGTAAGTGTCAGCGACGAAGTCACCGTCAACGCGAGGCTGCAATTGGAAGGTATAGGTGTCGACCAGGGTATCAGCGGCATCCTGGAGGGTTGTGAAGTTGACGGAGCGCAAGCAAGTCAAGTCGCCTCCATCGCATCCCACAGCAGAAGATACGTTGAGGAAGAAGGCCTCGGCGTGCTCATGGCCGGCTCCTGGGACGAATCCAGGGGACATAACGTATGCCTGCTCGAAGAGCTGCTCGGCGTGGCCGGCGAATCGAGTCATCTCGAAGAGGACTTGAGAGCCTCCAGCTGAGAAGCCCATGGCTGTGATCTGGTCTGGGTCTCCACCAAAGTTGGAGATGTACTTGTTGACCCATTCAAAGGCGTGCTGCACATCCCAGAGCCCTGTGTTGCTCGTACCACCCTGGTGCAGCAATGTTGGGCCGTTCGCAAGACCGGTTATTCCCAGCCTGTAGTTGTAGGAGACGAAAATGAAATCGCTGCTCAAATCGAACTGAAAACCATGGTCGTTAGCAAAAGTCAAGCCTTTTGGGTTGGGTTCTCGCTTACCAGGCCTTCGGGCGTGTTCTCTGACTTGCTGCCGCCTGTGAAACCGCCGCCATATGTCCATACAAGTACAGGAAGTGACTTGTTCGCAGCGCTGGCCGGCACGTATATATCCATGTACAAGCAATCTTCGGTACTGGCACAATCGACATCGGACTCGGCGAGTGATCCATCGTTTACTTCGGTCTCGACGGGAGGCCACTCTGGGGCCGCGAAGCGCAGGTCACCGGTGGGGACCGCAGCGAAACGGATATTCTGATACTTGTACAGACCTGCGGTCGTATTGCTGGCAGCAGGAGTCAAAGTACAGTAGTCCAGGGTCACAGTGGGTGCGGTGGCTTCCTGCCGAATCACTCTCGAGGGCGGCAGGAGACCGGCCGAGGCTGTCCCAGCAAGGAGAGCGGGTATAAACGAACGCATGGTGCAACGATACTGCAACGTAAAAGAACGTGGTTGAAACTCCCAGCGAATGAAATGTGGTTCAGCGGGTGCAGATGATGTTCTAGTGCCGTTTGAAGAGAAACATTTCCAATATATATACGTACGCTGGTTCCACGTATCGGAAATCCGAGGTTTCTGCTTTTTGCGCCGAGCTGTGACGCGTCGTCACGACCGCAATCAAATACGCCGCCCACCAAGCCACGATCTTTTAGATAAAAGATCATCATCTCATGATCCCGACAAGTGGAGTGGCATCCCATGCATTGTGGGGATGCCTCTGTTTATTCTTAAAAAGTGGACTGAAAATAGCCTTGCCAGGCACTGGCGGTGGGTTCAAGATTTTGTGATAAAGATGACTCGCCTGCGTTCGACTTACAAGATAATCCCAGGAATTTGAAAGGACGCTAGGTCGTATTACGCGTGTTTACGCATTGTCCTTCTTCTAGTCAAGTATTACGCGTGTTGCCCCTGAGCCTTGAAGAATCCCTTAGGCCACAACTTGAACGGTGGCACACACTGGCGAAGGCCTTTGTCTCCCGCGTCGACTCCGTCTTCATTCTGATGATGATGAATCGATCCACTGGTGATTATCTCCGGTTATGAGCAGGTTTGCTTGGATCAGGGCAGTGCAGAACGCCAACACGTGGATTAGTCCCGCCCGGTAGTGTGGGGGAGAATCAGTCCCGGCCTGAGCCCCTTTTCTACTCGGAAGAGTCTCGGCTCTCGGGTGCCCAGGCCGTAGTTCAGGCCATATTTAGGGGCAAGTCTAGGGGCATGAGAAAATATTACGCTGTGAACTACCTTGAATCAAGACAGGTCTTGGTCCATGTGGATTACTCTGGCAACTTTGTGGGTGCTCTCAAGACCAGCAAGAGATGTGATCCATGATTGATACCTATTTTTGACTATTGTCCCAACCCAAATCGTTCGCATTCGTTGATTTGCAGACTCTGGGCAACACTATCACGTGGCAATTGTTGAAATTTGCAAACTTGACTTGTTCGGGTGTGCCATACATCTGCATATTGTAGCAACTGGCGAAAGCTGAAGAAGATCGGATCTAGAGTATTTCACACTGAAAGCGTCTGTGATGTTTTTCATACTGTTGAAAATGAGGCTGTCGCTTCGGTTATGTTCGTTACCGAGTTATGTAGCAAAGTGCTACTCTTGATGAAATGCTTGTTGCGTGACTAATGTGTCTACAGGTGGGCATTATGCTTGCATGAGAGCCAGTGTTGCAGGGACTGCTACTCCTGGTTCATTGAACACCACATTTGCTTGATTATTTTTGTATGACGTACTTGATTTGAGCACTGACTGAACGTTCGCTTAATATCCTGGTGATAGAGGACTTCAAAGATGCATGTAAATAAGTTAAAGTATGGCAGTTAGAGGGAGGATTTTCGCTCATAGGACATAAAATCTCGATTTGTTCCACAACCATATTAATCTTGCCATGCAGTACGGTGTGTGGCATCATATTTCACACTTTCAGCCTTCATACCTATATGCTGCTGCTTGCCTTTGTAACCGTATGTCCTTTTGTTGAACAGCCATGCCCAGAAATGATTCAATGCTACAAGCATATGGCATCACAGATGTTCAAACTTATGGCCACCCATGATATTTATGCAAGATACTTGTAGAAATCAATTATCAGTCACCAGAATGAAGTTTGATTTCATACCTGCAGAAACCTTTCTCGTGTGCTTATCACGCTTTCCACCCCATCGGTATCAAATGCCTCGCGCATAACAGCAGACTTCTTGTCTTGAACTGTCAAGACATACTGGAATGATTTTAGCCATGTGAATTCAACTTATGATTTTCTCAACATACCTCCTCGATGCTATTTCTTACTATGTAGCGCGTGGCAATAACTTCCTGTGTTTGGCCAAGTCTGTGGACACGATCTATGGCTTGGTTCTCGGCTGTCTGAGTCCATTGAGGCTCAACAATGTGCACATGACTGGCGACAGTGAGATCAAGTCTATACGTCCGATATTAGTCAGAAGATCAAGTCACGCACAATGAGAGTGGGTTTTGACCTGCCCACAATCTTTTTCTTCTAAATGCTAGCTAGAAAAAGGCGAGGGCTAGACTAGGATAGACTTACCCGACACCGGCACTTCCAATCGTGGCTAAAAGGATTCCACAGTCATGATCGCTCCTGAATCTGGAAATAGCCTCTCTACGTGCTCTCTCTGTCTTGCTGCCATCAATTCTTACAAAGTCTAGTCCCTGGGAGACCAGGGCCCTTTGTATCAAGTCGAGCATCTTGATCCAGCAAGAGAACACAACGCTTTTACGATAGTGAGTGAACCAACCACAGAATTGAGAACTTAGAGGGGTAAGACATACCTCTTGATTGGTTGAGTGGGGGAGGTTTGGCCCACTGACACCAAATTTCGAAGCAATGCCTGGACCTTTGACGATGGCATGTAATCACTTTTGGCCACAGCGTAATTAGTTTCCTGGTGAGGGCTATTCGAACCGGATCTTGTCGTATCCAGATCGCAAAGATTGCACACGATATCGACCATTGTTTCCTGTTCAGGAATCTTTTTCTGACATCGAGAACACAAGTAATGTCCGCAGTCGAGGGAGTCCTGACTTGAGCTTTCTTCGCTGACTGGAGTCTGACAGACAGCACATAATCCCAAGGCGTCCAGAAGGCTCCACGAAAATTTTGCCGCTGGCGTAGAGTTATCAAACAATTGGTGTACCTTCTTTGGCAAGAGATCCAGTCCATGGTCGCAGAATTGTCTTAGCCGCGCTATCGTCTGCATGACGGAAGCCGTATAGCGGCGAGCGATATTTGTCCCGTCATCTTCGTCGAGGATAGAGGCGTATCTGGATTTCAGCAAGTCATAGTCTCTTTGTTCTTCTCTGGACAACTGTACAAACTCTTTAACAATTCTGCGGCCGGGAAGGCGCAACTCGTCACGAATCGAGTCTTTGTTTCTTCGTAGAGACGTTGCATGAACGAGCTTTCGCAACGTCTCTAACCCATTCGGTGTTCCTTTGACCACAGGATTTGTGATCTGGGAGTTGAATATCGAGGATGAGTCAAATGGATGGACCCCAAGGAACCCAATCAAGGAGCCAAGGTCTTCAACCCGATTGAAGATCGGTGTCCCCGTGAGACACCAGCGGAAGCGAGCTTTCAGGGCACAGGTGGCTCGAAATCGTCTTGTGGAGCGGTTGCGAATTTCGTGTGCTTTATCGTACAAAACATCCCATCAGTAATCATGGGCGGCGTAGTTGCCAAGCTGATCCTGGCAGCATTGAGGGAAAATTTAGGGAATACTCTCACCTTCATCGAGAATTACACGTAGCCACTCAATAGAGGCGATTCCGCGGCCCGCGATAGTCTCCTGGGCTTTGTTCGGCATCTCATTTGACACTGTGTCGTAAGTTGTCAATACAATGTCATAACTCGTGAGCGACGAGATATCTCCTTTGGACGCTCCATAATATCTGTAGTACGACAACTGCCCGTGATGGACGTGACTGGCATCTCGTTAGTTTGGTTTTAGTTTCTATAGGAGTTGCTTACTTTAGTAGCTCTTCTTCCCATGTCTGAAGCACTTTTATATGGTTAGATTGCTATCATGGCCCCGAGGTGATAGACACTTACATGACAATGCTGTGACAACTAGGGTCGTTTCAGGAGATGAGGAGCGGTCTGCTCCAAACTCGGTCCAGTCTTTCGATGCAGCGATCAGGGAGATGATTGTGAGAGTTTTCCCCAGTCCCATTTCCTGTATATTTTTTTAAATTAACATGATTCTCTTGATAGAGTGGTAGAAGGACCTACATCAGCAAGAATGCCACCGTGACAAAGCCGTGGAAAGTTCGTCTGCACAGATCCAGTGACAGTGTTCTTGTATCTAATTACAGAGCCATTAGCTTGCTTGTGTCAGGGCAGATCATTCTGATAACACAATTGGAGTGTCCTCGTACTTGATACTGTCGTGTTGCCTCATGACTTTCCATACAGAGTCAAATGCGTTCTCGTCGATGTCCCCATTCTCCTTTTCCACCATCATAGAAAGTGCTTTGATTTGATGTCTTCTTGGTTAGATAGGAATCAATAAGTCCAGATTAATACATTTCACTTACTGCTTAAGCGTTGTGCGAATGCGTGGGCTTTGCTGGCTTCTAGCAAAGTGCCGAGGACCGCATGCCGAATCCATGACCTCTTGGAGTCTTCGCTTCAGAGGGTCCGTGTCATAGAGGATTTTCTGTTGCTTTTCAACCCTGGCAGGTATGATAGCGTCGCTTTCGTCAGGTTGTTTCATTCCGTTACCTAATGCCGGATTGTACAGACGATGAGGGTTAAAATATGGTACAGATTGGTCGCCTGTCATTTGATCTGGGGGGTCCTGAAGAAACAGTTCTGCGCAGTCCAAAGCATCTCCAATGGCATCTCTTTGGCCATACATGCCATAAATAACTACGAATAAGTTGTAGACATGCTTCTTGCGTGTTGAAGCATCACCGCGAATCAGCCAGGCTCGGAGTGTTGCGCCGTGATGCTCATAAAGCTCTCTGAGGGCGAGTGTTGATCGATGCTGCCGTGCGAATAATCCTCCGTATGCATGTGTTACAATGTTGCGTGCAATAAGCTGGTCACCCTCAATGCTGAGTGAGACCTCGACGAAATTCTCTCCATCAGCCTCCAGAGGCTCCGATCTTAAGCTTTTCGCCTCGATTTTGATCTGTAAATATCAGTGTGAGTCAGCAGTCTGCCATATTATGTAGATCATAAGACTTACCATTCCAAAGCACGTGTCATACTTAAGAGCAAAAAGCGGCTTGGAACTTGATAAACATTCCATCGACTGGTCTACTGTGGTATCGCAAATGTTTGCCTTTCTTACGGCATCATCGTGGGCTGCGACTTCTATGCTCTCAGATTTCCTCCTCTTAAATCTAGGAATTTCCATACGAGTGTTTTGGTGAGAACGTTTAATACCAACATTCATTTCGATAAAGTACAGTAATTAAAGTCACTAGATGGCGAATAAGATGTTGTTCAAGCTTTCAGGTTGATATCAAGATGTGCAATTCCTCCCAAGTTGCTGTCAGACGTTGCGAAATGGCTCAAGATTAGGACATTGCGACCCGTCCCGAAGAATCAAATGGACGACAATGAGATGATGACGCAGTAGCTGTTATACTTGCGCATGTCAGAGCTGAAATGGCTGTGTTGCCTGTGGAAGCGCCACTCAATCCTTGGCTGCATAATGAGGTACAGTCTCGGCTTCTGGTCCAAGAAAATGGACCATGTACAATGTCTAAAGCTTAAAAGTATCACAGTGATGCCTTTGACTCAGTTTAGACTGTCAAATTTCTAGTGATATGTGTCTTGGTTAGGCATATTTAGTTAATTGCTTGAGTGTTCCGCTGCGATATGGCTCTCAGGTTTGCGCAACAAGTCTCGATTCTTAAAGCAAAAGGCCTGAATGCATGTCACGGTACAACTACCCCGCGGGCCATGCCAGAATGGGCCTATATGACTGGACCCTCTCTTTGAGCACCTACATCAGCCCAACACCATGGCAAGGCCCGGTGACCGACCGCATGACATCCAAAGGCATAGGCAGTGCAACCAATGATGCTGACGTGGCACTATAGGATGATGTGCTTCGCCCTGCTAAAGCGGATGCAGGCACACAGACTCAACAGATCAACAACACTTCTCGTTCGGAGACATCGTACATGTAGCCATCATTCTCTTGCTGGCCAGAAGAGCCTCGACCGTTGTGACTTTCCAGTCCCGTTTTGAACTCCTCGATCTCTTCACCTCAGGGGCACTTCCTTCCCTGGCCGGGGTTGTGTCCAACTTCAAGAAAAGACACAATGGCTTCTCGTGCTCTTTCTGATGCATTCGAAAGCGCCAAGAAAGACTTTTTGTCCCACTTTCCTAATGGGACGCCAGCTAATTTTGAGGAGTTCACCACAATCGATGATGTGTACAAGGCTGCTGAGGACATACAATCAGCACAGGCCAAATCAAGAACAACACGCAACCTTCGCAAAATTCAACCATTTCTAGAATGCCTGAGACACTACGGGGAAGTCATCGAGACCTTTGTCACAGTCAAACCTGACATACTAGCACTCATACGGGTATGTAACGATAGCCCAGGCTGAATCGGGAATAAATTCTCATCATAGATACCCCAAACAGGGTCCTATCAAGTTCCTCTTGCTTGTGAGTGCTTTTTCAAGCCCCTCAATACAATGTGGCCCTCGTGCTGATATTTCCTTTTTTTTTTTTTAGACATCAAGCACTTACATTCAAAGCTTTGACAAGCTGGTTGACACGATGGCCCAAGTCAGCTTGTCTCTCCCAGCCTTCGAGAAGTACACAGAATTGTTCCCAGGCAGCCAACCGATACATCAAGTGTTATGCCTGTTCTATCAAGATATTCTGGACTTCTACGCCACGGTCCTGGATTTCTTCAAACATAAAAGTAAGACAACCTTCCGATGCCTTCATCATTTGCAAGGATGGGGAGCCTTGGCATGCTAACGAATCGTTGCGACAGGGTGGTCTGTGTTCTTCGAGTCGCTCTGGCCAAAGTCTGCTGGGCGCATACGCGTCATCACGGAAAACATTGAGAAGCACAGGATACTCATGGACGGTTCAATCACACTGGCTCATGTCCTTGAAGCGCACGTAGCCCGCCAGCGAGCTTTCGAGGAATTCGAAAGACAACATGACTTTCGACAACGCCAGGATTTGGAGGCTGTCAAATTCTCACTCAGCCCAGCCCTCTACGACCGAGACCTGCAGCACTTGAAGTCTCATCGAGTAGTTCGATCGGGTGATTGGTTACTGGATCAGGAAGAATACACCCTCTGGACCAACCCATCTCACAAAACATCGAGGCTTCTATGGCTACAGGGAATACCTGGAGCTGGTAAGCCGTATCAAATTTCATAACATCCAGAAGTGACTGACTGTTTGTGGTAACAGGGAAAACGTTCCTTTCATCCTCAATCATTGAGAATATCTCAACCAGGGGTGATCCATTAGTGTTTGCTTTTCTCAAATATCATTCTCGAGAAAGTATTTCCGCGCTTCAGCTATTGCATTCCTTCATTTGGCAGATCGCACTTGACCATAAGAAGTTACAGTCTCCCTTAATCTTGGCTCATCAAGAGGATTATCGCCGTCTCAACAGCGACCTGGCCTTCGTTCAAGATCTTTTCAGCCGTTTTCTGGATTTAATGCCCACGACTTTCATTGTAATTGATGGGCTCGATGAGATATCACAATTCGAGAGATTCCAACTTCTAAGAATAATGTTCGAACTTCTCCGAAAGAATAACGTGAAGGTTCTGGTCAGCAGCAGACCCGAAGACGATATTTCTAGAATGATCCCAGAAGAGATTAGGCCTCTTCGAGTTCACGATCGCAACAAGCATGATATCGAGGCTTATGTTCACAGTCGAGCCTCCTCGCTGGTGTCAGATTCCGGCTATTCTGAATCCGGCCTGGCGCAGGAGATCCCAAGTCTGATGAAAGCGATCTCAGTAAAAGCCGAAGGTAACTATACATATACTAGCGATCTGTCCTTCCTTTCAGTTTTGAGCTCAGTTTCACACATTTTTCATGCGGAAATTATTCCAAGAAGCTCATTCATTCTGACTTGCGATCAACCCGAGATGCTCCAAACTTGTACACACTTTGGCCTAAAGACTCCCCTTTTTTCCCAACCATCTCGTCCTCCATGTTGATTGAGGAAAGCCGGTGCTAACCATTTAGGCATGTTCTTATACGCACGGCTTGTCTGCGACAGCATTGAATTGCTAGGAGACTTTGACTCTATCAAGGAAGCTGTGGAAGATCTTCCGAATGGACTCAATGAGGCGTTAGCTTTTTGTAGCACCTCTAGCCTGGCAAGAGCTAATAGATATATAGATACGACCGGATATTGTACAGAATCACAGACAACCTGGGTGAGCGTCAGTCTGAAGATGCGCGGCAGATTTTGGCACTTATCACCTGCTCTGTGGTGCCACTCAGCAAGAATGAGATTCAACTTGCCGTGTACACCGCTCAAGGAAGGAATCCATCCAGAGGATGCAAAGGATTATTTCTGAACATACTGCAAAGGTGTGGCCCGTTCATCGAAGAGATCGATGGCCACTTCCGCTTCGTTCATTTCAGCGCGCGAGAGTATGTATCTCTATGTGACATATCGAGCGGCACCTGGGAGCTATTTTGTTAGTCGTGGTACTAACACATAGCCAGATATCTTCTCAGCCTCCAGAGCAAACAGTACCTCACCGAACCGGCATCGCATGCGTGCGTAGCGTCAATGTGCATCAAGTACTTGAAATCTTCTTGTTTCGATATAGACATTAATGACGATACTTTCAGCCGGAACATCCGATCCGGTGCATTCGTACTCCTTGACTACGTTTGCAACCACTGGCTTCATCACATAGAGAGAATGGGGATACAAGAGTACCACAAGCTACTAGAGGATATCGAGAGTCTCATCGACACGAGAAGTAACTCGAGTTTCGAGGACAAGACTAGTTCATCCGAGCCCCAAGGTGTGGGGTTTTCCGAGTCTCTAGGCTCGATCGAAGAGAAGACAAAACGCAGTCTGGACAATGCGCACGAGTTTTCAATGAAGCGGAAGAGAGACCTTAGCTTCGACGATAGTGAGTCACTGTGGCATCCAAGCATAAATCTTTTGAACCCGAAGTATTTAGTATTTAACGACTCGACCGTGCAGGTGAAAACTGGAAGTGTGTGGACCCGCTCACATTCACTGAGACAGAAGCAAGGTTTCGTCAGTCACTCGAAAGTATGCTCTGCGACACGAGTCATCATGAATTTGACTGTGTCTGCCAGGAATTGAAGAGTCTATACGGAGCCAACATTTACAAATGTGGCAGGCCTGGGTGTCCGCTGTACAGGGACGGGTTCGACACCGAATCGAAAAGGAATAAACATGCCCAAAAACATGACCGACCTTTCAAATGCCACTACCCGGATTGTCCTTTTGCATATCTCGGCTTCACAAGAAAAATTGATGTAGAGTCACACTCAGCCCAAGTCCACGACCAAACCCAATCCAGAATCACTCAAGGACGTACGAAGGTGTCCAGCAAAGAAGAGTTGAAAGACATTCTTACCGACGCTGTCAAAGAGAACGACTTATTTACAATACAAGGAGCAGAAGTCGAGGAACCGGAAATCATTCTAAGCCTTTTGTTGAGCGCTTACCAAGAAGGGTCGTCCGACGCTGTGATCCATCATTTACTAAGGAAGATTCCGCCGGACTTTTTTCAAAGTCATTTCTCCCAATCCCTGGGAGGCGGCCTCAGGTGGACACCATTAGTCGACAACATATTCAAAGCATCAATTCAACACGGCAATTATGAGGTGTTCCAAGCTTCCCTTGGAATTTTCAGTTTCTGGACTTCTCGCTGGCAAAATGCTTATTATCATAAAGCATCTATTGGGGCCATGATTAGGCTCATTGGGCGCACAAGACGCGGAGACTTAGTAGAGAGTGTATCATCTGGCTTACTTGAGAACGCATCCCTGGCTGACTCGAGATGGTTGATCCTATCGCTCTACGAAGCAATCATCCCCCAAGAACCCGACCCGCTGGCGGAGATCCTTGCCCTTGAGTGCTTCAAGGCAATTCAATCTCACATTTTCACATTTTCGCCCGATATTCTGTATGAAGTGAGCAGAAGATGCTGCTCCATCGATATCGCGAAATTTTTACTAGCCAATGGTGCCAACATTGATGGCGAACAGGGAGGGTGGTCCAGCAAGAAGCCAATTGTGGTTGCCGCAAGAAAAAGTAGCCGAGAGGCTGCTAGATTCATCGAGTTCCTGGTGAAAGAAGGTGCGAGTACACCAATCTGGGTAAAAGGTAAGGCGTTGAGCGAGCTCACAGGACCAAGGAACATTCAGCAGTGGATAGGAATCACTTGGGAGGAACTGATCGAAAACAATGCCCCATCTGCCCAGATGATGAAATAGGCCTCGGTATGGCACGGAAACTAATGGAGGAGTGCCCTAGTTGCAATCTCAGTCAGCGCTGTGTGATTAAGAATTTGAATAGACAACTTTGTTTTGGTCCGAAGGCGAGAAAGCGATCAAGAGAATCAGAACGGTGATCGATCTCGAGCTCCCGAAATTGTGCCATCGGCTGGGAATTTGCGAATGATACGTTGCCGCCTGGGGTGACTGAATGCGTCCAAGGGCCTAGCCAACTTAAGACCGCCTCAATAGATCGACATTGTCAGCCTTGCGGCAGAACTCAGGAGTTCCGGCCGCACATTGCCTTCCCATGGTGTGAAGTAACTGAAAGGCATATCTATACCATGCACGACAGCGAACGGCTCAAAATTCGAGCCAACAGTCATGACTGACGGGGGTTCCGTCGTGATTCACGTCTGATATTTTGTAGGAACCCATTTCTCTCTGCTCCCGAAAATTATATAAAAAAATGAAACACTGCCAGCCATCATCCCATTCCGATTTAACTCAATTACAGAAGATAGTACCAAGGAGCGCCGTGCAAGACGAAGTCATCCAGACGATATTGAAAGCAAGAAGGATAGAATCTCATTATGAAGCGGAAATACGATGGTTACCTGTACGACTCAGACTCAGACTCGTCCGTCACGGACTCGTCCGACTGGTCATCCTCGTTCTGGTCGAACGATGAGTCGGACTGGACGTCTGATACTTCAGACTGTTCCTGCTAGTCTATTCAACACCGGCTTGGGTAGAGCATGTGGATGGAGAATAAGGTTCTTTTTGAGTCAAGCATGAGGGGAAAATCCTCGCGCCGGATTTATTAGATGATAGGGGGCCCATGGCTCTCTGCAACTAGACAGCACATAACACAAGGAACACAAAAGCAAGATAAGGGTGCATTAGCACAGCCTCGACATGCACGCGACTTAGCTTGGAATCAGCACTCCTACCCGCATGGACACGCGTCGAGGTCATTTCCTGGGCCAGGCTGGCAATGGAATTATCAAACAGACCCGGGTCTGCAAAGAAGAACTCGACACGATTAATTGTCGAGAGTGAGCTTATCGAACTCAACAGCACAGGTCACTCTACATCCTCTGCCACAAGCCATGCAAACTCACGTCGGTTCTAGACTACTCCTGGCAAAGCGTGGGTGAAGGCTCGCCGTCACCTCACCCGAAGCCAAGCTCGAGCCCATCCCGCATCATGTACATGCTTTACGCGCACTTGCACAACCTCACGAGACCACCACCGGCCATGAACTTGTGATAGCCTTGGCCAAATAAACTCCATGCCAACAGTCGATCCCGAACCTGCTAGTCTGAACTACAGTAAATACTCCGCGGGGTAAAAAGTCTGGGGTAGCCGCCGCGGCCAACAAACCGAATGTCCGAGAATCGCGCACCACCACACCCCGATCGGTGACCGAGCCCCTTAGGCATCCGAATGGGAGTCCGATCACCGAACAGCGCGGAAGGAAAGTGCTTTTCCAAGACCTGACGGCCGTCGGTGAACTGTGATGACTGTACTCCGTGCGGCGCCAAGGTCCGGGAAACACGGGCGGACTGGACAGGAGGTGATCACGTTCGTTCGGGTGCATGTTGACTAGATTCGTTGGGGAGGCGCCGATGGCTTAACTATTATTATTTACGCGCCGCACTACCGGGCTGCATGCACTGCATGCATGACAGACGGATTGATCCCGGCAGCCACGAAGACTAACCTTGGAATGGCAAGCCATGTAGCGTGGAAGTGCGCTTGGGAATACCGGCAGATCTGGTGTTGCAGTGGCTAGCGAGATGTGGGGGGTGGGGTGTGACACCCCAACAACGGCTCTCTTGTAACCACGAGGCATCTGAGGCGACGAGACGCTTTTGATAGACCACGACAGCAATCTCCCGTCGCAAACAGTTCTACGGCTTCTGTCCTGCCCACGGGCTTAGATACGGACTTGGTGTACATTGTTGCGGTGACGGGTCGACTATCGGAAATCCTGCAGGCAGTAGTGATTATAGCTATCAGCGCTAGGGAACGCGGTACACCACAATATTGAAGGTACGGGATGTTAGAGCACAGAGCGTTTGCCAACAAGTCGCGTTGAGCTAGGAAACGTTGAGACTGGCGCGAATCCCAAGGTTTCGCCAAAGGGAACCTAGGAAAGGATTCACCCTACTGTAGATGAGAGTTAGCTCGAACGGCCCGCGGACGACAGCCGGCTACGTGACCCTGCTTGGCTCGCGGGAGGCGGGACAGAAGATCAGACGGCCGACGGCCCGCTATCAGTTTCGCGATGCTGGCCGCGCCAGAATATTGTCTGTTGACTTGCAAACGATATCCAAAGACTGTCGAACCGCCTAGACCACCACTCAGCTGATAAGACAGGCTGAGGCAGGACGTGCTATCTGATGCAGTTGTCGCCAATGTAACGCCCCTTCTCCGTTGTCAATGCGCTGCCTTGAAGCGAAGCTTTTCCAAGACCATGCCAAAAGCTTGGCCTGGGAAATCGATCGTGACGAGCGCCTGGGTCTGAGTGTTATCAGACTGACAGACCAACGGAGATCGCTGGTGACTGTTTGAGACAAGTGGGGACTCGAAGGGGGACTACCCGCTGCGCACATCAGACGCAGGTGAATCGTGATAAGAGTGCTGGTTTCACGGCCTTCATGCTCCGGAATTGCCATTGCTCCTGATGCTGATGCTTCTGCGGCTGCTGACGCTGATATGGACCGAAAACTGCGGCAAGGAGGTGGTGGTACAAGAATGCAAGTGTCGTATGCTCCTGCACCATCACCCCTTCAATCAATCACCCCTCCATCAGCACTCACCGTGTTCGGCGGCCGCGTTCGGTGAGCAAAGAGGACACCAAGATTGCCGGTGATGAAAAAGTGAGGACCCTGAAACCGACCAGGCTGGACTTGGGCTGGCTAGGCGGCACTGCGTCTCCACGCTCGGGCGCCCAATTTGATGGGGATGAAGGAAAGGCAGGGTGAGCATTCCCGATGCAGAGCTAGACTCGGGAAGGCCTGGCGAGGGCTGGAGCATAAGGAGCCTGTCCATGTCGCAGTCGGGAAGACTCGGAAGGCTCGTGTGCGGGACCCCCCTGCAAGTACCCTGGTACCCCGGCCACCGCGTGCTTGCCAAGGCGATCAAGAAAAAAAAAAAGTTCTGGAAGGCAGGCAGGGAGCTCGGACGGACACTTGGGAGGGAAGGAGGAGGTGTGACGGCAGAAACAGCAGACCAGAAGGTGATGTGTCGTGGCTGATGGGTGATGAGGCTCAGAAAAAGGGGAGACCAAAGCTTATGGACTCATGCGGTTATTTGGTCGCTGAATATCCTGGTGCAGCATGATATTGTGCATTACACAGCGAGGCTGGCTACATATGGGAAATCTTCCCACCGCGCGAGGAAATCATCAGGTTGTGCACAAATCTGATGTTGTCTGATATTGTAAGGCTCCCCGAGCACCCATATCTTTTTCGTATAGTGGGCCCTTTTCACGGACTGGGACCGACCGCCGGCGAGGAGGGTCCCCTTGCTGTTGATGTCGAGCACGTCAATTGATTTGATTGATTCAATGTGGGGGATCGAATACGCCACGAGCCCTGGAGCCCAGCTAGTCCAGGAGCCGCGTCAAAGGTCAAGGTCACAGTGACCCCGAAACGATGTTTCCAATTTTTCTCCTCTCGACACGGGAAAGTATGATTAGTGATGGGTCATTAACCTACAAGGTCATTACACGAGCTGCAATTGGCGGCGCTCTTCCTGCCACTTGGGGCAGACTGTCCCGACTGCCTGACTATCACCAAGAGGCAAATCCCCCTTCCCAAGCTCCTGCTTCCTTGGCCTTCCCCAATGGTGTGGGCTGCCTCTCGAGGATATCTTACGGTCGGGGAATCAGCATAGAACGGGGTTCACCAGCAAATCAGCCCAAATCGGAGCTTTGAATTGCACCATTCGCAGGAGACAAACATGGCCGTCAGCACCAAAAGAAGGCATGCAGTCAAGAGTGGAGGAGTCCGGCCTGCGGGAAAGGGAAGGACTGGACAGCCCAGACAGTCCCCCCTGGGCCCTGGCACCTGGGCCAGACTAGCTGGACCTGCTGGACTAGAAGGAGGAGGAGCGGCTCCCCGACATTGGCAAACCCTCTGACAGGGAAGGAGCATCTCCAGTCCCGCAGTTCCCAAGTAAGTTCCCACCAGCAGCACACCCCTGCCCCCCTGTAGCCCCCTGGTCCCGACCCCTGCCCATGTCCCCCAGCCCCGAACCCAGACCCAGGCCCCCACCCGTTTTCGTGCAGAACCGGGGAGACGAGGATTGGATCGACAATGCTGAGGTTCACTTCAGTTGAGTTTTGTCGGCGAGCGAAGAGGCAAACGTCCCAACGATTTGGCTCGACAGCTCTGGGCGCAGAGGGCCAAGCCGCCCCGAAGACCCCCTACCGTGTCACTGTATCACTGTATCAGATAGGGCCACTTCCATGCAGTGCATGCTTCTTCGATGACCATGTTGACTCACTGTACACGAATATTCGTGCCGACCATCGGCCCACGACGACTCATCAGCTTCCCATAAGAATTAAGTTTGACCGGTAGGATGAGAAAAGTATATGAAAATAAACCAAAACATAAACACAAAAGCCGAAGGGAAGAAGGGCAGGGCACGACACATGCTGGCTGGCACTCTTTAGTGATGAGAATTATTATTGACAGACCTTGCCCAAAAATACCCGACTGTGTGCCACTCGAATCCCCCAGACCAGAACCAGACCAGACCAGACCAAGATCAGAGCTGATCCGCCCTCGCACCCCGACGCCCACCGAATCCTGTCCCGTCCGGCCCCATCCCCATCCCCCTGATCGAGACTGAGATATTCTTCCTGCGCCAACTCTTGGGCACCAAGTTAAACCTGGCTCCAAGGTAACGCACACGACTCGGCCGGGCTTGTCACCCCGCCAGGTCTTACGTACTGGACCGCCGACCGGTGGACTTCCACGCGGGGAAAAGAAAAAAATCGTGAGTAATTGCGGAGGTTGTCACCTTGGTCCAGTTCCAGAGGCAGGCGTGGAGAAATTGCTGACTCTTTGCATTCATGCCAAAGCGTGCCCAAAAGGGAATAAGAGCGTGTGTGTGCGTGTGCTGTCTCGGGCGAGAGAGCCTGGACCATCCACCATCTGCCTCTGGGGTCTGTCCTGCTGGAACGCACGGCACAAGTTGAAACCGCCTGACACCAGGGCTGCACAGCTTGTTACAGACCCTGCTTGGACGTTTCCTCAATCTTCCGAACCTACAAGGTCTAATCCTCCATATCTCCTGGCTTGCAAAAGTCACTCTACATTCATGGCGTTGTCGACGGCCTTAAAAGGAGTATTTGTCTCCGCCGGAAGACGAACGCTGTCTCCAGCAGCCCGTCGTCGTGTGGTCCCATTCTCAGCTAATCCAGCCCCATCCTGCTCGCGTGCTGCGTCTGCATCTGCATCTGCCTCTGCTTCTGCTGCATCCAGTTGCCGCCTACGTCGTATCCAGGCCCGATCTCCTAATACTACTAATAACGACAACCTTGCCAACCCTGTTCGTCCAGACCCGTCGCCGCCGTTGGTCATATCATCGTACCCGCTCTGTACCCGGCAGCAGCTCCATCAGCCCTCTTCGGAATCCTCGACCCCCAATTCGGCCACACCCTCTTTCCCGCTTACAAAAGTTGCTGTCAACTTCGCCTTTTCTACCTTCTTTCTCCTCTCTTCGCTCACTCAAACCCTCCTCCGAGCGCTTCCTATGCCAATGGCGTCTGTTCCCTATCCTTACTCCTCCTCCAGTTCAGATATATCAACACCTCGGTCCGCCTCCCCGTCGTCCTCTACTGGTCGCACCTCCCTCACTTCCATTTCCAAGCGCATGTCAGCATCCTCAAGAAGGATATCAATCTTTAACCCAATGTCTTCCGTCGATATTCAAGGCATCGAAGAGGCCATGAAGGCCCAGCAGCTCGACCAGCTGCGTGGCTACAGGCAGGACACATACGGAGAGGTTCAACAGACCCGTCAGACTGAGTACATCTCAGAGTACCAGGCCACTGGCTACCAAGTCCTCCGAGAGCCACTTTGGAACAAGGGTGAGCAGTTCTCCCACACCCTAGAAAGATCCCCACACTAATCCATCTATAGGTCTTTCCTTCCAGCCTGAAGACCGTGTGAGAAAGAACCTCACTGGCCTGATTCCCCACCAGATCGAGGACCTCCAGAAGGGTTGCCAACGTGCGCTTCGCATGATCCGCTCCCGCCAGACCAATGTTGACAAGTACCTTTACCTGTCATCGGTCAAGGACCAAAATGCCGATCTCTTCTACCGCCTGCTTATGGACCACGGCAAGGAGATGATGCCGCTCGTTTACACCCCCACCATTGGTGACGTTTGCCTGCAGTACTCCACCCTCTACACCCGCCCAGAGGCCTTGTACATTTCGATTAAGCAGCGAAAGTCCATCAAGACCATCCTGAAGAACTGGCCCTACCCCAACCCCGAGATCTGCGTCGTCACTGATGGTTCCCGTATCCTTGGTCTTGGTGATCTTGGCTTCAACGGTATCGGAATCCCCATTGGCAAGCTGGCTCTTTACACTGCTGCCGCCGGTATCCACCCCAGCAAGACCTTGCCTATCGTCCTGGACTGTGGTACCAACAACGAGACCAACCTGAAGGATGAGCTGTACCTTGGTATTCGCCAGAAGCGTCCCTCCGTTGCTGAGCAGCAGGCTTTCGCTGATGAGTTCATGGCCGCTGCGAAGGAGGTCTACCCAGACATGGTTGTGCAATTCGAGGACTTTGAGTCTGAGAAGGCTTTCAACTACCTCGACCGTTACCGCAACCAGTACAAGTGCTTCAACGATGACATCCAGGGAACTGGTGCTGTCGTCTTGGCTGGGTAAGTCGTTCCTTCGAATTCCACTTACTGCAAATTTACTGACATGGGCTCTTTTTTAGATACATCGGTGCTGCCAGTCTCTCTGGAGTCCCATTAGAAGAGCAACGACTCGTCTTCATGGGTGCTGGATCTGCAGGTGTTGGTGTCGCCAAGCAGCTCGTTGAGTATTACACTCGTCGCGGACTGTCAGAACAAGCCGCCAAGGACAAGTTCTGGCTTGTTGACACCAAGGGTCTTGTCACCAAGGACCGTGGTGACAAGCTGGCTGATCACAAGAAGTACTTCGCTCGTACAGATAACAACGGCCACCAGTTCCGCACACTCGAGGAGGTTATCGAATACGTCAAACCATCTGCACTTGTTGGTCTGACAGCTACCTTCGGCGTCTTCACAGAGAGTGTGGTGCGTGCGCTCAAGGCATCCGTCGACTCTGGCGGCCTGGGACGCAGGCCCATCCTGTTCCCTCTCTCCAACCCCCTCACCAAGGCTGAGTGCACCTTCGAGCAAGCCATCAACTGGACTGAGGGCAGTGTCATCTTCGCCTCCGGCTCGCCTTTCGCTTCCTACACTGTGAAGACTGCAGACCACGCCATCACATACCACCCCAACCAGGGAAACAACGTCTACGTCTTCCCGGGTATCGGTCTGGGTGCCATCCTCGCTAAGGCAACAAGGGTCACTGACACGATGATTTACGAGTCTGCCGCCGCCCTGGCCGGCTCTCTCAACGCGGAGGAGATCCAGAAGGGTCTCATCTACCCACGCATTGAGCGCGTCCGCGACGCAAGCATCATCGTGGCTCGCGAGGTGATGAAGGCCGCCAGGCGGGAGGGTGTCAGCGCCCTGCCCGAGGCGCAGTGGAACGAGTGGGAGGAGTGGGGCGACGTCGCCCTGACCAAGTACATCAAGAGCAGGATCTACGATCCGAGGGACTGAAGGCGGCCGACCCTTAGGAGGCACACCATTCATTCCTGCTCTTGGTGGGAAGTGAAGCGCGAGGATCTGTCGGCTACGACACCAGCAACACCACAACAAAAACAACGTCGGCGTTTCAGCTTCTAAATGCCTTTGAACTCTCTCCCTCGCTCATCTTGAGGTTCAAGGGCCCCTTTTTCTCTGGTTTCCTGTTCTGTTGCGTTGTTTTCCATAACGACCCGTCAGACAATAAAGATGATTCCCCCTTGGAAGACGCCAGGTCGTCTTCCGCGTTTTCTGCATTTCTTTTACTATTTTAAAACAATATTCCGTGTTGGGTATGGATAGAATTGGATGGGAAGGAATGAAGGAGCCTCTCCTGCTTTCTTGAATTTTTCTTCCTTCCGCCGACGGAAGATCAATAGACTAAAAAATCTGGTGTGGTACAGCGGACGGGTTTGGGGTTCCCTCTTTTTTTCTCCATCGGTTTGATGGATGATGAGTGGCGCTTCACACACACCTAGGAGTAAAATGGATTTTGGTTTTCTCGGGGTCACTCACAACACTACTGGAGGTACTTGACTACCTCGCTTGCTTTCCTTCCCTTGTGATGCTGCTGGTTGATGTGATTTGGATCATGCGTTTGATTTGGACGTTGGCGCACCTTTGATTGATGTCTTCTGTGCTTCGACATCATGCCTGCATTACACTTGGGATACATCACCAGATTGATACTAGATTGGAAAGACCTGCTTCACGTGGAAATTTGTGGGGTTGATTACTATCCAGGTACCGCTGAATAGAAGAGTTAGACAACGCTGTCGTCGTTATGTCCCTGTGCTTGGCTGAGGTTGTTCTGTCACCAACACATTGTATGCCTAGGGTTTAACCCTTGCCACGAAGGAATGCCGTTACTGTGTGTACGTGCGTAATACGAGCCCCGCCCATCAAACAGACCCACTCCCGACTTCATCTCCAGCCTCTCTATGATTCTGACCATCTCTAAGTCACCGAATTAATCACATGACTACTCCGACGTTCTTACGAAATCCGAGATATCTTGGTCCCATCTAAGGATACTGACAATGGGTGTTTCGATTGAAACAGCCCAGCGATGGGAACAAAATCATAAATACCAGATCCCAGTGGTGTTCGCTTTCCCACTGGCATCCCGCAAAGTTGTTGACCACTACTTCGCCACGGCCCGCACCAAGGACTGGGACACGAGGCTGAAGGAATATTGGGCTCTGCAGGATTATAAGCTCCGAGATACAGAATATCACGGGAATGACCAGCGGACAGAATTCAGCGACAGCAATCCCAATATCGATCTTGCTGCTGACCTCGATACTTTGTCTCAAGTGCCTGAACAAGCCGAGGAAGAGAACCTGAGATCACATCAGCTTCGCAGCACGGTCGAGATATGCAGGCGGACGCGGCGTGATGAGTTCCATGGTTTCATGGACCTCCCTTCCGAGATCCGCGACATGATCTACAGCTACGCCCTTCACAAAGGCAGAGTCATCATACCGAACAGCGGGCCCTTCACGAGAGATCTAGAGCCCGTGAAGTACTACAAAAACGACGATGGGTTCTATTATATGCGCTACCGCGGTCTCGAGCACGAACTCGCCGCAATGGAGAACGGCCGCCGCGCGCCAAGGCCACTCGGGCTGGTGCAAGGGGTGAGCCGCGCAGTCCAGGACGAGGCCGCGCGGATCTACTTCGACAGGAACCACTTCATCTTCCCAGCGGGCAGCTTCCTGCGGCCCATATGGTGCAACCTGCGCGACGGCTTCGAGAGGTCGACCGAGGACGACTTCTGGCGCGACGCGAGGAACCACACCAACATCGCGCCGCTGCTCCGCGACGTGAGCTACGCGTTCGACATGCGCGACTACCCGACCGACGACTTCGCGAACCTGTACCGGAACTTTCGCATCCGGGATTCCATCAGGTCGCGTGCGGTCTCGCCCGGGGAGGCGCTGCGGGCGCTCCATGACCAGAAGACCCTCAGCCTGGAGATCGAGTGGACGGAGCGCATCGACAGCATCAAGCGCATGACTCTGGACCGCCTGCTGCTGGCTTTTGATGAGTGTTACTGCGCCGTCGGGTGCTGCCGCAAGGTCGAATGGGTGTTGGATCGTTTTTTACATGAGGGTCCGCCACCTGGGACGGGTGACACTGCGGATAATGCCTACTCTTCGATCGACTGGAGAGAGCGCCCGCCCTTGGTTGTTGAAGTCATTGGTCTTGTGAACGATTGGGAGAAGCAGATGGCACAGGAAAAGCTGACTGTGTTCCAAGGCTCAGAGGTCTGCTTCAACACGACTGTCGCCCCCGAGTTTGAGTTTATGTCCGGGGCGGGCCTTGTTGACTACATTAACTTTTTGCAAGGGGATTTCTCGCCTGCGATATATGACTGAATTGATCTCACCGTTGAGGAGCACAAAGAGCAACTTCACATAGGCACATATCCAATCATATACCACCTCAGACCATAGTTTCAGTAGTCTTTTAGGCCACGGAAAAGTGTCGACGTTACCACAGAGACTTACTCAGTCTCTTCTCTGTAGCACCGTCATTTGTGGGTCAAACTCTAGTCATAGTATGTTTGAGCGACCCCAGCAATGATCTCCTTTTCCCTTTGATCGACAACGCCCGTACGGAAGCGATGGTCTTTGGCGATTCGAGCACGCGCCCATTCTGCATCAAACCAAATCAGCGAAACAACCAAGAAATTCGTTGGTGGATTGTGTCGTCGTCACGTACCTTCAGCAGTCACCTTGTGCGCGAACCTCTCCTTCTCACTCCGCTCCCCAAGCCCGATGCGCTTCAGCAGCGGGCTGTCCACCGGCTCGAGGATAATATTGGCTTCCGGCCTCGCGAAGTAGATCAGACTCAGCCGCGACCGGTCCGCCTGGTCCTCGGGCGGGCGCACGACGCGGTGCACGGTGCTCTTGAGGTACCCGCCGCTAAGGAATTCGAGTGCATCGGCGATGTTGACGATAACCGCGTCCCGCGGCGACTTGACGTACTTCCACTGGCCCTCGGGCGTCTGCACCTGCAGGCCCGCGACGGGCTGGTGAAAAAGGAACGTGAGCGTGTTGTAGTCGGTGTGGCCTTTCGCCCAGATGTTGCCCGCCGCGGCGTCGTCCTCCCTCGCCCGCGGGAAATACTGCATGTAACGCAGGTACTCGAGCCCCTCGGCGTCGTAGCGGTGGCGCCGCACGAAGAAGTCCTCGTCTTCGAGCTCTAGCACCGCTGCGAACAGCCTCAGCAGCGGGAGCAGTAGCCCGTTGTGCACTTTGAGTGAGAAGGCCTTGATCTCGTCCCAGTGGTCGCGGATCAGCTGCGGGTGGGGCCGCTCGTGCTCCGGCGTGAACTTGGGGATGTTGTACCGTTCATCATTATCCCTCGCCGCCAGCTTGCCTGTGGACTGTGGCTTATAGCCCCTGAAGTCGCCTGCCGCTGTGTCGCATTGGTATTTGAGCTTCTCCTCAAGGGGCAGGTCTAGCACTGCTTTGCAGAGCGCGTATTGCCGCCGTACTTCGGCATCTGTGAAGCCGTGGCCGACTACGTAGAAGAATCCTGGTGGTACGTTCCGTTAGTGTGTGTCCTCATCGGGTTATAGAATCGCACTGTGGCAAACCATTCTTGTTGATGAAGCTGAGGACCTGTTCGGCCAGGGCCTGCTTCCCGCCTGGCTGGTTCAGCTTTGAGATGTCCAGAGCTTCTAGTTCCGCATACTCCACTATGAAACAACGAATTGGTTAGTGATCTATGTATTACTACTAAGCTTTGAAAGAATCATCACAGGTACATACGTTTCTCTCCAGTCTCCTGCGGGTATTCATAAGGAGGGAGATCCTCTGCTGTCCGGGCAGGTGACATTATGAAACGCCAACAATGATTTATCTTTCTTTTGAAGTAAATTATTGAGTTGCACCCAGGTCAACTCCAATCTCATCAATTTCTCACATTCGAAAGCCAAGATGTGCAGTTGGTCAACGGCGCTCAATGCTCCAATGCAACCCCTCAAATGGTGTCATGGCCTCCACATAAGACGAACCAAGCTTGATGGCACAATGCACCAATCAACGGCAACGAGCTGCCGTGTGAGCTGCGAACTACGGACTTCGACTTTTGAAGCAAAACACTCTTATCAATGGTATCATGAAGATGCCCGTGGCAGGACCTACATGTTTGTCATCTTCTCCTGCAGCTCGGCGGGTCTTGTGCCATTCAAATACCCGCCTCTGCTCTGTGTTATTTGAAGTGCGACTATAGAAAACTCTTGACACGTCTCCTTTGCTTTGATTGTAGAGTTTGGACCGCTGCCTGCAAGTCACCATGAAAGGCTCGAATGACCGACTTCCCGATATTTCGGCCTCGGATTCGCCAGTACCGTCCTCTTCTTCGAGTGATGGAGAATCCCCAGTGGAGAAGAAGTCCCTGCGCAAGAAGATACGCGCCATTGTCTGGGACACCCTCGATAGAAGCCCTGAGGAGCGCCGATTCATTGCAAAAATTGACTTTTTCATTCTCACTTGGGCGGGTTTTACTTATTTCAGCAAGAATCTCAACACCAACAATATTTGTAAGAATAGCTCAAACCATAGTTTCGTACCATTTAGGGGTGTCGGACCGATTTGATACTAAACGCTTTGCAGCAAACGCATATGTCTCTGGAATGAAAGAGGAGCTCAACGTCGTTGGAAATGAGTATCAAACGTAAGAGAAACCTCAGCGGCACCCGTTAGATACGATGATGTACGATGTGCTAAATCATTTCCTCAAGGTTTACCACGATGTGGACAATGTGAGCTTTTGACTGTGGACGATTCCAAGAGTTGGATGGCTGACTGGCGCCACCAGAGGCTATGTTGTATCGCAAATACCGTCGCAGATAATATGCACTAGAGGTTAGCACCGCCTGCGCCTGCTCACCAACGACCACTGATGATGTGAACAGTTCGGCTTTCGCTGTGGTGTCCTAGCTGGGAATGTACGTTTTCCACATTGTCCCGGCCTCAAGCCCTATAACCAACTGTCCCGAGTACTAGCTCATTCGAACTTTCGCAGTGTTCTGGGTCATAGTCACTTTTGCTACCTCTGCCGTTAGGAATACTCATCAGCTATACGCCTGTCGATTCTTAGTCAGTCTTTCTTATCTGATCGCTGAGGAGAACATCATACTTACTGAACGCGCAATAGGTCGGGCTAGCGGAGGGCACTTTTTACCCAGCAGTTCATACAGTACTTGGAGGCTGGTACACAAAAGAGGGTATGCAAGCAGGTTTCATCGTTTTTGGGAAAGGCACATCTCTGATCAGTCCGAGTAGAACTCGCAAAGCGAGCTTGTATTTTTTTCGCCAGCGCATTCGTGGGCTCGATGTTTAGTGGCTATCTGGTTCGTGATTGACACACCCTAGTCTTACGAATATCCTCTCTGACATTGTTTGACAGCAAGCTGCTCTATACACCGGCATGGACGGTGTGCATGGTCTATCGGGCTGTAAGTACAAATCTTCTCCTTCCACGGTTCTCCGTCTATTATATTCTGAAATGTTCCAGAATGCACCACTTTGGGCTCCGTAGCAGGTGATTAACACATATTAGGGCGTTGGTTATTTATATTCGATGGCGTAATTACGCTACCAATGGCACTATGGGGCAAGTCTGCTCCTCGATTACTTGAGCATTTCCCTTGTGACTGATACCTATGTAGCTTTCTACGCGCTACCTGACCTACCGAGCAACACTCGTGTCCACTGGCTATCCGCCAAGGAGAAGCTTCTAGCTCTCGATCGGATGAAGCGTGCGGGCAAGCAGCTCGAGGAGCCGTTCACATTGCAAGGCGCGAAGCGCATTCTCAAGAAATGGCACTTTTGGGTCTACACGACTTATTACACGTGAGAACAGTCACCGAAGTTATTCAACGGATATCTGACCAGTGTACTAGATTCTTCATCTGTAGCGAGAACATTGGAAGCTACATGAATCTGTGGTTGAAGAGCCTTGATCTGTAAGATCCGCTCCAAAGGCCAAAAAGCTTTCCCGTCCAGATGTCCTCTCTTACACAGCTGCAGATACACTGTTCCGGAGATAAACACATATCCTACTGTCATCAACGCGATCACCATTGTGACCACGCTATGCTATGGCTGGACCAGTGACTCATTACAAGTTCGCGCACCAATTGTCTACTTCTCGCTCGCTGTTTGTTTCTTTGCGGCAATGAATTGTAAGCAGCTTCCGGATACAATTTCCACCCTTTCCAAAGCAAACATCTGGCCATCCGTGGTCTATTTGATTACTTGCGCCGAGGCCTTTTGTCAGGCTGCAGATTCTGAGATAGGCCATGGGAACATGGTGGCTTAATTACTCCTCCATGTTTCGATAATAGCTTCTGCTTTGGCTATTTGATAGCTGACTGCAGATGCTGCAGTGGCCATTTGGGATGGCGTGCCTTTTGGTCTGAAATGGGCATCCTTCTACCTCACTGGGTCAGTATCTGGTTATGCTTGTTCTGTACATTCTGAAATGCCGGCTAATTAGTGCTTCAGCTTCGCGCAAGGCTCCGGCCCCGTATTCCTTGTATGTTAATCAATATCGTAAAAAGTATCATGACACAAGCTAACCATCCAAAAGACTATGGTTAACGAGCACTGTGCTGGGGATAGTCTGGAGAGGAAAATCATCCTTGGATCGACCAACTCGGTAGCGTGAGTGATTTTCCTGTGACCCGGTCTTGTCTTGTCTCTGAGGGCACTTTTGGCCCAACATTAACATTTCACACAGATATGCCTTCAATGCTTGGATCCCATTGTTGACATATAACACAACGTATGCACCGCGTTTTCTGGTGGGAAATTCCACGACCGTGGCCTTCATTGTGTGTGCGGCATTGACGCTTTCCCTCGCTATCTATCTACAGAAAAGAGATGCTGCGGCTGGACCTCCTCATCGCAGAAGTGAGCCAAATGAAGAGGTTTCAAGCAGCCAGGATACCGACTAGACGATTGCAAGGGTCACCACGAAGTTACAGGGTTCTTGAGACCAGAAGAGGCTTCTGCATCACCAAGGACTATCTTCTCTTCCAATTGTGGTGGGCTTCAAAAAGCTCGGGCCGGATACTCAATTTCAAGCAGTACTCAAGTTACGACACTTGAGCACTCCTGGGCAAACGTTCGCCAGTTGAAGCACCACATACCTGAACCAATTACTTGTTTCAAATTTGTTGGCATACATATACTGGGCGCTGGATGAGGATTCACGTAGCAGTACCATCATATCTCGTGTTGAATCTCCAGTCCATTGTCGTACATTTCAGGAGCTTACTTAAATACATGCGCAATCATGTGAAACAATCATGTTTGCTTGTTGACACCTTATTCCAACCTTTCATCTCCTAGTCAGCAATTTAAGACAGCTTGAGTCTGAGTTTATGTGAGCCTCGATGCTGCATGCGGAATTCTGTCCCGTTTTTCGCTACATGTCAGAGCCTACGGCCTGTTGGTGACTAATATGACTGTCAGACATTGCACCGACAAGCCTGAACATTGTACACTACTGAGTGCTTACCTGGGTTGAAGATAGAGCAGTTGTCCCAGATCCGCCACCATTCACGGGAAAAGACCTCGGGGAGATAGATTTAGGACCGAAAAGGCCCCCTTTGACTGAATGACTGTCTCCTGCGCCATTGGTGATTGAACTCGAAGTTGATGGGTCATTATTTGCCCAAAAGTCTGGTGTGGTCAATGATGTCGAAGCCGTGGAATTATTTGAAAACGGGCTTGGAGTTGCCAAGACGCCCCCGAAGGAGGATGATGCATGCGTGTTGGGCGTGGACAGTCGGAACTGCGGTGCGGCTTGACCACTAATATTCAATTGCTGTGAGTATGTAGCTGGTTTCGTCAATTGTGGGTTAGTTGCTAATTCTGAACAGGCATCGGCAGATTCAAACTGACCTCGAGTAGGCTGCCCTTGTCGCTCCGGTGTGGCTATTCTGGTGAATGTTGAGGACACTACTGGGGTCAGACGTTGCCAAGGACACGATGGGAAAGAGGACGACTGTATATACCTGTCATCTCTCTGTGTCTATGCTGTTGAAATATTCGAAGTCCCTCTCGAAGTGTTCTGGCTTGTTCTTGAAGGATTGCTCTCTTTGACAAGATTTCATCCGATTCCGAGGCCAAGTCCCTTAGTGTCTCCTCACTCATTTGACTGACTTGAATCGGTGTCAGAATGCTTGGGATGTGGTCTATGAGGCAGTTCTCCACCGCAAGGTTGAGTACATTCTCGATGAAAGTGCGACGCGACATCTGGGAAGCGATCATTAGTACAAAACGAGAGAAAACATACATGCCGCATCTTCGTTTTGACAGTGAAACATCTCAGGCGCTTGTGACTTACTTCATAATGAACCACTATCATATGAATGATCTGCTCTGTACCGTAATCACCTTTAGTCAATTTCTCTGCGTTGATCACACTCTGCAAGATCGTTTTAGGATCAAATCCGCTCTCTTGATGGAAGAGATCGGGGCGCTCCCTCTGCAAAGTTTCGACGAATCGATGAGAGTTGCGCAGCAAGGTTCTCTTCGAAGTTTCAGTTCGGAACTCCCTCTCAAGTGGAAGGCCATAAGTGGTCGTGTATGGTCGAAGGATCTCTTGCAGCTTGTCCTCGAGAAGAGTTCCCTTCTCTTCAAAGAAGGGATCCGCGCATCCTTTCAGAATGGCTTCGATGGCGTCATGGTCTGCTCCTATAACATATCCAAAGAGTTGGTCCACGAACGCTTTGCTGGCGTCTTGGATTTGAAACAAATGGTGTTTAGCAATTTCCAACCAGGGACCCGCTTGTTCCTTGAAAAATTCGAAAGAGAGTCCCGGATTAGGCATTCCAGGAAGCTCCTTTCCTTGGTTCAAAGACGCCAAATTTTCGAGCTTACGGGTGAGGGCCAACTTTGTGATTGAGAGAGGGTCAGAGAAATGCTTCCTGTAGTCCTCAATCAGGAGCTGTAGATGAGCGGGAGCTCCGTCTTCGTCGTTATCGGATGAGTCGCTTCCAGTCTCCCAGTCGAAACTGTAAGTAGCTCCCTTGCTCAACATGGTGGCATCAAAGGCGTGATTCATCTGTCGAAGGCGAGCTCGCAACTTCCGATCACATGAGGACAGATCGCCGAAGAACGGGTCACCGTACCTTCCATCAACCGCATCCCTAGATAGACGCCGGAAGTCTTCAGCAATTCCCAGCAAAAATGATCGCATCTCTTGCGGAGTGGACCTAGACTTCCCAAGCTGCTTCAGCTCCTCCTCACGCGCTCTGAGACTATTCTCAATCTCTCGGATGAGGCCTGGCAGGCTTTCCCTGATGTGCTCTAAGAGTACTTTGCTGAGCTTATTTCGCAGACTCTCAACCCCCCTGCTCGCAGAAGGGACAGAAGCCCAACCAGTCGTCTGGAAGAAGCGCTGCTCTTCGAGATCTCTGTTGTGCTTGGCATCGTTCCTTTGCTTCTCGGAGCTGTTGCGCAAGACATGCCACCCGAGTGGCAGTTTATGGGTCGACTCAAGTCCTTTACATAGGTCCAGATATTTTTTCTCGTTAGCGGAATCATCCACCAAATCCGGTTTTGTGATCACGCCGACGATGCGACTGCTTTGCGGGTCATGTTGCTTGGCTAGGCTCAACACTGACTGGTTCGCCAGTTGATTATTCGCTGCAACAACCACTAGTATGATGCTTTTCCTCTCTTGCATGTACTTATTAACAAGCTCATCGACGACCACCTTGCCTTGTAGGCTTTGCTCGGCGGTCTCAGAGTGAAAAATGCCGGGAAGATCGACAAGGGTAAGCTGAGGTGCATCAGGTCCAGCAATTACCACGCGGAGGGTGTCCTTGGAAAACTCGTTGGATCCAGTTCGAATTCCCATGCGTTCTTGAGCTTCCTCAATAATATCCGGCAGGGCATCTCTGTTGAAGCTGGTTCTGTGAAAAGGAGTAGACTCTGCCTGCGTGGCTTTTTGGATGCTGACAGTGACTTTGATGTCTCGATCTCTTCGCAGAATGAGTTCTGTGGCAAACCGCGTACACAAATTTCCATGGACTGGGAACTTCATTCCAGAAACAGCCTCAAGTACGGAACTTTTACCGGAAGACTGATCGCCAACCACAATTATTTGAGGCAACTGGACGATTTCGCCCACTCGCAGTTCGCGCAAGCTGTCGATAGTGTCTAACAAGACTTTGGCGTGTGGACTGTTGAGTTGTCCAATCGCATCGTCAAGGGTGACGTCTGGTATGAAAGACGAGTCTTTAATTGACACAGAGGGCGAAGGCTCTGTAGGGAGACCCATGATGACAGAGTAGATTTTCTCCATCGATGTGAAAGATGGCTGATTGTTGACAGGCAAAAATGGGAGTAAGGAGTAGCGACTATGAATTTCAAGCCCTGAAAGCGCGGGCAATGAGAAATGTTGGACTTGTAATACACGTGAGGCTTCTATGGGTGCTTGCAAAAGGGATGAATCAGTTTAATTGTTTTATCAAGGCCCTCATCTCTGTGTACGCCTGCAGCTTCATGTGTGGAGCATCTACGACCTTTTATGCAATATATGAGCACAGTCCAGTACAACCGGAAGTAGGTCAGGCGGCAACAACCAACAACCACGGGGTACAGCGATGCTCATAATTTTGCCTGGTCATGCATATGTACTGGCACAGACTTGCTGCGAGTGATACTCAGCCACGATGGTCGTTCCAAGGCGGCCCGCAGTAATGCCATCCCAACGCTCAGCATTTTGAAAAATTTCTATCTACAGACGGCGTGCGCAGCCTCCTTCTCATGCAGAAAGCTGGCAACATAAAACAATGCCAACAGCATGAAACCGAGCAATGCATGGTGAGTCACCGTGACTTTGGCGCTTAAAATGTCAAAGGGTTCTCCCCTTACACCCTTCGCAGGAGACGGAATAAGTCAAGACTCTCAACCAACGTCTTTCTTTGATTTTGAAAAATATGCAAGAATCTTTTAACATAGCCCATTCTCACTAACACTGCACTCGCGCTTCGAGACGCTGGATCGATCTCATTGTTCTCCAGAGAAAACACCAGAGTTCTAGTATTTAATGATCATCTCAAAGCGGCTGAATAGCATCACAGCTTTTGCCGCTTCTTTGAAAGCAGCTGAGATGACTGAGCGACTTCTTCCCACACCTCAGTCTCGCGGGGAGCCTATTAGCAGCAACAGCGCCGTCGTAAATGCAGCGACGCGGCACAGCACGCGTTGTCACATCATGAGCCACCCGATTTACGCGCGGAACATCCAGCATTTTGGCACTCTTGTACATGAAACTCTGGCCATAAATTCCGACCTCGAGAAACCCCCGGAAGACCTAGCATGCGTACCCGTTGGGCAGGCCACGCTCTAGGTTCAGGCACAATCAGCCCTGGGCTTGTCGCCCAGCGCATCAAACATTGCCTGCTAACAAGGTCGCAAACGAGGAGGCGGCGCAACGCCTGATATGTCTCAAATTATACGGTCTCATGTTACCTTGCCGGGCTATGTGGCTTGTTCTGTCCAGTCTCAAGCCACTTCGGGTTGAACGCAAGACTTGTTGGCTGCAACTTCCAGGATCTTCAAACCGGAGTAGCCAGCTTGGCCCAATGCTGCATCTTTGATATTGGAAGAAGCAACAGAAATGAAAAGAAAAACAAAGATGGTGGTAAGCATAGAGGGCAATTGAGAGAGGCTGGAGTCTAAGCCGCAAGTTCACGACAACCCAAAGCTGTAATATCTGTGATGCGGTTCACGCTGCTGCTTTGATGATTGGCTATGTCTGCCGTGCCGCGCTGGCAGCCTTGTAGGTCCAAAATGTCTGGCAGGGCTCGCGGTACCTCAACCAACTGCCGGGACAGTGATCAGCCAATCGTGCGTACTGTATCTCCTAGCTCAGGAGGCGGCGCAGAAACAGTGACGAGCTGGGCGCCTTGATGCGTGTGGTTTTCCGGCCAACCGCCTGAGCCCTCGTGCCCAAGTTGGTTGGCGCTGCTACACCGCGGTTGCACTCACGGCGACGCTAGCTCCTGGAAAAGACGTGATTGGTATTGTCCTTGGAAGGGGCTACTGACTGAAAAGGAGAATGAAGGTAGATGTGATTTGGTTCCTACGTAAAAGTCATGCCTGAGGCGGCTAGAACGCGATAAGCGATGATACTGGTCATACGTCGTCTGTGTGGTGGTGCTGTGCTGTGACCAGTATTAGGTAAGGGATGGGCGACTGGTCTCTTGGCTCGAAACAAAGTTGCTACTCATCACGACTCACGATACCGAGTTGTGAATGCGGAGGACCCGTTGGACACTTCTGGGGCAATCGTTTCGCTGATATCTGTTCTGACCATGAACAGGTCGTTTCGCCCATGGGTGAAACTTCTAGTCACGTAGCGAAAATACGTGGTAGAAAATCATTATGACAGTCAGGTGAGTCGGGTGAGTTGATGCTTATACTCCATTTATAGATACAACGCCTCTGTTTTCGTCAAGACAAACACGAAGTTGCCGTCTGTCTTGTATACCATGCCTGCCTGCTGGGAAAGCTTCTTGGCGCAGTCGGTCTACATAGATCTCATACGCCGGCATATACGCCTGCACGAACGCAATGATCTGCTCATCTCTCTGGCCGGTCCCCTTCACTACCCGTAAGGCCTCCTCTTGTGGTATCCTCCAGCGGTAAACATTGTGGAGATGCTTGGTGTCAAGGTGAACGAAGTAGTCAAACTCCTCCGGGCCCTTAAAAGATTCATTGTACCTCCTAAGGTTGTCATTCACGAGCTGAAGGTATTCCAAAGCGTGCGTGCGCATCAGCATGGTAGACGTGTCTTTGTCCACGATGGCGGTGTCGACTTGCTTTGAGGCGGCCCAGTGTTCCTCCAATTGATCGTCTGAAATCGCATGGAACCCTACGCACCAACCTTCAACTATTACAACGTCAATAGGTAGGCTAGGAGACACGTGTTCCCATTCGGACTGCGGGAAGCGGTCTCATTCTCCATCAAATATGCTCTTGTCGAACGAAGGCACATCGACGGCTTCGCCAGCCAGCAAGGACGAGAAGAACTGTTTGGCAAGGACCTCATCGTGTGTTCCAGGCTGACCAGGGTTGCAAATAGTTCGTTCGATGAATTTCGTTCACGGATTTTGATCAGGTTCTCGTAGGTATGGTACAAATCGTCAAGGGACAGGATTGGTGTTTTGAGTTGATAGGCAGAGCGCGACCTTCCCGCGAGGCTATTCGCCCATGTCGACTTTCCAGAGCCCTGCATCCCGAGAGACCAAGGAGAAAGGGCTTCGGTCTGCCACCATCTTTGTGGATCGCATCCTTGAATGCGCGAACTTTTGGTAAGATGAAGGAACAAGCCTCGTCAATGGCAGTGGTGAGCACCGTCATATTTTTCAGTTTGAGAGTGTGTCTGTACAGAATGGATGTCTGGACGCACGATAAGGATATCCGGCCTATATCGAGCCAAATGCACACTTTCCAACATTTACGTAACGATCCTTCCGATTTCATGACCCGGAAAATAACCATGACCGGCGTTGGTAGCGGAAGCTGCGATTGGGGCGGACAAAGTCAAGTCCGGATAGCTCCGGACGGCCCCTCCGTGGCGGTAATGGAACGACGTGCTGTTGGTGCCCCTAGTAAGACAATCCGCCTCCTAGCCTCCAGACTTTGATTGATATTGACTGCAAATCTAGATGTCCCTGATCATATTTCGTTATAGGGTTTGAGATTGGCCATCTGCCAACCCTTCCAACAATGTACCAACATTCAGCCTACGAAGGTCTTCCGCAGTACACAATCCCCACTGCGTAAATGCAAGACTGGAAATCTGGACTGAATCATTATTCGCGAAAACAGCGAGAGCGAACATGCTAGCCAAGATAGTCGCTCTCACCGCGGTTAGGCATAGGAGACGGCAACTAAGATGGCTATATTCACACGCTAGGCTGTAAAGCGTATTATACGCCTCGCATTCCAAACTGCTTAGAGTCACGTACACAAACTCTTAACTGTTGTCACCAAAAGTAATGCTCAGCGCAACGGCATGGTGTTATAGGACAAAATCGCGGTCAAGGTTATTAAAGATTTTCCAGATATTATCACTAACAAAATGCTCGTTGACGCCATGACCTGTTGCATGGTTTTGAAATCTGACGCGCTCGACACGATCGTGGCTACAAACCTTGACGCATATATCCTCAGCGACCTTGGAGCAGCACTGGCTGCTGGATATATTTGTATTGCTTTCACGTCGAACCTAGACCCGTTGCGATAAATCCTAGAATGTTTGAGCCAATTCACAGATCTACTTTCGATATTACGGGAATAGGTGTGTCGAACCCGATAGCTACTTTCTGGTTAAGTTCAGAAATGTTGGCGGGGCTTGGCAAAGAGGAGCTAGCAAGAAACGTCGAGCGAGGCTGTGAAAAGGGGGTGGTCATTGCTGACTTGGGGGAATCAGCTAAGACGGTAGATGTGACCAAGGCTGTCATTGAAGAGATTAAGACATCTTATGGCAAAGGGAGCAAGGCTTTGTAAAGGCCACGTTTTGTAAATCAATAGAAACGTATATTTCTCATTCATAAGAAGAAATGTCCAATACATTTCATCATCGCAGGCGATGTTCTAAATTAGTGGAAACTCAACCTCGAAGTGAAATTAAATTGCGCGAACTCTGAGAAGTTCAAAGCCCCTAGCGGATTGAACAATTCTTGGTTATATATATCCAATGGTAAAACACGTTTGGGCATCATCGACGCCTGGTTCTGAGCCAGTGGCCAGTAAGGGCTGGTTACCTAGAGTCCCCGAACAAACATCTCGTGTGCCTCGTTAGGAGGAAAGCGACATCAGCTGCAATACCTGGCAGCACATTCCCGGAGCGACCGCCATGAGCGACTCCACAATCCCGGGGTTGTTTGAGTGGTCCACCCACACTGGGCCCCAAGTTGGCAAAGAAAAGTGAAGATGCATGGCGGGGCCCCAGGAATTCAAAAGTCATGTTCTTTTCGGGACGGCGGCCTGTGTTGTGCAATGGAATGTGATCAGCAAAAGACTCGGATGCCACGAACCGTCAAGACTTTTCAAAACAAGGATTTTTGGTTGCATCACTACATCACAAGTCTAATGCACTGCATTTCTCGCAATGGCTACTGTACGCAGCTTCTTCGCTCCTTAGTTCTGCTCAATGCACAAGGCGATAGGTCTGCGATTTACCAGCAGATGCTAGGGCCCGCTCACCAAGTTTTGCATCACCCATGACTCTCTCCCGCAACTCAGGCTTCGTCATTCTATTCCAAAGTTCCCCAGTAATGATTCTTCAGTGCGCATACGGTAGTTATTGGGGGTGGATACGTCACCAGGTAATTTCAGATCAGAATGGTGCCGATCTCTCAGGCAAAGAAGCGTAAGCTACGAGGGCGCCGGACTTGAAAATGTCCAGCGCCGGACTTGACATTGTCCAGCGACAAGCATGATCGTAATTCAATGCAACACTCGCAGACGACAACTCATGACTTCGAACGGGTCAGCACCCTCATCATGGCATGATCAGGCCTTCCTCTTTTATGGACCCAACCCCATTTGCCCCCCGCAATCTTCAATTTCCGGGGGAACTGGGACTGTTGTGGAGTAGTGGAGGGGGTTACGATTTCTGTACTTAATGACTTTCGGCTTCTAAAGCTGAGTTTTCTGTGTTTAGGTCTGTCAGGTTTCATTCCGACGCAGGCAACTCAATCATGTCTTCAAAGTCTCCATTTCTCGGCCTCCGTGGCCATGCGCTTCGGGCAGCTCAAATCATCTTTGTAGTTGGCCCTGGCTTTACCTTGTTTGGTTACAACCAAGCCGGCGTCGGGCCTCTTGCCACGCTTCAGACTTGGGTTTCTACCTTTCCTACGATTGATACCATCAACACAGAGGGCGCCCAGGAAGCCGTCAACTCTACACGAAAGGGTGCTGTCATTGCCTCGTTCCAGATTGGGGCTCTAATTGGCGCTCTCTCCTGCCTCTTCCTAGGAGATAGGCTTGGAAGACGGAAAACCATTTTCCTGGCCGCAATTTTGACCATCATCGGAGAGGTCCTGCAGGTATCGGCATACAACGTGATCCAGTTCGTTGTTGGCCGCGTCATTCTGGGTATCGGTGTCGGAGAGATCAGTGTTGCCATTCCTGTATGGCAGGCAGAATGCTCATCGGCAGCGCACCGAGGACGCGATGTTATCACTGCGGGTATCTTCATGTGCCTTGGCTATGCCCTGTGCAACTGGATCGACTTTGGCTTCACCTTCATTCGCAACTCGACCCTCGAATGGCGCTTGCCTCTAGCTCTGTCTCTCATCCTTTCCCTCATGGTCGCCTCCGTGATCTTCTGCCTGCCGGAATCCCCGCGCTGGCTCGTTCGCGTGAACAAGGTCAAACAGGCCACTCGGAACCTAGCTGCACTAAAAGACTTGCCCGAAGATGACGAAGCTATTCGGACGGAGATTGCCCAAATTGAGTCATCGCTCGAGTTCGCCACGGCCCGCAATAACTCACTTATGGAGATGTTCTCCAAAAACGATGACGAGAGACTGTTCTATCGTTTCTGTCTTTGTTTCGCACTCCAGTTCTTCCAGCAGATGTGCGGTGGAAATCTGATATCCGTCTGTAAGCAATTCCAGAGACCAGTCATCGTTTTGCAGCGTCCTTTGGGAGAGGTCTAGCTGGGCCTGAGGTTTCTAGAAGTATTCTTAAGTGTGCTAATACGTTTCTTCTCACCAGACGCATCGACAATCTTCCAACAAAACCTAAACCTCGGCACGAACCTCTCGAAGATCCTAGCATCATGCGCGTTAACATGGAAGTTCTTATGCTGTTTCTTGGCCTTCTTTGCCATTGACCGACTCGGACGCCGCACAGTCTTCATGATTAGTGGAACGGGCATGTCGTTGTGTATGGCTTGCTTGGCAGTGACCGCAAGCTTTCCGTCGACCAATAACTCAGCTTCGATAGCCTCGGCATTTTTCATCTTCTTGTTTAACAGCTTCTACCCATTCGGCTTCCTTGGTGGCAATTTCCTCTACTGTACCGAGGTAGCCCCCGTGAGGTTGCGTGTGGCAATGAACTCCGTGTCCACGGCGAACCACTGGCTGTGGAACTTTGTCGTTACTATGGTAACCCCCGTGGCTCTCGATACGATTGGGTTCCGGTACTACATCATGTACGCCATCATTTCGGCATGCATTCCGGTCTCGGTCTTTTTCTTTTACCCGGAGACAATGAATCGCAATTTGGAGCTATTAAACAACGTCTTCAAGGATGCCTCGTCTCCGTGGGACATCGTAAAAATGGCTCGAGATTTGCCAGAGGGCGAGGTGGCAGATAGTGACAACGATCATAGTGTAGCGAAGCAGAAAGTAGAGCAGAAGGAAAATGCTTGAAGAAAGAATTGAAGCATTTTCAGCTAATTCTGTGGCTGCGATACACCTTCTTAAGCTATTATACTGAAGAATTAGGGGTATACCATGTCACTTGAGATTGCCGCACAAAAAGTTCTTAGCAATAGTGGCTTCACTCTGGATTATACAGGATAGTGTGGAATTAATGTTTCTGCTACAATATCGGAACGAATCTTTGGTCCTTCGATATCCACTACCAAATGCTCATGGACCTAGATAATCTAAACAGGAAAAGATCAAGCGCTCAGGTGAATTTTGACACCTAACTTGTCGCTAGATGCACATCAGCTCGTCCCTGTGCACAATGTACCGTTTTCTAGTCTTTGTAGAAGATCACTTCCAGACCATTGGTTGTTTTACTTGGAAACTCCAAAGCATGGTGGATATTGAACCTACCACCTTGTGGTGGACATTCACTGCTCCTGCCCGGAGTTTTGTAATCCCTGTGGATGCAATAGGGGCTACTCGCTTTCGAGCCAGCCCTCCTCATCTCCGAGGAGTACGATGCTCCTTTATTAGTAATGGTGTCTCGGGCTCGATGGCTCGTAACGCCGAGTCCACCATGTAAAATCTATCGTCATGGCACCCGAGGTTGACCGGATGGCCTTGATTCAATTCCGGACTTAGACAAGTCCGCCCTAACGAGGCTGCGAAACGACCCACCCTGATACAGCCTTTGTCTCTAGACTTGGATCAGATATGGATGGGGAAAGATTTCGATATCGCCGGAGAAATGATACAAGATGTAGTCATGTAGAAAGCCACGACTAAGCGAACAAAGAATGAGAGTTTACTCGTCTTGATTATGGTATTGAATCAATACGCAAGCCAGACATATTCCCAACATGGGTTCCCTTGTAGATAATCATCACTTTAAGGCGAAAGTCGGCATCAATGGATTTGGTCGTATAGGTACCGACTCCTATGTGACTCCAAAAGGGTTCTAGTAGCTAATCACGGAACAGGTCGCATCGCACTTCGCCAATCTCTCACGAGGGACGATCTCCAGGTCGTGGCCATCAACCATACGTGTGCAACGACAGACGACCTCATATATCTCATCAGGCACGATACGACACATGGCCTTCTGAAAGACGGAATCGACATCAAACAACTCTCTGAAGACGCTATATCACTAAACGGAAGGGTGATTGCACTCTTGTCAACGCGAGACATTGCGCAGTTGAACTGGCACAAGTTTGGAGTGGACTACGTGCTGGAATGTACGGGCAAGTTTACCAAAGTTGACCAAGCTGTTCGACACATCACCGAAGCGCAGTGCAATAGAGTTGTGATATCGGCCCCTAGCGCGGATGCTCCCACATTCGTCTACGGGGTGAATTCAGAAGGCTACCATAATTCTGCAGTAAACCACGTCATATCGGCTGCGAGCTGCACCACCAATTGCGTCACGCCCATACTCAAAGCTTTGAACGATAGCTTGGGAGTCTCCCAAGCTTTCCTCACAACAGTACATGCCGCAACCCAGTCCCAGCAAATTCTCGATGGCTACAGCAAAAAGAACAGGAGGCTGGGTAATTTCTCGGTTCCAATAGAGATTATGGACTTCCCACTAACAACCGTAAACTTCAGGGCGGAGCGTTTTCAACAATATCATACCTACAACCACAGGAGCATCCAAGGCTATAGCTGCCGTGATCCCTGAGCTTCACGGAAAAGTCAAGGGTATATCCATTAGGGTTCCCACGTAAGAATTCTTTCCCGAAACCGATATCCCGCTCTAGTGGAAAGCAAGGACACGTTTTAGTGGAAAGAAAGGAGACTTCACTAACATGTGCTACGCTAAAAATACAGATCGGATGTTTCGATGGTAGATCTTACCGTGGCCACCAGCAGACCGTCTTCGCTATCAGAAGTTCTGGACATTTTTGTCCGGGCATCAAACGGAACGATGGCGGGAGTGCTGAGTGTGAGTGACCAGGAATTAGTCAGCAGCGACCTCCTCGGTAGTTCCTTTAGTACCATTGTCGATAGCAACGCCTGCTTGGAACTGAACCCACAGGTGATTTACCATCAACCAAAAACCACTCCAAGGCACTATTACTTACTTGTTTTGATTGAATACAGTTCTACAAGATCATCGCGTGGTATGACAATGAGTGGGGTTATTCCAGCCGTCTTTTAGATCTGGTCTCGATGATACACTGCAAAGGACAACAGGATTGATAAGATAGGTCTTGTCTCCTTCGCAACATGAAACATCCAATAAACTCTGTGTTGGTTGCTGTGCCTTGAATCCAGGGGCCACATCCAAAGCGGCTTGGGTGTCAACCACGAACCTGCATTGCAAAAATCCTATAAACCCACCGTATATCAACAGCAATGGCTTGGAGCATTTCAGTGAGGTTACCATGTTGTTGCATATTGACTAGACCAGCACTTTAGACGGCACAAAGGGGAGAATTCTACCAGAAGATAGTTTTAATGAAAATCGCGGCGCTTTTCTCTAGACACAGTCCACTCTGCTGTTATGCTTGTGACGTGGTCCGCGCTGCCACTTTCATAATTGGCCATATCTGCCGCACCATGCTAGCAGCTTTGCAGATCCAGAATAACACCTAGACAGCGGGGCTCAAAATATCGCTAACTACTGGGATTGTGGGAAAAGTACATCTGTGGCATGCCCACGTAGTGGACACATTGGGCGGAATGCAGAGATTTAGAGATATATAATCTTTGTACAACATTTTTTAACTACTTTCTATAATACTAGCCTGCTTGACAGGAAGCTTAGAATTCACCATATCGCCTATTGTCACGAGAGGGTTTAGAGACATAGCAACTGGGCTCAAATACGTCAATTCAAATTAAGTAGGCGCTATGTCTCTAAGCAAAAAGGAGGGCATTCAGAGAGCATGTAGTGGGGGCTTAGTCAGCTACGCATATAAGCAGGCTGCAATGCACCCACGCACCCACACGCGCCCTCTCATTTTTATAACCATTTTTCTACCACAAGTAAAGTTGGCGAAGTTTGGTGCGAAATCGGGGGTGGGCGCAAGACTTTTGCCGCCCACTGTAGTGACTCACGTTCATCTGGGCTCCCAGTGCTCCGGTTTTCAAAAGCTGCGCACAGCTGGGCGTCGACGGGAGTGTGATCCTGGTTATGAGGGCTGAATATCTCTGACCACCGTACCCCAGGACTGGGAATATTTCTAACCCCTCAAGGTCCAATAGCCGCATATTAAGACACAATATACACAAGGATACTGATCCTGCGCAGGCGCTAACAGGCAGTGCTGACAGGAGACCCGTCTCACATTACCGTCAAGATAGCCAATGAATGCCCTCCAAACTAACCTTGTAGGACTGGCTGATCTCCAACCCCTTTCCGAACTTTCCTCCTCACGCTAAAAAAGATAACCTCGTCAACGTGATTCTGTTGATCCACAGTCCCTCGAGACGTCATTGTATATATGTTTGCCTGACCAAGGACCAAACCAAGGTCATTGTGGTCTGCTGCCGGCAAGAATGGCGGCGCACAGGGCACCGGGGCCGATCTCTCCGGCGCTGCAGAATAGCTATGGACCGGAGGCGACTCTTTTCGAGCACCGCCCCCAAGACGGACCTCAAGTCGTCGCGTTCGAAGCGCCCGAGGCAATACCGGGACAGTCACCGTATCACGGTTACGTTTCAAAGCCATACGAAGAGAAGCAGCCGCCCCCGCCAAAAGAAAGAAGCAAGAAGATTCTCGGCCTGCCTGTTGCATTGTTCTGGGTCATTATTGGGGTGGTCATCCTGCTCGTCTTGGGCATCTCACTCGGCGTCGGCCTCGGCGTTGGTCTCAGCCAGCGCGCCACTACCTCTACATCACCATCACCATCACAGTCATCCTCGGAAACATCAGGCGATATTCAAGGAACTACATCTACAGCCGCCGCCTCATCCACATCATCAACAGCCACGACATCATCAATATCTAGCAGCACATCATCCGCACCCGTGACCTCCGGCACGACTGGTGTAGCCGACAACAGCTGCACACATCAAGTGCCCTCGACGTATTACTCATCCGCTGACCAATCCGTCACCTTCACCACGTTCTGCTTCACCGACTGGCCCAACAGGGAGGATGCTGCTGACGGGAACGGGACGATCAGCGATATCACCTACACTATTGTGTACACCTTTGAAGACTGCATGGACAAGTGCGTAACCTATAACAAGGATCTCACGGAGGGACAGACCAAGTGCGCAGCTGTGACTTATAACAGCAACTTGACGAGTATTGTTGCGGTGGGCCAACAGGGTGGAAACTGTTTCTTGAAGGATAAGAAGGGGGTTAACCAGCAGGGAAGTGCGACAAGTGCGTGTGCAGCTATTGTGTACTAATGTAAGCGACTTCAGAATTCTTTAATAAATAATTATATCAAAGAATCCAAAAAAAAAAATGCAAGGCAGAAAGGACTGCTGTAAATAAGGGTAAAAAGGAAGAAGACAGGCTCAACTGGGTACCTCAGGAAGTGAAGCTGGGGGTGGACATGAGCAGACGCGGATTTGAACGTGTTTAAACACCAGTCAAATGAAGCTAACACAACACACCTTCACCTGACTGCTTTTTCAGCCTCAATTGATGCGCATGCAAATAAGCCAAGGGCTGGCCGGTCCCAAATTTGACCAACAGGATTCGAAGCAGGCGACACAACCCCCTTCGCAACGCGCCTATGATGAGCTGGGGGCATCTAGGATTCTGAACAAGACGAGCGGCGCCAAACAACTATCGAACCGAACATCTTGGTTCTTGGCCCACATGTACCAGCACAGTTTTTATTTCAACCTTGAGATCCCCTGGCCCAACGAGAAGTATTTCCGTCGGCGCAAAAGGCCCATTCGCACTGCTCTGCAAGACCACTAAGACCAATGTCAAGCTGAGACTTCCGAAATGAACCAGATTTTCTGCTTGGATCCAAACAGATAGCCATTGTTAGCTCCCATCGTCTCAGTCTTGCGTGAAATCTTAGCGCAGAGGCTTGACTGCATGAGCGGGCTACTGAGTTCTTCGCCCCAAGTATTCAGACATTCTCACAGCAAGCCACCGTCGAAAGTCGAAGGATACGTAGCTCCACATGCAAATGCGCCGTATAATTTTCTTCGGTTCTTCGTCATCCTTCTAGCTTTTCATTACTATCGCGAAGCCTTTCACAGGTTTGACAATGCTAGTGAGCAGCGCCACAACCTGAGCAACGCGCACAGTTGGAGCCAACAATATCAAAAAGCAATTTTGAAACCATGATCGCAAATAGTGCATAACAAGGTCTAGATTGAAACAACCATCAGGGCATTGGAAGAAGGCAGAGATGGCCAAGGTGCGGACTCATATAAACCCGCACAACCTACCAGGGGGAAGGGGGTTTTCTGATTGGGTCTTGCAATGCACGCTGCGGAATACATCTGCTGCAAAAATATTGACATTAAATCAAAATTTAGAAATAATAACGAAATGCTTGTAAAAGACTAACAAATCATTGCAAAAAAAAAATCTAATCAAAAGGTTAATATCATATCGATATCATATTAAGATTAATTTCATATTAACGCATATTAAGATATGTCCAAACTAGCCTTATAAACTTTAAAATATTTCTATTTTTAGATATTTCCGTAATTCTATAGCTTAACCCTTAGTATATAGTTAAGCGAAAAAATAAGAAAAAAAAGTTAAGTAGGGGATGAGTTCTTAAAAGGGTTACAAAAGGGTCTTTTTTTAGATTTTATATCGTGGCTTGACATCATGTCAAAGCATGTCAAGAACGATTGCATGTCAACCACGACATTATAAAGACAGAAAATTTTTTTATAATTATATCAAACAATTAATTTGATTTCGATATCATTGCGATATGCTATTGCAATGCTTTTGCAATACATTCAGAAACCCCCCTTCCCCCTGGTAGGAAGTGCTTGACAGAATGCTAAAGCAATTGGGATAAGCCTAGATAACAGTAAATCTATTCCATCACCTCAGTTATTCAAGAACTCAACTAACAGCATCCTATCTTGTCGGAATGGCATGCGTTGGTTACCAAATCGATACAGATATTCGGGATGCCTGCAAGGTTTATCCGATAAACAGTGGGGCCAGGACAGTGGCTTACTCTCGGGGACTTATAGGCACACGCGCCATTTCCACAGGCCAGTAACTTTCGCTCGTCCACCTCCCGTATTGGGCTTGGGCTGCTTCTCCCTGGCACAATCTTTCAGCGTAGGGGATAACAGATCCTTTGGACCAACTTCAAAATGAAGTAGGCCCTGTGCCGAGACAGTCCACACGACGACAGTTTCTGTGTTCCGTTTGCACTGCAAGAACACAGACGACCACCATGACGAGCGGCACCGGCGAAGAGACGCCCTTGCTGGGCCCAAAGCGCGGCGACGACGCTGACGCGTCCTACCAGCGCCGTGTTGTCACCATAATTTTCATCATGGTCATTCTGGTGGACTTGGCCGGCTTCTTTCAGGAGGCGCCTCAAACCAAGATTTTGGAGGGCATCATTTGCAGTCGCCACTATCTTGGCGCCCCGGGCGAGCACGACTGCACCGTGGGTCCTGTCCAGTCTGAACTTGCGACTGTCACACAGATGCTGAACACGTTCAATCGCCTACCGGGCCTCATCGTTGCGATCCCGTTTGGCATATTGGCCGACCGCTACGGCCGTCGGCCCATTCTACTGCTAGCGATACTCGGCGCGATGTTGCAGGACATCTTCTCCAAGATTGTTCTCTGGCACCCAGATGCGATCTCGCCGCGCTTCATCTGGCTGTCCTCTGCCGCTCTCCTCGTGGGCGGAGGCGACGCTGTCTCTGGCTCTATGGTATACCTTGTGGTGGCCGACGTCGCCCTGCCGCAACAAAGAGCTAGCTTGTTCTTTCTCGTGACCGCGTGCGGCCTCATTGCAGAAGTCGTGGCTACACCGTTGAGCGCCTTGCTCATGGCAAGAGACCCATGGATACCGTACTTCATGTATAGTGGCATGACTTTTCTTGGTGGCACAATTCCTCTATTATTTCTGCCAGAGACTCTACCGAAGCCGTCGCCTGAGGCAGAGACGTCTCCATGCGACACAAGTGAAGATGAGGGCCAAGAACAATTGGCCGCGTCAGACACAGCGCCATTTTTGCCCCTAAAATCGACCGTTGCCTCAAAATTTCGACCTCTGGTTAAGCGTAACGTTGTCGCTATTCTGCTAGCCTTCTTTGTTTCGGCTTTAGGGCGCCAGTCCACGAGTTTCCTCTTACAATTCATACGGCAAAGGTTCAACTGGACTTATGAAAAGGTGCGACCGCTGTTCAAACTATACTCATAGCATGTAACACTTCAAATGCGCTAATCGTTGACTCCTCGCATAGGCAAGCCTTTTGATCACATTACGAGCTGCCATCAACCTTGCGCTGCTCCTCGTCGCTCTCCCGGCTCTCAACAGATTCCTAACCAGGCGCGGACTGAGCGCCCCGGGCAAAGACCTCCTCATTAGTCGGGTTTCTGTCGCTTGCTTTACTCTAGGGTCTCTGGTCATATCAGTAGCTCCTGCGGTGGCGCTGGCCGCAATCGGTATTGCTATCTTCGCCTTAGGCTCGGGGTTTACGCCGGCGGCACGCAGTCTCGTGACCACTTTTGTTCACCAGGATGAGGCAGGACTGCTTTATTCCGCCCTCGCCATAATGCAGTCAGTCGGAGGGCTTGTGGCAGGCCCGCTGCTTGCTTTGACATTTCGATGGGGCCTCAGCCTCGGCAGCGAGTGGACTGGAATCCCCTTTGCTGCGGTGGCTGGCTTGTTTGCGTGTAGTTTTCTCGCAACCTCGCTTGTCCGGTTATGAAAGGACATCAAGTTGCAATAGATTTAGAGGGTTTAACGAGCTTACTACGCATAGAGGAAATATAGATAGCTAGATGCCTCATTATTTGGTCACCTTAGAACCCAAGTACCACGCATCCGTCGGGTCTGACGTTCCTTTGGGTATCATTGTTGCAGCTCTGTCCAGTACACACGTTTCCGAGCTTTACAAGAGTTGGACACATACAACCCTAATTGATTTTAGGACACCGCCAATTAGGAATCCAAGTGCCGTCTATCTGTGTCATTTCAAAACTAGATTGAGGGTTCTTTCATGTGGGCAATGCTGTGTGATTAGAAGACCTGCTCTTGAGTCTCTTTATTGAGGGGTAATTCAGATGCACGTATGCTTTTGTTTGCAAATGAACCTTGGTTTGATAAAGTTTGTTGCACGTGCGTCGGGCGGGCTGCGAGGCTTCTGGGCGCTTTCAGCTGCTTCGCCTCGGCTCAGGGCCATCGTCGACCGGTCTTCGCTTGGTTCACCGCAACTTTTTCATTTCTCACGAGGACGTCGTCCCTGGTTGCGCTAGATACATGAAACTTTTTTTTCAGCGTAGCTAGATCAGACGTTTTGACTCTCTTCCCCCGTGGCTACGATATAAATATCCAACTCTTGAGGCCGTGAGACACGGAGTCGTGAACGCTGGTAACTTGATATTCTCCATACTTACGAGTCGCTCAGTTGTAGGCGGGAATTGAATTGACAGTCGTCCAGCCCCCCAAAAAGAGGGGCCAAGAAGGATCCCGCTCATGAAACTACGTCAACCTTCTCAAAAGCCGTTGGCAAACTAGTAGATTCAAATCCCGGGAATATCACCAGTAGTCTGGCAATGGTTCCGATGCGAAAGATGGCACAATGATGCACGCTCGACTACCCCGATCTGGTGACGTTCCTAATGCAGTAGTTAGTCCTTCTCTCGAGTCGCTGTAATTATGCATTCCCGGGTCCTTCAAGTTTCCCTGGGATGTCGATCTGGGCCTCATCACGAGTATAGGTCAGTAGGAGGTGTCACAAAGCGATCAAATCATGCGGGACAATCACAGAGAGACGAAACTCCAGAGCAAATCATGGTGACATGACCCAGGCTTCTGTGAAGGGAAAACAGCCTGGAGGGTTCAGGCGATGACATTGTCCATAGAGATTCCAAAATCATCCTGGGAACCTCGACTGCGCGCGGCCCGGCCGGAAACTCGTATCGAGTCTCCAGGTCGGCACCATAGATGTTTCCAGACAGATGGCGATAAACTCCTGTTCTTTCAAGTCTCTGGCTGCCCACTGTCGAGCGCCGTCTCGAGCTGACCAAGACTGTGCTGAGAGTCGGGTAGCCGACAAGAGAGAGCTTCATGTTTTTCTAGACCTGTCTTGACGAAGTTACCAGTAGTCCCATAAAAGTCTCATCTTCTTACTGGTATCCTCTGCTGTGTTATCGCAGATGACGAAGCCTCAAATAAAAGAAGCCGCAAAAGAAGCGACTAGAACTTCGATGCTGCTCATCAATTAGGAGGGTGGAAAACACTGGAACCGGACAAATACGGTAACATGAACATTCGCCTGACGATCTAGACATCGGATCGGAAGCCTCTTGTTCACAGTCCGCCACGTGTCGGCGATCGCCGGCATTCTTGGTTCACAGGCTTTGGTCCAATGTGCGTGAGGTCAACAGAGACTTTCCTTGAACACGTCGAGCCGGCAGAAATAACAGCCACTCAGGTCCTCAATATTCGGGTCTCCGGCCTTTTCAAAGGCTAACACATTATCGTTTAAGGCATATTCACTGTGCCGCTCAATAGGGCCGCCAGTGGCTACTGTCAGCGGCTTTCGCCTGGGGTGGTAGCCGCGTCAGGTCGCCTCACGACCGTGGCTCAGTGCATGCATATGCTCATCGCTGTAGCCGGAGTAAGTGAAAGAGAAGATGAGGCAGACACGGATCTTGGGACAATTCGGAGAAGCATAAACAGAAACACGGCTCTCACGCCGGTCACTCCGTCTCTCCTGGCGGCGGCAGGTTTGGCAGCCTCGCAAACAGACCATGATCGACTTACATGCCATTTATGGAAGCCAATGCCGTGGCCGGCAAGTGTTTCTCCCGATTTTGACGGCGCGGCTTCTGAGCATAAAACAACAGAAGCAATGGCACCTTTAGTCTCTTCTAATGTCGTACGTGCGAAGGCTCGCAAGAGGCAGCTGTCGTATCGTACCTTCAGATGAGACGGCAAGGCCATGCCTGCATACGTCAACGCGGCCATGGAGGAAGCACACCAACCCGCGCAGAGGTTGTTTCAATCGTACCTGGTCCGTGTGCATCCGAGTCAAGCTTCGCAAACATTGTACGAGCGGTTGAACTGTTCAGATGTGGAATTCGTCATCATGCTGATGCACGGCAGAGCATCACACAAGGCGCTGAGTTCGTCATTCTGCACCCTGGTGGGTAAGATTTATTGCGCACAGGAAATTCGTGCATATTCCAGGTTTAGAAATATTAAGCCGCCCGGGTCTCCCGACTTAAGCGCCGGGGTTGTATGGGGTCAGGCCCAGTCGGTAGGATGCCAGGGGTTCTCCTCCTCTCACATGCGGTGATAGCGGTGGCTGTCTTGGTGGTGCAACAGGGGCCATGCCAATGTTTTATACTCTGGGGTATTATCTAGATGCTGCAGTGTTTCTATGGTGCTTGGCCCTCGAGATAGGCATCCCAGCAAACTTCCGAAACAGAGTTTGACGGTCCGCGCGCCCAATCCAGCTAGTGCTGCACTCGACCTGGATGATGAGCCCAGGTCAGTCGAACCTATTTTACAGTTCAGGAGTAATATAACCATTAACGCAAGTCACTGAAGCTTCGAAAGGGATGAGGTGATCACATCACACAGCAAAGCACTGATGCTTGAAAGGTGATTGGTCAGAACTGACGTTGAATATACAGTGAATCAGGAGCTACCGATACGTGAATAGTTGCACCGATGAGGCGAGACCAGCCATGATTCTGCACTCGATGACCACAATGAGAGCTGTAAGCTCGGAGCCAACAGATATTGTCACGTCGGCAGTGCCGTGCGTGAATCGTACCACAGCTGGGTGCAGTCCTTGATTAGTAGTTGAAGCCGACAGTTTGCGTTTTACTCGCTACTGAACTCGCAACACGTTGTGTTGCCAGCAGCAAATGCAGCGCCTCTTTGGCGGGTTGGTCTCGACCCTGAGCAAGTTGAGGCAAATCGCTTGACTTGACGGATTGGGATGTGGCCGTACTACACAACCGTGGCGCATGAGCTTCCGGAAAGGGACATTGGGGTCACTCCGGTGTTTGAGATCTGCGCGAGGGAGGCCATGGCGCATTGACATGGCACGCAGTAGCAAGTCATCTACCGCAACTCAAGCACACGCAGGCACATCAGACGGTTCAATCGATTCACCCACTGCCAACTATTGAAACCTTGATGCATCGAAGCCACCTGTACCGAAACCACAGGAGGCGGGGTGAGTTCAGATGGATCAGCTGTATATACCACAGTCACACATTCTTGCTTGCACAGCCCGCAGCCTCGGCTTGAGATCTGATTCCCTCTGAACTTCTGAAACTAAACGTCAGAGGCTCGACACTTTGGGGCAATGGGATGGCAACCCAAGCGAGCTGGTCAATTATCCTTCAAAACCCTGCGTCGTTCCAACCTTGATTCTTGTCATTGAACTCAGTTCGTCTATTAATCTACCACGCGGCTACGCTCCTTCAAACTACGACTCCTGGGGAGCTGGTTTACCTTTTTCTTCTTCTTCAAGCGTGCGAGACACGAATTTGCAGCAGTCGATTAACAATATGTCGAAGCACGGGATGCGCGACTCTATGGAGGAGGTGTTGGTGGAGAGGAGCAATGGGTCTGCCGAAGCCCAGGTGGTTGGATCGACTCAACTCTTCAAGGATGGAAAGCTGCGATGCGTCCCGATGCCCACACCCGATCCCAAAGACCCTCTCAACTTGCCTGAGTGGAGGAAATGGGCCGCCATTATAACACTATCATTATTTGGTGCGCTGGCTCTTTCGGCGGAGACAATCGTCGGCGCCTTGGTGCCCATTTTCGTCCTCGAGTATGCCGGCATCGACCCCAAGATCCTCGGAAAGATTGATCTCAGCACACTCAACCTCGCTGGAGCGAACGGAAAGCCAGCCGACCCAATCCAGCTGCTGAACAGCCTAGGAGGGCCGCCAATCTCCAAAGTCGACCTGATCTCAACCCTGCCTATCCTCGTCAATGGTATTGCATCTTACGTCTTGGTCCCACTGTCCATCGGTGTCGGCAGGCGACCAGTCATCCTGTTCTCGGGTGTCCTGGCTTGGGCAGGTGGCCTGTGGGCAGGATTCAGCACCAGTTTGAACAGCCACATTGCTGCGAGAGTGTTCCAGGGATTCGGAGCCGGCGCTGTTGAGGCTCTGATTCCCCTCATCCTGCAAGACATGCTGTTCATTAACCAGCGTAACAAGGCCTTCTCGCTCATCAGTGCCGGCCAAGGTCTCTTCGTTGTCAGTATCGGTTTGACCAGCCCACTCATTATCGTGAACCTCAGCTGGAGGTGGATCTATTATATCACTGCCGGTGCCGGTATCCTTGTATGGATTGCGATGATCTTCTTTGTTCCCGAGACACGATGGGAGCGTTCCCAAGATGAGCTTGGTATGTGAATTATCTCTTCTCACCTTTCAGTGACGCCTCTAACACACATACAGCTGGAAGGGAGGTCTTCCCACTGCGTCCCGGCGAGGTACGGCCGCGTCTCGACCACGCCAGGTACGGATACCGCACCAACAAGAACGACTTCGGCCTCTTCTCCGTTCCATTCAAGTGGAACCTGTGCAGGCGCTCCGTCGTCGAGACCGTCAAGGCTACATTCTTCCCCAACGTGCTTTGGGTCATTGCTCTTAACTCGATCTTCATCGGTGCGCTCTCAGCCACGACTCAGAACGCCGCGGCTATCATCCTCAGTCTCAAGCTCAAGTTCACGCAACTGGGACTGGTTGTTCTACCCGTCGTCGCCGCCACCCCATTCGTTTGGTTCTTTGGCGGCTACTTGGCCGACAAGATCAGCAACAAGTATGCCAAGCGCAATGGAGGAAAGAGAGAGCCAGAGGCCCATCTGATCAGTCTCATCTTCCCCTTGCTGGCCGGCGTTGCTGGGCCCATCCTGTTCGGCTACGCTGGTCAGAACACGGCGTCGCGGCCACTTGTCCCGCTCCTGGTTGGATTCTTCCTCATCGGCTTCGGTGGATTGACCATGAACTCACTTGTGAGCGTATACTTGGTTGAGTGTTACCCGAACTTTGCTGGGTAGGTTCTAGCTCCCTTGGCCTCACAGATTGAACAAGCTAACAGTATCTGCAGCCCTGTTCTCGTAACTATGTCCTCATTCCGCCTTATCGCCGGATTCTTGATTAGCTTCAAGTCCGCTGACTGGATCCTGGACATTGGCTTCATCAAGACCTTCAGTATTTACAGTGGAATCATGCTTCTCTTCACACTCATGCTTCCCCTTGTCTTCTATTACGGCAAGCAGATGAGGTTGTGGAGCGCTGGCAAGCTCGGTGCTGGTGGAGATGATGACTCGAAGAGCATGAAGAGTATCGAGATGGACTGGGACAGGCAGAGCCGCAAGAACTGAGTACAGCTCACTCGCGCTGCGCGGCTGCAAAGATAAGTGACACAAGAGGTCAACAGAACCGATTCAAGAAAGGAAGTGGGACTGGAGGAAACAATTTCTAGCATTTCATCACACAGATGTGATGCTGGAGACTGTAAGTTGATAAATGGGTTTCCTACCATTGTGTAATTTAGCGTTTGGGTTGCATCCACGACAGACGGTGTAAACGAATTCCAGGTTAGAGTCGGCATCCTTTACTAAGGGTCAGATCTCGGATTAGTTCTAGAGGTTAATTCTAACAATGATGACATCCAAACTTTTGGTCATCTTTGAACAAGATTTCAGCTCGTTACAAATAACATCGGTCGTAGTGTTTGTGGTTTGTCCACTGCAAGCTTCCTATTGTAATCATACTCAGAGATGATCATCCCACCGCAGCGCGGGATATTTGCAAGCGTACGTTCCAGAGATACATGTTTCTTTCATTATGAGTAACGAATCTCTGGCCTCTACACTTTCTCCGCCCCGGCGGCCTTCGAGAAGCGGTCCTTGCAAAACGCCGATATCGAAGCCGACTCACCCTTGATTAGAAAAGGGGCCGCAATGGTGAGGGCATACGGCGGACATCTCCATCATGCCGGGATGGCACTTTCAACAAGTGAAGCCGCCAAGTCGGAGCACGACCTTACTGGCTTCGTACACTTGAGTCAGGCAGGACACTTATCTCTTGAAGGAATGACGATTGCCTGATCACAATTCAGTTATCTTTACAAGCCATATAAAATTAAGCAACAACATAGTAGGGAACTCTTAAGGCTGTACCTGTCTCAGGCTTATTCCCCGCCAGAGCCGGGAAGCACTAGCGGTGCAACCTTGACCCATGCGAAGGATCGAAGGATTCATCCCTTGCGGAGTGCTCTATCATGCCAGTGTATACTGCGTAGAATCATCCAATCAATGCCATCGCGCACTGTAATCGAGTCAGCTATCACCATGGCTAGCAGACTTCGATCTTGTAACGAACGCATACATTCCCCTTTACCGCCAACTTTTGAACTTCGCGTGAGGAGCTAACTCCGTGAGAAAGCCCCACCCCGGAGGAATGAGCCCAAAAAGCTTACAGGGCGCACAATCAGTCCGGCCTCGCATTTGTTCAGACAAGGCATACTTTCAACATGACTTCAAGGAGAGCCGACACAGACGCCATGAGCCAAACAGCCGTCATACGAGGAAACAACGATCACATACAGTCGAGCCGCGACACCCACGAGGGTCAGCCAGTTCGATATGCGAGTGCGCAAGAATGGGCGGAGCACAAGGAGGAGATCCGACACTTGTACATGGAGGAGGAAATGCCCCTGCAGCAAGTGATCACTGTTATGAAGGAAAATTACAACTTCCATGCGACGTACAGTTCCTCTTGATCCAACTGAGTACGCCACTATGATCTTACTTTGCTGATATGACGAATAGGGCCAAGATGTACAAGACCAGACTCAGATTCTGGGGTTTTCGGAAGAACATCTCACTCAGAGATGGTCTAGATAGCGATGCTGTGCATCGGGCGCTTAGTGACAACCATCGTGGCCCAGTCAGGCTGCCAAATGGTCAAGTGGTGGACAGCAGCCGTCTTGCTACACACATGCGGCGTAGATTACAGGGCAGGGGCGCCCTCGCGAGACAAGGCACGACGCAGATGCCGCACCTGCAAGCCGTGCGGCCGCCGAACACATTCTACATTTCCGAGGCCGTCCTATTCAGCGTTCGCTCATATATAATGGGCTTGTACCAAGGCACAGTCACCACCGGGGAAGCCCTCGACGAGCTACGGTGGAGCAACGCCGGCGCCAAGTGGTCAAGATTCGCCTATGCAGTAAAGGCCGCGCTGAGCGAGGACAAATTCAACCAGGCCCTCGTGCTGATGAGGCAGGCCCCGGAGGAAATCAGGCTGCTGATTCAGGATCAGCCGGCCAATCTTCTCAGTCAGCTCTTGCTCTTTATAGTGCATGCCACCCGGCGACAATTCTCGGATGAAGCCCAGAGGACACAATTCCTGATCGTGGTTAGGTCCCTGATCAATTACGGCGAATCGGTCGCCGCTCATAACCCTGCACTCCGCCTGCCGCCGAACCAACCCCTGCGCCAACTGCTGCGGGCCTTGAGTCAATCGAACCTAGAAAAGAACGACCTCAACCAACTGGCGACCCAAGCCTGGAGACTAAGCCTGTCGACATGGGACGACATGGTCCCAGAAAGCACCACCGCGCTGGGGGAATGGATGAACTTCAGCAACGTGGGCGGCCTCAGCGGCCTCCCGACCAACTTCGGCACCAGGATCGAGCAGAGCCTGGCGAGCCTCGAGGCCAGGTACGGGGAGCGCGACGAGCGGTGCATCAAGACCCTGCGGCTGAAGGCCGAGTACATCCTGACGGTCGACGACGACCGCGGGATAAACGAGATGCTCGACGACAGGGTCCGCGACATCTTCGTGGAGGTGCTGCGGCGTGGGGCCGAGGGCGTCCCGAGGCTGGTCGCGTACAGGTACATCGCGGATTATCACCGGGAGCGCGGCGAGCAAGAACTGGCCGAGGAGAATTTGCGCAGCTCCATTGATGTCATGCGCGAGAATTTCGGCGAGTCGGACCTCATGGTGTTGACCTATGTCTCTAACCTTGAGACGTGGCTGACGGAGTGGGGGAAGACTGAGAAGGCAGCTCAGGCTGGTCGATGGCGCGAGGAGCTGCAAATCGCCGCTGATAAGAAAGCTAGAGAGGACTCGGACCAGTAAAAAGCGCAAGGCGCCATTGCGTACACTGAAGATAGAAACCCAGTCTGCAAGCAAGATGTATTGGATTGGGTGCCTTCGAGAAAATTTTACATATCTATCCCATACATCATCATTTTTTTATGCCAGTATTCCCTATCCATGTTTATGCTTTTGAGGCTAGACGAATCGGCCCAGAAGGCAACCTTCCAACCAGGGCCACTAAAAAATATCTTTTGACGATGGGTATCATGTGTACGCCCTTTCATAATCAACTTTAAGGACAGCAGAAGACAATTCGCTTGGGCAGACGCCTTAGTCAAGCATTCCAACGCGATCACTTCTCACCGCGACTCTCTTTTCCCTTCTGCACCATCTCCCCGACAGCCGCCGCCAACGTGCCCTTCGGACCCTCGTCCAGCGCGGCATACCACGCTCTCAAGTCAATAAGGTAGCTCTTCTCCGTCTCGCTCAGCTCGACCGGCGGGCCACGGACCTGCGGGGCCGCATCCTCGCCATCGGTGTCAAACACAGCCCAGCTAGACTCGTCCTCCGTCCTAAGTCCGAAGCCTCTGTCGGGCAAGGAGGTCACTGTAAAGCGACGCAGAAGGATAGAGTCGCCCGGCTTCACAACAGGCAAGTAGTCTTTGTGAGCGCGGAAGAGCGAGACTTCGATCACGCCTTGAGGGGCGGTAGACGGGTCGGTAATGGTGAAGGATGACACGTATTGCCTTGCCTTGGTGCGCTGTGGGTCGGTGTTGGTGCTGGTTACCACAGCCGCGACATCAAGGGTATTCATGTTGTAAGATTTGAGGTCCTTGAGCGGAGCACACTCTGGCATTTCGGTGCCGAGACGCTTGACCAGGTTGTTCTTGGTCTTGTTGGCTGACGTGGCGGAGACTTTTCTCCTGGAAGGAGACCTAAGGCCGGCACGGGCGAACATGTCTTCCTGGTCTTGGGGCGGGCTCGTAGCCTTCTGAAAACTCATGGTCTGACTACGCGTCGTCCGTGGACTGGGCGACTGGTCGGAAGGTATGCGTTGTCCTCTCTTCGCGCCGCGGGGCGGCTTCGCGAACAGGATGCTGGGTTCTTCCCGCAGTGCGCGGAGTCTGAGGGTACGCTTCGATTTGCGCACCGAGGGAGACTCCGCTTCTTCTGTTTCTCTGGGCTCAGAAGCTTGTGAGTTGGCTGTCACGAAGCTGGCGCGGTCGTCGAAATGGGCCACGCTGGGTGAAGCCTCCATTTGAAGCAGCTCGGAAGCGTCGTGAAAGTCTTCTTCGTCACTGAGAGCGGGGGCGGCTTCCTTGTCAATCGCGCCGGTTGTTTCTGAGAGTCCTGGCCCTTCTGTTTCGGCAGGTTGGGCCGGAGACGAGACTGCGATTATCTCGTTCTCTAATGGCTCTGACACGGCTTCCGACATGGCCAAATCTTCGTCATGCGATACCGCTCGTCCATTCTTAACACTCTCGGCATCACTTTCGAGCTCTTCGCCTGTCAGTGCTACGTCTTCCGCTGTCTTAGCAGCCTTTTCATTTGTGACGCTCATTTCATCCTCCTCTTCAACCAAATCAGGCTGCGAGAGCATAATCTCCGTCTCTTGCGTCCTAAATGTCACTGCCTCCTGATCGGTAACTTGCGTTTCCAAGTGACTCGACACTGTGGTCATGGAGATGTCCATTGATATTGTGTTGTGAGCGTCTTGATGCTGCGATTCAGGTGGGGATGGGGGTGCATCCTGCTGCGCATCCGAGAAACCTTCGAAGCTCTTAGATTCCGAAGTCTCGTTTTGAACATTCGGCAGTCTGTCCATTTCACTCGCATCTTCGTTCCTCGGCACCTTGTCCGAGAGCTCAAGTTCTCGGTCTGACGGCTGCTCCATCGCGTTCTCGTCCGTCTTTCCTTCATGTATATGTTTCTCAGAGCCGGAGCTTCGATCTTCATCTGTGGCACCAGGCTGCCCGTGCTCCATTGAGATGTCCTCTTTCGCCTCTTGACTGGGTTCCTGACGTCGTGGCGAAAATGGAAGATCAAGCGATGTAGCCGTCTCCAACGCCTGTGACTGGAAAGATGCAGCCGTGTCTCCTGATTGCGTCAGGAACGACGGGTTTGAATCGACCGGGTGTGCGTGAAAAGCATCTATACGGGTCCCTGAGCTCGGTGCCTGGTCAGGTGGCGACGAGGGAAGATCAGCTGTAGTTGTATCCATGATTTGTGTCTCAAAAGATGCAGCTAGATCTTCTGATGGCTTCTCAAAGTTCGCTGCCAGTTCCATTGACTCCGGCTGAGGGGGTTCAACCACATCTTCATGCTCGGGCGCATCCACACTCATCGCATCAACCTCATTGTCAACAACTTGGTCGGTCCTCTGCTGCACTTGTCCCATCATTTCTGCCACGGGATCGCCCTGTCTATTCCCTTCTTCGACAGAAAGCTCTAGGTCCTTTTCGTTTTGACCGCGGGACGGGCCGAGGCTCGTAGCCGCCTCTTCTCCCTCCGGTACGCTGAAATTTGTGCCCTTCGCGACCTCAATATTGCCGTTCGGTTTTGCGCCCTCACCTACTCCAGCACTCATTGGCTCGTCCACGTCTTTGTCGGAACCTTCGCCACCTGTCTCGCCACTTTCAGATTCGCTGTTACGATCCTCGTGAACAAGCTGCTCATCGCCAGAGACCGACTCTTCTTGTTCATCAAATGCTTCATCTTCCTCTTCTTCAACGGACTCCTCGTCAAGATCAGGCTCTTGCTCAGCCTCGACAGGTCTCTGGCGAGATTGAAGACCGAAGACTTGCCTTCCCGCCGCCAGAGGTACTTCGCGGTTACCTTCGGGCTCGGACTTAGCGATCCCGTCCATTTGCTGGCGTCCAAATTGATTTTGGGGCGGCGGGGGTGCTGGCTCTTCGTCGTCATCTGAGTCCGAGAGTAGGTCGATAACAATAGGCTGTTTTTGGACCTGAGGTGGTGGCGCAGGTCGCATCATTGGTTGTTGATAGACATTGCCTTCTGTGTAATCGTCTTCCTCATACTCGTCCTCATCGTAGTCCTCTTCGTCTTCGTCAAAGTCCTCGTCCTCATCTAGCAAGTCCTCATCAGGCAGAGGCTGCCCCCTCTCGACATCGGCGTCCTCGTCATCGTCGGAGATGCGATCGTAATTTCTCATGTCATAGTCGTCCCCCTTTTCCTCCTCATCGTAGTCTGCCTGTTCATCACTGTCCATCGAGTCTTCGTCCTCGTCCGCCGATGATTCGCGGCCATGCGGAAGAGCATCCCGTGGAACATCTTGTTCGAAGACTGGCTGAGAGAGAATGCCTTGCTGCCTCATCTCATCCCGGTTGCGTGTTCCGTCCTCTACTTCAGGAGGGATCATACCTGGAGGTGTCCCTGTCCACACACTATTCTCTGAGTGTTGTTCCTCAGGGATATCAACACGGCTGCTAGCGTGCCATGGGCCCGATGACTGAGACCCGACAGGCCAAATCGGCGCCTCGTTGTTGCCTGTCTGAGATCCAGCCGCATAATTAGAGGGTTCATTGAGGGGTTCATGATATTGAGAATGGTGTGAGGATTGCTCGCTGGAGCGATGCGAAGGCGAAGACGCGTGAACTGATGGTTGCTGCGGGTCTGGATATGCCACTGATAGATGGTGGGTGTCGTGGTGAGTCATTGGCATTTGTGAAGACGCGTATGGCAAACCACTAAAGGTGGATTGCGGTCTCTCACCAAATCCAAACCTCACCGAGTCGACAGATGAGCCGCCGATGACGCCAAATTCAGCTGAGACATTCGACGGTTGTCCAAACTCAGCACCAAAACCCGGTGTTTGACCAAAGTCAGACTGTCCAAACACCGGCTGTCCAAACACGGACTGGGAAGATGTAGGCTGGCCTAGAATGGGCTGTTTTGGCACTGTGTCACCGCCGAGTGGGAGGGGCGGTTGAGTTTGTTGGTCACCATGCGCATGCGAGGGAGGCAAATTTGGAGATATTCCAAAACCTGCCTGGATGCTTGGGTTGAGCTGAGAAAACCCTGAGGATCCAGACGCAAGACCAAAGGGGTTGGCCGTGGCTGGTTCAGCCATAGTTGCCGGCAGGGGTTGGATTGGGGCAACAGGCTCAAGACTCAACGTTGATGCTTGAACACCAGTGTCAGTGGTGGCACCACTGGGTTTCTCTGAAAGGCTTCCACCCAAAAAGGGGGACGATGATTCCGTCCTTCTGAAGGTCTTGGATGGTGTGTTTCCTACACTCTGAGGTGGTGGTGGAAGCTCCAACTCGACAGTTTGGCATGCCCCATCGGTCATCTGTGGCTTTGACGGTGTATCCCGCATAACGACATCATCGTCTTGCTCCGGAGCAGGAGAAGATGAGTCCAGCAGTATTTCAGGATCAGGACTGCTACTTTCTTCTCGGTACCTCCACCTGCCATTCTGCACAGAATACCTCGGCCGCTTGCGGCCCTTGCCTCTCCTACCACCATCTTCCTCTATTTCCTCATCGAGATCAAATTCGAACAGGGGAGCATACGAGGCCCTCGACCTCTTCATGAATATCGGTGACGCGTACTCATTTCCTATGGGTCTGGCGTTGTTTTGTGTGACAGGCTCGTCATCGAAAAGGGTGGTGTCGATCTCGGCGTACGGGATGGGCTCGAATACCTCTTCTGGCTCGGTGGGGACAGGCTGGTCGATGTGGATGAACTTGGTTTCTTGAGATTCGCCAAGTGTGACCTGCGATGGATTGTAAGAAGAGTGGTCCCTCAATCAAGCCTAAGTATCCCACCTTGAGCGCAAGCTTCCCCACGAACTTCAACTGCCAGTCCGACCGCGAGCCCGGAGGTCGCGCAGGCTCTTCATCCCTGGCCCACTCGACGCCATCCAGGGCCAAAGTGACCTCATCACCGCTTCCAAGCTCCAAGTCACCGATGGCTTCAGCGCTGGGACCGTTGAGTTGTATGCGCACTTGGCCTTTGTCGCGTCGCAATCGGAAGTCTGGCTCGGCGAGCAGGAAAGCGACGCTCTTGCTGACAGAGCTGTAGGGCCAGGTGATCGTAACCTCTCCGTGGACTTTCCGTATGGGCTGATCAGATAAGTCGGGGTCCAACTGCGCGATAGGCGTGGCTGTCCTTGTCGCGAGCATGTGCTCGACATCGCCATTCGCAGATGCCATCGTGGTGGAGTCGATGTCGTACTGCGATGCGAAGGATCGACGGCTAGATCATCGCTCAGAAGGGGTGATGAAGCGAGGTAAGGCGGCCATCTGATTGTCGCGTCTCTTAAATGCGTCGTCTTGTGTGGATTGCCGGTTCCGTCATTGGGAGTCGAAAACGGACCTTGAGCAGCCTTGAGATGTCTTGGTTCGTGACCAGAAGCAGAGCCAGGGGAGCTTTGCAGATTGGTACGCGGGTACGGGGGTACGTGGGTACGTACCTAGAGTGCTAGTCTAGCTAGACGTGCTAGACTACCGCCTGCTCCTTTGAGCCGTGTCCAGCGTGTCCAGGTAGGGTGGGGCCCGCTGCGGCAGGCCTTGCCGAATTGAACAGGATCCACCTCTCCGGCCCGGCTGAATCGCGACAGGCCGATACGGAGCACGTCAATCCACATCGTCACGCCACGCATCCCGTCGCGGCCATACGGAAGAGGTGTTTATTTATTCGCTATAATATTTTAACTTTTTCATGTCTATCCTTCGGCTCCGTCTTCGTCGTCCCTCGATCTGTTTGTATATTTGAGCTCTAGACCAGCACACAGTCTGGCTTTCTTCCGACCATCAGCGGGCATTTCTTCTTGCCTCCGGACTCATTCCTCGCAGTTACCGAGCTATCTCAGGCGCGCAGTGATAAGACGCCCACCTCTCGTGCCTATCCAACTTTGCTTGCTGAGCTCCACCGGTTCCTCGAGAAGGCAACAAACCACCATGGGCTCTGTTGACTCCGGGCCGTTCGATGTGAAGAAAATCGCCATTATTGGCGCTGGGCCTTGCGGTCTCTCAGCAGCAAGGTACCTCGTCGCACAGCAGGCCTTTAACTCAGTAGTCGTCTTCGAGCAGAATCCTGAAGTGGGCGGCGTGTGGTATTACAGTCGAGAGCCCACATCCAGCCAACACGTCCCTCAAGTGAGCCCTTTCTGCCCTCCGGATGCTCCGGTCAAAGACCAAGATGGTGATGCGCCGGTGTTTGCTTCGCCGATGTATCAACTCCTCAACACCAACATCCCTTGGACCATCAGTATGGAATTTCCTGTCGTCTCCTTGCTTTACTTATAATATCTTTTGAGAGATTTCTTGCGTGGTCGGGTGTGCATGAAATACTGTCTCCCAAACAGAGACCGAGTCTGAAGACAGCTGCTCTGAAAGTGTACTGACCCAACACGTGAAGTGAAATACGGAGACCAGGATTTCCCCCACGATGGACTTATCTTCCCATCCCGTCAAGTCGTCCAAGAGTACCTGGTTCAATATTCTCAAGACGTTCGACACCTTGTCCGCTTCTCAACACAGGTCAAGACTGTGTCACTTAGGCGGGAAGGGGACCACGACCGGTGGGATATCGAGACCGAGAACCTCCTCGATGGTCAGAAATCAAAGGACACCTTTGACGCCGTCGTGGTAGCCAACGGACACTACGCAACGCCGTTTATTCCCGATGTCAAGAACATCAAAGAGTTTCACGCCGCTCATCCCGGAGTAGTCTCCCATGCAAAGACATACCGCGTGCCCGAGGACTTCGCTGGGAAGAAGGTGCTGGTTGTGGGCAACGCCTCGTCAGGCCTTGACATCGCATCCCAAATCAGCCGTCACAGCAAGAGTCCCCTGCTCCTTTCTGTACATGAGCCTACTCCCGACGAGAATTTGGAGCACAGCCGGGCTGAAGAGGTCCCAGCGATAGAGGAATTCCTTGTTGAGGAGAAGGGCGTCAAGTTCACCGATGGAAGAGTTGAGAAGGACTTGGGCGCTATCCTATACTGCACAGGGTATCTTTTCAGCTTCCCCTTCTTGGAAAGCCTGACACCGGGGCTGGTGTCGAACGGAGGGAGAGTGTACGGCTTGTACAAGCACCTGTTCCACATTGACCACCCCACATTGGTTTTCCCTGGTCTACCCATTAGAGTTGTGCCCTTCCCCGTCTCTGAAGCACAGGCTGCTGTGTTCTCCAGGGTCTGGTCCAACTCTTTGACATTGCCTTCCGTCAAAGAGATGTCGCGATGGGAAGAGGAGGAAGCTGAGATACGGGGCAAATCCTTCCACGTCTTCCCCATGCTGGGCGACGCCGAACTTCTCGATGAGTTTCACGACTGGGTCCAGAAGTCAAGTAGCAACAAGGGCAAGGAGCCACCAGTGTGGAACGCGGAGCAGAAGTGGGAGCGTACGATTTACGTCGAGGCAAAGCTGAAGTTTGAGACCACAGGGCGCAAGGCAACGTCTCTCAAGGAACTTGGTTTCCCATATCAACCTCCAAGTGACGTCAACAAGCAGGATATTGTATAAGGAGCTATATAGTGATTAGATACCTAGACGAGATGCAATTATAGAAGAATTCATCGTACGCCGTTCCACAGCACTGCCGGCCGTCTGAATCGCATCCCGGAGATACCAAGACGCCACCACAATGAGAACCACAGATGCAGCGAACTTTTTCAAAGAATTTCTTCTTGATTGTTTCTGGGCTTCAACAGGCAGGAAACTTTGTATTTAGGAGGTTTGCTTTCAAAGTCTTCAGTTGGCGACGAATGTGAGGCGGTATAGGTGTGCAGAATCCGTTGGTTGATATCTGCCGGGAAGAAGTTTTTCAAGGACCCATTTTTCCACCACCACCGCACCACGGGTATGTCAATACACCGAATTACGGGGATTTCACTCCGAGTAGCTCTCCTTAGCTCAGTTGGCAGAGCGATGGACTGTAATAGTGCATATAGTTATCCACAGGTCCCCGGTTCAAGTCCGGGAGGGGAGATCTCTTTTTGCTCTCTCCGCAGCAGCATGTGCAGAGAGCATAAAGGCTCTGTGGGAGCAGGCCCCCAATATCGAGTCACAGTTTGAAGCCTGCTCCTTCGTTTTTATGAGGCGTCCAAAGAAGCTAGCCTCACGGGATTGGCCTTATAGCTTGTCTGGGAAGTGTCTGATAAATGCGAGCTCCGAGTGGCTACTACGTATCTGCAGTCAATCCTCATGTCCCTTGCACTCGGTGTGGCAAAGACGACTAAGGTGAGGACAATCTCCTCACTGCCCGAGGCATGACATGATATATATTGTGTACTTGTAGCGCTCTTTGCACAGAAGCATCCATTAGTAGTAGGAAGAACTACTTTACAACTGGCAAAAGTTGAAGGCATCGTTCCTTTTCGATATATTTAGATATCTTTTTCTTCTCATTTCTGTTCTGTTTTCATGTGTTGTCATATTTGGCTCCACCGAATATAACAAGGTTGCGGCGCGCATATTGCGAATTCTCCTCGTCACCCCATTGCATGAGCATATATTCAAGGCGGGACAACCGGAGAACTACCGAGCCCAAATCTTCCGTTCGCTTGGCTGTATACACAGCTTCTCTCACAAGTTCATCCAAATATAGCTTCAGACAGGGCTTCAGCCCGGTCGCCTCGTACGCACAAGTCAGGTACTTTTGGCTCTTGAATGCAGATTTCGCCCTTGCTGGTATCTTGTCGCGCTTCAGGCCCTCCTTGTGAAAATATTGTAGTCTGGTGAAACAAGAATTAGCACTGAGCCAGACCCATCATGAGACAACTGCTAAGCTCGGAGTCACGGAGAGAGGAAAAGACTGATATCGCAGCGATCCTTACCGCGTCCTATGTCTGTCAATTCCCAGACGCTCATATGCACTTAAAGCAGGTTTTGTCGTTGTGTCCTGTCGACCCGCGGCGCTTCGGAAGGTCCGCGGGAGGCTGAAGGATGAGATGACACAAGAAGTGTCGGCATCTTCGTCCCCAGGGGGCTTCGACATGTTCAAAAAATATTTCCAACACTTGATGGCCACTTCGGCCAGGTCAACATGGCTTTCGATATGAGAAAATCCCTCCAAAATCCGGCGCAACGGATACGTCTCTGGCCAAGCCAATGCAGAATCCCCTGCGCAGGCCGCGATGTACTTGAGAAGAGTCCTCAGGATGGCGTTTTCATCCTCCGAGTCCTCTCCATCCCAATTCATCTTGATGACCGCAAAAAAGAGCCCATGTAATACGTGATGTGGCTCATCTCGAAGAAGACGCTGTATCTTGATCGGCAGGCGCCGTAGCTCGGAGAATGCTGCCTGCATCTGATGCTCACACAGTAACTCACGACAGGCCTCTACCGAGCTGATGAATTCTGCTGCTGACCTGGAGAAAGTCTGGACGTCGAGGCCCGATTTAAAGCCTGAAAAAATCGCATCCAGCGTCTCGCGGCAGATGTCGTGTGCACTGTGCTTGTGTGCTTCTGACTGCAACACGGCTTTACTATCGAAAGCACTCCGAGGATTCTCCTTGTCGTTCTTTTCTTTGATGTAGTCTTGAATAGCGAGGAGCACAAATTCTGAGGCGCAGAAATTCGCGGGTGATTTGAGAAATACAGGCGATGTCGACCAAGAAATTGGAACCGGCCTAGGGTGTGCATTTGTTCGGATATATTTTGAACAACCCCATGATTTCAAACGTTTTTTGTACATTGTTGGGCTGAACATGAAGTGAGCAGAGCGTTTACATGAACAGATGGAGAAGTCTAAAGTAAGAGAAATACCCACGTCGCATTAAAAGAGTATTGGGTGCGCATTATGTCCACAACATCCCGGAGAGGTTTGTTTTCTGTGAGGTACAGCCGCCGTATTGTGGACTTGTGTTGGCTCCATTCCGCCTTTGTTGCCCACTTGGAACTTGGAACTTCCGTCCGAAGAGAGAGTTGTGTGCCACCTTGATCCTGATTCGTCCCCGGGCATGGAGAAGCCATCACGCTGGCTGCTCCTTGCGTATTCCGCAAAACCAGACCGGTCGACCGAGGGCTTGTGTCGCGCATTAAATCGATGGAGAATCTCAAAAAGATAATTCCCAGGCAGAATCACCTTGATTACGTATTCCTCAGAGCGTTAGGGTGCTGACAATGGTTGATGTAGACTTACCCCTGGAGGCCGTTGGCTTTAGTGCTTACCCACCACGTTCAGCTGGGCCAATTCCTACCAACAAGGGCAGCATGTTGTGGGGCCACGTTAGACTATAGTGTCCATTTGAAACGTCATACGTTGCACAGAGATGCAGCCTTACAGTGGCTCGCAACGCGCTCCTAGAAGCAGTTCAGGAGGGGCTCAAACCCCCACGCTGTCAAACAAAGATCTGAAAGTCTTTTGAGGCGCCGCGAGGTCAGCTCTTCTAGCTTTTTCGGCTCCTTCTATTCCACAAAGCACAATACACGAGGCTATCACGGCCTCGTATACCCGTCATCGAGGATGGAGAGCCTTTGCAGATTCATGATCGTAGAGAAAGGCGCACTTAGAGAGGGAAGGTGATCATCATCAGGGTTGCCTGGTAGGATTGCGGAGTAATAATCGAAGAAAAGAAAAGAAAAACAGGCCAGGAACTTAAACAGATAAAATGTTGTAGCCTAAGCCGGGAAATATGGGACCCAAATCCTGCAACCGTGTGGAAAGCCCGGGACGGTGGGGTGCTTTGGATTGTCGAATGGTCCAGCTCTAGGGCCTTAAGTGAGTCTGTCCTTTGATAAGTGGCTGTGGCAATTGGTGATGTAGCTGGACATAACTGCAGCCCGCTGTCAGCTGTCATGCCCCGGAGCACATCAGTAGACGGCGCAAGTAAGACAAATCTTCTGCATGGAAATCCAGATTTCAGCTAATGACAATTAGTATTACAAAGAAGAACGTGGCATGGCATCTAGACGTCGTCCCGAGTCAGAAAGGTGGTCGCCTCAGTTGTGTTCGTCAGAAGGGGGGAATATGGCGGCATACGAGGGGCAGTTGAGTGTAATGGGACCTAGATCCGCATGCCTCCTTACCACAGCAGGGCGTCTTCCGGGGGCTTGAAATCAATGGCTGCAGTTGACAGCCTAGTATATCGAGATACTTCAAAGCACAAAATGCATAGCCTACTATGTAAATGGTAAAATTGTTCATACAGGTGCTGTATCAGAAGGAATGGAAATACGTGCTCTAGGTAGAGAAGTAGTACGTATGATAGGCAGCCTTTCAGTTAGGGAGTATGATACTGTGCTTGCTAGAAAGCCTTGTGTCAAGTTCGACTTGCCCCCGATTTCTCATATATAGTGTCTGTTGATCAAACCATCCATGGCCATTCTAAATACGAGCAATAGCAGAAGTTACAATGAAAATGTTCAATAATAACTAACAACATGGTCGAGTTTATATGCGGCTCGTCGGGGGAGGGAGAGTATGAAGTCGGACGGCTGTCGGTCCCAAGTAAGACGGGACATTCCCCCCGCAATGCCTCGATAAGGCTGTAGGACAAGGGCGCGTCTTGGATAGGAGCTTCCTTATCAGTAATGGTGTGCTTTTGCGTTAGCTGCCGGAGAGGAAGCTTCAGGTGAATTTGTAATCTGCAAGAATACTGTTGTCATTGATCCGCTTTGATAGACAATTATGTTTCTCTTTTCTTCTCCATCAATGGCCCAGTCCTGCATGTCTAGGCCACCGTTCTATCCGAAAGTCCCGTGAATATATCGATCGACGTAGCTGCGTGAGACCCAACGACGTACCAATATACAACTTGCCCTCCAACCTGTACCTCGTCGTCACGATGGAGTCGAGCTCCTCGACAGCCGCCGGCTCGGCTGCGATGGCTAGCAAGCCAAAGCCCAAGGACTTCAGTCACTACTACTCCGTTACGACGGCACATCGGGTGCCCAGTGCTATGAAGGCATACTACAAGTTCTTCAGAATCCCTGGTGTTGGAAATTTGGCTGGTGGTAAGCAATCGCCTCCTTCATGAGCCGGCCCAAGATAAGGTTGGGTACTCTGAAACTCTATCGCCCTTTAGGGCGCTAAGCTTCCGATATACTTCCTCTATGGTTCGTGAACTGCTTCCAATGTCAGCGCTAATTAGTAACACCCAGGCCTGCCGAATTTACGGTTTTTCCCCTTTGACACCCTCGAGGCGCAAACAGCTAAGCCGGAGCGGTGGACGCCCTCGCCCAACAAGCCCAATGTCGTGGACGATCTCTCCGAATCCACCGCTTCGCTGAAGATTGACGGATCCGGCTCCTCCGATCCCGCCGCGGCGTCACACATCACCGTCCCGAAAGCCCTGTCCGACGACACCGATCCGGAGAAGAAGATCGACCTCGCGACAGCGCTTCAATATGGCCTGGCCCAGGGGTACCCACCTTTGTACTCGTTCCTCCGACAGTTCGCCCGCGAGCGCCTGCACCCCAATGTGCCCTACGAGGGCGGTGTCGATGTCTGTCTAACCGTCGGGTCGACGGATGGCATGTCCAAGACGTTGGAGCTGTTTGTCGATCCATGGAGCCCCGAGACGGGCGACGTTCGCGACAGGCCCGGCCTGCTGTGCGAGACGTTCGTATACGGAAACGTCTTGAGCCAGTCGCAGCCGAAGGGCGTGCAGATCGTGCCCGTCAAGGCTGACGAGGGCGGCATGGTGGCGACGGGGCCGGGAAGTCTGGATGACGTTCTCACCAACTGGGACTACTCCAAGGGCCGGAGACCACACTTGTTGTACACCGTGACGTGAGTACTGCTGCCTCCAGCTCTCATACCGATGAGATGGCGACTGACTTGAAACCAGAATGGGCCACAACCCTACCGGCATACTCCTCTCCCTCGAGCGACGAAAGGAACTCTACGCCATCGCCTCCAAATTCGACGTCCTCATCATCGAGGATGACCCCTACTGGTACCTTCAATTCCCATCTGCAGCCATCGAGGAAGGCAAATCCCGCAACAGACCACCAGTCGCCGACGCCCTGTCCACTCCCTACAAGCCTGAAAAGACCTCAGGGTATCCCTTCCTCGACTCCCTCGTCCCGTCCTTCCTCGCCGTCGACACAGACGGCCGCGTCATCAGGCTCGACACCTTCTCCAAGACGGTCGCGCCGGGCTGCCGGCTGGGCTTCATAACGGCGCAGCCGGACCTGATCGAGCGGTTCGTGCGGGTGACGGAGTCGTCGACGCAGCAGCCGTCGGGCTTCGTGCAGAGCGTGATCTCGCAGCTCATCATCGGCAAGCAGCCGGCCGAGGTAGAGCGGTCGTGGCTGTCGCTGCGCAAGAATAGTGAGCGGGCCGCCTTCAGCGGCTGGAACACGGACGGCTGGGTGCGGTGGATCGAGGGCCTGCGCGGCGAGTACGAGCGCCGCATGAACCGCATGTGCCGCATCCTGGACGAGGGCGCCACCTACGTCAAGCAGGGCACGCCCCGCGCCCCCGCCGACGCCGACGTGTGCGTCCTCACCAAGACGCAGCTGTACGACTTCTCGTGGCCCCGCGGCGGCATGTTCGTCTGGATCAGGGTCTTCTTCGAGCAGCACCCGCTGTTCGGCGCCGCCAGCTCCGACGGCAAGGATATCATCGACGGCACGGCCCTGGCCACGGGCCTGCTCATCCACCTGACCAAGAGCCCCTACAAGGTGATTGTCAGCCCAGGCATGATGTTCTCAGCCACCGAGGAGATCCGCAGGAACGTCGGCTGGCAGCACTTCCGGCTGTGCTTCGCCGCCGAGACGGAGGAGAACGTGGACCTGTGCTCGGAGAGGTTCGTCAAGGGCGTCAGGAAGTACTGGGCTATCAAGAAGGCCAAGGATCTGGAAGATCTCATCAAGGAGTCGCCCGTGGCCGCACAAGATGCCGACGGCGATGACGAGGAGGACATTGGAAATCTGGGGTTATACCTTGGGTGTTAAGTCTGTCTGAGGATATTGGGATTGTATTTTGTCCAGCGTTTCTGTGTACTGCGGGATTTCCAAGTTGGTGTCAATATTTCATGATTTATGATGAACCTTCTGAGTACAGCGAGTGATTGGATACAGAATGAAAGCTATCCAGCCTCTGGGTGAGCCAAGGATCGAAGTGCTATGTTGCGCGCATCACGCCTCCCACCCAAATACATTTCCAAATGCCTGATGTTCATCCAGTCCTGTCAAGCGCGGGACTGCCCACTGATTCGATGCTGATGATGTCTGTCTTCCTAATCAGATACACTTACAGTCAAGACTGCACGATGGCCGGGCAAGCAACCCGCACGAACCCCTGATCAGTCGTGGCGGAGCCCTCGTCTGCTGCGCATATATTGCTGGTTTCTGAACCTGGGCTTGGCTAGGTCGTCAACATTTCGGTTTTGTCTTACTGCACCATGCGGGTTTGTTGTTGAGCCGAACCATTCTAGGCATCTTCATCCTATCGATCTACAACCTTGATAGTGTTTATCTGTTTATTTTGTAGGCCGTACGCTAACGGTCAAGGTGAGTACTGTTCATTTCTATACCTTCGACGACGAAATGACCGGTGTGGTATCATAATGGATTCGATTTCTTGATAAGTGAACGTCACAGCACGCATGATCTGACAGCCTGTACCACCACACCGCTCACTCTGCTCAGAGCAAGCCCAAGCAGAGGTAAGACACATCACAGTATCGGACAGGCGTTTTTATGTGAAGAGTCATTAAAGAATTCCATGTTCTTTTGGATTTGGCAAATGTGCTACCGTGGCTCACACATTCCTGACCAACGCCGAAACCATCAATATCATGCAGCCCATTTCAATTCCCTATTCCCAGAAACCCAAAGAATCCCCATCCTTACTCGGCCAGGGTGAGCTTGAAGGCCTCAGACACAGGCTTGGGCTTGCCACCCTCGAACTTCTTCTCGCCAAGCTTCTCCTTCTGGAAGGCAGAGGCGTAAGGGTTGAGGCGCAGCAGAACCTGCTTGTTCTTGAGAGGGTTCTTCTTCTGCACGTGGCCGCGCTTCGTCCGGGCCTCGCCCTTGGGCGCACGCAGGACGCTCTGGATTTCGGAAGAGTTGATGAGACGGGTAAGGTCGGCCTGGGCGACGACGTTGGAGGGCAGGAGGAAGTCCTTCTTCAGGGCCGAGGGCTCGGTGGTGGTGCCGTAAACCTTGTCGAGGGCCTTGAAGGCGGCGGACGACCAGATGACGAATCGGCCGAGGTGGCCACCGGGGGCCAGCTGCAGCAGGTTCAGGGAGTAGACGGAGGAGGTCTCAACACCGGGGATGTTGCGGAAACCCTTAACGAGCTCCTTGCCGTCGACCTCGGGGTCGTAGATGACGAGAGGGCCGCGACGCTGGCGGTGGCGACGACCTCGGAGCTTGCCCTTACCGGCGCGGAGCTTCTTGGAGCCCTTGACCTTCTCCAGGTCGGGGCCGGCACCAACGGCCTTCAGCAGACCAAGAGCGCCGGAGGTCTTGGCGGCGGCAGCGCCCTCGAAGGCGGCGGAGTCGACGACGAGAGGAACCTCAGGGACGGCCGAGATCTGGTGACCACGGGCGAACAGCAGGGAGGGGACGGCAGAAGCAGCCAGAGCAGAGGCGGTAGCGAATCGCCTAGATTCTGTTAGTGGCTGCGTTCGCAAGCAGGTGCCTGGCTCTATCGACTCACTTCTGGTTCTGGTTGATCTTGACGTGCCACTTGCGCCAGGTCTTGGTAGGGGCGAACATGCGACCGGAACGGCACATGTTACCGAAAGCAGCCTGACCAGCACGGTGCGTACCACCGCCAGAGACACGGGGAATACGGGCGACAGCGCGACCTGGATGTCTTCTTGTCAGCTTCAGTTCGTCCAGCAGCATTTTCTCAGCCTGGTGTGAAATATCATATTCCGGTTCCCCTTCCCGCTCAGAAGCCGTTCGTCGTCGTCGAAAATCGAAGTGCTCGTTGCTTGATTTGCTTCTCCCACTCCTCTCGCAAATTTCCGCTCTTCCCCCTCTTGATTCGTCGTGTTCCAGCTCTTTCAATGGTGTTCGAAAATTCGAAAGTACTAACCAGTTCCCCAGGACTCGGCAGAGGTCTGGTGACCAGCCTTCTCGCTCACGGAATAGGGCTGGCGCTTGTTCTTGGCGATTCCCTTGTGCACCTCCTGGACGATATCAGGACGGATGGGGGCGGTGAAGACGGTAGGGAAGGTGTGGGTGGCCTGAGTGGCCTTGCCATCGGCACCCAGGATCGTGACGGTAGGTCGGGATGCCATTTTGCCCAAGAATCGGCCTGCTTCAATCGGGAACTGTCAGTATGTGGCGTACTTCTTCGAGTTGAGAGAAATGTTCGCAATTGAAATTGTCGCAGTGGGGTGGTCGGGGACTGACCTCGGAGTGTCGATGGCTGGTTAGTTGTGTCGACGGTTTGGTTGAGAAAAGAGGTCGTCAACTACGAAGGCGGAAAAGCTGCCAAATTCGAGAAATTTTGGGTTTGGTGGGTTTGCGAGTTTGCAGCAGCATGTGCACGGTGCTGTGTGAAGACCGTGCGTCTTCGAAGCTGCACTAGTCCAGATCGAGCAAGCGAGGGGTGGTCACGTGCATCCTCAGTTCCCGGGTCTCTGCATTGCAATGAGTACATTCAATTACTGTGGTTCAATTGGAAGAAATCTAAATCTAACTTCCGATATTCAATTGAATATCAAAAGCTCTATTTGTATCTCTCCCAGCTGCTCGGTCACTTGTTTTCCTGCAGCTGTGGTGAAAGTCTTTTGGTACAATCTCAGCTAGATTCTCAAGGCGCCTGGACGTCTTGCTTCAGCGATCAGTGAAACATCCTTGGAGACCAGTCCAGCCGTCGTCTCAGCCGCTTATTATGACTCCTGGCATGCATCTAGTCCCTGAGACAAGTTGTTTCTGCTCAAGTGCTATGTTCAACACCGTATTCCTCGTTATAGTGTTTTAGACAACTACATCGCACTAGCCTGCAATGCAAATAGTGATAAAGGTTGGAGTTCTTAAATCATGACCCAAGCACAACCAATGCACCTACGCCATTCTTCCTCCCCATAAATATGATAGAGTAGTCCCCCTAGACTAGACAGTCTCCCTGCATGAGTGGATAAGGTCAAGATATGCAAGCGTGAATGGCCCACGTCCGTCTACCGGACCATGCCTCTACACGCTACACTCACTGGATAATAATACAGCACCACAACGAGCTCCCTTCCCCGATCATGAATCCTTCTCCGGCTCCTTCTCCCTGTCCTGCCTCTGCTGGTCCCGCTCTCTCCACTCCCGGAACGAAGCCGATTTCTCCTTGGCCGCCTCCACGGGTTCCTTTTCCACCTCTGTTCCCCCGCCCATATCCTCCTTCGTAGGTTGAGAGTCCCAGTTGACAGGCGGGGCGAGCGGGGTCATCCCACGCGCCTCCAGCATACGGATAGCAAGCGGATTGTGATGTGGTTTGCCGGGTCCCGGCTTCCTCATATACACGTACCCAGAGGGCGGATCCTGCCCGACCACATGCAGTGGCTGCGTCTGGGCGAGCTTCGTCTCCTCCTGCCTGAAGCGCTCGCCCAGGCGGCTGTAGTGGGCGAGCTTGCCGTCGAACATTGTTTTGAAAAGGTCCCTGCCGGGTTCCTTATAATAGGCGCTATACCGCCGCTTCTTCATGGCGCTGTAGAGATCCTGCACCTTGTCCTCAGGGATCTCCTCCGCGGTATACTCGACGGCCCACTTGTCCGTGGGTTTCAGCTTCTCCGGCCGCCTCACGTACTCATTATTGACTTTGTTGCGGATGGTGAGAATCATGCCCATTACCGGCTTCGTCGTGGACTCCTCGCCGACGCTCGAGGCTGGGGTGTCCTCCAGGGCCTCATCCGCGTCGCTGGCCTCATCACCCTCCTCCGCTGCTTCCGTGGGTGACTCCTGGGTTCTAGGCATCATCTCTAGCAGGATGCTCTCGAAGTTCCGAAGCTTGGCTTGGTCCTCCGATAGCTCTTCCGTTGCCTTTTGAGAGTCGCTGGAAGATCCGATGCGTGTAGTCAACTTGACGAGGAGATCCTTCAAGATGTCATCTGGTTTGCCATCTGCAGCCTTGTTCTCTGTGGCGGCTGCGTCTGGGGCATCATCTCTGGAGGCCAAATTTTGCTCGGAAGGAGTGCGGTCGTCCTGGTCTTGCTTCGTGGGTTCTTGCTTGGCCGTTGTGTCTGCCTCCTTGTTGCCGACACCAAACCAGCTGGAAAGAAAGCCGAAACGCGACGGCTTCGCCGCCTGGGGGCTGCTAGCCTCTGGGTTGATGTTGTTGGTCTGCTCAGGAGGGCGCACATCTTGAGCTTCTTGCTGCTCTCCAGATATCTCGGGCACGGCCTCGTCGTCTGTCTTGGGCCTTTCGGCGTTTACGTCGACAATGGCCTTCAGAAGTGCCTCTACATATTGCTCAGCCTCCTCCGAGGACTTTGCATGTAGAAGGCCGCTCTGCTCGAGGGCGTCCTCAATAGCATCGCGGATTGCCGAAATGCCCTGAGCGTCACTCTCCATCGTTTGCTCGACGACTTCCATCATGTCCTCCCACACGTCCTCGCTGTCCTCCTCGTCGTTCTCTTGAACGTCCTCATCGGTCTCTCTTGCCTCTTCGACAATGTTCTCCTTGAGCACAGCATCCTCGGCTGAGTCGACCTCCCCAGCCAAAGCCTCCTCAGTTTCGTCCAATTCTTCTTGCGCCGCCTCGTCCTTAGGCTTGATACCAAGCACTCTTTCTTGGAACTTCGCAGCTTCCTCCTTATTTTGCTCCTGAATTACTTTGATCTCATCGTCGTTGACGGGCTCGGCGAAGAAGTACATGAACGGGACGGCCTTGGACGGCCTCGTCTCCACATGGATCCTGAGCGACTTCTCAGGGAATCTCTCCGTCGCCTTCTGCAGCAGTTCCTCCAATAGCTCAAGACTGGCCATGAACTCCCGGTTACCCGTTGTCATGTCCGTGCTGCCATGAAGAGAAAGGTCCATTTCCTCAAGAGGTATGTACTGGAAGCCGAAGATTCGCTGAGTGTTGTGGTACGCAACAAAGATACCGTCCATGCGACCCATGCGAACTTGCAACGAGTATTTGAGGAATGCGAGGCGGATCATGTCGTAGTATTCGCGCTCGAACGACTGCCACTGGCCTTGACGCTGTCGGATTTCGTAGCCGACACCCTTCTCGGGGTTCTTGGCATCCATGCGGATGGTGACGACGGCCCTTGTCTTGAGGTCAAACACACCAGTTCCAGGAAGCCGCGGATCTTGTGCATCCAACTGGGACCGCATCATGAAGTTCCCGAATGTCGTGTAATGGTACGACTCCTCCGCGTTGCGTTCCTCCTCCGTCAGCTGATGTGAATTGGACCGGCGGTACTTCTCGAACTCCTCCTTAGGAGCGGTAAGGAGCTTCTCCATAGACTTTCCGAGCATGCTGAGGATAGTCTCGGAGTCATACTCCTTGTCCGCATCAATGGCGTAGGTACCATTCTTGTAGTGCAGGAACGTCGCGGCCGGCGCCCTGAGGATAGCGCCGAAATTCACACTATCGGGTATATAGCCGTTGGAGATCCGCTCATCGTTTATGGGCCTCCACGAAGAGAGCAGATAATGGAAATGGGATAATGTGGCGGTCATGCTTGAAGTGGATCCTGTGAACTTCTTGTTGTGCTTCTTGGCTACATCAATGAGCGTCGTGTCTTTGGAAGAGGTGACATATTGCTTCAAGGCGTCGAAGTCAAACTGGTCCACAGGCATGATGGTCGCAAGGTAGGGATCAAAATTGTACACCCTTGTACGGGGGTCCTGCAGCACGTAGACACCCTCATTGAACAGGACACGGTCCAGGCCGTATTGAACACGAGGCACCGGCGCTTTGTCGACGTCAACAGGTTCGAGTCCCTGATTTCGTGTCTTAATCTTCTTGATATCCCTGTGTGTCTTCGATTTCCCCCAACCTACATGTCCGACATTATCAGCCTTTGTCAAGTTCTTGAACTCAGGCTGTCCGGTTCCCAAGTTGTTGAACTTTGAGCCTCCTTCTCGAGCAGCCGCTTTCTTCTCCGCTCGGGTTTTCTCGACCAAAGCAGCAAAGCCTTGTGCCACAGAAGCCTCAACAGTCCCTGATCTGACCCCTGGAGGTATCTTGCCGTCTGCTTTTGCGCCCTTGTTTACCGTCTGCTTGCGCTCCGGCTTCGTCGTCGGATCAGAGGACCCCTTGTTTTTGACCGTCTTGCTCGCTTTGGTTCTTTGATCAGCTTGGACCGTCAGTACGTTTTTCAGGACGTCTAAGGTCCCTTCAAGCAGCTTCGCTTGTCTCTCAGCGGCCTTGGACGGAGCGCCTTGTATCGGCGGGAAGTGCGACTTCAACGACCGTTTCGTGTTCGCGTCATTCTTCTTGCCGTCCTTTCCCTTCGTAGCAGCTTCACCCGTTGTCCCTTGAACAGGCTCTTGTGTTTCTTGGAGGCTCTTCAGGATATCGAGTGTTTCCTTCCATAATTGAACTGTCTCATCAGGTTTGTTCGAGGCATCGGCGGCCGCCGCAGCTTTCTCTTTGCTGGCCTTGGGCGGACTCGGCGTTTTCTTCTTCTGTCGGCCCGCTGGTTTTTCACCCTTTTTAGCCTTTGCAGTTTGTGCTTTGCGTGAGCCCGGTTTGTCTGCCTGCGAAGGTTGGGCTGGTGCTGAGTCGTCCGCAGTCTCAGAAGCCGTCTTCTTCGTCGCGTAGGTTCGGCTTAGGGCGGCCTCTCGACCGTGGGCACCAGTGCCCTGGGAGACATGGGCGCAACATGAGGCGCAAACATAACGTGTGCGGATGCCACGACTGCCTCTCAGCCTCAAGGGAAGCATTGTTCACGCAATTGGTGAGCAGACCGCGGTGGCATGTCTGGATGACGCTTGCAGAGAACAAGCGCCCAGAAAATTTCCCGAGTATGCGCGCCCCGATAAGATACCACCCGCCGCTGCAGGGATCTTAGCTGTTGGGCACGCTCAGGGATCACTCCAGGTTTCGCCCTGTCAAAGCAGTAGCTTTAAAGGAATTTTTACCAGTCAAAATAAGCTCTTGACTCTTTGGTTGAGTTATTACTGAGCCCGTAGCTACTAAAGGGGTATATCCCGAACCCAGCCCAACAATCATCTGTAGATCAATACACCGTCATCACAAGCCAAAGCCGCTCCTGGGTGAACGCCCACATGCAGACCATATGCTGAACCCCCTCTCAAATCATGCAACATTACTTTTCGAAATCATGACGCGCAAGTTCAAGGCCTTGTTGTCTTTTGCGGCAGTCCCCTTGCAGCAAGTATCCATCAGGCGCCGAGAAATGACCAGTTCCAGTTCATCACATCTTCTCAAGTCCCCTCGGGCTTTACGAAAGCCTGATTCGCATGCCGCGTCCCATCCTCGCGCAGCCGTTCCGCCTCTTCAATCTCCCCCTGCATCTCTTCCGTCTGCGCCAGCATGCCGTCGCCTACACTCATCCACAGCAGATTGCCTGCCTTGTTGGCCTGTTGCCGCCCCGCCCTGGCGCTCTTGACGGCCTGGTCACCGACGACGTTCTCGAAGAGCACCGCTCTCATCAGGTTCAGCGCAACAGCGAGAAGCTGAGTGTTGTTTGCGCCCTGCGCCCATTTCAGGCCGACCTGGATGTGTTTCTTGACCGTCTGCATCGATTGGCGCGGTTCCGTCTGAAGTGCAGCCTGCATGAGATTGAACGCGGTGCGGATGTCGACATCTGCGTGGTCAGAACAGTACGGCGTGATCTTCTCGATAAGGTCGGTGAGCTTTTCGTCGTCTCGGTGGGACGGGTCTTGCATGATCCAGACCCTGTTCATGGCTGCAAGGAGGGCTACCTCAGAAGGCGGCGTGCCCGGATTGCCATTTATGGTACCGGCGGCTGGGATCATAAAGCGCTGGTCGCTGAATATTTGGAGCGCTCTGTCAATGTCTCCAGTACCCTGGTGATACACTCCAGTCACATAAAGCACCAGCAGACTGAGGCGGCCGCCCTCGGGCTTCGGGTTTAGTGCCTCGATCTTCTGGATGCAGTCATGCACTCTGCTCCATTGTGTACGTGTTGCTGATATCAATGCAATGAGGGCGTAGATGTAGCACTTCACCTCCGCTTGCCACCTGGCCTGTTCTATGGCCATTGGTAACGAGTGAGCGGGTGTTCGTGCATGGGCAGGAACTAGATTACCCATTAGATGTGTGGTCAACAAAAAGTTCGGGGATACTACCTACTCTTACCCAGCATGTTCAAGGCCTCCGTCCAATATTCCATGACCTTTTCACTCTTAGATCCTTGGTACAGTAATGCTAGACCGCTCAAGACGTATCTGAGAATACAATTAGCGAGGTCTGTTCAGAATGCGGTTCTCGGGGACCTTACGCTAGAACGAATGCATGAACTTTGGTGACAAATGACAAGACAATGAAGTTGTGTTCCCCGTCTCCAGATTGAATGATGGTCTTGGTATCACTCGTAACCGAGGCGCCCGAGTTGGACTGCTTCTTGAGCGGAAGATGGAGTTGGTCCAACATCTTGTCCCAGTCGTGCGCCTGAACGAGCTCATCCATACGGGCTTGCAGCGCCTTCAGCTTTTGCATGGCCACCTGTGGCGCCTTTTGCTGCAACGTGCAGGCTAGATCCAGGAGGAGGATGAGCACCTCAACTTGAGGGATCTGAACAGACGGATCGAGTTGATATCTTGACGCCTGAGCTATGCATGTTTGAACACGTACGATCGAGTCATCTTTCCTGGCCTTGAGGTGTGTTATTCCCTCAAGAAGAGACGTCAGTACTGCTATTGCAAGGTCGCCTCGCTTGCTTGCAAAGCCTGTGATGTTGCGGAGATTTTCCAGAGCCTGGGCATCGGCTGGGTTGCTGGATTGGAGGTGGAGAGAAGCCTTGAGGAACCGGAAAGCGTACACCCAGTCGACCGCTTTGTACGTAATAGCATCCCCTATGTTCTTGTCTATCTCAATGAAAGCGGCTTTGCGGTTTCTCCTGAACAGGACCTTGAGCAACTGAAATTGCATGCAGTATTTCAGATCCGTGAACCGGTTCTTTTCGCAAACTGCAATTCCCTTGGTCAACGCGGTCTCTGCTTCCATCAAATTGTCGGTCTCTTCGCTCAGCGCTGTTGCATATCGCAGCCGGATGTTCGCCTCAGCCCGTGGAGGCAGCTTGTTCAGGTTGAGCGCAGCGTCGAGACAACCAAGTCCCGTCGCGATGAGCTTGTAGTATTCGTCCACGCGCTGCTTGTCAAGCGACGTCGCTATGTCATGTACAGCTGAATGCGCTACCTGGAAGCAGTCGTCTGCGACGCATGTCAGAACGGCAGGTGTGTCGAAGTGGCTGGTTGGCGTTTGCACGTGCGACATGCTAGGTGATTTGGTCAAGATATTCGGTGATATTGTGCTAACAGGGGCTGGTAAAGACTTCCGTGCGGGCGCGGGCGCGGGCGCGGGTGCTGGCGCTGGGATCTCCCTCTTCAACATGAGTTGAGTGGGATCTATCCCGTCAAATACGTGCTGCTGTGCCTGAACCGCTGGTGCGGGTTGTTTGCGTTCTGGGGACGGTTGTGGAGGCGGTTGTGGAGGTTGTTGTGGTTGCAACGTAGGTTTCGTTTGTGCTGGCGGCGGTGCTGGCGACGGTAGTGACGGTTCAATTCTTTGAGGCGTTTGTACGCTCGGGGATGGTTGTGAGTAGGTCGATGGCACGCGTTGACTGTCCACTCGCGGAGAGTGTAATTTCGGCGCAGGTTGTAGCTGGGTCGATGGGATGTGCGAGGCTGCAACACTGGGAGAATGTAGTTGTTGTGCCAGCGGTGGTTTCGCCGCAGGCACGCGTGCACTGCTCGCTCGTGGGGATTGGTACGCTTGTGCTGGCTGTGGTTGTATTGGAGGTACTTGTGGACTGCTCACGAGGGGAGACTGTACTTGTTGCGTTGACTGCAGCTGCCCTGGTGGCATATGTGGGCTGATCACTCGCGGGGATTGTAATTGCTGCACCGACCGACGTTTCTGGGGGATGAGTTGTGGATGCGAAATTGGTTGTTGAGGTTGTAAGGGCTGTAGAGGCTGCGCAGGTTGCGAAGGGATTCGCTGATTTATCGGTCTGGGAGAGGGAGTCGCTACTTGCGGCGGGTAGTTGTGGTGGGAAATGTATTGAGGATGGGGTTGAAGCTGAGGTTGCGACTGAGGTTGAGGCTGCAGTTGAGGCACTTGCGCATGGTGCTGATATGCGCCATTGCTGAAAGGCTGCTGGTGGTGCTGCTGCTGATGCGGTCTTTGGTGCTGCTGCTGTTGCTGCGCGTGGAAGTTGGTCATGGCGGCAGGGTGCGCGTGTGCCTGCTGCGCCTGAGGATGGACTTGGGCATGGGCATACTGCGGCATCGACTGCATCTGGGAGTTCGAGGTAGGCATAGGGAGGAAGTGGGCGCCAGCCTGGTACTGCTGGTTGCCCATATATGCCATCGAGTTTCCGGATCCATATTGTTGTTGTTGTTGTTGTTGTTGTTGTTGCTGCTGCTGCTGATGCTGATGCAGCTGATGCTGATGCTGATGCTGATGCGGTTGATGCTGCTGTTGCTGATGGTGTTGCTGGTGCTGGTGCTGTTGATAGCCAGGCTGAGGGGGCATCTGCTGATAGCCATGGCCATTATAGGCCTGGCCATGGCCATGGCCCGGAGGCTGCTGGCCCCAATTGTTCATGGCGACATCTGCCACTCCCCGCGCTCACTGCCAATAACCTCCCTCCTACAGCTTATTTCATCCACCAGTCTTTCAATGTCGTGGTCATCTAATCGTTACGGCAGTCATCGTTCGGTCGAGTCGTCTCTGGAGCATGGGATGTGATGGGGAGAGCGGTGTAAGGGGTAAAGACACACAGCACCTGCTACCAAGCAGGACGGAAAAGGATCAAGATACAAAGGACGTCGAGGTTGAAGATGCCGATCCCTGGCCAGATGCGGCTTCAGGGAAGTTGGAGGCCGCGACCGCCACGTGCGCCCGATGGTCCGTGCACATGCACCTGTCATCGGCGCCGCGGTCGGCAAGATGCCCGAGAGGAGCCGAGGCAGCATTGGGACGGGACGGCAGGACGGGGGCCCGGAATCTGGAAATCTGGAAATCTGGGATCTAGATCTCACCAAAAGGCAAATCCAGGGGCCCCACCATTTCTGCCGATGACAGTTCGCATGTTGCTGCAGGTCTGATGCACCAAGTTTCTAATATAGAGAAGGTTATCTTGCATACGGAGATACCACATTCTCATCCTTGGACTACCTGCCACCCTGTGAAAATCCTATCTGTATATCCCCTCTCATTCGCTACTTTAATTACTCTCAATCGCTCACTGCAACTGCTGCGTCCATTCTCTCTTGGCAGTCCAAGTCCTCGAAACTGTCCCGCTCACTCGTCTTTCGAGCCTTGCGACGGTCACCAATGGACTGGTTCGGCCGTGCCAAGATAAACTACACTCACCATGTCTCTCCCCTCGCGCTCAAGGAGAAGGACGGCAACCAGACCGACCTGTTGAAGATCATCGAGAAGGTCACCCCGACATGCCAGCTAAACCCCTTGCTCTTCAATGGCCACCTACAGACCATGTGGACGGCTGTGGGTAAAGCCGCGCCTCAGATCTACTACAAGAGAAAGATCTTCAACGCGGACCACCACACCTATACCGGCACATTTGCTGTGGACTTCGTTACACCTCCACACCAGGAACGCGATGAGGCCCTGCCGCCACGGACGTCATACTTCAGTGATGCCGAATTCGAAGCGCAGGCCTCGGATGACAGCAAGCCCATGCTCATCGTGCTCCACGGTCTGTCCGGAGGTTCGTACGAGGTCTATCTCCGCCACTGCATCGAGCCGCTAATCTCGGAGGGCGGCGATTGGGAGTGCTGCGTTGTCAACGCGAGGGGCTGCGCGGCCAGCGAGGTCACCAGCGGGGTGCTCTTCAACGCGAGGGCGACCTGGGACGTCAGGCAGGTCGTGAGGTGGGCGAGAAAGGCGTTCCCGAATCGGCCCCTGTTCGGCCTGGGTTTCTCGCTTGGCGCCAACATCCTGACCAATTTCGTGGGCGAGGAGGGCTCCAACTGCCTCCTGAGCGCGGCCGTCGTCGTCGGCAACCCCTTCAACCTGGAGGTGTCCAACATCCAGCTCCAAAGCTCGCTGCTTGGCAAGGAGTTATACCAAAGGGTCATGGGAAGTTCGTGCAAACAGGTGCGGCCTAATTTCATTTCTGTGTCAGATACTGACGACATGTCCTCCCAGCTAACATGAGAAAGCTTATCCTGCGCCACAAAGAATCAATAATCAAACACACGAAGCTAGACTTCGACGCCATTCAGAACGTCACCTATCTCTACGAATTTGACAGGGAAGTCCAGTAAGCAGACTCGCCTTGGGACATGCAACAGTCTGAATGCTAAGCATTTTTAGGTGTATATCTTGGGGGTATCCCACGGAGTCAGCCTACTACCGCGATGCTTCCTCGAGTGACTCGGTGCTCGCAATTCGGATACCTTATCTGGCAATCCAGGCCGCAGACGATCCTGTAAGTCTTCCGCCGATGTTAAGACATCGCGGGGAAAGAATGTTAACAATGCACAGATCGCCGTGGAAAAGGCTATTCCCTACCAGGAGTTCAAGAAGAATCCGCATACAGTCTGCATGACAACCTCCCTCGGTGGCCACCTCGCCTTCTTCGAGGTGGGCGGTGGTCGCTGGCACGCAAAGCCGGTATGTTGCACGCGAGCCCAGAACCTGCTCGGCATACGAGCCCTGCTGACCATTCTAGGTGACCAATTTCTTGAAACATATGGCGACGAATGTAGATCTTCAGTCCATCAACAACCAGGTCAACGGCAACACTGTCCTAAAACCACAGTACGGGTCAGGCTTCGACCCTATGCGCCGGAAGATGGAGGTCAAGATCACAGAATAGACCACTAAAGCATTGACGGTACACGGAACTAGATGGTAGCTTGCAGACCAGGAAACGGCCAATTATAGACAGGATAGACTTGAAAGTTTTAGACTAGACAGAGACAGAGACGAGGCGCATTATGGCCTGGGGTATATGATTGTTATCTAGGCAAATATTAGACTAGAAAATTGTCCTCGATCGGATCCCTGATTTTCATAGCCCATCCCATGTATGAAACGGCCTGTGACTGACAGCAGACACACGGGAACCTAAATAATACAAGACAGATCAGATCATCCACCTTGCATCATGACCTGTTCCGACTAGGAAACCGTAAGAGCAGGTAGCGCGTAGAGAGTCCCTCAGACGCCATCCTTTAAGAAGGCCATCTTTGATAAGATGATTGTCCTTTCAATCAGGCCTATCACCATGCATCGAGACCAAGTCAAGCCTTCCGCCAAGCCCTTGAAGCCGACTTTTGATAATCCGTTGCCCGTCTTTCCGAAAACTCCAAAAACGCCATGCAATGAATCCACCCCTCCTTTAGGTATGCATGCATGCCCCGTCAAGTGACTCAGCTTGGCCGATCCTCACTCGATAAAAGACACGCGCTTCTTCTTCTTCGGCTTGACGGCCTTGGTGCCCTGAAGCTCGACGTGCCTCATGGACCTCTCGTTGGCCTTGTCGTCGTCCGCCTCGGAGCGCTCCGGCCTCTTGCGCTTCTTGCGCAGCGAATCCTTGGTTTCGTCCAGCTTTTGCTTCCGCTCCGCCGCCTTCTTCTCGGTCTCCTGCTTGCGTGCCTCGCGGATGGCCTCCATGTGCCGCGCCTTCATCATCTTGGACTCGATCTGGCCGTCCTTCTCGGCCTGGACTATGGATAGAATCGTGTTCATGCTCTCCTGTACGGTGCCTCGTATGTTAGCGACTAGGTTTCTATGCAGGAGAGATAGAGAGTTTGCTGGTGAAAGAGTCGAGGATTTCTTACCCGGTCATCGACAAAGACCTTGCCCTTCTTCTTGCCCTTGGGCTTCTCCACGCCGATGGGCGTCACCATGTTCAGCGCTGGTATGTCGAGCTCCTTCTCGCTGTAGACCTTCTTCTTGCGCTTCTTCTGCAGCTCCTTGGCGAGCTGGCCCGGTTTCACGGGCGCCTTCCTGCCATCCTTGACCTTCTTCGCTTTGACGACGGGGTCATTCTCGATCCTGCTGGCGGCCTTGCTGTTTTTGATGCCAGAGCCACGAGTGGCGTGCTTGTTTTTGACCGTCTTCGTCCGTGCGGCTCCCATTTTGTATCGTGGGTATGGTGCGCGCGGCTGTTGGTTGCGGGTGCGATCTTCAAAAGGGTCCAGGTCTTGTCGCGAAACTTTTTGGCGGGAGATCTAGACAGCGGTGATAAGAACCCTTATCGCACTCTGTGCCTCGTGGCGGCCCCCCTCCTAACCCGCGACCCCCCCCCCCCCGCCAACAACAACATGGCTGAAGCCACTCAAAGATTATCGCGATAATCGCTCGGAAGAGATTGATAGTTCCAAGAACGAAGCAGCTCAAAACTTAGGCTTGAAAACTTATGACTTCTTCCTGGGGTCTCAGGATACTGAAGATTTGCACCGGCAGAATCAAATTGCTATGACTACCACATCATTCAGAATCTGGTGGTCTACAAGTCTACACGACGAACTCTCCTCAACTACGACCTCTCGTGAGAATTAGATCTGTGGGCGCTTCTGATTGCTCAGATCGTCAAGACCTTAACTGAAGGATAAAGCTTCGATACGAGATGTCCTTTCAAGCGTGATGCCAGATTCGAAGGAGCGAGACGAAAGCAGTCGGTAGTAGCTGAAGCGGACACCTACGAAGCGCCCCTTGGAGCTAAAGCTAAGCCACCGGACCTCGTAATAAGTCGGCCGAAGAGGACGATGGACACGACAACCAGTCCTCGCAGGTTCGCGGCTGCACCAACCTCGGATCATCCTAATTGGATGCTGCGCACGACAGAAGACTTCGATAAGTATCCGTCACTCACAAGCCGAGGCACGCACCTCTACGCGGCTGACTTCAGAACAGCTCAGAACAGCAGAGGTAGCATGGCCATTGGATGATGTCCTAGCGGCGGCTCTTGGTTCTGAGATGCGGCCGCGATGTGATTCCTGCCGGTTTGAGGCTTGGTGGTCTGCAGGTGGTGCAGCATCTATTCATTGAGCCGCCGGCCCAATCGCTAGTAAGCTGCCACGCACTGGTGGTGCCGGCATCGAATGCGGCGGCATTTTGAAGGCGTGGTACTGTCAGCCGCGGACTGGCGTCGGAGAGGAGGCCTCTAATAAGAAAGGTCTGTATTAATCCAGGCCGCCCAATGGCTAGGAGTACAAAAAGTACAACATAGGTTCGCTGACGCCGCCTTGGAGGTCTTCAGTATGGATGAGAGCCATGGTGGGCCACGAGATGACCGACCGTATCTGAAGCCTCTGCTAGCCATGGTAGCAACGCAGCAAATGCTGAAACTGCATGATGCTGGAGAAAGCCGTTGAGGGGGGTTCAGGATGTGTGGGTTTCTAAAAACAGCAGCTCAGTCCCATCATGACCAGGGCGGTTGGGATCTGACAGTGCACTAACAACTTGGCAGCCAGCGACAAGGACGGCGCTGATGAGGCAGTAACTGACCACTGCAGTGCACAGTGAAACTGGATCAATGGGGACTGGGATGACGCCACAGGATACTTCGTAACGCTGTCGTGCGCAGTTGTCGATCGTCCCATAATTATAATCTATGGGATATGGGGTTGGATGGTTCTAAGGTTGCCCAGCCAGACTGGATGAATGAACAACGCAGCCCAGTGCCCAGTGGGCCAGACAGCCTGTTAGCCCCGACCACACCCCAGTCTCGTCCAAGTCTCTGCCGAAAGAACCCACTTGTTGCCCCGTCTGCTGCATTTGCTGCGCGAAGGTCAACGTCAGCTCTGCTGGCTTGCCTGTCACTTGCGATCAACAAAACGGATGAGTAAGAGATGGATGGGGCGCTGCTGCAAGCCAGCTAACAATTCGAGCAACAAACAAGCCAACCTGGACTGACGACGACCTGTATTATCCTGGCATCAACACAGTCAAAATCTCTGCCACCACCCGCTGCCTGTGAGACAACCTCACATCCTGTGGTCATTTGGCTTTATCCCTCTGATTTGCCCTCTCTGTATCTCTGTGACCATCTTCATTGTCATCTGCGCTGTTGTGGAGCAAAACGTCTGACAGCCACAACTCATCTGTTTGTTTTGATAAATGATTCTGGACTCAGCCTTCCTCTAAGTCTGGCGTGACAGGGACTTTGACCAGTACAGCCTTCTTTGCTTGGGTCTAGACAGGGATAGCCACAGCTGCATCAAAGCGGCAGCGCATTTTCAAGATTTCGGGTCCCTGAAACCAAAACCTCCTGAAAGCCCGATCCTGCTCTCCTCCCCAAAACTCCATTCAACAACTCTACCCTCCCGCCCGTCTTGGCCCCCCCATCTCCAAACCCCCATCTCCGTCTCCGTACATACCCTTTTTTTCTCCGACACAATAATACTCGCGACGACACCCACACTCGTTCAGCATCGTTCTGCAACTTGCCTGTTTCCGTCGCTCGTTCCTTCGCCTTCGGTTCACCCTGCCGGTTGTTACATTGAGATCTGGTTAGGATCGAGGTTAATCTCTAGCGTCTGGTCGTTACGCGAGCTGAGCTGAGCGCGGCTCTCGCCTTCCGTCATGGCTTCCAACGACTACTACAACCAGGACCACCTCAACAAGCCTCTGCCCCCGCCGCTGAGTACCTCGCCTGCTCCGATGGATGGTCCCCATCGACAGGACACTGTCGGTACCTACGCCAGTTCGCAATATTCCCAGCGAGGCAACACCATCCCCGCCCATCAAGCCTACCCAGCGAGATCCGACACTTACGCCTCAACTGTCCCATCGCTCCCCTCAATCCCACCACAGCACAGGCAGGACACGTACACTTCGTCGGTCTACACCGCGCAAGCACCTTACGGCGCACCATCTCCAGCGCCCGCGCCCTCTCTGTACTCTAATGCTCCGTCCTACTCGAACCCCCCTTCTTACACGACCCAACAACATCTGGGCACCCAGCCACCAGGGCAGAACCCTTCGCCAGTCTCAAACACCTCCGCGTCGCCCTTCGATACCGTGTTCGATGACCATGCCTACCCAGCGACCTCTTACCAGTCTGCAACGTCAAGTCGCCAGCATCTGACAGGCAAGGATACGTCGTACAATGGCGGAAATGGTTCGCCGTCCGACGACCGGGTACATTCGCAAGATGCCATTCCCCTGCAGGACCGCGCACCCAAAGATCCAAATGATGATCTCGACCACGTCTACGAGGCGCCGCGGCGGAGCAGGACGCAGAAGAAGCAAGGCGTGCGGTTTGGCGAGCTGGGCATGTTCGGCGCATACGGCAACCGCATCCCTTGGGTCGTCTACATTTTCACAGTGGTCCAGGTTGGCGTTTTTATCGGCGAGGTTGCCAAAAATGGTGAGGCTGCTCTACATCGCTTGTATCATTGACGATTTAAAACTGACATATCTTGCAGTCATCGAGACCGGATCTCCAATTATGATAAAACCCTCCTTCAACCCCATGATCGGCCCTTCGACGTACGTTATGATCAACTTTGGTGCAAGGTTCACGCCTTGCATGCACAACGTGGACGGCATCACGAACGCCAACGAGACTATCAGCTGGCCGTGTCCCAACACCACCTCTTCCGACACTTCCTCATATACTTGTACCTTGTCCGACCTGTGTGGATTCGGGGGGATTCCCGAGCCCAAGTACACTGTTGACGCAAGCATGAGCGACAAGCCAGAACCCAATCAGTGGTGGCGCTTCATCCTGCCCATGTTCATGCACGCTGGACTGATCCACATCGCCTTCAACCTGCTACTCCAGCTGACAATGGGCAAGGAGATGGAGAGGTCTATCGGGTCGCTCCGGTTCTTCCTGGTCTATGTGAGCTCTGGGATATTCGGATTCGTTTTGGGAGGAAACTACGCTGGCGCCGGACTGGCTTCTACTGGTGCATCCGGCTCGCTCTTCGGCGTCATCGCTCTGACCCTGCTCGATCTCTTCTACTCATGGTCCGACCGCGTCACGCCCGTCAGGGACTTGATGTTCATCATGCTGGACATTGTTATCTCGTTCGTCCTCGGGCTCCTACCAGGTGTCGACAACTTCTCTCATATTGGCGGATTATTGATGGGTCTCGCGCTGGGCCTCTCAGTGCTGCATTCACCGAACGCGCTGCGGCGCAGGATAGGCGATGACTCGCCTTACTCGACAGTCAACGCGGGCTACACAGGGGACAAGCCACCAGGATTCCTCAAGAACCCTGTTGGCTTCTTCAAGGGTCGAAAGCCGTTCTGGTGGGCCTGGTGGCTGGTCCGTGCCGGTGCGTTGCTGCTGGTGTTTGTCGTCTTCATTGTGCTGCTGCAGAACTTTTACGTCTATCGTAAGACCTGCAGTTGGTGCAAATATCTGAGTTGCTTGGTGAGTCCCATACAGTACCCTCGAATTCAAGGGGTGATTGCTAACTCATTTAACAGCCTGTCAGCAACTGGTGCAACAGCGGGCTTACGTTTACATAATCGTCGTGTCACGGCCATCGTCGAGGCGAGAATTGGTCTCAGGTGTCGAATTTCGTATCTCAGACAAACAGGACACATTGCGAACGTATCTTCATTTGCAGGAAACGGCAATGCATTGCAACATCTAGCGTGACGGATACACGAAGAAAATCAAGGGAACGGGAAATGGCTCGGTTGTGATCATCGCACAAGCGGCGGAGTTTGGATGGCTTCTGTGTGGCTAAAAACTCATATGCAGATATACTCAGTCGACTATGAAAGTCTAAATGGTGGAGAGGAATACTCTAGGCAAGGAAAGCCGTGCACTTGCTCATCCATGAGCATTGGAGGGAGACAGTCCTCTGTGGTCAAATGAGCATCAGGACTCAGGATGAGCATATTGGATTATCTGGACAAGCATAGACATTGGTGTTCTAGTTGCATTTCACGCATGAAATAGGCCGGATTGGATTTCGGCAGTTATACCAGTGGAATTTCCAACATTCCTTGCCTACTCACTCAATGGATTCCGTGACAAGTCGCACGGCTCCCTATAGAGAAAGCATATAGACAAAGCTAGCATGGTCTTACGCTCTCACTTATTCCAGACACAATCTCAATCTCAAATCGTGAGACAGTAACATCGCGCGCTGGGACTCTCTTTTCAAGGGTCCTTCTCCATGCACATCACCTCAGGCAGCCCGCCGGTCTCTCCCCTGCACGCAGCCGTGGGCTCCCCGGTAGGTGACAGGTCATGCCATTAGTACTCACAACGTACATATGCGGGGAAGATGACCGTCCCCTGGGTCTCACACTCCTTTCTATACCCAAATCGCGTCCGAGCCAGATTCCTAAACTTCCTCCGCTTCATTTCCCTCCGTGCCTAACGGAGAGGTGTTTTTTTGTCCCGATGTCGATCTGCCCGTTGGTCTCTGGATACCCGTGTGAACAGACGCGTCGCTCGGCATTGTCTCATCTTGGTTTCCTTCTGAGACCTTTGGCCTCGCACATACCATGTGCCGCGTCGAACGAACTGACGGTCACGCGACCACACGGTAAACGACTACAAGCCCGCTGAGGCCGCATGCGCAGAAGGTAAGCTTTCGAGCTTGCTATTATACTCTTACTGTACATACAAGACATACATGCCTTTGTGTGTATAGTGTTCATTATGTGATGATTCAACCAATTTTGCATGGCTTAACTGATGACCCGTGACACGGTCTGTTGATGCCAAACATTGTATTTTCTTACTGAGTCTGATCTCTCTCTCCTGGCCGACTGCTTTATTCTGTCTGTACATGTGTCTGTTGTCAGATAGCTGACTGCATTCCCGTGGCTCTGTGTCCTCCAGAACTGTGTCTCAGTCACATTTGAGAGGTGCCTCAGATTGAGACCTCATCAGCCAACGTACGGTTCCAACGTCCGATTCTAACGTCCGGATTGGCCATGACCATTCAACAGAGTGGATTTGCGGGCTTCGCATACTTTTTAAAATATGTTCAGCCTCCAAAAAATACACCTGTACCTGCGGACAGGGCGTCAATATGGACGCGAGGTATGTGATGCGAACATCGCGTCTCCACTGACATCCCAATGCGCTCAATGAGCCATATGACAGCAGGAGCTCACACGGCCTCTCTTCATCACGGATAGCTGGGTATCGCGTTGTCCCTTCCGGGCTTTTCATAGAATCGTGCTTGCAGTCGTCGAATCGTCGTAGTAACAGCTGCTTGAGCTACGCCGCTGCCCTCTTTGTTGGCTCGACTCCTCGTTTGCCCCTTTTGATGCTCTATACCGCAAGACCGGGTTCCTGTCGAGTATAATGCCGGCTGGTGCTTGCCTGGGCTTATTATATAGCATTAGCAAGCTGGTGACGTTGACACACCCGTCTCATTCGACCATAGACGTGCTCCCACACTCGGCTCGAGGTGTATGGGTTGGGATAACGCTGTGAAGCCATCCTCTTTCATCTTTTGCAATTTGATTTTCGAATCTCATCATCCAACGCTCAAGTGATATTCCTCGAAGATGCTGTCCACCTTGTGTCTCCACTGCGGCGGCAACGCCTCCTGGATGCCGCGGACCTGGTTCTCGCCCGTCTTCCCAAGGAGCCACAGGTCCTCGTACGGGATCCACAGCTTGAAGAAGTGCGCGAGCGTGATGAGGGCCCGCGGGCGCCGCTGCGTCAGGAAGTCGTGGTACACCTCGGGCATCCAGACGGCGAAGCCGATGAAGCGGCGGCAGACGGCGTACAGCGGCTCGCGGTCGGCGATGGCCTTCTGCACGGAGCCGATGTAGCTGAGCACGCGGTTGTAGATGCCCAGCGTGACCTTGTCCTGCAGCTCGTGGTCGCCCACGGCGTCCGTCGACCCCCGGTCGTTGTCGAGCACCCAGTCCAGGTGCGCGCGGTTCGCCGCCGTGAACATCTCGTCCGGGTCCATCCGCGGCATGCTCTTGAGGAACCGCGTCGTCTTGTCGCCGCTGCCGCTGCCGCCGCTGCCGTCCCCCCGGAACCCCAGGTAGCCCCTCGCCACCGTCAGCACGGAGCCGGCGCCCTTGCCCATGCGCAGCCACTCGAGCGGCGGCTGCCACGGCCGCACGGGCAGCGTCTGCACGAGCGCGAACGAGTTCTGCAAGATCGTCAGCGACGACATGCACACGTTGTCGGCGTTCTCGCGGCTGAGGTTGCCGACGGCCTGGCGCTGCTCGCGCAGGGCCATGGACAGGTACTTTTGCTGGCACAGGCGCAGCTCGTCGCGCTCGCGGGGGTCGCTGCTCTTGGTCCACATGTTGAGCGCGCTCGACGCCAGCATGCTGTACAGGATGGCGTCGTCCTCGAACGCCAGCAGCGGGATCTCGCGCCCCCACAGGAACGCGCCCTGCCCGAACCCGCTCGCCTCCGGGTCGTCCACCTCCCTGTCCTCCAGCGCGACCGACGGCACCGGCTGCGGGCCGTGCGCCCGCTCCGTCTTGGTGCCCGCGAACTGCTGCGCCGCGTTGACCATGTAGTTGTGCATCAGCCGCAGCTCCCAGATCCGCCGCTCCTTGGACTCGGGGATGTCCAGGATCTCCGGGTCGGTCAGGTGCGAGAGGTAGTCGTTGGCCTCGCGGACGATGCTCCCCGTCTGCGACGAGGAGCTGTTGCTCACGACGGAGGGGGCGCGGCTCGAGAGCGGCGGCAGGGCGCCTGATGGGGAGTAGCCTCCGGCATGGGACGGTGACAGGCCGCGGCCGGCTGAGTACGGTGTGTACCCCGGCGTCATGGGGGAGAATCCGCCGGGCTCTACGGGGACGGGGAGGGAATGTGGCTCCGGGCCTGGAGTACGGGCCCATGATTCGGGATTGCCGGGTACAGAGGCCGACGACGGGTTCGGTGAGAAGCCCTGGTCACTGTGGCCGGAGGAGGACTCGGCGCGGGTCACCCGGAGGCTGATGCCGGCGGCGTCCTGCCGGACATTGCCATGGGAAGGACCTCCACGCGAGGGATAGACACAGTCCACTAGGTGGCGGCTACAACCGCTGCATGAAGGACGTGCTTCATCGCACTATAATGTCATGCTATGTCAGCAGTTGGTAAAGACAATCAAAGCTGTCCAAGCTTGGGTCATAAGAAAGTCTGTTGGTGGACAGACGAGGGGTGAGAAGAAGCAGTCAATAGGTCTCTAGGCGAATGATACGACGTGTATATATGATAGCCCCCCGTCCGCCGTGGCGACACCCCACTCTGCTGGGTGTAGGAGATAGAGATTAAAGCAACTTACCTTTACTCGGCGAGCCTTGCATCTGAGACAGCCCATTCTCGACTTCTTGTGATAGAGCCGAGGCCCCACGGCGCGGCGCGTGAGCTCGGGGCCCGGACCGGACCGATTGTAATCATCGCTACGGCTGTCTCCCATCGTAGTGTCGTCCATTGCCGGCGCCGGATCGGACCCGGGGCCTTCAAGGGGATCGTGCTCGCGCGTCGGGTCGTTGACGGCTCTGAATCTCAGGCCGCGAGACGACTCTGAGATCGGCGGCGGAGTCGGCATTTGGGTCATCGAGACAGCGAGCGAAGGATGAGCTTGCAAGTGGGGGCCAGGACCGCCGAATGCCAGGTTCCAAGGATTGTTGGTTGGACTGGTTCGCTTCTCGGAAATGGCAACAAGTGACGGATGGAAAGTTCCGAGGCGTTTCCTCGGACAATTCCGCCCTGGCTTTTTTTCAAACAAGAATAGTCAGAAGGGGGAATAGTTTCATCGCAGCCAAGACCATTTTCTTTTCGAGGCTGGGGCGCCCGTAAGGATGACACAGGTGGATTTAAGGGCATATCAATACCCCGTGGGTGGCACAGGGCGATCTCATCGGGGCTGCAGCGTCTCGCTACGCTAGCCCGACGCCGTCACCATTCCGGCGGATAAGACCAATTCCGCCTCTGTGGCCTCTGAAATCCTGCCAGTCTCGTTTACCTTCCTCCCTATGCCATGCCACAACTCGGGTGTCCTGATTGAGAGGACAGAATGCAAGAAATTTACATGGCCATCCTGAGCCCGGATCGGCGTGTTTCTGATGCTCTTGATAGGGCGCATTGTTCATCTTGTACTGTCGTGCTCCTCCCGGAAGGAACGGCATTGCATGACGGGCCGCCGTGCTGACAGGCGTGGCTGACAGAGGCTTACATGACTGACAGTGCTGACGCCGCGAAATATCTAGTCACAGCACGACCCCTGAAGGCCTTCGCCGTCCGAATCCTATAATATCTGATGTTGTGCCCATTCCGGCTGCATGTGCCAGCAGATGCCAGTGTGCCATCAAGGGCTCCATCAGTGAACGGCTCTCGGGTAGAGGAGCTATATCTTAACCTTCTATCGCGCAATTTGTGGGCCACAACTTGGGTTCCACTATAAGCTTTGTTGTAGGAGCATGCTCGGACGATTGAGGTTCATCACAAAGGCCCCTCGTGCTTCGGCATTGGTAGAACTGCCGGAGCGGCGGCCATGACGGGGCGAGTTCCGATGAGGCTTTCATTTGACTTCGACTGACATGCGCCATGTATAATGAGGCCTGGGGTTCAAGGTTTGACAGCTACCGCAAATAGAGGACCCAGCGCTGAGTAATAATACGCGCCGTTATTACAAACGAGTGATATATTCAGCGGTCGGCCCATATATGGGGTAAGCATTCATCCATTAGTAAAAAGCGTATGTTAGCTGCGAATAAATGACTGCAAATACGCGTATGTGGAATTAGGTGGCAGATAAATTATGATGACGATGGACTGGACGAGTCGCCAAGTTCCATCCAGACAGCATCCTTTGGCCGAACTCGCATGCGTTCCGTCCTCGCGGTTGCGGTGTCACTAATGGCGGTCACTTTCGCTGTAGTCACAGTCAGAGTTGATTTTCTCGGAGCTATCACATGCTAACTTGACGGTGTTCATTTCAAAGGACCTTCAGCGACCCATGTCTCTGACTCCAAAGCTTCGAGAACAGGGTCAAAATGTCCGACCTCTCGGGCGCACAGAATATATGAAGCAGAGTGGATACCGATCTCAAGCTGGCCCCTGTCCGACGGGTGCCTCAGAGATTGTGGTCGATTACCGTCGCCGGCGAGTCTGGCCGGGCTTCCTTGAGGCATCCGAAAAACCCGATTTCGTTCTGCCCTGGCCGTCTACGACTCGCGGCGCAGTGCTAGATGAAGACCCGAATCGAGAGATTTTCCCAAGGACACTGTTGGACTGAGAAGCCGCACAGCGCTCGTAACATGGAATTTCCACGTTCGATTGGCCTCAAGAGTGCAACCTAACTTCGACAATGGAGCACCGCCTCCGTCCGTTTCCTGTCCATCCAACCCACAGGCGTCGTTGACGGGCTAAATGATATGCGCAAGGACTCGAGCCATATTCAGTTAGATCTGCCGTGACTAGGTGGTCGGATGATGCTTCTCGATGCAGCATTTCAATGTCACAGCTTGGTCTTTCATCGCTTGGCCTTTCCTTTGCCCTTGCTGACCTTGGCTGCCTTCTGCTCATCTACGAAATCCTTGATGATGCCGTTCAGGTCTGCATTCCGCCGGGCCAGGAGCAGTACATCGTCGGTAGTGATGGATGTCCGGCCAGCATGGCGACTGAAGCTCTCCAAGTCTATGGCGACATTTTCTGCTCAAGCAGTCAGAACTCACAAGCGCCATACGAGGTGCCGCAGCTTGAGAATGCTCACCGATCTGGGTCCAGACCATCTCAGTCAAAGCACCGATGAACTGTGGTGTAGCATTTCTATTGCGTCTCAGGGACTGTTCGTCCACCATTTTGCCAACTGCGAACCAGAGCGCTGCTTTGAGGCGCTACTCATGAGAGTGTGTAAGTAGGTGTGTGAGTGACTGACGCGTCTAAGGCGCGTGTCCAAGACAAACAGCCTTTACTAACCTCGCGAACGTCTTCTTCTTCAGGTTGATCTGCCATCGTATGTCAAGCGTCCCCGACTTCGACAAAATTGTATAAGAGTTGCAGTCAGTGATAAGACTAGACAGTTCTCAGACAATGCTCCTTAACGATAGCAACTTTGAGAGTGGTCGTCGCGTTGAAAGATGCTTGGCCAAGAGCCAAATCGCACCCCTGGACAGATCAAAGGTTGTTAGTGAGACATCAGCAAATCATAGGGCGTCGGTTCTGGCTCACCACAACGTGTGGGGCGTCGGCCTAACCGGCCTGCCGGCCTAGCGTGTGCTTGTTAGCCAGTGCCGAGGGCGTTGTGGATCTCAGAAGGTTCAAACTTCGTCAGTGCGTCCTTTTGCCCAAAAGCTCGGGGCGCGCGACTGGACTACATGTCTTCGAAAAAAGCTGTCGAAATTCCCGCAATCCCACCCACTTCCAACTCTTCCACACCAATATAAATCCTGACACGCTGTCGTCTCGGAACGGCGACCTGCTGGCAAGCTGTGCATAACCACCCCGAACCATACATCGGCGGCCCTCGAGCTCAAAGTCTTCCGACAACCATTTGACATCGCTCATCCTCACCACCACAACCGCCCACCATGGACGGCATAACCAACGTCCTCTACATCGCATACGAGCGCTTCACGCGCAACCTACGCGGCAGCCTAGAGGGCATGTCGCCCGAGAAATGGATCAGGATCGTCATCATCGTCGGCACATACATGCTGCTTCGGCCGTACCTGCTCAAGCTGGGCGGCAAGGCCCAGATGAACCAGCACGAGAAGGAGGCCGCCGAGGCAGAGGCAGAGGCCGAGGCAAAGGCAAAGATGTCGCCCAACGAGCTGCGCGGCCACAAGATCGAGATTCCCGAGGACAGCGACGACAGCGACGCCGAGGTGGACAGCAAAGCGACGTCTGCCGACTGGGGCAAGAAGGCCCGCCGCAGGCAGAGGACCATGGTCAAGAAGCTGCTGGATGCCGAGGAGAAGAGGCTGCAGGAGCTTCAGGAGGACGATGAGGATAAGGATATCGAGGAGTTCTTGACGCAGTAGGGCTTGCCGGTCTTTGGCCGCGGATCGACTTGGGGAGCGGATAGTTTCTCAATCAAACGGCTTTACAATCCAGCATGTCATGCAGGGACGATGCAAACCAGTGGAGGTGCAAGTAAAACCCACATCAAATCACCAACTACAGCGAAAAGAACAAACTCGGCTCCATACGCCGAGGGAAAACCCTGCCGCTCTTGTCGGTATATGCCCAAACGCCGCCAAATGCTTCTTCTCCCTCGCATCATGCATGCAATACAGCTAACAAGCTTCAGACAAAACCTCGCTGACCGCGCTGGGTGTATTGCCGCTGAAGGGCTGGCCCAGTTGGCGCAGGCCATGGGTTCGTGCCACTTGCCCACTCATTGCTCCGCCAGGGGTTCCTTCGGTACACGTGCCCTTCAGGAAGATTTCTCGTGCCCATCTGCATGCCGTTGTCGTTGTGGACAGCCTGTCGAAGAGCCACACCGCGGTTTTGCGTTGCCGAAGCAGGTCGTCCCAGCCCTGGTTTCGCACTCTCATAGTCTTGGGGCTCATCCCAATAATATGAGGGGAGCCAAGGGCCGGACAAGGATCCCTGCCTGTGTGCCAGGTGCTCTTCACTGTTCTCAACGTCCTCATAAGGCACTTTGATAATTTCGGTCCTAATTGGCCCTGTCAGCATTGCATCGTCTATCGCTCACGGAAGCAGTTTACTTTTGTGTTCGCCTGTAATACACGTGGCCTGCTTGAAAGGCGATGCCTATGACACCAAACACGATGGTAATTAACGTGTTCAAGTCCATATCCCATGGGCTATCTACACCCTGGATGAGGATGATTGTGCCGTTGGAGGCGGCGAGAGGGAGGGTGGTGTTGTGTGATACGGTCATTGGTGCCATGTCTAAGTGCTCTCGGTTGCCGAAAGCTGTGGTGCCCTCACACGAGATATTGAGCGCCTCTGAAACCTCGATGTTGAGCAATACGACTGCAAGGATCAGGACCAACGCGCAAGGGGGAACGGCACAGCGAGGGCAAGGCTTTCGAGTTGCAGCAGGAATACTGACAAGGCACGATCCGGTGGGCAGAATATGGTGTTCAAATTTGATTTATTGATAGAAAGGGCCTCGAGTGTAGACTCTGAGCAGACATTAATGAGCACATAGAGTAGAGGAGAACGCTCGACAGCCTTTGGACCTTATATATATATCGACAGACCTAGACACATAATATTACGCCTACAGCAATGATCTCGCACAAACTGTGGCTCCTGAAGGACGACGCACCGGATGCAAGGTTGCGCCAATGAATGGTGCTTACTGCCCACCCACCAAGGTGGTCAGCCAATTGAGCAACACAGGACCTTGCTACTACTGCAATGGTCGTCGTGCAGCTGCAGTCGTCGTGCTGCAGTTATTCGTCTGCTGCAATCGTCCTCTGCAATCGTCCTCTGCAGCTGCAACGGGGCTGCAGCAACGAAAGCTTGGAGGGCGGAAAAAGGCTTGGCAGGTAGGGACCACTTTTGGTACTCAAAGTCTCAAAACGGTTTGGCGGCTCGGCAGCTCGGCAGGCCTGCTCGTCGTGCCTGTCTGGCTCGTCCTTCCCATCGTCCCTAGCCCAGCCTGCAGCTGCACTGCCTCACTGCGAATCTCCCGGCCAAGCTTCCTGGGGCTCTAGGCACGGGTCTGACCTGCCACTTCGAACCTGCACCGTCACACGCATCCTCGCTCTGCCTTTGGTTTGCCGGGGTTTAGCAGAACTCCTGTCAGATACGAATGGTCGCCTCCGGCATGCGCTAGTGCTAGAGAAATACCTCGCAGCTCTTCAGCAGCGGTCAGTAGGGAGGTGGGTCGAGTTTGCCTGATTGTGCAAGATCCCCCTCCATTACGACAATCATCGGAAGGCAAGGTGCCTGGGTCGAAGCTATCTAGGTATATGTTTCTAAGAATTTTTCTGATCGGCTTAAACAAAAATTATCTTAGAAAAGGGATGACTTCTATGGCAGGCTGGTCTGCTGGCCGGGGAGTATACCCAGGGATAAGGAATCTCTGTCATTATGAATTTCTACCCTTTATTGATATTGTGAGTATATTCACATATTAAGTGTCATCAGCGGTCGAAACTTTGCGGAAGTTGTACTACAAAAAGTCCTTGACAAAAATGTATGCAACTTAGTGGTCGTTGCCCGAATCTGCAGACCCCGCTGCTGCTGGGGGGCCCCCCCCCCCCCCCCCCCCCCCCGGCCCACCCCACACACACAAAACGAAGGAAGAAGAGACACAAAAACGGAGAGAAAGGGTGAGGGGGGGG